ATATTCAATGAATAAAAACCAAATGCAACCTCTTTTCAATTCTGTAAGCCTTAAACTAAACTTATAGTCGTGATCATATAGTACAAAAACCAAATTGAAATTCATTATCCTATTTATTTTATTTCAGTGTCCTAAACTGAGTGCGAACACTGTATAATGTAACATTTTGTTTATCCAAATGAACGACATATTCACTAGATATAAATGACAGAGTACTTTTAGACATATACATATACAAATATATTTAAAATTCAAACTATTATTTTGAAGTTGACGGTATTAAATGAAGAATACAAGATACTTGAAATATCTCATATAGTTTGAGTATATCCTTCTTTATAAAAGAAAAAAAAAGCCCCTATTCTGTATTAGGTATAAAGGATAATACTATCCTAGAAAAAGTATTATTTTTCTATGTAAGGCTTATTGGTTTCTTAATATTCTGATTTAATACAACAATTTATGGCATATAATCGAATAGAGTTAGCTTTGTAGATATATAAAAAGGGTCATCGTATCATTATTTTGTGTAGAGCATTTGACATGAGAATATGTAGATATCCTGCACCAACTTCTAGGTATGTCCAGTGTAGAAGGATGCGATAATCCGGTTTTTTTTTTTTTTTTTTTTTTTTTTTTTGTTTTAAATTATAAACTACACAACTATTAAGAATATAATTGATTTAATCACGAGTGATGGTGAAAATAGAAAGTTGGTATATTATTTCCTAGGTCTTATTATTGACAGAAAAGTGTTTACTATGAGTTAAAGTTGGCTTAAAATAATCGCATTGATAACTTTTCTTTGTAAAAATGACCAGGCTTAATGCACCCTTTGCATTTGACCACCACCACAACTAAACTGCATAATACAGTAAACTGAATAGAGTGAATGAACTCTATAGTATCCATCTTTCCATAAATAATCGTAGAATATATTATTCCCGGTATGTAATGGACGCTATTGAAAGCCGTGTTTATAAGGTTTTTATTTATCCAGTCTGACTTTCATTTTTTTTTTTTACTTGTTTGAAGAATGCTGATCCAAAATCAAAAGAAATTCACTTTCTCCCAAGTCCTAGAATCTAAACTACTTGAATAACTATTACAATAGAAGACTATATCAATTCGATTAGACACTCGGATTTATTTAGGAAAAGATGTCTAGATAAAGGACTTGTGATTCTGTAAAGTTCATGACCCCATCTCTAATTTTTTTTCCCCCTTTTTTACACCTGTATTTTATTGAAAGACTAATAATAGAATGTTCATGTTCAAGAAAAGAAAATACACACTATTATTAAAGTGATTTATATAAAAATAATACATAAATCAGTAAAAATAATTGTGGATTTTCAGTTATACACAAGTAATTGAAGATTAAAATTAATATTTTATATCAACGGTCAAATGCAAAATGTGTACGTCTAAAACGAAAACATAATAATAATAAAGGTGAAAAGTTTAAAACTTCTTCATCTATTCAAGTAGAGTGATTATTACGTTGTATCCCCCCTTTTACCAGGCAAACTCTTATGCCTTTTTTTTTTTTCGTGGTCAATTAGTTAATTTTAAAAGAAGACAAATAGACGAATTTAAATCAAGCATTTTGAAACAGCAAAAGAAAGGAATCAGAGCTGAGAATAGTAACCGCAATAAAGAACGAGTTTGCTGTCACGAGAATGAACATAGTAGCTCCAAACCACGCCTTAGACATAAGTTAACAAAAAAGGAAGATATAAAAAAGTTTTTTTTTTTTTTTTTTTTTTTTTTTTTTTTTTTCTGGGGGGAGGGAAATCATACTATAGTAACAAGAAAGATAAAACTAGAAACGATTTTCCCTTCTGAGATTATTTTCTTTTGGGTCCTTCATCTTCTTTGAAATGGAGATTCATAACCAGTACCCTTAACATTTTATCATCTTTTATTAAGATACTATTGCTAAAGACGTATGAAAAGAATATGAGACTATATTTTAAAAAAGTCTTTTATTCTGGAAAATAACGATTTGATAAGTAGTATAAACACCTTATTAGAAGCATATTTAAATAATTATAATCTATTAAATAGAATAGACTTTCCCTAAAAAAAAACAAAAACAAAAACAAAAGAAAAACGAAAATTTTTTTATCCAAAACCTAATTCGAACAGACGGGTTAGATGCAGACGCTAACAAAGCTTCAAATTCTATTAAACCAAATCAATGATCTGATATAAAGTTGTTATATGAATTAATATACAGACAGACGTTCGAAAAAAAAAAAAAAAAAACTGAATAAATTTTTTCTTTGCGGGATTGACTTTGGGAAGATCAAACACGTTTACAGCTGTTTAATACAATGGTGGGACACCAGAGCAGATTAGAAAATGAATCATTAAAGAATACCATTCTACTCTTATAGAATCTACCAATATTATTATAAAAGAAAACATGGAAAGAGAATGGAACAGCAAAAAGCTGTCGATTTGCCCATTATATGTTGAATATATTATTATTCTTTATGTAAAAGAAATACTATCTTATAATGGACCAAGTGCTTCAGTTGAACTTTTTCTTGTCCTGCTACTAAGGTATACAACGTGATTGCAATAACACGAGAAATATTTATTAAATCTCCAATATCATATTCACAGGTCCAGATCGTTACTCTACATTTCTTTTTTCGTCAGAAACAAAGATATTGCAGTCTCAGACACCGTGTTTTCTTAATGAAAAATTAAGGTTTTTTTTTATTATTTCGTGTCTCCAGTATTTTTTTTTTTGTTTTAATTAAACTGATCTGGCCAATCAAGTATTAGTTAGATACAAAAAAAAAGATTAAATAAGAAAATTTTATACTCAGCATTTAAGGTTTTGTTTATGTAATTTTATTTATTAAAAACAAAAAATTAAAACATTTAAAACATTTTTCCTATTTTAATAAGTATGATTACTAGTCTAAAAAGACGATATTACCAAGCATCAATCTGACATCATCATAAGCTTAGTAATAAGAAGTAAATAAGAGAGCTTTTATATATTGCACTAAATAAATAACATAAAAAAAAAAACTATCCATCTCAATGGTGACCCTTTTTGTTGGAATTTAATGAAAATAAGAATGTGACTGGTAAAGTGAATTCTTCAAACCCATTAGTCATTCATATAAGTTCATATGAAGTCGATCACATTACCAAAAAAGGAAGCCATTTTTTTATTTTATTTTATTTTAATAAAATGAATTTAATTTAACAGGCAATAATTCAAAGATCGAAAAAATGAAATTTTTTAAATTAAAATGGAATCTGAACAATGTATGAGGCATAGACAAATTAAATAGAGTAGACTAAAATAAGATAAAATATAATAAAATAAATATAGATTGGCATACAAACATATAACATAATAGGAAAATTATAGATTAATCTACTCAACAAAGCCTATAAATATTCACTATTAAGGTTATATCGAGATGGTTTCATTATAGAACACGTTAACAATTACGTTAATATGAAGAGGTAGTATTAGTAATAGTATTACGTCTGTTAGAATAATAATAACCCACGCACTTTTTAAGATAAGTCTAGTCTACTCTCAATATAGAATGAATATTCTTATTATTTATCAAGTATATTTATTCACATAGTTTTTATCTTTTTGTCTCTCTTTTTTATCTTTTTTTTTCTTTTTCTCTTGAAAAAAAAATTATATATTATTATATGTCTTTTCTTTTTTATTTGAATATTTTATTATATAGTGTATACACATGTTAATTATTTAATATAATTTTATTTATTTCCTTCTTTTTTTGTAATAAAAGCAATTACTTTTTAAGCCAACCAGCTTTTATTAATGGCTTGAAAGAGAATATATTATTTCCCATCGTATTAATAACTCAACAAAAATATTAATTAAACCAGATCCAATTTGTTTGTTAGTCATAACAGGGCTTTTAATAAAAAATAAAAATGAAAATAAAATAAAAAGAAAATTACACACTCCGAAAGGTCTTCTTAGCTGTCTCAGTTACAATTTTTAATATAAGTTTGGGTAACGATTATTCATATTGCGTAACCATTAAAATTAAATATGACCTAAAATGGCTATATTTGGAGAAAAGAATACATTATTTTGGTACTATTCTTTTATTTTGTTGTTTAAGTTCTATATACTTTATAAAATTAAATATGTGAGTTCCTTTATGTATTTTGTATTTTGTAGCTTTTCTTTCTTTCTTTCTACACTTTTTTTTTGTTTAATTAAAATTAAGCTTTGTCTACATTTTAATTGTTTTATTTTTTCATACTAGTAGATTGATATGTTGTAATAAATAATAAAAAAAAATGAATAAAGTTAAAGTTTAAAATAGACTGCTACAATTTTCATTGATAGCACCATATTGTGTACATTCACAAAAAAAAACCATTCTTTTTTTAGTCTTTAAAATAAAATTTATTTACTTGTTTTTTTTTCTTAGCCTTTAAGATAAAACTTATTAACTTTTTTTTTTCTACTTTTTTCTACTTTTTTTTTTACTTTTTTTTTACTCTTTTTTATGTATTCACGTCTTTACTTTAAAGATAAAAGTTAAAGGTTCTGGAACTACTACGTAAACCTCTATATGAAAAATGGTGAGCTATAAATAAACAAGCCAATAAAATAAAATAGAGTTAATAAGCCGTTAATGCCAATGCGTTAACAATAATCTAGATATTAAAACTTTATCCACGCATAAAATAATATACAATTGGCTGAAGTTTGCTGTAATTTGTTTCGGCTTTTAAAACTGATCTATTATATAGAAATAAAATTTTAAAAAAAAAAAAAAAAATTGTATTCCAGATTAATGAAGAAATTTCTATGATGGCAGCAAGCTTCTTACACATTTTTATGATTTATATTTAGAATTTTTTTCATTTTACCAAATCTCTTGTTTTATGAAGCTATATTTTTACATGTTCAAAATGAAACAATCAGTTATCAGAATTTAAACAAGACGTAGTTTTATCTTTTTTTTTTTTTTTTTTTGGATTTATATAAAAAGGGCAAATTTAAAACCCAAAAAGAGATCATTTTGCATTTTTCCTAGCTTTTTCTACTGCCTTTTCTAAATGGTTTACAAAGCTAGTTTACTTTTACTAGTAATAACTTTTATTACTAGTAACTTAGCTTATAGAATTCCTAATTATGATTCAATTCATTTAAATTTATCAAATCAAAAAGTTAAACGTGCTGCAGATCACGTTAAGAATGTTACGGTTGAGACCAAACATATTGATTCTATAGGTTGCAACTCTACAGATGGTGCAGGTGCCCCTTTTTATTATGTTTGCTCCGCAGATAATAATCCATCTTATATGGTAATTTAATAAGTTTGATTTCATTGTCTAATCATCTTCTAATATAACTTTTTTTTTTTTTTTTTTTTTTTTGGTAGTTAACACACTTTTCAGCCGTTATCTTTGGTGATTTTGAAGCTCAAAATGAACATGGCAGTTCTGGTCCCTTAGCTGTTCAAGGAAACTTCAAGGCTAATAAGTTTACAGTGAATGCGGATGGTAAAAATATCGACTGTTCGGATACTGACAATGTTGATTCTTATGGCTTTGTTTTGGGTGGTTCTGTTGAAGCTACTGAAGTCAGTGTTCAGGGTAACGCTCAAGTCCCTTCTGGTACCTCTGGTGTTCAAGAGACTATTAGCTCTTGTCGTATAATCGAAGACACTGATGATCCATATTACTTTAAATTAGCTAAAATGAATGCTATCTCAGCATCTAGAATGTTTGCAGTTAAATCACCTAACATTCGTTTAAAAGCTAATGGTGAACTTTCTTTTAATGGTGTTGGACTTAATAACTTTAATGTTCTCACATTTAGTACATGTAATAATGGTAACTGTGATATCTTCCCTGGAAAAATGTCGGATCCTTCCGCCATATTAGAAGGTAATGGTAACTGGAATGGTCCACGAGGAATGACATGGACAAGTTCTGTTTTTCAAGATTCAACAATTATTCTTAACGTAAGTTATATAATATACACAACTATTCATATGTTCATTTTTTGTATTTATGTTTCCTTCATTTTTTATTATAGGTTCCTGTTGATGTTGGTTCTACCTTTACAATTCGTGGCAATAACATCAATGAGAAAATGAACGTATGTAATGTCATCTTTAACTTTTATCCATCTGACTCTGATGGTAACTATGTCTCGGGAAGCTTTACCTTGAAACGTGAAACTGAAAGTAATCTTGGTGGTTTTATATTAGCTCCTGAAGGTAATATTAATAATAATAATAAAATAACGGGAATAGTAGTAATTAATACGCAAAATTATAGCTACCATTATTGATGGACCCAATGGTGCTTTTGCTGGTACAGTTGTCGGTGCAAACTATATCGGAAAAAATAATGGTATTGGACTTAATACTTATCACTCTGCTGGAGGTAGTTGTCGAAACTTTGCAGGTTGCTTACCAATTACTAAAAGAGACACAAAAATCATTTCTAATGATACCATCACCATCACCGCTACTACTGCTGCTGCTACTACTACTTCTGCTACTACTACTAGTATTACTACCACTACTACAGAAGCCATAACTACGACTACCACTGAAGTTACTACTACCACTAAGGCTAAAACTACTACTGAATCTACACCTATTGTAGATGATGTTACCACCTCTGAAGCTGTTACTACTACCACTACCACTACTGAAGCTGCTACTACTACAACTTCAAGTGAAGATCATCACAAGCATTCAACTACCACTGAAGCTACTACTACTGAAGCTTCTTCTTCTTCTTCTACTACTACTACTACTACTACTACTGAAGCTGCTGCTACTACAACTTCAAGTGAAGAACATCACAAGCATTCAACTACTACTGAAGCTACTACTACTGAAGCTGTTACTACTAGTACAACTACTACTGAAGCTGCTGCTACTACAACTTCAAGTGAAGATCATCACAAGCATTCAACTACTACTGAAGCTACTACTACCACTACCACTACTGAAGCTGCTGCTACCACAACTTCTAGTGAAGATCATCACAAGCATTCAACTACCACTGAAGCTACTACTACTGAAGCTTCTTCTTCTACTACTACTACTACTACCACCACTGAAGCTGCTGCTACTACAACTTCAAGTGAAGAACATCACAAGCATTCAACTACTACTGAAGCTACTACTACCACTGAAGCTACTACTACCACTGAAGCTGTTACTACTAGTACAACTACTACTGAAGCTGCTGCTACCACAACTTCTAGTGAAGAACATCATAAGCACCACTCCACTACTACTGAAGCTACTACTACTGAAGCTACTACTACTACCACTGAAGCTGCTGCTACTACAACTTCAAGTGAAGAACATCACAAGCATTCAACTACTACTAAAGCTTCTTCTTCTTCTACTACTACTACTACTACCACTGAAGTTGCTGCCACCACAACTTCAATTAGTGAAGAACATCACAAGCACCACTCCACTACCACCACTGAAGCTGCTGCTACTACAACTTCAAGTGAAGAACATCACAAGCATTCAACTACTACTGAAGCTACTACTACTGAAGCTGTTACTACTAGTACAACTACTACTGAAGCTGCTGCTACCACAACTTCTAGTGAAGAACATCACAAGCACCACTCCACAACTACTGAAGCTACTACTACTGAAGCTGCTGCTACTACTACTACCGATGAACATCATAAGCATCACTCCACTACTACCACTGAAGCTGCTGCTACCACAACTTCAACTAGTGAAGAGCATCACAAGCACCACTCCACTACTACTGAAGCTACTACCACTGAAGCTACTACTACTACCGATGAACATCACAAGCACCACTCTACTCCTACTACAACTTGTGAAGATGAACATCATAAGCATCACTCTACTACTACAACTGAAGCTACTACTACTACTACCGATGAACATCACAAGCACCACTCTACTCCTACTACAACTTGTGAAGATGAACATCATAAGCATCATTCTACTACTACCACTGAATCTGCTGCTACCACAACTCCTGAAGATGAACATCATTACAAGCATCACTCTACTACTACCACTGAAGCTGCTACTACTACCGATGAACATCATCATAAGCACCACTCCACTCCTACTACAACTTGTGAAGATGAACACCACAAGCACCACTCCACTCCTACTCCTACAACTACTGAAGAACATCATCACAAGCACCACTCTACTACTACCACTGAAGCTGCTACTACTACTGAAGAACATCATCATAAGCACCACTCTACTCCTACTACAACTTGTGAAGATGAACACCACAAGCACCACTCTACTCCTACTACAACTTGTGAAGATGAACACCACAAGCACCACTCTACTCCTACTACAACTTATGAAAATGAACATCATCACAAGCATCATTCCACTACTACCACTGAAGCTGCTACTACTACTGAAGAACATCATCATAAGCACCACTCCACTCCTACTCCTACAACTACTGAAGAACATCATCACAAGCACCACTCCACTCCTACTCCAACTTGTGAAGACGAACATCATCACAAGCACCACTCTACTCCTACTCCAACTTGTGAAGATAAACATCATCATAAGCATCACGAACATCACGAACATCACGAACATCACGAACATCACGAACATCACGAACATCACGAACATTATGAACATTGTGAACATGCTTCTAGTACTCCAAGCCACGCAAAGCCTACAGAGACAGTTTGTCCAACCAGCTGTATTCAAACCGTTACAGTTACTAAGAAAGTATATGTCACAGTTACAGCAAAATAGAAATACTATATTGAACTACTATTTATATTTTAATAATACTTTGTAAATAAATAAATAAACTAATAGATGTTATAAATAAATAAACAAATAAAATATATTTTTCGTTATTTTTTGGCCTAATCATATTTATAGCTAAATGATTTTATTTTGTTTTAAGGAAAATAATAGTGTTGTTAATAACTTGTTTTCGCATGACAATGAAGAACTTTTTATTATTTTATTTTTGAAAGAACAAAGGTACGAATCTTGCTATAAATGTATTGGAGAGAATCATGATTTTACTGCTTCGCGTCAACCAGCTTTCGTACTGATACAAAGGAAACACTGGGTAAAGTTCCTCCCCCTCCCCAAAATGAGAGAAAAAAAAATCTCTTTATAATCAATATATTATTTTTGAAAAGTAATATGGCTTACACAACAGGTATTGAAGATGTTATAATTATTGAAAAAAAAAAAAAAAAGTAAAATACTAAAAAGGGAGATATAATGTTTGGATTGACTATGTATAAACTAGAAGAATCAAGCACGAGAAGTTTATGAATAATACGCTTGACTGATGCTAAATAATAATAATAAAATCTTTGCAAAGTTTTAATTACTTTATGCATAGTTTGAGATCAGACAGATGGATATTACGAAGGCGATAAAATTACCAGGAAGGGTGACTGAATTAGTATCCTTGAAATATACATATATCCTTTAAGGGATATACTGATTTACAATATCAGCTGAGAGTTTGATCGTTATTACGCGATTTATATAAAATAGGTTGAAGGATGATCCATTAAATTGTTCGGCATAAATTCAATTCACTGAAATGGAAAATACACACACACACACACACACATACTTACATACGTATTTAATAAGTATGTTGCTTTAACACAGTTAATTTCTGCAAGTGTTAGTAACCAAGTATAATGCTTGTGCGATTAATATGTTAATTTTTTAAAAAGATGAACTAAAATGAAGACTTCTCTACTCTATTTTCCCTTTCGATATATATAAAAGCTTCTCACAGACAGATGCACTCATATTCTTTTACATTTTATTTCTATAATTACTAGTTATATATTTCTCTTTTCTTAAGCAGAGAATATATGTAAAGCGTAATTACGATATAACAACGATAAAGCAAACAACTATCTGGCAAATACATTATTTTTATTATTATTATTATTGTTGTTGTTCAAGGATTTGTGTACATAAGGATATATTATATTCATCTTCTGTCACCAACAACAGAAGGTGATGTTAAAGTGGTTTCTAACGAAGCAAGATGACATAAAGATGGACTAGTGATATTAGCGATTGTATTAGTAAATTCATTATAATTATTTGCTGATAAGCCAATCATAGATCCTAATTGATTAATAAATTCGTGCACAGCTTCTATATAATAACCACCTGTAACACTATTATGTTGAGCAAGACTAATGATATATAAAGTCAGTATCTATTTATATGCTAGTATTAGATCTATTTTACCTCTTGGCCCATTCATTAACTGATTCTGGACTATAATATTCAGCTTGACGTAAATTGGCTGCTGTTGTCTTTATAGCCTGTTTCCAGAAATTATTTAAATCTTGATATAAATCTCTTTTAAGATTATTGTGTTCTAGTAAATGATTTTGTTACAATATGCATGCATATAATTTTTATATTTGTAAACTATACCATCATTATCCCAAATAGGTAATCTGTAAGCTATATGTGAGGCATGATCAAGAAATGTAAAACAAGTAGAAGGAAATACATGAATGGAAGTTGTAAAATGATTTGCATACTGAGTAATTGTGTCCTATATATATATATAAGTATGTATGACCATAATAATAGTTCTATTCCTTACAATCAAGTCGAGTAAATTGTCTCTCACTCTTGTAAATGTGTAATCATCTCTACCGGGCCCATTTTTATTAAATGGAAAACTGTGATAAAATTTCTTTTCCATGTCTAGCAGCACATTCATAGATGATGATACAGTTGGTGCAGGAATGTATTTCATTATATCTTCTTTCAAGTCGGGTTCTTTTTGTAGTAACGAATTGATAATGTTGATTAGATTTTCTTTATCCAGTGTATCTATTACAAAAAGAAAATATGAGGAAAATTTGATTATTATTATTTATTTTTCTTCTTTCAATTTACCTAGCAAAGCACTTCTAGTTGATCTCTTTTGATATGTTGTCTTTTGTCGTTTTAAATCTGAATTCTTTATTTTAGACAGTCTATACAAGGGCTTAATTGAAGACTCTTCCATTTCTTCATCTTCTGAATTTCTACGCTTTAGACCTAATTAATTATATTAAAACGTTACTTTTTTTTTTTTTCTTTTTAATGACAACATTTATTAGTTTACCTCGGTTCATAATTTTTTTTTTCTTACTAAATGTATAAATATATTATATTTTAATGAATAAAGGAGAGTATAATAACAAATAATAATAAAATAGATATCTTCTGCGCAATAATGTATACTGACGTACGCTATAAAAGACGAAATATTTTTTTTTTTAATCGAGTTAATCAAATAGCTATTGATTGGTTATTGTACCTAAATCAATCCCAGTTGACTTACCTTCATCAATTTCCACCAATGTAAATGCTTTATTTTTTGATTTAACAAAACCTATAAAACTTTCTTTTTCTTTTTCTTTTTCTTTTTCTTTTTTTTTTTTTTTTTCTTTTTTTTTTTTTTTTTTTTTTTTTTTTTTTTTTTTTTTTTTTTTTTTGGAGGGAACTAAATTTATCAGTTGAGGAAAACTCTTTTTATTTTATTTAAATAAGCATACTTTAGAGGCTCAATTATAGTAGTTAATTCGGATATAATAATGTAAAAATAAAAAATGGCTTGTTAACTATAACAATGAAAGAGTATGTGTTACGTGTCTTAGATTTCTTTATGTTTAATCTAAAATAGTTTATATTATACTTTTACTTTTTTTTTATTTATTTATTTTAAGCTCAAGTATTTAATCCTAAACTAAGCAAACACTTTAATATTTTGGCAGATTCTAATTAAGCATATAACGTGTGCCTAAAGCTTTCGTCGTCCAAAACATTATTTTTTTTTATATTTATTTTTAGTAGTATTTATTATACCATCCTATTAATTTGTTTGAAGGAAGAGAGTATAATAAAACACGTTTAGGGTTTGAATGTAGAGTTCTTATAAAATCACTGTCATTGATATTATTGATGTATATAGTAAGTTGAGCTATTTTATCAAAGCAACTATCAAATCAAGAGATATCGACTTCAGTCAGTAAGGTATTATAATCACCTATACCTTGTAAGCAATTAAATACCAAAGCCGTGTCTAAAACTTGTTTTAATTACAAGATTTGCATGTTCGCGTAGGTAGGTTCTCTCCGAGAAATAAACGCTAATGTAAACTAGATTAACCTTAGTTGTCTATTTATTAATAAGAGAATATAACAAGTGGTAATTATGCGGAGGATAGGAGGCCTCATAACAAGGCATGTTATTTAATTATGTATCTAGCCCATTGATTGAACCTTGATTTAATAAATTCATTGAAATATAAGTTTTTTTTTTCAAAGTGTATCTTGACATAGTATTTATTCTTGAATAAATTTGAAATCATTCGCTATTAGTAATGAGTATTTATTTTCTTGAATATATAACATTTCCTTCTCTCAAATAGTTCTCTTTATTTAAAAGAGAAAGAAAAAAAAAAAAGGCTTGTTATCAACCCGGATTTTAGTCAAAAAAGTATCATGATTTGTTTTGAAGAATTTAAAGATTTATATAATATGATCAATATCTGACAAGTTCAATTTTATAAAAATAAGAATTGAAAGATACAGCACAAAATAATATATAATTCATATATTTTTCTTTTAATTCTTTCATTTTGGTATGCTAAACTGAGAAATGCATATTATTTTTGTTATTAGCCGCTCATTTAATATTCAAATCATCCTATACTTTGACTTATTTACTAAAGAAAAAGTCTCCTCGACAAATAGAACTAAATATATATACATGTAAAGAAAAAGTACAAAATTCTGTGTGCTCTCGAATGTTTTGAAGTGTTAGTTAACGGTTATCCAAAGTCATGTCATATAACGAGTAGACAAGAATAATAATAAATTAAGATGGTTTAAGAGTTCAGGGAGTTGATCCAGAATAGACAAGTAATCTAAAGAGTATTACCTTACTGACACTTTAGTCTTATTACTTGTATTAATACTGTATTTGGCTACTTTATCTTTCTCCCTCTCACCTATTACTATAATCTCAACCATATCGTAATGTAAATTGACGCTATTTCTATACTTGATACCGACGCTGTGCTTCCTATAAAGGGAGGGGTTTTTTTTTTCTTTCTTTCTTCCTACTACTATAGCAAGGGTATAATTTATCATCAAGAAACCTGGATATTTCGAATGCATCAGGGGCTCTCTTAACATGTATGATATTAATCTTAGTGTTATCATTACATATATAAGCTGCAAGCAATGCTGGATAGATTTTTTATTTTATTTTTAGGCTTACAATTTATTAAATTCATATTAGAACAAATGATGTAGTTCATTTAGGATATAAGTCCTATCCTCCCCTCTTTTCGATACTAGTTATTGTTAAGCATATAAAGAGTTTAGAATAAGATCGAGTGAATTTAATCTCAAAGTATAAGTGCATATACATATATAAATAGATGTATATTATTTCCAAAAAAAAAAAAAAATTGGGTTGAAAGCTTTTTCTGAACATTGATAAAGTCAGTCTAATCATGTTCTATTTTTATCTACTACAGCAAGCTGAGTGCCAATATACAGTTGATTATTTAGTAATATTATATCGTTTAAGCTTGGAACAGCAGCATCGACTATTATAAATAGAGGAAATTCTTACTTTATTGTATCTTCTGCATATCTTGTAGAACGTATATATGTGCCTAGCTGCTCCTAATATAATCTTTGTATAACCTATTTAACTCGTCTATTGATCTAATTCAATACATAAATTTTTATTTTGTGACAATCAGACCAAAACAGCCTTCTTGCAATGATTTTTATTTATGTTTTTATCCATCAAGTTCAAGTAGGATCATATAGAAAGCTTGATCAATTGTATAATTGCTAAACATAGTCATCTATATGAAGCTATAATGTTATGTTCCCTACCTAGCTTTTCTAAACTTGTAACTTTTATCATTATCAAAGTCTATAAGCTTGTTACTCCAAAAAAAAGGACTGTCTAATCTAGACTAAAGAAAAAAAGAATTATTTGCAATTATCATTAGAGTAAAAGAGTTTAGCCAAAGAACATTTCAACAAGTAGTCTAGAACTACATCAAAAAAAAAAAATCAAATCAAAGGATAAGTAATATAATAACTTCCGAACTCTCTGCTTTAATTCTCAATATTGTATGTCCTATAGTACTCTTTTGTGTAGTAGAAAAAAAAACCCCTCAGCCGTGTAACTACCAGTAGCCCCACAACTTATTTACGAGGCCTTAGCTCGATAATAATAATGTACTTGTTAGTTGCACCACTAACTCAGCAATGTTCGTGATTTCTTATCTTTTTTTTACTACAGAAAATTCTTTTTCGAACTTTTGCTGAAGTGTCATCTTATTGGTATTCATTGTTGGTCTGCCCTATATATATACATATATATATCATTTTACGAGAAATAGATTCTTTCTTTTATCACCATATAGATATATCTTACTCTATTCGTCCATAACATACTCAGGATGCCTGTTAATGACTCTTGAGTGAATTTTTTTTTATCTCAAATCTTTCCCTTTTTTTTTTTCAATCTAGTAGCCAAGGTGTGTGTATGTGTGTGTGGGGCAAATGAGTGGAGGAGAGTGATTATATGTTTGTTTGATATTACGCTTACCAATAACATTGTATTCTAGCAATTCGATATTCATTATAACATGGTGTCTTGTTTCTGAATGTAAAATTTAAAAATTCAATCTTAAAAGTTTGGTAACAAAAATTAAAAAGTAGTAAACTGTTGTATGTACAGACTATGAAGAAATAACAATGAATATACTAACAACAGAACATTCTCCGAATAATTAAAGAAGTCTATCTATTTGGATTGACAAACCTTGTATACATTGTATTTATTATAACAAGGTACTAGACAAATGACTAATAAACCGCCCCTCCTCCTCCCCCCGAAAAAAAAAAAAAAACTCTCTTGTTCTATGACTATTTTCCAATAATTCTAGCTTGGTCAGTTTAATAATAATCAAGTTAATAAACCAACGATGAACTTTGGTACTTGTTTTAATTATTATATGAATATGCTCCCCCTTTTTTTTTCTACTAACTCTATTCTAAAATAAAAGATAAAAAAAAAATATAAAAGACGGCCTATTAATTAAATAAATGCATTAGAGAGGAAATATAAGTCCTTCAACCGGCATTCAATACATCACTGATGATTTTGGAAGCTCTTTGTTTAAATCTCCCCCTTTCTTCTCTTTATTTAAATCAATAATTTATTATAATAGTGGATGGGCTTTTTCTTTTTCTTCTTTCTTTTTTTTTTCTTTTTTTTTTTTTTTTGTTCTCCCAAAGAAATATACAGTTTCTTAATCATAACTACAGATAAAGAAGACTATTTGTTTTATTGTTTTGTCAATATGTTTCTTTAATTGCTGCCAAACAGATCTTGACCAACAGTTAAAAGTGGGGATTTTGTTTGGAAATCAATAAGCTAATTCATCACAGTGAAGAGTTTGTTATTGACCTTGAATACAAGAAGGAAACATATATCTTTTATACATGTAATATAATGTATTGTAATTTGACAATGTCGATATTTATAAACACTATTATATAATTGTATGGTATTTGAATATCAATCCCAGAAAAAAAAATTTTTTTTTTATTCTTATTTCACTCAAATAAAAAAAAAAAAATGGTATCATATTATGATTTATACGCATTAGACGTAGTTAATAATAATGCATGCATGTATGCATACAATCCATCCTTATCAGTAAAATTATAACAATAAATCTTGAATCTATATAAAAAATAGATATGTTTCGATTGGATTGTTTTAATTAAAGATCATTTCAGAGTTTGTCATAATAAATAAAAAGGGACTTGTATACTTTACAATTTAATTGATTATTGGTCGCCGTCTTCTTTGGGGATATCTTTCCAGTTATAATTTATTTATTTTTTTTTTCTTACCTGATACCAAAGTTTATTACATAATTTTATGTATATCATTATGCACTAAAAAAATAAATGAATTATTAAAAACCATGTCATCTCAAGTTTATTTCTTAGAATCCAATAGGTGAATCATATAATAAGACTAACTTCAAAAAGTCATCCACATAAACGTGTACTAGTATTACGTAACAAATGTGAATGATGATAGAGAGATAAAGCAAAAAAAGTAAAAAAATGTGTGTATTACATTATTGGGTCGCAAATAACTCATGATAAAGTAGTGGTAATAATAGTAGTAGTAGTTAGTAGTAGTAATAGTAGTTTATAATATGCTTATCTATAGTAATATCTTTTGTAACACTAAATGATAGCTTTTGCATCATTGAATAATAGATAATAAAAAAAAAGAATTATGATTTTATTACATCAAGTAGTAGTTGCCAGTATCACTTTTTATTATTATTATTACTACTACTATTATCATTATTATTATTACTACTATTATCATTATCATTATTATTACGATGATATACTTCTTTTTCCTTTTTTCTTTTCATCATATGTACATAATCATATTAAAATTAAAATTAGAAAGAAAAAAAAAAAAGACCTTCTTCTTATTGTTGTTGTAGTACTAGGATCAAAACTTTATTTATTAAAACGGAATAATAAATAAATAAAAATAAACTGATAGATAAAGAGAAAAATTATTATTATTATTATTACTATTAAAATCATCTTATATATACATATATATTCTATAAAGGAATTACGGTATCGTTATTTATTATTAGAGAACGTTCAATTTTAAAGAAAATTCCTTCAATTTTTATAAAATTAAATTAGCTTGTTGGTCTTGAATCCTATTTTTTTTTTACCTAAAACCTTTCTCTTTCCCCCAAAAAAGATGATAGCAAAAATTAAGTTTTTTTTTTAAAACAATATCTGATTTTATTATATTTTAAAAGTAAAAGAATACTCTTTCACTCTCTGTATATATATATACATATAGATATATATGTGTGTGTGCGTGTGTGTGTCAATATTTATATATTAGGATTGTTAAATCTTTTCTCCTCTATCCTTGAATAAAATTATTATTTTTTTTTTATTTTTTGTTTGTCTAGAAAGTTATAAAATAAGCGAAAAAATAACGGATGATGCGGGGTTGATATCCACCATTTTATTGCGGGGAAAAAAGGACAAAAAAAAAAATTAAATAAAATAAAAACTAACAACCCTTGTTCCTTTATCCAATTAAAATTCATCCTTGTTTCAGGGTTTTCTGTAGATATTAGATAAACACGAGGGGGAAGGGGGGGAGAGAGAAGAAGGAAGGCCTATCATCCAATCAATTTCCATTTCTTTTTAGATAAACAAACAAGGTTAAATGGTATATTACTGAAAAAACGGGAAACGGCTGTAAATTTTTTATTTTATTTTTTTTTTCGGCTCGTTATTTTTTTTTTAAATTAATATTACAAAATGAAATTGTAACCATAAATCTATATTTTATTTTATGTACATAAAAAAATAAAGTGTATGTTATATATAACAATTAATAAGAAATAATTATAATAATATGAATAATAACAACAAAAAAAAGGGGAGAGAAGGGGGGGTTATACAATGTCCTTTTTTTTTTTCGTTCTTTACACAAATTTACATAAAAAGAATGGAAGGCAGTGTTAAATATAATAAAAGGATGATGAATGCTTAATTGATATACATGTATATATAAATAGTTTAAAATTGAACAATAGAATGAATTGAGGGTAAAATTGGCTTTTCATGAATAGAACCGATAGGGGGTAACACACGAGCTTGTGGAGGCCTTTCTAAGATATCTAATAAACTTGAAGAGGACATGATAAGATGATTATTACTACTACTATAAGCACCTTCTAAAGGTGGAAGTTTATGGTGATGAATAATAGGCATAGATGGAGAAAGAGTTGGGGATTGATGTGGAGTAAATAAGATATCCTCATCAGAAGGATGAGAAAAGGTCGAACTTATAGATAATGCAGGTGAAGGAGGCATAGATGAATAAGGTACAAGTAAAACAGGTGGTGTACTTGTAAAAGTGGTTTGATAGTGTTGCTGCTGCTGTTGTTGTTGCTTATTCATCATTTTATTTTTACGAGCAGCACGTCTCTTATTCGGTGAAGTATGAATACGAACATGTCGAGTTAATTCATCAGAACGTGAAAATTTCTTTGCACAACCTGGAAAAGTACATTGATGAGGTTTTTCACCAGTATGTGTACGAATATGTCTAGTTTGATGTTCAAGTCTATAAAATGATTTGGGACAAATAGGACATTTATAAGGTCTAGGAATACTAGCCTTATCTACAGGTGTAATAGCTCTTTTAGGAGTTGAACTATTTAATGTTTGAAATAGTGTAGATGTCATAATAAGAGTAAAGTAGAGTTAAAGAAAAGAAACAAAAAAAAATTAAAAAAAAAGAAGAAGAAGGCTGCTGATAGATACAGGGTTTATATATTAGATAGAAAATCAGTCTATATATATAAATTTGGTAAGTTAGTCTTTGATGGCTAAGATAAGAAAAAAGAGGGGGGGGAGAGAGAGGAAAAGAGGGAAGGAGAAAGAAAAAAAAAACTTGGGGGGGAGAGGAGGAGGAGGAGGAGGAGAAAAGGAGAATAATTCAAAGTGGGGAGAGCTTTATTTTTTTTATTTTTTTTTTGGGGGGGGGAGAGTGGAGATAGTAGAGAGAAAAAAGAAAAGAAGAAAACGGAATGTGTCATAATAAAGCATTGATTGTGCTGCTGTCTTTATTTTTACTCCACATCATCCGAAATAAAGATGAGTACGATAACCAGAAAAGGAAATGCCTGATTTATTTCACACGATTCTATTTATTATAAAATGTCTATTGTAGTTAAAGAATTCAATTCAAGTGTGAAAATGAAATAATAATGAAGAAAGACTAACATTTTGCTTATCTTTGACTATATCAAAAATAATGCATCTATTCCCCCTACATACACACACACACACACTACATACATACATACATTCATATGCCTCCTCTTTTTTTTTTTTCTTTGTGGGGTAAGTCATTTGAAAAATCTGTTATTATTGTCCAAAAATTTTTTTTTTTTTTTAGCTCCTACTACTTGCAAGACAAATCCCGCTTATAAATTCATATCCCGAATATTCATCACGCAATAACTTACTGCAGTGATAGTAATTATATATTTTTTATATTTGTAGTAGTAGTTGTCGTAGCAGGAGTAAAATCACACCATTCATTCAATAATTTTTTTTTCGTCCAATTAAATTTTACCTTTCTTCTACATGCTGTTCATAGCCGGGACATTCTTTATTGATTACCTAATACAGATATACAGTGATCAATGCCTTTGTAGTACAGCCCATTTGCATGTGAATCAAACTATTTTTCTTTTTTAAATACTTGGATTTCCTATTCTATCCAGCTTTACGATATTAACGTGTGAAGTTAGTCTGTATAATCATGGGAAATATTGAATGATGCTGTGTGTAATCTTTGTCTCAATAAACAAACAATAATATACATACACATTTAAAAGTATGAAATAACTTCTTCATATTATGCAGCATATGACCCCCTTTTTTTTATTGTTATTTTATTAAAAAAAGCTAGTAGCTATTCTGCATATGCATATTATTCACACACTCTTTTCTTTTTTTTTTTTTTTTTTTTTTTTTTTTTTTTTTTTTAATAAAGAAATAGTATAATGTCCAAGCCAATTCTTAAATTTACCCCATTTAATTCAGCTGTAGATGCTTCATTTTGGCAATCATTTGCTTCAAAAAAATTAGATGTACTTAAATTATCAGATGAACCACAAGTAATTCAAGGTTATTATACAGCAGGTCAACTTGCAATAGATGAAAACAAGCCCATCATAATTCCAAGTCATTTTACTATTCCTTCTGATGGATTATCAAACACGATTAATGTGTAAACATGTCAAATATATATATACACACATATATATTCATATATTTATATATTATGAATTCATTTCTAAACATAAACAATAATAGTAAATTCGGTTCATGTTCAAAAGGAATGCTTATCAATACAAATACAATTGAAGAATTTAGAAATATTGACAAAAATAAATTATTTCATAAAGTATCAGAAAAGGTAACAACATGAAAAGAAGGAAAAAAAATAATAAAAATAAAAGAAATGTGAAATAATCTTTTGGGTATTAGATTACTAATTCAGTACAAGATGGTGAAGCTTTAAAGGATGCAAACATATTAAACTCATTTCTGTTGTTAACATTTGCTGATTTAAAAATATACAAATTTTATTATTGGTTTGCTTTTCCTGCTATTATGCCACAACCAACTCCTTGGTTATTAAACTCAACTGAAGAATTACAATCTAGTTATAACAATCAAGTAAGCAAACTATTCATTTTATATTTTCTATTTATTTTTCCTCATGTAAACACTAGTTAGATAAAGAATATCAAGCACTTGGAAACAATCCACCTTATTTCTTGGTTAAAAAAGAGAATCAAACTGGAAATATACAATTGGCATCATTGAGTCAATTTGATAATAGTAATGATAATGTAAAGTGAGTGATAAAGCAAAATAAGAATCATTTTATTCTTATACACATATTTATATCTATTAGTATTTTTTTGGCTTTATTGATCCTTCTGTATCAAATGATGCTCCTGGCTGGCCATTAAGGAATTTTCTTTATTTAATTCATAAAACTTGGAATAAAAGAAAAGTCAAGGTTTTATGTTATCGTCCAAGCCAAAAGAATCAGTTAACCTCCTATATTTTGGAAACTGAATTACCAGAGACCTCATGTTATGATTGTAAGTATGCCTTTTTTTGTTTATTCTTCTTATTAAAACATATATATTCATTTTGCACAAAAAAAGCTATCAAATCTGTAGGATGGGAAAGAAATACACAAGGTAAACTGGGCCCAAGGATAGCAGAATTAGGTCCATTAATGGATCCAATGAAGTAAGTTGGAAATAATAAAATGTGTTCAATCCATTTAGACTCATATTTAGCATAAAATAGACTAGCTGATACTTCAGTAGACCTTAATCTAAAATTAATGAGATGGCGTGCAATGCCTGAACTTGATTTAGAAAAGATCAAACAAACAAAATGTTTATTATTTGGGGCTGGTACTTTAGGTTGTTATGTAGCCAGATGTCTTATTGTATGTGGAATACTTTTTTCTTTTTCTTTCTTTCTTTTGAAAAAGGAGATATTTATTCATCCTTCTTTTATATGTATAAAATAGGGTTGGGGAGTTCGACATATTACATTTGTCGATGGTGGAAAAGTCTCGTTTTCAAATCCTGTACGTCAACCTTTGTATACCTTTGAAAACGCTTTAAATGGTGGTTTACCTAAAGCTGAAATAGCTGCTGAAAACTTGATGAAAATTCAACCCACTCTAGTAGGTGATCATATATATATATAAATGAATATACATATTAGAAATTAAGCTTGTACTCTATTAGAATGCGACTGGTTATAACATATCCATTCCTATGCCTGGTCATCCTGCTAGTTCTGATGAACAATTAAATGATCAAATTGAAATAATATCAAACCTAGTTCAAACTCATGATGTTTTATTTCTTTTAACTGATAGTCGAGAGAGTCGATGGTATCCTACTTTATTAGGTGCAAAAATGAATAAAATAGTTTTAAATAGTGCACTTGGATTTGATACCTTTGTTGTAATGAGACATGGATCACGTCGAAAACATGATACTACTAAAGAACAATTAGGCTGTTATTTCTGTAATGATATTGTTGCTCCTACTGACGTAACTGGTTGAATCATCTAACAATGATTAAATTAACAAACTAATCTTTGTCTTTCTTTAGTCTTTAACAGATCGAACCCTAGATCAACAATGTACAGTAACTAGGCCAGGATTAGCAGCAATTGCGGGCGCATTATCTGTTGAACTTATGGTTTCTTTACTTCAACATCCAGAAGGGTATACATACAAATTTATATCTTTTTTTTTTTTCCTTTTTCTTATACTAACTACAATAGAATACATGCAAAAGCGGATATAAATCAATCATCATCTATTTTGGGTGTATTACCACATCAGATAAGGGGTTTTCTCGGACAATTCAATAATATGCTAATTGTAGGACAAGCATATGAAAAATGTACTGCTTGTTCTGAGAAGGTAACAAATGAATTTTTTTTTTGGGGGGGGGAGAGAGAGAGAGAGAAAGACAAAGACAGGAGAAATTGAATCACTTTTTAATATACACATATATTTATAGATATTAAACTTATATAATGAGAATCCTTCAAGTTTTATGAAACAAGTTTTAAAAGATTCTCTTTATTTAGAAGAGATAACAGGTTTAGCAGCTATGAAAAAGGAAAGTGAAGCTTTAATAAATGATGATTGGGAGGAAGAAGATAACAGTGATATTTTAATTTAAAAATAATAAAAAGTGATTATGATTATTATTCTGAAGTGATACATGCATGTGGGAAAAAAGAATGACATTTACACCAAATGTGGGGTTTAATATAACATGTACCACTCTTGTAGTTTCCCGGAGATTTCCTAGTAATGATAATTATAATAATTTATACATGATAATATATTTCCTCTTTATTATTATTATATTTCTATATTACAGTTGAATAGCAGTAATAGTCTTTTTCTTTCTTTCTTTAACGACGACCATGTCTCTTCTTTAATTTCTTTTCTCGTCTCTTTGCAGCTCGTTTTTCATTCTTCATGACACCATCAACCATCTTATAACGACCTTTAACACCTTTAGGACGTCCCTTGATACCACGATTCGCACCCTTGGCAACAACCACCTTGACTTCCTTCTTTGGCTTCGTTTTCGAGGCTCTAGCTATTAGTTTACCAATCGTCTTTGCCTTTTCTTTTTCTGTCATGTCTGGATTATCAACAATATCTGTAGCTTTCTTTTGTGCTTTGGCAATTCTTTGTGCAAGTTTAAGCTTCTTACGTGCCTTAGCTTCAGCTACTTTCTTAATAGGTCGTGCATTAAGGGCTCGAAGTTTTTCACGTAATTGATTCATAGCTTCTTTTGTTACAGGCAAGTTGGGTTTATTATGTTGCTTTTCATCATCCAAGAACCATTCTGGAAGACCATCTTTATCTCTAAATGCTTCTTTAGAGAAACCATCATCAATAAGATCTTGTAATGTCTTTTCTTTATTAGCCAACTGTCTTGCTAACGTAATCGATTCAGCAGTGGTTAAACCATTTTCTATTAAATAAAAATAAAACACATTAGTTTTTTTTTCTCTTTTTTTTTTTTTTTTTTTTTTTTTTTTTTTTTTTTTTTTTTTAAAAATAAATGAACCAAATTACCTATTGCTTTCTTCATAGCCTTGGAATTTTCATCTTCTTTACCATCCCAAAATTCATCATCTGAAGGAAGAATATCTTCAGTTTCTTGAATCTCAAAATCACTATGATCTTCTTCTTCTTCCTCTTGACTTCTCTTTCTTTTACGAGTGTGTTGTTCATGTAAGAGGATATCTTCTTCATCATCACTAGACTCTTCATCTTTCTCATTTTCTACTAGCTCATCAAGTTCAACGTCTTGAAAAATGTCTTGATCGAAAAACATAGCAGCTGCTGTACTTAAACCACTTGTCGTCTTTTTAGAAAGTGCAGCTTTCTCGCCAAGGTCATTCATAAGTGAATTTGTAGTTCTTGTAACTGATTTAGTTTGTTTAGGAGCCTTTCTAACAAGGTGGGCAGTATCATCTTCACTATCTGTATCAGACTCAGACTCAGACTCAGACTCAGATTCAGATGAACTTGAAGAATCAGAAGAATCAGAATCAGAATCAAATCGTTTATCCCTTTCATCCTCCTTCTTTTCGTCAAAGCCATTCCATTCATCTGCTTCTTCACGAACTTGTCTAGCTCTAAATTTCGCATCCTTTTCTGCTCTACGTTGTTTATATCTTCTATACTCTTCATCCATTTGTTCCTCAAGATCACGTTCATATTCTTCATCTGTATCAAGAACTTCATCCATTTCTCGGATACGACCTTCAATACTCTTGTCAATATGCACATCATCTTCTTCCTCTAGTTCGTCAGCAAGAGACATATCACCTTCTTGCAATTTTGCAAGTGATTCATCTTTCTTAATCTTCTTGATATTGAATACTTCATCATCAGCAGCTCCATTCTCATCTAATGCAATATCAGTAGGAATAATCATATTTAACTGCATACGTTGAATCAACTTCATCTTCTTTTCATTTGCCTTTCTTCTCTCTCGTTTCCTTTTTGCTGCTTCTTCCTTTGTTAAATTAGCAAGCTCAGCTTCAAGTAATTCATCTTCGTCTAAAGGCTCTTCTTCAATTAAAGGAACATTCATGGCTGCTTCTTCTTCTTTTTTATCCATCTTATACTCCTCTCGAATCGTTGCTCTCCATTTCAACAGTACTTTAAAGTCACCTTTACCAAGCACCTTTAAATCTTCACAATTCACTTTCACATCCTCTGTTGTAATGTCACGTTTTAAAAGTTCCCTAGCTTCATCTGATTCCCAAACAAATTGATTGTAGGAACCCAATACATTAATAGGATCTTGTGATCGTATAAATTCCATGATATCCACCTTTTTGTGCAATGTGTAATCACCTTCCTCATAACCGTCTCTGTGTCTACTCTTCTTTTCTGGTTTAAAAATATCTGTCATCTTCTTCTGTTCCTCTGCTCCCACATCTGAAAAGACAGATTTAGGATCCAAGATACGAGGATCAATTTTCTTGGGTGCAATAAAATCACGACACACTACAAAAATTTCAGCAGAGACATTACGAGATGAAGGTGGCTTTGTGGCTTCTACTTTACGGAAAAGTTGTTGAAAGACCCATAGCAACTTGTTGTAATCTTTGGATCTAAACACTTTGGTAACAAAGGTACCTCCCTTTCCCAAGAATTCAGTAGCTAACTTTAATGAAACCAATACAAGTTCTGATTGTGAATAAGCATCATGAATCCATGCTTTACCAACATTAGGAGCACCATCATGAAGAACACTATCAAAAAATAAAAAAGTTATTTGTTAATTGATATGCATTCTATCTCTGATTTTAATATAATTTTTTTTTTCAAAACATACACATCCGCTTTCCAAGTCTTCATTTCTTGTCGAAGATTCTGTCGACATCGTTCACTTGTAATATCATCTTGGAATGTGATTACACCAGGAATTGGTTTAATTGCAACAAGATCCACACCTAAAAACCTCAAGAATAAGAACAAAAAAAAATATTTTTTTTTATATTATTATTATTTTTTTACCAATTACTAAACTTGATTGAGGCATATATTTTGTAGCCACTTGTAACCTATAATAAATGAATTGAAAATTAATAAGATCGAGTTATAACAAAAAAAAAAAGAGAGATTTGAATCATACCAACCACCTGGAGCAGCACACAGATCGATTAACACTCGAGACTTTTCCAAGAAATTATACTTTTTGTTTAATTGAATAAGTTTAAATGCAGAACGTGCACGATAACCTTGCTCCTTGGCTAAATGGTAATATTTATCCAAACGACCTATTTATTTTGATCGATCCAATCATAATGAGAAAAAAAGGGAAAGTTTTTTTTTTTTTAATATGCTAATCCTTCAAATTATAAATAATGCTTCAATACCTTTGGAATGCTTTTTCTCTCTAGCTCTACCCATTTTTTATATATTATTATTCTAAATAAAACCTGTTATTGAAAAATAAAAATAATAAAAAAAAAAAAAGACTATACTGAGTTGATTTGTCTGTGTCTTTTTTTTTTTTTTTCTTAATTTCAAAAGGGCTTAAATATTCAGTTCAAAAGCCACCGTGACCGTTTTTTAATTTATGCATCATCAGGTACAGAAAAAAAAAAAAGGCAATACAAAAAGGCCTTTCATTAGTTTAAAATGCTTCAAAAATAAAGGGGGGATATGAAAAAGAAAAGCAACAGAGTATATGCATATACACATCTGTGTATTTATATTGAGTCTTTTCTATAGACGGCCATAATTATATAGAACACTACTACACAATAAAGGAGCACTATTCATTGATTGGCCAATTGAATAATAATAATAATACAAAGGACTGAATTCTGTTTGATTTTCATTGGTCAGATTTTCACATTTAGGTGAATAACAGCATTGTTATGACATATTTTTATTTTTTTTTTCTTTATTTATTTTTTCTTTTACATCATCATATGGCCTCAGTAAAGTATATTAATATAAATATCTGTATTTTAACAATGATGAGTAGCTTAATATATAAATATATATCTATATCTTTATTTTTGTGTGTAATCCTCTTAGTTTTTCTTTGAAGACTATTACTTTCCAAGTGAATTATATAATCGAGAAACAGGTGATTTTACTACGCCTATTCGTACTTTACTTGACTTTGCGCCTTTTATTCTTGAAGAACTACCTAAAAAAGAAAAGGTAAAGTGAAAAAAAAGGGAGGAAAGACGAAAAAAAAAATCCTCAAGTAAAAAGTATCTTATTGTATAAATTAAATACAAAAAAAAACCTCTCTCTCTATATATATATATATTTATATATAAAGGATAAAAAACCAATCAAGTCTGATGCTGAGGATTCTTGGACTAAAACTTATCTTCTTCCATCAAGTCATTATTTAACATCTGTATTAAAATCAGATAAAGCAAGAGCTGTCACTGAATTTGTGATACGTTGTGGAAATGAGTATTTAAAATCAAAGGAAGAAGATCAGAGGGGGTTTAGAGAATTTAAAGAAGCTGCTGCTGCTAGCGATTATTATAGAAGGAAAGAAAAAAATAAGAAAAAGTATCGTCATAAATGGTTTTTTAATAGTAGTAGGCAAGAGGATTCCTCATCTGAAGAAGAAGAAGAAGAAAGAAGGGAAGAGGAATTAAGAAAGGAAGAAAAGAGAAAACAAAAAGAACAGGAGAAACAACAACAACAACAACAAGTACTCGCTCCTTCTACAACTGCATCTACTCTAGTCAAATCTGCTGCTGCTGCAGGTTTATTATCATTGTCACTTTATTCGACTTATCAAACGAGTGTCAAATTTAATGAAATTTCATTCCATAAACAGCTTGAAATATTAATCACTCAAGTGCAATCTATTATCCAAAGCACTGAGGTTTGGATCGAGGAACATGATAAAATGAATGATAAAGTACCAAATCAAGTGAGGACAGATATAATTCTCTTAAAACAGCTTGTTGATTATTTAATCAGATTAGATCCTCGGGCAAATAAGAAAATGGAAGCAGCAGGATGGGGTTGCGGTGCTATTGGTGGATTATCAGCTTTAGGTGGTATTGCATTGGGTAGTACAGCTGCTTTAACGGGTGGCGCTGCGCTTGCCTTAGGAGGCACCATCGTGATGATATCGTCAAAAGCTTCAGGCAAGAGCCAATTAGGTGCTAGATTATTACTTGAAAATCAAGTTCGTGAAAAAGTAGCAACCTGTCAAAAGAATAGAATTGAACGTGAAAAAGTCATTGAACATGAATTTATTATTAAAGCAGATGAAGCAAATATTGGTGAAAAAAGGTATATTTTATTTTATTTTTATAACGAAAAAAAAAAACCATAATTTTATTAATAATATATTATGATTATAGAAAGAATAAAGAAGAGGGAAAAAAGGTAAACGATAAAAAGAAGGTAAAGCATGAGCTTCAACCACAGAATTCAATTAAGGAAGAAGAGAACGTAATTTACAATGATATTCCAAATCTAAGAAAAGAAAGAAGTAAAATCGCATTGAATTCATAATAATGACATCAACGTTAAATCACTCGAGTACTTTTTTATTATTACCAAGTGAATTAATATTCATATATTATTTATTATTAGAAGAAAAAGCCCAACCTATTACTATAATAAAACTTACCTTCTCTTTCACCCTCTTTATACAATAGATACAAGAAAAGTGACAGTGACAGTGGTGATTTCAAACTATTACTTTTATCTCTTTTTTTTTTCTATTTTTTTTTTTTTTTTAATTTTAATTTTATTTTGATAAAGGAAAAATTCGTATTTAATATTAATGCATCTTCCATGTTTCACAATATACTTTATGCTTGCGCTGTAAAATGTTAAACCATTTAATTCTTACAAAAAAAAAGGCATTTGTTACATATTAAATGTACACTATAAGGGACATTCTCCAAAGAAAAAAAGAAGAGAGAAAGGATAATAAAGAGTGATTTTCCCTACAAAAAAGGATAATAAAGATTGATTAGATGATCTCGAAGCTTCTTCTTCTTCTTCAATTCTAGTATGTTCACCCATATTCCAGTAAATGCGGAGTTTTTGTTGAAAATTTCGAGCCTATTCTACTAATTTCTACTTTTGGAAAAAAAAGGATTAAAGTCCCGCTTTGATTTTTTTTATAAAAGCATTACAATTTTTTTTATGTGTTTTTTTTTTTTTTTTTTTATCGTTTTTGACATCACAAATTCATTCAACTATATAATGAGTAAATTCAATTTTACAGAGAAATCAGAAAAAGCATTAACAATTGCACACAACTTGGCTTCAGAATTTGGCAACTCTCAAATAGCACCCGCCCATATTGGTTGCGCATTATTAGATTCAACAGAGGGAACACCACTTTTTAAATCGATTATCGAAAAGGCAGGTGGTGATGCTACTACGGTTGAAAGAGGTTACAAGAAGATGGTTGTTCATTTACCCACACAAGAGCCTGCTCCTACCGAGATCGGTCTAAGTCAACAAACTCTTAAGCTCTTACGAAATGCTGAAAAACATATGAAAGAACAAGGCGATACCTTTATTTCGATTGATCATCTTATTTTATCATTGTTAGACGATGACGCTACTTTTAGACCCTTAAAGGATGCTGGCATCACAAAAAAGGCAATCGAAACTGCCGTCACTCATGTTCGTGGTAATCGTCGTGTGGATTCGAAGAACGCTGAGGAGGTCTATGAGGCATTGGCCAAGTATGCTATCGATTTAACTCAGATGGCTCAAACAGGTAAACTCGATCCTGTTATTGGCCGTGATGACGAGATTCGTCGTGTTATTAGAGTCTTGGCTAGACGTACTAAAAATAACCCAGTATTGATTGGTGAACCCGGTGTAGGTAAGACAGCTATCGTGGAGGGACTCGCTCGTCGTATCATTGAACGTGATGTTCCTCAATCATTACAATGCAAGCTCTTTTCATTGGATATGGGTGCTCTTATTGCTGGTGCTAAATACCGTGGTGAATTTGAAGAACGTCTCAAGGCCGTCTTGAAGGAGGTGAAGGAATCTGAGGAAGGTGTCATTTTGTTTATTGATGAAATTCATACTGTCTTGGGTGCTGGTAAAGGTGAGGGCTCAATGGATGCTGCAAATTTGTTAAAACCAATGTTGGCTCGTGGTGAATTGCGTTGTATTGGTGCTACAACCCTTACTGAGTATCGTGAAATCGAAAAGGACCCCGCCTTTGAGCGTCGTTTCCAAAAGGTCGATGTCGGTGAACCCTCTGTGGCCGCTACTATCTCTATCCTTCGTGGTCTCAAGGAACGTTATGAAAACTACCATGGTGTCAAAATTGTTGACTCAGCTCTTGTAGCAGCTGCTCAACTCTCGGATCGTTACATCACAAATCGTTTCTTACCTGATAAGGCCATTGATCTAATTGATGAGGCTGCTGCAAATACGCGTGTCCAACTTGATTCAAGACCTGAAGAGATTGATGTCCTTGAACGTAAACGTTTCCAACTTGAAATTGAGGCTAAGGCTCTAGGTAAAGAAAAGAATAATAAGGAATCTCAAGAACGTTTACAAGCTGTTAAAGAGGAAATGTCAAGAATTGATGAAGAATTGAAGCCATTGAAACTCAAGTATGAAGCAACTAAGAAGCATATTGATGAAATTCGTGACCTCAAACAGAAGATCGATGAACTCAAGGCCAAGGCAACAGAGGCAAAGAATCGTTATGATTTGGATGCTGCTGCTGATATTGAATATTATGCTATCCCTGATGTTGAACAACGTATCGCAGATATTCAAGAGGAAAAGCAACGTAAGATGAATGAAGAACTTGCTAGTGATAAACCCTCTGATACTATTTTGTCAGAGGTGGTTCGTCCTGAGCAAATCATGGAGGTTGTGTCCCGTTGGACTGGTATCCCTGTTCAAAACTTGGCAAAGAGTGAACGTGAAAAGTTATTGTCAATGGAACAAGAATTAATGAAGCATGTAGTAGGTCAAGACGCTGCTATCAAGGCTGTCTCTAATGCGATTCGACTCTCTAAAGCAGGTCTTCAAGATCCTCATAAACCATTGGCTTCCTTTTTGTTTTTGGGCCCCACTGGTGTTGGTAAGACATTACTTTGCAAGACTTTAGCTGAATTCTTATTTAATGATGAACGCGCGATGATCCGTATTGATATGAGTGAATTGATGGAACAACATAGTGTTGCTAAATTGATTGGTGCCCCCCCTGGCTATGTGGGTCATGAAGAAGGTGGCTTATTTGAGGCGGTTCGTCGTAAACCCTATGCTGTTGTCTTACTTGATGAGTTAGAGAAGGCTCATAAGGATGTAGCTAATATCCTCTTACAAGTATTGGACGAGGGCTTTATCCATGACTCTAAAGGCCGCAAGATCGATTTCCGTAATACAATTATTGTCATGACTTCTAATTTGGGTGCTGGTCTCTTGGCAGATGAAAACAAGGACGATATGAATCTTTTAAAGGAGAAGATTATGGAAATTGTTCGTCATCACTTTAGCCCAGAATTTACAAACCGTATTGATGAAGTCGTTATCTTCAATCGTCTTACGCAAAATAACATTACAGATATTGTTGATGTTCGTCTTAAAGAAGTTGAAGAACGTCTCAAGGATCGTCGTATTGTTTTGGAGGTCTCTGAAGGTGCTAAACAATGGCTTGGTGAACATGGTTACGAACCTATCTTTGGTGCTCGTCCTTTGAATCGTCTTATTCAACAACGTATCTTGAATCCTTTAGCAAAATTGATTATTGATGGTGGTGTTCGTAATGGTGAAGTTGCTCAAGTGGAACTTGATCCTAACGGTCATATCGAAATTACTCGTAATCATGAAAGCGAAGCAGGTTATACAGAAGAAGAGCCTATGGATGAAGATATTGATATGGATTAAGTAAAATTTATCTTGTATTATGTATATAATAATGTTTCTTAATATTTTATTAGTATATATCTATTTATGTATTTTTATATAATTAAAATAAACCATTTGAATGTAAATACGTTTTAATAATCAATATATCGTTTTATCCAAGTTAAAAAAGACAGTAATTAAAAAAAAATCTGTCTCCCCATAACGAATAAAGATATAGAGGAGAGGAAAATTTAGAATATCAATGAAAAAGGATCCATTCAAAAAGGTTATTCTACTATGCTTGATACAGGATGGTGTTGTAGTTTACAGTTCAATTCATGTAGTAAAATCGCCAAGATTCGTGCTAATACTAACGTAATAACTTACATTCTATAAAAACCAAACATAAAAGTTATAATAAGCATGAAACAGTGAATAGTTTTAACTTTCTTAAGTTTAAAAACATAGGAAGCAAGGGTATATGTAAAATTATTCATTATAAGCTTCTATCGCCTACGGAACTATATCATTATTAAATTAACTTTCTCTCAGTTTTACTTTATTTGTACTAGAAGAATTTAATATAGACTCTGCAATCATATTTTTATTATTGTTATTAAGGATACAGATTTATATCTCATTGTGTAGCCTACCACCATTTGAGAAACCCCCCCCCTTTAGCAATAGTTCAGTACTAGCTAAATCATTCTGTAATGTTAACAGTTAGTTACTGCCTATTCTAATATACTAATTGAACTTTTTACTTTGTTCAACTATTGTCTACAACACCTAAATGCTCCGAAATAGTATCCATTTATTCAGAGAAAATCATCACCTAATTCTTAGTATTATCAATCTAAGCGTTAAGAAGAAAGTATCTCTTTGTAATCCTATGTAATAAATACAATTCGAGCCTCTTTGAAAGAGGGGGGGGAGAGGAAGCTTTTTCTATAGATCCTATTCAGCAAATAATATATCTTAATCGTTAACAAGAACACATTGATTAATTGCGGCATTCTTGTATTGTATTATAGTATTATGTAGGTTTAATAAACCATGATAGTCTGAAAAATTATCAGTAAATGAGGCATTTGTTCTGTTTTGTGCATTAAATGCTTCTGGTGGTGGTAACTTTTATGAGATATTATTATATGCGTATATGAGTTAAAAAGTAGTGTAATAGCAGAGTAAAACAAGATATAACTTATAGGTGTGTGTATGAGTTTCTTTCTGTCATTTTTTTTTTTTTTTTTTTTTTGAAATTCAGATGTCCAAATTTTACAAGTTAAAAAAAATATTTTTTTTTCTTCTTCTTTTCTATAAACCTCTTTTTTAAATAGAAGATATTAACATTCAGATAATTGCTGTGTTATATATCATTTAATGGCTACAAATAAGAGAGAACTTCCTCCTAAGGAGGCCCAAGCTTTTAGAAACCTTTTAGTAAATTTCATTTTTCAATGTTATACAAAACGCGTTAATGTCTTAATTGGATAGCATGCTAAATGTTACGTTTAAATCTAGAAAAACTATGAGCTTCGTCAGTATAAAAAAGGCTTAAAATTAGCTGATAGTATTCTTAAAAAATACCCTGATCATGGTGGTAAGTTCATTACTTGTTTATAAATTTTTTTTATTAAAAAGCCAAATATTTTCTCTTTTTTTTTCCTACTTGTTTGTTAGAAACTCTTGCATTGAAGGGTTTATTCTTAAATAATCTCGAAAAGAAGGAGGAAGGTTATGAATACGTCAAAAAAGGTCTCTTAAAAGACTTGACTTCTCACATCTGTAAGTACAAGTTTAATAAACAAAAAAAAAAAAAAAAAGAAAAAAAGCTGTCAAAAGCTAATTTATTATTTGTAGGCTGGCATGTTTATGGTCTTTTATACCGTGCAGATAAAAATTATGAAGAAGCTGCCAAATGTTATGCTAATGCTTTGAAATTTAACAAGAATGACATGAATATTCTTCGAGATTATGCTATTCTTCAAACTCAACTTCGTCATTATGATGCTTTAGTTGTAAGTTTTATAGAACCACAATATACATACATATACATACATATTAATAATTTTTAAACTAGGATACTCGTACTAAACTTTTAGAGCTTAAGCCTCAAAATCCTCCTTTCTGGCTTGGTTTGGCTATTGCCTATCAACTTGTCAATGAACCTTTAAAGGCTGTCAAAGTTTTAGACATGCATGCTGAATCGAATGCTCCTGTAAGTAGTGAAGATTATAAAAAAATAAAAAAATAAAAAATATAAATGAACTAACACTGTAATTATAGGCTGCTTCTACTGATTTTGAGAAATCTGAATTACACATGTATTATAACATGTTATTAGAAGAATCTAAAGATTATCAAAAGGCGTTAGATCATTTATTAGAAATCGAGTCTCAAGTGACTGATAAAAGAACCTGGAAAGAAAAACATGCACTATATTTGGTCAAGTTAGGAAGAAAGGAGGAAGGAGAAAAGGCTTATAGACTTTTAATCGATGAAAATCCACACAACATTGATTATATTAATGAGTTCTTGAAACTTAAGGAAGCAAGTAAGTTATACAAACTAATAGTGTATTCTTTTTTGTTTTGTTTACCAGTTAAGGATAAGGGTACTAATACGATTTATTTGCTTTTTAGGCGATATTCACACTATTCTTACTGACCTCTTTACGCAATATCCTCGCTCTAAGGCTCTTGAACATTTAATTCTTCAACATGCAGAGGGTGAATCTTTCAAGATCAAAGCAGAAGCATCTCTTCAAAATGGCTTGAGAAAGGGTATCCCTTCTTTATTTGCTTCCATGAAGAAATATTATAATATTCCCGAAAAGAAGAGTATTATTGAAGAGCTCATGAATGGATATTGTGATTCATTAGAGAAGAATGGTACATTTAATGTTGATGGTGCTAAAGAACCTCCTACAGCTTTATTATGGACTTTATACTATCTCGCTAAACAATATGATTTTGAAAACCAAAATGAAAAGGCAATGGAATACATTAATAAGGCAATTGCTCATACTCCTACCATTGTTGAACTCTATATGACAAAAGGAAGAATTTTGAAACATGCAGGTAAGATTGAGGAAGCGGCTGAGATTATGAACCAAGCTCGTGAAATGGATCTTCAAGATCGTTTCATTAACTCTAAATGTGCCAAGTATATGCTACGTGCTGGTAAGATTGAAGAAGCAGAGCGTATTTTGAGCTTGTTTACTCGTAAGGATGTCACGGCTCTTCAAGATTTAACAGATATGCAATGTCAATGGTTTATGGTAGAAGAAGGTTACGCATATCTTCGTAAGAAAGAATATGGTAAAGCCCTGAAGCGTTTCCATACCCTTAACAAATTTTATTCCGATTATTTCGATGATCAATTTGATTTCCATAGCTATTGTCTTCGTAAATTAACTCTTCGTGCTTATGTCAATACTTTACGTTGGGAAGATAAGCTGAAGGCACATCCTTTCTATCTTAAAGCGGCTAAGGGAGCAGTTGAAGCTTATTTAGCTATTGCTGAGAAGCCTAAAGAGACAGATGAAATTGATGAAGCCAACATGACAGAAGCAGAAAAGAAGAAGGCAAGAAACAAGGCACGTAAGGCGGCTTTGAAGGCACAACAAGATTTAGAAGCTAAAAAGGCTCAGGCAAAGGAAGAAGCTCTTAAACATAAACATGACAAAAAACCTATCGATAGTGACCCTGAAGGAGAAAGTTATTTAAATACAGAAAAGCCTTTAGATGATGCACTTCAATTTGTCAAACCATTAGAATTATTGGCATCTCAAAATATCGAAGTCCATTCTATCGGTTTTGAAATATACATGAGACAACAAAAGTATCTGTTAGCTTTGAAGGCTTTATCCAAGATTGCTAAGATTGATAAAAACTCTACTTGTTTCAAATCCAATTTAGATAAGTTTAAGACAGTTACTAATGCTTGTGTAGATTTGGATGAAAAGATTAAGCAATGTATTGAACTTCAACTTGCAGAAATTGATAAAGCTTAATCATAGTATGATTTTATTTTAATAAATAGAAACCATTTAATTTCTTATTTCATTAAGAAAAAAAAATTCTAGTAACAGTAATAATATGCATTTATTCTTGAAGTTTTGATATAATGTTAGACAATGTTTGATGCCATGAAGGAGCATTTTCAAGTACTCCAAGACGATTTTCACAAATAGTTAATAATCTTTTCTTGCATTTTTTCTTTAATTCTTCATCATTATTTACTTTTAATGATGCAGCTGTTGCCTTAATACCCGGGATATGTCCTAAAGATGACTGCCAACGAAGATAATGCCAAATGACTTTAAATAAAACATCACCTAGATCTTTTGCTGACAAGAATGGGAATACTTGATAAGAATAGACAAAAAAATCAGGTAACATCTATCATTAAGATTAGTATATAAATGTATAGATGCCTACACACACACGCACACACACACTACTCTCTTCATTAGGTACATATAAAAATGCTATCTTACTGGTTTTAATAAAAAGACAAGTCGAATTGTTTCTTCTAATTGTGTTGCAAATCTTAATGTAGTCGATGCCGTAGTTACTTCTTTCATATGCCAAAAGACAATAAAATAAACCAAGACACTTCGAATAATATCATGATAGGGTGGAAAATGATAATCTTGGTTCATATAATATTTTTCAAACATGACAAATAATACAGGATGATCTTTAAATGCACTTCCAATGACAATATCACTTTGATAGGGTATATTCATTGGTAAGACATCATCGTATTTTTCTAAGCTAACTGTCTCTGGCATCCAAATAGTTTTTAGTCTTGAAAGAACGTGTAAACTAATTTCATAGAATTGTTCTAATAAATTGTTAGTTAATCCCATCTATTAAACTAAACTAAACTTATTATGTTTCTTCTTACTATCAAATTGAAAGAATAAAGTGGCTGTTCTTTCGATATTATCTACATAAATCTTATTCTTTAAATCTTCTTCTTGATTTTCAAAATTAAAACTCGCTACAAATTGTGGTGGCTTCCAGGCTGTGGAAGTCATGTTACGATAGAATGCCCTTCTTCCTTCATTTTCTGTCTTCCTTACTTGATCTAATAGACACAAATCCTCTTGCTTTATAATGCTTGAATTAGTTGCTGGAAATAACTCTAATCCACCCCCTAATATTCCATCTAAAGTAAATGAAAGCATTATCTTTGCAAGCGCTTCATGCTGACAGCAATTTGCAATCAATCTTTGTTGCTCATTTACAACCATCCTATCTTCTATTTCTTTTCCAATAAATAGTTGATATCGTCCCTTCATAAGTCTAAACCAAGCGTCAATTAATAACTTGGAAATCGTCTGTGAATCACACCCTTCTACAGTATCACAATTTTCCCAAAATCGTGAGTTTGTTAAGACTCGATACCCCATCGCTCTGCATTCTATGGAAGGATGATTTAAGAACAATAACAAAACTTGTCGCCAATGACAGGTTATATAGGTTTGAAATGACTGAAAACCAGGCGAGGCCTTATTGTCTTGATTTGTAGACAAAGGTTCAAATAACATGGCAAGGTTGCCTAAAATTTTTTCTACATTAATTGATCCTCCACTATCGACAATATGCATTGCAATTGCTCTTGAAAATATGTTTTCTAAAACAAGTCTTTACAGGACATAAATATATAGTTTATGAATCTATATGTCTACATTAATCTTACTGAAATATATTGATCCATTTGGATTCAGCAGACGAAACCAAATTTAATATCAAGTATCGTGCTCCACTTAATGAGGAAGAATCATTTAAATCAACAGGCTTATCAAGCCGTGTAATGAGCTGTACGAGCATATCAACTGCCTGCATCTCTTCTGATTTCAATAATACTAATTGCAAAAGAAATAACGGTATTTTTAAATCATTAGCTCCTCTCTTTTTGGTTGATAATAAAGATATCGCCCACTGAATTAAGTCCATCGATGCAGGTTTTAAATCTAGTTGTTCGAATGATGGTCTTAGCGTATCCATAATTGAGGCATCACCTGTCTATACAAACTATGAGTCAACTTTGTTACCAAATTTTATATCATTTTTTTTTTTACAGGTATTAAATGTCTAAGCTCCAAACGGGGGTCATGTGCTAATGTATCCAACATAATAGCAACATCCATTGCATGTTTCATGACCAACCCTTGAGAAACAAATGCAATTATTGATAACCAACGTGGAAATAAACTGCAAACATCTTCTATATTTGTGCCATTTTTTACCAATGAATTCTTTGTATTTTTTTCATACAAGTATATGTCTCCTGCGTCATTGTAAAGACGCCTAAATATGATAGACCATGATTCTAAATAATAATAATGAGAGGAGAGATTTTAAGGGTGTAAAATAGGTACTTACGCTCAAACAAAGCAGGTGAGATCTTGGGTAAAGATAACAGGTAACCTAGAGTATATTTTTGCAACTCTTTGATAACAATAGGAGAAAGTTATAACATGCATAAATACTCAAAAAAAAAAAGGAATAGTTTCATTACCTGTAGTTAAAGGCTCATTATGTTGTATCCAAATAATATATTGGTTAAATAAACAAACAACAGAATTAATGATGATATTTTTATGTTCCTCACTATGATTGAGTAAGTGTATAAATAAATGATTTGTAATGTAAACCATATTTTTTAAATCATCATTATTGTCACTATAAGGAGTTCTATTAGAACATATAAAGAAGAAGAAAAACAAAGTTTACTACCTTGTTCCTAGGTATGGATTACCAAAAGATGCAAATCCAAGTATTAAGTATTCATGAATCCTACGAGATACTAATTGAGGCATTTTTTCCCCTATCAAGCATACAAGCCAAGCCATCTTAGCTGCCTCCTTTTGAACAAGCTTTTTTTTTTTCTTATTATTATTAAACATGCATAAAAGTTTGATATGTAAAAAAAAAACTTACATTTAATAAAGTGCTGAGAGAACTTTATATATGGTTTTGGTTAAAATTTTACTTAAAATAGAGTGATGAATCTAAATTCTTCCTACCTTGTTTCTTCAATAGCTTCTTCAAATGATATACAATCTTTCATCAAATTAACTAAAGCTTGGTTGACTAAATCTGACATTTCTATATAGTAATTTAATATGAATTACGCTATCCATCTATCTATCTATATAACATTTACGTATAGAAGTAGTTTTTCTTTCCTTAAGTGTATTATAAATCCACTATCATATTTGAAATAAATTTAACAACATCGAATTTTATAAACATGAAAAACTCACAGTTGTTAACTTTTCTCCATCCTTAGTCATGTAACGTTTTAAATTTTGAATAGCAAGGACAAGTGGTTTTTGTTCCTCATTAAGTGTATTTGAAAGTTTACAAGCTAAAATAGCACTTGTTAAATTATTTAACTCCCCATCATGACAAGTCTGCGGCATATTGTAAAAAAAGAAAAAAAAAAGAAAAAAAGAAAAAAAAATAAGAAAAAAAAAGAAAAAAGAAAAAAAAAATAAGAAAAAAAAAGTGTCACTATGATTTGTTAAAAAAGAAAAGAAAAAATTAGTAGCCTGTAATAAAAATTTTATTTTCTTTTATTCATTTATATAAACATGTCAGAATCAAGAAAAGGATACAATCAAAGATATCAACAAAAGTGTAAATTAAACAAATCTTAACTTGTCTTTTTCACAAAAACATACAATTATTGTGATTTGTTTTATATTTTTTTTTTTAAAAAAAAAAAAAAAAAAAAAGAAAATTTGAATTACCTGACAATTATTTATAAAGATGATGAATCTGAAACATATTACGATAAAAGAGAAAGACAGGATCGAGGATCTCGATATGATCGTAAACCTCTAATTAACGATAATGGTAAAATAAAGAAAATAAGTTTAATGATAAAAAGTGTAACTAATCATCATATGTAGGTATGCAAAAGATTGATGATACTATTTACGTCAGTAACTTGCCTCAGGATATTACTGAAGAAAAACTTGCTGCTTATTTTGGATCAATTGGTATTATTAAGACTGATAAAAAATTAAGAAAGCCTAAAAGTAAGTAAATTGACTAAAGATAATAACTTGTTTATTTACAATAGCTTTATTTATTTAGTTTGGATTTATATGGATAAAGAAACTAATCTTCCAAAGGGAGATGGTAAAAGATTAATTAAATAGAATACCAATACAGTAACTGATACTTTTTATTATAGCCACTATAACTTATGATGATCCTCCTTCTGCAGACGCGGCTATTGAATGGTTTGGTGGAAAGGAATTTATGGGAAATACTATTCAAGTCTCAAAGGCTGAAAGAAAAATGAATAATGCCAATTTTGGTAAAACTAATCAACGTGGTAGAGGCAGTAATTACCGTGATTATGATCGCAGTAATAGTAGCAATAGTAATAACAATAATAGCAAGGATGTTAGAGATGGGGATTGGACTTGTGATAGGTATTATTTTAAAAAAATCATTTTATAATACGTCATAATAACATTTGATAACTTTAGTTGTGGTGCAAATAACTTTTCAAGAAGAAATGATTGCTTTAAATGTCATACACAAAAATCAAGTGGGAGACCTAATAATGATAACAGAAGAGGTCATAATAGACATCGTCCTTATTAATAATAATAAAAAAGTTGTCAATTATTGTTACATATGGTATTTTACTAATTTTGGTAACAAGTAATTTCTTCTTTTGCCACACTTACACGCGAACCACGAGATATTAGAAATAAAGAAGATTTCAGGAGTAATATGTGTAGGCTTCCCTTTTTTAGATTTGACTTGTTGTATTTTCTTTTTTCTCCTTTCTCTCTTTTTTTTTTTTTATATATATAAGCCTTCCTTACTCTCCTTTTGGTATTCTTTATATTCTTTTCTCCCTTCTTTGGCGTCTTCTCTCTCTCTCTCTCTTTTTTTTTTTTTTTTTTTATATTTATATATTTATATACATGTTTATATAAATACATATTCATATATCTTGTTTGTGTGTGTTATTTTAAGGGGTAAAAAGGAAAATAAAATAAAATAAACAACAATCATTACAAACAAAAAATCGTCAATAATTCGAGTCAAACTAATCTCCCCCTTTTTTCCTTTCTTTCTTTCTTTATTAAGATATCTTTTTACCTTTTTCTTTCTTTCTTTCTCTATATATACATTATGACTTCTTTATTACCAATTCAACATTATGTTACGCTTCATACAACAGTAAATACAACAGCTCCTACTACTCTTACTTCGAATGTTAAATTAAAACTCGATTATTATAATAAAATAACAAAAAGTACTGGGCCAGAATTACATAAGCTTCGTTATTCATTACCACTACCACCACCACTACCACTACCACTACCATTACCATTACCATTACCATTACCGCAACTCTCAATACAACCTATTGTAACTACAGTAAAACCAAGAAATCCATTTATAAATGGCAATCATTATCATAATAATCGCTTAGCATATGTAGATGCACTTGTTGGTAAATATATATATATATAAATAAATATATACACATATATATATATATATATATATATGTATATGTTTATATATGTATGTATGTAGCAGGATTTATAATATATACATAGATGCAAACGCTCTTGTGATTGAATCAATATGGGAATTATCTGATAAGAACACTAGTAATGTGGTTCCGTTGAGGACATTTATTGAAGAAGTATTGAAAAGATCAAGAACAACCTATTCAACACTACAGACAGCTTTATTTTATTTATTTCGCTCGAAACAAGATATTAAAAGTTATCTTTCAAGAATGCAACAACAAATAACACGATGTTGGGAAGACGCTTATATAAGTTGTGGTAGACGCATGTTTCTTGCTAGTCTTGTTGTAGCTTCTAAATTTGTTCAAGATAAAACATATCGTAACTCTGCTTGGGCTAAAATCGCAGGTTTATCTGTCTCTGAAGTAAATGCAGCAGAGCGTATCTTTTTGAATATCATTGATTACCAACTTTACATTGATCAGCCCGTCTTTGAAAAATGGCACCATATATTAAATGCTCATGTAGAATCAAGAACATCACTCTGTACGTTAAATAGTAGTGATGATATATGGTCTTTTCCTCATGATAAGAAAAGAAAAAGAAATCATCATACACCCCCTTTATCTACATCAGTTCCTAGTTCAAACAATTCTTCACCTATGCAAACGCCTGAAATGAATAATTTCGATAGTTCTTTAAAAAAGAGAAAAATCATATCTTTAGACAATACTTCTTACCATCGTTCATACAATATAAGTCATGTTCGTCAACGATCAACAAAGAAAAGACTTGACTACGCATAAATACATACATATTTCATTATATTTATTATGAAGAAACAATTTATTATATTTACACATATATCCCCTCCCTCATCTCCTCCCTCTCCCCCCCTTTCCATTCTTTATATATATTATATCTTTTATTTTGTTATATATTAGTAGTACGTAATTATTTATATGAATATATTTTATTTTTATTTATTTATATATAAACATACATGCCTTTAATTTGTTATATTCAGCTATTGTATGAAGGTCTATATTCAATATTAGCAATTTCATCTATCTTCTTTATAGTCATCATTTTATTTTGTTTTATTTACTGCTGTTGCCTTTTTATTTGTATCGTTCAATTAGTATATGCTTAGGGACATATGTTATAGTAAAAAAAAAAAAAAATGAATGAGCTTCAATTTATATTATTATCTATAGTTCGACTTTATACAAAGATTCTCGGTAAAATAATTTAGAAAACAAGTAAACCTTCATAAATAGAACATACAAATGATTATTTCATTGAAGAAGACCGAGCGTTAGTACATGTATCAAGTGTGTTTAAGCTAATGCTGATGGTAATATTTTATTTAACAGATATGTGTACATTGCATAGAAATGATATATTTTTTATACTCTCATAGTCTTTCTTTTTATTATATACTTGCATATACTGTCCAACTATATCTTATAATACCCAAGCGGAATAAATACACAGTAATTGGCGTTTGACTTTTGGTTTAGGTAATTATATGTGTAATATAAATTCTGATGAATACAATTTTCTGTTCGTGAGTATAGTCTTTTTTTTTTGACATATTATATACATTTTTATCCAGAACACTTTTTATTAATACAAGTGAGTATTACTGAGTCTTGTCCATGGTGTCCAGCTATCTAAGGCTTTCACTTATAGTCAGTAAATACCTCTTGATTAAGCTTGTCATGCTTTCCATTTTCCAAAAAAAAAAAATCCAAGTATAAACCTATTAAACTGCTAATGATTTTTTTTTTCTATAGTTGATTGAAATGCTGATCAACATCTAAAGGACTATTACGATTCATCAAACAGTGAGAGAAATAGTTGCAAAAGCATCCAGAAATATTAATCCCCTTCAACTTCCAAGCAGAGTCATTTGGAGTAATGCTGTTAATTTTTAAAATTAAATTGTGCTCATCTATATGATTTCTAAATTGGCTTCTTGATTCTGTATACAACAAGGACACAAATACAATTATTCTTTTGCTTTTGACTTGATCACCGGCTTTCCTTTGTCAGGGTTATTTGGTACAAGCACAATATATTGTTTAAACACATGTATTCAGACTTTCTGATGTGATGCAAATGTTTTAGAATCATCATCGCAGTAAGGACACACACTTTTTAGTATACATATACTGAAAAGTCTAATGTGAAAGAACAAAAGAAAATCATAATACATTTATGGTATTTACTGACTGTAAGTGAAAGCCTTAGCTGCATTTGAAACTTTTTTTCTTTTCTTTTTTTTTTTTAATTGAGTGGCTGTCAAATAGTGTGTTTATTTAAATGTTTCAATACAGCAACGTTGTTTGTACTAAAAATAAACTTCATTATAATTAGAAGTATTTGGTTAACTTTTAATAAAATTTTACAAAAAATATTCGTGAAAAAGCATGTAGCAAATTGGGTAAATATTAATGTAATAATTTGGAAATAATCCAATTGCTCATCATATCATCATTTCTTGCACTTGAAGAACAATAACAATATCAATGTAAATACATAGTTTGCCGATGACACTGAATATAATAGCTTATATATCACTCATTATTCTAATTTATTATCTTTAACCTTCTTTATTCTCAATAGAATTTAAATTATAGAGAAGTTAATGTGCTAACTGATTTAGTATTGTATGCTTTTTCCACAAGTTTAAATTTAAAGTTTTTGATGATAAATTTTTTCTTGACTTTAACAAACTAGGGCCCTTCTATCATTTTACTGAAAGCGTCTATCATTTTTAAACGATAAAAGTATTAGTCAGTTAGAAAATAGTAATGATATTATAGACTCATTGTCTGCTTTTGCCTATTTTTTTTTTCTTTTAAAGTTGATCAGGGGAGTATTATAAGCAAGGATAAACGGGATAATTTCAGCATTGCTCAACTGTACTTGTTAGCAAAAGGTATTATAAGTGGCAATAATAAGACTGACAAACAAGCCATCTCAGTATTAAAAGTAATTTGCTCCATTATGTCAGACCAGTTTACCAATGGTTTAGCAAATAGTATATAAATACTACTAAATATGCTGAACGCTGGTAAGTAAAACAGCTAAAAATTTGAAATAAAAAAAAAAATGAATAAAGTATTCCAGTTACACTAATGTAGGAACCATTAGACATAGCATAGAGATTTCTTTTTTAAAAGAAAACATATTCACCCATATTATGAATATATTTTCTCTCCCTAAACAATAACAGTTTGCCTTTCAAATTCTAATTTATTAGTGATTTCGTTGTGAACATATTCATTTGAGCCTTGGTATATTTTTCAATCTAATTTCCCACCTAGTTTTATATTTCCAGAGCAAAAGTTAACTTATCAGTTTTAATATTTCATTTCTTATTAAATATAATGGTTGATATTAATTAAAAAACTGTAAATAAAATACTCTTAAAGCTTCTGTAGATGCTCTTAAGAAAATTAAATGGTTGCTTGAATAAAGAACGAATTTATAAAATATTTTTTACTAAATTGCTATTAAAATATTTACTAATCAATTTTAATCTTTTGCTAATTTATTTGCCATCATTTTTGAAAAAGGTTACCAAAAAAAAAAAAAAGAAAAAATTAAAAGTTTGCCAATGTTTCCGATTTTAGTATACGTTGTCGTCTTTTTTGTATTTCTGTATGTTAAACAATAATAAAATTCTTTCTATTTTTATTTTACTTTTTATTTTTCTTTCGGTTCATTTTTATTGATTAAAAAAGAAAAGAAAAGAAAGAAAAGGAAAAAAAAAAAACAACTCCATATATATGGTAAAAGCCGACTCAAGACGACAACCCTCTTGTCGACGTATAGTTTGGATCGCATATACTAAAATATGTACATTATTTATTCCGGATACATTACTGATTTATTTATCAAATGGACGTCTCACAACAAAAGGTTACCTTGTTACATTAATTGATAATGACTGATTATTTACCATTCTTTAAATATAGCAAGGCGAGAAGCTTGGAGAGAAAAGTTTACTTTGTTCTTAACTTATCTATTAATCGGAGGCCTATTTGGCTTTTGGTTAGAATACATTACAACTTTATTTTGTGATCCTCCAGCAACTTACGATTATTTTGAAGTTTATGCAAATAATTCTAAAATGTCTACTATTAATGGTGAAGTTGTCAACTGGCATCATCTAGGGAATATTTCGGAAATGACCGAACAAGTCAATAAATATCCTCATTACGATCTATCACCCATGTTCCCTTTATTTATGCAATTAAAACGTCCAGCTAATCAAGATTATTATGACAATCAAGTCATTAATAGATGCATTAATGGATTCAACCGTTCTTATCAAGCAGATAATTGGTTACAGTATAAACTTACTCACGATTCTGGCTATTTATACAAAGATAATCAACTTATTAGCTGTCCACTTCCGACTCAACGTAATAAAACTGGTGCACCTTGCTTTTATTCTTTAAATAATCAGCTAGAATATGAAAAATATGGAACAAAAGGAGGTAAAGAAAAATTAAATAAACACACATACACACAAAAAAGGCATTTTGTCTAATTGTTTTTTTTTCTTTAAAGCTCTTAAATTTAATGCTCCTTTTGTATATTCGAATTTTTCTACATTACCTGGCAAGCATGATTTCAATGACCAAGCATTTGTCATATTAGATAATAAAGTATTAGATGTAACGGGTTATCTAGAAGCAGCTACAAATATAGTGCAGTTATCACAAGGCGTCTATTCTCGTTCATTTGCACTTGATCGTATGTTTTTACCACTTGAATTGACTATCCTTTTATTTATTCATTTGGGTGAAGATATTACATCCGCTTTTTATTCTGAAATAGAATATGCAAATGACATCAAAGAATGCCTTTATGCATTATTTTATCATGGCGTTGTAGATGAGGAAACGGATGAAGGCTGTTCTCATGTCAACGTAGCTCTCTGGATAACTTTAGGTTGTTTTCTAATGTACTTTCTATTCAAAATGAATTTGGCAAACATTTCACAACTTCCTTTTATACAACGATTCTTATACAAGTCTGTTCCAAATTCATATGCTATAATGCAAAAGGGGAATGATAGGACCAAGATGGATCGTACTTTATCCAGTTTAAGCAATGGTCGCTATGTATTACCTTATACATTATTCTTTATTCCTTGCTTTGCTGAATCATCCGAAGCACTTCGTCAAACATTTGATTCATTGGCTCGTACCAGCTATCCTGATACCCGAAAACTTTTATTTTTTGTTTGTGATGGCCTGGTCAAGAGTCGTTCAGACTCAAAAGAAACTTATCTTTGTATTTTAGATGCTTTGGGTTATAGTTCAACAAAGGATCCTGAATTACGATCCTACATTTCATTAGGCCAAGGATCGAGACGAATAAATTATGCAAAAGTGTATGCTGGCTTTTATGAATCAGGTCGTAATCGAGTCCCGTTTTTAATGGTTGTCAAAGTAGGTGCACCTAACGAATCATTATCTACAACGAGGGTACCTGGTAATCGAGGAAAGCGTGATTCTTTGTTAATCATCCTTGGTTTCTTGGAACGTTGTATGAATCTTGCTCATAACCGTATTACACCGTTGGAATTTGAGCTCTTTAATCTATGCTACAATCTATTGGGAATTGATCCTAGAGAATTAAAATACATGCTTGTGACAGATGCTGATATTCAGGTACAAGATGATGTTGTTCTTAGACTCGTATCGAGATTAGAGGCAGACCCTAAAATATTGGCTATTAGTGGTCATATTCGTCCAGCAAATCCAGAAGAAAATATTATAACCATGTTACAAATATTTCCATTTTATTTGACTTTTTATTCAGGTATGGCTTATGAAGCCTGTTTAGGAACTGTAACATCGCTAAATGGCGGATTCGCTATGTACCGCCTTTGGTCAGAATCTTCATCAAACCAGCATTCTCTTTACTACTATACAGGCGATCGGGGTAGTATCAGTAATGAAGAAAGTTATCTTAATAATGGAAGTTATGTTCCTATTGCCGTCGACATAAAAACGAATGATACAAATATTAAATTGAAACGATTATACGAGCAACAAAATCACCAACTATTGCCACAAAAATGGCCAAAATTAAGCGATGAAATTGTTGTAGAGGAGGATAGTGGTAACCATCCAAAATCATACAGGTCAAACCAAAGGGGTCAACATTTAAATGAGGATGAAGATAGTAGTAGCAGCAGTGATGATAATATGACAATAGCAACGGAGGGTAATACGACAGTGTCAAACACATACCCGAATAAATTTAGCTATCGACGTCGTATCCGTAAGAAAAAGAAAAAGCAAGAGACATCCGCACCATTTGCTCCAAAATCAAATATTATACCATGCTGTATTCAACCTACTGTCCTACGTGGTCTTGCTGCACTGCGACCTGATACAATGCACACTGAAAATATATTATTATCGGGGGAGGAACAGTATTTTGGTATTATCTTGTTACAATCTAATCCACGACATCGACTTGCGTTTGAACCTGAGGCCATCGCATATGCTACACTCCCTACCAACTTTTTTGCCCTACAGGCTTTGCAAATTCGAAGTCTTCTTGCTGCATTTCATATACAACTTGAATTTCAACATATTGCTAAACATTTAGGTATCATGTATTGGATTGTCTCCTTTACAAAGCTTGTAGATATGATTTTTTCGATGCCTATCATTGTTTATTTATATTCAATCTATATTCGATATTTTAGACGACAGGAATTAGCCTATGCTATCATTGCTGGATCCTTTACTTGCTTAATCACACTTTACATCTTTTATTTTATAACTCGACGTCAATTTAAATATGTGTTATGGTTTGTCATCTATGGCCTCTTTTCCGTCCCTATCTTTGGTGTGTATTTCCCTCTTTTGGCTGCTTGGCGTTCAGATTATGCTAATCGTTGGTATGATACCTGGCCAACACTATTTGGAGGCTATGGCAGTCGATTGCATGGTATCATGATGGACGAAAAAATGGAAAATGAATATACTCTGATAGAAGAAGAGGAGGCAGATGAAATGATCGTTCGAATGCGTCTTGCTGATTTTGAAGTATTAGAAGCTGAAAAAATGGCACAAAGAGAGAAGGAGCAGGCAGAGATGTTAGATGCTAAATTTAATGGATTTACAGGTTATGTAAGTAATAATGCAATTGCAGCAGCATATAGTCATGGTAGTAAACCTTCATGGTCTTCTTCTCGTTTTGATATACCCTTAATACCTACCCCACCACCTCTTGCTCAAGTAAAAGATGGTAAAATCAAACATTCACGATTTGCCTCTGAAGAGGATGCTCGTTTCTTATCCAATTATAATCCTACAGAACGTGAGTCCTCTATTGTTAGTATCTCTAGTAATTCTCATAATCCATTTTTGACTGCTTTGGATAATCCCTTTGATGATATCTATGGTGATTATATACCAGATGGTAGACATGCTCATTCACTTTCGATTGCTGCTGCCTCAGCTATACCTACTGCCGCATCTTCTAACTTTAGTCGACACAAGCAAAGCAATTCACAATCTTCCTATTTCAGTCGATCTTCTCATCAGGCTGATTATTATTATCAACCGCAAGATATGTTTGTTCCCTCCTCTGAAAATGATACTGCGGGATTTAGTATATCAAATAGATTTGTAGCTACCCATCATCGTATTCGATCTCATTCTACCTCTTCAACTACTGCCTATCTACCTCCTCGTCGACTTCATGAAGAGGAAGATGTTCCCTTTACCGATAATCGTTCCATTCATTCCATTGCTACTTCTCTTTCAAATTCGGTCATCAGTCTGGAACGTGATGCACCTATATTAGAGAGCCAAACAGATAAGTCTCATAGTTATAATAGCCCTCATCATATCCTTGGTGGTAGACAACGTCGTCCATTATTCCACCCTCTTTATGAAGGTAGAAGCGCGCCTGTACATTCTAAAATTATGTCAAATCAATAATAACAATTAATAATTTATTATATCTCTCTCCCTCCACCATTTTTTTTTTTCATTTCCCCTATACATTTATGTAACTCTTGTAATACCATATTTCTTTTGTTTTTGCTTTTTTTTTTTTTTTTTTTTTTTTTTTTTTTTTTTGTACTATTATATAATATATACATGTATATAGAACAATAAAACCTTTGTTTTATTTTTTATTTTATACATATATTAATTTATACAAGATACATACATACATATACATATGTCTATATATAACAAACAAAGAAAGAAAGAAAAAAAAAGTTTTTTTTTTTTTTTTTAATAACTTCTACCGAAAAGCATAAAGTGCTTAGCGTCGTGGTCACAGGCAACACATTTAGTTACACCAGGAATAATAGGATCTTCAGTAGGTTGCTTGAATGGTTTACAAAGGGATTTAGCACCCATAGAAGGAGCGCGTTCATCCTCTTCCTCATCTTCATTGGCAACACGAGCAGAACGTTCCTTGATGTCATCTTCACATTCCATACGATCACACCAGGGGACCAAGAGCAACTTCTTGTTGTTAAGGTTAGGAACAAAGTCATCCCATTTAGAGACACGAACAATGTTTTCTTCCATCTTCTTGGCTGCTCTTTCATACATTTCACGTTGAATTGTATCAAGAGACTCTCTGACACCGGCCTCTAGGTTATCAAGGGAGATAGGGAATTTAGCACCCGTATCACGACGAACACACGTGACTTGATTCTTTTCCAAATCCTTAGGACCGACTTCAATTCGAAGAGGAACACCACGCAATTCCCAGTGATTAAATTTGAAACCTGGGGTATAGTTTTCACGAAGATCGGCCTTGGACTTGAATCCAGCCTTCTTAAGACGGCTGGTAACGGCTTGACAGGCATCAAAGATCTTGTCTGATTCCTCCTTGGTTGTCTTGACGGTTAAACCACAAGGAATGATAATAGTTTGAATGATAGCAACACGAGGAGGCAAGACCAAACCTTTATCGTCACCATGAGTCATGACCATGACACCAATTGTACGAGTGGAGATACCCCAAGAGTTTTGCCAGACATGAATCTTCTTGGCTTCTTCACTTTCATTTGCAGGAGCAGAGGGATCTTCAACAGTGATATTAAACATTTTACTGAAGTTTTGACCAAGACAGTGAGAGGTACCACCTTGAATGGCACGACCTGTGGCGGGAATATAACCTTCAACGGTAGTCGTATAGTAACCACCAGCAAACTTTTCCTTTTCAGACTTGACACCCTTAACAACAGGTAAAGCCAACAAGTCACTATATACTTGTTCATAGAGATCCAAGATTTCCTTCACTTCCTTATCAGCATCTTCCAAGGTTAAATGAGCAGTATGACCTTCTTGCCAAAGGAATTCACGAGTACGGAGGAAGGGTTGAGGGTTTTTAAATTCCCAACGAACAACAGAACACCATTGATTAATACGGAAGGGCAAATCACGATGAGAACGAATCCATTTAGCAAAATAAGGATAGATGACAGTTTCAGAAGTAGGACGAATGGCAATAGGTTCTTCAAGATCACTGCTACCAGCCTTGGTAACCCAAGCAACTTCAGGAGCAAAGCCCTCGATATGGTCCTTTTCACGCTGCAAAACACGGTTAGAAACAAACATAGGGAAATAAGTATCCTCAATGCCCATTTCGGTAATAGCTCCATCAAAGAAGTTGGTAATTTCCTTCCAAATATTATAAGCTAAAGGACGAAGAATATAACAACCAGAAACATCATAATATTCTAACATTTCACTCTTGGTCAAAACTTGTTGATACCATTTTGGGAAATCTTCATCTTTCTTACAACCAAGGCCCATTTGATTAAACTCTTCGGAGGAAGTGACTAATGTATATATTTATATTCATGTATAAAATAAATAAATAATAGAAATAGAGATGTTAAATCAATTTGTATATCTTTTTTGAACATATTTTCCCCTTTTCTATTTCTTTAACTAGTTCGAATATCCCTCTCCCTCTCTCTCCCTCTCTCTCTCTTTTTTTTTCCTCTATTATCTTTTCAATGTAGTACTAATACTAACCTTCTTTCTTAGAAGCCTTAGGGGCTTTAGCAGGCTTCTTAGCATCAGTAGCAGGAGGCTTAGCAGCAGCCAATTCCTTGAAATCAACTTCAATAAACTCCTTGTTAAGGGAAGCAAAATAAGACTTCAATTCCTCAACAGAAACGAAAACAGTCTTATCAGCAGCAGAAGGATGGAATGCTAATAAAGTAGAGGCAGGAAGATTCAAAAGAGTGTTGTCAACAACAAGATGAATCAATGAAATATCTTGAACATTCGACAAAGCAAAAGGAGAAACAGAATCTTTGTCGACACCAAAGGTGGACTTGAGCAATTCCTCATTGGCAAAACGACAATCTTTCAATGAAAGCTTTTTACCAAGGGCAGTAGCATTTGTCTCTGTAGATTCCAGAGCAATTACAACAACAGGTGTAGTGGGAGCAGTCTTAGCAGTCTTAGGCTTGAGAATCAAAGTTTTAGTCATTTCAAATGTCTCATTATTGTTACTCAAAGCTTCAGCCCATGATTTATTGTCATTGACAGCAACATGGGAAACGGTCTTTGGTGTAATTGAAAGCTTAGAGAGTGATTCCAATACTGCGTCACAAGTTGCCATTATTCCTTTTTTTTTTTTACACTTAAAGACCACAAAAAAAAAACTTAACTTTGTGAAAAAAAAGGGGGAGGAGAATAAAAGGATAAAAAAAAAAAGTTCATAAAAAAAGGAAAAAAAATTTTGTTTGTGGCGGAGTCAAATTCATAAGAACCTGTTAAAAAGAAAGTTTTTTTGTATGTCAAGATTCATAGTATGCGTTTCAAATTTTTATGTTTAAATTTTAAACTGTACAGTTAGCGTATTCATTATAAATAAACTACTTTATTACGATTGATTCTAATACTATTTTACATATTTGTATTCTAAGACGCGTTATAACTTGTAAGTTCAGTTTAATACTTACAGGCTCTAACAAAGATAATTTTTGAATAATGTCGCTTAACACGATAAAATAAGATATTTAAATACGCTATTATACGTTATTATAAAATATTAAATATGCCTAAAAATCGGAATAACACTTTTATTGTCCTATTTTTTTTTCCAGATAAAATTTGAGACAACTTGTGTAAAGATCAATTAATTTAGAAAAAAAAATTGCTTATCTTTAAACAATTAATGTTTGAAAATCAGATCAAAAATATTGTTATCTATTAGTAATTCTGGTACTTTATCCTTGGAATGATTTTTTTTTGTTGCTATTTGACATTGTTTGCATGCTTGTTTGTTTATTGCCAAAAAGGAAATTTTGGTTGAGTTTTATAGTATGTTACCAGATGAATCACAATTACAATATAAGTGTCAAGCTTCGTGACAAAGAAAAAATAAAGTAGATATAATAGTATATATTTATTTTTTTATTTTATTTTTTTTGCAGTTTTATATCGTTTATAGATACGTTTTTTTTTTTTTTTTTTTTTTTTTAGTTTTATTCAAAAAAACTGTGATATAATAAACAGATTTACTATGAATATTTATAAAGTCTACGTATATTAATGAATATACATCTACACATTATTTATAAGAATTCATACACACATCCATATATACACACATACACACATACACACATACACACATACACACATACATACTAAACAGGATTTATTTTATTTTTTTGTTTTACACAAGTATATTCATTCACTATTATTAAACTAGGTTGTAAGTTTTAATATGGAGTTTGGGTTTCATCTATATTTTAATTATTCAATAAAAGAAAAACTATCGACAGTACGCTCCTTAATAACCATAGAATCTTCTTTAGTTAGTTGATCTATGAGTAGTGTACAATGATTTTGATTTAATGCTGTATCTGAATTATTCTGGACTTGTTGATCAAAATATACATTCTTATGGTTGACATGATGTGGGTTGTATATAGGCAAACTATCATCTTCAAGTACACTTTCGTATGTAGGCAGTGATTCGATACAATTTTGTGTTTGCATACATGATAAGGCTGTCAAGTGAATAGGAAGTCCAATACAAATAGTGATTGCATCATTGACATAAAATAGGATTCGAATAAAATGGCGTATCTTTAAAAAAGGCGACTCAAAAGACCAATTTAAATCATTGATATCTGTACTCCCTAATTCTGAAGTATAACAGTTTTTTAGAGAAATTGAAAAAAGTATTTCTGAATTGAATGGTATTTTGGAATAGAATGAAGTACTGCTTGAGCTTAAAAGTCTCTTCTTGGATTTAACACTAGTACATAATAATAAATATTATTTTATATGTATGTATATATGTATGTATGTATAGATCTATTTCTCTTTACCATGAAGCATCATAGAAATAGACTTCTTCTTGTATTATATCTATTCTGATTTTACTTATCTCTAGATTCGTTCTCAAAGGATTAAAAATTCCTTTAAAGACGACCGTATCTCCTAGACAAGCCCATTCAGGTACTTTAAATAACCACGCTATCAATCTTTCTCGACTTCCTTTCATTTTTATACTGGGAATTTGAGGAGTTAATGATCCTATAGATACTTCTTTGGATAATAATGATTTTATAACTTGAATTGTCTTTTTAACTGTTGCATATTTCTTTAGTTTTAACCTGTTAAACAATTTGACTGAGACAGTATGATTTACTTGACAAAATTTAGATTTAAAAGATGGAATTATTCGATCTGGAATTGATATGTCAAAGTCTTGAAGAAGAAGAAAAGATGAATAAGGAATACGTGTATAAATTTATGTTCTTACCTAATTCTGTTACACCCATTTTTAATATTATATTCTTCATAAAGATTTGATTAGATTTAAATAAAAGTTTAGAAGCTTTTATTTTTTTTGTTATTCCATAATGATATTTGTAATTAAGATCAATTTGAGCTTTGTAGCAGATTTCAATTTGTGACAGAAGAACAGCTTGAGTAGAAATTATTCTTAATTTCCCCCTTAATTTTTCATTTTGTCTCCTTGACTCTTCAATGAAAAAAATTGTATCATTTGGCAAAATAATTTCTACTGTTGTAATCATTTCTAACACACACATATACTAGAGAAAGAATAGTCGAGTATTTATAATACTTGGTAAGAATTGAATGATGGAAAATAAATAAAAAATGAGCATTTTTCTAGAAAATTATATCTTTCTTTATAGATTTAATTTTAATTTTTCTTTTTATTGCAACTTTTAATTACATTGTTAACTCTAGTGTGAAATTAAATGCTGCCTTACTTGACTTACCCCTCTGAATACTCTTATGATGATTCATTATCCTCTTATATCATTCCCCTTTTACTTTCACCTCAAACTCGTAATATTCGTTTTATTAGTAGTAGACTATTTTCTAAAAAAAAAGAAAGTAGTGCATTGACTAAAAAAAAAAAAAAAATAGATAATTCACCTACACTATAATATGTTCTCAAGGCTTAATAAATAGTCATCTACATGAATAATTATAAGTTTATTCATCATTATATAGTCTTATATCAAAATACTAAGCTTTGTGGAATATCATAAAATAACACAATTCTATCTCTATTATAACATGCTCCAGCTTTTAATAGTCTGGGTTTGGATAACAGGTAAATTCCTTCATTGTTAGCGTCATGGAGATATGAAAGAAAATATTTTTTTTTTCTTATTCTTCTTCTTCTTTTTCTGAATTATCATGTCAATAATACAAGTAAAAAAACAACTAGCTGAGGCCATTGATATTTATGATCGCTTGAATTCTGAATTAAATAATACTAAAACTAATCTTCAAAATTATTCAGAAGAACAATGGCATACTCATCTGAGCTCTTTAGGGTTAGAAGCCGTAAATAAACATAATATTTTTAAAATACATGTATGTATATTAATATCTTCTTTTTATATATATATATAAGGCAAAACTAATTCAATCAAGTCATAATATGAATAATGATAATTTAATAAATTTAATAAAGAGAAAACAAAAAAAGTTGATTAGACATGCCACATGGAAAAAAAGAAATAAAAAACGAACTCGACAAGAAATGAAACAGCGTTTAAAGAGGAACGAAAAGTGGATTAAAGAAATTGAATGGAAAGTAACCATGTCACCTTCATCAGTTGCTTTAGAACTGTCTCAGAAGGATGATAAATCCATGGAAATTAAAGAGAAAGATAAACTTGCGGCAAAGATTAAAGAATTATCGAAAAAATTGTCTAAATTAACCCAATTAAGAAACTTACGAAGAAAAAGATTAGAATCAAAAGGCCATTTTTTTGCTGATGAAGGCAATCAATTTTTTAATCAAATAAAAGAATGGAATGAACAACAAAAACATGAAGCAGCTCCAGAGAAAAAACAACTTATTATACATCAAGATGATGTATGGAGAGACGCTCCCATTGATAAAGAAGCTTATAGCTATTGGTGCGAAGCAGATCAATCATTAGAAGCACTTTTAAAAATACGTAGATTATGGGATCAATATATTTTATTTAATTCATCTAATGACTTGGAAGATGAAAGACTATATAAAGTTCCTCCTACATTCCTTACGCCTTCGCCGCCTGCTAATTTGATATGGGCATCTTATTTATCATCACAATAACTCGTTATCTATCATATATGTGTCAGATAAAGAATATAATCTCTCTTTAATTTCGGAAAGATTATCCCCAGTGCTATTTTGTATATTAATTTCATCTAATTCTTTCAAAAGTTGTTCTGTAGTTGCTTTTAAACCAGTTCCAGATTCCAAATGAGTCAAAATGGGGATAGATTGAACAGGATCTTGTCTATTTAAAGATGATGTAATGTAGCCATCTTGATTCATGTTGGATGTAAAGAATTGAGGAAACGAATTTGGAAGTGGAAAAGCGCTTTCAAGACTAAAGCGAGATTGTAATGGATCATTTTCATCTTTAAAACCAGAATAAAGCTTTTCTAGATATTCATATTGATTATTCCAGTTTGAAGGCAATCCTCTTGCTACAACCACTTCACCATAGACATCAACTGACTAAAGCAATATTAATAAAAATACTATACACATACATATTTATATATATATATTACATTGGCTTTACCTTATGTGTCGTCTGTTCCAAAAAAGATAAAACAGGCTTTAATTGCCTATTGCTTATACAATTCTCTAATGTATTACTATAGCCTTTTTCAGATATAGGTAAAGGAAATGACATAGATAAAGAAGCTAATCGAGTATTTCGTGCCCAACTTAATTTATTAATTGCATCTGAAATTGTGATTGAATTATTTTTTAATCTATATGGCAATGAATTAGTCTCAACAGCAGCTGCTATGATTGCACTGGTGTGATATCTTGAAGTTTCATTAAAACGAATATAAGGTGATAACCCACACTGTTGTATAGCAGTCTGAGTTGGCGTATAAATAGGTATATAGATTGATGAAAGATCTGTAAGATGTGCCATACTCAAAATCCTATTTAACGTTACTATTTGTTTCTATAATAATAAAGTATTCGTTAATTTCTTTTATATACATGTATACATCTATATATGTGTATACAATCAAATAAGTCTCTCTACTTACATTCATCCTGTAATGAGCATAAGAATCACTTAAGCCATATGTTAATATTGGTGTCTTTGCAAATTCATCTCGAATATCATTTAAAAGTCCTTCTGTAAAACCTCCAAAAGCATCATCTACATCCGTCATGATTTGGAAACCTTGAAGATGATCACATTCTTCTACGAAAAATCTAAAATTCTCTTCAAAACTCTCTACTTCTTTTTCATTATCTTGGTAGGATTGCTTGCCAATCATATACTTATCAAAAGGAGTCAAATCATTATTCATTTGATGTGTGACAATAGAATTTATAGATCGGGGATGATAGTAAATTCGATTATAATCTGACCAATTGTGCACAGATACATCCAATTGATCAACAACATCCAAATCCATGTTAGTATCGTTTTCTGATTCCATACGGTCTAATTCTTGCTGATAGCGATTCTTTTTTATACTTCTGTCAACTCTATTTATTCCTTGCTCCCAAAGTACTTGGTTCATATTTGTATCATCTCCATTAAAAAACTTGTTGTATTTTTGCATAGATCCAAATCCACCTTTGAGATCATATATTAAAGTTCGAGGTGTATATGTTAGAACTCCCTATATAAATAAATGTAAGTTGTTTTATTAGCTATTTTTTTTTTTTTTTTTTTTTTTTTTTAAAAATAGCTGATGTTTTACCGAAGGAGATTCTCCTTGTCTATAAAACACGTTATGATCAATTTCATTAATTTTATTTAAATCCTCATAATTAAAGTATTCTTCCTGACATTTAATAAGTAACTATTATTAACTTTATCAATTATGTATGCTACCTGAGCATTCCAAAAATGAGTTCCAACATGATTTGCCAACGAGCCTAATTGAATTGTTACAATTTCACGCATTCTTAAATATATAATAAAAATAAGAAAGAAAAAACAAAGCTTTTTTTTTTTCTGTATTTTAATAATTATCCCGACGACGGGGCCTTTTATTTTGCTTTGCTTTTAAAGTGTCTTCTGGATTAAATTGAGAGTTATACGATCGTTTCCTATCATCTGTTTCTACCTCATCTTCTAAATAGAGGCTCTGTAGTCTCGCCTTTTCATTTCTTTCTCTCTCAAGTCTTCTTGCTCGAAGTTCTTCTATCGTTGGCGAATCCGATTCTTTTCGTACATCCTTTTTATCTTTTCGTTTTTTATCATGTCGATGCTTATGCTCTCTTTTATTCTTTTTTTCTTCTCTCTCTTTCAAAGTTTTAGTAATGTAATGTAATGGATCATCGTTAATCTTTACTGGATCTCGTTTATGTTTTTTATTACTCTTAAATGTATAAGGATCTAAATATTTTTCTTCCTTTCGATCTTTTTTAACATACCAAGGATCGTCTTCTGTTAAAGTATTTGCATTAGTTTTTTTTTTTCTAAAAAAAAAAAAAAGAAAATACCTTTTGTTGCTCCTTTATCCAGATACATTGTAATTTGACGCTCCCATTTCTTTTCTTTTTCATTCTTTTCAGCTTCATGCTCTTCATTATTGCCTTTATTTTCTAGATCTTGAAATAGATTAACATGTTGAATTTTTTGATCATCAGCTGTGTTATCTCCTTGTTGTAATAGCTTTGATTCAGCTTTCTTTCTTAATAAGGTGAGTCTAGCTTCGCTTTCCTATACCCACAAAAAAAAAAAGAATGTTATTCAATTTAGAGAGATGAATTCAGAATTCAATAACTTACAGCTAAAAGAGCACGTTCTTGTTTTTTCTTTGCTTCTGCTTCTGCTTCTGCTTCATCTTTACGTACTCTTTCAATATTAGCCTTATTATAAACATGCCAGCTAATCAGTTTTATTAGATAAATACAATTGTGAATAAAATGAAACATGATTTTACCTTTTGTGATGTAAGATGTTCATTTTACTTGAATTTTAAAATGAAAAAAAAAAAAAAGAAGCAACTATTATGTATTAGTAGTAAACGGCTTTTAAAATTAAATTTCAAGCAATAATGCTACTGTTTTTTAACTTGAGATTGAGACTAATAAATAAATAAATAAATAAATAAAAAACCAGAGAAATATTGACGCATTCCATAAGCTATAAAACTAGATACTGTCAATTTTGCTGAGCAGCTTCTTTAGGACTTGTTATCATTGCAAGTTTATAAAGAATATATTCAATACAAATCATTGATTACCTTATTTTTATTTCTTTGTTGTTCAGTTCATTTTACAAATATCTCTCGCAATCTAATACGCAAAAGATTAAAACTTGCAGTTTATATTTGACAATTCTTTTCTGCTTACGCTGATTTCAAAAAAAAAAAAAAGCTACGTTTTTCAAGTCAATACATATAAAAGAAAAATAAAAGAAGACAGTGTCCAGCAATTACTATACAAATGGATAGTACTGGGACTTAGTTTCTTTTTCATTCAAAAGAAGCAAATAGATAAGAAATTTAAGGCTCACTTTCAATTGAATGATTTTATAAATGAAGAAATAAAGACATATTTTCTCACCTGTGCTTGAGACTCTAGAAGAAACAACACACACACACATATATACATATATAAATATACATACATGTTTATATACATATATGCATATGTATGCTGGCTATGTTAAAAGGAGTAAATATATCGACCAATTAAAGGTGAAGAAAGGATTTAGAACTAGGGAAACAGAGATACATAAACCTAAAGCGGCCAGCTAATAACAGTACTTGCATTATCTGTCATCTACTCTGCTTTTTTTTTTTTTTTTTTTTTTTTTTTGACTTCATATCGTATCATTATCAGGAAAAGCAAAGGATCGAAGATGAGATTACTAAGATTTTTCTTGATTATAAAAGAAGATATATCAATCTCTAAAAGAAGAAATACACAGCAGCCAAAGAAGAAAAGACAAGAGAATGAGAAAAGAAGAGCAAGGGCATAATGATTATCTTAAAATGACTTGATAATTTTACAGTTAAATATATCCTTCTAATTCACTCTTAGCAATAGAGGAAAAAGGTTCTATTTTCTGGCAGGTTACTAAAATGTTCGCTCCTTCTGAATTATTTTCGAATGATAGTATGAAAGGGAAAGATTAACTCCCCCATCAGAAAGGGGGAAGGGTTAATAGTACAACAGAATATCTTATATAAGAAGTTGTAACAAAAAGGATGCTAGAGAGGGAGGGGACGACATTTATAGTCGATATAAACAAGTTCCAGATGCCAATGATACAGTATCTTTGCACAATCTCTTAAAAAGCAAAGAAATTGGGAATGAATACTATTATTAAAAAAAAATAGGTTTGAAGTATGTGCTTATCAAACATTACAGAGTATTTTTTTTTCCCATAAAAAAAAGGAATTAACAAATTTGAGATGTTACTCTATTATTGAAGAATTTAAAATTTGCTGTATACTTTATCAACTAGATGTAAATGCTTTCAAGAATATGATTTTCTATCTTTAATATATTTATATTACCAGTATTAAAGTAAGTCATTAAAGCTTTTTTTTTTCTTTAACCACTTCTTAATTACTAGTTTCTTTGAGCGAGTAATCTATATTACTCTCTATAAATTATAGAGTAGACGTGCATCATAATAATAGTGCTTAAAATTGACTAATGGCATTTACATTACAAATATTTTTGTAGGAATTACTATTAATTTAAAGTATTTTATACCCAGCTTTTCTTTTTTTTTTTACTGTTAACTCCTTAAAAAAAAAAAACTACATATTGCTGCATCATGTTGTCTTTATACAGTAGTAAAGTAAACACACTTCTTAAAGTAAAGCTTATACTTTAGTTTTATATTAAACCTTGATGATTTATATTCTCATTCTTTCTTTTGTTTTTTTTTTTATGTTGCTGTTTATATAAAATAGGCTTTACTTTATTTTATTTTTTTTCTTGTGAACGTTTTTTTCTTTTTTTTCCCCTCTTCTCCTGAATGTCTATTTCCTTAACAGGTTTATTTATTTATTTTCTTATAAATACAAGTTTTACATTTTCTTTATCTTTCATTTTCTCTTTCTCTTTTAGTCGAAAGAAAAATGTCTGAATATTCCTTATTTCATCAGAGGTCACATTCTGTACCTATTAGACATACATTTACAACGTAAATATGTAAAATATATATATACATAATAGGTTGCATGTACTCATTTTTATACGTGTATTCAAGTGATAATAATTCAACATTAAATTACGGAACGGAGAATCCTCGAACGTTTAACTTGAAAAAGTATAATTTCATAAATAATATACATACATACATAGTTTATATTAAATTATATATATTTATATGTATATATGTATGAAGGCCACCACCATTAAAACATGATATATTACCTTCGCCTTCATCAATAACGACAGGACAAAATATCTTACAATTTCCTTCTAGTGAAGGCTTTCAACCTTTTCCTGTATCAAAGTCTTTTCATCTCAATACACCTTCTTCTTTGGATGAAGAAGAGCAATCCCCTTCCAACTTTTTTTGTGCACCAAAAAATATTTTGAATATAGTTGACTATGACAAAAACACAATCAAGTATGTTTATAAACAAGAGCCTATTCTCTTTATTTTATTTTATTTTATTTTATTCATTTTTATTCATTTATTTTATAATAATAATAATATTATTATTATTTTTTTTTGCTACAGTTATCCAGTCATGTTAAATTGTAAAATGGATAGAGGTTTCTTTTTTACACAATCACATTGGACCTGTTATCGTAGAAACTATTTTCAAGTCACTTCTTCTTTAGTCATCGCTGGACACTCTGATCAAGTTCGTTATGCTTTACAGTTGGATTCATCAGATAGAGCGATTATTCATCAATTCTCAATAAGCCTCAAGGCATGTGCTCTCACGGATCCTTTATTAGAGAAACAGAGTCTCATCAGACCTATCACTCTCATTCAAATGACAGCAAAACGTGATAAGGGACCTCAAAGGGAACCGCCTACGTTGGCCATTACGCCCTCAGCGGATTCGATAGAACAACATCTTTGTGTCACCTTTGAACGTTTACAGTTTAAAGTCGCTACTGCCAATAATGGGAAACGTAAAGCGTCTCAACAATACTTCCGCTTAATATTTCAATTAATAGCTCAATTAAACGATGGTAGTGAACATGTTGTATCTGAATGTTATTCGTTACCGTTAGTTGTCAGAGGTCGAAGCCCTGGCCACTATGCCTTTGGTGGACAAAAGCGACTTACTGCTACTGGAGAGAAAAAGAAGAAGAGGATGACGATGATGATGATGATGCATACAACAACAACAACAACAAAGAATGAGAAGAAAAGAGAAGAATCTAATAAAGATACATCATCCTTGATTCATTCTCATTGTACCTTTAACTCTATTATAGAAGAAGGTGAAGAAGAAGAAGAAGGAAATCAACACAATAATGAAGTTTTAGCAACATCAAACTTACCTTATTCACAACAGCAACCTGTATTAATGAACGAACACTTGACTAACTTTCATACTCGTTCCCAAAGTGCAAATAGTTCAGAATTCTATGAAAGGCAACAACAGCAACAGCAACAGCAACAACAACAACGTGGTGCTATGATGAAATATCATTATCCTCATCAACAACAACAACAACCTATACTGAATTCACATAGTGCTAATCATATCTTGTTTGATCATCAATATGACACTGTGGCTGAAGGAAGATCGTTAAGAATGTGGCAAAACTATCATCCAAGAACAGATTCTTATCCACAAAATGATCATCATCCTTATTATAATAACAATACAGCAACATTATATCAACATCATTCTTCCTGGGATACTGATGATGATAGTCAATTTATCAAACAACAAGAAGACCAATTACATCAGCAATCATCATCAAAATAATTAACACATTCTCTCCTTTATCGCTTCCTCTCTCTCTCTCTCTCTCCTTTTTTTTTTTTTTCACTATGATATAAACCTCTTGTTTTTCTTTTTTTTTCTTCCTCCTTATATAAATATACTTAAACATGTATAATGCATACATACATGTATTAACTCTCCTCCTTTTTATATTGTAACACCAAGTTATTATTCATAACTTTATTAAAATAAATAAAATATGTGTGTATACTTTTAAATAGTTTTTAATTCATCGCATACCCAATCTTTACTTTGCATTTGAATTAATCTTGATAAGGCTCTTTGAAATGCAAATGCTTCCTCTTGACCTGTAAATAACGGGGACGAAACATCCGAGACATCTAACGCGTCACGCATGGCACGCATTTCATCCTCTATACTCTCTTTGCCTTCCTCGGCGTTAAATATCTCCATTATATCATTTTCCGCGCTGGCGATAAGTGTCACATGAGATTCATACATGGCATCAATAAACGTGATAAATCGTCTCGCTTCAGCTCGATGTTTCATCGTCATTCGAGGAATATCGGTTAAGATGACGGTATGGAAATGCTTGACGATTTCTAAATAGTCAGCTGCACTCAACGGTTGAGCACATACATCAGCGAACCGCATCTTGGCCACACCATCGACTTGTTCAGGGATCCTCAAGACACGTGACAGAAAATGCAAATCCAGGGGGGTCATCTCTTTACCACGCGTTAACCGTTCTGTCAATGTCTTGATTCTCTGACTAGTCTCTGCATTTAAAGGATGAAAATAGACATGCGATCGTGCCCTCTCCATCTTACGATAATCCATACCCGAGTCCAAACAGAGGACATCAGAACGTGCTAATAAGAGATCAATACAAGGTAAAAAGGAATTACGTTGGATACCATTCTTGTAGAGCTCGGTTGGGTGTCGATTCGAGGTCGTCACCAACACTACCCCACGTCGAAAGAGTTCCTCAAATAAGTTACGTAAAATCATCGCATCCGCAATATCTGTCACTTGAAATTCATCAAAGCAAAGTACATAGGCATCTTTCACCAAGTCGTCTGCAATAGGTGAAAGTGGTTCAGATAATCCAGGATATCGTGTCTTGATTTGATGAATACGTTGATGAATATCCAACATAAAGGCATGAAAATGAACTCGTCTCTTCCTTGAAATAGACAATGTATTAAAGAACAAATCCATCACCATCGTTTTGCCTGTACCCACATTACCATAAATATAAAGAGATTTGGGCACATTTAGATCTAGAGATAATAAAATAGTGTCCTTTTCTTGCTGTTTTCCAAACTTGAACCATTGACTCCACTATATGTTATGTTCAAGTGAGTACATCATATATGTATATATGTATATGTATATATATACATTTTACTATTCGTAAGGAATAAGTTCCTCTCTCTCTCTATATATATATATATATATAACACTTACAATGGTTGATTTTTTCTTTTGATTATTATAAACTTTAGGTTGGTAACTTTTAAGTTGATGCCATAATTTATCTAAATTCTCAATTACATGCTTTTGATCAGGATCAGATCTTACTAGACCTTGTTGAACAATGTCATTGTATTGACTGATAGGAGACACTAATTAAAAAGAAATGCAGATGATAAATAATAGAAATTAAAGCTGATAATTATTATGTATCCATATATATATATATACATATAGGTTACCATTGCGTGGTATATTTTTATTATTATTATTTACATTAGCTCGTTGTAGACTGTCCTGTAAACTATCATCATTAGCCGTGAGTGTTGACTGATGTTGCTTGGTCAAATAAATAATCGGCAATTTTGTTATTATTTTCAAGGTGGAATTCGCTTGAATCTGTCTAGATAATGCTCTAGAGAATAGTCGAAGCATCTAGTTTATGCTATTATAGTACAATTGTAGAAATTGTAAGTGAAAATGTATATAAATAAACATGTATATTTTTTATACAGATATAAATGGAAAGAGTCGGTTAATTGTTGTTCCGTTTTGGTTTTATTTTATTCTTTGTCACATGTGCTACCAAATGGTGGAACCAATCAAATAATAGTAATAATAAAAAGATACTCTCTCGCAGAATGCATTAACAAATTCTCTTTAACCCAGAACGAATTTCATGAGATTAAGTGTAAGGAAGAAAAAGAAGTAATACAAGTCAATGCATTTTGATTGTTCTCTCTCTCTCTCTATGCATATAAGAATGGAAGAAGTAACATTCCATAAACTTCTCGAGTCTTTCATTTATAAACTTGTTAACACTATCAGAAAATAATAGTATCCCATCTTTACCGTCTTCTTTCCATTAGCAGAATCCTTAGTAGTAGTAGTAGTAGTAGTAGATATTTCTTTGTTTGCTCTTTTATTAAAAAAAATTCTACAATGTTTTATTGACCGCACAATACAAAGAGAAACACTTTTTATCATACTATTTGCTCTATTTTTACTTTTAATATAGGCATTTATAAATCACTTCAACATGGTACCATACTGTATATAAGTTATACATATTATATACGCTTTATTATAAGTATAGATTATTAAATATTAATTTATATGCTATTTACAATAATTAAAAAAAGAAAAAGCCATATTCCTTCTATCCAATCATGGGCTATTACTAGAAGGAGAAGCAGCAGCAGCAGAAGAAGAAGAAGAAGAAGATGATGATGATAAAGTTATCTTTCTACGCTTTTTAAATAAACCTTCTTCCAATTCAAATAAATCGGTTTGTTTCCCGTCTTCTTTTCTTATTGCATCACTTTCAACAATTTTATGAAATAATGCATTCTAAATACAAAGATCGTTAATTTATACTGCTTTATTCCTGTTATCCCTGGTTTACCTTTTTGTTCAAGATGCTATCCATTAAACTATCTTCAATTGTATCCTTTATGACTACTGTATGAATATATGTTTCTTTTAATTGGGTCATTCTATGAATACGTGCAATAGCTTGATCCATGGTAGCTATAACAACAACAACAAAAAATAATGAATCTAACTTTACTACTTCAATCAAGTCGGTGTTTTAAAATTATGAATGTACCTGGATTCCACCATCTATCAAGAATAATCATATGATTGGCTCTCTGCAAATTTAAACCTACACCACCTGCCTTTAATGACATGACTAATACTCTGATCTTTGAATTATGATTAAATCTTTGTAAAGCAATTCTACGACTGTAATCGGACATGCTACCATGATCTAATCATGTTGAATTAATAAATAACATAAAAAATAAAATAAAATAAAATAAAATAAAATAAAATAGATACTAACATATTTCAAAAGGAATATGTGCATGATTTAACATTTCAACAATCTTTAAAATAACGTCAACAAACTATAAAAAGTAGAATGAGTCCATGTGCAGCTAACACATGTATTTTTTTTTCTTTGTTTTAGTTTTACCTGAGATACAACAACAATTTTATCAGAAGAATTGGAAGAAAGAAGTTGTTTCAAAAAGTTAATTAACCAAGTCACCTTTGTTGAATGCTTTATAAATTTTAATTTTTGCAATTGGTTTAAATCAATAGGTTCTTGCAAGTTTCCAAATTGATCACTATAAATATGTATATAAAAAAAAATTATGATTCATAATTGTCCTCCCCCTTTCTAATTATAAACAAATTACTTTACTAGTAACTTTCAATAATTTCTAATGCTTGCTCATATTCTGATGCTTCATCATAGTAGTTTCTTTCATAAGGAATAGTTTCTTCATTTCCTTGAATGTGCTTTATACAGTCTTCTGTGATTCCAGCATGTGCCATTGGAATTAAATCAGGAAATTTTTCAATCAAAATCATATGATGACCGCATACTAAAAGCAGGTATATGTCAATACATATCTTTCTCTTTCTCTCTCTCTCTCTTTCTCTCTTTTTTTCCCCCCTTTCATTTGCTTTTTACCTTGTTTTAATCTCAAGTAAAGAATCGCAGATGAAATAACATGATGATTATGATCCCCTTTTGATTTTATAAGTGAAATTTGATAATAAAGTAATCTCTCCAAGTAATCATAAAGTGCTCTTTCAGGTGGTGAAAATTCAAGTGTGATACGTTGCTCTTGTCTTGGTAAAATCGTTAATTCTTTATGTAAAACTGACTTTGTTCTTCTAATCATATGTTTTTTTAATAAATCCGTAACATATTGTATTTCATTTTTACGTCTTTGATCTAATTCAATACCCAAGAACTCGAATATAGGATGTAATTCAGTTGTATCATTCTAAAAAAAAAAGAAAAAGAAAAAGGGAGAATTGATTGGATTATGAACTAAAATAATGAAAGAATATAGTAAATGTACCTGAAAGGGTGTACCAGTCAAACACCATTTATATTTTCCCTTTAGTGTAGTTACAGCATGAGCCAACAAGGTTCTTGCTCTTACTTTATGTGATTCATCTAATGATAAATAATCAGATACAAGCCAATTTTATTAGTTTTCATTTCCTTCATTTACCAAGTACAATACGATGCCAATCAATATCAAATAAAGGTGATTCATCTTCGATACCGTTTTTCCTCTTTTTGTATTCTCCTCTTACTCTATCATAAGTAGTAATAACAACTCTAAAGCATGGCTCTAAATACACAATATGTATTTATATTACTTTTTGTACCTTTTAAAAAAAAAAGTATTTTTCCCCCTCTTCCCATCACTTACGATCAAGAAGACCAACAGATTCATTCTGATAAATAAAATAAGGTAAACTTCCATATGTTGTTTTAGTACGTATTTCATCTGCCCATTGATCTCCAATCTATATAAAGAAAATAAAAATAAATTTAACGATTACATACATTATACAAATTGAAAACAACAACACCTACACCACGTGAAGGTACAATGACAAGTGTACAAGCATGTGTATTCAAAATAGGTTGTTGACGTAAAATAAGTGTTATCGTTTGAATGGTCTATAAAAATAAAAAAATAAAAAAAGGAGGAGGGGAGGGGTATAGTAATGAACATCTTGTCAGCTTAAACAGAAAAATCTAAACAGAAAAAAAAAAAAAAAAAGGCTCTGTACCTTTCCTAAACCCATCTATAAAGGAATCATGAATAACTAGCCATAATATTAATATAATACTTATAATCCTTACATCATCTGCTAAAATACCGCCTCGTTGAGATCTTTCAAAATGAATCATTCTATTGACTCCTTCAATTTGATGAGGTCTTAATTGGACATCTGCCCTTAGAGAAGCATGAACTATCATTGAGAAAGAAAAAAAAACTTATTAAAGCTTATCCCCATTTATATAAAAACCTTGTCTAACTGATCTTACCCGCACTTAAATTAACAGTAGGCAATTCTTGAAAATCTTCAACTGTTGTTACAATAAGTACATCTTTATCTATAGTTTGACAAAGTTATAGAACACATGCATCATTTAGAAAACGACACTATGAAGACATTAAAAGAAAAAAAAAAACAACTTATACCTCTTAACCATTTGGACTCCTCAATAGAATGATAATGTCCACCAACGTCAATATAAAAATGATAAATGTGTCCTCGTTTCCAATCATCAGGAAACTCTTTACATAAACGAAGAATAATGGATTGAAAACTTTCATCTTTATGAACGTGAAATAAATGGGATCTGTTGTCAGAGTTATTTTTTACAGTAATACGAAAAATGTCCTCTGAGCCAACTAAACGACATTTTGGACAATTAGGAAATGGGGCTTCTGTTTTGAGCACAATATGATTCATGGTTTAGAAGAAAAAAAGAAGAAAAGAAAAGAAAAAAAAAAAAAAAAAAAAAAAAAAAGAAGAAAAAGAAAAACCTGAATAAAAGGGACTCAGAATGTATTTTTTTTTTTTTTTTTTTTTTTTATTACTGGCTTTTAATTAAAAGGCCAAGTTCATTCACAATGGTATGATGTATACGTTTATATAACGTTTTATCTTCTTCTGCTTCATGTACTTTGACACCTAATCTTCCTCTTGCCCATCTTGCTTGATAGATCGTAAGAGTAAAGTGAGCCTCTGTGGGTGGTTGAGAAGGTTCAAGATCTTCATCTATTTCATATTTTTTATATCTCGACCAATCAGATAATACGCATTTTAACGTAAAGGGCTCTTCTCTTGGAAAAGGAATGTAGTATTGAATACCTAACTTGAGTGTTACTTGTTGAATGTATGTCATCATATCATTTGCAGATACTTTAAATAAATGACGACGATTAAAATTAAATAAACTTTTCGGCTGTGTAGCGATGCTCGGTATTTGTTGTTGTTCTACAGAAGAAAATTGAACTCGATTAGCTGATTGTTGTTTTTGTTGTCTATATCGTTTATCTGATAAAGAAGCTGATCTTAATAAACGTATTGTCTTCTTTTTAATAGAAGAACCTGTATCATCATTGGAGGAATGATGAGTCATAGGTCTAGACATAGCAACTGTAGAAGAAGAACGTACTTTCAATAAAGATAAACTAGGATCCTCATTATCACGAGTAGCTCCTCTTTCTACATTATCTATTTTCTCTTTCTCTTTCTCTTCCTCTTCTTCTTCTTCTTTTCTCTTACTAGACAAATGATGATTGATGTTAGTCGCAGTAAGAGAGGAGGATGTGGTAGTATGACCATGTCTCTTTGCTGTACTTTTACTACGTTGCGATAAAGTAATTGAATTTGATTTATATTCAGGAGGTTTAGGTGAAGCCCAATCCTCTTGTTGGATATGTTGCTTTAATATATCACGTCTATAAGAAGGGGGTATACGATCTGTCTTTCGACGTTGTATATGAACCTCTTTTAATATTTCAGGTTGCTTTGGTATAGAGGGCTTTGCTAATGAAGTACTAGCAGATCTCCCAAGTTGAACAGGGGATTGATAACCTTCACTTTCTAATAATCGATTCCTTTCATCCAACTCTTTCCTTTCCTTTACAAGATAATAGATAGAAATAAGTGGATCATACATAGCAGGTAATGACTGAGGATCATCCTTTTTCTTCTTTTGATATTTAAATGATTTCCTAAGTGATAGATTACGACGCCATTTTGACATTGAATTTAAAGTAGTTATTGTAGCTGCTGTTGCTGTTGCTGTTGTTGATGTTGCAGCGGCTGTAGTTGTTTGATTCAATAAAGAGTTTTGTTCTATTTGAGCAGCAGCAAATTGATATGAAGGAGAGTAAATGATACGTAATAATTTTGCTTCAATTTCATCAGGAGTACCGAGACCAAAGCCTTGCATGCCGCATATCACTTGCGGATCAATAGAAGTAAGTGGAGTGCGATGAGGTAAGTAATTAAAGATAGGCTCATCATAACCTTTATTCATCCAGGGATGATGGATGACAAATGAAAGAGTCTCTCTCTTTAAAGGATCTACGACTAAAATTTTAGACAATAAATCAATACAATCTTTACTAAGATGTTCTGGATATTCTACATTTCCTTCTTTAATTTTTTTGTGTAATGCAGGTAAATTTGTGTCATCAAATGGAACTCTCCCACATACAAGTACATACAATACAACACCAAAACTCCAGACATCCACTTCCGGTCCATTATAATTTTTAGCTTGTAATAACTCTGGAGCAGCAAAATAAAGAGAACCGCAGAAGGTATCTAATAATCTATTTGGTGAATAAATATTTGAAAGACCAAAATCGATAATTTTAATATCTTCATTCGTTGTAATAAGAATATTTTCAATCTTCAAGTCTATACAGACAGAGTAAATAAGAAATGATATAAATAAATAAATAAATAATGAAAATTACCTCTGTGTACAATTGAATTTCTATGACAATAATCTATTTATTTATCATAAATAAATACAAAGAAAATAGTCAATATGATCATGACTCTTACCTAAAGCACTTACTATCTGTCTTGCAAACTTCCTTGCTAACTTTTCTCGAAGTTTTCCATGACTAATAATATAATCTAATAATTGACCTCCTTCAATATATTCTAAAAACATATAATAATGTCCTTCATGAATAATCCATTCTTTAAGTTTACATATATTGGGATGCTGTAATAAATGCATTATAGCCATTTCTCGAATAGTTCTATGTTCTTTCTCTTTTGGGGTATCTTTAGGATCCTTTGTATTTGTGCTAGTTACCAAATTTAAATCTATTTTTGGCATAATTTTAACTGCATACTAATAATATATTTATAAACAATAGAGAAGAAGGAATAGGGTTATTATCTATGAATGAAAGAGGTAAACACCATTGCTTTTTCTTTAATTTACTAATTGATGATCATTATCAGATAAACATTCCGCTAATTTGACTGTACCCATACTACCCGATCCAAGTGTTTTTTTATAAATTACATAATTTCCAACTTTTTGTGTTTGTCTATTATGTTGTTTTGTAAAATGAATAGAAGGTTGTGCTACTAGTGTTGTAGTAGTCATTTAGTTTATAACAAAGAAAGGAAAGGAAAAAAAGGGGGGGAGTGGAAAAAAGCAGAAAAGCAAAAAGGCAAAAAGGCAGAAAAGCAAAAAAAAAAAAAAAAAAAAAAAAAAAAAAAAAAAAAAGTGAAATTTATATTTCTAATTCGGGGTACAAAAAAATTAAAATAGATATTATTATAATGTATTTCGCACAACAACAAGAACCCATTTAGAAAGACAACAGCACCATTATTCGAAAAAATAACAACTTGACAATCAATTAAAAAAAAGGCTTGGCTTAAATAGTGTCCTTCTAATAACATATTGCTTATGTAAAATATTATATATTTTACAGTACAGTACTTTTTTTTTCTTTTTAGATGAGTCATCTTAAAGATATAACAAAGTAGTAGCTTATATCGAGTCATTGTTATACAGACAAATTCATTTGTAGTAAGACATCCAATTTATTAAGACTTGGAACCGATTGTACACAAAAAGGAAATTGTTTATAGAATCAAGAACATGAATATTCGTTCTCAGGAAACGATTTACTGCTGTGTAATATTTTGGCATAAGAAAAAGGAAAAAAAAAAAAAAAAAAAAAAAAAAAAAAAAAAAAAAAAAAAAAAAACTCAAGAGCTAAAGTATAATAAATTCTATTTATTCGTCTAGATGACCCCCCTTTTTTTATTTTTTTTACAGTAACAAAGTTTCTATAACAAAACTTATTATTTTATTCGATACTTCTACTATCACCTTTTGCAGCATTATTATGTGCGGAATTATACTTTATTTCTGTGCGAAATTATCTTTTTGATTGAATCAGTGTGCAAACAATTAACATGTGATATTACTTTTTTTTATATGCTTCTTTCTCATCCTTTATAATAAATTCATCATGATTCTCATATTCATGTTGTTCTAAATGTCTTTGTACAAATCTACATGTTGGAATGATTAACTTTCCAGATTGTTTTGCCCAACGTAAGCATTCCTTTACTAATTTATCTCCTATACCTTTATTTCGATAAGAAATAGGTATTTCCTATCATTTTTTTTGTTTGTTTCAAGTATATAAGTCTATCTATGTATTGTCTTGGAATTCATTAAATGTATAAGTATATTACCGTATGATATATCTCAATTATATCTCTAACTCGAGTCGGTAAATAACATAAAGCAGCTAAATATTATGTAAGTTTATATGTACACCCTTGTTTCTCATTGTCATACCTGTATTGCCATTTGTATCTAAATTTATTAAAAACATACAATACTCTTTATTATGTATAATATCCAGATGATTAGTATGTCTTTCTTTCAATGTATTTGTCGTAGTAAATAGTTTCGAGAAAGGTAAGAGTAAATTAGTAGTCACATCCTTATTATTATTATTAAGTCGTTTTATAGTTGAATAAAGTGGTAAGAATGGATAAGGAATTATAAGCGAATTATTAGTTCTCGTTACTTGTTCTTTCTCATCATCATCTTCTTCTTCTTTATCTAATTCAGTATGATTGGTTATATTTTCTTTTTCTTTCATTTAACTATTACAGTACAGTAGTAAAGGAAAAGGAAAAGGAAAAGGAAAGGAAAAAGGAAAAGAAAAGAAAAGAAAAAAAAAAAGGGAAAATAAATTAATATTTTTTTTTCTTCTTTTATTATTTACATTAGATGGATACACAGAATAGGAACCAAAGTAAAAGGGAAAAAAAAAAGGTTTTCTTTTAACATAAAAAGGCTTTATTTTTGTTTTGTTTTTTCTTTTGATTATTATTTACTGATAAAATTATCTACTTTATTTTATTTAACGCATGTATAAAAAATCTCTCTCTTTTATTTTTCTAGCTGTTGGCCTTCTCTTTTCTTTCTAGACCTTGTTCTATTTGTTCCTGTAGTACAAAAAAATGGGTCCAATCAAATGTCTTACCTTTCATTTGGTTCCTTACATAGACTTATTATAGATGGTCTTTTAAAATTGACAGATTTTTTTTTTTATGTTTATTTTTTTACAGTTAAATAATATTTATATTGTCTTAAATTCAAGTTAATCTTCTAGTATTGAATGTGTTGATATACATCACACCTCTTGTACTCTTTACTACTACTGTGCTTGTGTCTGTGTTTTTATATTATTCTATATTCTGATTGGTTGTTGTTTTGCCCTGATGTATTGCCCTTTTTTTTTTTTCTTTTATGAATATTCTTAATAGTAATTTGTTAAACCAATCCAAATTAGCAGTTCTAGTATGCTTAGAAAACTAATAATACCTTCTTCTTATAATTTTGATTCGAAAATAAAATGATATCTCGTTATAAATGAATGATCCAGTTTGGAAATAGAGTAGTAAAAGCATGATTAGGTGTATTTATAAAAAAGATGATAAAGTTTTTTTTTTAAACATATAATAAATCCCTTTCTTTTAACAAGTTTAGTGTTTTATGCAATAAAATGCATGCTATTATTATTATTAGGTGATTATTTTCAAGTAGTAAAGTCTTTTGCTACTCCTAATTCAAATTTCTACTATTACTCCTGATTTAACAAGCACACTAATAATTATATATCAAGATTGTTCAGGGAAGTTCTTTTAAAGAAGTAAAGAAATTAGACTAGTTTTTTTTTTTTTTTTTTTTTTTTTTTTTTTTTTTTTTTTTTTTTTTACAACAGATATTGTATGCATATAGATTGAGAAACTATAGCTTATGTACATAATTCATTATTATTATTTAACTGAACTAATCTACAGATAATAACTATGATGCTATGGGCAATTAGGCATCCTCGTCAACATTTGAAAATGTCTATCACTTTTTTGGTTTTACTAACACTCTCATTATGGTTAACTTGGAGAATGTTTAAGACGCTTTCTGTGAACGTCTTGGACAATTTGTCTTGGCAAATTATTTATTTTATACATATTTATCTACAGTATTTATACACACAAAACTCTAGATTAGCTAATATATGTCTTATTTTAATATTTTCATGTCTAAATAATCAACAGGATGTCGCATAGATGTGTATATAGTAAAAGAAATGCTATAGGGCATAGAAATTTTGCAATTTATGGTTCACTATACATAGATCTGGTCCTTACGAAAGACAGGTTGAATAACTGTAGATTCGCAGTTACATTGATTCTTTAGGACAATACGATATGAAAATCAGCAACGATAACAATAAACAAGTACTCAATATATCAAGGATCGATTTTTATTTACATATGGAAAGGTTTATAGTAATAAAAAAAAGTCGTCACTCTTCGTTGCAAGTAATTCAACATATCCAAACCTGTAAGTTAATTCGAAGTAGTCTTTTCCAAGTCTTATTTTTCTTCTAATGAAAGCTACGATTTTTCTTGGTATCCAACCTTCGAGATATTAACACAATCATCGATCTGGAAATTGTTGTGAATGAAATATGAAAAACTAGTCATGAAAAACCAATAATTCTATAATATAACTACTGATCCAACAAGCTTTGATTCGTACCCATTAACAATTCTTGTGGCTTCTATTGCATTCAATTCTATCTTTTTTTTTATTAACAAATTGCTAACCAAAATCGCTTTCCCCGTATGAAATATTCTTTAGAGTTGAAGAATCGGTTGTTGTCGATAGGAGAATCAATCATATAACTAAAGTTATTCTTCATGATGACGGCTTCTTTGTTGGTAAGGTAATAATCGCGTTTCAAGATGTTTTTTTTTGCTCGATCAACTTGTGTTTCAACTGCTTTTTGAAATGATAATTTTGCAATATGAATAGGCTGCCCGTCTCTACTGATCTTTATAGTAATGTGATCCTTTTTATCTTCTTCTATTTTGTATTTGTATCTCCGTTTAAACCTTTCAGGTACAATGAAGATAATCTTCTTCTTCGTATTACCAGTTAGATTAAAGTGGAAATAACACAAAACCGAAAATACACTGTTGACAGGTCGCCAATTATTATGGTGTGTAAATTGGCAGCGTGAAATAAGGCATGCTTCATGGAATTTTTTTTTTCATCATGGTATTGGCTTTGTAAAATAAAAGCATCCTACTTTCTCAGTTACAGACCAGTGATAGTGTTTTTCAAGCTTAACGGTATATGCTGTTGATAAAGAACAAACCTTCCAGCGCCTCTTGTTCATAAAAGCCAATGAGAGCTTACCCACTCTACTGAAAAAAAAGATTTGAGACGTATAACAGTACTTTGGCAGATAAGTTTTTTATCATTAACAAATAGATCAAGTTGAGTAAAATAAAAGTAGAAAGGGCTTTACTAAGTATTTTTTTTCTAAACATAATGATAAACCACTCTCTTTTTTTTTTTTTTTTTATGAAGATGAACAGAAAAATTTGCATAATAAGCAAAGGATCAAAGTTTATAATCCAATGAAGAACGTCCTAACTCAAATTACTAATCCAGAAATTGTTCTTGTAACAGTGACAAACCGAAAGAATTATTATAAATTAAAGCCCTTAAAGAAAATGGTAATTGATGATGTAGTCAAAGTAGTTAATTCCCTGACAACCTTAACATATAAAAATTATAATGATCGACAGAGAGAAGTATTCATCAACAGAATGATTGGATCTGCCCAACAGAGGGGATTGGCGACCAAGTATGCTAAGGAATTGGGAATTGAGCCTTGTGTTGCTCAAAGATGGCGGAAAAATTACAAAGAGAAAGAGAAAATGCCTTACAAATAAAATGTTACTAGTAATCCCGGTAAAAGCATTTTTTTTTTTTTTTTTTTTTTTTACTGACAAGCACAACAATTGCATAAAACAATGGGTCGATAACAATTAGCCTTAGACGGTATTATCAAAAAAAAATTAACTAGTCTCAATCTTATTCGAAAATAATGTATCTGGTTACATCAATTCAGTATTATATAAATATTATATGCTCATAAAGATCAAGAATTTTAATTATAGAATAAAAATTTAATCGCACCTGATTATGTCAACACGAGTTGTAGTACAGTGGAGCTGGGAAATAAAAAAAATAATTTGAGGCATACTAAAAAAATGATTGGTGGAAAAACGAAAAACGATTGACTCACCAATATTTTCAAGTAAGCTCAGAGCAATATTTACCTGCATGAAATAGCGAAAGCGATAACTAATGCGGATAATCATAATTGTTGTTGTTGTTTTTGACGTGAAAACAAAAGATGTCTCTTGCCATTATTTCTAAGGCTTGTCAATATCTTTTTAAAATTTAGTATTGCCATCAGATCTCGATTCCATATTCTTCTTTTATCTTCGTGTTCATTGGAATTTTTGAGCTACTGAATCATATATAGATATATACGGCATCTACTGTCTTTATCTTCAGTAGACTGTTCCGTCTTGTTTTGAAGAGATTGAAGTGTCTCTTTATTTTCCTTTAATTTTTACGTTAGATTTCATGAGTAAGCTAAGTGTAGATTATGTGGATAAAGAGGAAAAAAAGACGTTGAAAAGAAATACAAATTCCAAATCGATTGATATATACGAGCTACTGCGAATTAATCATTGTTCCTGAAAAGGAAGTTCTCTGATAACAGGTGTGGATTTTGACAACTTTAATCTATATAATTGCATGAAATTGTTTCAGTGTTATTGATTCTTTATTAGTATATCATTATTAAACAAAATTTCTGTTGCTTTTTTACTGGTGCTTTACATGATCTTAGCGTCTATTGTCTTTGAAAGAGTTGATCAATTCAATCTATTGGATCTGTGTGTTTTAAATCGAGTATTGAATCGAGTAACTGCTATTTATCTCTCTGTATATGCTCTCTAATAAATAAATAAAAAACTAGAGAATGTGTATAAAACTTGTAATTTTATTCATTCTCTGATATATTCTCTGTTCAGCAAAGCTAATTAATTTACTGTATCTGTTTGTTTTTCCATTTGTGTTTTTTTTATTTGACTCCGTTGCTTCGAAGTCAACATAAGCCTACATTTGTGCGATATCAAGTATGAATACTCAATATGCAAACAAAATATGAATGGTTCATGAAATGAAGGATTCGGACCTAAACTTTGATAGAAACCATGTGTTGAGAAGAGGCTATAGATTCATGTATTTACCTTCATATATTTACTAGTGAATTGAATGCAATTGAGAATCTCTGGGCTCTTGTAAAAAAGGAAGATGAAGCGCGAGAATCTGATGGTTGAAGAAAATTTATCCGAGAGAATCGCTGATGCTTGCAACAATGTACGCGTTAGTGATCTTTATGGATTTCGTAGCCACTCTTAGCTTCATTTCAGTTATCAGAAACGCTCAAAACAACTTTTTATAAATGACCAATCATTTTTTTGGTTTTCCACCAATCATTTTTTTTTAGTATGCCTCAAATTATTTTAATTAACCAGCTCCACAGTATCTCAGTTTTAAAAGGGACGATTCATCTTTCTTAGCTCTTTACCACGATGAGGATTATGATTGGTCAGGAGTAAATAGGTTCCTTATTTTAATAACAATTAAAACTTTTTTGTCCTATATATTCACTTTTAATCCTTATTGTTATAAAATGTCTCCTGCCACTGAATTTAGTGATCGTCAACATCCTGATACCATTGTTCTTTTTGATGTTGATGGTACATTAACACCTGCCCGTGCTGTAAATATATCTTAAAAGAAAAAAAAAATAAAACAATAATAATAAACTCAACTAAATACTCTACAGTTTGTTTCTGATGAAATGAAGGAAACATTAGCTAATATTCGTAAGAAGGTAGCTATCGGTTTTGTAGGTGGTTCTGACATTAGCAAACAATACGAACAACTTGGTGAAACAAGTAAGTTGTACAACTATAACAATAAAAAAATAAATAAATAATCGACTTTGTTACTCATGTCAAATTATAGTCCTTGAAGATTTCGATTATTGTTTTGCTGAAAATGGTCTTACTGCTTATCGTTTAGGCAAACAATTGGCTTCCCAAGTAAGTAGTAAAAGAAAGATAGGGGAAAAAGAGAGCAATTGGGTTCAGATGGGCTTATGTACATCTTTTACATCTTTTAAATTTTAGAGCTTCATTCAATGGATTGGTGAAGAAGAATACACAAAGTTGGTTAATTTCATTTTACGTTATCTTGCTGATATGGAAATCCCCAAAAAACGGTAAATGATAGAGGGAAAAAAAATAGAAACAATACATGTATATATGAATATATAGACGCGTTACTCACCATTTCATTTAGTGGCACTTTTATTGAATTCCGTAATGGCATGATCAATGTCTCTCCTATTGGTCGTAACTGTACAAGAGAAGAACGTAACGAATTCGAAAAATTTGATTTAGCACATGGTCTTCGTCAAAAATTTGTCGAAGCACTTAAAAAAGAATTCCCTCATTTGGCTTTAACATATTCTATTGGTGGTCAAATCTCATTTGACGTCTTCCCTACCGGTTGGGATAAAACTTATTGTTTACGTCATGTAAAGCAAGACGGATTCAAGACAATTCATTTCTTTGGTGACAAGACCTTTAAAGGTGGTAATGATTATGAGATTTACACTCATCCTGATGTCGTGGGTCATAGTGTTCAATCTCCTGATGATACTATCCGTATTCTTAAAGAACTTTTCCCTTAATTCATTTGCATTACTTATACATTCAACTTAAAAAAATAAATAAATAAATATTTATTATATAACGTCCTCTTTAGATACAACTGACTCGTTAAGGAAGCAAAAGAAAATAAAAAAAAGGAAGGTGAGGAAGAGAGAGAGAGAGAGAGAGATTGGGGGAAGATGGTATGTCCCTGCTAAAATCAAGAAACTACCTTATTAAAATTAAATCACAAGACTTCCTTTTTCAAAAAAAAAATAAGTTTCGGAATTTGTTCAGTTCAAACCGAGCTTTTCTTTCTTTTCACAGAAAAAAAAAAAATGAGAAAAAAGCAATATGCTTCATCAGTTTATAGTCAAAAGAGTACAACGAGTGCAAAAAGCGGTAAATCTTTTTTATCATTAGCCATTTTATTCCCTTCAAAAGAAGCCACTACTTTTCCTCGACAACAACAAACTGATGAAGAGAGCCTATTATCGTCGTCAAAACAGAGTCGATGGCAGAATATATTGAAGAATTGGAAATGGAAAGACTCAGATTCGATATCTTCATCCTCCTCCGTTAGTAGTAAACTAAAACAATTATTTGTAACAACCAAGAAAAGAAATTCTGTTGCTAAAGAAGAAGAAGAAGAGGCGAGTAGTTATGATGCTGTTAAAGAAAAGGATTTGAATTCATCCATTCTTTCAACACAGCAGCAGTATCCAACAATAACAAGTGGTATTTTAATTAATAGAGGGCAGGATTCAGAAGAAGCGATTGCTGAACGTAAAAGACGAAGACATCAACGTAGGGAGAACATCTTAAAATTACAACAACAACAACAACATAATCATTCATTTTATTATTTACAACAAGAACAGTCCTTTGTAAATGACACTTCCTCTTCTTCTTTATCTTCTGATATTCATTATTATACTACTACTACTACTACTACAGCAGCAGCAGCAGCAGAGGATGGTTGTTGGGGATTTAACCCAAGAATTATGTTTGTGGAACCCAGTCCAGTGCCACGTTTTCGTAATGTGGCTCCTCCACCACCCCCCTCTCCTCCTTATCTGAATATAATAGTGCATAAAGAAGATCCTAACGAGGAATGTATCATTCAGAGTCCTGCTTTTGAAGATGATCCATTTACAATCTTTGCTTCTACCAAGACAATTCATCATCCCACACCATTACCCAACACAGAAGTGTTCAATTATAATAAGCATCTTTCTATAGAGGAACATAATACGACCGACGAACAAAGGATGTCACTCTTGATAGAAACATTAAAATCAACTATTAAACAACCAAAACCTCGTATTTATTTTCATCCCCCCTTTCAGCGTGGGCAAACAGCTCGGCTTACTTTACGGAATACGATGCCTGAAGATCATGTTATTATCTTTAAATTTTTGACCACTCATCAAGGTTTAAAAAAAACCAGCGGTGAACGGTATTTTGTAAAGCCTAGTGCAGGTAAATTTTCAACGGATCAATTAGATATTAGAGTTTTTCTGAATCAAATACCTACTGAGTTAATAAAAGATGAGCTTATTATCCGTTGGGCTATCATTCAGAGACATACTGAGATTGAAGATTGGGCAAATAAAACATTACATGATTCTAATAGAAGACAATGGATTGATTTATTGGATGAAAGATGGCCTGGTCAAGTGATAGTGCGGCTGACTCGAATAAAGATTCGTTTTAATAATACAGAAGAAATGATTGCATAATGACTTTATGTGTCATTTTCCCAAAAAAAAAATAAAATAAAATAAAAAATAAAAATAAAATAAAATAAGATAAATATACATAATTACATACATATATATACATATATATGTATATATATATTCAGTAGAACACAATATATTTTCAGATGTAGAACTTTTGTTAATCATTTTTTCTACACAAGAGTAAATGTATTCTTAATATGTCTATAGACAGAATTATCATACAAGTGTACTATATGTTTTATTATGACTATTTATTTTTATTGAATCAAGTTACAAATATTACAACCATGACAAAGGGGGAAAGAGATTGGTAGTTGTGCGTAATGTACTGGACGAAGACCATCAAAAACAGGTAAAATACGGACTTGTTCACCTCCGAGTGAAGCATTATCACGAGTGTGATAACGTACAGAAGCTAGTTCATCACTTGAAAAATGTACATATATACGTCTAAAATAATGGGCTGTTAGTAGCAATTATAAAAAAGAAGCTGATTAGCCTTACTCCGATTCTATTTTTTTTACAAATGTGAATTATCCCATTCCACTCTTGAAATAATTCTTCCAGATCCTTAGGCTCAGAGTTCTTGAATCTACTGCTTTCCACACACAGTTGACACGTTTGAATACGACGTGATTTGCAGTAGTTATTGGACATAGCATTTTAATTTTAAAGAAAGAAAAAAAAATAAGGGTATTTTAAATGCAAAAGATAAGGAAAGAAAAAACAGAGAAAAAGAATACAAAAATTGTACAAAAGAAAAAATAATAGAAGGGATATTTATATGTTTTTTGCAAAATAAGTGATATTAATAGGAGTATGATTTGCATTATGTGTAAATGTTGTCAGTCTCCTAATAATCCTGCATGCAATAATATATATTTTATCTTTTTTCTCCTTTAACTGTCGCTGCTACTATATATTATTTTTGGGGTAAGCAACGCGTTAATATTAATTTACAGTGAATATTCCAGCTATAACAATAATACCAATCATTTATATGCCACTACTATTATTATCATCAACCCCTAAGATGTTATTACATAACAATATTCAACATTATAGACGCATATATAAATAATTATGCGATTAAATATAACAGTCGTAATCCTGTTTGAATTATGTATATAGTTATTATTAGTGCTCGAATACTCTAATAATGACTATTATTAAGACTGGATGCAGAATGAATATTATGCTGTGAAGTACAAATACACTAGTTTTATTATCTCTATTAACTTAGTTTTAAATACAACCACAATCATAACACATCCCATCAAGAAGCAACTGGTATGATGCGTGACTTGTCTACTTCTCCAACGACAAAAGTCCTGATCTGCCAAAAAAAAAAAAAAAAAAAAAAAAAAAAAAAAAAAAAAAACTCAACTACCTGAAACCTTTTTATCCCCTTCTCCTATAATTTGTGATGATTCTTATCTTGAACACAGTCTTCGTTCACTTCCAAAGGCAAATATCCTCCAAGAGGAATACACAGAACTTAATCAGAACCAAATGGATATCTTGCATGAAGATTGGGTGCAGGGGCCACATTTACGCTTTGCGTGTGCGCAACTTCTCGTCGGATGTATCTTGGTTGATCAAGAGCAAATTTTATTAGTCAATTGTAACGAAGTTTATGGTAGACTTCGAACACTCGACGCGCATTACGAACGATTTCAAAACAACTATTCAAGCATGCTTCCGGATGAAAACATCTCTGTATATCAAGATATATGTGTTTGCAATGTAGACGAAGACAACTCTCATAAACTAATTATCGAAAGCTTCGTTTTCAGCTTGTTGATTACGTTAAGAGCTCGTTTAGATGGTGACAACAAGCCAGAGGTCAACCACTCAACTTTCAATTTTAAGTCAACCGGCAAAACAAAAAATATTTCTATCCAGCCATTCAATAGCAAAAGCAATTCATATCATGAAGGAACGTCCAACCAAATTGTATACCCAACATCTCTATTCATAATTACGTCAAGTAAGATCCTCTTTCACATCCCCTAATACATATTGTATCAGTTGATGCTCTTCCAAACTAACCAACAATATGAAATTGCGCCTATACACCATATTCACCGCAGCAGGTACTTCTGGTGGCAATCTCAATAGTGATATGAAGCTTGGATCTCAAATATTTCAATTTTTTGTATTGTGTGACCATGTTGATTTTGTTTTGCACTCAGAATTAGCTTCAATTGAATCTGCTGCTATCGAAAAGACTACTGAGTCTCGATGAGGATAAAATAAAATTCACAAACAGCCGTTTGGAGCCGCTTTTGACTTCCCTTGCTCAGTCAGTCACATTAAAGCTTAAAAATTATAATGAACAGGTAATTGCTCGAATTACTGCCAAAATGAACAACTTGGTGAGATAAATAATTATCTAAATCTTTATTTTTTTTTTTTTTTTTTTTTTTTTTTTTTTTTTTTTACAATTATAAATGAACACTCCCTCAATACAACCTAGACTTACTGTTAATTGATTTTAATCTACATACTCCTGTCGTCTTATCTCTATATTCTTATGATCTCAAAAATTAACTTAATATAAAGAATAAATAAAAGTATGATAGTGTTGATGCATATCTTTGGTTACAATATAGTTTCGAACAGCATCACATTATTATTATTATTGAAAATACCATTCAATAGCAAATCTGATATGTTGTGTAGTATGGAATAGTTAGCATAAATCATAGATAAACTTCTCCATTTTATACTTTTATAAAAATAAACCAAACAAAAGATATTATCATTGCTGTGTCTAAATATACAATATTTAGAATATTTTTTTAACCATAGAGTGTAAATTATCTCAAAAATGATGGAAGGTTGTTTCTGAACAAAAAGTCGAACAAAGCACATCATAACAAAAAAAAAAAAAAAAAAAAAAAAAAATACAGGGTTTCTTTAAAAAAGCACGTATTTTGAGATACTTAAACTCTTGGTTATGTCAAAATGCACTTTAACAATAAATGCTAAACGTTATGTACAACAAAGCTTACAAGATGACTACTGTAATATGTTTGTTAATAACTACTTTGTGCGTCTTGGAAGTATGTAGGGAAGCTACCCCGTTATAGAATCAATCATTCTGCCTTCGACCATATCGTTTTAAGTGGCTATTACAAACGAACACAGAAGATTACTTCCAATAAATACTTACTTCTTAAAGTTGGCAATTACACTGCCAGCGAAAGGCTACCGCATTTATAAATTAAGGCTGCCACACTTATAATTTAAGCGATCACAATTATAAATAGTTAAAATACCAAAAACTGAGGCAGTATTTCAAACAATCATTGGCGTTATTCACTCTTCCCATGTTGTTTATGTTACTTTAAAGAAGCCGCCGCCGAGTCTCATTGAAGGACAAGTACTTTGGCTTAAACCGACAAATAGAATTTTTACTTTCGACAATTATTTCTTGAGCCAGACTACAATTATTTTAGGCCTTAGCAATATTTAGCTTTGGGTACGTAACATTTATTTTTGGGCAAACGACAAATTCCACTGTTCGCAATGTAGTTGATGTTAGTGATCAACATTCCTTCAAATATCTGTCCCAATATGATACTGACTAGAAATCAATTGAATATCATTATCAAGGTAAAGATCAATAAGGCCTTTCGTAAATTGAAAAAAAAGTAATTATAAACCTTTAAAAGAAATAATAATAATAATAAAAGAGCAGCACCAAACATAAGATTTTGTCTATGATATTTCATTAAATCCTTACTGTTTATCTATAATTCTTCATCTTTCATTTATATATATATATACTACTGATGATCAATAGCTATTTGTCCTTTTTTTTTCTAATTCTTACAACTAACGAACTTCTTCTCTGATACTCACAATGATATGTAACTTAATTATTTAACTTTCTAAAGAGTAAAATGATATTACTTAGATAAATTATTTAGATTGCATATCTTTATAATGATGGCTTCAATTTATTAAAAAAAAAAAGTCATTCACATCTTAGCAGGATCATATATTAACAAGCAAATTCATTTGTGTTGTTATATAGTAGAAATAGATAACTGGATATTATCCTAGAAATCGACCTCCATAAGATTTTTCCTGTGTAAAATAAAGTGTATTCGTAAAAGGTAGCCTTAGGCCATAATCATTCATTGCAATACGTTCAACAGCATACTTAGTGACGGCTGCTAAGTGACTTCCTTTTTGTTGACCAAAGGGCCAACCTGTTAATCGAATACCAGAAAGATAGCCAACTCCATAGTGAGGGCCTAACGAAATGACCATGTTAGGTAACGATCCATGATAAGGAATCAATTCCTTGTGTTTCATGATGATACGTCGTAAATTCCTTACGAAATGAATGGCTTGCATCTCTGCTGTATAAAACATCTTGGGTTCATCAAATGAATTGACATCACCTACTGCAAATACATGTTCTACACCTGGTATCCTCAAGTATTCATCTACAATAATTTGTTTCCGTTCATTAAGCCAAACGGATTCCATAAAGTCAGTATTAGGTGTAATACCAACACAATGATACACTAAATCCGGTGTAAACCTTGTATGTGTTTTATTTGTCTCATAAACGTCTTTTGTTGCATCGACCTCTGAGGCCATTTCATTTGAAATGATTCGAATAGAGGGTTTAGCTTCCAAGATCTTCTGCGCATTTTTACCTATTTCTGCAGGTGCACTTGACAATACATATTCAGATGAGTTGACAATCGTAACTTTCTTTTGTGGACTTCGATGAGCTATTTCCGCAGCTAACTCAACACCCACAGGACCAGCTCCAATACAGAGGATATCATTTGATTCCAAGTATTTCTGTCGATGTTGGCGCAAATATTCAAGTCGAGCATCCGAATTTAAACATGCTTCATTTTCATTGGTAGTAAGAAGGGTTTTCCAAGGGTCTGCATAACTTGATCCTGTACAGATAACTAGATAGTCGTATTCAATGATTGGCTCATGTTCATCATTAAACAGATAGACTTTATTATTATTACAAGCGTTAAAATATGAAATCATCATTATTCATTAAAAATATACGACTACCTTTTTTATCTTTCAAAGATTTAACTCTTCCAAGTACAAATTGAATATTCCGTTTACTTAAAAAAGGAGCGTAATCAAAAGTGATTTTATTGAAATGTCTTTGAAAGTCATATTCTGTTTTTTCATATAAAACAGAGCAAAGACCTGGAGTATATTCATAAAATGACTGTATATATGTGTATATATAAATATATATGTGTATAATTAAATATTGTATATATACATTAATATTATAGTACTTTATTATCAATAAGTGTAATATCAAGGCCCTTTGTATTCGCTAATTTTATAGCTATAAGTATCCCTGCCGCTCCACCTCCAAGGATAACTAACTTCTTAGTTTCTGACATTTGTTAATAAAGATGAAGAAAAAGAGGGAAAAAGAAAATAAAATAAAAGAGAATAAAAGGATTAAAAAATTGATGTCATCACATGAATTATTTATATATATATATAGTAAGGTTCTACTAATAGCAGTGGTAGTGAATTGAATTGCCTTATAATATAAAAAGCGTTTCAATTAACCTGAAAAAGAAGATTTCTATTCTCCATTTCATCTTGTTTTATTTCCTTTATACACCTTATAGTGAAGATTTATCTTAAAAAAAAAGAAAAAAAAAAAACGTCAGCAATTGAATCACAATCATGCAATAAATATGGCTGCTGTGCTATCTGTATTTTGAATAATAAAACTAGGTCATTGAGATTGTCCAAATTTCTCTTATATTAAAGAAGTTATTGTTATTAGCAGCAGCAAGTCCCTTTTATTATTATTATTATTATTATTATTATTATTATTATTATTATTATTATTATTATATATAATTTGAACTTGCTTATGTAATGAATATAAAAACCCATCCCTCCATTTTGCCCCTCTCCCTTCTCTTTTTTATTATTATTAGTATCAACTGTTTTCTTGACAATGATTGTGTAGATTAAATCACTGTTCACTTAATGACACTTGTTGTTCCGAAATCTTATTTAATGCTTTATTAATAACTATTAAAAGATAGGTTACACTGTGTATCCATGAATATTTTTTCCCTCTACTCCCCCCTTTTTTTTATATATCTATATGTGTATATTCTGTTCTCTTTAATCTGATTTATTTTCTTTCTTTTCTTTTTTTTTTTTTTTTTTTTTTTTTTTTTTTTGTTCATCATCTTGCCAATGTCGAAAACGACATCTAATAAAAAAGCAACTTGGAAAGTAATTCAAAAGAAATCCAATGAAAAACCTGATTCGATTATATCCCAAGAAAGTAATAATTCTATAAAGGTAGATAAAAAAATATATATATATTTATAATTTTAAGCTTTCCAGGAAAAAAAACATTGACATACTCATATTGTAGAAATCAAATGAATCCATTCTATCTCATGCCTCTTCTAATACTGACTTTGAGGATGCAGTAAGTGATGATGAAGATGACGATTATTTTCAGGATGAAGAAGAAGAAGAAGAGAAAAGAAAAGAAAGTAACAGTATTACAGAACAACAACAGCAGCAGCAACAAGAAAATAAAAGTGATGATGAGGATGCGGGAGGCCAAACGAAAGATAAACATCTTTCAAGAATGTCTCTTATATTACCTGCTTTACAATCTCATGATTCGGATGAGGATTTTAGTGATAATGATGAAATAGAACCCGTAACATCACCAAAAATGACGCCTGATTATGACTCGAGTCGTACAACAAAAGAGAGGGCTCCGGATGATGAAGAAGAAGAAGAACAAAAAATCAAAATTGAGTCTACCCCCTCGGTTCATGAAGCTGAAAATAGACAGGTTGTATCTTTTACGAATACAACGACTCTAAAGCCTGCAACTTATGAGCCTATTCCTATTCAAAAGTCTGTCACACACTATCACGAGTCTCTTCCAGCTCAAGAGCAACAACTAGATTCACCTACAATGAATGAGCAACAAGAAAAGAATAAACAAGACATTGAGAATAACGAGCAGGATGAGGGTACTGTTCCTTTAGAAGAGGACGTCACTAACAAACAACAAGAGGAGGCGACAACGATGCTCGATAAAGAAAGTAAACATGAGAATCGTGATATTCCCATGGAGCTGATGATAACTCAGAAGAAACACAAAACTGAGGATGGTAATCTGGCTACACCAGCCGTATTGAGCGTTTCTATTGAAGAATCTTCCTCTGACAAAGTAAATGAGGATTCTATTATTGCAACCAGCCCCGAGGATAGTCAAGAGTTAGATAACAGAGAGACTACCTTAGATAGTGGTATTTCTTTATCCCAATTAAACCGATCTTCAAACGATACTGATATGACAATAACAGATCTGAATGAAGAAACAACGACATCATTTAACCATCTTGCCTCTATCTTACCTGCTGTAAAAGAGTCAATTGAAAATACAATAATTACTGAAAGGAAATCGATCATCATGCAAGTTAAAGAACAAGACAACGGTCTTTCACCAGAAGATATGGAGCGTGCAAAACGTAGTCGAGAATTTGAGTATCCTATTGAAGATCCTATTGATTTGGATATGTTTAGGGACAATATGATAGCTATTCAAGCTATTGATACCAAGAATATACCCCCAAATAATCTTAAGCCCCATGAACAAGAGAAAGCAGGTTAATACAAAAAGAAAAAAAATAATACTATGAAAAGAAAAAAGAAATGTGTGAGAGGGGAGTTTTTTTTTTTTTTTTTTTTTTTTTCTTAAAAGTAACTTTTATATACATATATTTATTTCTAGATGAAACAGTAAGAGAGGGCATGTCGTATTTATTTGATAATAAATTTATGAAGGCTAAATCACTATTCCAAACAAAGGCTGGTATAGATCCTTTATATGCACTTGGATTAGGTGCAATGGGATTCATTAAGGCAGTGATGACTTATCATGAAGCAGATATGGAAACAGCCATGAATGCACTTGCTACAGCCTATACAATTGCAAAGGCACAAATTAATAATACATCATTCAAGAAACCATTTAAGGATACATTTAGTCAATATTTTACAACTTTATTATCTTCCAATAATACAGGTCTCCCCACTAATCCACCTTTGACTAGTATGCCCAACAGTAGCGGTGGTATAGCTTCTCCTAATGCCTTTATACCTAACGGAGTTCTAAGAGCACATGTTATTAAAGCCGAATGTTGTCTTTTAATGAGTATCCTTCAGATGACTCAAGAAAGTGTTGTAGGTTATCTTAAATGTGGCTTAAATATAAGAAGAGCCTATAATAGCTATAGTATAGTTTGGCAAGAATATAAAAGGATGGGACAAGAGTATATGAAATACATGGATCCTGACACTATTTCAGGAATTCAGTTTGGTATCGGAGCCGTTCATCTTATTCTATCCTCAATGCCTGCAAAGATTTTAAAAATATTTTCATTTTTGGGTTGGAAGAGTGATAAGCAACTAGGGTTTGCATTATTAAAGTTATGTTTAGAAGGGCGAGGGATTCGAGCGCCCTTAGCGGCATTAACACTATTGGCCTATTATTCTATCTTGACCTCATTTGCACCTCAACTTTATTCAAAGGAAATGATGGCACCTGCCATCGAATGTCTCTTGGATGCACAAACGCATCATCCCAATTCCTGCTTTTTCTTGTTCTTTGCAGCCCGTATTGCGCGTGTAGCTCGTAACTTGCCACTCTCTATTCAGTCTTTTACCTTTGCCGCTGAATCAAGTCATGGTGAATGGATTGAGGTAGCGATGAAACAAAACGCAGATTACGAGATAGGCTTTAACTTGGCCTTACAACTCAATTGGAAATCCGCTGCTCGTTATTTCGAACAATTGAGTCATGAAAATTATTGGTCACCTGCTTTCTCAAAATACTTTGTAGGTGCCTGTTATGAGATGTTGGGCCAACGATCAGAGGCCATCCTGGCCTTTGCTGAAGTGTCTCAACTTGCTGAAAGGAAAAAGATGAGTTACATTGATGCTTATGTCTTGAAAAAGGTAGACTTATTTCAAAGGAGTGGATATCAAGATTTAGATTTCATCTTGCCTGGATTAGAAATTTTATTAGTTATGAATGCCTTTGGATATTTAGAAAGGGAGAATCTTGAGATTTGTTTAACCAAAGTACAAAATACATTAGAAAAGATTTATGAGAGAGAAAAGATGGAATATATGGTTAGATTACGAGAGCTTGTACCTACTACAGACCCACCAAACTATTATGATCAACGAGCTATCCTCTTATTGATAAAGGCATCTATTTTAAATTCACTTGATAGACATGAGGAGACCATTGTTCATTTAAATTGGATCTTGGATCATAAGGATCGTATTGAAAATGAAAAATGGGTTATTCCTTTTACATACTGGGGTAAAATTGATAACTATAGGGAAAGAGGAGAAGAAGAAGAAGAAAAAAGGAAAAAAAAGGAAAAAAAAAAAAGACTAAATTAGCTAACTAACTAAAATGTGTGTGTATATGTATTTAGAATCGGGTGTCACTAGTTGGGGAATGGGTAAATATAAAAAAAGTCGCAAATTATGGCAACTAGCGATGACAAGTACAAAATATGATTTTGAATATCGTATGGCAGTTCGGTTAAGTTTAGCACTTGGCAAATGTGATGAAATGGGTGTACCTCATATTGAAGAAGAAGACATGAAAGGCTCTATGACAATAGGACGAAAAAGAATGCCTATCTTAAACTCATAATTATTTCCTTTTTTTTTTTATCTACTGAAAATATATAATTGTATATTATTATAAAATAAAACAAAGTAAAATAAAATAAAGCAAAATAAAATAAAAAATAAAAATGATATAGGTATTTTTGCGCATATATTTAGGGAAAAAAAGTCTTATTCTCCGGGTAATAACAATAAATTTGAATGTCTTGGAAATATAATCTAATAAATGAACTGAGTTATTACATGATAAAAAAAAAAAAAAAAAAAAAAAATTATAATAATAAAAATAATAGCGAAAAAAACAAAAGGAATGATTAGCACTCAATAATTAAACGTCATTTATTATTTCATAAATTAATATAAAGTCTATTTTACAAAAGAATCTCGAGAAAGAGTCAATATTAATTGACAGTTTATTTAACTATAATATGCACATACAGTAAGACATGATCTCGACTTGAAAAAAATAAAAAAAGAAAATATGTATTATGTAAAACCTTTTAAATTATATGTATTTGTTTCCCCTACCATGTTATTTTCACACTATGAAACGACTGATTAGGGAAATAGTTATAATTTTAAATAGAGGAACAATAGGTATTATTTTACATTCATGTATTGGATTGCCTACTTCTTCACAAAAAGAGTTGATTTTATATACACTGATTATTCTTACAAGAAATTATCTTAATTTTGTTATAATATAAACAAGCAGATACACACATAATACATGCATATGAATATGTACGTGTAACTTTATTTATTATAAATTTGAGATCGACTTTTAGATAAGCACGAGTTTTCATAAATGAGGAAATGAACTCCTACTGAACAATTTTACTAAATTATATTTGTGTAGCATTTAATGAGCATCACTTTATATTGTGAATCTTTAGCCCTCTCTCTCTCTCTTCTTTTTTTTTTTTTTTTTTTCTTAATAATTATTCTTATTCTTTTTCTCTTCTCATATCTTCTTGGAATAACTAACTGTAAATGAAGCTTCTTATTTGTATCTCTATTTGTATATTATCGTTTATTTTAAATATCGCCGAAGCAAACAAAATATACGGTCGTGGATTAGCAACCGTAATGACTTTTGATAATTCAACTATGGACTCTTCTAATGTTTTGGATAAGCGTGGAGGTCGCGGTACATGGTATGTAAATTTATAAAAAAGAAAAAAAAAAGATCAAAATATGAAATTAACTTGTCAAATATGACATTCATTAGGTATTCTGGAACCGGTTTAAAGCATGCAGCTTGTTATGGTCGTAAGGGTCTTCCTGAATTTTCTGCTAAACCTCATAATATGATCGGTGCTATGGTAGAGTATCATCTATCCATAATAACGCCTTTAATATACAATCCATCTGTATATTGAATTTTTTTTTTTATGTATTCATTTATTTTTCTCTCTTCTTTATATATAGGCAATGCATCATTTTGAAGAATGCTATAAATGTATGAAAATTACCAATAATAGAAGGAAGAGTAGAACTGTCATTGTCAAAATTATTGATAAATGTGCTGGCTGCAAGGTTGGAAAGGCTATTGACTTGTCTCCTGCTGCATTTAGAAAGCTCGCTGACCTTGAACAAGGTGTGGTTGATATCTCTTGGAAAGTTGTTCGTTGTCCAAAGGATATTGAGCCCAGAATGGGCCCCAAAAGACATTAAATAATTACATGAATGTAAATTTATATCCTTTCTAAATTATTATAAAATTTCTCTCTATTTCTCTCTTTTTTATATATATACATATATATTTATATTTCTTTTGCGCTTATATTACATAAGCAATACAAATACATACATGATACTATTTATCCCGTCTATAAAAACTATAATTCTCTACCTTGTTTTGCCTGTGAATAAATACATATATAAACCGTTTTTATTTATTTTTAATTTTTTTTTTTTTGTCAAGTTTCCATGTTTGCCGAATATCCAATAAAAAAAAAGAACTACTACTAAATGAAAACTAAATACTAACTAAAAAAAAGAAAGAAAAAGAAAGATATAGAGGAACGATATTTATATATATACATATATTAAATGGTGGTGTATATTAGTTCTTCTTTTCTTCAGCTTCAGCCTTTTGAAGGAATTCACGAATAAATGCTTCTTCATCAGTAGAACTAGCTTGAATAGGAGGAGTAGCGGGTTGAGGAGCCTTAGGCTTTAACATAGCCCAAGCACCGAGAGCAGCATAAGAGCTAATGAAAAATATGGCAAGCTAAAAAAAAAATAAAATAAAAATAAAAAAAAATAAATGTTAAAATGTCGAATTAATATTTTCTTCACAATTGAATCTCGCAAATGATTGAATTATTTCCATTCCCTTCGACCATATACATATATGCGTGTATATATATATGTATGTATATATATCCCCTTTTACCTTGTGATTAGGAACTTTTTTCCTGCAATAACGTAATGACCTGCCATTTTATTTCTTCTTTCTTGTTTTATAAAAATAAAATAAAATAAAAAAGGTGGGGAAAGTTGCAAATAAAAAATAATATTAGATTATTTCACCAGGGGAAAAATAATTAGGGCAGTGTTCGGTACACAGCGGGGCAAGGAAATCAAAGTCACTGATACTTAACGTCATCAATAATTAACATACTCTCTTATAAAACATTTTAATTGGCTAATAAATTATGTTGTAGTAGCATAAAAATTGATTTCAATTTGCATAGGACACAAAGTCGATGTACAGATATTTGGTGTGCACCAAGGGATTATAAACTCTTTATAGTTCTACTACTTATCAATGCATTCGTTTATATGAGATTACTTGACTCCTGTTTATTAAAATACTAGAATAAAATAAAATAAAGCATAACTAAATTACTTGAGTCTTTTTTTATGATGTAAACGAATGACGCATTTTATAAATAAAGTAAATATGCATAATAGTATCTATTATTATTATTATTTTTTTTAATAAAAATATAAACATATAAAAAAAAAAAAAGTCCTATAATAATGCAAAGTATCCTTTATTTATTTATTATTTATTTCTTTCATTCTTTCCCTTTTTTTTTATTCTATTTTCTTTATCCCTAAATGAGTAAGTGAAATTCTAATATTTATCTTTAACTGATTTTTTTTTTTGAAGCTGTACCTGAAAATACACCTAAAAATCTTGAAGCTCAGTTAGCTCATCGACCTAATCTTCAAGACTTGATTGATAGAAATATTATTAAGGGTACTAACTAACTCATATATAACAGTTTAGTCATTTTTATTACTAAACACTATTATAGATCCTAAAATTGCTCCTGCTATTCAACAACAAAGAGATGAACTGGAAAAACGAAGAATTGAAGATTCTTTACGTCATAAAATTGACCATCGTCCATCGCCTGAATTACTTATTGAACAAAATATTTTGAAGGGTATATTATTATGTAATATATGTGTATATAGAAGATGATATAATAACGTGTTTTATTATATTACAATAACAAAAAGATTCAAAAGTCTCACCAGCTCTTCAAAGACATCAGCTTGACTTGGAACGACATATATTACAAGACACTTTGAATCATAAAATTCAAGATAGACCTAAGCTTTCTACTCTTATTGAGCAAGGTATTTTAACAACAGGTAAAGTGTTTAAAGAAGTAGTTGATATTATTTACTTTGAAAATATAAAAATAAAATAGAATAAAATAAAATTGACTTTTTTTTAATAAAATATATATAGAAGAAGTTCCTAAATAAGAATGAAATGACGAAATATCACAAATGAGAATCTTTAAAGCGTTTATGATTCAAGTAAATAAATTTAGCGTTTAGTGTATAAATGCGTTACATATAAAGAAGACAACACAAGTTTTTTTTTTATTTTATTTTTTTTATTTTCCTTTTTTTTTATTTTCTTCTTCTTTTTCTTCTTTTCTCTTTTTTCTTTCAAACTATATCAATGATTTCAAATATATTCAAATTAAGGACAGCCTCTACTATTTCTAATTTGCTTGCTAGAAATAGTACGTTTTATGCTCGTTCTTTGTCTACATTTGAAAAGCATCGTTCTGTATTTGATACTCTTGGTATTGAAAAGACAAATAATAAAGGCGTCTTTGATGGAGAATGGAAAGGTTCTGGTGACATTGTAGCCTCTTATAATCCAGTAAATAACGAAGTGATTGGCGAAGTGATTACTGTAAGTAACATTTTATTTTATTTTTCCCACGAAACAAATTTCCCACACATATTGAATGAATATTATTTAGGGTACAACAAATGATTTAAATGTAGCTCTTGACAAGGTGGCTGAAGCACAAAAGATATGGAGAGAGGTTTGTAGTAGTTTATGTCTAAAAAAAAAAAAAATGGTAGTGTTCTTTACTGATCTTTTCCCTCCCCACCCCCTTCTTCTTCTTGATAGATTCCCGTTCCTAAACGTGGTCATGTCTTACTTACAATGAGGAATGCCCTGGTTGAGCATTTGGAACCTTTAGGAAAATTAGTTGCATTAGAAATGGGGAAAATTTTACCTGAAGGAATTGGTGAAGTTCAAGAATATATTGATATTTTAGAATATGCCTTGGGTTTATCTAGAATGCTTCAAGGTTCTATCATTCCATCTGAAAGACCTGGTCATGCTATGTTAGAAACTTGGAATCCATTGGGAACTGTAGGTATCATTAGTGCCTTTAACTTTCCAGGTAAGAATTTTTTTTTTCTTTAATAAAAAAAAAAAAAATATCGTATCATATACATATATCCAATACTCCTTCATATTCTTTAGTCGCTGTATACGGTTGGAATTGTGCTATTGCTCTTGTCACAGGAAATGGTACGCTTTGGAAACCTGCACCTACAACTCCTCTTGTTTCAATTGCTGTCACACGTATTATTGAGAAAGCCTTAAAGCAACATGATCTTCCCACTTCTTTATGTTCTTTAGTTACAGGTGATGCTCAAGTTGGCCAAGCTTTGGTCGCTGATAAACGTTCCCATGTTGTTTCCTTTACTGGTTCAACTCATGTTGGTAGACAGGTTGGCAAAGTAGTTCAAGAACGATTTGGTCGCTCCATTTTAGAACTTGGCGGTAATAATGCTCTCATCGTCACGGATGAATGTGATTTAGATTTAGCTGCTAGAGCCGTTTTGTTTGCTGCCGTCGGTACAGCAGGTCAACGTTGTACTACTACGCGTCGTTTAATTGTACATGAGTCTGTCTATGATCCTCTCATTGAAAAATTGAAAAAGGCTTATCAACAAGTTAAAGTAGGTGATCCTCTAGAAGAAGGTGTCCTGTGTGGTCCACTTCATACAAAGGAAGCTGTTCATGTCTATACGAATACATTAAATAAACTAAAGGAAGAAGGAGGAGAGATTATCGTAGGGGGTCGTGTATTAGACCATGGCTCCTTAAAATCTGGTAACTTTGTAGAGCCTACAATGACTAGAGTACGTCCTGATATGAAGATTGTTCAAAATGAATCTTTCGTTCCTATTCTTCATACCATGACCTATAAGGTAAAAAAAAAAGAGAGAGTTATTTTTATTTTATTTTATTTCTTCTTATTTTATTTTAACATGGCTCATGTATATAAATAGACTTTAGAAGAAGCTATTTATTTTAACAATAATGTAGCTCAGGGATTATCAAGCTCTATATTTACAAATAATCCTTCTACTATTTTCAAATGGATTGGTCCCTCTGGCTCTGACTGTGGTATTATTAATGTTAATATTCCTACAAACGGAGCTGAAATTGGTGGTGCCTTTGGTGGTGAAAAGGAAACAGGAGGGGGTAGAGAAAGTGGTAGTGACAGTTGGAAACAATATTGTAGACGTGGTACTTGTACTATTAATTATTCTGGTGCTCTTCCTTTAGCTCAAGGTATTAACTTTGGTTAAAAAGAAAACTTTGATTTTCTTGTCAGATGGAAAAAAATAAAATAAAATAGATGACATATGTTTGTGTATAATTCATTATATACTACATAAAATAAAAATAAACAGATGTAGATTTTTATTTATTTATTTATTAATGAATTTATTTTATTTTATACATATACAAATATATATGAAGAATGAGTTAGTAATAAACAAGGAAGGGAGTTAAAAAAAGGAAAAAAAAAAAGATGCATGTTATGTATAATACAAAAATAGATACATATGTAATATACATATATATATATCTTAGAAACCAGTATAGATGGCAGCACCACTACAGGGCTTAGTAGCAATGATAGCATCATCTAATTCCTCTTCAGTAATATTAGGATAAGTCTTGCGATAGAATTCATTCTTGAGAACTTCAATAAGCTTAGGGACATTATCTTCAGTGGTCAAGTGAACTGTACTACCACCCCAGCCAGCACCACTCAATCTTGAACCAAAGGAACCATGCTTACGGGCAATCTCACAGACGTTATTAATTTCGGGACATGAGCACATAAACATCTTATCACAGGATTCTTGAGAGGCATTCATGAGGTTACCAAGGGCCTTCAAGGTTGAGTCATCCTTGCTGTTCTCACAGGTCTTACGGAACTCGATGACACGAGATGCCTCAGACAAGACGTGCTTGGTACGTTGAAGGAGACGGAAATAGTCTGTCTCGACGGGGAAACGAGTCATGTATCTAGCCTGAAGTTCCTTGACAGGGATATCGAGCATCTTGGAGACTTCTTCAAGGGTAAAACCATTACCTTCTGTGTTATCCTTGGGATAGTGTTGTTCGGCCTTGGCAAGAAGGTCAGAGAAGCGCTCTACTTCATTAAGAGAGGAATCCTGATAGTAAAGATCATAGACTTCTTTAAGGGTATCAACAGGAGGTAAGTTAAGGACCTTGGCAAGGAAAAGAGCGGCCATGTGGGTTTCGACAACACGAAGGTTATAGTTACGAGGAGCAGTAACGAATTTATCGGCAGTGACCAAGGTATTGGCGATAACGAAGGCTAACTTGGGGCTGGTGACAGGTAAAGGAACAGGTGCAGTGTGGAGCTTAGGAACAAATTCAACATGAAGAGCAAAGTCCTTTTCGGAAAGTACAGATGCACTTTGATCCATACCACCAGAGTTGACACCGACGTTACGTTCAGCAACAATAGCAATCTCGGTAAGTTCGGTCTTTGAAATAGACAATTTGTTGGCCGTCACAACCGCCAAAGCAGAAGCACAGACAAAGGCAGCGGAAGAGGAAAGTCCACCGCCAGCGGGGACAGTACCATCGACCATCAAGAAAAGACCCTTAGGCTTATCCAATCTGAACTTTTCAAGCATACCCTATAATATACAACAATAACAACAACAAAAAAAAAAAGATAAAGGGGTTTTATTATTATTATTATTAATTCCTTTTTCTTTCTCATTAACATTTTTTTTTTTTTTTTTTTTTTTTTTGCTTTTTACCTTATAACCACACTTGAAATAGTTGGACCATTCCAACTTGGTAGCATCAATAGTAACTACCTTATCTTTACCTTCATAATCAAATTCTCTGGCAGGATACTTCTTATCATTGATATTAGCAAGACGAACCTTAGTATCTTCATCTATAGTTGAACCAACAATGATAACATCACGTTCAATAGCCATAGGAAGGACACCGAAACCACAGTAATCAATGTGTTCACCAATCAAGTTGACACGACCAGGTGAACGAACAACAAATTCGGGCTTACGTTGATAAACCTTTTCAAATTCTGCAATAAGTTTCTTATAACGCTTTCTAATAAATTTTAAAACAATATAATCAGACATTACATACACACACACATCACACACAAAAAAAAAAAGAAAAGTAACTTACTCTTGCTTAGGGACAGCGGTAGGATCATAGATCTTATCCAAAGATTCGAAAGAAGGAACAGGAGTAGACATTTTTAGTTTTTGTTTTATTTAAAAGTAAAAATAAAATAAAATAAAATAAAAACCGGATAACAAAAGCTTATAATAGTGTCCTTTTTATATTAATTTTTTTTTTCCAAAAAAATACAGTAGAGTAATAGATTCAATGCAGCATACCTGGGTTTTAAACGGAGTGTGACTATTTGATTTCATAAGCAAGGTTTGTGTAACTATTTCAAAATCAGACGAAGTTCCTTTTCTACGGAAAATGGGAAGCATGTAGCTTTTTTTTTTTTATGCCTCCTAAAGGATATCTTTCTTTTTTTTCATATAATTTTCCATCATTCATATTTTATCCTGCTGCTCTACTTCTTCTTCTCCTTCCCACCCAAAAAAAAAAGCGGGAATTTACCTTATCCTTTACTCTAGTTTTATTTCCTTAATTGGAACTTTAATTTTTTTTAATAAATTTATTTTCTTACAAATTTTGGGAAATAGAGTCAGAAGCTGTATATGTTTTAATGTTGAGAGAGAGAGAGACATATAAAAAAAAATTAAGGATTAAAAGGGCTTTCTTTGCTTACTTAATCATTTTTTTTTTTTATTTTTTTTTATTTTTTATTATTTATTTTTTATTATTTTTTATTATTTATTTTTATTTATTTTTATTTTTTTTTTTTTTTTTTTTTTTTTAGAAAATCATTTCTTTGTGGAGACAAGAATAAAAGGCTTATATTTGTATAAACACATATAATCCTTGAAAATAAAAACCTTACCCAATCAAATTCATTTAGGTCATTTGAAGCGAAAAAAAAAAAAATAAAATAAAAAAAGAGACAAATATACCTAATTTCGGTCTGGCTTTTTGCCGTTAAACAAGCAAGCATTTTTTTTTATCATTGTAAACTCTGTAAAATATTTTTTTTTTTTTTTTTTTTAAAAAAAAAGCCCTTTAATTTTTTTTTTTTTCTAAAAAAAAATAAGAGCAAATAAACAAACTAATTAGCTACATGCATTACAAGTAATTAAGTTTTTTGTTATATTTTATATATTCTTAACAATATTATAAACAGACAAAAAAAAATCGTGTTTATATTCTGGAATTGACAGTGATAACATTCAGCTCTACATTAAACACACATATATACATACATACATACATACATACATACGCATATATACATACGCATATACACATACAGACAGATATTTTAGCATTATAATTATGAATAATAATAATAATAATAATCAGATTAGTAACAGTAATACACATCCATGGATGATGTCTTCTGGTAAGTTTAATAAAGATCTACACATCTTTTATTTATTAATCATTTATTATACATGTATATATAAGCTAATGGACCCGAAGTTTTTAATTATATGGTAACTAGGCCGCCTGGATCTGTGTTGCCCATTCCTCTTACTCAACAACAACAACAAACCAATTCATCGCTACAACCCCAATTACCACCAAGACAGTTTGAACAACCCTTTTCGCCACCTGCGCAGGCGCATGACTATGATTATTCAAAGGTTACTACAAAAGGCAATCGGGCAGTTATTCCCTCGAAAAGAGCAGCACAAAATCGTGCGGCACAGAAAGCTTTTCGACAAAGAAGAGAACAATATATTAAAGATTTGGAAGCTAAAGCGAAATTAATAGATACATGGCAGGAGGAATTACTAGCGCTGAGGAATGAAAACAAAGAATTACGGGAAAGAGTGAGTTTATTAGAAAGTCGAATTGTTATATTGGCAAAAGGTGAAATAGACAAAATACCAGAGATGAGCAATAACAACAGCAACAATAATAGTAATAGTCATAATAGTAATACACCAAAAAAGGTGCCTATACCAGTTTCACCAGCAACTATAATGAGGAAAAACTCTATTGAACAATCCATATCCGTGAATCATAATGAAAATAATTCAATGTCTTCTAATAAGAGATCGCATAGTCATGATTCACCGCGGATAATACCACATGAATTGTCTGATTCAGAAGATAAAAATAATCTTGGCCCAAAACAGTCTATGCCCTTAAGAAGATCCGAACAAACAGAACTTGAGAGCTCTTCATCGTATCCTATAAATGATCATGATTCCATAGGAAATGATAGTTTACGGCAACATGAAGATAATAAAAAACGTAAAATAGTAGATAATACATTAAATCTAGGAGAAACAACAACAACAACGACACCTATGGATCAAGTATCGACGTCAAACAATAAAACGTCTATAAATACAACTGTTATTCAAAACTCAAACAATAATGCAATATTATTGCCTATTCAGGAACCACTCCAATATCCTCCGAACCCATACTGGACAAATAACTCTAATGATCCAAATAATAATAATAGCATAACAGACATCAATCAAGTGCCAGCTATGGGTGGTCCTAGTGACTTTGATTTAGATTTTGATTTTGATCCATTCTTTGAAGAAGACTTTGGTCCTACAATTGCTAATAATAATGAATTTTTACCGAATGCAAATAGTGGACAAGTATTAGATGATCTATTTGCAATGTTACAGACTAGACAAAGACCTCAAATTCCAATGATTCCAATAGAAGAAAATTCAGGATTATTAACCAATAATACAGGAAATTAAACTCTATTTTTTTTTTATTTTTTTATTTTTTATTTTTCGGGAAAAAATAGTTATAATTGTAACTTGTATAATTCATGTGTCATTTTCTTTACTAAAATAAAAAATAAAATGAAATGAAATAAAATAAAATAAAATAAAAAAGAGGGAGAGTAAGAGGAAAAAAAAAGCCGGGGTTTCAAAAAATGGATTACATAATCCACAGAATGGAAAAAACTGGGAAACAATTGTTTAATTTTACTTGAATTATTGGTTTCAAATACTCTTCTTTTGCTGCTTAAAATCAGTAGTAGCAGTAGTAGCAGTAGTGATAGTAGTAGTAGTAGTAGTGGTGGTGGTAATTGTAGATTTATCTCCACAGCTTTTTACTGTAAATAGCCAACCTATTCTTTTTTAAGTAATAATAAAAGAAACAACGAAGAAAAAAAAAAGTATAATTTAACTCTTAATACAAACTATTCGATATATCAACAATTGATGAATGTTAATAACTATCTTTTGTAAAAATAAACTACTATTATAATGTTATGTTCTCTTTTATTTATTTCTTCTTTTAGATGAGTAACAAGGAGACGTTATTATGGCTAATAACCAACCATTAACAACTGTCAGAACATTAACTTATTTGGTATAGAATGGCGCCATTGGAAAAAATAATATCCCTGCTTTCTTCCTCCCTTCTCCTCATTCTTTCTTTTTGGCTTGGGTTCTGGACAATCATACGTTTTATTTCAAATAGGTTAAACCATATTCTGAAACATTCGAATTGTTCTTCCCTTCTTAATAATAAGCTTTTCTTCTTCTATTATTACTATATAATAAAGTAGAAAAGTGTGTCTATAAATATTCATATTTATATTTATATATTCAACAACATATATAAACAAGATAAAACAACAACAATAAACAAGTCTTATTTTAAGCGAGTTTAAAGGGCAAATAAAAAACAAAGAAGGTAAATTATTTGGATTCTATGATAAATAGCAGGCGTTTAAAAATATTATCCGCATAAAGAAAATCAGAAAAAAAAAAAAAAAAAGAAATGTAGGCTAAATTTGCTGACTTTTTTTTTTATATTTTATTTTATTTTATTTTCGATCAATATATTTTTTTTGCATAAATAGCTTACTTGTATCGAATCCAAAAGTAAATCTGATGAAAATACACACATGTATTCCTCTTTTCAATGTCTTTTTTTTTGAGTTAACTTCATAATACAGTGTAAATGAGTCCTGTGAATGTTGTGATAAAGGCTTGTAAAAAGAATACAATAGAGAAACAAGAAACTAGCACGCATTTTAATTTAAACTTAATTATAGTAAAAAAAAAAAAAAAAATAAGCTAACAACTTGAAAAGGGTTTCTCTCATATTCTTAGAGAAATTATGCGAATTGTCGGTGTTAATTCACTTTGTATATTATATATGCACCCAATGAGCCCTCTATTTTTTTTTTTTTTTTTTGAGCTACAAGATTCGAAAATTAACATTTCGACTTGAAAAAAAAATTCCTTATTATCTAGTATTTTTTTTTTCTTTCTTTTTTTTCTTCTTCTTCTTCTTTTCTTTTATATTATATTTTTTGAGAAAGAAATGGGTAATAAAAATGAATTGATTTGCTTATGTAACAAGGAAGAACAGAGACTAGTTTATATTTGCTTAAAATCAAATAAATAACTCTTTTTTTTTTTTTTTTTTTTTTTTTTTAATAGAAAAGTCTTTTGATTTATCGAATAATAACGAAGAAAATATAACTTCACCACAACAATTATTAGAACAAAGCGCACTCCAATATGTTGATAATGACACTAACATGATGTTTAACCCTGATCATTACTCAGTTACACCAGAGCAACAGAGTAATACAGACGAAATAAGATATAACAATAATTATAATAACAATAGCTCTACAATGACTTCTTCGTCTGAAATCTATCAACAACCAGAAAATATGTCTGTTTATCAAAATAATATTCATCCATTTGATGCAATCTATAATCAAAATATCTCTCCTACTTTCTCATCTCAGCAGCAGCAGCAAGAGAATCAACTTAGTTTTGGTAGATATTAGATACATATTATATATTATTATATTATTTAGAGCTGGGCTAGGTTAGACTTACTTACTTTGTTAAAAATATATGTATAAAGATCAATTCATATATAGTCAACATCGAGGAAGTTTGGATATGATTCATGAAAATAGCTTGTTTAGTTCATCACAAGAACCATCAAGTATTCAACCACCGGAACCTAAAATAACTTATCATCGTCGTCATACAGAGAGTGCGATCCCTACAAGGAAATATAATAGTAGCGGTAGAAGACAAAGGACGCATTCCACTGGTGGAGATAATAAAAAGGAGGACATAGATGAAGAGAGTAAACGAAAACAATTTTTAGAAAGAAATAGACAGGCAGCATTAAAATGTAGACAAAGAAAGAAACAATGGCTGGCTAATTTACAAGATCGAGTCGAATTCCTTACTACGGATAATGAACAACTTCAATGTCAAGCTACTATGTTAAGAGAGGAAGTATTGAACCTAAAAACATTATTATTGGCACATAGAGATTGTAAAGTTGCACAAGCTAATGGTGTTACTATGGAAATGCTCAAAAACATTACAGCCAATAGTATGACACCTTTTACTACTACTACTACTACAAATAGTAATATGATGATTGGAAATCAAAACAATATGCCACTTACTACTACTGTTGCTCCAATGAGCGATCCTATACAACACCCACAAAAACAACAACAGCAACGATCTTTATCTCTTTCTTCATTACCACAATAAGTTTTATTTATTTAATTCTCTTTTGTTTGTCTTTTTTTTTTTTTTGAAAGAAAAAAAAAATGCCTTATATAAATAAGTGTGTATGTACATGTGTGTATGCGTGTGTTTATATGTGAATAAAATATATATATATATATGTGTGTATATACATGTATGTATATGTATTATAGTGATATCCACTAATATTGTTATATAAACTCATTCGAAATAGACATGCATATCATCATTTTAATAACTATTTATTATTTATAGTTTCACAATATCTGATCTCTTGCATATAGTAATCATGATTCTAATATATATGAAATAATTGTAAAATAATAATAATAATAATAATATAAAAATACTATATATAGGGAGAGATAGAATAGAGTATAAGATATTAGATAAAGAATAAACAAAGAGATTAAAATCCAATTTAATAATGAAGAATGTATCCTGTTTCTTCTTATTCAAGAAGTTATACGGAATTTCTTTGGCTTGCCGTCTTTTTTTTTTTTTTTTTTTTTTTTCTTAAAAAAAAAATTTCTTCGTTAGATTCCTGCGTCTATCGATTTAGTTCTCTTCAAATAAGTGACATAGATCTCGATCTATCTTTCTTTATAGAATGAACGAAATGATTTTTCGATTTGTTTATTCTTTTGTAGTTGTAATTCACTTGTTAAATTCATTAAGACACCTTCTATCCTTTTGTAGAAGAGAAGATATCCTTCAGAGTTAGTATCGTCTAACAATTATCTTTCATTTTTGATAATCATCATCTTCTTCTTCTTCACCTTTTTTCTTTGTGGGTCTATTATACTATCTGTTACGTTTTGTTTCTCTCTCTCTCTCTCTCTCTCTCTTTTATCCTATATACATGCATCACATCATTTGTGCTAATAACAAACCTTTTGTCAGCCCTGAATTTTTGATAATGAGTCAATTCTCTCAAATTTTCATCTAGTGTACAAGATTGAGAGAAAGACTGTTGTAATTGATTATCAATTAAATGACAAGGGTTCCTCCATAAACGTTCAATATATCAAGAATAGAGTACACTTGTAGCCTGTGTAGAAATAAATAAATAAAATAGATATATAATAATAAATAAACGAAAAAGGACATTATCATTTATTTGAAAAAAAAAATTAACATAATAGTCATCAGATGTATTACTAAAGATATTAGTTCTTCGTTACTTAACTAATAGAAAAATAAAAATAATATTCATCTAGCTTGTAAGACTTAGCTTATACAATATACATATAAATATATCTTGTCATATATACACACATCATGAGTTGGTATTTCTGTTTTTAGTAAATGAAAAGAAAAACATTCATGTAAAAGAGGTAATAATATGTATGTCGGGCATACAGAGAATGACTATATATACATATTTTATATAAAGCAACAATAAGGTTTTATGCCTTATTCATCATTTGCTTTGGTATATCATTGTGTCTATATATATTTATACATGATGTTAATAATAAAAGGATTTATTAAAGAATATACATCTATTTTTATATTATATAATATAATGCACTTTATTCTCTATGTAAATTACAAACATACTACTCATAATTCTATAAGCCATAAAATATAACAGTTTGCTCTATACGTGTGTGTGATATAATTCTTTCTTTCTTTTTAATGATAATAAAAGGGTTGTGTTAATACAGTAGGATATATGGCACTGGCATTATACTGTTTATTAGGATAGATGGTCCTAGATGAACCATTTGCGGTATGATAAATTGGATGTGAAAGTATAGTATGATAATGTTGAGCTGATGGAAGACAATGCAAACTATTATCTCCCTGAATTGAATAAGGATATATTTCGGTAGGTAATCCATAAAAACTATTGTAAATGTTATAATTAACAATTGGATCTGATGAACGATTTGTTTCTTCAATAGCCGTATCGCATGTAGCATTAGGAGATGAATATACAATGGGTGTATAGCCTAATCGAGACTTGGACTGTATAGTTGGACTACAAAAGGAAAAGGTACTAAAATCTGAATCACGGTCCAACTCGGTAGAAAGATCACGAAATCGAGAAGAAGAAGAAGATGACGACAACGACGAAGACGAAGACGAAGGGTCCGGGCTAGAAGATAAAGTGGCTCTTGTAGTCATGGGAGTAATGACATGTTTATTTTCAAAAGGTGTATTATATACTTCTCTTTCATAAATAGATACACTTTTTTCTCGAGAAGTTTCAGTGGAAGTAGAAGTCATGTCGTTTTCATAAAGTTCTAATAGCTTTTTCTTATTATCAAAGTCTTGAGCATAAAAGTTATCGTTAGAACGCTTTCGATAAGCTCTCTTTTTTCCTACTCTCTTTTTTGGAGCAAACTTATAATCAGGATATCTATTGAATAACAAAAAAATGTAAGAAGAAAAATAAGAAGAGAAAATGTTCATCTTTATACTTACAATTTCTTGTGTTCTAATTTAATTTTATCGGCTTCAAAAATATAATGTTGTTTTTCTTTTTCTGATAATTCTTTCCACCATTTCGAAACAATCTTTGATATATCTCGATGATTTGCTCCTGGACATTTATCAGCAATTTCGCGTTGCTTTTCTAAACGAAAGATCATGAAGCTATTCATTGGACGTGGAATTTTTGTAGAAGTATTTTTAATAGTGGTAAAATGTTTTGTTAATGCAAACATGATAATAATATATGTGTATATAAAAAAATAAAAAAAAAAATGACAGTTGATATCTTGTATTATATAAGAACACGCAAAAAAAAAAAAAAAAAAAAAAAAAAAATAATAATAATAATAAAAGAGATATAATATACCTATTGATATATTTGTATCATGTTTATATAGTACTGAGTGCTTGTTACATTTCTTTATAATTCCTATATATTACATGCATCAACTTATATTTTACCAAATAATATCCTTTTTTTTTTATTACGGTACAATTTAATTTCATTGTTTATAACATATATTTTATTATTCGAACAAAGGCCAAAAAAAAAGAAAAAAAAAAAGATCACAGACAGTAACCTATGCATATAACAAGAATACTCTAATAATGTCCCTGCATATATTATATCATAGCAATATTATATGTCTATTTTTATTTTTTTATTTTTTTAATATTCAAACAAAAATAGTTTTAATTATATCTTTATTTAACTTTTAATATATTATTGTTCAAAGCAGAGCCTATATTATAGTGTGAGGTTTCAATATATAATCTTCTAATGTATAGTATATTTTAATACTCATGTTTCTTTTATATGTAGTCTTTCTATTAAAGAAGAAAAAAAAATCTTATTTGCAAGCAGCATGTATATATATGCATTATAAGCCAGTGCATATATCTTTATGTCTCCTTAATGTAACTGGTTTTCTTTGTTTCTCGGCTTTAAAAAAAATAAATAAATAAATAAATAAATCTCCATTTACGGAATGAAAGGAGAACTATTGAACAATCATTTTTATTTACAGATCAGTGTTTTTATCCTATATCATGTTGTTGGGAGAAAGGGAGTGGGATGTTTTGAGGCTTTACTTTCATTTGGCACGTAACTTTTAGCTTGTCACATTTTGAAGTACTCTAAGCACTTCTGTAAGAAAAAAAAAAAAAAAGAAAAAAAAATACGCCTAGTGTATAGAAACTAAAAGAATAGACAACGGGAGGTTGGGGAAGGTTCTTTTATTATTATTAATATTATTTAAACAGTCATTTAAACGCGATGCAATATGTTTAATTAAAATCATGATAGTTGCAAGCTTTGATAATTTGTGTTTGCAAAAGTATATAATGGCTTTTTAACGACTGACAAAAAAAAATACCTCTACGGGGGGGAAGGAATCAATTTAGATGAATAAGGAGGCAAATAGATGCAATTATAGTCTCTCTTCTCGATAAGTTGTTTTATATTAATTTGTTTATGAACGAAAATAACGTCTATTTAGCTTATAACTTGCCCAATTATCTTGGAGATATTGCCTTTCACTCACGCCTAAATTACTTGTCTTTTTTGGTGTATATGTTCCCTTTATGAACACTAATGATTTCCCTTATATCCAATATAATAGCCTGATATTTTCAAAAAATAAAAAAAATAAAAATAAAAATTCGAAGGTATTGAGATAATTAATCCACCATTACAACAACTCAATCTTCAAAAATATGAATTTCCTGGGAGGAATTTTTTTTTTAAAACCTTCTGTTAGTACCCACTGTCTTTATTAAACTTACATCTCTACTATTAACTCTACACAGTATATAGTGTCTTTAAATGATTGTACATAATGGATCATTTGACTTACAGTCCCTATAGTGTAGGACCCAAAGAAAATCGGTTTACAGAAGAGTGTTTTGAGGCTTGTTGTATAACCTTTTTATAAAGGATGAAAGGACAAAGATAAAGGTGAAGATAGCATATTCTGTCGAGTATTTATAATGATAGGTTTGTACTGATGACCTTGTTTTCAACTCTCAAGATACTTCTTTTATTGTATCATATCATTGACTATACTTTCACAATAGGACTCATTAGAATTCACAACTAGAATGATGGCCATCCAGCTTTTAATACATTTAATGTAACTGGTAGTTGGAACAAGGAGCTGACAGTTTTCTAAACAAAAAAATATTATTATGTAAAAAGTGAGCCATTGACAGAATGTATGAATAATAATCTTTTGTTTCATTTACTACTATTTGCTGTGATCGACACTAGTTTTACTACTACTACTACTACTACTATAACGGCATTTTAAATTTGAACATACCATAAAAGGAAATACACAAATCTAGTATACATATAAAAAAAAACCAGGCCCTCCCTCCACCTTTTTTTTTTAAACAAATTCAAAAAAAAAAAAGAAAAGAAAAAAAAGAAAGAAAGAGAGAGATGTCATTACGAACAAATATATTAAATCTTTCTAATAAATTCACATCTATGCACTGGATGCGTCAAATATCAACAATACACACCTTTAAGAAAGTAAGACATACGTTTAAAGAAGACACCACCTTCGCATTACCTAGTGTATTAGCGAATGAGGCTCCATCGGAAGCTGACAATCCTCCTCCTAGTGCTTATTCAGGTAGATCGATTGGACCTGTTTCAAATCCCATTATAGCTTATAAACGTCTAGGCTCCATCCTACATCAAAATAATGTTCGTAAAGAGTTACGTGCAAATAGATATTATGAAAAGCCTAATGTCGCAAGAAGAAGAAAGAATATTGAACGAAACCGTAAATTATTTGGAGCTATGGTAGGAAAGAAGGTTGCACTTATTATGCAAATGAAGAATAGGTAATTATCCATGGACTTTCATTTTAGTATTTGACTAATTAAAGTTACTTTTTATTATTATAGAGGCATTTAATGATCGTATAATTATTAGATAATAAAGTAGTTTTTTTTTTTTTTTTTTTTTTTGGTCATTTGTTGTTTAAATATACAATTTTTTTTTATCCATCTTCTTTTATGACATAAACATAGTACTACTACTACTACAACTAAAAATGGAAGGTGATAAGTAAATACAATTTAATAACCTAATCCTAGATTAGTGGGTGCTCTAATATTTTCCATTCTACATAAATCACGAACAATAAAGTGCCATGCATCCTGCTCTAAACCAACACGACGACCATATTCCCATAATTTTTGTCGCTTATATTCATATGTCTTTTCATCAATTCCTTTTAGGATCTCGTCTAATCGATGCACTTCATCACGACGAACACGAACAATGAATGAATCCCAGTCAACATCAAATTCAAAGGGTTCAATGATGCCATCGGCAATAACAACAGGGACAACGCCAAATGCCATAAATTCCCAAATTCGAGTTGTATCCAAAGTCCAACCCATAGGACTTAATCCATATTTGGCTCGACTTAATTTCCCTAGATATTCTTGATCAGCAATCACTTGACCAATTTCATAATCAGGATAATGTGCAAAATATTGAAATATCAAGGAACGAATGCCGTTTGAATATTCATCTTCTGGTTTAACATCGGGACAACATCCCTGAAAGAGCACAAAGATGTCTCTTTTACCTGATTTGGGGTGACCGTCCTGAGTCAAGTAATCTAAAGGATTCACATGTAAATGATGAATCATGCGAGTTGCAGAAGGAATGACAATATCTCGATGATAACGATGACGATGCATCCATTTTTCTCTTTTATCACCCACTGTTTTCAAGAAAATAGCAGGTTGAAAACGATGATTATTTTTGTAATAAGTAAAAGTCTGATCCATGGGATGGATCATGATGTGGTTTTTACCACCTGATTGATTCCAATAAGGATAATCGTGAATAACCATGTCCATCATAGGATCTACATAAATACTATCCACATCACAACGTTCATCCCATTTCCAATTGTGCTGAGCCCAACAATTATAAAGATAGCAGGCACCAAAGAAAGGAATAAAATAAAAATCAGCTTCATCCGGCTTTTCGGTTACATAATATTTATAAAAGGGACTTGAGGGATCAGTAAGTTGATTATGAAGAATGATTTCGGAATTATAATTTGATTCATGACATCTCCCTTCTTGAACTTCCTTTGGAACTTGGAATGTATCTGGTACTTTATAGACATAAATCTTTGGTTGACAAACAGTTTGTTCTAAAGGAGTTGGCCAATATGAAGGTAAGTCTCTAATAGGAAGTGGTGGTGCAGATAATACCGATGTTGACTTTAATGTAAATACTATACAAGTAAGCAATAATACAGTAGTTCCAGTTAATAAAAGAATCCATCTTTTATTAAATCTTAGAACTGTTGTCATCTGCAATAATGTAATGGTAATAGAGGACAAAAAAAAAAAAAAGTTTTGTAATAGCTTTAATCTAATATTCGAAAAAAAAAAATATTCAAATTTGATTGGCTATTCTATTAATTTATTGACATTCTTGACAATTTAGAATGAAAAGATGATTATTATTTCATATAAAAAAAACAACTTTAAATCCCCTTTCTTTCTTTCTTTCTTTCTCTCTTTTTATATAAATATTTACTTATATGTTTATATGAATAATAAGTCTTGGAGTTACATGTTTAATGAATATTTGAAGTAGTAAAGAAAAGGTGTTACAAATTTTACAAAAAAAAAAAAAAGCCCAAAATTGCGGAGATGAAGAAGTTGTTAAATTCACTCGCCATCTTTTTTTTTTTTCTTTCCCCAGGTTTTTCTTTTTTTTTATTATTTTAATTCAAGAATATGTTGGCTTCAATTACTTCACGCATTGCTATTCAAGTAACTCAAGACATAAACAGAGTTGTATATAAAATCTGATTTCTAATGTTTTCTTTTCTTTTTCCTCATTTCATTAGACGTCATCTACTTTTATCAAACGCTTCTATGCTACAGGAGCAGCAGGTGCTAGTGTACTTTTACTTGTTGAACATAAAGATGGCGCCATTGGTGGTGCTACGTTGAATGCGTTAACAGCTGCTACCAAGTTAGGCGGATCAGTCACAGCTCTTGTTGCTGGTGATGCGCCTGAAGGTATTGCAAACCAAGTAGCCAAATTAGCAGGTGTCTCTAAAGTCTTGACAGCTAAAGATGCAGCCTATGCCAATTTTTTACCTGAAAATATGGCACCCCTTTTGGTTACCACACAAGCTCAATTTGGATTTACACATTTGGTTGCTGGTCATACTGCAGTTGGTAAAAACATTTTACCCCGTGCTGCAGCATTGATGGATGTAGCAGCTATTTCTGATATTACTGGTATTGAAAGTGAAGATACCTTTGTTCGACCTATTTATGCTGGTAAATAATGTGTTGTTATTGTACTAAGCTCTACTCTTTTTTTTTAATTTCTTTCTTTCTTTTATTTATTTATTTTTTTTTGTTATTATTATTAGGTAATGCTATTGCAACTGTTAAATCAAATGATAAAGTAAAAGTTCTTACAGTTCGTGGCACTGCATTTGAGGCAGCTAATTCTAAAGAAGATAGTTCCCCTGAAGAAGTTGCACCTAATGCTGATAAACCTGAATTAACTCAATGGTTAGGTGAGGAGATTCAAAAGAGTGATAGACCTGATCTTGGTTCTGCTAAACGTGTTATTAGTGGTGGACGTGGTATGAAGAATGGTGAAAATTTCAAATTATTATATGATTTAGCTGATAAAATGGATGCAGCAGGTAAAAGAATTGTTTATTTATTTATTTTTTTCACATGCTCATTAATTGAGTACGACTAAAAAAAAAAAAAAAAAAAAAAAAAAAAAAAAAAAAAAAAAAAAAAAAAAAAAAAAACCTTCCCTCCCCAAACTTTAGTGGGCGCTTCTCGTGCTGCTGTTGATGCTGGCTTTGTTGATAATTCATTACAAGTAGGCCAAACTGGTAAAATTGTCGCACCTGGTAAGTAATCCCTCTTTCATGTGTGTATAATATAATTAACCTTGTTTAATAGAACTCTATGTTGCTGTTGGTAAGTGATGATGATAAATTTGATTGCGTGGGAAATTTAAATTTCCTTTTTTAGGTATTTCTGGAGCTATTCAACATCTTGCTGGTATGAAGGATTCCAAGACAATCGTAGCTATTAATAAGGATGCTGATGCACCCATTTTCCAAGTTGCTGATTATGGTCTTGTTGATGACTTATTCAAAGTTATTCCTGAAATGACTGAAAAGATTAGCAAATAATAGAGAATCGTATTTATTGCAGCTGTTATTAATAAAATAAAGAAAAAAAAATGTCATAGATAAAAAATGACACAAGCAAGTTTATTCACTTAAAAAAAAAAAGCTATAATAACCTTTCCCTATTATCCTTGATTCGATATCACTTTAAAGGGAAGTTGTCCTTTATAATATAACTGTATATGTTTATTAATATAGGTGTAATTCTACTTTACAAATACAATCTAATTGGGAGTAGGTTATAACAAAAGATATTAGTAACAAGTGATACGTGTTTTTTTTAAAAAAAAAAGAATAATAATAATAGTAGGGCTGTAGTGCTACTGTATAAACTTTTTTTTTTTTTTTGGAATGTCCAGACCTTTTTTTTTGTTCTTACTATTACTATTTTAGGTAAAATGGGATTTTTTTTTGCCAAAAATAGTGAAAATCCTAACATTCCGTCTTTTTTTTTTTTTTTTTAACCCCATACTTTTAATAATTATTATTATTTAAAAAAAATAAACGGGCAAAACCAACAGATGCTTGCTACTACACTAAAGCCTTCATTAGAAACAAATTCAACCATCATTTCACCTTTAAAACAACCCAAATACAGTCAAACACAAGCCTCACCTTTTTGGTTTGGTGGAGCTGCCTCTTGTCTTGCCACATTTGTTTCTCATCCATTTGATCTCACAAAAGTTAGACTTCAAACTTTACATTTAGAAAATACAACATTCTGGTCTGAATTCAAACTTTTAAGTCCTTCTCGCATGTTCAAGACGATTTGGTCTATTGCTAGACATGAGGGATTTACTGCTCTGTATAGTGGTCTTTCCGCAAGTTTGCTAAGACAAGGTACTTATTCAACAATACGATTTGGTTTATATGATCAGTTCAAATGGTATGTGGCAGGTGATCAAAGTATGTCTCCTTTTTTTTTCTTTTTTTTTCTTTTTTTTTTTTTTTTTGAGAGAGAGAGAAAGAGAGAAAAGACATCAGTATATATAAAAAAGGAAAAAAAAATAAGCTTTATTCATTTCTATTTATTATTTTGTAGAACCTACTGTACGTCAATTGATATTTTGTTCTACAATGGCAGGTGCATTAGGTGGAGCATTTGGTAATCCCAGTGATGTAGTTAATGTGCGCATGCAAAATGATGGACAATTACCAGTTAATCAAAGACGAAATTATAAAAACGTGGTGGATGGACTGATAAGGATTTGTAGAGAAGAGGGACCTAAAGTATTATTAAGAGGAGTTGGATCAAGTACAAATCGTGCCATCTTAATTACAGTATCTCAAATGTCAAGTTATGATATGTTTAAACAAAAATTAATAGATAAGCTAAACTTCAAGGATGGACTCGTTAGTCATTTTATATCAAGTTTATTAGCTGTAAGAAAATAAGATTAGATAGGAAGGAAAGAAAAGCTAAGGTTAATATGAATCTATTTTATTTAGGGACTTGTGGCAACTACAGTTTGTTCACCTTTAGACGTTGTAAAGACACGCATTATGAGTGCAACTTATTTAGATGACAGGAAAAGAAATCCAATTAAAATTATGACTTGTATGGTAAAAACAGAAGGATTTGGATCATTATTTCGTGGATGGATGCCTGCATTTGTTAGATTAGGCCCGCATACGATTGTTACTTTTATTGTACTTGAGCAACTAAAAGAATGGCATAAGAAAAAGACACTATTATAGATTCTATTTATTTATTTATTTATTCATTAATAAAACTTAATTATTTATTCACTATTCTATTCTATTCTATTCCAACTTGAACACCTCCAGTACCGAGTCTAAGTTTTCTAGTAACAGTACTTGGAATTTCATCTTCATGATGTGTGACCATGATGAATGTCTGTTCAGGCTTTAAATGTTTCTCTAACCAATCATTTACATTACTAATCATTGTATCATCTAAACCTTGAAAGGGCTCGTCCCAAATAATTAAATCAGGCATTTTCACCTATATCCATAATTTATAAGAATAACGAATGAATATACATGTACATAGACATATAAATATAGACATATACATATAGTTATATATATATATGCATATAGTTATACATATAGTTATACATATATATATATACATATATATACATACATATCTATATTTTTGTATTTATTTACCAAAGATCGAATAAGTAAAATTATACGTTGCTCACCAGTCGACATGTCTTTTAATCGTCTATTCAACATGGATGTCATACCAAATTCATTAAATAACCTTTCAATTATCTTTGTTTGTTTTTCATTGATAGGACGAGGAAGAAGGACATCAAAGAAGCCAGTCCCGGCTGCTTCTAAAGCTGTATGATATGGATTAAAATAAAGATGAATTTCAGGACTCACTAAACTAACTCTTTGTTTGATCTCCCAAATAGATTCTCCTGTTCCTCTACGACGTCCAAATAATGAAAGATCATTTGCATATGCTTGTGGATGATCACCGGTTAAAAATGATAAAAGAGTGGTTTTACCTGATCCGTTTGGACCTAATAAAGCCCATCGTTCTCCTCTCTGTATTGTCCAAGTAATATCACGTAAAATGAATTTGTTACCATACATCACTTGTACATGTTTCATTTCAACAATAGGATCAACACCGTTCATTCTCCTTTCTTCTTTTTTCTTTTCAATCGTCACTTCTTTCTTCCTTTTGATTTCCTGGTTTCTTTTTCTTAGATATTCTTCAGCTTTACCCTTCCATTCAATCGACAATTTCTTTAATTCAAGTACATGAGTTGCCCAAGAAGGGAATTCATCTTGAGGTCGAAGGGTCAAGACGATAGGTAAAGATGAGTTTATGGCAAGATGGCCTAGTCTATTTAATAAATAAGAACGATGTTGTCTATCTAGACCCACTAACAAATATATATATATAAGGCAAATTAAGAATAGTGACTCCAGCTTTATGTATTTAAAAATAGAATTGCATATATACATATTCACTTACTTAATGGCTCATCTAATACAAGCATGGAGAGTGATTTTAGTAAAGCTTTTGCAATTCTTGCACGCCTTGTTTGACCATTTGAAAGCTTAATAAAGGATAAATCAAGTAAAGAGTCAATGTCTAATTGTTTTGCAACCTGTTTTATCTTTTCATTCTCTCCACCAAGATAATCCTTTAATAAAAGATCATGATCTGGATCACTATAACCTCCTCCACACACACACACACAAATAAAATAAAAGATTTATATACTAAGCCTAAAATACATATTTTTAAAATAATACCTAAAATTAAAGCGTTCCTGAAAATAATGATGTTGATATGAAAATGTACTAGAATTTTCTTTAAATGATACTAAATGAATATGATCAGTTATATAAAGTGATTTTTGTTGTTGATAAATAGAATTCTTTTTCTTTTCCTCCACAATTGGCCATTCCCCCGCGGAGACGGGTTTAATTTCATGTTTTCCAGCAATTGTCTAAGGTAAAAAATAATAATAATTAAACGTGTTTTGACTTTGACCTCTCCCCCCCACTCCTCAATTTTTCTTTTTTTTTGTGTGTGTGTGTGTTTTTACCTCAGCTAAAGTTGTTTTTCCCGCACTTACAGGTCCAACTATTACCCAACGTTCATCTTTCTTTAAGGTCAAAGAAAGATTTTCAAAAGCCGGTTTATTGTTGACTCCGAACCTATGCACTTTAGCATTCTCGAAATGAATTAATATGTCGTTGTTTTTGCTATTTGAATAAAATCGAACATTGTTTGAAATGACCCCTTTAAAAGAAAATTTACCAAAAAGAAAATTCATGACAGAAAAAAAAAATAAGAATAAGAATGATAATTAAAAAAAAAAGGGAGGAAAAGAGGAAAAGAGGATTGTTATCTACTGCAATTACAACAACTACTACTACTTTATAATACAATAAACAAATATTTATTCATTTTGATTGGGCTATGTCAATATGACTCGAATTGTACTAAGCTACTACAGCAAGATTTAATAAATTGATATATAAATGTGCATATAAAAAAAAAAAAGAAAAAAAGAAAAATAGAAAAAGCTTCACTTTTAAATAATGAGCGACTCTTTCCCTTTTCTTTTATATGTAAGCAAGTAAGAAGACGTGTTTTTCATTTTCTTCCCTTTTTTTTTTTCGGAGGATAAAGCACTATTGTTCAATTTCTGGTACTTGATGTTTATTTATAAACTTATTAAAATATATGTATATATTATGCTGATGCAGCATCATTTATAATCATACCACTCTGTTATAAATTAGATATCCGATTTATCTTTTATCTTCTTAATCCCCCTTTTTTTAATTCTTCCTTCTCCACTACTTTTCTATTTTTCTCTTCTCTATCGTTTATGCAGCCTACTAAGTTTATTTTTATTTTATTTGTATTTTGTTCATAATAGTAATAACAATAAAAGGATGAATTACTTGTGTCATATCGAACATAACTCAACGAAAATTCCTTTCTATTCTGTCTGTCCTCATCTCCCTCCCCTTTTTATTATTATTATTATTATTACGATTACTATTATTACAAGTAATTTGTGCTTGGAAATTTTCTTTTCTTTTTTCCAAATTTTTCCTCCTCTCATCCCGCCCTCATAGAAAAGCGGAAAAAATTAAATAGCCGAGAGGATTGTCTCAAATGTGAAAGTATTAACCCATAATGGAGGAGTTCCTCTCTTCTCTCTCACTTTCCCTCCCCCCCAAAAAAAAAGAGAGGACACTGACTCGGAATTTTTTTTTTTTTTCTTATAAATACTTGAACAATTAAAAAAAGATATCTTTCAACTTCTTTTTTTCACGTTTCTCTTCTCTTTTCTCTTCTTTTTTTTTTCTTTTTTTAATATAATATAATTTATTTATTTATTTAAATCATTTTCATTCATCATGGTTGTTTCTATTCCTAACTTGACCCCAGTTCAAAATGCTTCTGTTAATACAGTTGTTGAACGTTTCAATGTTTCTACTGATCGTTTAAAGAAAATCACTGAACAATTTGTTATTGAAATGAGAAAGGGTTTGGATCATCAAGGTGCTACAAGTAAAGTATAAATACATGTTATACAAAAAAAAAAAAAAAAAAAAAAGATGACACAAAAACTAAAACACTTTGTCATAGTTGCCATGATTCCTTCCTTTGTTTCTGGTCGTTGTACTGGTGAGGAAAAGGGCACTTTTATGGCTCTTGATTTAGGTGGTACCAACTTACGTGTCTGTCAAGTTAACTTGTTGGGTGGTGGTGAACATACAATTCGTCAACAAAAATATGTTGTCTCTGAGGAACTCAAGGTGGGTCCTATGCGTAATCTCTGTGATTTTATCGCGGATTGTGTCGATAGCTTCTTGACCGAAAATGGTCTTGGTGATAGCAATGAACCTATTCAATTAGGTTATACCTTTTCCTTCCCTATCCTTCAAACTAGTATTAACCGTGGTGTCTTGAAGCAATGGACTAAAGGTTTCAACTGTACTGGTGCTGTCGGTAAGGATCCTACCATCCTTCTTCAAGATTCTTTCCGTCGCAAGAATATTAATGTCAATATTGCTGCTGTAAGTAAAAAAAAAAATATTATCATTATTATTGGAAGAAAAAGAAGAGATTTTTTTTTCTTTTTTTTTTTAAAAAAAAAAAAAAATTGATAGACATGTCAAATAACAAAATTTTTATTTATTTATTTTACTCTTTTGGTGTAGATTGTAAATGATACTGTGGGTACTCTTATGGCTTATGCTTACAAGCATCCTAATACAACAATGGGTGTTATTATGGGTACTGGTTTTAATGCCTCTTACTATGAAGATATGAACAACGTCAAGAAGTGGACAGGCGATAAGAATCAAGAAATGGTGATTAATATGGAATGTGGTGCCTTTGATTGTGAACGTCGCGTGTTACCCATGACAGTGTATGATAACAAGATGGACCGTGAATCAATTAATGTTCATCAACAACTCCATGAAAAGATGGTAGCCGGTATGTACCTTGGTGAGATTACTCGTAACGCTCTCTTGGATTTAGTTGATCAACAAATCTTGTTTGGTGGTGATTCCTCCAAGGAATTAAACAAGAACTGGAGCTTCGAGACTGCTTACATGTCCACAATTGAAGTCGATGAAACCTCTGATTTATCCGATACAGGTCATATCTTGGAATCTGTCATGAATATCCCCTCTACTACCTTGGCTGATCGTCAGATTGTCAAGGCGGTATGTCATGCCGTAGGTCTTCGTGCTGCTCGTATCGCTGCCTGTCATATCGCCGGTGTCTTGACCCATACTAATAAGTTGGGTGAAGAATCTATCATCGCCATTGATGGTTCTCTCTTTGAATTCTATCCTAACTTTGAAAAGAACATGAGTCAAGCCTTGTCTGAAATCATTGGTGAAGAATCTCGTTCAAAGGTCAAGTTTGATCTTGCCAGAGATGGTTCTGGTCTCGGTGCTGCTATTATCGCCATGATTGCTTCCAAGCATTAAAAAAAAAAAATTCCTGTAAAATTAGTCATATCCACTTTTTTTTTTCCCTAGTGGTGTAACCCTTTAAAAGTTCTGTAATTAAAATCACATTCATCAAAAAAAAAAAAAAAAAAAGGAAGGAGCTAGACTTCTGACTTTTTTTTTTTTTTTTTTTTTTTTTTTTTTTTTCATATAACATCACATGTATTAATAAAATTTCTTTATATGAATATATTTCCGTATTTTACTGGATGGGAAACTGTTGAATTTTTTTTTTTCACATGTCCCAGTTGACCCTTAGTTCAGAAACCAATCAAATGAATGATTATGTTATTCTTTTTCCATGGAGTTAAAATACCACAAATAGTAATTATAACCAAAGAAAAAAAAAATGCCATACATATACAAATATTGTATTCAAAAAAGACCCCTTTTTGTGTATTTACCCAAGAAATATACATATAAATGATACACTTTTTTTTCTCTTTTTAATAAAAAAAAGAGAGAGAGAGAGAGAAATGTATGGTGTTGTATGATCAAAACTTTATATAAATGAAAAGGGTCAATTAAATGATTTCTTTTTTTATTAAGCATAATTGACAAAAAAGTGTCTGCTTTATCATCAGGGTCAAAATGATAATAACTTTTCAGTAGTATCTCGAATTGGTTAAAGTACAACGTTGTTTTGTTTCAATTCGTCAAAAAAAAAGGAAATTCCTTCTTTTTTAGTACTATAATAACGAATCATTTCACCTTGTTAATCATTGGAACTTTTTTTTTTTTTAAAAAAAAACAAAGCATATCATCATATCATCATGTATTTAGTACGCAAAAAAAAAGGGGGGGGAGAGGAAATTCTCTGGTTGTGTACAACTTACTAAAAATAAAGAATTTTACCAATAAAATAATATGTTGTTACTGTATACAAATATTTTTTTTTTATCTTATGAAAATTATTAAATCAAGTTCATTACTTTGGAAAGATTTATGCATTCCACCAACTGAATTAAGATTAAATACTCTAAGATGCGGACAATCTTTTCGTTGGAAACAAATGAATGATCATTGGTAAAAAAAAAAGGATATACATATTAGTGCATTTAAGTAATATAAATATTTACATTTGTTTTTAATAAGGGTTTCTGTATTGAATGGAAAACTTATTATATTAAAAGAGACTCGTAAGATTTGAATAAACTCACTCACTCATTCACTCAAAAAAAAAAAAAAACTTATCCTATAATGTATAGCTACAACTATATTATTTGGTAATCATGACAGTCATAATAAGGAACAAGAACAGTCAACAATAACTGAACTACGAGACTATTTTCAACTTGATAAAGTATCATTAAAAGAATGTTATGATAATTGGTCAAAAGTGGATCCAAATTTTGCAAAAAAGCCATTCAATTTAAAGGTATTCGTATACTTCGACAAGATCCTTGGGAGAATTTGATTTCATTTATATGTTCAAGTAATAACAACATTACTAGAATATCACAAATGGTAAAGTTCTTTATATATATATATATATATATTAGTATTAGTACTTTTTTTATTAATTGAATATGAATTTATAAAAAAAAAAAAAAAAGATTCATAAATTATGCGTTCAATTTGGTAAAAAAGTAGCTGTATTTGAGGATGAAGCATTTTATGATTTTCCTAGTTTACAGGAACTTTTAGTACCTAATTTAGAAAGCATTTTAAGAGATTTAGGATTTGGATATAGAGCTAGATATATTGCACATACAGCAAACAAAATTAAATTAGATCATCCTGAATTGGGTGAAACATGGTTAGGCACATTAAGAAATAGACCTTATTTAGAAGCCAAAAAGACTTTAATGGAATTTCAGGGAGTTGGACCTAAAGTAGCCGATTGTGTGGTAAGATAAAATGATAGAGAATTGAAACATAGATACAGATATATTCAATGATGATGAATAGTGTTTAATGTCACTAGATCACACAGAATCCATTCCAGTAGATACACATGTCTGGCAAATTGCTTTAAAAGAGTATGGATTTAATAAAAAATCATCAACCAAGACATTAAATAGTCAGCTTTATAATGAAGTTGGAGATCATTTTCGTTTATTATTTGGTAAATACAGTGGTTGGGCTCATTCTGTAAGTAGTACATTCTTAGAAAAAAAAAAAAAAAAACGTGCTTTCATTTATAAATATTTAGGTATTATTTACAGCTGACTTGAAAACATTCGAAACAACAACAACAAAAAGGAAATCAACAATATCGGTCACAGAAAAGGAGAAAGAAAAAGTCGTGATTATAAAAAAAAGAAGTAAGAAATTATTATAATAATTGGTATATTTAAATTAAGCTATTAAGTATTATAGGAGTAAAGAGTAAAGATGCAGTAGTGTAAATGATGGTCATAATTCAACATCTTGTTGTTAATCTATTAGAAGCACTACCATTACTAAGTTTTCTTGATAATTTGTTGAAGAATTCTTTAACTAACAAAAAGGGGAGGAAAAAAGAAAAATGAATAAAATAAAGATAAATTATTGTATTGTATCCCATCCCCTTTTTTTTTATTTATTACCTTGTTCTGAACTACGTGATCTTTTATGTTTTGGTCTTTCAAGTTTTTTATCTTCATAACAGTAAACAGTAGGTGGAACATTTGAAAAGGATACAGAAGCTAGTGTCTTTCGATTCTTACGACATAAAAGAGTGGTTTCCTTTTCAATAGGTGAATTATTCTTATACCATATATCAAGTTGAGGGATACAATCATAGAGTGATTTAGTTGCTTCTTCTTTAACAAAATTTGCAGTCATTGTTGCAATATAATAAAATAAAAGTAAAATAAAATAAAAATGTGTTTTTCAACTCAAGTGAAGTTTCCCTATTTATACAATTTCTCTTTCTTTCTTCTTTTTTTTTTTTTTTTTTTTCTTGATCCTCTTTCAACAGTCACTGACGATAAATTTTATTTCTTAATTTAGAAATCATTTCCTATTAACAGATAAAATACAACGTATGTGAATAGAGAAAGTAGAAACCACCCTTTTTTTTTTGTTTGCTTTTTTGATACAAAAAAAAAGTATATAGACATATTATGCATTCCACAATAATAGATTTTCTATCGATTATAAATGATGGAATTCTAGTTATTACAACAGCATTTTTCATCTGCAAATAAGATTTATCTAGAACAAAAAATGATTTGCTATTAGTTCGTTTAATTAAAGTTTAAAGTTGAATAATGAGGACGAGTTATATTTGGTCTTTATAATAATGTAATTCTTCCTTCTATATCGAAACTTCGCATAAGTTTCTTTATGCGGAATTAAAGTTTGAAACACAAAAAAATAAAAAAATAAAAAAAATAAAAATAAAAATTATTTAGCAGTAATAATAAAGTGACAAATTCACTTGTTATGATTGGCGTGCCTGAACGACGACTACTATCATCAATTTATTTGGTATCATTATTATTATTTAAACCAAAAATAAAAAACAAATAGTTTAATGATCCTCTCCTCTCCTTTTCTTTATTGTTGTCAATTATAATTCTTTCTTTCTTTCTTTCTTTCTTTCTTCCTTTTTTTTTTTTTTACTACACAACACAACTATGTCCATAGAATATGTTGATCAAGATATTCGTCATGAATGCATAGACTATTTTCCTACTCTTTTAGATAAAAGTATAATAAAAATAAAATAGAATAAAGGAAAATAAAGGAAATATACTATTTTATTTCTTTTTTTTTTACCCTTTTTAGAAATCTATTATCAATATGCAAAACAAGTATCCTTATCCCCTATTATAACTACTGTCATGGATGGCAAAAGTAACATTCATCCTTCTATAACCACCAAATGGAAGCTTCCTGTTAACGTATTAAATCATTTGGATCAAGTTCAAGATGAATGGAATAAAAGTAATCACGTGACATTTTGGACCCTAGAGGATCCTAATTTACTACTACCCAACTTATTATTATTAGAACCTATCATTCTAAAACAACATATTGAAATAGAGAATTGGTACTGGAAAGACAAATCAAAATCATTCCCACTTATTCATTTAACAACCTCTGCTAATTCATCTATACTTCAACGTCCTCCTATTAAAGAAAAGATAAAACTCGATTCTAGTGTCATCAATAGACTTGCTACTTTATTAGATACTCAAGACGATGAAGAATTACATAGAATTCATGAATTTTATGGTATTCAATTAGAAGAAGTGAATCATTCTAATACATCATCTATCTTTATGCCACAAAGAGATATAAATTACTTTCAATCTTTAAGGACCACTCATTCTCCACAGCAAATAAAGTCAAGAAGATGTGAATTGGACTTTGCAAGATTTAATTTTAATCAAGATTAGATAATAAAGTGATCAAATGACTTGCATTTATGCAATTCTCTATTAATATGTTGATTAGATAATCAATTCAATGAATCTAATCTAATTTAATCTTTACCTTGACAATCCCATAACACTTTAGACCATAAATCATTCATATTAAATAAATTACGATTACCAAGTATAATTAAATGTCTTTTAGCTCGTGTTAAGGCTACATTAATACGTGGTTGATTATCCATGAATTGACTTTCATTTGTACGTACTGTCGATAATATAATAATTTCTTTTTCTCCACCCTATTTCTTTATCATAAATATTTTTATTTACTTAACTAGGATAGTTTAGAATCGTAGTTACCTGAAATGCATCTACTGTAGATATCTGTACTTTCTTAGTTGTTGTATTTGACATATTTAAATGTTCAGATATCTTGTCCGCTTGTTCTTTATCTAAATAAATACAAATGATGAATAACATGGTAATTTTTTTTTTTTTTTTTTTTTTTTTTTTTTTTGGCTCTGTTAAAATTCTTACATAGAGAAATTACACCTAAATCTATTGGTGATATATTATGGGATAACATGGATTGAATAATGCGTGTAGTTAATTCTATCTCTTTATCATTCCAATATGAATTTGTTCTTGATGATTTTTGTTCCTATTTTTATTTTTATTTTTAATATTAGTGTTGTTTTACATGTTATAGAGTGGATTTTACCATGCCACCAACATCAACAAATAATAAAGTAGGCAATCCTTCAATTAATGGTTTTCTTTCTTCTTCTGTAACACCATTTATCAGTCTTCTGTCGTAAAATAGCTTATTGCTAATATTAGATATTCGAGGATGACACTAAAAGAAATGTACACATGTAAGTATACATGAAGATATAGATATATACACATAGATATCTTACTCTATATTGTGTTCTCAACATAATAGACTAACATACACATGTTAGTTATATATGGATACTATATATATATATATATATATATATATGCATTTACCTCATAACCCATTTCAATCATTCTATCGAATAATGTTTTATCAAGTCCTTGTCCATTTTTACCTTCTTCTGCATTTGAAGCAAGCGTAGGTGGTAACTGCAAAGGATCACCAATCATAATTAATCTATTACACCCAAATCTCGTCAGTGGAACCATCGTTAGGGGCTCCATGAGTTGTGATGATTCATCTACCAAGATCAAAGGAAATTTGATATTATCAAACACTTCAAATGTAGACGACATAAATGTTGTGCCTACTACATTACACATATGAACTGAGTTGACACCTTCTGATTTACGAAAATGTTGAATAGCTGTTGAAATATTTTCCACATCTTCTTCTGAGTTTTGCTGATCTTCTAACATTTGCTCTAATTCTTTCAACTCTATATATATATATATATAAAGTTGAACATCTAAAAGTCATATATATACGTATATAGCTTATATTTACCTTCATTACTCGACAATCTTGCCTTTGTTGTATAAGGTAATATATTTTTCGCAATCTTTTTCATGCTTCCAGCTCGTACAAAATGATCAAATCCAAGCTTTAATAAAGTCTGTAATATTCTATCTACTGCTACATTCTAAATATACAAATTAGTAGTTTTTAGAACATGTTCAGAGTAAATAGTCTTTTATCCTGCTTTTACCGTCATTGAAGAGATTAATATCTTAAATTGAATAGCATCTTCAGGCTCTCTATTTTTGTTTACTGTATCGATTATATCTTGAATAAATATAATAATAACTGCAGCAAGGAAACTATTAAAAAAATAAAAATAAAAATTATATAAATATATATGTATATACACGTGAACTTTTTTTTTTATTTTCTTCCTACCTTTTTCCTGATCCATAAACACCATGAACTAATACTATTGGACTATCAGAGATAGTTTCATCATCATCAATATCATCATTAATCTTCCATACTGGGCTTTTTATAACTGATTTCGCAACTCGATAAAGTACTCTATAAAAAATGAATATATATTTATGATCCTCTATACATACATACATACATACATACATATAAATATTATATAGATGTATATGTATACCTTTTCTGATCTTCATTCAAGTTGTAAAATTGGATGGTTTCATTTATCTTTGCTTGAACATCAATAGGATCTTCCCTCGTTAATTGAATACATTCCAAGGATGTAGGTGGTAAGTTAACAATAGAATTCTTTTTCTTTGTCTTGTTATTTTTTGGATTATTCAAGATATAAGGTAATAACGGTAATTGTTCCACTCTTTCTTCCAACATATCCAACATCATAAATTCTGTACTAGCAGAGATGGTTCGTAATGCATAAATAAGTGTAGGCTTATTGGACTGCATGAGTTGAGATGCAATACGTACATCCCTTGGTGAAATACAATCAACCTCTAATGACCCATCTGAAAATGGCCCAAAATATGTACTTCGTGCTAAAAATGTTTGACTAGACTCAAAGCTAGGCGTCTTTGAAATAACCCAAATATCATCCTTATTATACCTTGAATGATGTTCACGATTTCCTTTAAGTAATATACGATATCGTCTATCAGATTGATATCTCTGATCACCTCTCAACTCACATAAAACATACATGCCCATTCCTTTAGATCGAATCGTTCTTTCTAGTTCTTGTCCATCCTTATGTCTTCCATATTTTTCGTAGACAGAATAAAAATACATTCCATAATTCAATAATAAAATCTATATATTTAAATATATTTAATGATGTGATCATTGATAACTTGTATTTATACCTACCTCTAAATGTTCATAAATTATTTTTTTAAACGTTTCTCGATACAAATTTATATTATTGAATTTTGTTGGAACAACTTTGGATCTCTTTGGGTATTTCTTTGCCTTTAATAAGCCAATTGCTTTTTTACTATTTGGAAACTGTAGAGTTGATACTGTATAACTAGAATAATTACACAATGTATAAATTATCTCTCTCTCTCTCTCTCTTTTTTTTTCTTTTATCATTTATATAAACTTACTTTCCATCTGCAAATGGGCTTTTAAAAGCTTTTACAGTGTTTATCGATATTTGCGTATCAGTTTCTTCTTTACTTACAGAAGATCCTGAAGACTGGTTTTTAGCAAATGCTGCGGCTGTGGATGTAATGGGAGTAGAAGTAGCGCCAGCATCATTCTCAACATGAAGAACTTTGGATGCAGCCATAAATGAGGTACTATATATATAATGTGAAATAAATTTCATAGTTCTAGTATTAGAATTAGATTTAATCTGTTTTACCTTGCCATGCTAGGTTGATTAGATAATAGGGTATTGGTATTATGTACAACTGAACGATGTAGAGCTGAAGAAGTTTTTTTTGATAATCCCACACGCACTCTCTTTTGTGTAGGTAAGAGACTTGATATTCCATTATTGGGTATAGAGGTAGTTGACTTTGATATAGTAGGAATAGAACTATCAACATGTGTTGGAGTCTCACATATTTCCATTGGCTCAATTGCTGCAGTAGTTGTGGTTTCTTCTTTTTCAGCTTCTTCTTCTTCTGGATCTACTTTAATTATTCTTTTTCTAGGGATCATTGTGGGTGGATTAAATTTAGAAATAAAACGACTACTATGCTGTTTTTTGGAAATTATAGGTGCAGTGGTAATTTGAGCTGACGCTACTGCTGTTGGTGTAGTTTCCATAGTCAACGTAGTCCTAGGTGTAGACGTAGTCGTAGATGTACTTATTGGCATCGATGGCCGTACAACAGTTGTATTGGATGATACCGGTTGTACATTATTAACGACCTCTGTTGATCCAATTGATTCAATAGTAACAATATGTCCATCAAATTCTATTTCATCGCCTACCACAGGTATTCCTCCTTTATAAAATTTTCTAAAAAAAAAAAAAAAGACCAATTAATAGAAATATCCATTATATCTCTTTGCTAATTAATTACCTATCGATATTGTAGCCCTTTTCGTCAGTTAATACTAACTATTTTTTTTAAGAGTTAAATTCTAATGCATATAACACAATAAGCTTTCACAAACCTTTTTATTGGAACTATAGTATTTCATAGTTCCTTTTTTTTTAATAAAGAAAAAAGTTGATCGATGAGTCTTTTTTTTTTTTTTTTAAAAAAAACGATTCATTTTTATATTCTATAATTTACCATCTTGCCAAGTTTTAAATTTCTTTTGTTTTTGAGCAGTGAATAACACAACAAAATGACTAATTGTATTATCAGTCATCGAATAGAATTATTAAGTAATGAGGAAAAAAGAAAAAAGATGTCAATAAAATGATTTCCACTGTTGTCGTTTTATTGAAAGCGCAGTAGCAATTGTGAGCAGCTATTTTAACCAAATTAAGTAATTCAGCTAAAAATGGACACATTCTTGATTTAAGGATGATTGCCAAATATGAGTACTTTTTTAAAGAAAAAAAAAATAATAATAAATGTGTCCATTCATTATTTTATGTAATTTTCGTTAGCGTTAGTAGAGCCCTAACCTACATATACATGTTTATATGTATTCATATGTGTATATATATTTTTTTTATTTCTATTTAAAAAAAAGAAAAAAAAAAAAGATTCACTTCTTACTTTGTTGAACTCGTAGTAGTAGTCACACTTTAAACGCTCACCATGAAAAGACCGAGAAAGCATTTAATTCACCTTTTTTTTTTTTTTTTTTTTTTTTTTGTACAAATTGATAAATGTCAAGTAATCTACAAACTTTACCTTTACCAGCAAGTACCTTTGCGAATAAACAAAGATTAGGAAAATATTTTATAAATTCAAAAAGAACCGTATTCAACACCTCAATCTTATATTTGATCATTACTCTTGCTGTAACTTTTGTTAACAAATTACTCTTTGCAAATTCTGAATATAAATTTCCTTATCCTATTTTTACTGTATTTTTTCAACTTGTAATTACTTTTATATTTATAACACTATGGACTATAATTAAGCCCTTGTAAGTGTACTTTTGAGTCTTTTTAATTGTTTTTTTTTTCACTGATCAGCCTTTTTATTTTTATTTAATTTTTTTTTCTTTCAAAAGTCCTTATTTTTTCAATGTTCCAACAAGATTTCAATGGAACTTTGTTATAGCAAAGCATGTTGCGCCACTTACTCTCAGTTACATTTGTGTTATTGTTTACAATCCTCTCTTTTTAAGATATGTCGAGATCACAACTTATCACTTTTCTCATTCTTTATCTATTGCATTTTCGATTTTATTTTCTACTTTTATGTTAAAGGTGAATATTCCATATCCTGTTCAGACGGCAGCCATTATTATTATTTTTGGTATCTGCACTGGATCCATGGGCAATCTTAATTTCTCCTTTGTAAGTCTATTTTATAGTTTGGCTTGGCCATTCATAGTTGCTTTATATGGTATTTATTTAAAAAAGGCATTAGTTTATTTAAAAAACAATCTATGGTAAGTTTACTAAATTGGAACCCCATGTATGTAATTACTCACTCTGTATCCTCTCTCTCTCTCTCTCTCTCGCTCTTATATATATATATAGGTGCCTTCTGCAATACAATACTATTATGTCTATTGCTTTTATGATACCTATTGTTTTATTGTCAGGCGAATTAAAAGAAATCCTTTCAACTGTTTGGTTTTGGGATGAAATTGGATTTTGGATACAAATGATAATTACTGCTATGACTGGATTTTGTGTTAATATCATCATGATGGTTTTCCTTATACAAACATCGCCATTATCCTTAACGATCATTAGTGTATCGAAGGTATGAAAATTATAATATATAAATGTATATGTATATATATTCATATTCGTATTCTTATATATTAGACTATAATACAAGCATTTATTGCTGTATTCATATTTGATAATCGAATGACTTTATTAGTAAGTAGTAGTGTAGATAATATAGAGGGGGGGGAAGGAAAGTAGAAAAAAGATGATATTGAATGATTTATTATAGAATACGTCAGGCTTTTTAATTGCATTGGCCGGATCATGTTATTACGCATATTTAAAATCAAATGAAAAGGATTTAGTATCTGTATACCAATAATAATAATAAGCAACTTAAGCCAAGCCATATTGAAGAACTTTGTCGCATTATGTTGGATTGATCTCTATCTTGTTTTTGTTATACATCTATAAATAGATATTATATACCATTTGCTCAATTTCTTTCAAGAAATCCATATTCTTTTGTGAATCTAAAGATAGATGTTTGATGATAGACTTTAACAATTTCTCGACTTTAGTTATTGAAGTAAAACCATAGCTTGTATTCATATCCATTTTACTTTTTTTTTTTTTTTTTTTTTTTTCAAAGAAAGTAAAAGAGAAAAAATGAGTAACAAAAGTAGATACTTATTTTTGTTATTATTTTGGCTTACTATTCATAGTTTTTATATATTAAAAGAAGATTTTCAAGTATCATTTTAATGTCTAAAGAAACTTCGGGACATTGTACTATCTTATAAACACATGCAAATGGCAAACCTATGATAGTATTTCAGTTTTTTTTTTTTTTTTTTTTTTTTTTTTTTTTTTTTTTTTTTTTTTTTTTTTTAAAAAAAACGCGTTTATTTGAAAATCTATATTCTACTTACGATAATCATTGTTATAGTTCCATTGATCACTTATATGCATAACTTTAATTTGTGATTCAAAGGAAGCATTCATATAATTGTAAGGTGTAATAATAATACCGATAAATGGTTCTAAACCTAAAGTGTCATCACGAAATAAGAACTGTAGAAGCGTATATATATAAAGAAGACAATAATTACATGTGTTAGGAGCATATATGTATGTGTGTATGTATGCATACTTTTTTTTTTTGACTTACCTGGTAGGAAGCTTGGTTTGCAATATCTCGAATACTTGGTTCAGGCTCAAAGGTAGGATGTGAATGATACCAGCCAACAACCTTTAAGCCCTTCTTTTTAAATAATTCATATGCTTCCATTTCAGAAATAGGATCCATTTCACTCTATACGAAATAAAATAAATGAATATTAAAGATGAATATATATATATGTGTGTGTATATACTTACTTGCATACTGGCACTTGTGCTGCGACAAGGGAATATATATTCTACTTGTACATGTATGGCTCCATTTTCTTTTCTTATGACTGCTCCAGCTAATAGTCCAATAATTTCTGTATATGCAAGGTGTGAATGAAAATCGATTACAAGCTTTATTCATGATAGATTATTAGTTTGAAGAAAACAAAATGAAACAATTAGATAACACAACTTACCAAGACGTTACTTGAAATATTGACTATAAATGGAGCATTCATATGCTTTGAATATTGATTCAGTGGAATCAATCTAAATGGGTCATTATCTGAATCATGATAAAAGACATCATAGTGTTCTTTCAATACAGTCTTCTCTCTAATACCTCTTCTCTCATCCTTATTATTGCTTGCTATCATGGTGTCCTCTTGTTGTTTGCAGATATCATGATTTAAATGAACCCAATCATGCTTTGATAAAGTCGTTCTCCTTTTAGAATAGTGTTCTAAAATACGGACTGACTTGTTTCTAGCTCGAACCCTTTTCTTTCTAGGAAAAGGTTCAACACAGTCTACATTGATTATATTTCTACATTGTAAATAAGAGTGTATTCTTCCAACTGCATTTACATCTCCACAGTTCTCTAAATTTCGTCTTCCTGCTGTCTTTGATAAATACTTGGGTCGAGATATCTTCCAGTTATTTATGATATGATTTCGAATTCTCATATATCTTTCGGGAGTCTTGGATGGTTTCCCTTCAAACCATTCAACGTTAGAAGCACGTTCATCATTTGTTATCTTTGTCTCGTCAAACTCCTGTTGAAAATACAGGATTATTAATCTAGGTAGTCATATCATAGAGGCTTTTATATATAAAACTTACATATTCAGGTTCTTGCTTGGTATTGATGTCCTCCTTATTTATGATGAACACCTCTTTCTTTTGTTCAATTTGAGTATTCTTTCTTTGTATAGTCAAATTATTTTTATGTAATTTTTCTTTATTAACTACCACTCCTTCTTCTTCTTCTTCTTTTTGATCTACTGCTGTTTCAAAAGAAGATTGTTCAAGATGATTTGTTATAGTATTAAAATCTTTTGATAATGGTAATTTATCTTTAGTTTCATATTTCTCATTCTCCTTCTTACTTGCTGCCAACTATATTAAAAAAAAAAGAATACATATAAACATGTAATAAATAAATAAATAAATAAATAGAAAAAAAAAAAAACCTTTCGGAGTTTTGGGTTTGTCCGTGCACGCCCTTTGCATTGATTTTGAGTTCGCGTTTTGAATTGTTCTGAAATCTTTTTCCAATTACCATAACCATATAATTTCTTCATAATAATAATTAAATATAATAAATTTATATACAAATATATTTGTTGTTGTTGTTGTTATACTTACTATGTATTTAGCTAAAAGCTCATCTTCTTCAGGTATCCATTTTTTCTTGTATGTTAAAGCACGTTCCATGATGGAAGACTCTACTATTAAAAGGCTTTAGAGAAGAGTGACGAACGTGATGAAAAAAAAAAAAAGGAAAAAGAAATAGAGGTGTTTTTTTTGTATTTACCTCCTTTATTACTGATTATCTTATTCACAGCTACTTTACTGTTTTGAACCTGTTTCACTAAATTTGTATGCGACGGGTTTTGTAAACTCTTTTTTGATGTATTATCATCATATTCATTACGGCTTTCTTCTGTAATCATTTATTATATATGTAGATAATGAAAAGAAGTAAAAGAAAAAGAGAAAGATAATATTATTTTATGTCTATAAATGTGAGCAAAAAAAAAAAAAAAAAATTAAGTTACAAAAAAAAAGGCTATTTTATTGGATTCGATGACTATTTTCTGATTCTTTATCATTGTCTATGCAGTCATTCGCATGTTGAATTGCTTGTGACTTATTAAAAGCATACGTCTTTTTACAACATTGACAATACCAGTATGTTTTAACATTTGCTGGAATACTGTCAGCTGTTTTAGGAATTGCTGAAGCAAAGGAAGGGACATCAATACTGTTATAGTACAAGTATGGCATAATTTTGACTCCAGCAGATCTACAGACTATTTTATTTTATTTTAGTTTTTTTTTTCAAACATAAAATAGATTTACATGTAATACACACCTTCTTTTGGCTTCCATTCTCTTGGATAGTTATATTCATCATTGCTATTCTCTTTTGTATGATTTGTTGTTGAATACTATAAAATAAATCATTCGTTATACAATAGACAAGTATTCTCATATCTTTTTGTATTACCATTTTTAAAAACTCGGATGCCTTTCCAATCTCTAATTCAGCAGAAATTGAAGTCTGCATAAAATCTACAAGTTTTTCTGTTTATGAATATCAAAAAAAAAAATTAGTTGTTAGTATAAAGTATCAATAATCTCATGATATTTTACTGTTAAGTGAACGCATTTGATATTGATATTCTTGTTTTGTTCTTAATGAATCCCTTCCTGATTGTTCATCTAATATTTGCTGGATTGTAAGAGGCATTTTTTTTCTTATAGATGAACTAATGATAACTTCTTCCTCTTTTTCTTCTTCTTCTTCTAGAGATTCAATTCTTCCCTAACAAGTAGATATACATACAAAATGAATATACGTATACAAATATGTATTTTATAAATGTTTCTATCTATATAACCTTTCCCAGTCCAGATCTAATTCTTTGATTTAACAATTGATCCCATTCTAATCGAAGTTGATAAGCTAAATAAATAACGTACTCTGCTACTTGAGTTGTTCGAAATCTGATTACAAAGTATGAATCAACTACAATAACACTACAGTCATAATTTAAATCAACTATAAATGATTGTTAGTGTTTTAATAGTCAATAACAACAAAAGAGATTTACTAATTTTGCCAAACAAAAGCAATACATGTATGCCTTTAAAAAAGGAATAAGAATAATGTAAATAAGAATATCTTTTGTGTATGTGTGTGTATACTTTATTCTAACCTGGTACTCGAGTGATATTAACAAGAAAGGGCCTATTTGTTTCTAATAGTTGTAAATAACATAATAATTGATGATATAATGCTTCTTCTACTGTTTTATCATCTATATAATGAAAATAAATAAATAAATAAATAAATAAATAAATAAATAGATATAAATATATATATTTATACTTATCAATCAGAGTCTTTCTATTACCTTTTCTAAGCTCTTTTTCTAATTCTTGAACCCATTCAGGATGAGATGCAATAACACTACTGGGATGTATAGACAGAAAGCTTTTTGCTATTAAAAAAAACAAAGTCAGTATATATGTATCAATTACCTTTGAACACTAATTTTACCTGATGTATGAAATACAATCTCATTACTCTTTCTATAAGGATTATGCTCATCACCAATAGCCAACTGGGGATATAAAGATGAACATAAAATTAACTTGACCATTTGTATTTCTTCCTCTGATAAAGCATGTGCTCTTGACCTTAGTTGTTTCAAATTATTCATCAAGGAGAATTCAAGGTCACGAACATCAAGCTTCTCATATACTTCATCCTCATCTATTATTATCATTATTTGTGTGTGTGTGTGTTTTTTTCTTTTAGTAATAATACATAATATATTCAAGATATTCTTTCAAAAAAAAAATTACAATCAATGGTAGCTTCTTGGTCTTCTTTTACACTTTCCATGTTCAATACTCGGCGTCTTTTATTTATTTGCTCACCATACCTTTCTCTACGAAGTATTTCATGCGCTCTACGCTTCGATTTTTTCTCATCCTTAATTAAATATAATCAAAATTATTCTTACATGTTTCAATAGCAGAATATAGATGTGTACCTTTTCTTCTTCGTGATCGTCATCCATCCGAGACATAGACTCTAGTAAATCAGGTTGAAAATCATGAAGCACTTTTTCAAATTGTCTTTTCATTTTTGCAATCTATTATATAATTAAGTAATCGTTATTTATTTATTTATTTCGAGCCTTACTTCATATAATCTATGTTCCTCTATCATATGTTGTTTACACCATTTACGAGAAGAGGTCTATATATATAATAGTAAATAAAGTAGGTTTTCTTTTTCTCTCTCTTTCTCTCTCTTTTTTTTTTAAAAAAAAAAGAAAAAAAAACATATAAAGTACCTTACTGCCCTTGATTTCAAGCCATTTCCTCCATAGATTAAGCATAGTAAAAGGATCACCATCCTTTGAATAAAATTCTTCTCTATTCTATTTATGGATTTCCATTAGAATTAAATTAAAATGATTACTTTTTTGTGCAATAGTAATAATAATAAAAAAAACCTTTAAATAATCTCTATTACTGTTTTGTGTAGCTCTTGTAAAAGGTGATTGAACACTCATACCCGCAGCTATAGTCAAAATTGGATCTATCACATTAAAAATCTAGAAAGAGAATAGAATATTGCTTATTATTTATTCAGATATTTATATATATCTTAGCAGACTTACCACACCCAAGATCAACATTTTTCCAACTGTTGCATCTACTGGAAGTTTAGATAAGACAGAGCCCAGATCTAGCAAGTTTTCTGTAGAATCAATAGCCCCCAAGTTATATAAAAAGTCCATAGATGAATTGATAAAGTCCATAGAAGGTGACTAAAAGAAAACAAAACAAAAAAAAAAGGCAATTTAGAAAGATATAATATATATAGTTATATATATTTATATAGTATACCTCGATATAATCAAAGTCTCGTGGATTACCGAATTTCATAGATTTAATTTGAAGTAAAAGGGGATCTAACGTTTCTCTTTGGATTTCTGGGATTGCAAAATCATGGAAATGATTAAATTCATTTTCGGAATAAAATCTAAAACACTCTCCTGGTCCCGTTCTTCCTGCACGACCTGTCCTTTGTTTGGCACTGGCCTTTGATATCCAAAATTCTGATAAACGACTCAACCTTGAATCTGGTTCATGATGCATTTCCTTTACTTTGCCTGAATCAATAATAAAGCGAATCCCATCTATCGTAATACTCGTTTCAGCACTATATCCAAAATATAGATAATTAAAAAACCAGTAAAGAAAAAAAAATCTAGCATATATATATATGTATATTACATGTTTGAACTTATAATACATTTGCGGACTCCTTCTGGTGGTGAAGCAAACACTTTTTCTTGTTCTTCTATTGTTAAAGATGAATGAAGCATAAGAATTATCCATTTTCTATAAAGCATAGTTAATTAAAAACGGTCGAGTATACAAATATATATATATTACTTTGTTTTGTGAGCATAATCTGTTAGTTCCTCTGCTAATGTAGTAATCTATATAAAGTATTAAAATTAAATATTCGATAGAAATATGTATATATTTATATTTATATACCTCATTAATTCCGGACATGAATATAAGGAGATCGCCTCTTTCTTCAACTGGAACTGATTGATCAATATATTCCAACACCTTCAAATATGGATCTGTAAATAATGTGAGATAATATGTATTGAATCAATTATCATTCAATTTTTTTTTTTTTTTTTTTACCTGGTTTGATGGCTTGTGATCGACTTACGATAGATCTCTAAGCTTATCAAGTTAGTGTCATGTGAATATACGTTTAAAATAGCAACAGTACCTTAACAGTCTCTGATTGTCGTTTTCGATATGCTGCTTCATCTACAAGATTTTTATCTTCTTCTTCTTGTGGCCAATAATGAATCTTGACACTATACATTTTACCAGGTATCTAAAGGTATTATAAGTTAGAAATCCTACTTTTTTTTTCTCGTTAAATAAGGTATCTTTCTTTCTCTCTCTCACACACACACTCCTTTCCTCTTACAATAAGTGTTGGTGCATCAAAATATTGCGCAAAAAGTTCAGCATTAATTGTAGCACTCATCAAGACAACATAGAGATCCTTTCTTTCTGCCAATGTCTTTTTTAAAAGTGCCAATAAGAAATCACCTATATATATATATGTATGTATGTATATAGTTATTATGTTTAGTAGACGCTAACTTCTCTCTTTATATATATATATACCCATCATATGACGCTCATGAACCTCATCTACCACAATTACATTATACATGGAAAGTAGATTATCTGATGCATACTGTCGCAAAAGAAGGCCCTATTATAGATGAATTCGAGATGGGCTTTAGTATGTAAATTCTTTTTTTTTTCCTCTTCCCTCACTCTACACAACTGATCTTACTTCAGTCAAAAATAATATTCTAGTTCTATTCGTTTTCGTTCCTTCAAATCGAACTTGATATGCAATTTCAGACCCATATTCATTCATTGTTTCATAACTTTTTTTTTTTTTTTTTTTTTTAATATGAATATTATCAAAACGATAGAGTATTATAAATGGGTATTTACCTTACACGCCTTGCAAGGGATGAGCATGCAATACGGCGTGGCTGAGTACATGCAATCTTATTAAAGCCAGCATTCATTAAAATTTGAGGAACTTGTGTACTTTTACCGCATCCAGTATCACCAGCAATAAGCAATACACGATGTTCTCTTAAGGTCTGCACAATAGTGTCTGCGTAAGGAGTCACAGGTAATGCAGCCTTAGTCTCCTCTATATTCTTTTTCAAATTCTCTCTCTTTTTTCTTTGAAAGTCATGGAACAAGATGAGTGTGTGTCGAATCAGTTCTCCTTCTTCCCGAATAAGATGCATCTTGCTTGCCTTTTCGGTCGCTTTCTCTTTTCCTTTAAACACACTTTCTTTCAGTTTAAGATAGAAGCCTATAATTTAATTTACATTATTTAGAAACGGATGCTCTATTCTCTCTCTCTCACACACACACACACAAATAAAAAAAAAGGGGGGAAAACACATTTTATATAATAAAGACCTTCAAATTCAAAATAAATGGGTGTCCCTTTGGGTATATACCAGGAGGCAAAGCCATTGTGTTTTCTGGAAAAGAATAAATCATCAGATTCATCAGTCCATGGATGATCAGAGTCCAAATCATAAAATCTTAAATTGTCATCATTTCTCTTTGTTTTTAAAAATTTTTGAGCCTCCTTAAGAGCTTCTCTGTATTTTTCCTCATTAGAGATCTATATATATATACATAAACGTTTGACTAATACTGTTCTTTTACACTTATAATTTGATTGAATCTTACAATGTTTTTTAGATTCCATATTTTTTTCTTTATAGCTGCTTCATTCTTAATCAAAGTACCATCGACATCGTACCTTTCTTCTGGAATGTATTCTGATCTCCTTTTATGTCTATTATAAGGTGATCTGTGATAGCTCATCTTGAAAAGTAGGCTTTCTATACAATTCCTGCTTGAACAATGCTACGTTGTATTCAATTTTCCCTTTTTTTTTTCAACAATAGAAGTCCGGTCCGGAATTATTTTATTTTATTTTATTTTATTTTTTAATGACATGAAATGTTCATTGTTATTAATTATTCATATAAAAAATTAACTTAAAGATAGCATGTTCTTCTGACCAACTCATCTTATTATTCAAAGAAGAGAATAATAAAGGATAAACTCTGTTTAAAGCTTGGAAGTTGAATGGAAAAAAAGTTGTTATCTCTCTCTCTCTCTCTCTCTCTCTCTCTTTCTATATTGAAGAGGGAATAGGTTTACTGCCACTATTCATAGGTTGAATAATGTATTTGTACCTTATTAGAAAGACACTTTCATATATGTATATTTGTATATCCCTGAACTTTATCTTGGTCTAAATATACAAATATAGTTTTTTTTTTGATTCCCATTAAACTTTGTAATATCTTTAGTTTGCCTTCACCAAAGGTTTTAAAGAATTATTTTTCCAAAAAGTAAGTTGTGATATAAATAATTAAGTTAAAAATTTTGATTCTTAAAAAAAGCTGATATATACTAAATCTTCTTGTCGTGAAGTCTCTATAACAGAAAAAAAAAGAAAGTTCCTTTTATAATTATTATAATAATTAAAAGTAGTAGTAAACTCATCTACTACTACATGTCAGTTGATCGACTTGTATAGGTTTTAACAAGAAAGCATAAAAAATCTGGGCATATTTAAACGCCGACTCTTTTTTTTTTTTTTTTTTTTTTTGTAAATTTTCGGGAATAATGTAAGGAGAGCGTAAGCCAACAAGCAGGAGAACCTCCTCTCTTTTTCTTGTACTTTGGTGAGTGGCATATTAGATATATAGAATGGATACATAAAAAGGCTTTAGGGATATACATATGTTTATTAGATATAAAAGATGGATCGATTGAAAAAAAAAATGGATAAATAATCAATGGATGGATTAAAAGATAGATTCGATTTTTTTTATATATAAAAAAAAAGGATGAGGGTGTGGAGAGGAAGCTTATTTATTGTGGACATTTCACTGAATTAGAAGAGAATCAGCCAAAAACTGACAATTTTTTTTTTCTTCTTTACAATGAATTGTATATAGGAAAGTCAACATGGGTCGCCGTCCCGCTCGTTGTTATCGTTACTGTAAAAACAAGCCTTATCCTAAATCCAGATACTGTCGTGGTGTTCCCGATGCCAAGCTTAGAATCTACGATTTAGGTCGTAAGAAGGCATCCGTTGACGATTTCCCTCTTTGTGTCCACTTGGTCTCCAACGAATACGAACAATTGTCTGCTGAAGCTCTTGAAGCAGGTCGTATCTGTGCTAACAAGTACATTGCCAAGACTGCCGGTAAGGATTCCTTCCACATGCGTATTCGTGTTCACCCCTACCACGTCACCCGTATCAATAAGATGTTGTCTTGTGCTGGTGCTGATAGATTGCAAACTGGTATGCGTGGTGCCTTCGGTAAGCCTAATGGTCTCGTTGCTCGTGTCAACATTGGTCAAATCATCTTCTCTGTTCGTACCAAGGATTCTAACAAGGCTGTTGTCATTGAAGCTTTGAGACGTTGCAAGTACAAGTTCCCTGGTCAACAAAAGATCATTGTCTCCAAGAAGTGGGGTTTCACTCCTCTCTCTCGTGAAGAATACGTTGAAGCCCGTGCTGCTGGTAAGCTTAGACCCGATGGTTGTTATGTCAAGTTTGTTCCTCAAAAGGGTCGTCTTGCTGATTACTTCAAGGAGGCTTCCAGAGCTTAAGTAACGAATTTCCAATAAAATTACGGATCAGTTTTTTATATATTTATATATTTATTGTAAATGGTTTTGAGTTCAATGAATGTGTGTGAATGTGTGTGTGTTTTATTTTTAGGAATTCTATTTTCATCAACAATTATAAATGTAAATGATGCTAGGGGCTTATTTTTTTTTCTCTCTTTAAGAAGAAAATGTTATTTGGACAAGTTTTATCCATAAAATGGTTTATTTATCTGATTTTTATTATTCTTTGAACAAGATAAAAGATGTTTTGATGATCAAGTAGAAAATGTTAGTCTCCTCCTTAACAGATCATCACAAGTACAACAAGAGATGTAGACATTGGTGATTAATTAACAACAAGGAATACTGAAATTGATATTCGATTGTTTATTATAAAATTAGGGGTTTAATGAATGAGAATGAATTTATAGTTCTAAAATGTAAAAATGTACATTAAATAATTGATTTGCAATTATTCTTTCAATCCGTCCTTTTTTTTTTTCTTTTTTTTTATGTTAAATAAATAAATGATGTGCATACACAGAAATGGATGAATTGAAAGTAGAGACAATTTTTGAATTAGGGCTGAGTTGTATAGGAAAGATGATGTTACAGACTATTACTTTGAATGAAATGAATAGGTATTCAGAAATGAAGGAGAGATGGTGTACTATCTTATCGTAGATAATGCTCCTATGTTATGCTTAACCAAGATTGGAGTATATATTTATATGCTGAAGAACATCGATTTGTGTATCTCCCATAGTATTTTACTGAGCTGAATCTCATTAAGCGGCTCTTGTTATGATAGTTTCCAATTAAAGATATATACATATATATAAAAAATGCATTGTGGCATGTTAAAATAGCCTTTATTAAAGAAAGGCGTCATAAGGAAAAACATGAATGATGATAAACCATAGTTATAAAAATCATTGAAGTACTTTTGTCTTTCTGTGAGTAAGTTACAATGATAATTATAATTATAGAAGAAGTAATGAGATCTAACTATTTTAATGACAAAAGTAGATTATAATATACATATTCTGACCTTGTATATTTATACCTAATATTGTTACTTCTGAATGAAAAATCAGTTTGGTTAGTTTCATCAATAATCACAGTAACAAAATTGACAACATATTCAATCAATTATACAACAAATAGAGAGAGAGAGTGTGTGTGTATGTGTGTATGTGCCAGCGCTACCTTACTTATTAATTGCTTGTGCCCAGTCCTGGGAGCTGAAAGGTTGGTTAATAAGTTTGAGCTCTTCTTATCTTTCCTATGGCTTAAGGCAGCATCATGTATGACTTAAACATTGAAAGGTTGTAATGTAGAACTGTAAAAGTTTGAGAATCAAGTCTATGAATAAATTGCGTTGTAGGCTAAATTATTATGCCGAGTCAGTCATTGTAAAGCTCAAATAAGGAAGAAATGCCCTCTTACAGATAATCGCGTTAAAAATTAGTACTTTATGTCTTCTTACTAAAACCTCAAACCAAAAAAAAAAAAAAAAAAAAAAAAAAGAAAAGGAAAAGAAAAGTGTTGAATATATGGATAAAAATAGGTAGCAAGTATTATATATAATTATGCAATAAACAATTTCTATTTTAGAGTAGTAAAAGTTCCTTGTCCTTCTTTTTATTAATGTTCTCTCTACATGTTAACCTCACTCATATCATAAAGTACTCCTTCAGTTTATCCACTGGCCTCAGTATGTGTTTTACCATTGATACGCTCCTTGCTTTCTTACAACATAATAAGGGTCTCATCCCTATCACTAGAACACTTTGACGATTAATTCACTTGATGGTCTTCCGACCTTTCCTTATCCTGCCAATAATGTCGAAATAGCGTTCATCTACTACATTTTGAAATTTCTTTTTTTTTTCCTTCAAATTATACTCTAAACATTACACAGACTTCATCATGGATAGGACTAAGTTTGGCTTATTGATACCAGTATTCGTAACTCAGATCAGCAAATTACAAGCAAGTTTACAAAAAAAAACTTGATATTTTTGATGGCGCTTTCTTAAAACATGCTTAAATAAACTTCCTCTTCAAAGCCTTCAACATTCTGGACCAAATTATTCTTAAACAGATAATCAGACAGATATATGTCTGACTAAATTGAGCACTGAAAAGTTCGAAACTGATTATACAAATAAATATGTATATGAATATAAATTTTGATCATTTGAGAATGGTAAGACTGTATTCCTTGACTCATCAAGCAAGATGCAGTTTGGTACATGTATACATTTTTATATAAAGTTAAAGTCAAACTGTTATCTGTTTTGGGTTCGATTATGTCTTGCTATTTTTTTTTTTTTTTTTGAAAGATATATTTAGTAATTTTGAAACAATGTTTGATGATTTATCTTTAAGCTACACACATATGCCTTGCAGTAGCAGAAATACTTTTTTAAAAAAATAAAATAAAAAGAAAGGTTTGCATATTTTTTTTTTGAATGTCTGTAAAAGAAAAAGACAAAGGGAGAGAAGCTATCACTTTATATACCTAAAATCATTATGCCCTTTATGGCGATTACTAAGCAATAAGCAAAAATATATAAATGGAAGTCTATAAATGTGATTCGACTTCATTTTAGGATCAAATGACATTATATACATATCGAACTTTAATATTGCGCACTTTCCTTTTTTAAAATGATTGTGTAAATTTATTAAATTTTTACATGTGTAGCAAAATTTCCCCTCTTCCCTTTCTTTCTTTCTTTTTTATTTATTTATTTATTTTATTTTATTTTATTTTATTATGGAATTTGATGAAAGATGGCTTAAAAGGCCACATAGTACAATAAATCAACAACGAAATGTCGACAAAGAATTACAACGCATAAAAAGTTTAGGAGTTGTGTCTGTATTGAATAAAAATTTTCAACAAGAAGTAGTAACAATAGCGCCATCTTCAATTGAAGATGCAGGAAAATCTCGAACTGATTCTATTTCTCAACAGGTTAGACGAACAAGTGTCATAGGTCAGGGATTTACTATTAACAAATCGTTACCTTCTTCTAAAAGCAAACCTCGAGTAGTACCAATGGGTTCAATTGTTCCTACTACAATCATGTTAGAGCAGTCACCTACTTCTCCACCCTTAGCGGAGAAGGAAATATTAATGAATGAAGAAGAAGAAAAAGAAGAAAGAGAGGATAATAATCCTCTTGAGATGACCGAGTCGGCTATTATGATGGATACAGACAAGGAAGCGCTTAAAAAACGAATCACTGAACTTGAGGAACTATACACAGGATCAATAAAGAAACTACAAGATCTTGAATCTCAAAACAAGACACAATCACACCTATTAAAACTACAAGATGAATTAATCCACTGTCTTTCACATCAAATTGAAGAATATACCCAACCAAATCAAGATTTAGTAGTATCAATGGAGAAAGTACATAAAGACATTCAGGGGCTCTCTAGCGAAATGAATGAGCTTGCACCTTTAAGGTCTAGATATGAAACGGATCTAATTGATATAAAGGAGCAATTATCTTCTTATGATTATACCTTGGACGAACTTGAAAAGATGGCCGAAAGAGTGCAAGAGGAGAGTAGATCACAAGCGTTATATATTGATACAAAAGTGCAAACGCTCTTTGATAAATTGTCACAGAAAGAGAGTCGAATTCAAGAATTACAACATTCATATACCATTCATAGTAACCCTTCTTCAGCAAATCAATCTCCAATTTATTCTGCTAGATCTTCTTACCTTTCTGAAAATGAAAATAAATTCTATAGACGATCCTACATTTCTTTTTGGAAAGGAAATGTCTTACCTCCTGCCTCCCCTCCACCTTCTATGCCACTTCCACCTATTCCTCTCGAGAGTTATCGGTCTGGATCTGGATCTATTTTATCAGAGATATCTAAAGCTTCAGGTACTCACTTGCCCATGAATATGAATGAAACCAATTCAATTAGTTATGATGAAATAGATATTCAATTATCTGATGAAGCCTATTATAAAGAGTTTACAAATCAATTACAAGAAAAGCTTTCCATTTCAAAAGAAATTGATGACCTTGATGTATGGAGGCCGAGTGACTATGATTATATACAAAGAAAGATTGATACAAACTGGAATACAAGTGAAACTAGTGAACATAAAGAACATCATGCTTTCTGGAAAGGTATGAAAAAGAAGTTGAGAGTGTAATTAGAATACATATATGAATATATTTATAATTTATGATTGAATAAAGCATTATACCTTTTTTTTTTCTTTTTTTTTACAAGTTGAAATGTATATTATAAAATCAATAGGAGTTTATATGCATTGTATTTTAATAGTTTTATACAACTCCTTTCAATAAAAAAAGTCAAAATATAAAGGCTGTATTAAAAATAAATTCTAAATTTAGAAGTTTCGTTTATAAGTATTATAGAATTTCATTGAATACAACATTCATAAAGCCTGTATTTATTACATAAATTTATTATAGACGACCAAAAAAAAAAAGATATATATATTTATATGTATATGAACTAAAAAAAAGGAATATAAAGTTAACAATATAATCAGAGTACACATAATTGCTTATTCGAACTATGCAAGTTATTATAATAATAGTTTAAACATGCTATATTTAGAAAAGCATATATGTAGCAACAACACCGACAATAGCAAGCGCACCTTGGCTCAACATTAAAATTGATGCACTTGAAGTTTTGTTAGTAGGTGTTGAGTTGGCAGAAGTTGTAGAAGTAGAAACAGCGCTACTTTGTACAATTGGAGTAGAAGTAGCTGCTACACTGCTCGTCCATGGAGTAATAGATCTATATATATATATATAATGTTAATCATCTATATAAATCAGTCTATTATTTAACGTACACATTGGCTCCAGGCATTGAACAATAGTTTTGAACAAGTGCTTGTTGAGCACCATAGCCATCCGCATTAGGACAATTATTCCAACATGTTAATTTCTCCTTATTCCACTATAAAATATATATTCATTTCAGTATTAAGAAGTAGTAGTAGGACGACGACATATACTTACTCTACACAAACATGCAAAATCTTTTTTTTTTTTTTTTAATAATAGAGATAAAGAAGTAAATACATTGTGTTACATTAAAGATACAATAATTTTATTTTCGAGAAAATTACCTTGATCCTGACAAGTTTTTATATAATTATCTTCATTTTGCAAACACAATTCAAAGCTAATACATATTACATTAATTTTGATAACAAATAAACCAACGATTTTTACTTACGTGCTCTGAACAGCACAGACGTTTCCAGTAGGTACAGCAGCAGCAGCAATGGTAGATGTAGTTAAAATAGGTACAGTAGTTGTAGCAACAGTATTGTTAACAGCATTCTGAGCTGAAACAGCAGCTAAACCAGCCAAAGAACTTAACACTATAAACTTCATTTTTTTTTAAAAAAAAGAAAAACAAAAAGAATAATAAAAGTAAAAGTAAAAGTAAAAAAAAAAGAAGACGAAAAAAAGAAAAAAAGGTTCAATTGGTGGTTTTATAAATAAATGGGGAGACAAAAGAAGATAAAAGAAACCTTTGTGTAAGGGGGAGGGAGGGGGGCGGAGAAAAAGAATAAAAGAAAAAGAAAAAGAAAAGAGGAGATATAAAAATAAAGAATGACTGTAATATTTTATAGGCTTTCATGTCTGTCAAACATACTAACATATCGTCTCGAATCAATACCTCCTTTAAACTATTTGTTCAAATATATGCCTTTTTTTTTGTTTTAATTTCCCTCAAAAATCAATAAAAGCGCTTTAGCTTTTAAAAAAATAAAATAAAATGATTTTTCGGCTGTGCAACTCTAATAATAGCCATTTTATTGTTTTTTTTTAAAAAAAAAAAAGAAATGTTTGATAAAGATCGACATAATAATAATGTCAATTTACTATATTTTAAAATACTCTATTATATATTCTCTTTTTTTGTTTCTTTCTTTTTTTTAATATTATTCATTATTTAAAATGAAAGTCGTGATTGATTGTTTTATCTTTATTTCTGATAATAAATAATCATTCCAGTTATTGAAAGAAAGCTGGTATGTATTCTGTTACTGTTCTCTCTTGTGTAAAATATCTGAATTTTAAAAGCATTTTTTTTGTTTCAAATGGTGATATTAGAATGGAGTCTTTAATATAATAATGCTATTACAGACTAACGCTCATACATTAGCTTGGATTAATAAAATAAGAATAAGAATAAAAAATAACAAGAAATAAATGGATCAAGCTTTTTGATAAAGATATTCTAAACATAATTCGCCACATGGAATAGTTTTTTTTTTCAGGCACAAATACTTTGCTTAAGCTTAAAATTTTAAATGATGATTGTGAACAAAATAAAATTGAACATCAACATTAGCATACATACCTATTATATATAACTATATTATAAAAGAAAGGATAAGGGGTTATTTGTAGCTAAATAAAAGATGTACGCTTAAATATATATGCTTCATGGTCCGACTTGTAATAAAAAAATAAATTCTTGTTAAAACATGTTATGCTAGAAAATATATACAATTCATAAGCAAGCTATTTCAATCATGGTGTTAAAAAGGTTAACATGACTCTGTCATAGAATATTTTTTTTTTAAATCCTTGTTGTAGACAGGGATCTACAGTAACAATGACATTAACTGGATAAAACTTATAAATAGCTTTTATTCTATTTTGCTTTACAATGATCAAGAGTCATGTAACTAAATTTAATTTTTTTAAAAAAAAAAGAAGCTATTATGGACCTTATATTTGTATATAAATTAGTGCATGTTTACCTATTCTCCACTAGTGCATAGATATATTTAAAAGTTCAAAAGTAGAGAAAAGTAAGTAGGTATCTCGAGTCTTTCTTTTTTCTCTCTTTTTGAGTAAGTATGAATTTAATGCGTATGTCTGCAAAAAAAAAAAAAAAAAAAAAAAAAAAAAAAAAAAAAAAAAAAAAAAAAAAAAAAAAACGTAAACACGACCGGATATTGGATCAACGTGCAAAACGATATAATAAATATGTGATTTACGAATAGACTAACGTTTGCATTGCACCACCAAATTTGGAATTACTCTATTTTTTTTTATTTTATTTTATTTTTTTTTTCGTTCTCGTAAAATTAAATACAACGTCAAGAGAAAAATATTAAGGGGCTATACAACATATTTCAGTAATATCAAAACTACAATGATGAAAAATCAGCTATTTATGAATTATTATAAAGACATATTAATCTCTGAGATCTATTTTTAACTAATGATCATTCACTTGTATATAGTACAGTATTGTCTTATAGTCGGTCATAATAGGCCAAAAAGCAAGATGGCTGAAAATAGTGAATTCAAAATAGTTGGATTTCCTATTTGACTTATTCAAAAATATGTATGTTAAAGTAAATTTTTGTCGATGATATAAACTTCATCATTATTAAAAGCCTTTGTCATGGTTAATAAAAAAAAAAAATTACAGCAAAATCAAATTCTGCAGTGTGTTGTGTAAATGCTTTATGTCAGCTGCTATAGTTTAATACTACAGACTATTAAATGAGACAACAAATAACTAACTACGAAATACAATAATAACTATTTTCAAATGAATGACGATCGTCTTTTTTTTTTTTTTTATTTTCAGCAGGAATTTAGATATTTTCAAATAAAACCTTAAACATTCATCTTGTCAAGTTTTTAATTCCACTATCGTATGAACCTTTTTTTTTTAAAAAAAAAAAAAAAAAAAAAACAAATCGTCAGTGCTGCCTTAAAATCATTAAATAAAATTGACGTTTTGACTTCATTCCTTCAAATTTCAATTAAACTCTTCCAGTTGTACTTGTAACATTCCTTTCTACAAATTTTCGTATATAAAGACCATAGAAAATTAGAGAATATACGACCTAATTTTTATTTTATTTTATTTTTTTTTATTTTTTTATATAATGGCTAAACTTAAGTCAATTATTGCAAGCTTATTATCTACTAATCAACGAACTATGACTCCTGCTTCCCCTTCTGAACTGTGTTCGAATGAAGATAGGACTTCAATCCTAGATAATGTAACTATTAAATAAAACAAAAAAAAACTATTTTGTTTTAATTTTTCTTTCTTTCTTTATAGAAGAATGAATCTGTTATAGAGGAATCTGTTATAGAGGACACTTCCTCTCTTGAATCCCAAGAAGAAATTCAAAAAGCTCCTTCCCAAGATATTGATTCTAAACATCAATATATTATCTGTCATGAATGTGATAACATCATAAAAGGCTCTTATGTTGAAGCTGCTGGCAAGCAATTTCATTCGGAACACTTTCGTTGCTGTGTCTGCTCTGATGTGATTCCTTCCAATAAAACATATATGGAGTTTGATAATAAAATTTATTGTGAATATCATTATTTGCTTGAAGAAGCCTCTAAATGTGTTGGCTGTGAACACCCAATTTGTCATCAAGTTATTAACGTCACCAAGGATGATGTAAACGAGAGATGGCATCCTGAATGCTATATGATTAATAAAGTAATACCATACACACACACACATATATATATATATAATGTCTAACTTTTTATTTTAGTCATGGAGTGTAAAACTAGGTGAAGCATTTAAAGATGATGATATACTGGGTAAGGAAAAGAAAAGATAAAAAGTGAAGAGAGGAAAAAAAAAGTTACTTAATAAATTCTTCTTTATAACTTAGATCTCAATAAAATGAATAAGCAACAACGTTGTCATTTCGAAAAAGTACATCAAAGGAGAATTTTTAAAATTTGGACTGATTTATCAACTTTTGAAAGTAAAAAAAAAAAAAAAAAAAAAAAAAAAAAAAAAAAAAAAAAAAAAAAAAAAAAAAAAAAAAAAAAAAAAAAAAAAAAAAAAATATTGAAATTATATATAGATAGATATACAATTAACTTTTTTTTTTATTTTTTTTATTAGAAAATATTACTAATGCCATTACAGATATGCTATTAGGCTTTTCAGTAGGTGATTATACTAAAGGCACGCGAATGGCAAACTTTTTTGTATCCCACTTGTCGGCTTTATTTACTGCTACGAAAGTACTTGCTCGACGCTATATTGAAGAATATAGAGAACCTTTGCCTCTTGACAGAGAATCAACTCTGCTTTGCAAGAAGCTTCATAACCTTTTCACTCATATCTTGGATTCTCAAAGAAGAAGAGGCTATCAGAGCATTGAAATGACTGATGACATTTACACTTCCGTTACTGAAACTCTCCTCTTTACAAAGATCATCATTCATATTGGACTCAAAGGCTCAGTTCGATTAGCTAAAAGAGATGGTCGCAATGGAAAATTCCTCAATGATTTCTTGAATGAAGCTTGGTTTGTTTTTAGACATGTAGAACCCATTGAAGAATGCCATCCGGATGCTATTCCTAATATTCGGTGTAGAGAATGCCATCAGACTTGTGTAGGAGAATGCTTTAAATATAAAGATCTCTACTGGCATTTTCAATGTCTTCGTTGCCATGAATGTGATAAGATGCTCCATACTTACCCTTTAGATAACATCTACAACGCAGATATCGGTTTAACTCTATGTTTTCACTGCAATAGAACGACAATTGGTCATCGTTATTACCATATTGAAGTTGATATTAAATACAAGACTAAATTTGAACATTGTGCCTATATAGTGAAGAATGCTTTACAAACATTTAATCTTTATTTAAAATATTTTCCTGGTAAATGATACATTTATGAAAAATTCTAAATCAACCTATTTAACCTCCCCTCCCCCCTTTTTTTTTTCTTTCTTTCTTTTCGTAGTTGTAAGCTCTCCCATAATAAGAACTGAAAATAGACAACAAAGTATGTCTTCTCAAGATATACTAATGGACTCTCCTAACATAAATTCTGAAGATGAGCGACAAAGTATGTATTCTCAAGATGTATCAATAGACTCTCCTAAAATAAATTCTGAAGATGAGCGACAAAGTATCTATTCACAAGATGTACTAATGGACTCTCCTAAAATAAGAACTGAAGATAAACTACAAAGTATTTGTTCTCAAAAAATACGAATAGACCCTTCTAAAATAAGAACTGAAAATAAGCGACAAAATGTCTGTTCTCAAAAAGCACTCATCGACTCTCCCAATAGAAGAACTGAAAATAAGCAACAAAATCTGTGTACTCAAAGAGTACTAATCAAGCGGAAACCAGTACCTTCTCTTGATTGTCAAATAGTAGTATAATGTAAGAAATTGAACTTTAATTCTAGGGCTATTATATTTTAAATATTTTTATAATAATTATTAAAACGGCAAAAAAATAAAAAAGGACAAAAAAGACAAAAAAAGGACAAAAAAGACAAAAAAAAAGGACAAAAAAGACAAAACAAAAAACAAAAAAAAAAAAAGACAAAAAAGACAAAAACAAAAAACAAAAAAAAACAATTATTTAATTAACTTAACAATATTTAACAAAGCTATCCTTAGACATATTAATAGATTTACTCAATAAAATCCACTATTCTTTTTCTTATTTTATCTTATGTTGACTTCATTTATATTTGGCTTGAAAAGTTCTTTTGAAATTATATATGTATTCATTGAGTATGACTCATCTTTGCTTGTTGCTTGTGGAATAATCACAAATATAAACTATGTGACATGTTTAATAAATACATAGTTACTTTATGGATATCAAGTTTATCAGATTTCCTGTTTCTTTACCTCATTTGATTACTCTAGTTAGTAGTAAAATGAAAAGGGTCAGGACACAAAATTGAGCTATTCTCTTCACAAATAAGGATAATTTTAAGCTTGTTTATCCTATACTCTGCATATTTTACATAGGTAGGTTATTATTACTATCTACGGTATTTAGCTTGAAAAATACATTTTCATAGTTAATATATTTTCATTGAAGGTTTAAGGAATTTTTTTTTTATCTAGCTCACTTTAATATTTCTACTTGCTTTAAATATTCGTAAATTATAGGGAGGGGAGAGATGAAAAGGAATAATATAATCAAGGATGCATGTGACTGTGAATGATTAAAAAAGACCTACATAGTTGTATACATGTATACATATACGTATTTATATACAAGTTTATATACATTTATAATATTACATAAGTGTAAAGCAAATACTAGTAGAATATAGATTCATTGTATTTCTTTATTGTGTTATATATATATGAATAAAGTGATAACTATAATTTGGCCTTTCTTGCTGCCTTTTTTGCTGCTGATTCCTCTATACAACACATTAATTATATGCTATATATTTCTATTTAACATTCTTTTTTAATTTTATTTTTATTTACCTATAAATCTCATAATACTTTCTAAGGAATCACTACTGCTCATACGTTCACCTAATGCTTTCATCTCAGCTTGATTCACTTGTTCAAGAACATCACGATCCACATCTCTAATTAAACCTTTCGTCACTTTTAATGCCTCAGTTGAAAACTTTGCTGCTTCCCCTGCCAAATCTAAAATAGTGTCACGAAAAGTTTCAGCAGGAATAAGTCTACTAATAAGCCCGCAATCGACAAGTTCCTTTGCAGTAAAGGTTCTGCCCATCAACTATATACATGTCAACATTATTTCACACTAGATATATCATGTTAATGAATACATACCAACATTTCATTTGCTTTAGAAGGCCCCATAATTCTACATACATATAGCTTGTTAAACAGACGAAATACAAACGCATATAACAGTTTTTTTTTGTAAAGTTATTTATATTTACCTTGGAAACAAAATAGAAGAGCATCCTTCAGCACAAAACCCTAATTCATTTAAAACTTTATGTGTTAGTTTTTCTTTTTTTTTCCTTAAAAAACAAACAAAAAGAAGTTGTATCCTTCTATTTTTTTTTATATACCAAGCTTCATGAAAGGAGTGCCAAAAGTAGCTTCAGGAACAGAATAAACAACATCACATAATGCAAGTGTAGTCGTACCAAAACCAATACTTGGCCCTGAAAATAAAACAACGCTTTAAAAATGAATTATTATTTCCCTAAAATTAAAACTCCAATTAAAAAAAAAAATACCATTCACAGCACCGATCAAAAGCTTGGGAAACTTGATCATTTCAGTTACAACATGACTAAGAAAACACACACACACACACACACACACACACACGTTAGAAATATATATAAAAAAAATCTTTGTTTTTTTTTTTTTTTTTTTTTTTTTTTTTTACGTTGTAGTTTGTCTTCTACGTTTCATTTCTTCTTCAATATTTTCTTCATTTAAATTGGGCATTTGTAGTTCTTGCCCTGAAGTATAAAATTTACCTCTACCTGTTAATACTGCAACTTTAACTGCATCACATTCAGCTGCCCATTTTATAGCAGCCAACCAATCCTAATCTCATATACGTTATTATGTAATCATAACTAATTATCATTATCCTTATTACTCTATAAGATTGTGGGGAAAGAGCATTGTAACGTTTAGGTCGATTATGAGCAATTTCGACTACACCATTTGGAAATAGACAAATTTCTATTGTTTCAAGTTTGGGAATTGGATTGGAAATTAGATTAGTCATTTCAAAAAGGGGGGGAGGGGAAGTTTTTTTCCAAGAAAAAAAAAATATGTGAATTTATAAAAGAAGTAACTTTTTAAGCAGCACACCACCTCATTTTATAGTTTTTAGAGGGAGAAAAAAAAAAGTTCAGACTTAAAAGGAAATTGATTTTTTGAGATTTAAAAAAAAAATATGTGTATATATTTGTATTATTGATAATTTAATCCAAAAGATAACATATTCCATTGATCAGTAGTCAAAAGCCCTTGATATCCGTTAATGATCTTTTTTTTTTTTTAAAAAAAAAATATAAATATTATTTCAAGTATATCATATACTCTTTTTTTTTTCTTTTTTGACAAGTTTATAATCTACACTTACTTGTCTAAATAATATGCCGAGTTCATTTGATGGACTTTTCCATTGTGCAATAATTTCAAATAAAATCCTAACTGCCTATTGAATAATAATACGATCGTTATAATTATATCTACATAAATCTATGTATATATTTAGAGTATTTACCATTTGGTTTAAAACTTGAGGATAGAGTCGAATCATCTTACAAAAGCCTTGAAAGGCACTATCTTTTTCTTCATTTTCAGGTATACTGCGGGACCTGTATAGCCATTGAAGACCAAATTGAGATAAAAATCCCATCATGACTTCAGCATTTTGAACCCCTAGTCTTCCTATCGTATTCATAGCATTTTCATGAAGTTCTATTAAATCTAATGGAGGATTCATAAGTGGTACAATGGATTTCAGAATAGGCTCTACATAGTCTTTCATCACTTTCTTATCCCAACGTAAAGCTATTTCTCCAATGGCCCAAATAGCATTGTTTCGAGCTGATTTAAAAGTGGAGTCATTATTTTTTATTTGCCGAATAAGTTCAGGCATAATATTATCGAGGATAGGAATAAGTGCTGTAAAACATGCCTTTGCTAAATCACCTATCAAAGCAAAAGTAGGCGATAACACTTCATAACGAGAATTCTAATAAAATTGGATTTATATATGTATATGCATGTATATAATTTTTTTTTGGGTCAACGTACATAATGAGCACAGACAGCTAATAAGGGTAATAAAGGAGATCTTTGTAAAAAGGGTTCTATTTCATTTTTTAAACCTTGTACAATGCCTGATAATAAATCAAGAGGCATGATAATAAATTCATTATCTAATTCATCGAAACTATTATCATTCAAAGCATTTTGTATCGTTTTGTGTACTAACATAACACATCTTGTAAATACAGGCTCTGTAAATGGTAAAAATCCTCTTCCTAATGATGTTGCAATATCTGTTAAGCACTATAATAGATTAAAAAAAAAGTTAATCTCATGTAGTTAATTTTCTTTTTTCTATATACATATATATATATATATATTTACCCCTAATAATGGAAATAGGTCTGAATCTGTGTTATTTAATTTATTCCATTTTGAAATTAAGGGAGGCATTAGAACGCCAATGAGAGCAGGTTGATTCAAACTAGAGCCTACAGATTCAGCAAGGGTTCCAATAGTATCATATAAAAGACGTAAATTTCTATTTTTATATAATCGTAATGCTCTAGAAAGGTGATTAAGAATGATTTTCAAATAAGGTGCAAGTTCCTGTTTTGTTGCCTTTTCTTCTAATGTTGAGAGAGCTGAACAAGCAGCTTCCTGAACTCTTCTACTACTATCAAGAATTCTCTTTAAAAGCTCACGTAAGACTGGTTCATAAAATTGTTCTCGGTTTTGTATAGAATGATTGTATTGTTCAATAATCCAATCTGAAAATCTACTGATAGTCCAACAAGTAATATATCGAATGTATGTCTATTTACATAATAAATATTAGAATACGTTCTTTTTATTACAGTCTCTCTCTTTTTTTTTTTGTTATACATCTCATTTTTTTTTTTTTTTGCTTACATTTGGATTTGATAGGCTAGTAACAAGAAAAGGTAATAATTTTGGAAGTTCAGGCGCTATAACATCCATCCCACCTAAAAAATAAAAAAATAAAAATAAAATAAAAATAAAATAAAAATAAATATTAACGAAATGAAATGAATAAACGATGAATTTTACCTTCTGCTGCAGCACCTAGTGCAAGGATTCCACTTTCTACTACCTTCCAATCATCACTTGAAAAGGCCTCAGTGACGATAGGTAATAAGATAGTCGTTACCTTTGATTTAAAGGCACAAGTAAGTGCATCCAAGGAAGTGGCACTGTATTTTCGAAGGGTCCATTCTAAAAAGAGTTCTTCATCCTCAGGATCAAGATCATCATCATCATCATCATCGTTCTTATCATCATTGTCATTGATGTGATTTCCTCTCTGAAGATGATGATATCGACTTGATCTTGGACGTAACTCGAGTAATAAAGTACGTTGACCGGATTCATGTTCTTGTTCACCAAAGACGGCTATATCTTCATCTGTATAAGCAAGTGATTTGAAAAGACTACGTATGACACTCGGTAAATAAGGCATTAAATAAGGTTGAATGGATTCTAGACTAATAAATAACTGCCAAAAATCACAGGCCTCAAGGGCTATCTTTGTATTTTCAGTCGAACTATTACAGTCGATCATGTATTCAATAAGTTGATTTAGATAAGGTAGAAGATTATTGGTATAATTCTCGAGTAACATGACAAAGGAATGACACGTTTCTTGACGTACCTCAATGTTACTCATGTTGGCAATAGAAATCAGGGATTGAAGATAAATTTCGATATATTGAGTAAATGACGGTGATCTGAGTTGTACAAAATGATTTATAGATGAAATAGCAAAAACTTGAAAATGAGGTTTTGAATGATTATTAAATGATATTAAACGAGGTATAATAAAATCAACAAAGGGGGTATTATTTTCTTGAACATCGATTGCTTCACATAATTCTACAGCGCTATCTTCACATATTTTTTGAATTGTATCAAGGGCCATCTAAACATGGTAATGAATTAGTTGATTTTATGCCTATATATATATATATATATACATGCATATATCTATTTAAATAGAATATAAGTCTACCTCTACTGATAATGGATTTGAACTGTATAATTTTTCAATTAGCACTTTAATTGCTTCAGGCCAATTTATGACTTGATCTCGAGTGATAATAGCCGAAATAACAGAACCAATCGTTCTTCTTACGGTCGAATCTTGATCTGGACTATCCAATGCTTTTAAACTTGTATATTTTACATGATTTAATACAGGAACAGATATTTTATTAAAATTATAAAGTAAATTGTTCTTTAAAGTGATACCAGCAATAGCTCGAATATAATTATTTTGATTGGTCATTGTCACAAGTATATGTATTAGATAAGAATTGTACTCAGGGATTACATTAAACTCTGATAGTTTCTATAATATAATAAATAAGGCATTATGATATACATATATATATATGAAATATACATATTATTTTCATTACTTTTTGTGTTAATAATTGATCTCGATTATTTGGTAAAACTGCATCTTGAAGTACATTTAAAAGTTCATTTAATCCTTGTAAATTAGGTTCCCAATTCATTTTGTAATGTTTAGTAAATGAGTTGATTAAAAAAAAAATATAAGGCAAAATAGAAAAAAAAAATATAAGAAAAGAAAATAATAAAAAAAAAAAGTAAAATGAAAGAAAAATAAAAAACGAGATAATAGATAGAAACGAACACGAACTTTATATATTTATACGTGTGTGTATACTTTTTTTTTTTTTTTTTTTTTTTTTTTTTTTTGTAATATAACGAATACAGTCTTCTTCTTCTCACACGATAACTTCATGTAGTTATGTTCTTTATATATTATCTTGATTCATAATGAAACATTTTTCGTTCCTGAATATATGCAATGATCTAAAAGAGCGACGGTTTTCTCTTTGTATACTAAAGAAAAAAAAAGCCGTTTTAGATTAAAAGAACTACCACAAAGAAAATAAAGTAGGGGAAATAAACATCCAATCAAAACACTGTATTCATAATGGGTAATTATTTTAATAAAATGCACGGACATCTTATTGTTATTTGACATGTCTTTATTAACTTTTTTAAAAAAAAAAAAAAAAAAAAAAAAAAAAAAAAAAAATTGAGCAACTTTGTCTATATTTGGAATATATAAAAATATATACAAATTTTATTGATAATAAAGAAAGAAAAGATACATTTTTTTTTTTTTTGGGAATGAAGAAAGTGATAACAGAGCAGTATATAAACGTGACTTTTTAGTTCCTTTTTCATAATTAATACCATTCACCATATCTGCCAAATGGCTCTCGATTAGATGACATAGAAGCAGAAAAGGGACTTGGATAAGATTTTTTTTGTTGAAGTAAATGCTAAAAAAGTATAATATATATATATATATGTATATGCATTAGAAATTGATCTCCTTCTATTTTACGTGTATATTTTTTTTTTTTTTGCTTTATTTTTACTTCTATTTGGCTTGCATCTACAAAGGAAGGTAGCTTTGGAGTTCCACTTGGTGTTGCTATCTTTGTTGTTTTATGTTGTCCTTCATCAAAAGTAGCACCTAAATCTCGAAGCGCTGCTAGTCGTTCATTACCAACTGGCATGTCTCGAATATTTTTTGACCTTAATCTTTCTTCATACACTGTATTTTGTTCAATATCAGGATGAAAACGATTTGATGATTCTGCCATATTAGAAGAAAAAAAAAGGATATGTAGAAATTAAAAAGAAAAGAAAAGTTATTATTTTTCTCACAATGCAAAAAAAAAAAAAAGAAAAATGATGATGATTATGTCTAAACTAGACCCAATCATGATCCTTGAAATTTGAACCCCTTCCGCTGTTGTTGTTGTTACTGTTGCTGCTGCTGTTGCTTTTTTTTTTCTTTTTGTGAGAAAAAGAAAATATTCTCATAATAACAAAGGCTTGATTTTATATAAATGCATGAAAAGAAGGAGGAGTGAAGGGTAATGCTAGGTTATTCATTGAAATGCATGCTTGATTACTTTTAAAACAAGAATAGTTTAATACTAACAGAACTTGATTTTAAAGTAAAAAAAACACAAAAAAGTAAATGCATGATAGCCAGGTTTTTAATATAAATAAGAGAGATGTTTCTATTCCTCCTTTATTACATCAAGTAATAGAGCCAATAAAATAGAAGCTGTGAACTTTAAAAAATTAAAAATTGTCAACTTCATCATAGTAAAGGTGTTAAAAGACCTATTTACTACTTTACATTACAAAAACGATTTTAATTGGTTGCATTCTTCTTCTCTCATAAACAGTATATATATCCAAGAATAAAGCTTATATGAACAGAACAATTGAGAGGGAAAGACATACATACATACATACATACATACATACATAGATATGTATAAGAGGTAGGCAGCTCAAACATAGTAAAAATAAATAAATAAATAAAGGTACCGACAGCAAACTCCTTTTCAGATAATAGCTGCCACAACGAGAAATCCCACCATTTACTCAAATATATACAAATATATAAATATATATGTATATATATGTTTACATATTTCTTTTATACACAAGTAATATATATACAAGACTTGATCAATGAAACAAAACAAAAAAAAATGGCTAGTTACAAAAGCTATTTATGATCTTATTGCTGCCAAGTTTGAAAATTTTTCACTATTAAAACGGTAAATTTGTAAACTATAATCTCTTGGTGAAATTTCCACGTCACCTCATTTTGAACCTGAAAAAAAAAAGACTCCCTATACATATAAAGAGCAACTTTGGACTTATTATTATCGTTAGCACTCTTCTTTTATGATAGATCTAATTTTGTCCAGTCCAATATTGAATTAACTATATCTATTGGTTAAGGTGCCACAGACTTGAATATGTGTCATTCATAACCAGTACAAAAGGGAGACAGCAACAATAACTAAGAATATCTAGAGAGAAAAAAAAATCTTCCTTTTAGAATAATACTAATGAAAACATTTATTATGCTATCAAATATATTGACATAAATGCACTGTAGTATATTATGGAATTGTCTTGTTATGATGAATACTACGTGTTGTTGTTGAATTTAAAAATTCTAAAAAAAAACCCTTTTGAAACGAAAGAGACTATAAATATAATGAGCAAATCCTATTATAATATCTATCAGAGACTTAACCTCATTTGATGAATTGACTGCTATCACTTGGGGGTCATGAGTTATGGAAGATAATAGCAGTAGTAATAATAGTAGCAATAATAATAATAGCAGTATTAGTAGTAGTAGCAGTGAAACGCTCCTCAGAGTTTATTATAGAATTTGACTTTCAAACTAATTGAGACATGTGAAAAACTTTTTTTCTTTTTTGTTGCTCAGGAGGAGGCATTATTGTCTGTTGAGTACTTGAAGTATTGCATCATGAATTGTCATAATAAAACGAAAATTAATAAATAAAAGCTTTATCTTTCAACTTTAGATTGAAAAGAGAGATAAAACTATTTTATTTATTTGTTTTTTTTTTTTTTTTTTTTTTTTTTTTTGCAAGTATTATTCTTCATGTGGGATAATGACAGTGTTTAGAAGTGTAGTACATATGCAATTTTAAAGCGCGACAAAAGCTCGAGCATAATAGGCAATTACGAAATTGGTAACATTTCACACGATTTTAATTTATTAACTTATCAATTATGGTAAAGCTGCCAACAAAGATATTTTCTAGTGATAGCAATCATTAAAGTAAAGATCAAAAAAAAAAAAAAAAAAAAAAGGATAAATAAGCTGTAAAGTATAATTTATATTTATTGTGCATACACATAATTGAATAAATGCATAGTATAGTTTTTTTTTTCTTTTTTTTCTTTTCTTTTTTTCTTTTTTTTTTTAATCATAGACAATGGAATAGAAAGGTTTTACATGTTCTTATTCTTGTATTGTTGTACTCTTTAAGGGCATAGTAGGTGATTTTGTTACTGGAGGTAGCTGATGTCCACGTTTAGCTAACATGCTTCTTAATCTAAGTGTAGAACCAGGTCCACGTTGTGAAGGTGGCTTTAATATAGATTTCTTTTCACTCGTAGATTGCTGAGTAACTGAAGTAGGTAAAGGAATGTGTGTTTGTCTTTGAATGTTAATTGTGGCTTTTGCTGTTGTGGTAGTAGTGGTGGTAGTAATGATAGTTGATTTTGCTGTTGTTGTGATGGTAGGCTTAATGGTATTAATAATAGGTTTAGTAATAATAGCTGAATGAGGTGGAGTAGAAGCACCTGATAATGACTTTTGTTGTTGGTGTTCTTTTTGTTGTGTAATAGAAGATGTACGTACACGTGGTAAGCCAACACTTGCTTTGACTTGAGTCAGACGAGGGCCGCCGACTGATTGACGTTGAAGTTTTTTCGTTACTAATGTAGACTTAGTAGGCGAAGAAGGAGGTATATCATTATTAATAATAGAAGAAGACATTTGATGCTGGGGAATAGATACTTGTTTTGTATTTACGCTTGGAATAGAAGATCGTTTAACTGAATTAGAGGGTGTAATCGTTGTTGGCTTTTCATAAATCGTACGAGTTGAAGGTATAGGTAACTATAAATAACAACAAAAGATAAGTAATCAGTCATACTAACTACTTTCATGTTCTTATATTTTACATTTCTTGCTAACAGGTTATCTTCTCGATCTAAGATAGTAATAATATCTTCTCCGTTAATTAATAAAGGTGTATTTCTGGTATAGATTTTCCAATGAGAAACACCTTCTCGAATTTTGTCTCCAAGCTATAAAAACAAGTAAGTATAACTGATAGAGTCTTTTTTTTTTTCCTGTTTACATTTTGTATTTCTTCCATGTTTTCTCTTCTCCTAGCACTTCTCATAAGAATATTTCTTCTTTTCATATTACTTTTTGCTGATAAGGAAATTGTCTTTGCAATATCAAGGTCAACATAAGCCTTTTGTAAAACCTCATAATCATCTATTTATGAATAAGTTATTCTAAACATATCAATTTTCATCTTTATTTCTCTTTTACCAGTTGTTCCAATACTAGAGAAAAAGTTTCCAGACTCCAGGTTTAAATCTCTAAGTAAATCATTCAATTTTCTTAATATATTTTTGGTATCAGGCTTATATCGTATTCTTGTTGTAAACAACCTAGCATTACTCTATATACATACATATATATATATATATATATATATTTTAAAAAAAAATCAACTTAAATGATCAATATCAAATGAAGAACGGACTTACATATCGTTTATGATCACTCCCTTCTGTCATAGCCGCACTACCACTATTCGTACTTGTAGTAGAAGGTCGTCTTCTATTAACATGTTTGAATTGCTGTGGATAAATACTTGTGGCTGATTTAATGGCTGAATCAAGAGATTGTTCAGCACTCATTAATAAACTTTCTCTTGAATTCTCTGAAAACCCAAGATCTTTCAGCATATTTTCAATTTGTGTCGTAGTTGATTCGACGGTCGTAATGGCTTGGTTTGTAAGCTCTAGTTGTGCTAATAATTCGTTTAATTCTGCTGTTTTCATTGTTAAAATCGACCGAAGATTAGCAATAGTCTGAGTTCCTTCATCTAACTTTGCTAATAGCATATGTACCGCATCCCCTCCAGTTCGGTGCATTGGTTCATTGTTTGTTCCTATTGAAGATGTTTCTGACTTGATAGAATCAGCTATAATAGGTGCGTTATAATTCATGTCAAACATTGTACATATAAAAAAAAAGGAGTCTTTATTTTTTTTCTTCTTCTTTTTCTCTTAAATATATATGTGTATATGACTATTTATATGAATATCTATTTTTTTATTATTAAAAAAAAAAAAAAAAAAAAGGCAGAGAAAAATTGTAGTGCTTACTAAATAAATAGCGGGTTTTTAAATCTTGATGAATAATGTCGGGCCTATGAATTACAATTGGTGTTTCTTTTTTTTTTTTTTCTTTAAATACTATTTTAATGAAAACAGTCAGGGCAAAAAAAAAAAAAGAAAAAAAAAATTGATAAATAATGAAACGAAGCAACGGATTAGAAAGAGTTGAAAGAAAGCATACACTAGAAAGATTATAATGTTTGCTTACAAAGAAAACACGTGTATTATTTAAAGCTCAAACTAGAAAAAGCTGTATTTTATTGATACTGTTGAGCGATCATCAAGCATAGAGTATAACATTGGGCTTAAAAAAATAAAATAAAATAACAACAGAGCTGACCTCGGGAGAAACAGAAGGAATGACTTTTAATTCTGTTCGATGCTATTAAAGTCTATTCATTATAGAGTGATTTATATCCTTCTTAAGGATTCTTTCTCGTATCTGAGTGTGTTTATAAAGCCCAGAGGTTGTGTTGATTCAACAAAGCACATCCATCGCTATCAATCTTCATGATTTCGATTATTTATTTGAGGCCCACTTTTTACTTATTCATTTTTACTTGCTCTTCTATTTGACAACTAGAAACCTGTCAGACGGAATGTATTCGACGGATATCCATTCTACAAGCTTATTTCATTTTTCGTCTGCTTTATCAATGTACCTGAAGATATGAGTTAAAAGGCGAAACTATTGTCTCGTCTACAATTCTCTGCTATAAGCTCACATTTAGTATAAACTTGGAAGCACATCTTTTTGACAATTTTATACTAAACAATTAAACATATAAGCTTCTAAACAACAATGCCAACAATTTCTTATAGATGATTCACATCAATACCATATTCTCCCCTCCCTTTTATATATATATATATATAGTCTGTAAACTCTATTTAAATATAGGTCTAAGCCCCTAACTGTCCATATTCTATAGTGGTAGAAGAAATCAAACAACTTGACTAGTTGCCTGACGGGAAACCTACCCTTTCCATCCTTGTATCTATTTTACTACAAACTATACTACTAAGTACTTACACATATATATATATATATTTGCTTGTACCTGTTCTATACTGTTAATCACTCTCTATCTTCTTCTTCTTTATTTTTCCTTTAATATACTGCCGTGATATTAACTCAACGATTTTCAAGAATCCTCTGTTGTGTTTCTTTGTTGGCTTACAATTTACCCTCTCCTTCAAGAATCGACTTATTTAATGTATGATACATTATCTCTTCCTCTTTGTGGACCAGGACAGCATTTGTTTAATTGACTGTTCACTTAGCAAAGTGCTGGTTTATTTTTGCTTTCTTTCTTCCATTCTTTTTTTTTCTTTTATCCTTAAACGAGCTTTTAGACGCCTTTTTTTTTTAATCGATCAAGATGATTCATTGTACTTGCAGTGATGGGTTATTGATTAATTTTCTTTATAAACTAATAAAATGTACAATTCTGTAGAAATACTTGAAAAGGATTTCAATTATTGAGTTTAAAAAAAAAAAAAAAAAAAAAAAAAAGATATTTACTACACTGTATACACATATTTTTTTCTTTTTTTCTCTTCTTTATTTATTTATCGCGTTTTATTTTAATATGGCTAATAACGACAAGACTCCATCTGAAAAGGAGCTTCAAGATCTTGCAAAGAAAATAGATAAACTTACTTCAAGCAAGAAGGTGCAACAAATAATGAAGAATCCTTCTTCTGCTGCTGCAAGCAGTAGCAACAATCAAACTGATGCCTTGATGAAAGCACAACTTCGACAGATGATTGAAAACATGGCTTTATTAGAAAGAGCTGCTAAAATGAAATCTACTGGTAAAAAGGATATTAATGATCATCAGTTTTGGAAGACTCAACCTGTTCCTCGTCATGGTAAAAATAATATTGATAATTACAATACAAATATACTAATACATGTATATATATATATATATATATATTATTTAAAAAGATGAGGAAATTGTTGAATCTGGGCCTATTGAACCTAACATTCCTTATGATCAAATTAGAAAGGAGCCTATTCCTTTACCTAAAGAATTTGAATGGTGTGAAATTGACATGGAACAAGAAAAAGAGGTAATATATATAAGAGAAAACCTGTCGAGTCAACTTGTATATTGATAATTTCATCATGTATTAGGTTAAAGAACTTTATGAACTTTTGACCTTGAATTATGTTGAAGATGATGACGCTCAATTTAGATTTGATTATTCAGCTGATTTTCTGCACTGGTAAACATTTTAAAATCCTAAATGTACAAATGTATAATAAACTTAAGACTGTAAACTAGGGCCCTTACTCCTCCAAATTATAAAAAGTCATGGTTAGTTGGTGTTCGTGTTGCTTCAAATAAAAAACTTGTTGCCTTTATTAGTGGTATTCCTGTTACAATCAGAACTTATGAACAGTAAATTGACTCCTATATACATATATAAACGATAAATTATTAATATGGTTTTTTTTTTCTAGTATTCATAATTTGACAGAAATCAACTTTTTATGTATTCATAAGAAACTTAGATCAAAAAGATTAGCACCTGTTCTTATTAAGGAAGTTACACGTAGAAGTCATCTTGAAGGCGTTTTCCAAGCTACTTATACAGGTGGTATTGTTCTTCCTAAACCTGTATCCACTTGTCGGTAAGGAATTGAGTATATATAGATATATATATATAGGCAGGCAGGTGATGTAAATAAGCAGGCTTTAATTTTGCTATTTTTTTTTTTTTTTATAGTTATTATCACAGATCACTTAATCCTAAAAAATTGGTTGAATGTAATTTCTCCCGTATTCCTCCAAGATCTACTTTATCTCGTATGATCAAGAATTATAAATTACCTGAAAAGACAAGTACGGTTGGTTTAAGGGAAATGCGCTTAGAAGATGTACCACAAGTACGTGTTTTGTTGAATAAATATCTGGAAAGATTCGATATTGCTCCCGTTTTTGAAACAGATGAAGATGTTAAACATTGGATTTTACCCCATAAAAATGTTGTTTGGAGTTATGTAGTTGAAGATCCTGAGACGAAGAAGATTACTGATATGTTCTCATTCTATTCCCTTCCAAGCTCAGTTATTAATAATCCTAAACATTCCACTTTAAATGCTGCTTATATGTTCTATTATGCATTAGAACTTGATGATGCTATGGATGATATGAAAAAGGATAAATATATTACAAAGAGATTAAACGACTTGGTACATGATGCATTGATTTTAGCTAAAAAGGTAAAGAAAAAGGAAGATATTAAAAGGAGTTTTTTTTTTTTTTTTTTTACTGATAAGGATCAATTTTATTTAGGCTGATTTTGATGTTATGAATACATTGGATTTGATGGATAACATCAAGTTTGTAAGTGAACAAAAGTTTGGTAATGGTGATGGCTTCTTGAATTATTATTTGTATAACTGGAGATGTCCTGATATCACTAGAAATAAGGTTGGATTGGTAATGCTTTAGATCAGTCAGTGTTCATTATAAATAAATAGTATAACATAGTATGATGAAGAAGTGTTTCTTTTCTTCCCTAAAAAAAAATGTTACTTACAGAATCATTTGATAATCCCTTTATGAGTCAACAGAACAGAGTAATACCTCCTCGTCATGGCTTTATAATAAAAATGAAACAAGTCCTTTCAAACATAATACAAAAACGTCTTTATCATAAGAGACAAAGAGATTTTGAGGTTGTAAAAGATAGAATAGTACAAGAAGGACCTCATTCATCGTTTTTGAATAATACCTCTTCTTCTTCTTTATTCATGGATGCTACTGTAGCACCATCATTATTTTCAGTTCCTTCATTAAATGGTGTAGCCCCTCTTCCTCCTCCTCCTCCTCCCCTTCCTTTACTACTACAGCAACAGTATGTAACCTCTCCTGATGCTGTTATTATGCCATATCCTTATCCAATGTACCATTATTACACCAATTTTGCACAACAGGAATATTATCCTCTTGATCCATATCCATATTATTATGATGAGCCTGAAGGACATGTGAATAACTTTGTAAGAAGAAGAGAAGAAGATGATGATAATAATAGCTTCATGTTTTACTATTATAATCCAACTCATATTACTTATGTTACAGCAATAACCAATAATCAAGTAGATGGAAGAAGAGAAACTTCAACTTGTTAAATAATACAAGTTATCGTATAAAATAAAATAAAACAACAATACATGTACACTTGATATAGGTTTAAAAGGCTTATTTTATCTTCTTGTTGTAACAGGAATATATAAAGGTATACATGTAGTATAGAGTAAAAGATATTTATTTGTGCCGTGTTTCTAGTAAATTAATATTAACACTTTTTTTTTTTATTGGCAGTGACCGTGTTTTAATAAAATAAATAAATAAAAGTTTTAAAAAAAATAAAAAATAAAAAATAAAAAGAATCTTCAAAGTACAACCAATGTCGGAATCATCATCGTTAGATCTTATTAAGCATTTTTTATTAGAGAGTCGGTTGAATACCGATCGAAACCTTTCATTAAAATTAGCTTTAGATATTATTGAGATTCTTGTTTCAAGTCGATGCTGTCTTCGTTGTTGTTTTCGTCATCTTGGTTGCATTACTTTCCAGATTTATGCTTTTGATCAAAAGGTATTTATTTTATTTTATTTTATTTTTTTATTTTAAAGAATTTGTTTAAATAAAATGTTAATTAATATACATTTAGGAATTATATAACACCCTTAATCAATTACTACAAACTGATCGTCAAAGACAGCTTGAAGATGTCAACAACTTGGTCTGCACAGCTTGTTTAGGCTCAATTCAATTTGCCGAATCTTATGTTGATAAAGTCCATGAGAGATTAAAAAAAGAAGATTATAAAGTAAATAGTTGTAACTTGAGTTGCACCTTACCCATCAGTATTTTGCACCGTGATCATTTGCTTAAGGCCCATGTTTTAAATGTGTTGATGCAAAAGTATGCTGATCAAGACTACACAGCAACTCTTGCTTCTATTTATAAGAATATGGATGTAAGAGATCCTAAAGATTTTTTCAAGTACTTGTTTGGTTTAAAGTTGAAAGAAAGGACTGGTCTGCAATTAGAAACGAATGCTTCTTTGCGTATGACTGTAGTTGTTGATCATGAATCAACTTGTAAGGAACATATGTTTTTGACTCAATTAAAGGAACCTTTATTGAACATCAGAACTATTCGCCAAAAAGTAAGAACGTATTTAGACGATAATTCAATATTTAACTGACTAATTATATATATATATATATGTGTGTGTATCTATTTATAGAGGATGAGAGTTACTATAGGAGATTCAAGGTCGAATATCACTGAAGCTTTGAAACGATTAAATAATAATGAAGCTAAAGAGTATGTCAATCACTTTATATATATATTTAATATAAATATTTATATTTACACATGCATATCTATTTAGAGTCACTGCAATTCCTCCTATTCCCGTTAGTGAAAAAGCTCAACTGAATTCAGTTGAATTAATACATGCTTCAACCTATGTGGGAGGTAGATATCTCAAGTATTCAAGAGAATATAGTCAAACACCTTGGGCTATCAAAGGTCAAAAACTAGCAGAGCATTCAGTCTCAGGATGTATAGTTGATATTATTCGTAAATATCATCGTGCTGATGACACAAAATTTGTTTCTGCTGGTCGTGAAGATGCTAATGTTCGGATGCTTGGCACAGGTCGACCTTTTTATGTCGAATTAATTAATCCTAGAACGCCTAAATTAAGTAAAGAGATGTATAAGAAGATTGAAAATGAAATTAACAACCAAGAGATTCATAAAGATCATGTTCAAGTTAGACACTTGACTTATATTAAGCCTGAATATACCAACATTATTAAAGAAGGAGAGGAAACCAAGACAAAAAAATATAGAGCACTTGTATGGCTTTCTGAACCTTTAACTGATGAACTTATAGAACGTATTAACAAAATTGGATCTACGCCTTTTACTATTCAACAAAAGACACCCGTTCGTGTATTTCAGAGACGAGCAGCTGCGATTCGTCCAAAAGTGATTCATACCTCAACCATATCACGTGTACATCCGAATGTCGATCTAAACAGTCCAGAGGCTCGATTTGGTGTATTAAAGTTACATACACAGGCTGGAACATATATTAAAGAATATGTTCATGGTGACCTTGGAAGAACACTACCCAATTTAGCTTCTGTAGGTCAAATTCATTCAGCTGATCTTTTAGAATTAGATGTAATGGATGTAGATTTGATTTGGCCTCCCGTTACTGAAGAAGAAGAAGGAGTAATAAATGAAGATATTGACGTAAATGAGCAAACTAATAAAAATAATAAACGTACACTGTTATAATAATAAAAAAGAACATGACTGCTAATGATAACATAAACTGTTTAATTATTATGCATTGTATGTTTTTGACATCAATGGCAAATCATAATCGTAATTATGTCATTTTTTCGTCAATAGCATAAATTGGAACCATAAAAAAAAAAAAAAAAAAAAAAAAGACAAACAAAAAAGAAAAAAGACTTTTATTATTTCCTTTTTGTTTTTAATATAATTTAAAATTTCAAGATGAATTACGCTAAAGGAAAGATTGCAGAAAAGTTATACATACCACAAATAGTTGAAACGGTTCGAGTTCAAGGGACTTCACAAGTAGTTTCGTTGAGTCAACGAGTTCCTTATTTAAATCAGACTTTACCAACTTCACCTATGACAGATAAAAAAAGAACAAAGCTTTTAAAGAAGATCAGAAGATTATCTCAATGGCTCGATAATGCAGTACCTTATTCGCCTATCCCAATCGGTATTGATTCAATTCTTGTAAGTTATTTATAATATATATATATACATGAAACTATTATATTTATGAACTTATTTCTATAGGGATTTGTTCCAATTATAGGTGGACCAATAGGTAGTATGCTTGCACTTTATCAAGTCTATCTTTCAACTACATTTGGCATTCCTTTATGGCTGTTTTTACAAATGATAATGAATATTGCTATTGATCTTATATTCAGTATCATCCCACTCCTCGGTGGTTTCCTTCATATGTTTTACAAAGCAAATACATATAATTATGAGGCATTACGAGACTATTTGAACACACCAGAATACTTGGAAAGGGCACAACTAAGAGAGAGAAATTCATCTAGCAGTAAACCTTCACCAGGCGAAATTACTTGGTCTCAACTTGGTACAGATGTTAAAAGACTAATCCCGTTTCTAGCAACCGAAAAAATGAGTAATAAAAAACCTGAATAAAAAACACTTACTCAACAAAAAAAAAAAAATTAAAATTAAATATAATAAATAAATTATAATTATGCTCGCTTATTTCTATCATTTAAATGCAGCATAATTTATTAGTTGTGATTTCTTTTTTTGGAGATTGTTTCATTTCTCTCTCTCTCTTCCCCCCACCAAATAAATGCATATTGGTTTTTTGAAAAAGTAGTAATTCGAAACTTGCTACCAAGTAAATGTGTTGTATTTATGAGGAATACTATGTAGTACGTTCTCTTTCATAAAAGGAGAAAAAAAATCATATTTAATATATGTTGATATTCATTGCTGTGGTTTAATGACAAATATTGAAAGCTACTTTTAATCTTATCCTAATAATTGTGAAGATCTCCTTCAAGTTGACAATTTCTATTTTCATATACTACATTATCATCAATAACTGTAAAGTTAGTAAAATTTATTAAACAACTTTGGAGATATTATCCAACTGTTCAAGATACTTTTCAATATTAACATATTCTCATAATATAAGCACAAGCAGATGTTTTTTTTAAAAAAAAAAAAAAAAAAAGAAAAAAAAAGCATAAAGTGTTAATGATACAACGTTGGTATCCTCTCTAGCCTAGCCTATGTATCATTCTACGTAAATTGGATCATTATTTCCATGATGTATTTTCTCTTCCTCTTCCTGTTGATTCTGGTCGCAAGCTGTTGAACTGGTTACTCAAGTAATAGTGTAAGTCTCTCTGGTTACTTTGGTCTGGTTTCTTTTCATTCTATCTCTTTTTCCTTATTATATTATATCTTCTTTCTATTATTTCGCTCTTTCCTTTTTTTTTCTTTCTTTCTTCTTTTTTCCCTCTTGTCCTTTAGGAGGGTTTTTATTCTTATAACACCTTTATAACTAACTCAAGTAATACAACACATTTCGTTGCTACTTCTTCTTTGTCAGAAAATTTAAAAAAATAAAAACAAAATTACACAGAAATAAAATAGAATTTAATCGTATTTTCTTCATGATGACAATCATCACTTTTAGGAAAGTGTGACTTACTTTAAGGTTTCACAATGTTCGAAAAAGTTTTTTTCTTTTTTTTTGCTGCGGTTTTTTTTTATTGCTGCGGTACATTTAAAAAGAATAATTGAATAAGAAAACTCTTTATACTTCTTTTACGCCATTTTTTTTTATATATACTATAACATATTATTATACCCTTTCTTTTAAATTAACTGGCTTAATTCTTATAGAAAAAAAAAAGTATTATTTAATTCATTTGCATTTTACTATATCATGACCCTAGATACCACTGCTACTTCCAACTTAAATACCCAAGCTCTTCATAATCTTCTATTTGAAGACTCTTCTTCTAGAGAGCTTGAAAATATGAAGACCAAAGAATTTGACTTTACGGATTTATGGAATAAGTTAGCTACTGGTGAGTGCAAAAATTAAAGTCTAACTTTATTAAAGCCTATACACTTATTAGTTTCCCATATTTAGTAAATAATATAAAAGGCAACTTGCCTACAACAACAGATAGTAGTCTTCAAGACACTTCTTTATCTGGCTTGTTTTTGGATGAATCTCCTATTATGGATACCCCTTTTTTAGACAATTCATGTATGAATACACCATTCACTCCAGCTTCACTCTTTACACCTAATTTAGATCAATTTCAAAATTCACCTTATATTCAACCTTCTACACACTGTGATTCTACTACAACTCATCTTTCTGACCCTACAAACGATGTACAAGTTGCCAACTACTTGAAAAACGATATTCCTTGGCAAAATCCTATCCATGTCTCTACTATCGACCTCTTCCCTCAGGTCTCCACTGACAATCAATTTTTGAATTCATTTAACGGCGACCCTAATCAATTATTGTTAAATACAAGTGATAACACTGTTGCTTCTTCATCTGAAGAATCGACTGATTTCCTTTTCCCTCCTCTTCCTTCTGATAATCAGCAAACGACGATTACGTCATTAAATGAACAACAAGAACAAGAACAACAAAATTCATTTAATTCTCAAGAATTTGACATTAATGCATTATTTGGCGATTGCTTTGATGATGTCTTTTTTGGTATAACACAACAAGATGAACAACAACAACAACAACAACAACAAAATAAGCACAAGACATCATCATCGATACCTAATAAAGTGATTAAACATACAAAAGAATCGTTCATTTCTATCAAAGATAATACTTTAGTGATAAAGAAGAAGAAAGTGGATCAAAATGAACGTCGATTCAAATGTCACATTTGTCAGGCAATGTTCAATAGACGTTACAACCTTGGAACTCATATTAAAACTCATGACAAAAATAGAAACAAAGAATTTACTTGTTCCATCTGTCAAAAGTCTTTTGATCGTAAACATGACATGACAAGACACGTTGCTACAGTTCACAAAGGTGAACGTGCATTTAGGTGCAAATATTGTACTTCCTCTTTTAGTCGAAAAGATGTCTTGGCAAGGCATTGTATGCAAAAACATAATGATGTACATTAATTTTTGACTTGTTAATAAATAAAAAAAAAAAAAAAAAAAGTTTTAAATGTTTATATTATACATGCGTCTATCATGCATATATAAAAAAAAATCAAAGTTTATTATAATTTAAACAAGAAGGAAGAGCATTTTTTTTTTAAAGTCGAAGGTTAGCAAGTTCTCTCATGATGGAAACTTCAGTTGCAACCTTTTGTTGCTGAGCAGGAGCTAATTCTTCACCCTTGGCTACTTTCTCTTTTAATTCTTTAATTTGTCTTAATTTCTTTTCTAGGTTACGAATTTTCTTTTGTTTGTCTTCTTCAGAAAGAGCTTGATGTTGAGCTTGATGTTGAGAAGAGGCTGTGTCCTTCTTTGTTCCATTTTTCTTTGTGGCACCTACAACTTTACGTTGAGTAGTAGAAGACCTACCTGAACCACTCAAAGCAGCCACTCGTTCAGAAAGTGATGTAGGGGTAGCATTACCTCTAAGATGAGGTGGTCTATAAGCACCTGCTGGTGATGGGCTAGCTTTAGCACCACTACCCTTTGTAGGTAACACCTTAATAACATTAGGAGGAGGAGAGATGGTACGCATAGGGTAGCGTGAAATAGGTTCAGGTCGGAAACCAATTTGGAAAAGTTCATCAATTGCTTCTTCATAAATTAAAGTACCAGAATGATGCCACAACTTGAAACCGTTATCAACACGAAGACGAGGAGTCAAGGTGGCAGTTAACAAATATCTACCACAGGGAGACCATTCACAATGGGAAGCATTAGGTGCAGCAAATGTGTTGACCTTCTTTAATGACTTTCTATCCCAAAGATCGATTGTACCGTTAAGATTACCAAAGCCTGCAATACAAATTGTACGACCTTGAGGATTGTATCTCACAAAGTTACGAGGATTGATACCAAAATCAAAAACTGCAGTTGCACGATGGTCAAATAAAGTTGCCTTAGCAGGCATAGAACCATAAACAACAATAAATTCTTTAGAATCAGGTGCCCAAGTAACGTCATGAACAGGCCCTTCTTTATCAAGAGGCACACGACAATCAAAATTACCAGCGACAGCAAGATAATATAAATTGCTTTCACCATAATATGATTTGTTTGACTTATCCACATCAGTCATAGTCAATACAAGTAAATTAGTACCCAAGTCATTCCAATATAATTGAACATTATCTGCCTTATAAAAAGTTTTGTTGGACAAAGCTGTCTTAAAGTTGGGAATACTATACATACGAACAATAGCAGGTGCACCCTATTATAAAAGATAAGAATTATGCCTATTTTTATGATTGTTATAGATGTTCAGCTTACATTCTTTTCTGGCACAAAGACAGCTACTGCTGGTGCCTTACCAGGACTTAAAGAAAATTGGGAGATACCTTCAAGCTTAAGTCTAGCCCAAACAGCTATATATATATTTTTTTTTAAAAAAAATGAATGGCATTAATTTCTTCACTCGCAACCAAAGAATATCAAATGTATCTGCGTGTATTTTTTTTTTTTTACCTTTGCCAGCATTTTTACTCTCCCAAAATTGAACCTCACCAGTGACCATACGTGCACAATATTTCTCATCATCAGTCCATTGGAAATTCCTGTCAAAATAAAATCAATATCAAGATGCATTTTTGTATATCCTTTTATATATTACCAATTGTTTTGAGATTTTTGGCAGAAAGCAGCAATTTCTTTACCCGTTTTAGTATCCCAGATAGTTAGATTATTATTACTAGCACCGTTTTCAAGTTTAGCTAGATTATTTATTAGTTTGGCATTCAAAAAATATGGATCTATAAACACTTACTAGGACGTTCCCAAGTAGCTAAATAGCTACCTTGAGGAGAAAGCCAAAAATCAACAACATTAGCTCTTTCGATCTCGCAGAGTTGTTTTAAAGTAGCTGCATCAAAAGCTTTTACACTATATAATCATCAATATTTTTCTAGGATGTGATCGATTTTATTTCTTTTTTAAATGTACCTTAGATTAGTTGCATAAGCATATACGTGACCATATCTACTATAATGGAATACACGACTTGTTGTTTGGGGTCTATATATATATATATACAGATGCATATGTATATTTATGTTAGATTTGTATAGATCTTCTCGACTTAATACTTGCATATAAATGTATACATTGCTTACTTTTCAAAATTATTGACAGCCTTAAATTCTGGATAACCATTCCAGATGGTCAAATCCTTTTGAGAACGAACTATATTTAAAATAAACAAATTAGATAAAGATCTAGTGGTATAAGCCTTTTAAACATACAAGAGAACTGTGTAATTGGTTTAGTGGACATTGAAAGAAACAGATGTGATTATAAAAGTTAAAAAAAAAAAAAAAAAAAAAAAAAAAAACGCCTTATATTTCTATATAAAAAAAAAAATGGCACGTTGTGACTTTCGACAGTAATTTATAAAATTTGTGAGAACTTTAAAAGACCTGTCATTTTTATAATAATTAATGATGTTTACTACACATGGATGGATATATTTTAGAATGGCTTTAAATGAGTATTTATTTGATAAAAGGAATGATATGATTAAATACACCTTAATAAGTCTGTCGTTACAGATAAGCTTCAAATCTATAATATCATATATATTAAACAGTTTTTTTAAAAGGTCTATCAGTTATTCGAAATTAAGGATTAAAGAAAATCACGTTAAATACATTCTAGTAGTTAGTTAGTTTACCCCCCTTTTTTAATAGTCTTATTTGATATAATAATATCCAATTGTGTAATGTATTAGTCAATATACAAATTCCTCGAAGATATCATCATGCCATGATCTAATGTTTATTTGAAGCACTATAATATATAGTGTCTGTATTGTTTATTATGTACTTTTAAAACACTCTTAAAATTTCCAAATAATACACTATTTTTGTGAGAGAATTAAATTTTATCCTAAATGTAAAAAAAAATATAGATGGTAATGTTTCTAATTAGGTAACAATATTGAAATAGCTTTTATACTATCATCTTTTGGAAGTAGGCAAGAGGAGTAAAGGCCATACTTATTACTCCAGAAAAAAAACGCTTTATTCGAATTGAATAATAGTCTGCTAGTATTTCAATCTTATATTACATTGTGAAAAGTATCAAGTATATACAAGCCTTTAAGCCTATTAAATAGCATCATGGTTAAACAGGATATGAACAGTTATCTATTATTACTATTCATATATAAATGACAAATGAATATTACCAAGATGTAGTAGGCTTATTTTTATTTTTTTTTATCTAAAAATATGTATCATTATCTTGAATATATTTAAAACCCGAACACTATATAGGCTGGGGGTAAACTGGGGAGAATAGATGGAGATAAATTTTTGTAAACGATAAGCCTCCGCTATTAATAAATGATAATCTCTTTATATATGTAAAAGAAGAAATAAGTCTAAAAAGCAGTCTTCTTTAGATCAAATGTCATTTATTTGTTTATAGTTTATTATTTTATAATCTGACATTGTTTTATAAAAATAGATGAATATTCATTTGTATATTTATCTTTGAATTAATTACTGGCATATCAACAAATTAGGAAAAATATAAAGGTTTTTTTTTTTGTCTTAAGGTACAAACCACCTCTATGCTGCACACGTAAAGATCCGTAAAAAGAGTCACAACTTTTTGGCTGTAAATTTTGGGGTCGTTTAACCGAATTCTCCTGGGTTTTCCAGCTTTGTTTTTTTTTTCTTTTCTTTCCTTTTTTTTTTCTTCTTTTGTTAGTGATTTGTTATATTTGAATTATAAATAATGTCTGCTGCCATTAGACGCCAAGTTATGAGAGGCCTTGTCTCTACTACACGTATTACAACTAAAAGAATGACTCCCGTCCTTATTAAGCACGTCTCAGCACGCGCTTTCACTTCAACAAGGTAAATTGTGGGGATGGTTATTTACCCCGAGATTAAATTGTGAATTCATTGTACATGGGTTATCATGTTATCTATCATTTGCTTATTATTATTATTATTTTTACATATTCTATAGTGCTCCTAGATTTATTGCCCTTCGTGCTTTGGGTAATCAAGTTTCCACTAAAGATATCAGACTTTATAGTTCTTCCTGTAAGTTTGCCTTAAAATAGAATTTTAGATGTCTTTCCCCCAGTTTTTTCTCCCCGAAAAAAAAATGTATGTATACATAATTTTAACAATTTATAATAGCTTTTCCTAGTCACAATGTTGTTGCTATGCCTGCCTTATCACCTACGTAAGTGTATATAGAAAACTTTAGTAGAGAAAAAAAATAATGTATAACTTATATTTAAAATTACAGTATGACCGCTGGTGGTATTGGTGTATGGCAAAAAAAGGTTGGTGATGAAATTCAACCTGGTGATGTTCTTGTAGAAATTGAAACTGATAAGGCTCAAATGGATTTTGAATGTCAAGATGAAGGTTATCTTGCAAAGATTTTAGTTGATACAGGTGCTAAGGATGTTGCTGTTGGTCAGGTAAATTTTATTTTATTTAATGTTTAAAATATATGTATACAAATATATACAAATATGAATTTGATCTAATTTTTTTTTTTTTAAAAAAAAAAAGCCTATCGCTATCTTTGTTGATGATGCTGAAAGTGTTACTGCTTTTGAAAACTTTACTCTTGCTGATATTCAAGGTAACGAACCTGCCGCCGCTACTTCTGAAAAACCTAAAGTAGAAAAAGTCGAAGCACCTGCTGCTTCAAATGATACTTCCAAGAATGAATCTACTCCTGTTGCTTCTCATAATGGTAAGGTATATACATATATATAAATGGGTGTAAAATGTTAATTTTTTTATTGGATAATATAGGTCGTGTTCTTGCTAGTCCTCTTGCTAGAGTAAGTATAAATAAGTAATATATGAAAGGATGAGTACTAATTTTATTATTATTATTATTAGAAACTTGCTGATGAACGTAGTATTGATATTTCTCAAGTTAAGGGATCTGGACCTCAAGGTATTATCTCTAAGGAAGATGTTGAAAATTATAAAGGTAATTTTATAATATTATATACATATATATGTTAACTGTATTTATTAATATATCGTGTTTGTTCGTTTATAGCCTCTGCTGCTTCTTCCAAGGTTGCTACATCTAGTGCCCCTGCACAAATTCCTACTGCCTATGCACCACAAAATGCTACTGGTGAAGCCTATAAAGATATTCCTACAACCAGTATGAGAAAGATCATTGCCGAACGTTTAACTGAATCTAAGCAACAAGTTCCTCACTATTATTTGACTGTTGAAATTAATATGGATAAGACCAACAAGTTACGTGAGGTTCTCAACAAGTCAGCTGAAGGCAAATATAAGCTTTCAGTGAATGACTTTGTTATCAAGGCCTCTGCTTTGGCTCTTAAGTCTGTTCCTGAAGTGAATGCTGCATGGCAAGGCGATTTTATTAGACAGTAAGTGCTTGAGATATTTTTAAATCTATTCTTATTTCATCTACTTGACTCATTCTTTGTAGATATAATACTGCTGATATTTGCGTCGCAGTTGCTACACCTTCTGGTTTAATTACACCTATTGTCACATCAGCTGAAAGCAAGGGATTATCCACCATTTCATCTCAAGTCAGAGATTTAGCTAAGCGTGCACGTGATGGTAAGCTAGCACCTCAAGAATATCAAGGAGGTACCTTCACTATTTCTAATTTGGGTATGTATGGTATCAATAACTTTACTGCCATCATCAATCCTCCTCAATCTTGTATTTTGGCTGTGGGCGGAGCACAACAAAAGGTTGTTCCTGATGAAACATCTGAAACTGGTTTCTCTGTTCGTAATGTTATGGAAGTTACCTTAAGTGCTGATCATCGTGTTGTTGATGGTGCTGTTGGTGCCACATGGTTGCAATCCTTTAAGAGCTTTATGGAAAACCCCCTCAAAATGTTGTTGTAAATAATAAGGAAGTGGACCTAAAATAAAATATAACTTATATACACTATATGATGTTGCTGTTTTTTGTTTATGTTTATGTACTGAAATAATAATAAACAGGAAAGAGAGGTTCTGATTTTAGACTTTTTTTTTAAAAAAAAAATGTATATAGTATTCAATAAGGCTCTAATATACTGAAGAGTCTATAGTATTTGCCCTATTTTGTAAAACCTTTCCCTCCATTTATGGAATCATAGCTGATAATAAACACTGTCCTCAGAGTCGATTGCCTAATATCGTCCAGGGAGTTATGTGAAAGAAAGAAAGAAAAAAAAAGGCTTATAATAAAAAGAGCAACATATCTTTACTAATCATCTTGTCTTAATTGTTATTATATAGAACAAGTCCTGGATATAAGTATTAAAATGATATAGTAAAGGGAGAGGCTATAAATGTATATAAAATAAGATACCAGATCATAAATTACTTGAGGTATCTTTTTATAATCAATTATATTGCCTCTACTAGAATTAATATTCCTAGTAATGCTTGTATTTTCTTTTTATTATTACTATCATTATTATTATCATTATTCATTTTCTTCTTACTCATCGAGAAGTTTCTTTCTTTCTTTCTTTTTTTATATATTCTTACTTCCTTTCTATTTTCATGATTTGATGGGCGATACAGTTGCTATATGTCCACTTGATTATTATTTAATCGCTCTATATATGTGTACAGTATTTCCACTCTTAATTGGTCACTTTCCCGAATCAAGTTGATCAGATAAAATACTGTTCTTTCTACAATTTGCAAGCTTAATAATGAGCTGTGAAAAAAAAAAAAGAATACATATACATTTATAATAATTACAGACTTTAGGAAGATGGTCAAAAGCGATGTTTATTTTGGGTCACAATTGGTCAAGGAACCTGACATCAACATGACTGAAGTGGGCCTCAAAAGAGAAAGAGAAACTGAGTACAACAAGGATCGACAGGTGTATTTCTTCTTCTTAAACTAGAAAGGTATGAATGAAACCCAAGGAAGCTGCCGTGTCTGCTAACGTCAACTATCATACTCCACAAAAAAAAAATATAGAAGCAACAGCAGAAAGAAACCTTGGACAGCTTCGTCTTTCATAAGAAAGCAGACCTTGTGTCAACTCGTCCTAAAAAGCAAGTTAGATGATCGTCACAAGGAGTATGTAAAGGATTATTTTTTTTTTATGAAAATTCAAAAGCAACCATCGTAGACACTGTTGAAAATTTGACAAAGAGCTTCTTAGGGCTTGAAATAAAAACGTCTAGAGTAGCAGAATTTATGAAAGACAAATTTTAAAGAGAGTCTCTCGTCAACTAATCGTAAGAAATAGTGCGGCTCAGTTTGAAAAGCGTGCTATCTGGGTAGAGTATCGAAACACTTTCAACAAAAGCTATATCGCACACTGTGATGAGGGGGGGGGAGAGCCATATCTTCTTTAGGTGTTGTAAGTGTGGCTATGAGGGAGCCTGGAAATGTAAAGAGAAGAAAAGTAGTTGGTGTAACTAAACGTAAAGCACCTGAGGACAAGTAATCCGTTCCCAAAGGAACTATAGGTTTTCATAATATGCAATACAATGGATAACTTCCCAGCCAGACATGAAGGGATTTCAAATTGTTATGGATAATACACCTATACATATCCTCTCGATTGTTGATCCATTGATTATCAAGCGAATAGATACTTCTGTTTATCTTCCTCCTTATTTACCAGAATTAAATCCTATTGAACAATTTTGGTCTGTTGTCAAGTCCAAGATAAAGCATCATGCCTTAAAAGAAACCGAAACTTTAACATGGATTATTGAGGGCTGTAAAGCTGTTCCCTTGTAGCATCTTCGGAACTTTATTCTATATTTTGTTAAGAGGTTTAAAGATTGCAAAAAAAAAAAAAAAAAAAAAAAAAAAAAAAAAAAAAAAAAACGGAAATAAAATAGGATTTAATCATATTAGCAATGTAATGCAATGCACCAATTTTATATTTTTTTTAAAAAAAGACAGACCATTTTTTTTTAATAGAAACTTTCCTAGGCTAAATCCGCCGGACCGGGCAAACTTCTTTCCATTATCGTCTTTTATTTTCTGGGGGTATTTTTGTGTGGAGAGGGTATTTATTGTTTTATTTTTACATTATTTTATCCCTTTTTCACTCTTTACTTTTTTTTCAGTTTAGATTTATTATAGAGCATTATACTAGTTAAATATGTCAGGAAAATCATTAACACACGAGCAACAGAAGGCAAGTGATAAAATTTTCATTCAAAGTGGTCTTAAAGGTGCAGCTATTGGTCTTGGGCTTGGTTTGGCTGCTACAGCTCTTACCATTCGTAAGTCCCCCGAATTTAGATCTCTAAGTAGACCTATACAGTCTATCATGGCTGCTTCAAGTAAAGTATATATATATATATATATATATATATATATATATATATTGTGAACTGAAATAGGACTAGGATTATTAACAAATATTCTATGATAGCTACGGCTGCAGGTTTCTTATTTGCTTCTGATAGAGCAGTTACAGAATATGAAAACCGTCAATTGGGTTATACGGATGAAATTATGATTGAACAGTTAAAGAAACGAGAACCTGAAGCAAACTTATCTAGTTTTGATAAATCATTACGTTATTTAAATGACAATCGTTGGTCTTTTATTGGTAAACTAGAATTAAAAAAAAAAGGAAGGGGAGGGGAGGGGAAAAAAAGAGGAAGGAAAATAATAGATAATATTTATGTAATAATGACAAAAAATAATAGGTCTCTCATGGGCTGTTTCTATGGCTGGTGCACTTGGTTATAGCTTTTCAAATAAATATCTTTCTACACAGCAAAAGGTTGTTCAAGCCCGTATGTATGCACAGGCTATTACAATTGCTGTTTTATTAGCGTCGGCTGGTCTTTCTGTTTATGTAGGTGATGATAAACCACACAAAGAAGAACCAGATGCTCAACTAAGAGCTGTGCTCAATTTACCGGAAACTGAACCTAAAATAGTCAAACAACAGTAATTTTTAGCAATTAGATGTATAAGAGGGAGGCTTTTTTTTTCTAACTTAAGCGTGCAATAATATTTGTAATTGTTTGTATAATTTAAAAGTATAAGATTTTATTATTATTTTAATGGAAAAAAATATTTCTTAATTGGAAGCCTTGTGTAGAATTTTTTTTTTCTTTCAGAAATAATCTTTGATTTTAGAATCTTGTCTATTATTACGTCCTGTTCATTGTTCAATAAAATTTTATTAATGATTATCCTTTATGTTTGAAAGTAAAACAATGAAGTGACTGTTGTCTATCATTTGCTAATCGCTTTTATTGTTTCTTCTGAATAATTTAATAAATATGGTTTTTTTTTTGGGGGGTTCATTTTTTGTAATAATAATAGAGCTATGATATTAAATTTTCTTCAAATATACATCCAACCATTTTTTTTTAAAAAAATTAGTAATGTGTAAACCGAATAATTAATTGGATATGTATTGTGATAGTTATTACGAGTAAACCTAAACCTCACAGTTAGGCACAAGACATTAAATATACCGAGATTTCTTGAACTAATAAAAAAATCTCTTCAGGATCAAAGATAAAAAAAAAAAAGGGCGAAAGAAAAATAAAAAAAAGGAGTAAAGCAACACTACAGCTATTGGGAGTGAGCAGGAGGAAACTAATTGAGAAGTCTATGCATAGATTGTATTAAAAATAAAAATAAAATATTTTGATAAAATATTTACCAACTACTGGACAACGGGCAAGCTGAGGAATAACATTGAAACATATATTTTGGTTAATGTATTGGAAGTTTAGTAAGCGGTTTCACGTATTTGAAGTTGATTGTAAGTCTGGAGACAGCAGATAAAATGCTGCTTTATTAAGGGTTATAAAATGCAATGCTTATTATATGATATTATCTTAACAACAATAAAAATGAAGATATTTATAATGATTTACAATAATTGACTCACAAACAAGTTCAGTATGAGGTTTTGAAGATTATAATAATAATAAAAAAATTCAAGCATCTTTGTGTAAAAAAAAAAAAAAAAAAAAAAAAAAAAAAAAAAAACTAGGTAAACTACGACTTTTAAATACTGCTGAATTTATAACACTTGGGTAATGTATAAAGCTGATCAAAGGACTTTTTTGAAGTTAAATTCCCGGATTTCAACGAAATAATTTCAGATATTTTGAGTACAATAAACTAAATACCTATCATTAACTTGGTTGTATATTTATTGAATACTCCATTAGTATAAAAGAATTAATTAATGATTTTAGCGCTTGAGTATCAGTATGAGGCTTATAAAGTATGAATCACATTCGTATAATAGAGTTTTTTTTTAACAGAATTTCTTGAGGAAAATGTCAAGTTGTACCTTGTAAAATTTAATCATACGAGGTAAGTAAAGCAAGCCTTAATAGATAATAGTGTATGCTTCATAACCTTTTGCTTACTAATAAGTTTTGAATTAAGCTTATACAATTCAGGATTTTTATTCAGCGCATTTGTCAATTATGCATTTGCAATTAATTTTTTTTCTTCTAGCAATATAGAGTTTAATACGGGAGTGATGATTACTTGCATAGTTATCAATAATTGTATGCTTAGTATTCCTACGGCAACTATTTTCTCGTTAACACTGTCAAAGTAATGACAAGGTCATTATAATTTACCTTAAAAATTCCTTTAGATCATTCAGATTAGTATTGAAATACGCATAAGTTAGGTAAATGATTCTTATAGACATTTTTCATACTTGAGTATATCTTTTACGAAATGTATATTCCTCATATAAAATATTATTTTCACAGCCTTTACTTTTTCTGAGTATCACTATTGCATTGATGCAAAGACGAAATAATATTTTTTGTTGACACTCAAAGTACGAGAAGTAATTAGTTTACTAGAGTTGCTAAACTATGAAATATATACACTATTTACTCCTAATCTTTTTCAAAGAACATCAATCATTTCCTGTATATTTTTGAATCCAACGTTATCTTTGACAGTTATGAATAAATTGATTGTCTAATAATATCCCTTATTACTACGTATCCTTTTTCTTTCCATATCTTTAGACTTGATTTATATTAAGCCAGTTGATTAGCCATAGTATTAATTGATCCAAATTTATAAGACATTTAGTATTTTTCCTGCTTTATAAAGGATAAAAAATACATCTAACAGGAATATCGGCCAAATATTGAAAAATATCTGTTTATACCTAAAATATTACTATACTAATGACTCTTGAAATAGCATACAATATAATCAGTGTAATTATACAAGCATAAGTCTTAAATCATTTATCATTAATTACTTTATTCTTTATAAACAAGAGTCTTCTTATCAGAATTTATTTATCAGAGAAAATATTTAATTCATTTAAAAGGAATTATACAAGGATATCTTTGTACTATATAATTTGAAGAATGCTGAAAGAGGTCTTCAAAGGATAATAAAGTAGGAATTAACTATGATATGGAAAGTCTATTCTATTTTATGCATTTTAATTTTTATTACCAACTTGGAAACTTTGATGGCTTATGATAACTACTACTTTTTTTAGAATTAAATTTTAAACACCTCTTAAAATAAGAAGTCTATAACTGTATGCAGTCACTACTCATTTCGTCATCTTTTTTAAGTATTTTGTTGTGTGCGCGTGTTGATGAAAAAAAGTGTACTCAAAAAAAAGTCTTTTTTTTTTTTTTTTTTTTTTTGTTTTTCACATTACATAAATTATAACCATGTTTTGTGCTAGTAAGTTTATTTTATTTACTTTAAAAATGATAAATATTAACATAATTTCATTACTTGTATAGTTTCTGGTGAGGCACCTGAACAACCAGTTGTGTCTTTAAAATCGGGACATGTGTTTGAAAAGAGATTGATCGAAAAATATATTTCTGAAAATGGCAAAGATCCCATTAATAATGAAGAAATGACAGTTGACGATTTACTCGAAATTAAGTCAAGTAAGATATAATTCTACGTGTTTATTTTTTATTGTAACAATTTCCATGCTTACTTTTTTTTTTTTTTTTTTTTTTTTTTTTTTTTTTTTTTTTTTTAAAAAAAGCTCCTGAAACTGTCAAGCCTCGTCCCCCTAAGTTATCATCTGTTCCATCAATTTTATCTGCTCTCCAGGATGAATGGGACAGTGTTATGCTTGAATCTTTCACCCTTAAGCAGCAATACCAACAAGTACGTCAAGAATTATCTCATGCATTGTATCAAAATGATGCAGCTACAAGAGTCATTGCTCGCTTAAAGAAAGAACGCGATGCTGCTAGAGAGTAAATTTGATCAATAGAATTAGAAATTTAACTTCTAACATCTGTTTTTTTTTCTTTATTAGAGCACTTGCTAATGTTCAAGCTCATTTAGGTACTGCTGCAGCTACACCTGCTGCTGCTGCTGAAGAATCTATGGATGTTGATGCTAATGGTTTACCTGAAGAAGTAATTGAAAAAATGACCAAGACCAGTGAGGAGTAAGTAAACAGAATACATATTAAATGAATACTAAGTTTTTTTTTATATATCTATTGTTAGACTTTCTCAAAATCGTCGTTCAAAGAAGAAGCCTCCTGTTGAATTTGCTTCAATTGATTCTGTTAAAACATACACACAAACATCTACAATTCCTTCTCTTCATTCATCTCGTTCACCTGGTATTACAGCAATGGATGTTAGTCAAAATGGCAACTTTATTTTGACAGGTGGTAATGATAAACATGTTCAAATATATAATAAGGCAGAGGATAAAGTGGTTGCTAATCTTGCTGGTCATACCAAGAAGGTAACTGCCGTCAAATTCAGAGGCTTAGAAGAAGAAAATGATATCTGTTTAAGTGCTGGTGCTGATAAGCATGTTCGTCTTTGGATCCCTGATGAAAAGAAAGGATATAAGCTTGGTCATAACATTAATGCTCATAAGAGTGATGTTACTGGCCTTGATGTACACCCTACACGAGATTATTTTGTTAGTGCAGGTTTAGATAACAAATGGAATTTTTATGATTTCGAAACTGCCAAACCTATTGTCGAAGTGTATAATACTGAAGGAGAAACAAGCTATACCTCTGTTTCCTTCCATCCTGATGGTATGATCCTTGGTCTTGGTACATCAGATGCTGCTGTTCAAATTTGGGATATTAAGTCTCAAAAGGTAGCTGCTACTTTTGGTGAGCTTACTGGCAAGGTGAATGCAATTGCCTTCTCAGAAAACGGTTATATTTTGGCTACTGCTTCAGAGGATAACCTCGTTAAACTTTGGGATCTCCGTAAATTAGCAAATACAAAGACATTCACTTTGGATGAAGGTTGTAAAATCAATTCTCTTGCCTTTGATAACTATGGACAATACCTTGCTATTGGTGGTACTGATATTCGTGTTTTGAAGGCTAAAGATGGTTCAGATATTGTAACCTTTAATGAAAATACATCTGAAATTACTGGTTTGCATTGGTCACCTCTTGCACAAGGTTTAATGAGCTCAAGTTTAGATCGTACTATTCGTTTCTATAGTGCTGCAAATTAATAATAATAATAATATATATGGATGTATGTATGTATTCATCATTTAGTAGTACTTTTCTTTTTGATTTTTTTCTATCATCATATATAATATTATATAAGCATATTTATACTATGATATGTTTGTATATACATGATTGATTTTTTTTTATTGCTATTATGAATGCAACTGTATATTTATAAATAAATATGAACAAATAATAGCAGACATATATGAGGGGAGAAGAAGAGGTCTTTTTTTTTTCTTTTCTTTTAAAAGCAATAGAAGCAGTAATTACCAATCTTATTTTTTTTTAAGAGATAACAGAATCTTTTAACTTCTCTAATGTATCAGTGGATGGCGTATGTTCTGTTGTATATCGTTCATATCCACTTTCCCTACTTCCTCGACTTGATGATGGGTGACGATTATTCCACAATTGATGATTGGATGTACCACTACCACGTTTACGATAAGAATTACTATTTCTAGAATAGTTGGACGAATGGCTATATTTATTATAATCATGGTTCTTTGCAAACGTATTCCAATCATGTGTTGCATGTTGTCGTGCCTCAGCAGAATAATGCCAGGATAAGGTTGGTAAATACTTGGATCGAGTTTGTTTACTTGTTCCTGTATGCGGACAGGTTACCATAAATTGTTTAGAAGCAGTGTAAGGCTGTTGTGGCATAAGATAGATACCCACTATACATTGTTCAGGTTGTACGTCTATATTTACAACTAATTATATCAGTGAAATGGATTTTTTTTGTATGCTTAGTTTACCTTTATCATGATAATCTCTTTTTGAAGAAAGCGTAGGATATTGATAAACTAAGTTAGGGAAATTAGGATTATAAGAAGGTCGAATATTAGATTTCTGCAAGTCGTTTTGCTGAGATGGCGTTGATAGTAAGTTATTAGTCTCTATAATACTTGTATTATTATTATCCTTTATTCCTTCTATATCTTTTTGTTCTTCATTTGTGGCTATTGTATTTGTATCTTCTGGTTCATCTAATTCAAACATGAAACTTACATTATGTGGCTTTTTGGTAACTAATTGCTTCTCAATAAAATCAGGAAAAATAGGCGACGAAGATTCTTTAAGGAGTTTAAGTAATCTAGCTTTCTTTGATTGCATTGCATCTTCTTTTGTTTCAACAATTTCCAATTTTTTCTCTTCTTCTTCTTCTTCTTCTTCTGCTGCTGCTGCTGGTTGTTGTTGTTCGTGCTTTAAAATTTCCAGCACAACTATAGGTTTGCTAGCTAGTTGATTGCTTTCGCCTGTTGACTCCGTTTGACGCCAATGATCTGCATTGCTTCTTCCTACAGAAAAAGATGATTGACGACCCCTTCCACGACCACCACGGCCTGTAGAGGTAGTATCTCTAACTCTACCACGACCACGGCCTCTTTGTTCGTTATTGTTACGTATCCATCCATTGCGATCAGGAGCTCGACCATGCAAGATATGATCAGGAATGACCCCCCACTCTTCATTTTGGGTAAAGTCCAATACTTCCACTGCTGCTTCTTCCTTCTTTGTTTGCTCTTCTTCCTGCTCAATTTGCTTTCGGAAGGCAGATGCAGCAACCGCATTCTTTTCGGCAGTCACTTTTTGTAAACGGGTAGCAAATGAATTCCAATCATTAGATGTAATAGTGCTACTAACTGAGTTTTTATCTGTTTTAACTTTGGATACGTACTCTTCCCAATTCTTTTCATCCTCTGTCATATTTTTATCATATAAATTGGTGGTCGTGTCTTTCTCGTCATTTGCATCTTCAGTATTATTTTTTTTGGTATCCTTTTCTTGATTATCTAAATTCTTTTTATTGCTATCTTGAGAAATAATAGGTGAAGTGCTCATTTTCTTTTCAGGCACTGGTCCCTTTTTAGCAGCAACTAAATTCCAAGGTTTACTAACATCAGGGAGTTGGGGGGATAATACATTATTAGATGGTTTATTATCTTCTTTTGGTATATCTTCTTTTGGTGATTCCTCTTTCGATACTTCTTGTCTCAATTTCTCCTCGTTCGGTGCGTCTTTTTCCTTTTGTGATTTTTCTTTTGCTTGTTGTTCAGCTAATGCTGCCGCCTTTTGTCGTGCACGTTCAGCCGCAGCTTTATATTCAGCCTCCTGCTCATCTCTACGTTTTTTAGCTCGTTCAGCAGCCGTCAACATGACTGTCTTTTGCGCTACCGTGATTTCTTCGGAGTTTGTAGTAGTAGACGAAATAGATGGTTGTGGAATAATCTGAAGCGCATTCTGTTCATCACGGTCTGATATGAAAGTTTGATCTGATAAACGTCTAGGTCGTTGAAGTAAAGTAGTCGGATAAAGTTCTGATCGCTTATCATAACTTGTTCTTCTATCTGTACTATTTCTTCTTGGCCAACTAGGATACGGCTGTCGTTGACCATCTGTAGAACTATGACGTTTATAATCAAAATTACCATCATTATGAGTATATCGATTGTTTATATATCCATGATCCTCTGAACGACGATAAGTTGGTTTGTAATTTTCATTATGATAATGCTTTTGTGGTGGATAACTTCTATCGTAATCCTCTGTAAATCTTTCTGAAGGTGAAACAGGTCGTTCAGTTGATGTTGTCACTGGATCAGGATCCGTTTCTACCTGAACCTTAGTTCCGTCATCAAATTCGATAACATCTACGTTAAAATCATCTAAATCTTCACTCACCATCTTTTATATATACATACGTTAATTGTCATATGTACATAAAGTTAACATTTATTTTTACCTCATCCCAAGAAGTATGGTTTGGATCAGAAGCAACATACTTTAAATATTCTTTATCGTCCTATATACAAATAATGATTAATTAAATATATATATATATATATATACACTCCATGTATTTAAACTGCATACATTTAATGATAGTTTATCTATAATAATAGGATGTAAGTATTTAAATGCATATACCCAAATGTGTGTGTGTGTGTGTGAATATCTATATTTATACATATTTAAAAAAGAAAATCAAACTTACTTTTTCCAGAAGCAGCCTCAGCAGCGGTTGGAAATTCATTTGAAGATGTTTGTGTTGTAGTTTGTGTTGTAGGAACTGCCCAAACACGACTAGTGGAAGAAGAAGGTTGAGGAATTAACACAGGTGATGATGTATGATCTGTCGATTTTTTTACGCTTATTTCTGGTTTAGAAGAATCTACATGGATTGAAGAAGGATGTTGTTCAGGAGAAATAGCTTGCTTAGATTCAGGTGTGATTGAAGGAGAATTAGATGTTGAACCCCAACCATGTGAAGGAGCAGATGAAGCAGTGTTAGAGATGTCAGTACCTGCTGCATGCTCTCTTCTTAAACTTGGTAAATTAATTGGACGGGGTGCTGAGATCTTACTTGAGAGTAGTCTTTGACGAGCTGGTAAAGAACGATTAACTAAATACACATATACATATACATATTTATTGAGCATAACATGTCATGTTTCTTTTTTTTTTTTTTCTTTCAGTAAGACTAACCTCCCATATTAGTGCTTGAATTATTTAATAAGGGACTCTTTGGAGTTCCGGGGTATTTTTTAATTATATTCGCATTGGAAGTAGTTGGAGATGTAAATCTACCAGTAATAGTTGGCGTCGTTTCCCTTGATGACATTGTATAGGAACAAATGTTTCCTTAATCTAACGCGTAAATTGTTAATTAGATTAAAAATCCAGAAAAAAAAAAAAAAAAAAAAAAAAAAAGACAAAAGAAAAAAGCACAAAATTCTTATTGGGTAATTTTATATGGATATTTTTATTCTATTGCCACACAGAAAGAAAATGAATCTTGTAAAAAAAAAAAATATGTGTATTTGAGCAATACAAACCACTAGTGATCTCATGCGCTTAAGAATTTAAGTTTAATAAAATTTAAAAATTAATTGATATTGTCCCTTAGAATCAATTGATGGCATACAGATTGTGTATACAAATGCCATAAGCTTTTTATTAAGTTAAATCGTACTACAGATGATAAATATATGCTATGTTCAATTATTTAGCCTATTTTTTTTTTTTTTTTTTTTTTTTTTTTTTTTTTTTTACCTATTCCTATAAATCATTCATTTATCAATTCTATCAAATAAGGATTTAGTAAAATATAAATTCTTTTGAGGCTCTTAGAAGATGATTCTGTTTATTTTAAACTGATTTGTATAATATAAATCTACATCATTTATGAAGATAGTAGAGTTTGTGTGAGTTAATATAATATTTGATTATTGACAATATGTTAAAGCTTTATGATTTACCCGAGACTTATATTTTTTTACATCTGTAGAGATGAAAAGGTTTACTCTCATAAAGGAAGAATAGTTTATTACAAAAATAAAATTATTTAAAAAAATTTAAAGAAACGAGAATAAACATTATAAAAAGGCCATTGAATAGTTTGAAAATTGCCAGAAAAGGATACAAGAAAGAAGAAAAAAAAAGATAAAGAGTTGTATTGAATTTAGTATTCGACACTATACTAGTTTATGGAATGAAAGACAGAGTGTATGTCATAAATTGACTTTAAGAAAAAATATACATTTTATTTTTAATTATAGAATGTATTTGATAAACTAATTAAATCCGTTTTCTTATTCCACCTAAAGCTACACTATTAGGTATTGAGAGACTTTGAAGAAAACTATATAATGATAAGCAAGCCATGATATAATAAATTAAGTGTCGATCAAAAGGGAAATGATTTCCATCCTTTAGAGAATATGACCAAAGTGAACCACCAAACGTAGGCCCTACATATATTTTTTTTTAAAAAAAAAAGTGTTTACTTCGATAGAAATGAATTGTATGCATATATAATACTATACCGAGAGCTCGAACAAGTGATATGCAAGATTGGCATAAGCTATATTAACGGAAGTGATGAATATAATGCATAGATATGTAGTTATTAAATTTATTTATTACCCGTTTACAATCCCAAGTACTTCAGGTTCTGCGGATAAACTTGTCTAATCGTTCTGTTAGTATATATGCATATATTGAATGACATTTACGTACCATTATACCAAGTCCTGTGAATGAAAAGCAGTTGCCAAGAAATCGAAACAGCAACAATGTTATGTAAGCGAAATTAAATATCCAATTTTGCCCATCATCACTAGTTAATTCTTTTAGAGTACTCAACTCTGGAAAGAGTAAATAAAGTGGAATAAAAAAAAGGAATGCTGTCTGACAAAGTACTAACGTGGAAAATCTTTTTGTTAATTTCGGATAAATTACAAACTGAATAATAAGTTGTATGATTCCGAAGCATGACAATACTTTTGCATATTCAGCAGATGTGAAGCCTAATCCACCTGCATAAGTGGGTGCTGTAAAATAAAGAGGTAAGACTTCATCAAATATCATTGCATGGAAGGAGAATATGCTACAAATAAATAAATATGATAGGTCACACGTAAACCGAGGGTATATATTGTAAATATATAAAAAAAAACTATAATATGTCATGCCTTTATATACATATATATACTTACGAGTAAGAAAGGATGACAATAAATGAAACACTTGATATATCATTTATAGATGCTATCTTAGGTGAACTCAACACTGCTACTTTATTTGAATATTCTGTCGTATCATTTCTTAAAAGTGATGTACACTCATTTACTTGTTGTTTATCATTTTCTGTGTTCAATGTATTATTTGCTATAACATTGGGATTAGATTCTTTTAAATAAAAGTAAGCAATAATAAACCCGATGGTAGTTCCACATGAAGATATAAAGCATGGTAAGGAATATGGATACTCCTTTAGAAACTGATTATTACCGAATATAGTTGGAAAGTGCTCAGCTGGCTTACAGAAATAGCCGCCTATAACAAGGACAATATTAATAATATGCTTTTTTTTTGCGCCTTTATTTCTGAAATTACCTAATGCAGGACCTATTATATATTAAAAATTATGCATTCAATATGTATCTTGTTACTTATATATATACATGTATATGCGTGTGTATATGTTTCATTCACTTACCAGCTGTAATTTGTGTTCCAAGATATATACCAAATATAGAGATTAGTTATATGCACATATAACCAGTAATTCATTTTTTTTTTTTTGATTTACCAATCATGCCTGCACCCCAACAAAATCCGAAAAGTGAAAATGCCTTGGCTTTATTTGTGTTATCTGTGATCTCACTAACTACACTTCTAGCGACACCTGCATTACCATTCATAACACCACATAAAGCGCGTGCACTAATAGCCCACCAAAGGTTTTTACTTACACCAAACAAGCATACTGATATTGCATTTCCAATTAATCCGGTCAATAATACTGGCCTTCTTCCATATTTATCTGATATTTTACCCCACATAAGAGCAGTACAAAATTGAGCTAAAAAGAATATAGAAGCTATCATAGATTTAGATATAAATATATGAAACATTTATAATCTTATAAATAACAAATATCATGATAATCTTACTGATCCATCCTGCATAATGACCAATCTCTTTTTCATCGTCTGATAGATGAAAGTCTTTAATCTAGAAGGAAGAAAAAAAGGCCAAACCAATAAATATATAGGAACCAATATACATATATTTAATTTATATAATACCATAAAATAAATAAACGGGAACAAAATAGTAGATGTAAGGGGCTCACTAAAGAGTATGATGGAAATGACAAGTATTTGTGATAAGGGTAAAGGTGTTACCGTCTCTTCTTGATGGTTTTCGTAGTTAATAGGCATCTCTTCTCTAAAAGAATTATATTGAGATGATGCTATATCAGACATGGTAGAACTTTTTCTTCCTATTTCATAATAATTATCAATCTTTAACAGTGACTTATCCTTTGCTGGAGTCAAATTTCCATTAGTATGAAAAGAACGAATTGATTGGTTTGTATAATCCATTATACTATGATTATCAGTTTCTTCCATTCTACTATATAAATAGCTTGATATACTATCTGTATAGCTTCTAGATAATGTATCTTGTTGTTGATTCATGATATAGATATTTAGGAAAAGAAAAAAAAATTATCTAAAAAAAAAAATATACAAATATTTAAATAAAGAAAAAGATAGGGGGTAATTTCGAGATCTTCATTTTACTGTATTCCATAATCAAATAAAGTCACGTACAACATGTATTTGTAAACAATTGTATTCACATTGACTTAAATGTGTATATATCTACTATTCAGTCGTTCCACTGCCAATTCAAGGATTTTGCGAAAAAAAAAAATCACGGGCTACAAACAGTCATTGAAATTTTTCTCAGAAAGTCCCTCAGTTTTTATTTTAAAGCTCAATTCGTGGATTGTGAGTAACTGATTTCACAGTTTTATTAAAAAATTGTTATGTTAAATAGGAAGATGGCTTAAACAATTTATAAACTGATTCTTTGAGTGTTTTATTATGTTATCGAGATGCTGGATGGACACTTCGTTTGCAGCACTAACAATTCAACTCTCCAATGATTCGGTTACTTGTAACCTCTTCTCAAAATTTTATTTTGTAAACAGAGCGGGGCGATTATTCATGGCGAGATAAAAGCCTTGCATATCGTTCATATCATCCATATTATCCAAAATGTCGAGGAGTTCGCTAATAAACTTAAAAATTATTGTGAGTATTCTGAGCATCAAAACCTTCTTAAAGGAACCATTGCTGACTAATATATAAAGCACAATAATGATACAACAGCAGCATATCAATAAGAGAACATAATACTATAGTTTTAGTCTTATACGTTTAATCACATAGCGCAAGAGTGTAATAAAAAAAAAATACATGAACGAAAGAGTTTTTATTTTAGCTTAAAAAAAAATATACATATTTATAATCTGTTATTTAAATATGCATCCTTCAAAGATAAAGGGCTTTTAAATTTGCTGAAAAGTTCTTCTTTCAATCCTGAATTATAACAAGCTGACCAATTCATTTTTCCTTGCATTTTGCTTCTAAATCTCCTTACAAAAAACAAGTCAGCGCTCTCAATGGTTTCAATTGGAGTCACAGTAGTGTCTTGTTCCTTTTCGAAAAAAAGCTTTTGACGCTTCTCTGTGAACTCCACTCCATTTTTGGCGTATGCTCTTATTTTTCTTATTGAGCTTTCTGAATTTTCTTGTGCACATTTCATAATTTTTTCGAATTGCTTATTTGTCTTTTCAAGAACATCATTTGCCAAATCAATCAAACTATTTTCGATCGTGGTATATTGCAGAAAAGAGCGGTAGGCAATTTTGTAAATCTTTCTAAGTTCCTCATCCTCATTCTCATCCAAAGCCATGATGCTTTTTTGTTGACTGCATAAGAAATAGCTTAATGCTACAATAGGTGTCATACTGGATTGGTCAATTATAGAGGATGAGATAGAATCCAAGGAGTAAATATGAATAGAATTTGCCCAGAATTGCTTGTGTGCTGTGTAATAGGGGCAACTCTCTTCTATTATGAGATCATTAAGGAGCGATCTACTTGAGAATCCCTTAACGGCAAAGACGATGACTTTTGGGAACATCTTATATGTATCATGAACACTCAAACAATATCAATTTATTCTTTTCATAAACGAAATATCAATTGTTTGTTGTATTTCAACAATTATTGGAAAAGCAGTTTCTGTTGGTTTGTTTGTTTTAGGAATGTAAAGAATATCTGATTTTCGTCCGTCAGAAAATTCGTTTGAAGTAACACAGTATAAAGAACTGTTAACATGACCATCTAATGTAAAAGAATTTATAAATTTCTAAAATTCTATCAATCAGTGTTGAACTACAAACATACCAGTAGCTGCATTAATAACAATATTTATAATTTCTTCTTCCTTGAAAAGCAATTTACTTGACAGATCATTCCTTGAGAGTCTTGGTAGAGTTATAGTAAAAATTTCATCAACGGTAGAATTTGTTTCTAAATAATATTATGAGTTCCATGATGCTTGTTTTAAGTACAAAGATAAGGAAAGAGAAAAAAGAAAAGACAAGTCTGTGAAAACTTCGTATAGTTTTACTAAAAAGAATAATACAAAAACTGTACAAAAGAAAAAATAATACAAAAAGATGTCAAGGGCTATTTATATGTTTTTTTTTTTTTTTTTTTTTTTTTTAAGATGACTAATTCTCTTTATAAAGGTAAACACAAGCATGCGATATATTATACTTGTTTGTTACGCAAACAGGTGCACACCTAACGTAGTTTACTATTTTCCACTTTTCACCACAGCTAAACCATCTCTTATATGATTGCCTATTTCAATCTCTTTGTCTCTAATAAATTAAATACACTTTTTTTCTTCATCTTTTCGTTCTTTGAGGTGATTGACACTCGATAAGCTAATATATCTTCTTTCCATTGAAGCAAACTTATCCTTAAATTGTCTATTTTGGATTGCTGATATTTTTCTCCTTTTTATATATACACGTTAAAATAATAATTTTGAAATTGATGCTTAAAAAATTATTTTGCAAATTATATAAAGAAAAGCATCACTAATAGTAGAATTAGTAACTGCAAAAAGATAACTTGTAGAGCTTTTCCTCTTTAATCACGGTATTCTTATCTACTTTTAATAATCTTCTTTATGAGGTTACACCACAGACACACATAGCATTATTATAATCCCGCTTGGACAATTTTTAACGAATTATCAAGTAAACTTTGAAAAAACAAAAAAGATTCCATATAAATTATATTTGGATCACCAGAATTATGACTTTGATAAAGTGTCAAGTAATAAATAATATGAATATTATAGTCTTTGTCATTGTCCTGACACCATTATTATTTCCAAAAAATGTAAAGTTTTTTAATACACTTGATAATTTAATTTTTTTTTTCAACTTTATCGAGTAAATATAATAAATTATATCATTATCATTAAATATTTACTATTGATAATAATAATAATAGTCTGTGCCTTAAAATATAGATATCATCTAATTAGGTATATTGGACGTTAAAATAGAGAATAAGTAAGCTTAATACCGGAGATACTCATCAGTAATTTGTTAAGAAGCAATAGATATGAGTAGCAGCCCAAACTTTTATAGATGCAGTTCGTGTCAATTTATTACTACTTATTGTATTTAAATATGCAGCAATTTTTATAAATAGTACATGAGCAAAAATATTAACAAAAAGGATTTAGAAACTGCTGATAATATCAGAACAAATAAAAAACATAAAGCTTAACCAAAAAATATCACAACGACTCACTACACAAATTTTATCTGCGGGCTTTATGATGCTATAGATGAGACTAAAAGTATGATCCTCCACCAATACAATAAATATATATAGAAAGAAAAGGTCATAGAGTTATATAATTCCTTCAAACTAATGCTATCGAATATTTCTAGTGTTTGACCAGATATAAACAGAAGAAACTTTATAAATATAACTTTTATTGATGACTTCAATACCCCCCTCCCCGCTTTTTTTTTAATTTTAAATATCAAATATAAAATAGTATAAAGAAAAAACTTAAAAACAAGTTTAGTATCCAAGTAAATACTCAAATTCTTTTGTTGCTTATTTTGAAACAATTGTTAGCTTTGTTAAGAGCATTTTTTTCCAAATACCTTGCTATACTCTTATATCACTCTCAAATTTACTGAAAATACAATATATAAATTGATTAAGTTGATTATTAGACACTCGACTGTTTATGTAATCATCTAAACACTCGTATTTTCATCCTAGTAACTTCCACTTCCTTATTGATAAAATAAAATGGTAGTGCATCTTTATTAAAAAAAAGATATATTAATGTAAAAGAATGTTGCGCTTTATAACAATTATTATGATCAAATTCTGTCATTGTTTGCTGTACTCAAAAAGAAAAAAAAAAGAAAAAAAAAACATATCTAACCTAAATAATAGATTAATCCAAATATACAAGCCAACCACAAAGTACGTTGATTATTAATTAATGGATTAGCGTCAGATTGGGTATTTCCTCCGTCGTTACCAGATTTTGAAGAAGGCTTTTGACCAACTGTAGGGATCATATTAGCTTCTTTCATATCAGATGTACAACTCCATTTACTTCCTTTAACAATATTGTCTCCCTTAAGTTTTCGCTCGATTTCAGGGCAACCAAGTTGTGAGGAAGTTGATTGAAGACGCATACCACCACGTACATCTTGTAAACTAGGTAAATCATATTTATTGAAAGAGCCTGCTAAATCAATTGTACCATAAACCTCAGATAATAAAGGAAAGCCATCGATAGAGGTTAATTGCGTATTGTTACCAACTGATAAAGCACCATTAATACGAGTTAAGTTTTTGAAGGATGTCTCTCCTAGTTTATTATTATTTGCAATCGTAACAGTGCCACCAATAGTTTCAACACTATCCAAATTGAGTGTCATGAAATCATTTTCATGGAATGAGATATCAGATTTAATAGTGCTTAATGCAGGAAGACTGATAGCAGCCAAATTGAGGAAAGTTGCTGTATTGATAGTTTTCAATTGATTAGCCTATAAAATTTATTATTATTATTACTTTGCTATACTATTCCTTTATATAAATGATTCATTTTTGTATTTTTACCTCGAATGTCATAGCACGATTGTTACCTAAAACCAAAATATCACCTTTAACTTCCTTAACAGAATTAAAATCGAATGATTTCAAGTAAACATTATTCGTCAGAATGAATGTATCAAGCGTCTCAGGTTTGAAACCCTCTACTCTAGGAGCACGTGTATCTTCAATACGCATACTAACAATCTTAGAAAGACCAGAAGGGAAATGAATTACTTCCAAAGCAGGTAAAACAGCCATTGAAAATGATTTAGCCTCAGTAAGCTTGGGAAATTCTGCTTTACTCAGGATTGTGTGATTTTCCACTTTAATATGTCCATCTACTTTTTGCAAATCAGGAGCACTGAAGGAGAGGAGATCAGCATTTCCAGTTAAAATCAAGTCACCGATAATTTGTTGAACACCGTCTAATCGGAGATTAGCAACAGCCAGTTGATCAATGTTAATGGCGCCCTTAAAAATTTTGCAAGATTTGATAGCGTCTAAATCAGATTGTGTATTCACCTTGATGCTCTTTTCACATACTAAACATAAATAAATGTTACATACTTTTTACATTAATTCATTTTTTTTTAAAAAAAAATCATTATCACCTTTATCTTCTGCCCCTAAACCGAGCGTAAATAACGTAGCGAAAACAATAGTAGTTAAAGTAAGTTTTACCATCTTATGTAAAAGAAAAAAAAAGGGGGGGAAACAAAAAAGAGACAATAGTGACAATTAAAAATATTTTTTGTTTAAATATAAAGTAAAATGCATTATTATTATTTTTTTTTAATAAAAAGAATGTTAATGTTTATCAGAATTAATCCAGCTTTTACGGATGAAATTACAACATTTTTTTTTTCTTTTTTATTGTCATTACAATATATGAAATACTGCAAGCAATTCCCCTTCTTTTGAGAAGTTCATAATGCATAGAGAAGAAAAAGGAGGAAGGATGTGTAGTCATTTATAAGATTTTTTTTAAATTCTTTCTGCAGATTATATAAACATATAACGCATAATAGAATTTTACGGTAAAGTTATGCATAATGTGATGTTTCAAGCTTGACACTAATACAAGAAGTCTGGCCCATATTTAAGTTTTGAAAAAAAAATACTTTCCGGAAGAGATAGTATATTTTAAGAAACTTTGTTAATAACATGATACTATAAAAGGCGTATATCAATTATCATCTTGAAACTGTATCCTTCAATCGTAGTCAACTATTTAAATTTATAGAATTCAATATATTATTTACATATTATTTTTTTTTTATAAATATAAACTAAAGAATAATTAGATGGTGAAGGTGCTTAGTTAGTAAACCATATTTTTTTTTCATATAATATATTGATCTGTATCATGTTTATATGCACATTAAGGAATTCCAAATATTTGTATAAAATCTAATGCTGTATATATATTCATTTATTTGTAATATAATTCATGAATAAAAGGAAGTTATATGTATTCAGCTGAAGAAGAAAAAAAAAACAAAGTAACATAGATGACATTATATATAAGCATTTGATAGAATGATGTTGTAGATATTTTAATTAAAAGTACTAGATATTCCACGGAAAATCAAGTTAGTTTCAATTATATCTATACAAAGGGATAAATATGAAGACTTACCAAACTTGCTGCAAAAACAATATCACGCTTAATATCCTGCTCAGCTTGCTCCATTTTCTTATAAAGACTTGTATCTCCAACCATACGAGCAGCACCCATTACTTCACGACAAGTTTCATCTAGTCGACTAATACATCTCACAATAGATCCTTCTAATACATCAGTCAAATCGGTAATACTTTTAAATGACTAAAAATAAAAATACATAAATTATTCAAAATTTAAAAATATTAAAGAACAAATTACCAGTCCTCTTGCCCATTCATAAACGACTTCTACTAAACCAAATTTAAGACCACTCACGTAATCCTCAACTGATATAGGTAGCCCACACTCAACTTGAAGTTCAGCAATTTTACGAGCATATGCTAAAATGACTTCTTTACCCTTCACTAACTTGGGCGTCAATCTTGGTTCACTAGCATTGCGTTCCTGAAATACGAAACAAGAGAGAAGAGCAACAACTTCAGCAGGTTCATAATCTGCAAAAACGTTGTCTAATACTAACTCTGTCAATAATAATTCGTCAGCAGAGTTAATTTCACAAGCAACACGTCCTTTAAGTTGAACAGTGCCTTGATCATCAATATAATTAAGTTGTCGTAAAACTTCAATACGTTGATGATAATCAGGAAGCAATTCTAAGTTTTGATCAGAGATGGTCATTTTCAGCATTTCTATTTGACTTGATAATTTCTTATGATCATGAATAAGTCCATACTATAAATGCAAAATTAATAACATCCTAAAATAAATAATAATAGTAATAATAAAAAAACTTACATGTTCATTAAATTCAGGACACTTTGTACATTGGAATTCGGTACGAAGTCGTTTAATAAGAGAGTTTCTGGAACGTGACATTTCTTGGAACTCCATATCCTTAATTTTACCAAAATCAAACTCAACTATACCGCTTCTCTTAGCATCGAGACCAAATGCTTCTAATTGTTGACGAGCATTGACGGCTTCTACCGAGTCTGTACCAGCCATAATAGCATCCACATCAATCTTAACCGTTAATCGAGAAATAAACAAAATATCGGGAGCTCCTACTGTAATAATGCTCGTTTTACCCTCTCCACTATCTGATGCGCATATAGTAGTGATAGGTAAAGGAACTGATTCATCCAAGTTAAGAGAACTATTATTATCAAAATCCTTTGATGATAAAATAAGGCAGTAAAAGGAACGATGTTGTGAATTAGCTGTACTTATGGGTAAGGGTTTTAAGATCATAGCAGGTACATTTCTATATATATTCGTATTGACGACGATCAAACGACCTGTAGAAAGAGCTCTATTACCGGTAGGCGTATTACTAATAAATTGTGTCATCATATTACGAGTAAGGAAAATAACTTCACCGGACATATCATAAAACTTTTCAAGATCAGGTTCACAAATCGCACAGTCAAGTTGACGTAGTGCACTTCGCTTTTGCTCACTTTCATCTACTAATCGTTTTGTTTCAGGCAAGAGCTTTTGAGCACTATTTTCAGAAAAACTACGTTTAATCATTTCCTCAACTTTTAATGCCTCCACACGTAATAAGTTCAAAATCATATTATATGTCAATCTGAATTGTGATTCAAGTTTTGTAGGTTTACCCAAGATCATAGTAGATAAACAAGAGATTTCTGGTGGTTCATCACCTCCTGTAGCAAGAATAACCACACCAGTATTATCAAGCCCACGACGACCTGCACGACCGGACATTTGAGTATATTCACCTGGTAGCAAATCACGGAAATTACGACCATCATGTTTACGAATACTTGAAAACACAACACTTCTAGCGGGCATATTAACACCCATTGCAAATGTTTCTGTTGCAAATAAAACTTTGACTAAACCGCGAGCAAACAAGATTTCAACCATTTCCTTAATAATTGGTAATAGACCACCATGATGTACAGCAATTCCTCGACTTAATAAGTCTCTCATTCTTAATATTTGTGGTAAGTATTTATCTGAACCACGAAGACGAACCAAACTACGCTCAATAAAAACATGAATTTCACTTTTTTCTAAACTGGTACATAAATCCGTCTTTGTAAGACCACTTGCATATTCTTCACATCGCTTTTTCGAAAAAGTGAAAATAACAACAGGTAAAAGACTCTTGGTTTTTAACATACCAATCAGATGCACAAATAAATTACGATCCTAAATAAATATTTATATGTATATATTAAGAGGAATAAGTAAGTAATCTTTAATAAAATAATATACTATTTACCGTTTGCATAGCTGCTTGATAACTGCGACCTACAGATCGATTACCTCCTCGAGCAACAGAACCGCCTCTTCCTCCACGACCACCTCGAGCATTGGGCGAAACTCTATTAGCCTTATCAATTTGTTCCTTGCGTTTTAACATAGCATCCTTAGCTTTATTGTAACTTCAAAGAAAAAAAAATAATTAATATACTGTGTCACATTCGTATGCTTGAGCATCTTACCCAACCATGTTTAATTTGTTTTCATTAGCTCCAACAATTTTGTATATATCTTTATTTGCATAAATATAATGCTCGAGAGGCACAGGTCTCTTTAATGTACTGATAACATAAATATCTTTCTTTTTAGTACGACTAATATATAAAATAATAGTATTAGTATTCTCTTTCAATATTAAATGAAAAAAAAAATTACCCAACCCAGCCTGCAAATTCTTTTGTATTGGGGACTGTAGCAGATAATAAAATAATATTAACATGGGCAGGCAGCATAATAATAACCTCTTCCCAAACTACGCCTCTCTAAAAAAAATACATTAAAAACTTTTCTACTTTGCCTTCAAGTTGATTAATACCTCTAAATCATTAACATAATGAACTTCATCGAATATGACAAATTCTACATCACGGATAAGATCTGCTCCTCTATATAGCATACTACGTAAAATTTCTGTGGTCATGACTAAACAACTTGCCTCAGGGCGAATCTGAACATCACCTGTCAAAATACCAACATCTTCACCAAATGTACGCTTAAAATCACGAAATTTCTGATTACTAAGAGCCTTAATAGGTGATGTATAGATAGCTTTTGTCATATGTTTTGTAGCTAAGGCGATTGCATAATCAGCCACTACTGTTTTACCAGCCGACGTGTGTGCTGCAATAAAGACAGAATCGCCCATTTCTAAATGATATACGGCCTGTTTTTGGAAAATATCAAGTTCAAATGGAAACTAAACATATAATATGTTAGATTATTTGCTATGTATTTTTTTTTTTTTTTTTTTGCATACTCACTTCCATAGCCATTTCAGGTACAAGATCATAAAAGTTATCAAATGGCTCATTTACATTAATTTCATGCGCCCATTCAACACGTTTAATAGCTTCATGAGGCATTTTATTTAGCTTTTTAGGTATAAGATCCTTTTGTGGGAGTATGTTAGCAGGTAATAATTCATCTACTTCTTGGTTATCTTTAAAGGAATAAAAAGAATTAATACAATAGTTGTTGCAATTCTAATCTTTGCTTACCCTTTCCATTTTCAAAATTTTCCTTTTCAGGTAGTTCTTCTGCTACTTCATCAATAGGTGCAACTTTAACATTTAAGAAATCAAATTTATCATCGATTGGCGCCATCATGTCTTCAATACTAAAAACAATAGCCTCCTTTCTAGGAATTTCCGACTCTGTCTTTTCTTCCGTTTCCTTTTGAAAAACTAAACCTCTATCTAAGCCTGGTGCCTCCATCATTAAATGATTTGCTGAAAAAAAAAAAGAAAAAAAGAAAACGCATATAAATATAATGCAGCTTATCCAACTTACAACAAACCTTCTTCATTATCAAAAAAGTCGATATTTGTGTCCAATTCGACTTCGTTTACTATGTCATCTTCAATTATTTCAGCCTCTAAACCTCCTGGTGCAAATGGAAATTGTGATGCTGAACCACGAACGAAATCTTTTGTAGATCCGAATGCTCTAGAAAAACTTGTTGAATTATTACATGTCGAGTTGGGATCGTCCAAAATGTCTTCTTTAAATCCAATAATATCTCCATCAAATCCCTTTCGTACCACTTCAATCTTTGTACGAGCTTTAGAAAGTTGTGAATATCCATGAGACGCATACTCTGGTGTTTCTTTCCAATGTCTATTATATACATGTATTATATTTAAAACAAAACAATGTATATGTCGTCCTTTTATTTTATAAAACTCACTCTTGACATTTGCTTAACCAAGAATCAGGAAAACTTTGTTTAGGTGTAAGAAATGTATGCTCTAATTCATTTTTGATGTCTTGTACAGTTTCCTTTGCTACACTTGGTGTCTGTTAACAGTTAGTTGATTAGATTACAAGCGACACATGTTTTTCTCCAGTTTACCTGTTCATCAGAATTTCTTAATCGAGAAAAGATTTCTTCAAGTGCTTGACTATTTACTTTAAAAAACAGAAGATCTTAATATTATTATAACTTTATCGAAATTGATCATTACTTTTTACTTCCATGTCTGCAAAATATATAAATATTTCTTTAGAAAAAAAAAAAAAAAAAAAAAAAAAAAAAAAAAAAAAAAAAAAAAAAAAAAAAAAAAAAAGTATTCGCGACAATTATCATGTTTCTGAAAGGTGTTTGAATAACCGCTCAATAATTTAATAATACCCTCTCTTTTTCATTGTATACTTTTCAGAAGGGAAAGAGAAAAAAAAAAGAAGTTAAGATGAGCGATGTGGTAAAGTAAAGATGAACAAAAGAGAGATTATGAAGACATTAAATCTGAACTCATTCTTAGCATGGCAGAAAACGAGAGAAAACAACAGAAGAGTTAGAAAAAATAAGAAAAGAAAAAGAAGCCGTAAAGATTAAAGAATATAATAATCTAATCGAGCAATGCAGAACAAAAGTAAATATATTTCTTTCTTTCTTTCTTTCTTTTTTTGGAATCTGAATTTAGCATAGTCTAATAAAAAATAAACAAGATGGATAATAGAGACTTTACAGACGAGACATTCACGTTAACAACACAAATTTTACAATGGAATCCCGATTTTTACACCATCTGGAATTATCGTCGTATTGTGCTGATTGAGCATATATTAAAGGATTTGAACGAAGAAGAAAAACAAAAAGTTTATAATAAAGAATTAATGTTATTTTTACAACTTATTAAAATCAATCCTAAATCATATTGGTTGTGGAATCATCGTTTTTGGTGCTTGCAACATATGCCAACACCAAACTGGAAAGCAGAACTTGGACTTGTAGATAAAATGTTAACTTTTGACGCACGTAATTGTAAGTTAAGTATAAAAAAATAGTATTAAGCAATCCATTAATTCTTGCTTTAGTTCATGGATGGAATTATCGACGCTATGTAGTAAATCATCTTCGAAAGAATAGTGACCATGTAGCGGAGATTATACAAGGAGAATATGATTTTACAACGAAAAAGATTAATCAAAGTTTTAGTAACTATTCTGCATGGCATCAAAGATCGAAACTGCTTCCCGAAATTGTAGCAACCATGTCATCTGAAGAGAAAAACGAAGTAGTAATCAATGGTAAAAGGATTAAATGAATATATTGTAAAAAAAAAAATGGAATACTCATATTTTATATTAGAATTGGACCTTGTGAAGAATGCTATTTATACTGATCCAGAAGATCAATCTGCTTGGTTATATTATTGGTGGTTGTTAGGTAGATCTCCTGAAGAAGTATCACCTTCAGGTGCTTATCAGATTGAACAAGATACATCATTAGTCATTTTTGGATTTAATGATAAAATTAGATTTATGCAGCCACCTCAGTTGTTAGATCATAATGGAAAGCTTATACAAAGTACCTTATATTCTTTAGTTGGAGAAAATTCATCTATTTGGGCTATGTGGATTAAATCAGAAAAGAAAGACATCGCAAAAGAGTTGATAATTCATTCAAACAGTATCTTGCCTAGTAGTAGTTCAAAATCTATACCTTTGGATAAAATTTGGAGGGTTGAAATTAAAAGACTGGAAAGAGGACCAGGTATTTAATTCATGCTTTGTGGGAGGATAAAAGTCGTTGCTTAGCTAATACTATTTTAGTTGTTTATGAAAAGATTCAATCATTAAAGAAGCAAGTATTAAATAGTGAGAATGAATGGAAGGAACTAACAACAAAGCTTTATAAAGATCCAACCCTAAATGATCAGACTGCATGGTATACATTGGATAAGGTTCAATTATTGAAAGATGAGATTGAAACAGTTAGAGAATTATTAGAGCTTGAGCCTAATAGTGCATGTAAAGTTGACTATATTACATTATTTTTTTTTAGAAAAAAAGGGTTCTTTTATTCATATTATTATAATAGGGGCGCTACAAACTCTTGTACACTTTTTGCATCAACTTCAATTACGTTCAAATCAAGTAGATCCAATCAAAATTTATGATGAAATTATTTCTATTTTGGATGACTTGATTAAAATTGATTCTGATAGAAAGATGAGATACAAAGATAAAAGTAAGATTTTAAAAAGAAGAATGAGACAAGTATGGCATACTAAAATGATTTATGTATAGAAACTGAGATTTTGTTCAAGAAAGCCACACAATCATTAAATGAGACATTAGATTTGTCTGGATTAGACAATATCCCCTTATTTTCACCTTTATTAACTATATCTACTATAACTGTAACATCTAAAAAATTAGAATCAATTCTAAAAGAAAAACTTGTATTCTTAGAAGATTGTATTTTAATCAACTAGAGCTTATTAAGAATAAAATCTAAAACTTTTTCCGTAAACCAGACATCATCTACATCTTTATAGGAATTCTCCAATTCGTACAATACCTTTTCTGCCAAATCTTTTTCAATTACACCTGCTTTCATTCTAGCTTTAATTAATATCATCATTGCAACTCTACTATACTCTGGATGACCCTGAATACAAATGCATTGCTTATTTTCTGAAACAGAAATTTGAACAGGTGTCCTATCCTTTGTGTAGCCTAACGTTTTGTAACCTTCCGGTACATCAGTAATGATGTCTTGATGAGATTGGTTAATTTTAATAAATTCTCTGTCTGTTTTGAAGAACTTTTTTCCCTCTTCATTTAATGTAATTTCAGTCAAGCCGAGCTATATATATTAATTAGATAAAACATCTTTAACATAATAATTACTACATACCTCCCAACCAGTCGTACTCTTAGCCGTCTTTCCTCCTGCAGCACGTATAATAATTTGATGACCAAAACAAACACCAACTAATTTGACCTTATCTGTATAGTCTGTTTCCATTTTCTTTATAAAGTCAATTAACTTTAGAAGCCAAGGATCATTATCATATGAGTTATACTTGGAACCAGTTAAGATAAGAGCATCATATGTTCCGTTTTCAATATCTTGGAGAGAAGGGTATTCTTGAGCGTCAACAACATCGAAAGCATCCCAAGTAATAGTTACCTTCTCATTATCTGCAGCCTTTTTAAAAGCAGTTTGAAACTGTTGTAGGTAGTCACCTACCTTTTCTAACACTTCAGGCATAGGTGTATCGATTTTAAGAAGTCCAAAGTGTAACCTTGTTTTAGTCATGACTGTATAAATATTTTTGGATAAAGATATTACTTTTTTTTTTTTTTTTCATAAGCCCTCTCTTTTTATAATTGATATAAAGCATGTCATATGACAACATAATGATGAAACCAACAGCAAATGAAAATATTTTACTTTAAACTTAGCTGTTACATAATTTCATATTACATATTATAAAGAAGACTATTCGGTATAACTATAGATGACAGTATCAACTCAAATCAGGGAGTATCATTCAGTTACAATGATTACTAATCATAGTCTGCACAGCCAATCAATCATTACTCTATACGACAAAAGGATACTGCTTTTTAAACTTACCTTATGAAGTCATACACATATAATAGACAATCTTAGTGTTTCTTGATAAAATGATATTAGCTGCTACATATAAAGCCTTTATGAATTAAAGGAGTAGTGTGGCAGAATAGATATTATAACTAATGATATTAAATAAAACATAATAATATAAGAATGTAACAAGAGATTAGAAAGGTATACAAGCTTTACAGACAATATAAACACAGAGTAGCATAATATTACATTTTACTACAATTATCATGAGCTTAAGTATGCATTGACTCTAGCCAATCCGTTACATTGAAGTAAAGCAGCAAAGGATAAATGACACATCATTAGTTAACAGCTAATAGCAATAACTGGAGTCATGTTTATGGTTATCTTGATGATTGTAAATGATATAAATACACCTTGAAATTATTTTATTAGTTTTAATCTTTTAGTTTAACTTTTTATTTTATTCTCTGTCTCTTCAAAGAAATGTTTAATAATCAAGTCGTAAAAAGCATCTCTCCCATCTTTTGTTATTCTTTATTTCGTTCTTAAATCTACATTATTACAAACAAACGTCTAATTTCTGAGAAAGTGTTTTTTTTTCTTTTAACACAAGGAAAATATAACGTATTTATAACTTGCTATATATTATCAATCCACATATTCATTTTCAAATCTGACAAAATATTGATATCATATTATCGCTGTATGTCATATATCCTAGAACACTTCATTACACTACACTTATTCCCTTTAAGCTTAACCAAGTATTCTTAACCTAAATACGACATATAATACCTTCAATTTCTCTTCCAAGAATTGTGCCAGCTTGCAACCTCGCTTGAAGTGAATATAAAGTTGAAGGACTTTTATTATACTTTTGACTGTGACTAGTTCTGTCTTCCTCCTTCCTTTACTTTGTATTTATTTTTTCCCCTTTTACTATTTTTAACTTTTCGTATTAAGAGTGTAATCTCATTCTGCCACTCAACCGTAGATACCAATTAATTAATTTGTTATTTCATTACTAATAATTTCATAGGATTTTTTACTTTCTCTGGCCTTGAAAAAAAAACAACAATGTTGTTGCTAAATAAAATATGGGTGTAATATGGAGTGCGATTAGTAAACTTCTAGAATCTTGAAGTCGTTTTTCGTTTAACGATAATTATTTTTTTTTTTCTTTTCTTGTAAGAATCATTTTGGTCATGTCGTCCGTGTACGATCATGTCAAAAAAGGATCACTCAAGTTTAAGGGTGGTGATTCTACACCTATAAAGTAATATTATAACTTACGTATATATTTACAATTATTGATAACTTACTTTTTTTTTTTTTGCAGAAAAAAGAAAAAGAAATCAAAGTCAAGCAAAGAAAAATTAGAACATGCTTTGCGTGAGGAAAAACAAATTATTCAAGTTGTTGAAAAAACAGAAGCGCAGCGTAAATTTGAGGAAATACAACGTCAAAGAGTATGTTAGATACAAACTAGTAGGATGAATATAAATGATTAATTGATTTTTATTTTAGCAAATGGAAAGGGTCTCGAAAGCAGCATTGAAATCACATAAAGATCGGGTGCAAGAATTTAATCAAAAACTGGAGAAACTTAGTGAACATCATGACATTCCTAAAGTTGGCCCAGGCTAATAGTGGATATTGTTCGAATACATATAAATTTATTTATATTGTATTTAACTGTTGAATATAAACATGCTTGCATATAAATAAAATAGTATAAATATATTGTATACATAAATTTCTAATAATGACTACGCTTCGTGATAAAATATGGCAGGCTTATTATTACCAATATTTTCAACTTGGAGTACTTTGTGGAAAAAAATAGAATGAGTTCTAGATGTATTTTTATTATCATTGTGTAGCTTTTAGATTTGTTTCTAATATTTTAGCGGCTTCAATCATGATAATTTTGATGATGAACTGCTTCTAGTTAATAAAGTCACAAAGTGACGTTTACTTTTTTTTTCAGGCCGTTTTTTTTTTTCACGCGTCTTCAACTTTTTTTTTTTTTTCGAAGACAAACGACTTCTTCAAACTTATTAGCTTATCATTTCTTTCTTACATCGCTTTTATATACATATACGTATATTTATTTATTTATCTTTTATACAAACTTGTATCATTTTAAAAATATTTTAAAGAAAAATAAATTTTTAAAAAGATAAATGGTGCAAAGCGATCAAGAAAAGTTCGCAGGGTAAATTGAGTACTTTGACTTGTCACAAATTATTTACTTAATGAATTTAAAAAATAGAAATTACCGTCAATTATTTGATACAATTGAAAGAGGTGTTGAACAATGCTCTACTGATCGTCTTCAAACTCTTTTAGAAGAGAAAAAAAATCAATTAAAACTGGGTTTAGAAGCCTTCAGTGAACCTTCTACTCAAGCTCGGTCTAAATTAAACACCGGCTCTAGTATTACGGTTGATGGAAAAACGATCAAGTTGGATCAAAACGAAAAAGATTTAATTATTAAATTGTCAGACATCCTTAACTTAAACGAACTCCAATGCGCATCACTTTGGGACATTTACAGACAAGCAAATAAAAACACTTTGTCACAATTAAATAATGATAACAATGAGCAGCAAAAAGTAGAATTACGCGAAAATATTCAACTTATAATGAATGTAATTAACTTCTATTTCGAAGAACGTATCGCATTATTAGAATGTATTGGATCTTTGCAACGTATATCCCTTGATAATGATCATCCTTACTCATTTATAGCCAATGATGCAATTAAAAAGCTACAAGATGTTGATAATACAAGGCCATTCGCTGAACGTCTTTTTTCACAGTACTCAAAATTGGTTCGAAAGAATATCTTTAGTAAAACGCAATTTTTTTCTGGTTGGGCCCTTATTTTATCAAAACAGATTTTAAAGGAACAGAAGTCTTTATTGGATATTATTTTTCTTTTTAGTTTAACAGAATCTTTTTCAACTGAATTTATTTTATCAATTATTAAGGAATTTGAAGCTGATAGTTTTGGACAACTTCAAGCTTTTGGTTATGTTCTCGATGAAGAAGGTGTAATGTTACGTGAAAGAGTCAGCAGTATTTGTATTTTACTTTCAGCTAATATTATTGTGCCATCAACACTTAATATTGATGTACATTTGAATCCTTCTGCTACTGAACAATCTTTAATTAATTCACCCAATATTATTGCTAAAATTAATCAAGTTGCCGCTTATCTTGGTGATAGACAAGAACATTCTGTTTTCTTGTTAGCTTGGTCGTTTTTCCTTACTTGTATTGATTCTGCTATCAACAATGAGCAGACTCCTCCCACAAATTATGTTGAAATAGTCAATCTTCTAGAAGGAAAACAAAATATCTCAACGGATATTTTAATCGATAGACCAATTGTCAATGGTGCAGCATTTGATGTGTCCACACAAAGAACAATTTCTATCAAACAGGCTCCTCAATTAGATCGCATTCTTTTAGGTCGCTCTCTGAAACTAAATGTTTTTAACGTAATTTCTAGTATTTTGGAAAGTGATGTTTGTAGTGAAGAAGATGTAAACTGTTTGGGTTATAGATCTGTGTTATGCACCTTACTCAAGTCGTTTTTATCAGTTACACGCCCTTATTTTATACCTCCTGAAAGTTATAGTAGTTTGATTAACGCATATTGTCTCCTTTACCAAAATCAGCCTGAACTTTGTACTATGTTTTGGACTAAGGATTTTAATAGAAAAAATCCTTCATCATTGCTCGCTACGGCCCGTGGCAGATTTCCTGTCTTTTTTACCGATTTTACTCGACTTTTAGCTTCCTTAGCAGGTGTGCCGAATGAAGATGCAAGTATGAATAATGGAATATCAGCAACCTCTGTATACGAATATCTATGTGAAATTCCTTCTATAACTGTTGTATTAGGATCATCCATTGATGTTACAGCTTGTGAAGAGAACGGAGAAGTAGTGACATATGCTAATCAACCTATACGTGTAACTCATCAATTGGATTCAGTGTCCAGCGTCGTTATTCCTCAAGGTACTCGTGGGTTATTCTTAAATACTTCAGACGATCAGCATGTTATTCAATATGATTATCATTATTCGGGTTGGCATATGTTGATCTCAGTTTTGGCCAGCTTTATTACAGCAAATCTCAATAGTACAATTGATATACAAGATGATGAAAATAATATTCAAGGGAAGAATTTAGAGGCTATTAACAGCATTCTAGAATTGATTTATAGTGTACTATCCAGTAATCCTAAATTAGCTACTACTTTAGTGGATCATATTGAAATGACTGCTAGAACTGCTGATGACTCTACTGGTATGCCTATTCTTATTTCTATTCTTTGTCAAACTCTTAATTACTGTAGCACTATAAAACCATATCCCATTCCTATTTTAACTCTGGTTTTAAGATGCTTGACACTATTGCTTCCTCATTATCGTAATCATATCTGGTCTTATTTAAAGATTGCTCCTATCTTACCAACTACTAATACTAGTTTTATAAAGTTTGTATCCTCATCTTATAAATCTAGTACATCTGCACAAATATTGGAAATTGTCTCAAAAGTCGAATGTAATGCTGGACGCTACCCAGTATTATTAGCGTTTTTAGATTTAGTTCAAGCACTTGTACGTGATATTCAGCGTGATTGGTGGATTCAAGAGAACAATGAAGATGTATCTTTGCTTAATCGCCAATACCAGGTTGAAGTTTTATATGTTTGTTTATATTATATCATGTCAGATGTCTTCCCGTCTTATTCACATTGGCGTTATAAGAAGCTCTCTGAACGCTTTTTAATTGGTATCAAAATACTTTCAATACTTATTGAAATTGTTCGTGACTTTAAAGAACCTGTTACATCAAATATGAAATTGTCATTAAATAGTATTCGTGAAGGTGTCTTCAACAACTTTTTGTATGAAGGAGGTGTATATCATATTTCGCCCTTGGTGAATATCATTTCTGATGGTGCTGTAACTGCTAATACTTTGTATAAGGCAAATCATCCGAAGGAAGCACAACGTATTGAAAAATTAACTGAATTGACCCTTATATTTGTCAAGATTTTGTTGCAACATCGACTACAGCAAATTAAGTCAGGAACCGTTGTAACTGAGAGTATACTCGAACGTTTGTTACTGGAGCGTAGCACAGGCGGCAATTCTTCTGACTTCTTATTACGTGTTGCTAGACACATTCAATATCATCACACTATTTCTTTACCTATTCAGGCTACTTATGTATTATCACTTTTATGTCGTACTATTTCTACTTGGAAGAATGTTCCAAATTTTGTACAATACTTTGGTGGTACAGATCAAGTTCATGCCATTATTCGAACTTATCTCGAAAAAGCCAAAGATGCTAATCAGAATGAAGTTTTATTGACTTCTATCTGGCAATTAATAACTGTACTGTTGGAGACTCAACCTAGTTTAGCAATTCTCTTTTTAGATTGTGGTGATTTCATTATGCCTAGCCCCAAGTCTGCTGTTCGTCTTTTGTCTAATGAAAATAAATCAAATTCTAGTGCTATTTCCACAAATTCAGTTGATTCTGCTATTCGTGCCGCTGTCGATATTTTAGGGCAATGGGAAACTCTCTTGATCGAGAAGCCCACTGTTATGTCTAATGTTTTGCGTTTCCTTGCCACTTTTTGGAAAACAGCATTTGATCATTATGCTCTTGTAGAACGTACTCGTGTAGATAGTGCCATTTGGGATATCTTTGACAAAGTTTTATTCAACCCATCATGTGAAACTGACATTACAGCTGACCATATTCAATCCCTTGATATAATTACAGGTACAGATGTTGATAAACATCTTGACACTCATGTACGTCGATTATGTTGTTTAAATCTCAGCAAAGCTTTTATCATGCGTATCATTGCTTACGAAGTTCACCTAACAGCCAGCAATACTCTGAAGGATAGCTCTGACGTTTCTCAAAAACTTCCTGCTGGTCTTAAAAACTTAATCATCAAGATTAGTGAGACTAACAAACTTTTATCATTACGTGATTCTTTTGTCAAGAATGATTTTAATCCCGCTACAATACGTGCTGCTGAAGCATCCGCGGAGATGCTTTTACAAACAATCGGTGTTGATCATCCTGAAAATATTCTTGTAAAAATGGCTCGAATTGGTTTTGCTGATGATGATGCAGCAGGAGAGGCTCGTCAATATGGCGATTCGTACTTGTATGACTATCATCTTGCAAGCACCCGAGTTTATTCCCTGTATAAAGATATCGAAAGCAAGCATGAAGATGTTAATTATAACAGTGTTGTTTTAACCCCTGATGTTCAAGCTGTGTTGGAACTCAAACAGTTCGCTAACCAATTCCTTCAGAATACACTTTTGGCTAACCATAATAGCTCAATTGTTGACTCACAAATCATTTTGTTGCGTTCATTTAAATCCTTTATTGAAACTTGCTCTAGACGTGTTAATGATTTGATTTGGACTCAAAAGGATACCCGCAATAGCAACCTTTTCAACTTCATAAAGAGACTCATCGGCTCTGCTCAACAAGAAACTCGTGATGATGGCGTCACTTTAACTTCTTATAGTATTTTGATTCAATTTATTCGAAACTTAATTGAAGATTGGATCAATGCGAATAGTGGTGTTGTAACTGGAAATGACACAAATGCTCGTAAAGAGTATAAAAATAAGACTTATGAGCTTCTTTCTGCCTTGTGTAGTTTATTAGATCGTGAAAACTATGCTTTATTTAATAGTATATGTGATACTACCGCTATTCGTTTCCATAGACCATTATTAGAATCTATTATGCTTTGTCTTCGTACACTCAATGGTACAATTGAAGATCTTTCACCTTTTTCAAGTAGTGGCTTGGAATTTGAATCTTGCTTATCTAGTCTTTTAACAGTTGTCTGCTCAAGTTTCCATGTACTAGTTATCAAGGCTGGTTCTTATAGTGCTGCTACATCACTTGTCAGTGAAGAGGTTTTAGAAAGTTGTATCAAGGATGTAACTATTGTGATATCTCTCATAGAAGAAATGATTAGTCCAAAATATAAGTTTTCACCAGACATTTGGCTTGAGATCTTTGAAAAATCAAATACAATCCCTTCTTTACTATCACTTTTTTATAATGGTGTAGAAATTGTTGTAAAGGAAATTAATAGGTAAGTGTATTTATAAATATGTATATGAATATATTTATAATATTAATTTCTTTTTTTTGTTTTTCTTAAAATATAATAATAGTCAAATATCCCATTTAAATGGTATCTCTAGTATTAGTATTACACCCTATGCTGAATCTGCATTGTACTTGTTGCTTGCATTATCCAATATTCCAAAGGCGGCCGAAAAACTTGTCAAACATAGCATTTTCGACTCACTTTGTAATAATCTTCTTTCAACACAATTACAGCAAGGAGCATTGGATTTATTTATTCGATTTGGTGATAGTAACAAAAATGGACCTAATTACGTAGAACGCAACCCTCTTCATTTAATTTGGTGCCAAATTCTAGCTGTAGTCAATAATATTATACGCACCATTGGCAATTCTGAAATTGTCTTACAAAATACTATTAATTTTATTCAAATGTATGGTCCACAAATAAGTAGAGCTTTCAAGAACGCAGAAGGAGCTAATGATTCAATCTTTGGATTATCAGCAACTGAATCATTGGCATCACCATTATTAGAGGAAATCGAACGAATTACGATGATATTCTTTGGATTAGCTAAATACTTGGAAAGATTACCCAATACGGCTACTGGTTTATTCTGGGCCTTTAAGGAATGTTCGTTAACAACTCTGCAACGATTCCTTTATTTCTTCACCCATCCTTCACATATGCAAGCGCAATTGTATCCTGTAGATAATATTGAACGTCAACAAGCACACACTTTTGTTTCTCCTGAATCAGAGGATACCACTCCCTCACTATTAACTACCTCTGATAATAAGAGTGAATCAAAATTGCGTATAAGTCAATTAATGCAGAAGATTATCAAGTCTACAATGATTATTATACATTATATGCTCAGCACTCTAATTGTCATAACACATACAGATGTCGTCTTGACTTCAAACGTCACAGAATGGCCATTTGGAAATGCATTCCTCTATCCAGATATGCGAATGACTGTAAGCACAAAGGCTTCTTTGGGTACACTAACAGAATGTATGAATGTATGTATTATGATGATTGGACAATGGCAGGATATCAAGGATTACCCTATTCAAGAATTATTAGACGTTGTTCAAGATTGTGCTTTACTGCTGACAACTCAAATTGCACTCTGGGTTACTAAACCTGATCTTTCAGCAGAAACAAGGGTTGAGATTGCTCAAGAAAATATTCTAGACATTACTGAATCAATAAATAAAATAGGAACTTCATTAAGCAAATTACAAGAAGATAAGAAACTCAAGAATATCAAGCCAAAACTCAAACTGATACATATGCTACAAAACTTTTTAGGAGATCGCTATTTTGAGAAGTCATAAAAAAAAAAAAGGAAGTTTAATTATATGTAAACAGTTTAAAAAATAAAATAGTCATAATAAAGAATAAACATATTACGTTCTGCAATGTATAAAGAAGAAAAAAAAAATTGCATTAATTATGTGTTACATGCAAATTTATATATTCACATTCCTATTATATAAAACAGTTTATTCTATATTGTACAGTTGATATATATACAAGTAGAAAAGAAGAAGAAAAAAGAAAAGATTAAACGCATGTACTTTTGTAATAAATTCCTCTATTTGCTATGCTACTACTACTATTACTACTCTTTTTTTTTTTTTTTTTTTTTAAATACGATCTATAAATTTATCTTCATCATCACTTGCTAAAAACCATTTGAAATATTCATAAACACTCCAACTAATAGCTGTGCTAGGCATATTTGTCAATACTCTAGGCTTAAATCCTCTAAAAAAGCCTTTAAATCCATATCGTTCATAAATAATAGATGCTGCCTCCTTTAAGCCATTTACATTTTTGATCTGAGTATCGGTAGATGAACCTTTTGTTTGTAGTAAAGTCTTTATGACATCAAGTGGAGTTGTGACTGATGAAGCCACAGCACCCGCAATAGCACCTGCCAGCATATGTGCTTTTGGATTATAGGATCCCTCTGGATTGAGTTTAGATCGAAAGAATTCGTAAGTAGCAAATTGAACAGATTGAAATGGGATTGACATGGAGACGGTGGTGGGGAATGAAATATAAAATGCTTTAATTCCTTCCGCTGAATACACTCTTTTAGCACAATCACGTACTGAATGATAAGTTGAATCGCGTAATTGCATTCGTTGTTTTAATACTATTATTTAAAATTAATATCTATATGTATACATATATTTATTCAAATGCAAGTAGGTTACTCACCATCAAAGGGTGTCATTAAAGCATCATGAGCAAAAGTAGCAATGGCACCAGCAGTACCCGATGCTATCAGTTGATTAGATATTGTAAACGATCGACCAGTAGTTTGTAATTTAGAAGTAGCTGATAATTGGTCATTAAGCCATTCTTTACAAAATTCATAAGTAGCAAAATGAACAGCATGAGCAGGGCCTGCCCCAACAATGACTGAATAAACTCCTTTCCATAAATTCCTTGACCCATGCCAACTTTCCTTTGACGCGTGTTTTATAGCTTTGTTTATTTCTGGAGTTGTAAGAACTTGCATTCGAGTCTAACGAATTCAATTCATATATATATATATATATATATACATATTAACTCCATCTATTTTCCTTTAACGCATATGTTTACTAAACATATATACATACTCTGATACTGTCAACTGGATACATGATGCAATGTTCTCCAATCCCTGCCATTGCACCTGCCATTGCATTTTGTGCCATGGTGGAATTAGCACCTAATGATTCATAGTCATGATCAATACTTTTATCCATTTTACTTTTTTAATAATAAATACAAGTGCAATAAACAATTTATTGATAAAATTAAATTCTATTCATATATTTATAAAAAAAAAATTAAACAGCCGTAAATAGAGCAGCAGGATACCATTGATGATATTATTGCCACCTGAGTCAAATCTAAATATGTAATAATGATATGAAAAGCCCTCTTTTTCCCCCTCCACACACACACACACATACATACATATACCCTTTAGAGACAAGGACGAAAAAAAATATATATAAAGCTAAAATAGGGAATTCAGTTAAACCTCTGAGAAGGAAGAGACACAATAGTGTCTTATCCAAAATGAAATAAAAAAAAAAAAAAAGGAAAACAATCAACGTATATGGACTAAAGATACAATAACTTCTTATAATATAAGAGATAGGGTGAGCCAATATGACCCATTAAGTTGGAAAATACCAGAAAAAGTAGTAAGAAATTAAAAAGGAATGAAAATATAGTAATGTTTGATATATAAGAGCTTAGATTTCTTGTCGATTTGGAAAAGTACTTTACACTTAAACTTCTACTTATTACTGTGCCTTCACTGTAATAACATTCAATATTCATATAAAACTATTATATTCCCGGGATCTTTTATTTTATTCACATAGTTTGTCCATAATATTACTAAAGAAAAACACGCACACACACACACACTTGTAACAATCATGAAATAATGAGAATGCTTTTTACCAAAAAAGAACTCTTCTTGAAGATTTCAAAACAGAGAATATATATATATATATATAATTCAGACTGCAAACGACCATTACACTTGCAGTTATAAAATATAAAACATCTCTATTTTGTTTTCAGCTATTTCAGGCTGTATTATGCTGTTAAAATACTTTACTTTTTCAAAAATATTACAAAGCTCTTGTAAACAACCTTTTAAAAAAGAAAACTATAATTATTATATTTGTTATATTGAAGTGTGTAATTGGCAAATAATACTAATAAAAATGAAAAACAGTAAGAGAGAAAGAGAAAGAGCCATATAATAATAAGTGTAATTCTTTTTATTAAAGTTATGCATTTTATAAACATGTATTGTGTTGCTGATTGCAAAAAAAAATAAATAAAATAAAAATAAAAATAAATAAAAGGCAGTTCCTTAAAATAAACCAATCAAAATCTCCAACTATACGATTACCTAATTGCGCAACATAAGAAAGAAGGAAGGAAGGAATGAAAATGAAACATTTTTCGTAATATGAATGATATAATTACTGGTCAACATGAAAAAAAAAAACTCCCTTTTCATTATATGTATTCAGCGTCCTTAAATAAAATTTAAAATACTGTAATAAGGATGTAAAATATAATTCAAGCTACTGCTTCATTTTGTTACAATTAAACACTGAAAAAAATACACCATGTATGTTTAGAAGAAACTTAACGATAGCACCATGATATCTAGTCAGGTCTGCGGTATATACTTTCCAGTATTTGGATAGAAGAATGGTTTTATGTACTTGTTTGAAGGCCCTTCATATAATCTATCTTTTTCTCTGTCATTAGCAGCTTTCAGAATAAATTTTAAAGTATTATTTACTAATCTGATATTTTGCATGAGCGAGCAAAAGTTTAAATAATTAAGCATTTTTATTATAAACACCATGTACAAGTGAGAGTGGGGCTTGTTATTGTCGTGTTTAAAGTTTTCTTTTTTTTTTGATATTTGGTATCTACTATTGTTACGCGTAGAATATCTTGTTGTTTTACTATTTGATGTAATGATCGAGATCTCTTGTAAATTTAAAGCACTCTCTTATGTTTTTTTTAACGGTTATTTATTTAGACGTTTTACTTTACACATTCCCTGTAATTTAAACAATATTCTACATGGAGCACCATTGAGTATGATATAAATGTAATAGTATACATTGTATTCATACATCATCTTTATGCTATTATTTAATCTTTTTTTACAATTGCTTGTGTAGTTTGTATTGATCTGTGATAATTTTTCTTGAATAAATTAAATGTCATATTTGAAAATACAAATGTCCCTACAGTCAATAATGAAAAAACGAGCTAAATAGAAAAGGAAAAAATAAGTCGAAATAGTTTGTTTTACTTCATTTGATATATATACATATGTAATACTTACCAGTGTTTTATATGATATTGGCTCTACAAAACTATTAATGATCTCTGCAATAGCTTCAGCATATACTTTTGCCCTAAAAATCTTCATTAAGTTTCATCATATAACTTGGAAAATGATAACTTACTGTGCTACAACTATGTCTTTATTCATGCATGCTGCCCAATTATTACACATGTCTTCAATGGCTGGAATTCGATTCGTTTCCCCACAATGATTTATAAGATAATTATTTGTACACATTAATTTTTCTTTATGTAATTCTATAACGAATAGATGCACTATGAGAAACAAAGGTATCGATAATTCTATAATCCTTACCATTTACATATTCTTCGGCTTTTATTCGAAAATCTTGTTTTATAGCTAAAATTATATTTGTAAAAATGTAAAGCGCAACGCTAGAGATGATGATATTGAATGCCATTTGTATGTAAATAATGATTGTGTATAATATATCTTGATGCTTCAAATATATTGGTTCATATACTGTTTTGGTTTCTTGATGCTGAAAAGATATGGAATTGATAGGTTTATTATATAGAGTTTTTGTTTCTTTTGTTTTCTCAAATTGGTTTAAACGTGCATTAAAATGACGAGTTAATGTGTTTATATTCAATGATTTTGGAGACTGATTAACAGTTGAAGATAGGTCATTGTTATTAAATATTATCTGATCAGATGTTAATTTGGGTATAAAATTGAATTTAAAATCTTGTGGTATAAAGAGATTATTAGATTGTTCTTTGTATTTAATATAAATCAAAAGTCAAAATGTGCAAACTAAATTATTTCTATTTTTATCTTATTACCTTTTTCTATTCTAGCTCTTTTTATGCCTGTCGTCATTATATTGAAGACACACAGAGAGAGAGAAGGAAAAAAACAAGTTTGTTAAAAAAAAAGGGGGGGAGAGGAGAGAGAAATACAAGAAAAAAATATTACGACTTTATGCTAGAATTATATTTTAAATTTATTGGATGCAACCAAAAAGCAGTCAAAGTCTACTTTAAACACTGAGTAAAACTATCATGTCGTACCTTACAAATGAGACACACTCTATCTTGACCTATTGTATAACAACATTATCACAGCTTTATTATCCTCTTACATTGCACGATAAAACTATAAACCTGTAAAATCAAATAGATTATTAACTGAGCTTAGTTATATATAATGATAAACGCCCTTTTCTTAACAAAAAAAAAGGACAAGGTAATTATTCCAACAAGCTCATTGCCAAAGCATAAAATGAATCTGTGTATTTGACCACTTATTTGTTCTTGATTGAGATGTATTTAAATTAATTAGCTCATTAGTTTCTATTAATCCCTTTTTTTTGTGAGTATTAGAATATGAGTTGATCTGAAAAGATATTACAATAAATAAGCTTAGAATACGACGATTTAATCATTGCATGTCCTTGTCAACGAATGTAATCATTTACAATTAAATGTGTAAATGTTAAATATTAATTGTGTATTTCTCTTGTTTTTTTTTTTTTTTTTTTTTTTTTTTTTTTTTTTTTTTTTTTTTTTTTACATAATCAAAACGTATCATTGTTGTTGTTTAGTGAATGGCTGTCCTCTACGTGATCAGTTCTATCAGCTTTCAGCATATCACTGCGTACGATGTATAAAAGTACTATACGTCGTACGCCACAATTTAAGCTGCGATTTTTTTTTAATTGTTTATTTCTACTAATTTTTAATATAAAACTTCCAAATAAAAAACATATTATGTTTAATATACTATCATAGAATGAATATATAAAAAAAAAGACATTTCTATTGCTAATATTCATTGTTTTTTTAATGTTTAAATTTATAGCTATTTTGGCTATGTTTTTTTTACTAGGGAGAGAAAAAAAGGGGGGGTAATCACACTATTTACATTGTGAAATTACAGAAAAAAAATGCTTTTTTTTCCAAAAATGGATCTATAGAAAATCATATGATCATAGAGAAAGCTAAGAAGATTACATTCATTGTTATTTCTTTTTTATTCTTTTCTTTTATTTATAATTTTTTTTCTTTTACTTTAGATTAATACTTATTTACTTACAATTATTTTATTTTCTATAGATATTTATTATATTTAAGGTAGTATAAAGATTTAGAATATCCTTATTAACGAATTTATACTGACCAGTTTTATTTCTTTCTTAGCAAAAGAGTCTTGTTTTTGTTGGTAGTAGCTTTTTCTACTTTTTATACAGAACATTTTTCGATGATATATTAAAAGTAAGATAATAACTATTGTTTATATTAATACATATACTGACTTGTCTATTATCTTTAATCAAACACGTTTTAAACAGGTAAATAAATGTATATAAAAAGGTAAAATAAAACATAACATTTATCTGTTAATTCCAAAAGTATACTTTCTTTGTCTAATATAAGATATACCAACCTTACCTTTTATTCGGTAAGCATTTTATTCTTTTGAATACCAATACTCTTTTTTATTTTTTTATTTACTAACTAATCAATTTTGTTTATTATAGATTGTTTATTTTTATTCTGTTTAACTGCTATAATTTAGCTTCCTAGACCCCTATCATTATTATCTCTGTCTTTTTCTCTTATTTATTTGTATCTATTTACTGCGTAATTGTACTATTTCTTTTTAAAGATGCAAAGGTAAGTGCAATCGTATTTTCTATTATTAATTGCAAGAAATATCCTTTTTTATTATTTCAAAAGCAATTTATTTTTTGTAATAATTCATTTGCTATATATTTCCATTATTATTAATATTATTATTCTAAATGTAAATAAAGTCACATTCTATGTAAACAAACTATGTTCATTTTTAAATAACGTCCAATAAACAAGGCAATAATAAAAGCCTAATATGTATTAAATGTATTTTATAAGCCAATAAGTAATAAAGATCAAACGTAAATAAACGTTATTTATTCTGCAAAATACCAATGATGGTTCATGTTTTTTAAAGAAATAGCCAATCAAATGTAAAAAGTTATATGTCGTATGTACGGAGTATTATACGTTGTACGTGTGTACAACGTACTGGACGCTGGTATATGCAGTACGAACGTACTACATATATACGGCGTACTATATAGCGTACGCGCGTACGCCATATAGTACTCCATACGTACGACAGACAATTTTTTTGCAGTGGCGATATTCTGCATATACTGGAAAGTCTTTTTTTTTTGGAGTTAACCCTAACCACATAACTATAAGTACTATACATACAATTGAAAATGAATTGTTTTTATTTCATGGACATGTTTAGAAGAAATTATATATTGTTATATATAAATGTTTATTCATATATGTACAGAGCAAATCAACATATTAACTTTTATTGGCTGATACTATCGATGAGGGATTTCTTCCAAGAGAAAAGCAATTGTGTTTGATTGAAAAAGTCTTTTATCTGAGAGGGTGTTGTTGGAAACTTAATGACGGCATGGGTTCTTCTGATTAAGCGATGTTCAATTTTAAAAACCAATTCAAAATATAACTTCATATCAAAATAATTGGAACAGTTTAGTTTACTCGTATTTATGTCAACTTAAAATGAAGATACTTTACCATGAAATCCAATAAAATGGCCCTTATCGGCGTCGGTGATCTCCATAAACTTCACAACACCTGCTTCTATTTTCTCTTCATCACGACCAGCCTTATTTTTTGTGCAGTTCTTCTTTATTCCACCTGAAAATTCCACCAAACAATAACCAATTCGTTTATCGGAGTTGGCAAGAAAACCAGCCCCGTCCCACTTTGTATTTTTTGTTAATAACGTTTCGACCTCAAACCTAGAATAAAAGGTATTAATATTCAGCTTCAAGTCCCAGAGCACCTTGTTAATTTACCAGCAGAAATGAATTTTATCGTTTACCGACAAGAACAAATTGTCAAGCAGGATGACAGTCATTTTGGTTGCAGCGGTTCTTTCCAGAGTAGGTACTAAGAGAGGGTTTAAAGGGCTTTTGCAAAGGTTTAGGCTACGAAAAAACTATCTTAGTTACAGGTTCTTCACATAAATTCTCAATTCTTACAAGTGATTTCCCATAGTCTCAATGTAATTTAGATCCGCATGAATCAATATATCGCTCTCTGAAATTTTAAAATTTTTGATGATTTTTCGAAATTGATCAAACTTAGCAGCTGATTCTTTCAATTCATGTGAAATCAAAGTAGCTGGATGTGAGAGTGGTTGAATAGGGATTGAAGTTTGTCGTTTCAATGTTTCCAGCAGTTCTTCATTCATCATAGACTGAACGCCATCATCATCAAGATATAGCACCTGTAAGCCAGTGATTCTATCAAAAAGAAGGTTTAATTTAAGACCAAGAATATACATAGTATTATGGGCAAATGTGTAATGTTACTCTTTGTAAGTTGAATTTATATCATTTAAAATAATGATGCTGTTGTTGTTGCTGCTGCTGCTTTCATCTCTGTTGCACAACTAAAAAATATGATAAAATAATCAATACATTGATTAGATATTTTTAAAGTATCTGAACATACATGTATACGTTTAGAAGAGTTTGCGATTGAAGTAAGTGTACTTTCAGCTATATCTTCTAAAGTACTATATATCCGCTTTTCAATTCTTTGACCTGACTCTTCTCTTTCCTCGTCATTTCTTTCTTCCCAGTAATCACTATATTCTTTAAAAAAGTGTGAAATATTATTGTTTCGTTTCTGAAAAGAAAAACAAAATAGATAGTTATCAGATTTAAATTCTCACATCTAAATAAAATATTGATTTTTACATTGAAGCGAGCAATGGCTTCAGCTATTGGAGGTTTTGACTATTTTGAAGCTGTCAGCAGAGCCTCGTTTAGCGTAGTTATATATAGAGAGTTCGTGGTCCTCTTTTCTTTCATTACTACATCCGCAAAGCTAATATAGTCATACTTGGGCTGAAGATCAGCAGCGCCTTTAGCCCAATCTTGGTATATTCCTGTTTTTGCAACTTTATGGAACATGGTGCCGAGATAAAAGGAAAATGAGAAGTTTATTATTTTCAAGTTATTATAATTATTTACGCGTGACGTCATAAAATAAATTGAACGTTCGCTTGGGGAAAAAAATTATTTTTTTTCACTGAAATCGTTAATTCTTATTGCATTAATAACCTATGCTCTCATCAAGAGTTCAGCTTTAAAGCAAGGGCCTCATACTTCATCATCTTTCAACACAGAGGATAAAAAGGTGTACCTTAAGCTCTGCTAAATCATTCGCCGGGCATATTTTGTCACCGAGTGACGAATACTCCTTACGGAGAGCTATGTTCCTTTGTGTACATAAACTTCTGCGTATAAGTGTGGAGTGTCTTCTCTTGAACTCTAAGATTGATAGCTGGTTACTGACAAAAGAGAGTATCTTTTTTTTTTTTTGTGTATGTGAAAAATAATTAATGAGTTCAACATTATTCTAGGTCATATCTCATCCTTGTACGTTGATCTTTTCATCGTTGAAAGCTTAAAAGGTTCTTCAATTCAAGTTAAACTACTGTGACTCACTACCCATGCCTCATTTCACTGAAACCAATTTTCATTGCAAAAGATGCACTTTTATTCACTTATGGAATAGTTTGGCTCTCCTTTTCTGAGTCACCCACTTCTTTTTTTTTTTACACGAATAGCAGCTCGCAAGACCAATATCTACATTACCTCCTACTAAAGCTTAGCAATGAGTTTATCACAGCGAGGAAGTTAGGCCGTCCAATATCCACAAACGTCTTTATGAAGGAAACTATTTCATTTTCGAAGTAGCTTCTTAAGTTTCTTTTGTCATTTGAAGATGTGATTCATAGTAAAGCTTCTTATAGCTTGCTTGAACCCCTGTTTAATCAAGTCTTATAACATAATAAATATAACAGAAGGTTGTCTCTTAACATACTTTTTTTTTTTTTTGTAAGGGAGTGAACTCGGATGTTTTTAGTCATGACAAGTGAAGATGAGGACTGAAAAAAGAAACTTAATTAAGAGATGAAAGATAAGAAAATAAAGAAATCTAAAGAAACCAATTATTTTTGTTCAATTTGGAGGACAAGAACCAAGCGAAAGAAAAGACTTTAGTGGTGAATACATTGGTAGTTTAAAAAGGAGCATCGTCAGATAAAGCACCAGTGGGCATTCCAAATATTTTATAAAGTACAATCAAAGATGTGGGGGGATAGAGAGAGAGAGGAGAGTAAGAGTAGTATTACGTAAGTTAATCTCCTGGGAAAATATATCAGGTTTATTAACAGTGTTATGATTGTAGTCGTATTTACAACTAAGTTAATAGAAATAAACTATCATTTATTTAAATAATAAAGAGTTTATTCGAATAAACTAGTGTATTGTACTTCACAGCATAATATTCATTCTACGCTCAGTTTTAATAATAGTCATTGTAAGAGTATTCGAGAATTAAAAATAATTATACACACCGTATTATATAATAATAAGAATTCAATAGATTTATGACTGTTATATTCAATTACATAATTATTTACACAAGTCATATATATTATATATACATCCATAATGTTGTATATTGTTATAGAGGGAATATTCACTGTAAACTAATATTAACGCGTTGCTTATCCCAAAGACAATAATCGTGTATATTTTTAATATCAGCAACAGCTCAGGCAGAAATCTGCATACTGCATGCAGAGTTATTCGGAGACAAAATTTGTGCATATTCGTGCATAAAGGCTTTATTATAGCAGTATTCACTTATCTAAATCACACTCCTATCAATATGACTTACCTTATAAAAACATATAAATAGCACTCGTCATTTTTCCATATTATTTTTTCTTGCACAATTTTGGTATTATTTTATCTTCAATAAACTATACAAAGTTTTCACAGACTTGTCTTTCTTTTTTTCTCTTTCCTTATCTTTGTACTCAAAACAAACAGAATTATGTTAGATATCAGTTATTTTGGAACAGACACCAGTTCTGTGTATTGTTCACAGAGAACATATAACAATTTATTTCTTTGATACAAAACAAAAACTACATACTTCTACAGGCTGCAAAGGAAGTTGGTATTGTGTACGACACGGCTTATCGATTTAATAAGCAATGAATAGCAAACGGCGGAACAGCGTTGCCTGGTTATAAACTGGCATCTAAGGTTAAACCAAAAAAGGAATAACATTAAGATCACAGGACAGCAGCTCGTAACTCTGAAGACACGAAGGAATAACGTAGATAGTGTGTTGAGTATATTAACGAAAACAGTACCTGACGTATACGAGATTATAAATGACATTCTCACACATCACTTTGTACTTTAACAATAAGTACATCTTTTTGAGGAATCAGGCCAATCATATTCGCTGAACCAAACTATGGCTTTTCATTATTCATATTGCTTAGGTATATCAATTATCTTGAGTTAAAGTAAACTCTTAAACAACATTCGTGAGAACACAGTCTCTTTTCATACACGTATATAAACAAAAGAGGAGGATTTTTTTTTTTTTTTAGATTATCTTCAGTTTCAATTTATTCTCAACTGACTATTTTATCTTCGTGTATTTTGTTATAACTCTGTTATATCAGTATCGATTTTAAAAGAAAGTGTGTATTTATCGATGAGAGCGGATTCAAAAAGAATATGGTGCGCCCTGTAGCCTGTTCCAAGAGAGGGACACCTGCAGAAGTGGAAGTTCAACATAAAAGTATTAACTTGAGTATTCTGGGTAGCATGTCCGCATATGAATTGATTGCCCTTTTCCAACAAGTTCCAAAAAGAAATGGTAGAAAAAAAAAAGAAAATTGCTGGTACTAAGAGGGTCCTCCTTCACAGGACCAACTCGAGCCATTTTTTACTGTTTATTGAGGAATTAGTAATCACAACCTTCAACCTATGAGAAATCCGCTCTCTAGAAAACTGCCAAAATCAATGTATGCGACAAATCTTTGGTAGACGGCCTTTCACCTCAACCAAAGTAATGTTACACCTAACAAATTTACCTAACATGAAAGATCGTATTTCAATACTCCAAGCACAATTTCTTTTTAGATCCTCCTTTCTACCAAATAATGCATTATTAACGAAATTGCTACCATACATACAGTCTCAAAATAAATCAAAATGGTCCCAACTATTCAAATCTCCTCTATGGATATCAGTTTGCAATGAAAATCTTGACACTGCGTCTCATAAGGATTTTAGTAGAAAACGAAGACGATTCCTGCTTGACTGCTATCGCTCAAAACTACAAGAAAAACATTCGAAACTTTTATTTCATTGCCTATTATTCTCACGATACCAATGACAAGAAGTGAACGGCTTCGTTGTGTGCGATGACGACTTGGTTGGTTACCTCTTGGTAAACCCCCTAAGTCTTGCCCCTTCCATCCAAATGAACTCTTCACACGCTCACATAGTTTTCCTTGTTTGTATATATGCATAACCGCCTTCAGATGCCCCAAATCTATTGAAGATCCACTCTCTTATCTCTTGAACCTCCTATTACCATCAACATTCCATACTAAGAAAGTGAGAAAATCAATTGATGCCTGGCTCATACGCTGGCCTTCCATATGTGTAATTCTGCTTGAAGATGGACTATCTAGCTTCACTCCCAAATCCCTGAACCCTCTGACCATCATCTTCTTTCAATACAGTAACGATTCTCTGATAGTTAATCATCATCACTTATACATACACTTTAACATTTTCCCTTTTATATCCCAAAAGAGTTTTTTGTTCCTTTTTTTTTCCATAGCGATCTGACCAGGGCAAAACAGCATATATAAATGCTATGTGCTCATTGATCTTTTTTTTTTTTTAATTTTTTAAATAAAATTCTTCTTTAATGGTAACAGCTTCAATTACTGTGTATTTCAAATTCAGTTTCAAAATATTCAAAATATTTTTTTTTTTAAAAAAAAAAGGATCTCGATTTCAAGTGTTACTTCTTTATAATACCTCTTCCAATGCTAGACAACGATTCCTTTTTCTCTTATGTAATATATATTTATCACTCTCGTTGTCTTCTTTTCGTTTTGTTTAAAAAAAATCGATTTTTTGAACAATTCTTGTACAAATAGAAACATACTCGGAGAAGGGATCCTTTGATAAAATATTCTTTCTTATCAAGACTACTTGCGTAATATGATGTCGTTAAATAGCAGTTTAGTGTATTCATTAGTATTGTTATGTAATGATAGACATATTCACTATTTAATAGTGACGATATAACAACTGTACTTTTTCTGGTTAAAATCAGAGGATTTTTGAAATAATAAAGGAATAGCTGATAATCATAAAAAAAAAGGCAAGATCGACAATTGTTTTTTCCGCCGTCCCGTTATTGCCATTTTCTTTAATTATAGTATAAATACGAACGAAAAAAAAAAAAAAAAAAAAAAAAAAATTGCTACCTATAATTTCTTTCTTTTTTTTTTTCTACATTTTTTTCTTGCTATACAACTTTTGTAATGGGCTTAATCGATAAAATTAAAAACAGTTACGATTATTATAAAGTGGACAAATATACAAAAAGACGTACATCACAGTCTCAATTTGAGTCTCATGATCGTCGATATTATGAAAATGTATATAGGGATGGTGATTACCTGAATCCAGAGGATGTAATGAATAATAATGCATCTAAAAACACTACACATTTAGCATATCGAAACTCTCGTTGGTCTTTTCCGGAATTATTAAGGAAGTCAAGTAAAAAGCAACTTCCAGCAGTTGTTGCTAGTCAATTGAAAAATTCAGAAAATTATACTTTGGGTCGTGCCGCTTAAGTAAAAAAAAAAGAAGCGATACTAAAAAGTGTATAATTATTGTACATAGTCTGTCAGTAGGAAATAATGACCGTCGTCAGCTTTTTTTTTTCTTGTTTTGTTTTTTTGTTTTTGTTTCTTTTAGACTGAATTTTGCCGGAGCTTTAATAAATAAATGGTTATTGTAGCTATACAAGATTCTGTGTTGCCCTTTTTTTTTTTTTTTTTTTTTTTTACTATAAAAGACATTATTGTTGCCTATCTTTTGATGATTAAATATTTATTGAACAAAACCCATTTATATAAATAATAAAATAATGATGTATTGCTGGTGTTGGATCAAAACAAGGAAACTAAAACCTCTTTTGATAGTCAAAAAGGGGAGTTTTTTTCAAATGCGATTTTACTATGGGTAAAGAGGAAACTAAATTCAACTATTTCGTGTGGTAGGTGGCTTTCAAAATTTGCTAGGAGGGGAAGTGATTAAGTAGAAAAGGATAAAGGATCAGCCATGGTGTTAGGCAATTTTTAACCGGCGACGTATTTATTTATTTTTTAAATAAACAATTGAGTAAAGTTATTATCTGGAGATCACCAGGCTCAAAATAATGTGTTAAAATAGATGAATTGCTTTTTGTTCTTTGAATCGACGTACTAATTTGAATAATTTTCAATGTACCACTGCTAAAAGATCCTTTTTTTTAAGCAACTATTAAGTACATCTTGTAATAATCACTATTCAACATGAAATAGTCCAGTATAGCAAATTATTCTTTTTATTGAAGATTGTATGATTTTTGACGTGGGTTGTTTCAGCACAGCCATCAACGCTCCAATAATTAATTCTCTGCTTACAGCGCCAAACCTCAATATACACTACATAATGTATATAAACAAAGAGGACAGGAAGGGTAGAGTATAGTTATATACGCTTAAATAGTATCAAAATGTGTCAAGCTTCTCTTTGATATCAAGTGAACTTTTACTACAAACAATTATCAATAGACTCTTTTATTTTTCGAATTAATTTCATTTCCTTTGCTTGTTTGCAATTTATATCAACTTGTGTCTTGTTTTTATTTATTATTTAAACAAGCGTCTTGATAGAATTCGATAAAATAATGTTTAATCAATCTCATTACTAGTATAAATTCATATGGAAGACGTTCTATTCATATTCTTTATCTTTATTCAATAATGTTTCTCAACACGATTCATTTGTTAATATAGTATCAATTTTATAACTTGAAAGATTTTTTTTTTGTTTGTTCAAGTAAACAGTGTTGCATTATCATTTTCGTTAGTTCGGCATTTGTGAATCCACTAATAATGATCCAAAATGATAAAGTTTTTTCTCTAAAATATGTGTTTTCTCCTTTTATTTTAACTAAATACGTACAAAATATTTTAAAGAAAAATAATTAAATCATAAGCATATTTTAGCAAATGAATAATAAAAACAGACTTTAGAATTTGTTACTTAACCATCTTTGTATGATAAATGCTTATCTAATAACTCAGATGTACCACATGTTTATTGTATGCAGTATGCCATCATGTGTGCAGCATAGAGTCATATACATATACATATATGGATAAAAGTAAAATATACATTTATTTATTTCATATATGATGTTTTGGTTTTATTGTAATGTAGCTTCCATCCTATGTAGTCTCTGTCTCATTTGTTCAGTACCAAAATTTTCAACCTGAAACGATGCAAGAATATATAAATTAGTAAAGAAAAAAAAATACATTATGTATCCTTTTTTTTTTTTGTTACATTCCGTAGTATAGCAGGATAGAGGTCCCAAGACGGATTTTGTTCTTGTTGAGTAGCTTGCCATAAGGGATCATTCATGATTTCTCGATGGACCGAAGAAGCTTTCAGAACAATAAAGTCTGTCTGCTTCTTTGGGCTTTTTATAGGCTGATGTACATATCCATTATTTAAACGACGAGAAAGACTAGGGTAAAGGTCATAACTTGGCTTCGTCGTCATATAATATTCATAATAGACTCGGGGTGTAATTTCAAGCTGAGTTGCTTTCTTTGTTGTAGAAGATGTGTTTGTAGTAGTAGACATAATGTTAGTTTCTTTGGTGTTGAACCAAAAAATATATCAATATATATTGTTGAAGATTTTTTTTTTAAGAAAAAAGATAAAAGAAAAAAAAAAGAAAGAAAGAAGTTTTTTTTTTTTGACATTAAATATATAATTGTCATGATAAACAGGTGATGATATTGTATTTGTATGAGTTATAGTGCCTATTTTATAACAGTCATTTTCAATTACATATACATACATACATACATACATACAAATATTTATATATACATATTAATATTTATATTTATAATATTATATCTAAGGGGAAACTTTTTCTTAACCAAGTTGTGCTATTAATCTTCTCATTAACATTATCTTTAATTTTATAGTAAACTATATATAACCCAAAACATAATATATTGTCCATTTATAAATATAATATTTTTGAAATAAATGAAAATTTACGATTGAATAATTCTTTTTTTTTTGAAACCTATTTAGGCACATCATATAATAATATTGTATTGCTCAGAGCAGATCAAAAAAGGGGAAAAAAATAGACTAAAAAGAAAAAACCTTCAGATAGTCAAAAGGGAAAAGGTAAAGAATGGGGGAAAATGAACAGAGAACTGTATCTTCATATACTATATTGATTACTGCGTAATCAATTGATCAAATCAGTACCACGAGAGAGAGAGAGAGAAGGATGGATTTCGAATGGAATTTTACTATGGTAAAGGTGATCAAGTTAAAAAAAAAAAAAAGTATACTATATACTGTTGGCTAGTGAATGATCCACGTAGGATCAGAAGAGCTGTTTTGCGCAAAAAAAAGTAGTTTTCTAAGTTTGCTAGGAAGGTGAGTAAGATAAAAACAAAGGATTCTGCTACGGCGGTGCAATATTTAAACAGACAGTAGTATGAAATTTGAGTGAACTTTATTATGTAGGGTAAAAAAACACACGATTTTAGAATACCACCAGGCAACCAAAGGTAGATGTTTGATGACAGGCAGACCAAAAGTGATCGAATGAGATGACTTGGAATTGTTTATCAAAATTATTCATCTAGAAAACCTTGACAAATAGATTGAAAGACATGACAGTTAGAATTATCAGCATTTTGTGCATACAATTGCCATATAATGGTTGTTTGGAGGGTCAATACCATTCAAGAGTTAATTGGCTGGAGTACGTAAAAAAAAAAAAAATAATTATAATTATAATTTTATACAAATGTATATACTATATTATGTAATAATATTTCATAAGAGAATAATAATGACAGTAGAATATGAATAACGGGTATTATTGTTATAGCTGGAATATTCACTATAAATTAATATTGACAGACACATTGCTTACCTTTTAGAAATAATGATTTATTCTATTTCTAGTAAGAGAGAAAGCTTAGGAAGAATAAAAATATATCTTATTGCATGCATCATTATTCGGAAACAATGTTTTTTCACATGATTCTTTGTTAAATCAATATTTGCTTGACTAAATCATATTTCCATTAATATCATCACTTACCTTGTAAAAACATATAAATAGCTCTTAACATTTTACCATATTATTATTATTTTTTCTTCAATAAACTATACCGAGTTTTCGCAGACTTGTCTTTTGTTATATTCTCTTTATTTTTTTTTTTTTTTTTTTTTTTTTTTTTTTTTTTTTTTTTTTTTTTTTTGCACTTTAAAGCACCAACAAAAATATGGAAACTTTCTTCGAACGTCCTTGTTGAAAAAAAAATATATATACATATGTGTATATAATAATTCATAAATAGACGTATCAGTAATGCAGATTATTAGACACTCTTCGGAGATCAATAATCATGTCAGACGACAGACATTTTAAAGGGTTTTTCTATTGTGTAGAATTAGCAGACAAGTAGTAGATCTTTTCCCTTCTTTTTTTTTTATAAAAAAAAAAAATATTTATATGTTTTATTTAATCAAAATAACACGTTTCAATACAATCCAATTTTTTCCTTTTTTTTTTTTTTTTTTTGTTAAAAATTATCGGTTAAATAATTCTCTTCATCAATAAATGTCGCTACAACTGTTCTATCTGCAAATTTACGACCTGCAAGTGCACGTAAAGCCTCTAATGTTTGTTCTTCTGTCTCATATCTTACAAAGATCTAAAAAAAAAAGATATATAAAATATTAAAAACAAAACAAAAAAAACTTATCCAAATAGGTTTCACTTACTAAACCACAACCAGGTACTTGAGTATCTTTCACAGGTCTTGGAATCTTCATATCTATAATTGTACCAAATTTAGAGCATTCTTCAGCAATATCCTCCCAAATATCTAATAATAAAAAGTATCAGTTAAAAAAATGATGTTTAATTCTCAGACATTTGTAAATATTTACCTTGATATTCTTCATCATCTTCTAATTCTTCAGGGGTAACCATATTCATTAATTGTAACACTCGTGTCGCTTCCTCTTCCTTTGCACTCGTAATAGGTAAATAATCTGGAATTCCAGTATATTGATGATATTCGTGAGGGATGGTACCATGTTTAGCTCCAACGCTTGCACGTTGCACAACCAATTTACGATCACCTAGTTCCATATTATTCAAACCTTGACAAGCCAAATCAGTGACATTAGGATCAGCATATTCACAAAAGGCGAAACCTTTATTAGCACCAGTCACAGGATCTTTAACAAGATTAAAGGCACGCAATTCACCAAAGGACTTTAATAATTCGACTACTTGGTCATCATTTAAATAAATTGGAAGACCACCAATGAAGATCTTATTAGGTGTATCAGGAACATTGGTAGAGACTAAACCAGGTACAGTTGGAACATCAACATAGTCGCCCTCTGGTGGTGGTTGATAATCTTTAGGTCTACGAATCTTAAGTTGTTGTCCCTGGAACATGATACCATCCACTGCCATGGCTTGTGTGGCTTGCTCAGGCGTTTGAAATTCAACAAAGGCATAGTTTTTATCGTGATTGATTTGTACAGAAGTAACGGGTGTTGTATCTGCTAGACGAAGTTGCTCCATAGTAGCGTTAAAGAATTCAGCCATGGTCTTTTCATCAATACCAAATGGAATCTGTCCTACATAGAGACGTCTAGCTTGTCGTGCCAATGTTGTATTTACAGCAGCTGGGCCTGTAGCACCAGCTCCATGCATAACTGGATGACGGGTGTTTTGAATAACAGGAGGGGGTTGGAAGGATTGAGGGGTACGGGTGCCAACAACTTGACCAGGTAAGGGGAATAATCCAGTAGACTTCACTTGTTGAGCTGACATACCTTCCATACCAGCAGGTGCTACATCCCAATTGTGAAGTCTACGTGGTCTTTTACTTAAAGGCACTACACTTTCATCGCTACGATGACGTGAGCTTGAACTTCTTCTATGACTAGAGCGACGTGGACTTGGACTTCTTCTATGTCGACGATAATCATCTCTACTACTTCTACCGTGGCGGTCACGAGGTGAACGTTCACGTCTGTCTCTTGATCTTCGACGTCGACTGTCTCTTTCGCGCGATCGTTCACGATAACGATCTCTACTACTATGACGTCTATCCCTGCTACTTTTTTCTACATCATCTCTTCTACGATAATCATCATTACCTCCATGATAACCTAAACTTTCACTATAATGGCCTAAAAAGAGAGAGAGAGAGAGAAAGAGAGAGAAAAAGAGAGAGAGAGAAAGAGAAAGAGAGAGAAACAGAGAGAAAGAGAGAGAGAGAGAATATTGTTAATATACGTACATTATTATTATTATTATTCTAATTAGAAAAAAAAAAAAGAAAACAAATAAATTAATTTTAATTACTTACTTTTTGATTCATGTCCATAAGGATTTTCATTAGATGCATGAAGTTCTTGTCCAACAGAATTTAAAAAAGAACTAGCGAGATCTGCTGCCGATTGTTGTGGAGGAGCTAAAATGAAAGTAATGTTAATATTTTTCTATGTCTTTTAAAGAATAAAACAATTTACAAGAAGTATTTTACCATTTGAATCCCTATTCCAACCATAAGACATGTTTATATATATGTAAATATAATTAAACTTTTTTTGATTATTAAATTAGGGAAAAATATGTTTTTTTTCCCTTTAATTTTTTTATATAAATTTATATATAAAAAAAAAAAAAAAAGAAAAGAATACACCATTTATTGAAAAGATTTTTTTTTTTTTTTTTTTTTTTTTTTTTTTTTTTTTTTTACATAGTGAGGTGTGTGTAGCCTCTTTTTATTTTACAAAAGCCTATATTTTTTGAACTTGATATCTTCCGACTTTTAATTCTAACGTTATTAACGAACCATAATCCTAGCTAGTTTTTATTCTCCATCACTGATGATGTAACATGCTGAAAATTTCCCTTCTTCTGTTGTAGTTTCTCTCTTTAACAAATAATAATAATCATAACTATCTGTGTGTCTCCTTTCAATAATCACATCAATTGTCTTTTTGCCCACGATAGAAATAATGAGCAACGACATTAAATACAAACAAAATAAGGTTGAGATGCGACAAATCGTAAATGAATAATTGTATCACTTGATGATGATTGAATAACATCATAATTATGCTTTAATAGTGTACAATTAACTAGATGAAGCTCTTTCATATTCGGGATATCTATTGGCTAATGAATAGATAAATGAAGATGATACTGGTATTCCTTTTTAGTGTAAGAGCTTTCAACCGATCATTTCTTTTTGTATTAATTATCATATTCTAATAAATGATGGTGACCATGATGATGATGAACCATTTCTAAGCTTATTTGTTGATTAGAAAAGTATATGGCACCTTTATTTTTTTTCGTTCTGGAGTTATTTTCATTTCAGTACGTTCTGGGTCGCCCATGATGCACACCATTAAACGAGCCTGTACAGTCATCCTGTTTGCACAAGAAGGAGAATAGTAGTAGTAGTAGTAGTAATGAAGAGCGACAAGTTCTTCCAGATAAGAGGTGCGATGGATATGAAAACAAAGGTTTGAAAAAAAAAATCAAGACTTTTGATAAATGGCATATAAAAATCATGTTTGAAGAACTGAATAACGCCCTGCCTTTCAAATGTTGGTATCCTCTTGATTTTAATCTCAAAAATGAATCGTTTGAGTTGAGTAAAATGAGTGACGATAGAGTCAAATGAAACGATAAAGAAATGGGGGTAAATAGATGTCTAACCTCAACCATGGTTGAATAATAATGAAAAGACGTAATAGACATGGTGGTGCTATAGTCGTCAAAAAAAAAAGGGATGATCTAATTGAAAAAGTTTAGCTTTCTTAGGACCTTTGGCATATCTTTAATAGTATGAAAAAATGAATTAAATATTGGCTATTGCTGCTTAGAATTAAACAATTGTTGTAACTGTGGGAAACCGGACAAGTAATGAAAAAAAAAAAAAAAAAAAAGATGGCCAACATGCTTTTGAATAGATGAATCAGACAAACAACCAAATAGTTAATTCAGTCAACCTATTGCTGATACAGGTAGGCTGCTTTATATACGCATATATATAAATGTATGTAAAACATTCTCTGTAGGAAAAGCATGCTAGTTGGGTAATAAGGGAGTTAGTTGTTGAAGAGTGAATAGAAAAGGGATATTGCCAATAAACAGAGTTTACATGCATAGACGACTCTTTCAAGGTTGCAACATAATTTTAGTAGGCCTTTGAAATTCTTCTTTGCTAATAATAACAGTAGGTTCCCTTACCCCATTTTTTTTTCTTGAATATGTATCAATCTAATCCAATCGGCAACTTTTAATGGAGGGTAAAAGTGTTTAAACCCTCCTTTTGTTGAATTCTTAGTAGTATCATTTATATAAATAGTTTTAAAAGATAAAGTTGCCCTGAAAGATAATACCATGATTTGCAGACAGACTAGTGTTAGACAAATATATGTGTTATAAATGATTAGCTTTTGTATGCAATGTGTGCGATTAGAAGAAGAAGTGAGTCGGAAGATGAGAAAAAACATTAGAATAATGTACTTGTATAGATTGTAAGACAAGTATAAAAGTAAACTGCAAAGTCATATTTATTAAATTATTTAGTTTGATGCCTTGTTATTTTATTTTATTTTAACTCTGCTATACGAGGCAATATCAATGGATGTACTTTTCTTGTAACTTGACTGGTTTTTGCTATTGTCCTTTTATTATTATTTGATGTGTAATCATCATCATTATCATCCTCATTTTGCTTTGATACTGCTTTAACAGTTGATATTTCGATACTTTTCTTACTTTCATGTTTACTATGCTTGCGTAATATCTTTTCGATTCCTCCATCCTTCGTCTTCTTATCAAACAAGTAATGTGCCTTTCCCTTCTCGTCTAAAATATAGTTGGGATCTTCAATTTGTCCAGATTCAATCATAAATCTATAATAATTAGAACACTGCAAGACTGTTTTATTAATAAAAAAAAAAAAAAAGAGAGAGAGAGAGATGTGTGTGTGTGCGTGTTTTCTCTTTTCCCCCTCCCTATTATTATTTTTTATAATAACTGACCTGATATCCTACTCTTCCAGGAATCGCTATTGAAAATAGGCCCCACTGTGAATTAGCACCCATCTCAGATAATCTTTGCATAAATAATTTAGTTTCTTCTTCAGTCCATTTACCCTTTCGTTGCTGTTCTCCTGGTGCATTAAATCGATAATAATAACTATTCGGGTTTCTTTCAATCATTTTGTAGGCCCTCTTTCTTGCTTCTGACCAACCCGAGAAGGGATCCTGTTGCTGAGTGTCACGTAACTGTTGAAGTGCATCATCTAATGCCAGACGACCCATTTTTGATTTTTTTAACTGTACTTTAGTTGTATTGACATTCGTATCGACTTTTTGTGTTATCTATTTACATATGTATATATATAAAGGAACCAATAAAATTGTAATGTATATATATACATACATACATACATATATATATATATATTTGTATATATTTATGTATATATATATATATGTTTCTTATACGTATAGACTTTACTTTATTATTGAATAGCTGAACTTGTTCTACCACTAATACCGGATTTCTTTTTGTTTTTTCTTTCTTGAATAGCCTGTTAGCTCCTATCTTAGTGTGTGACAGTTGTTGTACTGTAGCTATGGTATCATCACTGGGTTTTTCATTTTTACAACAAGATAAGAAAAGTCTATGTTTTATTTTATCTTGTATAGACTGCAAATAATTAGATTGTGTCATCATCCGTAAAATAGCTTCTTCCTATGTATTTATTGATTGTATGAATAGCAATGAGTGAGTATTGTGTATACATGCATATGGTGTATATCCATACTAACCTCTTTATCTTCACAATCAATCAACATTTCTTTTATTTCTTCTGTTGTTAAATAATTAAACATAGACTGTAAAAAAGAATTTTTACTAGATGATGGATTATCATAAAATTCAGGAGTCGTTTGTTTAAATAAAACTTTTTTTTTTTTTTATTATTGTTAAGATACTCGTATTCTCTTTTTTTTCTTTTTTTTTTTTTTTTTAATCACGCTTACTATCATTTTGCTGCTGCTGCTGTTGCTTTTCTTCTTTTCGGTTCTTGTATAATAATTCAACCACTTGTTTCTTTGTTTTTACCATTTGTGGGAAATTAAAAAAAAAAAGAAAAGACCAAGAGACTTTGAAAGCAAAAACAGAAAAAAAAAAAAAAAAAAAAAAAAAGAGGCTATTATAAAGTCACATATAAAGTAATACAAAACGATTTTATGTATGGTTTAAAAATGAAGTTTTTTCTTTTTTTTTTTTATTGGAGTTTTTTTTTCCTTGTATTTAAATAAAATGAATAAATAATTAATAAAAATAAGAATACGTTTTTTGTATTTTAATATAACTGGAGTGGGGTGGGTAGGTGGGTGTTTTTTTTTTTTTTTGCACATTATAAATAAAATGCTTGAGTGTTAATTGTTGGTTGTTGTTGTTTTCTTTTAGTTCTTTTTTTTTTTGGGAAGGGTGGGTGATTTTTTGTTTTGTTTTACAAGTCTAAATAAAATGAAATTTTGATGAAAAAAAAAAAAAAAAAAATAAAATAAAATGAAAAAAAAGGAGGAGGAGGTGGTGGTAGTGGTGGTGGTGGGGTTTGGGTTATTTTTTGTTGTTGCAAATGTGTGTATTTTTTTTTTTTTTCATTCTATTTTTTTTTTTAAAAAAAAAGCATAGAATAAAGATAATAATAGGTATGTACATGTCAGAGATAAATGTTTATAACAAAGGAGGAAATGAGGAGAAATGATGAGAGATTTTTTTTTTCGTTAGAAGAGTGGATCTAATAAATGAGCAGCAGAAGAAAAATGATCTTGAAAGTCTTCTTCAAGTTTAACTAAATCTTGATTTGCTGTATTTGATGAAAGAGAAGGAGACATAAGGGAGTCATATTTCATTTCATTATCAAGTAACATAAAACTGTCATTGACAGGTGGTAACATAAAGGAGTCATAAAGGTCAGTTTCGGTATTGAAACCAAAAATATCAGCTGTAACAGGTGGACTAGGTGTACAAGCAATACTATTAGATGAAGAAGAAGTATGACAACTGGATTCATCAAAGGGTGAGAAACGGGCATCTGAATAGATGGAATCATAAGATGGAGAAATCATAGGGTCTTGATCAGTTTGATGATTCATGAAAGAGGAGGTGGTAGTATGAGTGGTAGATGGATTTAATTTGAGTTTAATAGTTAAGCCACTATTTTTACTTGAAGATGCTTCATCGTCCAGCGAGAAACAATGACCCATTGTTGTTGTTGTTGTTGATTTGCGGCTGGTAGACGACGATGATGATGATGATGATGTCTTTTTAGTCTTTTTCTTTTCAAAAAGAGCATTTTGAGCATTTAAGGCAGATACTGTTAAGGGTGTAGGTGGTGAAATTTTAAAGAATTGTTCTTGCTCAATTGTATCAGATGATATCATTTGAGTAGAAGGAATACGTGAAGAATATTTACGAGGCTTAAGAGAAGGGGTAAATTTTGTACGATAGACATCCAAAGCTCTTTGAAGTAAACTCCTTTTTCCAGCCAAAATTTTAGGATTCAGATAGGCCTAGAATTCAATTCAATTCAATTTAATTAATTTAATCTTATCCTATGTCTTTATTTACTTACCAATTTCCAACATAGTTCATTACAAAGCGTATCCTCATTCCATCTTGCTTGACCACCTATATATTCTTCTGGCAACATAGTGAATACCTTTGGAAAAGGACAATTTTGTTTACGAAATTCTTCTGAAATCTCATCCAAGGAGATGGATTCGATATTGATTTTGATTCTATAGCGATTCTTTGTCACAATATCGTCAATAGCAATCGTCTTGGGTTGATGGACAGGCTTGGTTATGGCAGCTTCTAATGATGGCTGTTGATTCTCAGAACTTGATAGAGTCATCACAATAGGATCACATTCTTTATTTTTTCTTTTACGGAGGGTTCCATTTAATAATTTCTCCTGACGTGCAACACGTCGTGATCTCATACTTGGATATCGATTACGATATGAATCTACAGCGCGTTGAATCAAACCTCTTTTACCTGCAATTTCTGTTTTATTTAACCATGCAAGTTTCCAGCCTAAATCATTACATTCCGTTTCATAGGCCCATCTATTTCCTTTATAGCTTTCTTTTGGAAGATTTGCACGAGGGTAGACCTATATTTTAGATGTATAAGAAGAAGAAAAAGAAGAAAAAAAAATTTTTTTTTATCAGCCACCAAAAAAATAAAATAAAAAATAAAAAATAAATCAACATACACAATTCTCGGTCTTGAATTTATCGTCTACAGCATCCAAAGCAACGTTATTGATATCTGTTCTGATTGAATAGCGTTTAAGAGTACGATTATGAGAATAGACAAAGGAAACCCATTCAATGCCATCCTTCATTTCAGAAGTTGGTTCGTTTGAGGTTGATACATTCGTGATCGTTTTAGATGGAGCAACGGTGGTGGTTGTAACTGCATTATTGGTTTCAGCCATTGTGGGTGTGTGGAGAGGTGGAGAAAGTTGCATAGAAGCAGCTGAAACCATGGCTGCCGCTAATGCATTGGCGATCGCAGTAGCTGAAGCTGAAGCTGAAGCTGAAGTTGAAGCTGAATTTTCTTCTTCTACCACTATTCGATGAGAGGTGGATGATGGCTTATTTAATTTTCTTTTCTTTACACGATTAATTGTATTTTCAATCATGACAATTTGTTCAGCTGTAAGACTTTCTAAAATAGATTCTGCCTTACTTGGTGCATTAATCAAATCTTGTAATAATAATGTACTGGCTGGTGATGAGATCATAATAAATGAGAATAGCCGGGTCTTTTATTTTATTTTCTGGTATGTGTTTATATGTCAATAAATCTCGTTTATTTTATACTGAGATCATAAAAATGTCAATACTAATTTGACTTTATAAAATAAAACTGTTGTCAAAGAAAACAAGAAAGAAAGAAAGAAATTAAGAAAAAGAAATACACAAAATTATTTCTTTTATATAAATGGGGGTTTATTTTTTCTTTTCTTTTTCCTTATTTTTTTTTCGTTTAATGAATAAATAGAGAAAAGAAGAAGAAGAAAGAGAAAGAATAATAAAAAGAAAAAAAGTTTTCATACACATAAAAGTGGGGAAAATCTAAATATATACTACCCGCCAAAGAAATTAAGGTCCACAAATTCGGGGTTTAAACTAATAATTATGATTCAATTTTAGCTTCAGCAGCAAAAACTTTATTGTAAAATAGTTTATGACGGCTATGTGTAACGTTGAGTAAAAAAGAAAAGAATAATATAGATCTTTTTTTTTTTTTGTTCATTTTACTTTATTGTTCCAATTCATCTTTCTTTACTTTAGTAAGCTTCATTATCTTGCAATTAAAATAAATCTAAAATCGAATATGTATATATAAGTAAAACCATGGAGTAAAAAAGAAATAACAATAACTAAAATATTGGTTTCCCGATCTTTCCGTGAATAGCCGAAAGGTGAAGTAGGTGGTAAACAGACGGTTAGCAGCAACAGACAAAGAAAATAATAGCAGTAAATAGTACTACTTTAGTGGGCAACCTATTTTTTTTTTCATAGGACTTGTTTCTCCGAGAAGGAAGAACCTATTTATTATGAATTCAGCTGTTTTCCCTCCCTTCCCTAATTTTTCTTTTAAAGAAATATGGCATTTGATATGAAAGAATGTTTATTATTTTATATAATTAATCATTGTTACGTAGTATGATTTTATTAATAACAATCAATATTTCATGTGATATAACAATAATAATTGAAACTATTCGATTAGGTAATTTCTTATTATTTGCTACTGTAAGTTTTTTTTTTTTTTTTTTTGCACGCGTCGTTGTTAAAAGTGAAAGAGACAGGTTTTCCATGTGGAAATCGAACACAAACTATCTATAAAAAGTCAACTGTATTACAATAAAGATATTATATGGTCTGATAAAAGGAAAGAGAGTGAGTTTTATGTGGGGAAAATGAAAGGGTATATGAAGATCAAATAATACAATGACACTTTTTTTTTATGTTTTATTCTTTTTATATAACAAAAAAAAAACTATGTTTAACTTTACCAAACCTTGTATTAAAATAACTAATAAAAGACAGCTCTCTGCCTCTAAAATACGAATTGTTATTGATTATCTAATTAGATTATGATTAGGTACAAAAAACGGCGCTGTAAAAAAAAACTTTTTTTTTTTTTTTTTTTTTTTTTTTTTTTGGTTGCTGCCTTCATTTAAGCAAAGTTACACGATGAATGTTTATTCATATTTTTTCTTTTTTTGACCGAGGATTTTATGAATATATAACAATTGTAATTATCCTCTTCTGCTAAAAGATTTTATTTAATACTTTAAAAAAAAACAAAATAAAATTTTAGCCATGAAATATAATAAAATGAAGAAAACTTACTACCAGCAAATTATAGCAAGCGGTATAAGAATGTGTAATTATAATTTATTATTATCATAATATTAATATTTATATATGTATATGTATATATCTCTTTGGCCTATTTCACCTTTCTTATTCTTTATCATTATTAAAGGAAAGAATGTATATAGATTAAAATATCAAATCTGAGCACTCAAGTAGTAGCAATTACTATAACAAAAATGCCTGTGTATAATAAGTATAACAGTAACACTAAAAAAAAAAAAAAAAAAAAAAAAAAAAAAAAAAAAAAAAAAACTTTGACGGTTGCTACTGGTAACAAATAAAAATTACGTCGGTAAAAATGGAAACAAATTTATCCCTTAATAATAGTATTATAGTAGTAATGTAGACTACTATAAATTAAAGTTGGTTAGGTTGTAAATTGTTATAAGACCGTGCTTCTTTATTTACTGCTTGTATTACTTTGTTTTGCATTTATACAACTTATGCATATTTAAATATTTTTTTGACGGATCCACTCTCTTTTATTTTCTTTTATGCAAAACAAGTAACAATTTAGGCCATGAATTAAGCTTGAAGAATGTATACATTGAATGTAAATACAAATTTGCTGTTGTTCTAGTTGATACAAATAAATAATTTCAGCATATAAAGTCCATCTTGAATTATTCTTCTATCTTTCCCCTTGCCCTTTTTTTTTTCTTTATTTTTCTTATTTTCTCTCTCTCTCGCTCTTCTTCATATTAAACCATGTTTCGTTCATTATCTTTTATAGTTTCTACTTTACTTACCCTATCTACATTTACATATGCTATGCCAAGGATGCTTTTTCCTGATGCCCCAGTAGTAGATAATATAGATCAGTGTCGTGGTAATGGATGGGAAAATGATGTTGTAAGATTCTCTAATATAATAAATGCTTAAAAAATAAAAAATAATAATAAAAAAAAAGGCGGAAGATACATTGCTTATTATATACATACATACATGTATCTATATTTATTTATATAGTTGACAAGATTTACTGGTATTTTTTTTGGTGATTTTTATACAGGAAATGCAAAGTCTATTTCAGGATCACTTGCTGTTCAAGGAAGTTTCCATGCTCCTAATTATGTCATAAATGCAAACCATGGAGCAGATTGTAGTAATTTAAATTCATTTAATTCATATGGCTTAGTTGTTGGCAGCTTGGTAGATACGTTCAATACACGTGTCCATGGTTCTGCTTATATAGCTGGTGGTGGAAATATAGAAGAAATCTTACAATTAGATGATGGGTGCATCGTCACAGGTCAACAGGGAACTGGTTTCTTTAATTTCACTACTGTAAATGAATTGCTCATAGATTCCAACAGAAGATTTGCCGATTTTCAACCTACTCTTATTTTGGATGAAAGTGGTGGACTATTAACGTTGAGTGGGAGTGAGCTACTCAATTATGAAGTCGTTACCTTCCACTCTTGTAACGGCTTTACATGCAGTCAATATTTTAGTCTTGAATCAGATGCCTCTGCCATTCTTTTTGGTGATACTTTTTGGAATGGTGTTCTGGAAACAGAAATCAATCCTGATAAAACTTATATTTTGAATGTATGTACTTTGCCTTTTTATTTTACTTGTAGATCTCACTGACAGAGTTTTTTTCTTTTCTTTTCTTTTTTCTTCTTCCATTACATTAGATTCCAGTTTTAAATGGTGATATTGTTATACTGGATGGATTCAACACGATTCGTGGATTCAATCCTTGTAAAATTATCTTGAACCTCTATCCTGTAGATGAGAATGGCCGTTATTTATCAACTGGCGAGTTTACTCTCCTTCGCAGAACAGCTTATCAATTAAGTGGCTTTATTTTAGCTCCTAGAGGTTTGTTTCCCAAAAGAAAAAAAAAAAAAGGGGGGGGAAGAGGCTGGAAAGGGGGTAAATGGTCTATAAACAAATAGTTATATTAAATTGTTATGACGTTAGGACATATTGTTGATGGATCTGTTGGAAGCTTTTCAGGATCTATTATAGGCTTAGATTATACTTGGGAAAACATAAATGTAGGTGTTGATATTCAAGATTATCATTCCTCTGGCGGTATGTGTGATCAATATATGGGTTGTATACCTACTCATCAAGACTCTACACCTTTGACTCCTATTCGTGCTCTCAATCCAAATACTACCACAGTAGCTCGTACTGCTACTTGGTCAACTACTTATTTAAGCCATGATATGAATACAAATCCTGTTCTTACCTATAATGCTATGGCTACTAATACTAACAGACATAATACCCCCTCTTCCCCAACTCATGTTATATCAAGAAAAAAAGGAAGAAAAGATTCAGATAAATATTTAAAGAAGCATGCTGGTCATCGTCATGGTCCTAATGACGAGTGTTACGAAGATAGTGATGATGAGGACAACGACGACGACGACGATGAAGAAGAAGATGATGATTAAAAATACAATAATGTCAAGAAAACTATTAAAGAACATTATATTATAGCCCTAGAGATTTTTTTTTTTTTATATAAATATTTATCATTTAATGCACTTACCTTTAATAAAAATTAATTGATTGCAAATCATTTAAGCTCAGATTCGAGTGTATGCAATTTCTAGTATCCAAAGCTAACTTGAGGAAGTTTTTTTCTTTTTTTCTTTTTTCCCCTTCCTTTTGAAAACATCTTGTGGTATAATTCAAATGAATCAAGGCACAACAAACTATATGAAACGACATTCATTTAATTCATTAAATAGTCAGAATGTAAAGACTGACTCAGACACGCTGAATGCTCAAAATTCATCAACACACCAATATAAATATTCAAACAGAATGCGAACTCAAAGACGTTATGCTACTCCTGAAGAAAGTGAAGCTGTGTTCCCAGTATTTACTACCCCAACTGACATGTACTTGAACTTCAATTTTAGTTCTCAATCTAATTATACTCCTTCACCACAAGCAGCTTATCGCTCTTCACCATACCTTCCGCAAAATTATAACAATTATGAGCAGCAATCTAAAAGTCCTTTGAATAATACTTCAATTAGAAGCTCATCATCCTATCCATACAATAGACCAAGAGGAGAGGTGAATAAATAAATAATGTAATTCTGTCTATTCCCTTTTTCATAGCTAACTATTTTTACTTTGTGTGTGTGTGTGTGTATTGTGATTAGTCAAACCCTGTTAGACCCAACTTGAACAGTTTTGCCAATGTAAGAAAAATTAAAGTAATCATATAGTTTGAATTTAGATCTTTAACTTGGATGATTCTAAAACTCTTTTAGACATCGAATGGGTCATCATCATTTTCAAGTACATCTTCAACAACCTCTATAGATACTTTATTAGCACAATTATTAGAAATGGGTTTTACTCTTGAGGCATCCAAGGCAGCTATAGCAGTAAGTGGAGGAAGTGATTTACAGAATACACTTGATATTCTTATTCAAGGTAATCATAAAACCGAAGCATCTGGGGATAGTTATCAAGTTTCATCAGAGGAAGAAGATGAGGAAATATGGAAAAGAAAACAAGAAGAACGTCGAAGAGAATACATCAATCAACTTAAAAGAAACAAGCCTACACCACCTACACCCCCTTATACTACCAAGTCTCCAACACCATCTCCTCATGTCAGTACGACAACGACGGCCACGACCACGACCACGACCGCGACTCCTAATACGCCTCCACAGATAGATCCAGCCGTCCTCTATGCAGATAATGAGAGGAAACAAGGTAATTATTTATTTAACAAGGGTCAGTTTGTCGAGGCAGAGGCAGCCTATACGATTGCCATTCGTTCCTTACCTGCAGGTCATGGTGATCTTGTGTTGCTTTGCAATAATCGAGCTGCAGCGCGATTAAAGCTAGGTAAATATAAAGAATGTTTAGAAGATTGTGGATTTGCTGTGAATATTGCTCAATTCCATATCAGTCACTCTACACCTTTATCTCCCATCATGACGAGTACTTCCAGTACGATGAAATCTCAGTTGATTAAAGCATTACATCGCAAGGCATGCGCCTTGGAGGGTTTATGTTTATTCGAGGCTGCTATTCAGGCTTATCAAGAATATATCCAATTAGATGGTTCACGTACTGTTCAAGTTACGCAAAGCATACTTCGCTGTCAACAGGCGGCCCTATTTAAGAGCCAAACTAAACAACAACAACAACAACAAGAATGGAAAACCTCTACTTTTAAAAATGATACGAATGAAAGCGCCTTCCCAGATATCGATTTTGATATGTTTATACCAAAGAAATCGACAAAGCTTACACAGGCTGAATTAGATGAAATTAACAAAAGTAAAGCAGTACAAGAGATGCGAGAAAGAGAAAAGAAGAAAGAAGCAGAGGAAGCAGAGAGGTTTGAAAAGGAAGATAAAGTGAATCATCAACTTAAAGTATGGATATCGGGTAAAGATAAAAACTTGAGGGCACTATTAAGTTCATTAGATATGATTTTATGGCCTGGAGTTCAATGGAAAGGGGTGATGATGAGTGAATTATTAGATGCAAAAAAATGTAAAATGACTTATATGAAAGCTATTGCAAAAGTACATCCTGATAAGGTAAATAAATAATAATAATAAAAAAGGGAATACTTCATTTCAAATTAAGCCTTCTCATCATTACTTTCTTATTTTAGCTTCCAGCAAACTCAACTGTTGAACAACGTTTGTTAGCAAGTGGCATTTTCACAGCTTTAAATCAAGCCTGGGATGTTTTTAAGACAGAGAATAATTTGTAATAAAATATACCCTTCAACTTCAAACGATGTTAGTTATTTTCTGGACGAATCAAAATTAATTTTCAGATGAATAGAGATTTAATGTTTAGACTTTTTTTTTTTATCTACTAGACATCCAATAATGTTAGGATGCTAACTGATAATTGCCAAATAATAATTTCTGATCCTGTACGCCGAGACACAGTGGATGAAGGTTGAAAGATGTAATTCATCTTAGACTATAAGGATTTCCTTATAGAACTGACCCTTCCCTAATATAGAATATTACCTGTTTCTGTTTAAATTGACAATTATATTTACTTTCCTTTTTTTTTTCCTTCTTTCTTTGAGAATCCTGTCGCATTTGATCCAAATCCCAAAGAGACACTTATCATCTCTAGAAGGAAAGATTAACTTCAAACTTACTTAAAAATATATATATATATAGAAGAACACACTTTGCTTTTAGTGTGGAAAAAATTGCCCTAATCAATGAAAGCAATATCAAGAGCAATTTCTTACAATGGACGAAAGCATAGAATCATCTACAGAAGATGAGGATTTGGAAATGGCTTCTTCCTGAGTTTATTTATTTATTTTATTTTATTTTATTTTATTTTATTTTATTTTATTTTATTTTTTTTTTTTTTTTTACTCTTCTTACCCTTTCTTCTTTTTATTTATCATAAGTAATTAAACGTAGATCCTTTAAAAGTAATAACGATTAAAAGCTCTCTATATCTGGGATAGGGTCGAAACCCGAATACCTCCCAAGTCTTGAAAAAACTCGTGCGCACCATAAACACGCTTGTGATTCACACTTTTGCTCTAATCAAATTTATATTCATCAGTGAATTAAAAAAAAAAAAGATGTGAAGCGTTCGATATCGAAAAAAAAAATATACTTCTACATACATTTTTTTTTTTTTTTAAAAAAAAAAAAAAGACAATTTCTTATATTTTCTTTCGCTAGATGTACAAATCAAAAATGTTTAGTGTCTTCTCGACTCTGGAACAGAGACTTGGCTACCGTTTTGAATTTTAGAGATATTGTGTTAAGCCACAAGCAAGCCTCTAGATTCAAAAGGGAAACATCTGATACTCTGGTTACCCATGACACACAGTGAGCGTAGTCGAATTATTCGCTGGCGTCTTGGTTGGCTGCCCGGAGGAATACCTAAAGCCTGCCCATATCATCCTTATGTACATTTTTAGTCGGTCACATACCATTGAATGCTTGCACATGCACACCCTTTTATTCTTGCCACGATCAATTGCAGAACCCCTTTCCTTTCTTTTAAATCATCTCCCTCAGCATAAGCACCGAAATTCTCAGGTTGTTTCTGCCTGGCTCTATCGTTGGTCAGTTATGTGTACCATTCTACAGGAAATGAATTACTTAATGCACGATAAACTACCCCCTCCACTTCTTGATCCAGGCAGGAAATGACTCAACTGGTTGTCTCTTTAAACTTGTTAGCACTATTCCCCCTTTCTTTCTCATCTTCTCTTCTTTACCTTTTTACCTCTTGTCCCGTAAGAGGGCTTTTAGATACTTTTTTTTTTCACATAATTTGAACTGACCTGGGCAATCCAATATAACAAAGATATTATGTGCCTATAGGTCGCTTTCTAATTTTTAATTTATAAAAATAATAAAAAATGTTTAATCGTAAAATATACCCTCTTATGATAACAATTGAAAATCCGTCTGAAACTTGTTTATGCTCTTATTTTTTATATACAAATACATTCATTTTTATTTTATTTTTTTTTTTTTTTTTTTTTTCACTGCCTTCACATGTCATCTATTACTATAAACATTAATGATTTCTCTAAACCTAATTTCAATGCAAAACAGTGGATTAATTCAACCTTAAAACCTTCATCAACAGAGAATTCAACAACCGAAATAGATAATGAAGACGATGGAGGAGGAGGAGGAAGAGCCAAAGATACTACGATACTTGTGACAAAACTTGAAATTGAAAGTGAATCAACATTACAACGCTTTGATGAACTCTCCAAGACTCTTTTAAAATCAATGCCACATCTATTGTATGACCTTAAAGTATTAGCTGATCAAGTCAGGGGGACTCAAGAAGAAATGGAATCGATTAGAAAAAAATTTGGATTATTCAAGGATGAAGACACGATGCTTGAGGAGCGCTTACGTCGACCTCATCTAGCAAAGACGCGGATGGAGGAATGTCGACAGCTGTTACTGGAGGAGTCTAATCATTTAGAGAAGATAAAAGAAGAACAAGAAAGTCGAAAAAGGGAGACATTGAGGAAAGAAGAAGAAGAAAAAGAAGCAAAGGTAGAAGAACAAGAAAAGGCGATAGCTGAAGAAAAGCAGATACAAGAACAAAAGGAAGAAAAAGTGGAAGAGATAATAAGACAAGAGGAAGAAGAAAAGAATGAAGAGTTATCTGAAGAACAAAAGATGATGAATGAAGCATTAGAATATGGACATGTCATGTTACCACCCTTAAGACAGTCAATACCAAAACCAAGCAGTATACAACAAATCCAAAACCAAGCAACAACATCAGAGCATAATGAGAATAATAATAGTTATTTACAACAAATTTCTGTATCTGTGACGCCTCAAGTCAGTAACGTATTTAAACGAATTGGCGTGCCTGTAAGTAAGATAATATTGATACATGTATTAAAATTGACTCCATAAATTAACTGAGTAAAAAAAAAAGTTGGACAAATTTTGGCAGTCCTGATGTAATAGATTTTGACACTGGAGTTTTTTTTTCTTTTTAGCATTCTTATCTAATAAACGTATTTATTATAAGACTAGACACGATTATTATAGAAGGAATAATGGAAACGGAAATTAGAAATGACACTGCGGAATGTAACTTAAAGTTAGATCAAATAAGTACAATATCCTTAAAATATATCGTTGTATATTTTACATATTTTAATAATCGTTGTTAAACTTTAAAGTCTATTTCATCTTAAATATGTTAACGTTCTTAATAAAATATGAAAAAAGACTGTTAATGTTAAATTTCAAAGAATGTTTTAATAATAATAAAAGAATCAAGTCTTTACGATTTTTTATAGTTTATTATATATATACTCTAGCATTTTTCTCTCTTTTTTTTTCTTTTGTTCTTTCTCTCTTTTTTTTTTTGAATTATACACTAAGATGGAATATCATGATCCTATAGAACACATACTTTTAATTAAAAGATATATTACAAATACCAGTAAAAAGACAAATAATATCAAGGTAAGGTACACTTATATATATTATTAATTTATTGTTTTGTTTGTTAAAAGAGAAATTGGGAACATAACTAGCTTTTTATTATAGGAGCTTTTGAATATATTAGAGCAATTACAAAGAATCAAAGTTACAGCCAATGTATTAAGGGTAAAGTAGAGTGTTGTATATGCTATATGTATATATTTATTTATTTATTTAAAAAAAAAAGTTATATACACTAGTCATGGAGAAAGGCGTTAAGATAGACTAATATACTAATTATATACACTCCCTTTATATATATATATATAAATATAATATTAGAAAACAAATATCGTACAAAACGTTAAAAAACTTAAAGAATCTAATCATCCAAAATTATCAAAGAAGGCTAATAAAATTATTAAAAAATGGAAAAGGGATCTTAAGGATGAAAAAGAAAGTAAAAAAAGATTGATTGGACTCTTTTTGATATCTTCAAGACATGCATCATCAAGTTCATGTAAGAATATATATGTGAGAGTTATGATATTTATTTATCCTTTTTTTTTGATATTTTAGCTATCTCTTCAATGTCTTCAATGTCTTCAATGTCTTCAAGTGATTCAGAAACTTCTTTAACAGCAAACTCATCGACTCCAATTGAAAATAAACGTACAATTCAAACAGATAATATAAGTTTCCTTAGTACTGGGAATTCAGCTCGAGATAAAGCAACTGAATTATTTTACTCTTCTATTGGTTTAGATAGCATTGCAAGTAAGTATACATATATATATATATATATATATATGTGTGTGTGTGTATGTGTATGTGCTTATTATTTTATATACTACAATAGGTCCAGAGTTATTACTTCATCGTGCTATTAAGATTGAAACTAAAATATTTGAATTATGTAATGAATTTATTAATACCACTTACAAATTAAAAATTCGTTCACTTGCTTTAAACTTGAAAAGTAATCCAAACCTAAGGGAAAGAGTGATAAATGGTGAAATATCGAGTGACAAGTTATGTAAAATGAGTACTGAAGTAAAGTTGAAACTATTTCATATATAAAGCTGCATCCTATTTATAAGTCTTTTTTTTTTTTTTTTTTTTTATTTTCATTTAGGATATGGCTTCTGAAGAATCTAAAGAAAGAAATCAAAAATTAGCAGAGGAAGCATTATTTAAAGCAAGAGGAATAGTCATGTCTGAAAAGCAAGCAGAAACTGATATATTTCAGTGTAAAAAATGCAATAAAAGAACATGTATTTATTTTCAATTACAAACAAAGTCTTCAGATGAATCTACGACAATTTATGTTTTATGTGTTAATTGTTCTCATCGCTGGAAGGTAAGTATCCTTTCCCCCCCTTTATTCAATATGAATATCATAAAGAGTCACTTATTCTAATTTTTTTATTTTTATTTTTTTTTAGTTCCACTGATAAACTCACATTTTAATTTGTTAAATTGTATTCAGAAAATTTGAAATTTATTATATAATAAAATGAAAAAGTCAGCAGAATGCTGCTATATAAGCGTTTTTTCCTTTTTTTTTTTTTTGTTCAAGGGGAGTGGAACATGATGTTTATTGCTTGTTTAAAAGAATGATCTTATTTGTCTCAATGGAACCTTTTTTTTTCTTAGTGTTCAATAGTAGAATAAAATTAAGATGTTATTATTAGTCTGTAGAATACAGAATATATTATTTATGACAACCATGTGCTACATTTCCAAAAGAGTAGTATTTAGTTGTAAAAGCTGCTTACTACCAAGAGGTATATTATTTAGCTTGGATATTTTTATTTTTATTTTTTTTTTTTTAGATCCTGTCAATGTATTTATTTATTTATTAAAATGAAGGCTATAAATAAGATATCTGTTTCTGTATTAATTAAACTTTCTTATTTCTTTATTTTTATTACTAGTCTTTGTATTTTTACTACTATTACTATTACTACTGCTATTGCTATTGCTACTGCTACTGCTACTACTGCTTGAAACGATCTATATAATAAAGTCTTGCTCTTTCTGTACTATCATTATTATTATCTTCTTTTTCACTACTAAACTTCAGCTATAGCAACTCCGCTTATTTTAGTTTGTTAATAATGTTCCTTGAGTTCTCTCCGTGATATTATTATATTATCGTGACTCTATTTATTAGTTTATTAAATTCTAATATAAAATAATAGGAATTGCTTCTTTTTTTATTTTTATTTTATTTTATTTTTTATTTTATCTATCTTTGTTTTTTTTTTCTTCTTTTTATAAATATAATATCAAATATGACAAAGGACCTTGATCATATGCTAAAAAATTTAGAAAAGCAAATAAAAGACTTTACTTTGGTACATATGAGTCTCCTTTTTTTCTTTTCTTGTGCATAACAATTTCCTCCTTTTCTTTTCTTTTTCTTTTTCTTTTTTTTTTTTTTTAATAATAATAATCGCTTTTTTTCTTTCTTAGACAATGGATAACCACCAACCTGTTGATACAATAGAGTCGTTTGGTTCAGGTACATTACTTTTTTTTATTTTTATTTTTATTTATTATTAAGAAATAAAAAAAAAATCTCAAAAAGAGTTAAACCTATCATTTTAATATAACATAGAAAAACATGACCGAAATGAGAATACAACTAGGAATTCAGACGATGTACCTTTACAACTTTATTATTCTAAAACCCATGCTATGCATGAAAATAAGCGTACATTTAAAGAAGAAAGTATGTCTACAGCTAGAGTCTTACAACGATCTCAAACCGCCCGTCGACCTGTTAATGTGAATACGGAGATGAATAAATTAAGCCAATCAAAATCAATGAGAGCACCAGCTGGAAGAAATAATAAATACAATAAGGAAAATGGTCATCTATCTGCTGAGGATGAAGAGCTTCGATTAGCTATGCAAAGAGCTTGGGCTGTATTAGAAACAAATAATAATAATGAAAATGGAATGGCAGAGGTAATAGATATATTTAGAGGTTCCCTATTTTTTTTTTTTTTTTTTTTTTTTTTTTTTTTAAGGAGACGAAATAATAATAATAATAATGTTTTATAGGCAACAGAACCACAACATTCAAAAGTATCAAATAATATGATGAGTAGTACAGGACGTATTCAAACTGTACCTTTAAAAACTTTAACAATTCGAATTTATATTGATGATGCAAAAACGTATAAGGCTGTACAGCTTACAAATCTTTTGACAACGGCTATGATTGTACAGTATTTAAGAAAGAAAGGCTTAATAGACAACTCTGATGATTGGGCTTTATTTGAAATTGATAATAGCCGGGGAGTAGGTAAAGATATACATAGATGTATTTATAGTTTACGGATTATGTTATAATAGTTTTTTTCTTTTCTATCATATTTACATATCTATTTTTTTAGAGAGACCTCTTCGTGAATGGGAAATTGTATTAAATGTATTAACTGCATGGGATGCGGATGCAAGTAATGCTCTTCTTGTAAAAAAATATTCATATCATCATACTTTAACTTCTGAGGTAAAAATAAAAATAAAAAAAAATAAAACAAAGAAAGAAAGAGAAAGAGAAAGAGAGAGAAAGAGAGAGAAAGAGAGCAAAACAGAAAAAGAGAGGGAGGCAAGGGAAGATGTGCTGAATGATAATTAATTAGATTACATGAATAGTGTGTTTTACAAAAGAAAATTGCTCCAATGCATGGTTGGTTATCTATAGAGTATAAGAAAGGAAAATGGCAAAAGAGATACTGCTTTATTAAAGAGAATGCTATTTATCATGCAAAAGATAATCAGGTAAATACTTGATAATAATTAGTTTAGTGTCATCATTTATTCATCATTAAGGACAAAATTAGGGAACTTCCTCTTCTATCTTATGTCATTTAGCTACTTATGATGTCTATACTTTATTTCAGCCTTTAAAGATTAGCCCAACTCCTTATTTGTTTGCTATCAAAGCTCAAGAGAAATCAAGCATGTTTGAAAAAGAAAGTGATTATATTCGATTTTTAGCTGTAGAAGATCAAACAGCTTTGAGAGATTGGGTTTTAAGTATCCGATGCGCAAAGGTAAATTTTTGAATAATATATAAAATAAAAAATAATCAACTTATATATATATTTTTTTTGTCTTAGAGTTATATTCAATATCAGCATTATCCTAACCGAGTGATAAACCCATTAGCTCCTATTTCATTAGAGTGTATATTAGAAGATCAATCCACAAATAGTATTCGAAGACATAAATCGACAAGAGATTTAAATAGTAATTATCATAAATTAGTAGAAGAACCACAGTCAAAGAATTCGTTACCTCGAAGTGATTCTACTCGTCGTACTGGAGGAAGCGAAAGGCGACCATCAGCAGCAGCAGCAGTTGCAGCAAACAATAATCCTACTCAAGGCCTTTCTCGTAACCCAACTTTAAAAAATAATACAGATGTCAGCAATAATAGTCTATCAGATGCTCCTTTAATTGATTGTTCTGGATCTCCGACATTTGCCAAAGGATCTTTGCTTGCCAGAGAAGAGCAACCAGATCAAATCCTTTATAGGCAACAACAACAACAACAGCAGCAGCAGGACTTACGTCAACAACACGAAGAAACGAGTAATACGTTAATTCATATTGAAGATCGTATCAAGTTTTCAAAAGGTTCATTGCTTGATCAAAAAGAAAATGGTCATAATTCAACTCCTGTCAAGATGTCAAGATCTGTAAGTACGCGTGAAGTTTCTTCATCCAATAATATAAATGGAGGAGAACATCGAAGACACGTATCTCTTCGAAGAAAGCCTACTACTGGCAAAAGATTACAACACTATGATGTACCCCTTCCAAACAATGCTGCTATTGCTTCTTTACCTTCACCATCTCCGCCAGCCTTACCCTCTCATAATATAAATATAAACAATACCATTACTACTACTGCTAATAATACTACTACTACTGCTACTACTACTTTGCTTCAAATAGACGATACACCAGAAAGATTTCATACAAGAGAATTACGTGAACGTCATGTCAAGCCTTTATTAGATTTTGATTCTGATAAAAGACTTACAACGAGAAAATAATAATAAAAATTATACACATATTATATTATACATATACAAATAGATACATATTGGGTTTTTTTTTCTTTAAAAAAAAAAAAAAGAAAGAGCATGTAAACTTATAGAGGGAGGGTTTACGCGTCTTTGTATATTTATATACAAATGCATTTTGTTTTTTATTCTTTCCTGCAGATAGAATCAATCTTATATAAGGCAATACATACACGAATAGGTATCTTCTTTTGAATGACCTCTATTCATCAATGTTAAAAGCATTATTTTTATTTTTGATATAAAAGCTTCCTTTTAAGATACAGTAGCAATATATTAAATAACATAATTTTGTTTTACTAAATTTACATCTTAATGATTTTTAAATATAAGATCTTTTATTTGGCTAGACATACATATATAAATATATGCATACATTCTTATTTGAAAAAAAAATAATAATAATAAAAATAAAAGAAAATAATTACATAATATCGCTATTATTACTACATTGGCGACTTTGATGTTGTACTATTATTATTGTTATTGTTATTATTATTGTTATTATTATTATTATCCTTTGCTGGTAATTTTCCACTCTTTTCTAGTTCAGCAATTTCAGCAGCAGCTATTGTACATAATACATCATTGTTAATTATCTTTTTTTTTTTTTTTTTTTTTTTTTTTTTTTTTTGTTTCTTGAACTTACTTAAAAATCTTCCACCTGGACCTCTTGGACGACGCATAGCATGTCGATGTCTACTTTCATGAAGATACGGCTTTCTTGTCCTTTCTAATTTATGCATCTCTTCGAGCTTTAAACGAGCTGCTCGTCTCTTAAGAATTCGATGATATTGTTTAGCATTTACGTATAAAGGTTCTTCTTCTACAACAACAGGTGCAGTGGGCACAACTACTAAAATAAGCTGTCAGATTTTTTTTATCATTCTATTATTATCATTATCGTTATCGTTATCATTGTTATATATATATTACCCTGAGTTGGCTGTGCTGTTGCAGTCATCATACTAGTAGGCTAGAAAAGTATATATATATATATATATATGTATAAGCCTATATACAATACACATTTGAAGAAACAAAAGAAAAAAAACTCGTTACCATAGAAACATGTTGCTGAGCATAACTCAAATGTGGTTGTTGCGGTGGTTGTGGCGGTTGTGGTGGTTGCTGTGGTGGTTGAGCTTGTGGTGGTTGCCTTGAATAACCTACTATAGGTGAGCTATGTACATCGGCCTACGAAATAGAGTACATATAGTACATATATAAAATAAATGACTCCCTTCTATAAAAAAAAAAATGTATCAAATAAATACCATAGCGTCTCGGGAATTAGCTGGTTGAGATGTGGCTTGCAGTTGTTGATTTTGACCAGCATTAGGATCATCATAGGAATTCATTTTTTATTGTTCCTTAAATATATGCAACAGTACAATAAGTAAAAAAAATATATATATTGCGGAGAGTGAGACCTGTCAAGTAACTGAAGAGCAAATATGATAGGGCAATAGTATCTCCCAATCAAAAGGAAAACAAAATAAAAAGAAATAACAAAAGGAGGGGGGTGTAAAAGAGAAAAAGAATTGTGAAAAAAAAAAACATTTTTTAAATTACTTCGTTTGATTCGTTAGGACTTATTTAAATTTCCGGGCATATTCGTATCATCTAATTGGGTAGAAAATAATGACGTAAACAATTATATTTTTATCACAAATTTATTTTAATCAAACAGTATTTTTTTTTTTTTTTTTTTTTTTTTTAGACTTCTTGTCTCGTACATAAATATGAAGGAACATGAATCAAGATTACCAGAAAAGGGAGGGGGAGGGGGAAGGCTTTTTTTTTCTCGATAATCTAAGAAGTATGTCTTGTATGCAATATGATTTTCAACATCAATACACTTGCTTTTCTAACGTATGTTTTTATAATTTATCTGACTTTGATATTTGTTGTATTGTTCCTACATCAGCTTTATTTAGTATGCTGGTATTATTGTATATGGTTACACGTAAGTAACCGTTTAATATTAAGTTTATCAGCCGTTCCACTGGCTGCTTGATTTTGGATCAAATACAACATCAGCATAAAATAACCGAAAAACAGTAGCAGTCATGATATATACAACTACTATCCAACGACGAAGTTTAACCCAATTAAACTACAGATTATAGAAGGGTTTGATGACTACACTTCTACAGAGTTCTTTTGTTCTTGTATGAAAATAGTAGCAGTGTCTATTGCTGTTTACAGCATCATAGTATAAAAAAAACAAAATCCCACTCCTCTCCCTTCCCCTCATTGCTAAAACTAGTTGACCAACAAGTTTTAGTTAATAAATATTTAATCAAAAGAAAGTAGCATCAATTCGCTTTAAGCACTACATGAGATAGAGTTGAGAATCTAAAAGTACTATTATTATTATATTATTTTATTTTATTTTTGAGCTGTAATTTGTTCTATGCGCTTTATATAAGTATCGAGAAAAAAAATTGATGTTATAGTTCGTTTGTAATTACACATTTTTTCCCTTTATCTTCTTCGTGATAAACGTTGTTTTCCAAAAATACGCACTTCTTGTCTGTGTCTATAAAATGAGCTTATACCAATAGAATGTAATCGCATTTTGTATACTACACAGAAAATATTTATAATCTTTATGGAAGAGGGATGCCATGGTTTTATGATTTATAGCTTCATTTAATTGAATAGACAGTTATACTATTTTACCATCTATTTTTGCATTAATTCTCTCTATAATATCCTTTAATAATATAACTTCTTCTTCTTCTTATTTTTTTCGATAGTCTTTGCATATCATAATTGAATAGCTCCTTTTACTGTTAAGGATTATTATTATGCAAGTAAATTCAAAAACATATATTTTTTTTTCCGTGTACAGTACAACTTCTGGCGTTTTTAAACTCAACATATGAATTATAAACGCGCTTAAAGAAAAAGGTTCAAACTTAAAACACGTTCCTTTTTAATTATTATTATTATCATTTATCATATATTAACTTTATTCGAAATGACACAGCGTGGGTTATTTATTGTAGTAGAAGGCTGCGATCGATCTGGGAAATCAACTCACTGTGCTAAACTTGTTGAAAAATTAAACAGTAATGGAATAGATGCAGAGTTGATTAAGTTTCCTGGTAAGAAAAAAAAAAAAAAGCCTTACAATTCTCCTTTTTTTTAATAATTATAGTATATAATGATTAAAAGACAGAACAACACAGACAGGAAAGATGATCGATAGCTATCTTCAACAAAAAAGTGATCTTGATGACCATGCCATTCATCTTTTATTTTCTGCTAATCGTTGGGAAGCAATGTAAAAATACATATTATATATATATGTGTGTGTGTGTGTATAAATGCTTGTTACGTATCATGAACACTTGTTTAATTATTCTAGGAAGATTTTGTTTGAAAAACTTAAAAATGGAAAAACATTAGTAGTTGATAGATATGCATTTTCAGGTGTTGCATTTTCTTCAGCAAAAGGTTTAGATTTAGAATGGTGTAAAAATCCAGATATTGGATTATTAACGCCTGATTTGGTTTTATTTCTTGATTTGGACATTAATGAAGCAGAAAAAAGAGGTGGTTTTGGTGAAGAACGCTATGAAAAGAGAGAATTACAGATTAAAGTAAGAGAAGAATTTATGAAATTAAAGGATGAGTCTTGGAAGGTAAAAAAAAAGATAACAATAGTAATAATAATAATAATAAAAAGACAGTCTTTAATATTTATCAACTGTATATAATAGTTGATTAATGCTGGTCAATCTAAAGAAAAAGTAGAACAAGATATTTGGGCTGTAATTGAGGAAGCAAGAAACTCACTTGATACAACCAAATCTTTACAATACAATTTATGGAAATAGGCTGAATAAAAAAATTGGATTCTTTTAAATTATATTATCAAAATATAACAAGTCTCATTCTATTAAATCACAGTGTAAATAGCAAGATTTAGTTTAAACTATTCCAACAATGATTGACCTATAGGAATTTCAATAAAAGGATTACTTTTTTCACGATTATAAATAACTGAGCCACGAAGAATAGTTTGATCAACAATGCCGTAGAGTGTCTTGCCAATATAAGGTGATGCTTTATTTTTAAAATAGACGTCATCAACATGGATTTTAAAAGTGAAATCTGGACGCCAAATGACAAAATCACCGTCATAACCTACTTGAATTTTACCTTTTTTATGATCTAATGTAGCTCTTTTGGCTGGAAATAAACTTAACCATTGTGCTATTTTTTGAGGGCTAAAAAAAAAATGCAATATTAGATCTAATCTTTCTATCCTAAGAGATATGTATTCATAACTAACCTGGCTCCACGTTTATGACATTCAGTCCAAAGAATAGATAATCCAAATTGGACACTAGCAATGCCTCCCCATGCTTGATTAAAATTACCTGTTACTGTTTTCTTGAGTTTTGCAGTACAAGGTGAATGGTCGCTTACAACATAATCAATAGTTCCATCCAATAAAGCTTCCCATAGCTTTTCACGATTGGATGCTTCACGAATAGGAGGGCAACACTTATAATAGGTAGCCCCATCTTCAATATCTTCAGCGGTAAAATAAAGGTAATGGAAGCATGTTTCAACAGTAAGAGGAATACCTTCTTGCTTTGCAGCGCGGATTAAAGGAATGGCAGAAGCAGCAGATAGGTGAACTATATGTGTATTTACAGGTTTACCCTGATCATAATACTCTTTGCAAAGACGAATAATCATATAAATCGCATTTGTTTCTAATTCTTCAGGACGAGATTTTAAAAAGCTAGTGTATGCCTTTTGATCATCATCATCATCATCGTCATCCTTATGTTGAAGGGACTTTTGGCATCCTTCCAGTTCTGCGTGAAATAATAATACTCGATCTGAATTGATCATTCTGTCCATTGCTAAACGTATCTCAGCTTCATTTACACAAGGAAATTCAATTACTCCACTTTCCATCAGGAAACATTTAAAGCCACGAACCCCTTTTTGAATTAAAGCAGGCAATTCATTAGCATTATCAGGTACAACTCCGCCCCAAAAGCCAACATCCACATGACATTGGCCCTTGGCTGCATTTAATTTTATATTCAAATTTTCTACTGTGGTAGTTGGAGGAATAGCATTCAATGGCATATCAATGACTGTTGTCACACCACCTGCAGCAGCAGCTTTTGTACCCGTTTCAAATCCTTCCCACTCTGTTCGTCCAGGCTCATTCAAATGAACTATAATAATATATTCAAATAACTTCTTTTCAGTCTATATATATGTTAAGAAATGGCACACACAAACCATGAGCATCAACTAAGCCAGACATTAATAATTGATCATGATTTAATTCTATTATTTCTGTATCAATATCAACTAAAGAAGATATACATTGCCTATTTCCAAGAGCAATTTCAATGATCTTTCCAGTAGTTTTATCAACAAGCACTTGAGCTGATCCTTGTGTATGTAGAGGAGAAAGAATAGCATTTGGTGCCTTAATAAGTAAGTATCGGTTTAGTTCAGTAATAGTCATAATGAAAGAGGAAAAAGAAAAGAAAAGAAAAACAGACGACAATAGTATTAAGGGAAAAAAAAGAAAATAAAAAATAAAAAAGAAAATAAAGGCAGATTAGAGGAAAATACTGCATATATATTTATAGATAATATATAAAAAATACCATCTATTTTAATGATTAAAGAACACTATCTTCAAAGATAACGTCTTTCATTTCATTGGTTTATATTTTATATCATATGAACATATCTTGATTATTTTATTTAAATAATATAGCGTATATTACTTAGTATATGCTTATTTTCTATTATACAGAAGAAGATATTCATCATTTTATATCTTTATTGTTGGCTAAAAATGATATTCCCAACAGATCCAGTTTCTTTTTTCGAAAATACTTTCAGAATTTCGTTAAATTGGCTTTGTTCATATGTACTCTTCCGAATATCTTCACTGTATATCATATCGATATCATTTGACTGTAATGTTATTCTTCTTTTTATGTTTTCTGTAGAACGTAAACGTCGAATACGTTCAACTTCATCTTCTATATCATCTGGATGCTGTCCATCAGTAGAATCAAGGGTAGGATCATTATAATCTTCATCATGAAACCATAGATATCGTTCATGTTTAAAGTCCTCAAGTACTGCATTATCATCTTTTTGCCAGTTCCAATATAATAATGTAGCCTGTAAACCCTGATAGCATGAATACCTTTCTTTAGGATCTTTGACAAGTAGATTTGATATGAGGTCTTTAGCTATATACATATATAGGTAAGCATGCGTATACATATCATATTTAATAGATCATTTCTTACCTATATTACTAACATGCGCAAGTTCTTTCATATTTAAATCAAGTTGACTATTTAAAATAGCCTTTTTTACATTGTTTTCACTATCTATATCTTTAATAAAAGGATGAATTCCGGATAACATATAATAAAACATGATACCAGCTGCCCAACAATCTACTTTTTCATCAAAGCCTTGATTATCAAACATTTCTGGCGAAGTATTACTATAATAAATATTAGTTTTAATTATTATATAATATAAATATATTACCTAGGTGTACCGTAGTAATAGTTTAGATGTTTTTCATTTATCCTTGGTTTATAGATAGCCAAGCCAAAATCAGAAATAACAGCTCTTGGTCTGTGTCCATAGCTTGACAATAAGATATTCTCAGTCTAAAATATGACATGAATTTATCTATTTTTAATAATAATAATAAAAAAATAATTCATTATATGGTATACCTTCACATCTATTCAATTTATAAAAATCAATTTATTATATTTTACTTGTGTTTTTTTTTTTTTTTTTTACATGTCTTCTTACCAAAATGTATGATATCTTTTTTATGAATATACTGTGTATATAATGTATATAGTTAGTATACTTGGTTTTATCTTTGAAATGTTATATAATTACATGAAGTCCAGATAACACTTGTTTAACAATAAAAGTAGCATCTTTCTCTTTTAATAATCCTTTTCTCATCATTCGTTCATAGAGTGTTCCCCCTGTATACCTTTTTTTTTATTTATTCATTTATACGAGTCAGTTGATAAAAAATAAATAAATAGATAGAATTCATAACTTACGTACAATGGAAAAAATGAATAAATATAAGCATCATTAGGATCGTCTGAATACTGAGCCACCATAGATAATACATTGGCCTATTTAATACAGTATCATAAATAGGTCTGTGTTCTTTATAGTTTTATATTTTCCCCTTACATGTTTATTGCTTTTCAATATTTCAGTTTCTAATTGAAATGCTTTGATTGTATTTGGGTAAATTGATTTCTTCGTTTTTCTACATGCTAATTGATATCTTGGTTGTGCCATATCATATGCCAAAGAGACCTCTGCTTGACTACCATAACCTATTAACATACTAGTAGTAGTTACTGTAATTGTCCTTTCAGGTTTTGTTTGTTGATTAGGATAAAGCAGTAAACCAGGCTTAAAACTCTAGAGATAACAAATGTATATATATAAGTTTCTTTAAGATTATACTATCGACATTTATTAAGATATACCATGATGACAGGAATAAAATAAGAAAGATCTGCATTCACTTGAATATATATCATGTCTAATTATCATTTTTGAAATAAGCTCCTGTCCCTTCCCCCCTTTTTTTTTTCTTTCACATATATAAAACATAAAAAAAAAAAACTTACTTAAATGACCTGAAACAAAGGAAATAACACAACTGGGGAAAAGAATAACTGTTTTATTATATCCTATTAACTTTCCATTCACTATGAAGCAAAATATAAGATCAAAAGGCTTATCCCAGGGAATCACACTTTAATAACGCATTCCAGCAAGTAAATGCAGTATATTTTTTTTTTCTTTTTAAAGTGGGATCATCAATTTTTATAAAGAAAATAGAAGAGATGCGAGCTTATAATGAAGACTTATTTGGGAATATATATGTATATATATATATTTTTTTTTCCCCTTTACTGACACATAATGGATATGATGATCTCTTTCTAAAATGTGTTTATATACATTTTATATATATTTATGTAACTTACAATAGGTTCCATTTTTACTTAAATCCTATAGTTTAACAAAATTAGATATAAACGCATGTAAGATTTGTATCTATTATCAGCTTACTGTTATATATGTAATGTTAATATCATAAGAAATGCATGTCTAAAAGGAGTATTGGTTAATAATTTTCTTCTTTTATATACATAGATGTATATCAAAAGTTACTGAGAATATCTTGCAATGATAACTTGATATTATATCTATGGGTATAACTACATCACTTTTTTTTTCATAGTCTAGTTAGTTATTTATTTCTTTTTTTTTTTTTTATCTTAAGCATCATTACTTTTTGGGATGTTTTCCAATCCGAAGTTTAGAATTTGCTTTAATGGGTAAATCTAAGAAAAAAAGGAGATTAAAAAGCTTTCTTTGAAATTAAAAAAAAAAAAAAAAAAAGATGCATCATAAAATCTATAAAATTCGCCATTTTACATAGATCTTGTGTATTTTTGTGTGCGCCTCTCAGAATTCCTACGATATCTGACATTACGTATTCTTCATTTTGTAACATCTATATTAACAAAAAATGAAATAAACTAGAATACATGAAATAAAAAAAGAAAGAAAAAACATATTTGTGACTTGTAATATTTGATGAGAGGAAGAGTTAGGAATTGATGTTGTATTACGATTAACTTCTGAGTTTTATTATTGTTATTATTATTTTGATTTTTTTTTAAATCTTTTTGGCAATGAGCGTGTAGCGACGAAATAAATGCGCAATATTGCCCGAGCCAGTTATAAAGGGGAAGAATAAAAACCTTGATAAAGGGTAAGGGAAAAAAAGAAAACGAGAAGAAAAACGAAAAGAGCCGTATTTTGGAATTAAGAGAAAATATAAGGAGGAAAAAGCGAAAAAAGTGAGAAGAAACAATTTAAATACAAACCAGATCAAAGGGACTAGGAAGACACACACTATTACTTGGACAACCAATTCAATAGCTTGAGACCAGGATCAACAGGATCAGGAGGAAATTCATCATGGAAGTAGTAATCAAGTTCATGTAGAATTGTACAAAGAATAGGCCATAAAGTATACCAGCTCGTACAATCAGAAGGACGACAAGGTTTATGTAGTGGAAGCAAGTTGAGAAGGAACGAGGTGGAATCTTCGACTGAAGTAGGCATGTAGAGACGTTGATGTACATGTAAGCACTCAATAGCATGTTGCTGGCTCCAATTATGAGACGGATGAAAGATACATTCTTTAGGTTTACCACCAGGTAGCCAGCCAAGTCTCCATCGAAGCACTCAGCTACGTTCCGAAGTAGTTATCGGTAAGTAAAGGATGGGATCCAATTCGGGAGTGGGGCGTGAAGAAGACAATAGGATGGAGTTGAGTTGAGTTGATTTGATTTAGTGTCTTGATGAAGGGTTTGAAATCGATCATCTAGAAATTTAGCACGAAGAGTGTAGAATTGTTTTCGATCGAACGCTGAGTTGATTGGTGAGCATAGGCATTTCCACATTGTAGTTTGAGCCAATTTATACCAGTGGGAATGGCTATTTGAGAGCTGAACATGAGGCAAAAGATGGGCAAGAAGAGTATCTGCTGGTAATTGAGAAGTTCAAAAGAGGTATTGCGCTTGGAGGACTGCAATATGGGACTTCATGGATGGGAGGTTGACAAGATGAAGCATGACTTTCGCTGAGGACCGCGAGTGACCACCAACGATACGTCGAATGCATGAATTTTGAAAGGTATCCAGTTCTTTGGTAAGTTTAGCAGAGAGAGAACTGATTGCAAGACCATAATCTAAGTGAGAACGAACCATTTGACTATAAAAACGATATGTAAGCAGAGGTAGAAAACCGTTGGAGTTAAGACCAATAGAAGCAAGTTGATTCATAGTGAAAGAGGCTTTATTGATATTATGTTGGATTAAAGCAGCATAGTCAAGTAGACCACCAGATTTTATAGGAACACCAAGATAGGAAAAGGAGGATTCTTTGGAAATAGCAGTACCATAAGGCCAAAAGAAAGGAGAGAAAGAAGAATGGAAGAAAAGAAAGGAGAGAAAGAAACGAAAGAAGAGGAGAGACAAAAAAGCGAAACAGAAAGACAAAGTGAGTATACTAGCATCAAAGCAAAGAGACAAACACTATATTCATCAACTATTATTTTAGGAACACCAAGAAGCTTTGGAAGCCCCGACCTTTCAAATACGACAAGAGTAAATTGCCTGTTATAGCTTTCGGAAATGACATGTTCGGAAAAGACGGTGTACATTTGAAGGCCCTCAGGGTGAGAGTAAGAGGAGTTCTTTACAAACAACTCAAAATAAGACAGAAAACAGGAGAACTTTTACTTGCTTCTGTAGATGAGTTCAAGACTTCAAAGGTACAACAAAATTTACCGAAACTGGTTAAAGAATAATTTATTAATACTGTAAATATAGACCTGTCATTCATGTCTTCAAACATGCTTGATTGATGCTTACATTGGGTTGCACAGTGTTCAAACCTGCCAAAGTTGCGGAATAATGTGGTAACGTGACGTTAACGCGTCAAAAAATATATTCAATATCTCAAGACAAGTGTTTGTTGGTCATGGGCGTCCACGGGAGTTCACGAGAGAACAATAGGTCTTGTTTTTTTTTATATCGCCGTCTCGTACACGGTTTCTCTTGTTAAAGAGATTTAGATATTTACAGGTATGCTGTATCTATTTTTTTTTCATCTAGAAAAAAGCTAACATTTTGTCTCAATTTAACTTATCCTCCTCTATCCCATTTTCATTTGGGTGTCCTATTTTCGTATTTCTGTCCCAATTTTCCTGCTATTATCCTAATTCTGCAGCCGTGTCCCAATTTAATTTTTGAATGACCCAATTATTTTTTTATTGGCCCAGCCTAGTTTCCCAGACTGTAACTATTGTAATAGAAGATAATAAATATAGCGACAGTCGTCAAGGTATATAGTATTATTACTTTCTTTCTTTCTCTCTTTTTTTTTTAAAAAAAAAAAGAAAAACTTATATAAAGCATGTTATAGTAATTATAAAACATGAATTAAATATGTATTATTACAATGAATTAAGTTTGGTGTACCTGTCTCTGGTTATTTTATTAACCTTAATCAGTTTAAACATAGTTGAATGATTCATGTTTTAAATCTACATTGTTCAGATTCCTTATAGCAATGCACTCAAAAGTAATTATATTCGTTTCTTTCTTTCTTTACTATCTTCTTTCTCACTTACACATGCATTAACAAAAAGTACAAGAGACTGATTGTTATATACAAAAATTGAAATGACCAGGACAAGTTAGAAGAGCAAAGTCAAGTCTTGGAGTTATTGATGTAGGAGCAGAATAGATGGATAAAAATTCCAGATGGCACTTCTATCAAAAGATATAGTAATTTAATTTGAGATTATCAAGTATATTTGTTTGAATTATTGACCTTATAAATCTAACTGTCAATTTAAAAGCTTCAGTGAGCACTGTTGTATTCCAGGTATTATATCAGCTCTAATTACAACAATAGATAAATTTATATGTGATGTAGTCCTCATGTCTAGATCAATTATTTAGATATAGATACCAATATATATATAGCTTTCGTTATATTATATAAAGACTTATTCATTACTATTTGCATAGATACTCTCAGGATCAAGTTATATAAGAACAATAATTATCAGAACATTGCATTTAATCAGATCAGGCCATATCCGAACATATTTTTTTTAATTGACATGGATAAAAACTTAATTTATACATACACATATTGTATTATTGGATAGATGTCGTACATATCACGAACTAAGCTTTGTTCCGTACAATTCTTAAATAATGATATTTAAAATTATGTATAAAAATATCCTTTAATAATAAATTTGAAATAATAGAATAATCCGATCTTAAATATCTTTGAGCAGTAAGTGTATCTGATCAAACAAGTATATGTACATAGAGATAGAGATAGATTTGTCATATTTTTTGGCAAGTGCGCTATTATACTAAATAAATCGCATGACAATAGTTTTATTAGCCACAAGTGGCTTTTAAAGAAAAAGAAAGAAAGAAGTCTATTTATTCATTCATAAAAGTATTTGCTAATTATTGATAATTCAAATATTTTGTTGAATGCATTCAATATGCAAAATTATACAAATTTATTCTGCTGTAACATCTTGTGCTTTTATATATTTTTTTTTTAAAAAAAAAAATAAAAGAAGAAAAGACCTTCCTCCTCCTTTTTTTTTTTCCCCCTCCTCCTTTTTAAGGGATGGAATAACTATAATATAGAAATCCAACAAGTATCACATTGCATATCGGAATGAAGATAACCGAGATTACCTCAGGAACAACATGTGGTTATTTACTACAAGATCCTCAAGCATTTTCCTCATTGTATAAAAATAAAAGACATCTTATATATTCATATATAATTCAATGATAAATAATCCCTTCATAATAATGCAATGTAAATTCGACAAACAATATTATAAGAAAAGAAGAAAAAAGGTGTATTTGAATTAAGCATATACTTTCTTCTTATTCTATTGAAACATTATGTTTGTATACAAATATGAACATTGGAAACAAAGTCCTTTTATTAATCATTAAAGCTGCAAGTTGCGTATAGATGAAGGTTGTGCTTATATTCTATGCAGAAATTCTATACTTGCAATAAACGTGCGTAAAGTATAACTAAATTAATAAATAAAAGCTTAGTAGTTTACATAGTATAAAAAATAGATCAAACATATAAAATTTAAGAAACCGTTACAAATATATTAACCATGATTGTATTCAATACATTTGTTCAATGAAGAATATGTTTAACGGTTTCAATCAATTAAACTTATGTAAACTGTGAGAATCCGTTTAAAAGGGGGGAAAGGAGCATATTTATATAATAGGAAAGTAGTGTGTAAACCTTAAGGAATTCTCGTTTCATATCTTGTAACTGGTGTAGACGTATGATAATTAAAGAATTAGATTCAGCTATGATTTTAGGCAAATTAAGATATTTATATAATGGATTTTTTTTTGTTCCTATAATAGAAATAAAAGTTATAAGATACAGCAATCTATTCATCAAAGACGTACACTTTGCTCAACTTATTATTTATATAACTCATAATAATATCTATTTACATGCAAAAAGATATAATCGCAAGAAAGTAATAGAAATGAATTGAATTAAGTCCTTTATCATTTATCCAGATGCTGCTAACTTGGAGTTAAACAAAAGGGCCAATAAATTCTGATTACCGTATTTTGTCAATGGTCGAATGATGCTTTGATATCAGATAGTATGACAAACGTACTTTCTTCCAAGTTTATTGATATAATCAGCATGCACATGGACTTTATTATAAATAGTAGACAAGTTGAGAATTTCACATTTGTTGTTGTTGTTGTTGTAAAATGTATTTTATCTGCAGTTTACATGCTAAATATTTGCACCTTAAATGAAAGTAATACAGATATAGATAGATAGATAGATAGATTACATCTTTGAAGAAATCTGCTGTATTGATATGCTTAAATTATCCGAAATTATAATATAAAACGCTTATTAATCAAACTATACGAAACCTTTTGTTTGAGGGGGGGGAAAAACATCTAAAATATCATAAAATTAAAACAATACTTAATAGTAAAAACTCTGCATCAAACTTCGTTGAGCTTAGCTGCATTTCAGAATTGCTAAGAACTTTGAAAGAGAAATAAAGTAAAGTCGCTCATACGGATATTCATTGTTATTTTTTATACAAGAAAAAAAAATGCACTACACATAAATGTACATTACACATATGAATTATATAGGGAAAAAATATAAGTGTATAGAAGAGTAATTTATTTATTTATTTATTTTATAGTATAAAAACAAAGTCCAAACGAAAGAAATAGTATTTACAGGAATATATGTGTATATGTAAACAAACAAGCAAACAAACAAACAAACAAACAAAAAAAAAAAAGAAAAAAAAAAAAAAAGGAATGAAATCAAAATATATATAAGGAAAGCAAAGGGAATGAGAGGAAGAGTATATGTATATATAGTGTGTTTATGTGTGTGTGTGTGTGTGTACAAAACAGAAATAGACTTTTTTTTTTCTTTACATCATAAAAAAAAACCATATAAATTTGAGGGAATACAACAGAAACGATTGAAAACAAAGAATGTGCAAGGGCATATAGAGTTAAGGAAAGAACAATAAAGAGATGTGCTCTACATTTTGTCTTAAAAGGTTATAAATAGGTTGACAGTATTATGAATACCACGACTTTCAAAGGCCATTTGAACATCATCATCTGAATTGATAGTAATAAAGTCACCATCTTCATCTTGATATTTCAGTCTTAATATGTCTTTTTGTTTAAGATTGGCAATCAAACGAATCTTTTTGTCTACCTTCTCCATTAATTCAAAGAAGGTAACTTCATAATTTGTTACAATTACATAGATACCGTCATTAAAGTTAAGTTTGACTTTTACAGTGCCAGGTGAAGGTGGAGCAAGATCAGTTAGATAAGAAGGAGATGCCATATTACGGACTATGGGTTCTGATGATGCTATCGGTTGAGAAGAGGAATATGAATGTGATAAATTGAGTGGAGTAGGCTTTGTAGCAGTACGAGTAGGTAACTGAGGTATAGATTCATTACTATTTTTAATAGTAGTAGTAGTGGATGCAGAAGTCAATATAGGTACATTATATTGAAAGTTCTTTGTGATGCTGGGGCTACTTTGAGAACGATGTCTATTTTGATTTACATAAATCGAAGACCTTTCGATAGCAGCTGATTGAGATTGCGAACGACCAGTAGCCAAAAGGGAATATTGCTGCTGTTTTTGAATAAGATGTTGATGTATATCTTCACCTGTTAGTAAGTGGGTTGTCATATCTGGTAAAGTGTGATTATCCAGACGATGCCAAGTGGATGAACTTGTGCTTGTACTTGAAACACGAGAAGAACTAGTGGGAGATGAAGGATGGGAGGGAGGTGGTGAAGCAGGATAATAAGGATAATTCATTTTAACAGGGGAAGTGGTGATAGTAGTAGTAGTGGTGGTAGTAGTAGTAGTGCTACTATTACTACTACTACTATGTGTGGTTAAACTTGAGTTAGATCGAGGTAAAGGAGAAAGATTCATACCAGGTATATTTTGATAAGGTCGACCCGTTGTATTTGTATATTTAAAATCTTGAGTAGAACTACGAGTGAGGTTTGTTTGTTGTTGATAATAATGCATTGAGCTACTACGAGATCTTTGTTGAATGTAATCTTCTTCTTCATCTTCATCATCAATGAAGTCAGTTTCGTTCTCATCATCATCATCTTCATCATAGTCAGTATATTGAGACGTTAATTGAGTAGAGGCAATCTCTTGAGACGGTATCCTATCAGAAATAGCCTTCTTTATAGCTTTCGTTAAAGTAGAGGACCAAAGCTTTAATTGTTCTTCATTTCTAAATTTGAAATACATTTGTTCAAGCTCATTGCCTTTCAAATCCATTTGAAGAGACCAAATAAGATTTTTACTACGACTCTTCATATCTGTTATACAAGACGTTTGTACGATGATTTTAGGCACAAGACTACCACGTCGCTTCTTTTTATTGATAGATAATGAATTCGTTTTAGGTAAAAGATTATTCCCTTTTGACTCTTTACAGAGTAAAAGAGCCTTTTCGAAAAGGAAGACATGCAATTCACGTTCATTATTATCAGTAGAATGAGTAGAAACAAAGAGTTTATCTTGCAGCATGAGATTACCATAACCATCAATGGTTATTTGTTTCCAATCATCAAGACGTTTTTTAAGTTCTTCTACAGCTTGGCTATTTTCATGTTGACGTTGGGTTTCATTTACTTTTTCAGTGACCCTCTTGATAGCTTCAACACTTTGTAAAGTTTCATGATAATAAGGCCAGGATTTATCAGTACTTTTAACAAGTTCCTGTAACAAAAGAGGATATTTACAAATACGTTGAACGGGCTTAATTAACATGGAAGGTAATTGATAAGTCGGGTTTAAAATATCGGCCAGTTTTTGTAAACGAGGAGTTTCCTGTACAACTAAATCTTGAGCAGAATAATAATTTGCACAATAAGGTTCATAGACAGAAAATGAATCTTCCATTTGAATAAATAATAAGCCAATACGTTGTTCTTCAGGTGATTTTTCAGCCAATTCTTCAAGTTGAATCAAAAATCGACGTTGGAAATCAACCAGGGCATTTAAATTACCAAACAAGTAATGAATTGTATCAGGTGAAACAATTTTTTGAATTTGTAATTCACGCATATAATTCTATTATATTATTTGATGTCAGAGCATTAAAAAAAACTTTTTTTTTTTTTTTTTTTTTTTTTTTTTTTTTTTTTTTTTTTTTTTACCTGAAGAATTTCCATATCTTGAACGTATTTACGTTCTGTTTCTAATAATTCCAAAACGACTTTGTCCCTTGTATTTTTAGGAGCATTTGGATCAGAATTTCTGTTAGAGGAACGTACAATGATGATTCCACGATCTTCTAATAACTGCAATACTTTGTTAATCGTATTGACAACCTATTCATTTTATACATATAAATAATGAACATCTGCTTTTGAATTTTATATATATGCTCTATTTACTTTAACAAAACCATTTGTATCATCTTGATAAAGATCAGAAATTGTAAACATATCTTCTTCTGGAAATAATAATTCTTGACGACAAGCCACAATAAAATGATATACGTTTGCTTTGCAAGAATTACGAGCATTTAAATTTGGATCACTTTCTACACTAAGTGGTTTAACAGGTTTTAGCGCATTATATAAGGTACATAATGGGAACCCCTGACGACATATAAAAGTTAATTTTGATAATGGATCAGTAGTGGTATCTTGACAATCAAGAAAATTTGCCATTCCTTCCACAGCTGATAATCTATCCAAAACTGAACGGCAAATATGATATAATGAACATGTTGTTGATGTTGAATCCATTGTAGTGTTAAGTGTCCCAATCGAAGGACTTGGTCGACTAACTGCTAACGTAGTCATAGTTACCAAAAAAAGGTACGGAAATTTATTTTATTTTATTTTTTTTTTATATATATAATAAAAGAAAAAAAAAAGATTAGAGAGAAAAGAGAAAAAAAAGACAGAGAGAAAAGAAAAGAAAAAGGAAAGAAAAAGATATTAAAAAACAGGAGAAGAAAGAGGAGAAGAAAAAAAGAAATAAGTAGAAAACCGGAACAAAAAAGTCTCGCCGTTTTTTTTTTTTTTTTTTTTTTTTTTTTTTTTTTTTGTTTGTTTGTGAAACAACTTTTTTCTTTTAAATCACAAAACAGATGTCTTTTTCTAAATTAAAACGAAACTTTGCTGATATTAAAAAAAAAAGCGTTACTATGGAGATCGACAAAATATAAAGATACTGTCTTATTAGAAAATTCTTCATATAAGGAGAATAGATAAAGTAGTATAACAGTTATTTTATGAGTAGCACGATATAGTTAACAATAACAACAACTACCACTATTATTATTATTATTATAAAATATGTACATATACATATATACTTTCTATGCATCTAATAGCAACTAACCTTTTACATAAATGTAAGCTATTTTTAAAGTCAAGAAATATCATATCTTTTCCTTTTTTTGTTTAGTATGCATACATATATATACGTACACAGAAATAACAAATAAAGTAAAATGCACATATAAAAAGGTCTAGATTATTATTATTACTTTAAAAGTTAAATATTATTAATTCATAATAATGAATATGTAACAAAGACGCACTGATAAAAGTTTTTTTTTTATGGATGCCATTCAAGTATTGCATTTTGAATACTTGTCCAATATTGTAATTCAATAGATAAATTTTTAGCCAAATTATAGTTTTCCTTATTAAATGCATCTTGTAATCGATTTAGTATTTCTTGATGTTTAGCTAATATATAATGAATCGTTTAATTCTTTTTTTTTTCCTTCTTCTTTTTTTATAACATTTTACCATCATTTCTTTCTTTTAATGGAATTAAATCCTTTTCATTCACGACTTCTTCAAGCTCCTCTCTAAATTCCATAACCTCCATTAATAGTTCAGGATCGCCTAGTGAGTCATCTTCATTTATTTCTATTCCTTTTTGTTTTAATATATATTTTGCTCGACTTAAAGGGTTCTTAAGCGTGTGATAGGCTCTATTAATGACAGAAGATTGTAATTGTGCATAATTTAATTCTTTCTATTTCATAATAAAATCGAAAAATAATTTTCATTATGTATATTCATGTATTTTTTTTATTTTATTTCTTTACCTTACTTCCATGTGAAAAACTATCAGGATGTGCTTTCTGTTGTAACATTAAAAATCTTCTTTTCATTGCTTTTAAATCAATATTAAATATAGGCTTATCTCTAATTTATACATTTATATACATATATAAATACAGACAAACAAATAAACAAACAAACAAATAAATAAATACTAACTTTTCTTCTCCTTCACCAGCTTGAAGTAAATGGAAAAAATTAAGTTCAGAAGGTATAGGTTGAATCACTTTACATATCTTATTTTCACAAAATAAAGCAGAAGGTTTATTGTTTGCTTGACATTGCCAACATTTTTTGTCATGAAGAATGGAACTACGCCATGTTAAAGAAGTTGAAAAATGTTTAAACGTAGGTGTAATATGGCTTTTATTAGTAAATAGTGCAACCCTCGTTCTTGGTATCATTGTTGTTGTTGTTGTTGTTGTATTAAATAATAATTGGAATAATCTTCTTTTTGTATTCATTTTTTTTTTATTAACCCCTTGATTAATAATGCAATCCAAAAAAAGAGTTTTTATGAACTTCTGTACAATAAAAAAAAAACCAGCCTTGATAGTTTATATAAATAATTCTCCGAAAACGTGACTTTTATTTTATTTTATTTTATTTTTTAAATTGAATCGATAATGAGCGATTACAATGAGACTGTTTGAAACCTTTTTTTTTTCTTTTTTTTTTTTTTTTTTTTTTTTTTTTTTTTTTGACCTATTATATAATATAATATAGATAATTGAGGCTTATTTATTTAGTAGCTGTAAAACGATTAATCATATCAGAAATACGATTAGGAGATTTTGAACGAAGAATATCTTTTGTTTGTAATTGCTTATTAGAAGCGTCAGTGTTTTGAATGTTCTCAAATCTACTTCGAAGAGATGCCATCTTGGGCTTATTAATAGCAATATTTACTTGTTCCTTTTCAAGTTCTTTTACTACTTCTTCTGTATCAGTAACTGAATGTTGTTCATCCCTTTCTTCATTCTCTACTTTAATCAAAACTTTTTCTTCTTCCACTTTTTCGATAATGGTTATTACATTATCGTGAGTTTCTTCTTTTGTATCTGATTGAATAGGGATTTCTTCTTCTTTAGTGTTCATAACTATATGATCCTTTTCTAATTCTTTTATGTCTGATTCGATATGATTTTCATTTTTTTCATTTGTTTCAGTAATTGGAATGATGGTTGTATTATCATCATCATTATTATTGTGTACACTCTTATTTTCTGTTTCATTCTCTTCAACCATGTCCTTATTTGAATCAACCTGTAGAGTGGTTTTAGGAACAGTAGCCATTACTTTCTTCTTATTCGTATCATTATCTTCTTCTACAAGATGAATAGTAGATTTTTTAGTTTGATGAGAGGTGCTAGTAGGACTATCATGTTTCTTTTCTCGTAACACTAATTTCTTTTTGTCACGAATACCAACAGGTTTTTTCAATTTCATTGCGTCATTTGGCAGACTTTCCTTTCTCGTTGTTGTTTTACTTTTCACGGTTGAGATAGGTTTAGTAGGACGAGTTCCCGTGGTGTGGTGAGTCGTACGTTTAATTGAACTTGTAACAGTCTAAAAAAAAATAAAAAATAAAAATAAAAAAAAATAAAGTTAGATTAAGGAGACAAAGTGTAGTTGTTGTGTAATGTAGAATACCTTTTTTGTATCCATTGTAGTGTTTGAAGGAGAAGAAGGATGGATGACATTGGTGATAGGTTTTGTATCAAGTTGCTTACGATTGGAATGAGTGTTACCAGTAGTACTAGACTTCTTAGTAGTAGTAGGAGTATTACGACTCGTATTAGTAGCTTTTAAGCTTGGCTCAGTCGACTTTCTCATACGAGTATGAGTCAACTCTATCACAGACTGGTTATTGGTTCTACGTGCACTAGCTTCTGTGGGTGCAGTTAATCTTGAAACCAATGATTTTGTAGATATCAGCTTCTTTTTGGCTTAGCTTGTGCATCCGGGGTTGTAGTAGCAGTATTATCAGCTTTCGATACTTGAATAGTTGGTTTCTTTGTAGTCATATCTCCTAACTTTTTATTATGTGCAAGTCTTTTGGTAACAGAATCTGTTACTACATTCTTTTTTGTACTTGTACGCGGTATCTTCTTGCTACTGGTCATTAACTTCTTCTTATTTCTAATATCTTCTGTAGATTGTGTTGGTTTATCATGAACATTACTTATCATTTTCTTCTTCTTCTTCTTCTCCTCATGAGATTGAGAACTTTTCGATGTATTTCTAGAATAACTACATGATTGCTCATCTCCTTCTTCTGACACAGTCTCATTTGAGATGCTCTTTAGTTACAATAACAATAATAAAAATGAATATAAAGTTAAATTAAAAAAAAAACGATAAATTATATTGTATACGTTACATTATTTTCATTTTGATGAATATCACCAGATAACTTGCTACTTGTTGAATTGCTATCAATAGGACTTGCTGTTATCAGTGAATGATGAGAGTTACTACTTTTACTCGTATCTAATTCATTTTCTTTCGATAAAGCTTGAATATTTCCTTCTATCATGCTATTCTCTTCTTTTAAAGGAGAAGACACGGATTCACCTAATTTGGTATTCTCTTCATTAATTACTATCACTTCTTCCTCCTCATTTATTAAAACAGAATTATGACTAGTTTCCTCTGGATTTGAAACCTGAATTTCTGTAGGTTGTTGTTGTTGTTGTTGTTCATTATTATCTTGAGAATCATTTATCGTCGTGACTTCTTTTATCTCCTCTATTTCATTCTCGGAAAGAGCAACCGACATTATTAGTGTCTTCTTTGTTGAATCTTCTTTATCAATCATGATAGTAGGAATTTCTACATCAGTGATTATGGCATTATCTTTATGTTCAAAAGAATGACTTGACGATTCCTCTGTTGTTTTAGCATCTTCATCATTCACTGTAATAGCCGAAATACCATTTTTATCATCTGTGTGAATGACATGTGTAAGTAGTTCATCAACATGATTATCATTAATAGTTATTGTTTCGATAGAAGAGGCAACCTCTTCCTTCTCTTTCTCCTCCTCTTCTTCTTCTTCTTCTCCCACTTCCACTTCTACTTCTTCTTCTTTTTCTTCTTCTTCTTCTTTTTCTTCTTTTTCTTTTTCTTCTTCTTCTTCTTTTTCTTCTTCTTTTTCTTCATCGTTTTCTTCATCGTTTTCTTCTTCGTTTTCTTCTTCGTTTTCTTTCTCCTCAGTAGCAGTAATATCAGTTGCTTGAGAAGACGATTCAATCTCTGTCTTGTCTTCTTGAGAAAGGCAGTTATCAACAACTGTGATAGGCTTTGAAGAATCTTCTTCTTTTACCAATGATAAGGTATCTTTTATTTTCATTGTATCTGAATTGGATAATGTTATTTCATTATCGGCCAAAACAGTAATATCTGAAACTTGTGTTTCTTCAATGGGGGAAGCGATGATATCCTTTTCTTTTACATTTGTATCATCTTCTTTTATATTTTCATTCTCTTGTTCAACTACGGATTCTACATTAGTCGTTTCTTTAATAGATACGATGTCCTCGTCTTTATGGGAAGTCATGATATCTTCTATAGTATTTTCAGTTATGTCTTGTTGTTGTTGTTGTATAACAATATTAGTTAATTCAGTAACACTATTAGATTCAATTATTTCTTTATTAGTGTCGTTATCAACAGTTTCAGTGATTTGATTGTCTGTTATTAAGACAAAAGGGGGGTCGTGACTCTCTTTTTCTGCTGCAGAAGAAGAAGACGAAGAAGAGGAAATCTCGTCAACATCATTATTTGAACAGGTTGTTGTTGTTGTTTCTTCAGTAGACGTAACACTCATTATGTTATCTGCTGCTTCATTACTGTCTTCTGTGCCCTCAGTGGTGATAGAGATGTTTCTAGTTTCTTCATCCATATCAGCAGCGCATGTCTCATCCTCTGCAGACCTTTGTGACTTTTCATTACTAAACTGATTCATTTCTTCAACTTGAACATTAAATACAAGATCAATTTCACGTTCTGCACTTGTTAAACTATCGCTACCATGTGCAGCATTATGAGACCCATCTTTACCATAAATTGCTCGAATACTATTCCCCTCAAAAAAAAAAAAAAAAAAAAAAAAAAAGAAATAATAATAAAAAAAAAATGTGTTAATACATATGCAGTCATATAATCTCTCGTGATCATAATCACCTGTTGGGATCTATTTCTCTTGCTTTATTCGAATCTGTAGGTCCCATAAGCATTCTCCAAGATTGAACAGCATCCTCCTTTTCCAAAATCATAGCATAAATAGGTGCACTATATTAAATAATAATAATAATAATAAAAAGAAAAGTTAATACAATTAAATGCTTTTATATAAATATATGTATATGTCTAACACATGGCATTCCATTTTAAAGGGATAGCCAAACACATCATATAAATATACATATATAACTTACCTACTTATCCAATCTATAAGGTCTTCAAAAAAGGGCTTTCCTTTATGTTCTTTATAAAACAAACAGGCCAACTCCTTTGAAAACTGTAACTGACGTTCCTGAATAATTTTAAATCCATTTTCTTTAATTTTATGGATAATAGCTTCTTTATTATTAGCTTGCATTGCATCTGGTTTGATAAGAGCCAAGGTTCTAGTAACCTATCATAGGGAGAAAGAGAAGGGGCTTAATTCCATTTATCTATTTCTAATATCCTTTCATTTCCTAACTATACCTTTTCTACTACCGTTTTTTCATCATTTTCTATATATAAGCCAATTAAAAAAAATAAAATAAAAAATAAAATAAAGTTAATATTATTTTTCCCCTTTCCCCTTCCGCAACGTTTTATTATTAACCTTTTAATTCCTGATCAGTCAAAGATACAGATTTCTATTATTTATTTATTTTTTTTTTTTTTTGAAAAATAAAAAATTTTCAAGATGAATAAAATAAATTCTATGATTAAGACATTCAACACTACTTACTGTACTCAATTCCGAGTTTTGTTCGAGAGCCATCTCTGATGACATGATTATAATATACAAAAATTAATTTTCTCGGAGTAAAAACAAAAAAAAAGTAATAATAATAATAATCAGTAATTGAACACGCACAAGAAAGAAAAGAAAATAAAAGAAAAGAAAAGAAAATATGTAATGATAAATTATTATTTTGTGCTAAGGAGAATCAAGCTACTATTATGCATGGACATGGGTGTATTTAAGTATGTATGTATGTATGTATGTATGTATATACAACAGAATTGAGAGTACTATATTACTACAATAACACATGTTAATATATTTCAAGGCACGATTTAAAAGGAGATTTGTACACAAACAACAAGCTATTTCTATAGAGTACAAAACTTATTTAACTTACAGGAAACATGTTGGAACTTTCTCTCTCTCTCTCTTTAAGGATCAGTTTAGCAAACATGTGTTAATAAACTAAATAATATTAATGACTCTTGTACTTAATTTAATACCACTCGTAATTAATACATCCTAAGATAAAAAAGTAAAACGATTTATACAAATAGATAAAAGCAACATGTGGCATTCCTTTTTTTTTGTGTGTGTGTGTATGAATAAATTAATACGACACTCTAATAGATAGAATAATAATTCGTTTAGTAAAAAGAATGCATTTATAATTAACATATATACAAGAATTAAGTAAAAGGTAGATTCTTTTGTATTTTCCGAGAAGAAGGGTTTTGACCGTATATTGTGAATAAACTGCAATAGTACGTTAAAAAAAAATTAATTACAATAAAACTCAACTGAAGGAAAGAAACTAATAAAACAAGCATCAAACACACGCACACACACACACACACACACACATACACACACACACACACACACATACACACACACATGTATATGTTTATATTTGTATGTACATATAAATTTCTCCTCTTTCCCCAAAAATAAAAGTGCTTGTTGTAAAACAAGATATAATAATCAAATCACAAGTGAGCCTCCCCCTTTTTTTTTTTTCAGCAACAGGATTTTTTTTTTTTTTTTTTTTTTTTTTGGTATTATATTACTATTTTCTAAACTTTATAAAGATAAAACTTACAAATAGAATAAAGTCAAAAAGAACATAAATTGATCTGTTTAGCAATAACATCTAATTACACATAAATAATAATATGTAGGGAGTAGGGGGAGAGAGAGAGAGAGGGTTTTTTCCTCTTCAAAATAATATATGCATGTATATTTCTTCAAAAAAGAAAGAGAGAGGGTTTATTTTTTTTTTCTTAGTTAAGAATAAAAATTAATTTCAAAACAGCCAATTTAGTTAGCAGCTTCGAAAGCAGCCTTAGCTTCCTTGATCTTGTTAAGACGTTGCTTTCTGTTAAGAGGAGTGGATCTGCGGTAAGGCTTAGCAGGCTTACCCTTCTTTTCAGTAGGCTTGGGAGAAGGATCAGCACGGATAGCTTCATGAGCTTCAGCGTACATGTCTTCAACCTTGTCAGAGGTAATACCATTCTTGAGGAAGGTAGCGAATTGCTTCTTGTAACGTTCTTCATCTTCTTCTTCGAGGTATTCCATGTATTCAGCAACGTGAACACCATAGATGTAGTTACGGAGAAGTTCATCATCGTTGGTCTTGGTTTCGATATCGAAACCAGGGAAACGGTTACCGTTGTGAGGGATGAAGATACCACCATCAGAGGCACCCTTCATGGCACCAAAGACACGGGCACCAGTAGAGGTACGGGCAAGACCAACATCAAGGAAGGCCTTGAAAGGACGAGGAGCATCTTCAGCGGCTTCGATCATTTGGACAGAACCATCAGGTTCGGTGAAACCTTCGTACTTATCAGCAAGACCGAGCTTGGTAAGAGTACGACGAGCAAGGAGAAGACCGGTAGCATAGGCAGCAGCCCAGTTGGTCAAACCACCCTTGATACCATAACGGGGGAGTTCATGAGAGTAAGCAGCAGAAAGAACGAAATCACCTTGGAGCTTAGCATAGACAATTTGACAGATGATGTCCTTGTTGGTGAAACGAACAACCAATCTATACTTGGGAGAGTTGTACTTGTTCTTGGCTTGGACGACAAGTCTCTTACGAGCATAGTAGTCGGTCTTACCCTCTTTATTTTATTTTATTTTATTTTTTTAAAAGAAAAAGAAAAATAAATAAGCATTAAAAGTCTATGTATTCATAATTTTTCTTTTCAATGACATTGTTACTCATTACATACCTCTTCTTCTACGATACTTGACTTGGTAACGCTTGAAGTAGGCCTTGTTCTTCTGTTGCTTGACGAAAGGCTAAGATTTTGATTATAAAAAAAAAAAAAAGAAAAAAAAAATGAAAGAATGAAATTGAATTCATTAGCATTTTTCCTCATCTAGTTGTAAATTATATCCATCCAAACAAATAAAAAAAATAACAATATTATCCCATCCATCCATTTAAAATATTTCATATATAAATATGTATGGATATTTCATGCTTTACATTTGTTCCTTCCCCCCTTTAAAACTTACCATTGCGACTGGCTGAAGTGATTAAAGGAAGGATTTCTCTTGTGTCTTCTGAGTGTTCACTCATATTTTCCCTTTTTCGACTAACTTTCCTCAGTCATTCTCTTTATTTGTTAATGCCCGAAAAAGGCAAAACAAGTCACAATACGAGTGCTGCTACTCGTATCTTTAGCAAAGCATTATTATAACAAGACGTTTTATTAATGGAGTTATATATACATATATGTGTGTATGTATGTATGTATACATATAATTACTTGGTTCTTTATATCTAATACATTAAATTCTAGATAGTTAACTATTTGCAGGAAATAAAAAAAAAATGCTACTACAAGATAACTGCATATTTTTTTTATAGTCATAATATAAGTACTAGTTGATTATTATCGATTTTTTACAAGTAATGAATCATTTCTTTTATAAATCATAAAGTTTCTTTATATGTGTATCTTTATTTTTTTTTTTTAGCTAAGCTATAGCATTATATATATCTGTGTGAGTAAAAGTAATAGTAGAATTATTATCAACACAGAAGTGACGTTTTTTTTTTCCTTGAATATGCCGACACATAAATTACACTGTGACACTTTCTATTTCTTTTTTTTTCTTTTCCTTTTTTTTTATCCTTTTAGAAGAAGAAGAAAGAAAAAAAAAACTCCCATTATGAGTGGACAAAAGAAGGCTATTGTATTTTTATGTGAAGGCACAGAAGAAATGGAATTTACCATTTCAGGTATAATATAAAATAATAATAATAATAATAATAATAATAGTAGTAGTAGTAGTATTTAAACATAATCAATCATTTAATATTTTCATGTTCATAGTTGATGTCTTGAGACGCGCCAAAGTTGAAGTGACAGTTGTTGGTGTTCAACTTTCAAATGATTTTGCAGTTTGTAGTCGTGGAGTTAAGATTATACCTGATGTTAAATTCGAAGAAACTACATTTGATGCTGTAAGTAAGATAGATAGAGAGAGAGAGAACAACAAAGAGATACGATTACTTGACTCATCCTCTTATATCATTAGGATAATTATGACGCCCTTATTGTCCCTGGTGGTGCAGGAAGTGCAAAGACATTAACAGCTCATGAAGATGTTCAAAAGTTAATTATGAACTTTTATAATAAAAAGAAAATTGTTGCTTTTGTTTGTGCCGGTACTCTTGTTGCAAAAGCTGCTAGTATTCCTCATAAACATACTGTTACATCTTATCCTGGCGGTGTAAAAGAACAACTAGTGAATGGTAAGAGAAAGAGAATAGAAATAGTGTAGTATAGTATGAATATGATGTATTGATATCTGTCTATATATAAACAGTTTATAATTATTCCGAGGATCGTGTTGTAGTTGATGATAATGTCATCACAAGTCGTGGTCCTGGTACTTCATTCTTATTTGCTTTAACCATTGTTGAACAGTTAGTTAATGTTGAGGTAATTATATTAGTCTAAACTAGTAAACAAGGATAACTGAACTAAAATCATAATATATAGACTGCTAATACCCTTAGAGAGGAAATGGTAACTTACAAGATTTTGTAAAGTAAAAAAGAGGAGTTTACAGTCTTTTTTTTTTTTTTGTTATTTCTGTCATTAATAAAAGAACTGCACCAGTATATTATTTTGTATGTATTGGAATCCATATTTGTATAAACAGAATTACAATATGAATTGAAACGATAACATGCTTTCCATTCTTTGTACGTTATCTAATCTTGAAATTATTTGGAAAATAAAAATAATGCCTTCTTGAAATCAATTACTGCTACGATTCTTTTTGTAGGCTTTATCACAGCATTTCTACTTCAAATTCAGACGATGTTAGTATTTTTTTCGACGAATCAGAATTTATTTTCAGACACTTAGCTTATCTTTTTTTGGAAGAAGCGAAAATGGAGACAGAATGTTAGACGGCTTAAAATGCAACTGTAGACTAACAAGTCATTTATTTATTTTTTACCTCCTGCCTACATGGATGTTACTGGCAAACAACCTTAAGAAGGTTTAACTAGCGTATTATAAAAAAAAATTCCATCTTTTGGTGTTGATTTAATTGTACAATGGGAAACCAATTTACGACTGCGCTGAGCAAATTTAAGGATTTTTTTTCTTCGATTCAGGGGTGGATTCTTTAAAAAAGACAATCAGCTTCTCGAGCATTCGTACCATTATAGCACTATACGATGTAAGAGTAGGACTCAAAACTCATTTCTTAATCATAACCTATATTAAATCTTGGGAGCCAAAAAAAAAAAAAAAGGATCCGAGATCTCTTTGTCTCTTTAAACTAACAAGTTCATATCAGTATTCAGCCAGTCTAAGAGAAACACAAATAAGTAGACAGTCTGCGCTTAGATTATATAACTAATAAGTAAGACATCTTTAGTGATAATCTTGTGATGTGATCTTCAATAAACCATATTTTAATCTTATTGTATTGGATCCCAGATCGATAATTATGTACTGAATTTTTGCTATGCTATTTCTTCCTCTCTCTTTTGCTGTTTGTCTTTTATTTTTTTTATCTTTCTTTTATTAATGACATGTACACCCATATATCCTGAAGCCAAATCACTCATTGCAGCAAAAAAGCTGGCAAAACTAGAAAGCATTTTGAAGCTTTGGAAAATTTACCGCAAAAGAACAGGCTATTTTTGAACTCTATATACACAGATGAATACACTTGCAGAGTCTCATTTTGTCGAAAGACAAGTGAACCTTCTGAGAGTGCTTCTCTTTAATTAGATGATTTCAATCAAGAAGAGATTAATAAATATTTCAGACTGTGCACCGTAGACCCCGTCCGTAAAGAATGTATTTGTATCTTATCATGGGAACAATGATATTCGAAGTCTTTCTAGTGCAGAATATTACAATATGATGGGAAATATGAATAGACTCAAAAAAAGAACACAAAAGAAAGCAAGAATTAGGTTTAACTAAAATTGAAACTGATATCCCAACACCGAAAACAGTATCATCAGAAGATTACCTTCAACATGTGTTATATATGATGGAGCATATGAGCCGCTTATTTGAATTTTATGGGTTTAACACTGCAAGATACGGATGGAAAAACTACGTTGGCTCTCAAATCGCTATAGAAACAAGCGTCAATATTTTGTTAAATGGAGGTAATAAGTATAACAAGGATAGAAGAAAGAATACGAAGTGAAACAGAAGAAGAAGAAGAAAAGCCAGAAGGGTTGAAGATAATCAAGAGGAACGAGCGGCTGCCAATTCACAATTGAAAAGGTGTAGGAAGAACAAAAGCTGTTTTGAAGAAGGCGATCGCAAGAAAATGCCTCTTGTAATCTTTGGTGTTGGCCTTCAAAACAAGGATCATATCAAATTCAAAGGTCTTCGACACGGCGTTTCAAACAAGATGTATAGGCAATTAAAGCATAGAGACAGATTTGGAGAGTTGTTACTTTTAGATATTAATGAGTATAAAACCTCCAAGGTTAGTACAACAATGTCCATATATCATATGTTCTAAACAGCATCCTTATATATCTATAACTCTTGCTTGAATCAAGACCTCAAGAATCTGAAATGTGGGGAAGGAGACGATATCAAACGAATCCATCAAGTATTGAAGTGCAACACTTGCAATATTTTTTTGGAATCGTGATGTGATGGCATCCAAGAATATGTTTCTGATTGCTTCTTCAATTTGGAATGGAAACGATTGCCCTATTGTCTTCATACGACAAAGCACCACCTCCAATGTGGTTGCCACATCTCACTCTGATGAGGTGCTGGCTTAAAGATACCTGCAGGTAAGAAGTCTTTACGAAAAAAAAAATAGCGGTATACCTCGTCCATGCCCCTATCATCCTTCTCAAACGTTCAGTCGTACTCATTCTATTGAGTGTCTACATATGCACCATCGACTCCAAATGCCAAGAACGGTCACCGACCCACTCTCCTTCCTGCTAAATCAACTACCTACTAAAAAGCTAAAATGCTCACAGGATATGGCTCCTTGGACAATCCGTTGGCCAGCTATTTGTACCATTCTACATGAAATGGATTACCTCTTTCATGAAAAGCTACCTCTAGATCCTCCCTCAGAACCCGGCTCACTACTGGTGAAATGGTTACTCAACTAACAGTGCTAATACCCTTGTACTGTCTCTTACTGATCTTTTTTTTTCAATTGCTTTATTTTTGTCTAACTCGTTATATTTATTTTATCCTTTTACACATATACTTTTATCCTTTTCCCTTTTGTCTCAAAAGAGGGTTTTTCTTACTTGTATACTATTAGAACTGACTAAGGCAATACAGCAGATAAAAAATGCAATGTGCTCATTTGGTAAAAAAAAAAAAAAAAAAAAAAAAAAAAAAAAAAAAAAAAAATTAATTTTAAACGTAAGCAGCATTTTGAACACAGCAAATAATAAAAGTTTCCTTATAAATATAAACAGTCATTTTTTTTTTTTTTACCCATTAACATCAATGTAGATTATGCACATTTGTTTTTTCTTTTATTATTCATTATTCAATATGGCTTGGATGTGTTCAGGTTTATATATAATTATATAAAGCTTAGATTGTATACGTAAACATACATATATAATAACATAATAGTATTACATAAAAGCTAAAACAAATGAAGCACTCATTAAAAACTTGCATCAAGCAAACATATTAAAAAATGAAAGAGTCATTCAAGCAATGAAAACCATTGACAGGTTATATTTCTTTTTTTTTCATAAGCTGTACTTATATATAATATCAGAAAGGATTATTGTCCAAGATATGCATATGATGATAGTCCACAATCTATTGGTTATGGTGCAACAATATCTGCCCCGTAAAGTTATAAAAAAAAATAAATAAATAAATAAAATAAGCAAAGATTTAATATTTGTATATAATAGACATATGCATGGTTATGCTTTAGAATATTTGGAACCTTATCTTAAACCAGGAATGAAAGGTATAGATTGTATATACCTTGTGTGTATTTAATTAACATAACGAAATAATTGCAATAATAGCTTTGGATATCGGTTCTGGATCTGGCTATTTATCTGCCTGTATGATGCAAATGGTAAGTCCACATACAGACAGAGACAAGAAATTTAACAAAAAAATAAATTAATTTTAAGGTTGAATCCAATGATGGCAAAGTTATCGGAATTGAACATATAAAAGAGTTGGTAGATTCTTCTATAAGAAATGTACAAAAGAGCCATCCAGAATGGATTCATAATGAACAGTTGAAATTCATTGAAGGTGATGGAAGGCTTGGATATGAGCCAGAAGGACCTTATGATTGCATGTAATATATAAATATTTATTATAATAGTAATCCTAAAACTATCAGAAACTAAGAATAGGCTTCCTAGTCATGTAGGAGCAGCAGCACCTTCGACACCCGAGAATTTATTAAAACAATTGAAATCACCTGGAAGGTATAAGCTTATAAATGGCTTGATAAAGAATGAATCATAATGCTTTTATTTTTATAGATTATTTATACCTGTTGGAACCGACACACAATGGGTTATGATATATGATAAAGATGATAAAGGAAATATACATGAAAAGAAATGGATTGGAGTACAAGTAAATCAATTCTTATTATCATTATATTTATATCATTTATAATTATTTTTTTTTTGTTATTTAGTATGTACCTTTGACAGATGTAAAATATCAAAAGACTACATTGTATGGATAATAAACTGGTAGTTGCTACTGTTGCTCATCATCGAATATTGAACCCAGTTTTTCTATTTTTTTTCTTTTCTTTTCTTTTCTTTTCTTTTTTTTTTTTTTTTTTTTTTTTTTAAATCTAGGGTGGGGGCAAAATGGATAATAATTCACCCCTTCTTCATTCTAAGTGGTTAAACGTAGTTTGCAATTTTTTTTCTCCACTTTTCTATATTTTGTCATTGACATTTCTATATTAACTTTACTCTTTTTTTGTTTTTCTTTTAAATACATACATCTATATTTGTTTATGTTAAACTATTATTAATAAAGTCATGTATGATATAACATATAAATCAAAAGAAAATAGTAGTAAAAAAAGAGTGAGAGCAAGTCAAGCATGTGTACACTGTAGAAAGAAAAAAGTAATTCTATTTCCCTTCTCTCCCCCTCCCCTTTATTTTCTTTTTTTTTTTTTTTTTTTTCTCGTGTTAATACTAAACAAAAAAAAAAAAATTAAAATATAATTAGATCAAATGTGATGAAAGCAGACCTAGTTGTACACAGTGTCAAGAAGTCAATGTTATGTGCGAATATACTGAACCAAAGAAAAGAGGACCACGAAAAGGATATGTTCAATTATTAGAAGAAAGACTTGCTCAAATGGAAAGAAGATTGATGGGTCCAGGTATGATGACTACTACTACTCTTGATAAAGATGATAGTAGACGTTTACCTCCTTCACCAACGACAATGAAACAGTCATCACCTGTCCAATTATATAAAGATTTAGGTCAGTTCTTTTAAATATTAGAGTAATATCGACATGATGTGCTTATAATCCTATTTATCCCTGTATTAGAAAGTCCATCTGATCTTCCGCCTATAGACATCGTAAATCATCTCGTTGACATATTTTTTAAATATATCAATTCTGTATTTCCTTTTGTACATCGCGCTATACTTAAGAAACAGATCCAAGATGGATTTGTATCACGTCCATTATTGTACAGTGTCTTGGCCATTAGTGCAAGGTGATTATTTATTTAATATTAGCAGTAACTTAATTTTAAAATAATTCTTGTCTCTCTGTTCTATTCTTTTTAGATTTTCCGATCATCCATTAATTAAAACAAATCCACCTTATTTAGCTGGCGAAAGATTTGCTGAAAAGGCACTTTCATTAGTCGATGCAACTACACTACAGCCTAATCTAGATAATATTCAATTTTGGGGCATTATGTCTTGTCTAGAATATGGACGTGCTTCAGGTTCAAAGTAAATTATGGCAATCGGAATTAAATTGACCCATTAACTTTTTGTTTTTTTTTTTTTTTTTTTTTTTTTTTTTTTTTTTTTTTTTTTTTTTTCGTACTTTATAGATCTTGGATTTATGGCGGTTTAGCAATAAGGTAAATCAAATACCCTTTTGTAACTTTTTTTTTTTTTGTTATCTTTGGTTCATAACGGTCGAAATATCTTATTATAATAATAGTAATAATATTTTTTTTTCTTTAATAGATTTTGTCAAGAATTAGGATATTATAAAGAAGAAACACTAAGTACACCAATTCTTAATGAAGATGGATCTATTGATACAGTATCCATGGCATTACATAGAAGAGTCTTTTGGAGTTGTCTATGTATTGACAAGTAAGTTATAAAGAAAGAAAGAAAGACAGAAAGACAGAAAGAAAAAAAAAGTGTTTTTTTTTTCACTCAAGTTATTATATCCTTGAATTAACATAAATGTACGTAACAATTTAAAGATTATCTAGTGCTGGTACACATCGACCTCAATGTATAGAAAGATCAGATTGTGATGCAAATGCACCTAATATATCAGAATGTATTATATTAAGAGACCCTACCTTTCATCGAAATGTGGATGGTCAAGCCATATCAGATGATTCTCTTATGACTATAGCAAAATATTATATGATAAGTGTAGAAAATTATGGCGAAGTAAATCGATTTATGAATAGAGCCAAATCAAGTTCAGCTTCTATTCTGTGGCCTCCTATTGCAGAATTTAGAAATTTAGATATACAACTACGTACCTGGAAGGATAGCTTACCAGAATCTTTTCAGTTTAATTTTAAAAATTTAAAGCATCATCGACAGTATGCAAGTGCAAATTATTTGAATGTTTGGTTATCAAGTCATGCTATATGGTGCTCAAGTATGATGATCCTTCATCGTGGTAGTCTTGCATTTAGTGATGTGGTTAAACCTACAGAGTCTATCTCAGAAGACTTGTATCGTCGAATTCAGACAAGTATTGATATGTGTCGTCTCTGTGTAGATGCTGCGATGGGTATATTTGAAGCTATAAAAGATTTATGTGGTTACAATACTTTACCCTATATGGGTTATTCTGCCTATGTTTTCGCAACTGTACTGATGACTTCAACATTTTCAAATACACCAGAGTCATGTAAAAAGAGTAGTCGAGGATTAAAAATCTTGTACGATCTGATTGATGTAAATATACCTGCTGCTATTTTTAATACAAACAGATCATAATAGCTCTTTTTTTATTTACAAAAAAAAAATTCTTTAGGGACTTCGACCTTATTGGCCTATGTGTGAAAGATTAGCAAATGCTACAAAGGAACTTTTAATAACACATCAAAAGCTATATCAACAAGATTCATTATCAACAACATCTTATCCTACTTTTTCATATAATATGATACCTAATAATGATACGACAACGGCAGCAGCAGCAGCAGCAGCAGCAGCAGCATCAGCAGCAGCAACAACAACAACAGCAACTAATACTACTACAAAATTAGCCTATGCAAATATAAACCTACCTGATATTCATTCAAAATCATCACCTAGTACTCATTCATCATCACCTATCACAACCTTGTCAGCTTCACCTATTCATCATCAAAGAACATTAGAGGCACCCCCTGTGTCTTCTTTACTTGGACAGACAACAACGACAACAGAACCAGCTGTTATACCTCCTTATCACCAGCAACAACAACAATACCTCTTGCCGTCTTCATCACCTTCATCTCATCAATCTAGGTTTTTTAACATGCTACGTCCTGAACAACAACAACAACAACAACAAGAGAGTTTATCAGCTTTAGCTACAAATTGGAATAGAGGAAATGAAATAGATTTTAATAGTTTAGAATTTTTATATGATACAGGTCTTTTTGGACAAGTAGTTTTTGATGTTACAAACACACCATCTCATTATCAATCCATTATGCAGACACCTCCCCCTTATATGACAACAACTATACCGAACAGTAGTAATCAAACAGCAACACCTAGTACAACAGCATCGATCTCCCCAGTCAATTCATCTGCTTTTCAAACCCTTTTACCTTCACAATCATCTAATACATACAAATCTTTATGGAATTAAAAAAGAGAGAGTAATAAAAAGAAAGGGAACTATTTATTTATTTATTTATTTATTCATTTTATAGATAAGAATTATGTTATCTTCTTATCATCTATAAATGGACTTATCTAATAATATCTTTTTTTTTTTTATTTTCTACAAGGCATTTATTACGGATAGGTCAGGAGAAAAAAAAAGATTACATTTTATTATGTATGTAAATGACTTCAATTTCATATATAAAATGTGTAGAGGAATATATTATTATTGTTATTGTTATATTATTATGAAATCGATTGATTATGTTAGCAATAAGCAATGCTTACATAATTATCAGATTAAAAAGAAAGAGACTCGAAATAAGAGTAATAAAGCAGAGATAAATAAGAAGCAACGACATCAAGATTATTTTTATTTTTTATTCTCTATTTATTCAAACTATTCATCTTCTATTTTATTGGAAAATAAAGGAAATACAGCTAGAGACCATTTAGCGAATGAAAGAACCTATTTAGCATGGTTTAGAACCTCTTTAACTTTAATCACGTTTAGTATCGGTATAGTAGTAGTAGTAGTAGTAAAAATGATACAAGACAGACGCTTCTATCTGTAATAACTATCTACCTCTTTTTATAGGTATGATTCAACTGTATCATAACAATAATAGTTCCAATCAAAAGTTTATCAAAACCTTAGGTTTAATAAGTATGCTCTTTAGCATTCTCTTTTTGTATTTCGGTTATGTTCGATACTTTCATGTTCAATGGGCGTTGCAACAAGGTGCTTTTCCAGCAAGTAGAGGGATTATTGTTTTATCTTCATTTTGTATCTTATTTATCTTCATTTCTATCCTTACTATCATGCTCTTAAATTAAAAATAGATATATGTATATACATATATTATATATACACATTTATATACTATACAATATACGCATAATTTTTTTTATTTTTTCATTTTTATTTTTATTTTTATATTTATATTTTTATTTTTTAAAAAATATTATAGTAATGATAAATAAATCAACAGATTCCAAAGTAGAATTAACAAAGATCGATTATAAATTAAAAAATGCTATAACTAAATTAACGTCTTTACAAGCCATTACAATAAATAAAAAGTTGACATCTCATTACAGTTATGGAATAAATAGTGATTCATGCATTAGAGATAGATTTGACATTACCATTCAATTAAAGCCCTTTGAAGATATTCAGTGTAACTTATATATGATGATAGTTTTGAAATAAAATGTTAATCGCTTGTCATTGTAGGTCAGATCATATTTGACTCAAATAACTACGATTTTCCTCCTGATATTATTTTTAAAAAATCATTTTTTGCCACAAACACAGATTTGATAAAGCTTTTACCTTCAAAAGACTGGAATATTGATAATGAAGATTGTCTTTATGATTGGTTTAAAAGCATTTTGAATATCATTAAAATGGTAAAATTAAATAAATATTTGATTTACTATTTCTTTTTTTTTTTTTTTAACTTTTTTTGCATAGTATGAAAAAGATACTACTATTTTCGAGAAAAATGATAAAAGAAAGACATGGGATTTATTCGAAAATACAAAGAGAAAGAATGATGAAGACAGTGTAGATTTAGAAGATCCTTTTAAACCCTATCCTATTTTCAACAAAAACAGTAGTCCAATTTTACAGCAAAAGAAGAGAATAAAGCAATCTAACTCTGACAATGATTTCAAGCTATTTGATTTGACTGCTTCATCCAAAAATAAGCCTCAAATAACAAAAGAAGAATTAGAAAAACAAATACTATGGAGAAAAGAGTTTATGACTTCATGGATCAAGATGTACAAAAAGTAGGAAGAATTTTTTTTTTTAACAAAAAAAGCTCAGTACTTACATATATAACAAATCTAGTCATATAGTGCAATATGATGCTAGAAACTGTGAATCATTTGCATTGTACCTTAATTTTAATATTCCAGAAAGTAATAACGATAGTTGGGAACAATATAAGAAACAAAAACAAAAAAGCCTTGAAAATTTTGATGCTATAAATAAGATACCCAAAGCAAAACCAAATGCTCCTATGCTTATTAACTGTAATAAGTAGTATAAATATCCTTTGCTTATGATTTTTAATTTACTTATTTATTTTTATAGTCAAGTTAAATTCTTCGGATAGTATTTTAGAAATCCAGTTAATATCAGTCATGAATACAAAGGAGATAGGCTCTTCAGAACCTGATTTAATAACTATTGATTTTAAAACTGATACTTCAAAAAGTATATCAAGCCAGATTGATTATATTAAATCTATTATTCGTAAGGCTGCTATTAGGTTCCATTTGTTTCAAGAAGAATAGTCATTCCCATCCCTCCCTTTTTTTTTTCCCTATATTAAAAGGCAAAGAAAATGAAGAAGATAGAGTACCCTATCTGTATAGCAGTTTGTTGTAGACCTTTATTTATTATTAAATTTCGGAAATAAACAAAAGAATATAGATATATATAAGAGTCTTTGGTCGTATCATGTATATTAGACACCGGGTATATATAAAATTACAAGAACAAAGCATTATAGAGTATTGAGGCATATTATATTTTTACTGATATTATTCATAATAAAAAAAAGTTACGAGAACTAATTTAACAATCAGTAACTTTGATTTATTACCAAAGTTTTGAGTTAAAGTCTATAATCGTTTCCAATTCTCAAAGCATAGAATACTAACATCTATATCCATTTTAAGTATTCTACATTTTCCTTTAGCAAACATATTGATTACAACTGTTATTAACAAGATTAATTTAATATAAATCCAAGCTTAATAACAACTTTGTAAAGATAGCGTATTAAATGTCAATAGTTGGTTAGGGAAAAGTATATCGACATTTTTTTTTTTTTTTTTTTTTTTTTTTTTTTTTTTTTTTTGTTTCTAGCATTGCTTGTCAATAGCTACAGTAACATCAATATTACACAAGTTCATAAATAATACAAAACTAGACCAACGTTCATTATTTTTTTTAACTAACTACAAGTTAGATAAGTTAAGCGGTTGGATTTATTGTGATAAATAATCTATTTTAGCTAATGAAAAAAGGTATAAATTTCATCTATAACCATATTACTACCCATATGTTATCTTCCACAAAATCATACCAATATAAACGATTATGGTACTAAACATTTACCGAATCAATTCTTTGCATACATTTATATTTTTATTCTTTTTTAGTGCAAGCTCGACTGTGAGAAACTATATAAAGTGAAACTGATAAATATTTTCGCTTATTTCTAGAAACTGGTCGCACGTACACACACACACACATACACACACACAAAAAGATCGTTCAAAATTAAATTTTGATTGCACTAAAAAATGATAAAGGTCGCTTTTTTCATAAAACCAAAAGTCGCAATTTTATAAAACAAAGATTGTAGAAAATTAAATGCTGGACGTACTTTTATAGATACTGGTCGTACGTTTATAAATCCTGATGATACTTTTTTGAAAGAAAAAAAAAGTTGCACTTTATGCTTGCTTGGTGAAAATCAACAATGGTCCAGGAACAGCATCTGAATGTCAAGTTCAAGGGATCAGCTAAGTTGTTATTATTATATGATGGTCTTAACATGTACAGTACAGTATAAAGACTTTATAGGCTTCTTGGTGTTCCTTTAAAAATACTAGATCAAACATATTTAAAAATAGCAAATATCTTCAGCCTCATTGCCATATTAATATTTCCTATTGGTAAAAGTAGATTTAATATAATATTATTGTATCCATAATTATACAAAATACTAACTTAGCAAATGGCTTCTGGTAGCTATATAAGACTTCAAAAAAAAAAAAAAAAAAGCCTACACCTCCCAAAAAATAAAGAAAGACCAACAAAGTCAAAGGGGTAAAAAGAGCTGCTGATGAACATGATGAGCAAGGACAAGAGCAAGATCAAGACAATCAAGTAGTAGATCCAGAAGAAGAAGATCCCATTACTGGTAGAAAAGTCTCCAAGGGTACTACCACACTTCACTTTATAAAGTTTATTAACGAACTGCTGGATGTTATGGATAAAGATGAAAAAGTTCCAAAATTCATACCTGGTCTTCGACACTATCGGCACATATAAATATGATCCGTTGTACCGCAACATAGAACAAAAAAGTTGTCATGTGTGCCTTCTTTCTGCTTCCTCACCCGAGCTTAATGCAATTGAACAATTCTGGGGGGGTGATGTCAAAGGGAAAATGAAGTGATCACACATAAATCTGTCCAAAGAAAACTTATCAAGTATAATAAAAGATGCCAGCAATGCAGTACCAGCTAGCAACTTGTACAATTTCTGTGTTTATTCAAAATGTATGATAAACAATTGCTATATTAAAAGACCAATGTAATTTATTTATTTTTAAATAAAGTTATAGTTATCAACTTGTTGCACTCTATATTAGAATACTTGAAAACTACAACCTCCAGTAAATCTTGTCTGACTTGCCCAATGTTGGTAGAAAAGCCAGAAGTTGAAGATATCCGTATGAAAGAGGCAAGCACAAAGCGGGACTATATGCGTTATACTGTTCAGAATAAAGCTAGATTTTTCGGTCTGAAGATTGAAAAGTGCATGAGTGTATCAGCTACAACGAAGTAGTTGGGCATTCACATTCGAACAGCACAGAGATGGGTTAAACAGTATAGTATGTGCCCTGATACTATTTTTGACAGCTGTAACAGAGTAGGTCGCAAGTGTGTACTCTAACCGAAGAACATAAAAAGACTGTTATCAATTTCATTGATGCTTCTGTTGTTGAAGTGACCAAGCATTTATTGAAATGGTTCAACGATCTTAAAATTTCGCGCAGTACTGTTTATAAATTTATAAGAAGTGAATGTAACTTTTCATTGAAAAAAGCAGATTTCCATTCTATCGAAAGAAACGGTCCATCAGAGATTGAGGAGCGGTGCAATTGGGTTTGTCAATGGGAAAATATAGACATAAACTTCCTGGCCAACTGCGTGTTTCTTGACGAGTCTGCTTTTGATTTAAACATGAAACGCTCAGGAGCCTAGTCCAAAAAAAAAGGTACTCGTGCTATTATTATTAGATCTACTACGAGAGCAAACACAATATCTATCTTGGGTGCGATCTCTGCCTCAGGTTTGAGAACAGTTGGTGTAAAAAAAAAAAAAAAAAAAAAAAAAAACAAGACATGCTAAAAAGAGAAAGGCTGATGGATACATAAGCTCAGGAGCTATTACATGTTACTATATTAGTTTCTTAAAAATGACTCTTGATGAAATGGATAAACATCCACATATGAAAGGTTACTATATTGTGATGGATAATGCATCAATTCACACTCACAAAAACATAAAGAGATATATTGAGTATCGAGGATATAAATGTGTATATCTTCCTACCTACTCTCCTGAGCTTAACCCAATAGAATAATTCTGGGCAATAGCAAAGAGTAAGGTTAGGCGTCATAGATTTTTACAGGATGACACTTTATCAAAAAGAATTGCGGAAGCCTGCAAAAATGTGGAGAAAAGTCACTTCAGAGGTTTCGTTTCACATTCTTACAAGTGTTGGGATAAATGCTGAAACAAAGAACTCATGTAATGGCACAAATGACTTAAATCACAATGCACAGATAAGAATCAGGTAAGAAATATTAGATCAAATATATATACATATATATATTTATATTTGCAATGATGATGATTTTTTATTAATAAGACAGCACAATGTGAAGTGAAACTGCATAGACAGTTTGTTAAGATAACAAGGAGTTATTATCAATATATATATTTATTATAGTTAGGTTACTTTGGCGGGTAGAGATAGGGTAATCATATTTGAACGGGATATAAATTAATCGTGCATTGGGCTGCTGGGCATGCTCATAGGACCATGCCCTGCTACAATACTTGTATGCTTTCTTTCATTTAAGCAAATTATCATTGGATTTACAATTCTGCAAAGTTTTTGTGGCTTCTTGTCCTTTGATCGTAAAATCGGTTTATATTCTTGTTTGAGCTCCTTCAGCACTAATAAAGTTTCCTCGCAAGCAATCTATATTCTCAATACTGTGAGTTAATACATTCTTTCTCTATTTAAATCGTGCCCTTAGGTCATCCAACTTACAGCAAGTGTTTTAAAGAAGCAGATAAACGGAAGAACTGTAATATCTTTTTCAGAAAAACTGATAGGTACATTCACCCTCTGCTCTTTGGTCATGATATAGATTCCGGGTGCCTGTGTTGACATTGACCAATGTCTGATGGAATTGCCTATGCAAAGTAAGAATACAGTTATTCACATCAAATGCACTTAAACATAGTATTGCACGAGTCACTTACCATGGGCATGCAGGAAATGGATCTTCAATTTTGTGAAAGTGTTGAATGAGGCTTTGTCGTATAACTGCGCCACTGTTCGTATCATTGCCAACATACCACACATGGCTTTATAATGGTCAAAACTTATTTTACCAGTCTCATTTGAGCCATATCCAGACGACACTTCGGTCAAAAGGATTTCAATTGCAGAGAGATCATTGACTATGAGCGTTCCATCAGCATTATACTTATATCGGCCGTCATTCATTCCTTTCTGTTTTAGTTGTATGGTCATGGCATTGAGTCCAATTTCTCCTGGAAAGAAGGTAACGTTGTGGTTCACATTGCGTAAATATTTGGTAGTGGTTATCATACACCTGTCAAATAGATAAGATCGGTAGCAAGATTCAGATTTTCGAAGTACTTCGAGGCCACAATCGTCAAATATATAGTCATTTCTAAAAAAAAAAAAGGATTGCAATTAAGTATGTCTTCAGGTCTTTACTACTTTCATTTACAAAGTGCGACAAATATCGACAATCAGTTTTTTTTTTCTGCAATGAGGATTGGATCATCAAGCATAACACAGCTCAATAGGTCAATACAGCTTTGCATTTTAGTATTAGATTCCTATAATACTAGTAGAGTTAGATTTTCTTATTCCTAACTCCATTGCTGATAACTACATACCGCATCGAATATAGCGATGGACATCTCAGCAAGACATGGGCTTATATCCTGCATCGTGACTAACGGTATTTTTTGGTTTAGCTTGTCATATAGAACAGGAGGTAGACAGCTTCTCCATCGTACTAGCTTCCCGCACCAAATCACGTTATGCCTTTCAGAGCTAAATATAATAAAAAGTAAGAACACGTAATTGTTGCCAAATAGTACTCTTTTTACCTCAGTTGCATTAAATATTCCTTATTTTCCTGGTCGTCAAGGAATTGCTTCCATTCTTCCCAAATACTGTCCTTTTTATAATCACAGTTGTCGTAATTGTCATGGTCATTGTCATCGCCTTGTTCACTGGTTTGATTGTCATCAACCATGGTAAACACCTTCCTTTTACTTGCCCTAGTACGGCGGCTTGGACCTTCTTCACAATTGTTACCATCTATAGGCCGTTTTCTAGCATTTTCTTTTTCTTCTTCATTGGCCACTTGTTCAGCCATAGCGCTTTTTAATCGAGTCTACAGGTTCATTGTATGGTATAAAAGTGAGTATACGCGTTCAATTGCACGAAGTGCAGGAATGCGTAGCATTCATATTACCTTTTGAACACCATATTTCAGCGTTTCTTGAGCCATTTGGTCGGCATAGCTGACAAAAAATGTATTAAATTTTTTTTTCCTCTGAAATCTATAAAGACTGGTTAACGACAGTAAAAATAATAATCATAATGAACTGAAAAAATAAAGTATATTGACCTGCAAACTGGATGCCATCGTACTTGCCATTGTCTCAGCGATTGTGCCTGCTATCACATGATTTTTGATTATCGTCGCGTCATTAATGAGCCTATTGGATGCGCTACGTCTGGTGAGTGCAGGGTCCTGAGTAATTAACTTGGATAAATAATTTGTGATGGTCCAATTGCATGGTTCAGAGGTCCAAAAATCTATACAAATGGTAAATAAAAATAAAAATAAAACGCATGCAATCAAATATTTCTAAAGAAGTATGTCCATTGTATCTTGGTTTTCATAATTGAAATCATGACCATCTGGGAGTAAAAGCTGTAAAATATTCATTATAACCGAATTGTACTTGATTTCAGCAGGCATCACATTGAAATAGTCAGGCATGTGAACTTGCTGAATGTATTTCTCTATATATGTGAATTCAAACCCTTCTTTGAAATTCGTTGAAATTCCTTTAATATCTCCATTAGCTCTCTCAAAACTGAACAACCAGGTTGAATACATAGGGCCAAAGTCACGAATGGTTTGACACAAATGTAAATGCATGTGTATATTGGAAGTAATAAAATTTGCACCATATAACTTTATATTTGATTTCACAAATTCCACAAGAAGATTATGAGCAATATTGATTTCATTACCGGTAACCGAAGGAGAAGCTAATATCTGGTTTGCTCTTACAAATCGTAGCCAATTGATCATATGTTCACCTGCTATTCTTCCTTTTAAAAGCAACAACGAGTATACCACTGTCCAGGAACGGAATTCATCACCTTTCAAACTTGAAAAATTAGCAGAGATTTTAGCACTTAATGTAGAGAATTGTGGAGGAACGATGAGTTTTTTTGTCTGTTGTGCCATTTTGGTAAGATCTTTACTGGTTAAGAAGTTTTCTGTGAAATTTAAATTTTTTTTTTGGTGGATTTCCAATAATTGATCATTTTCTTTGCTGTCCCAAGATAAAGGTTACGTAATCCATCAACAGTAGTACAATGAACAAGATCCAAGTAATGCAGCCTATGTAGTTCACTCCATCTTACTCCATAGTTGTTTTCAATTGCTTTACGTTCTGCAGTTGTTTTAGCGTCCCTTTATTTCACTGCTTGTTCATAATTTGATTGTTTATTTCTAGGTGTCCATGGTTCACAATCAACATTATCGAAACGACCTAGATTTGGTTGTCCTTCTTGTCCAGGAAACTTATTGGCACATTTGTGACATGAAAGATAGGAATTAAATGCAGTAAATCCACAAGTCTTCTTCAAAGCAGGTATGTCACAATTAATAGTACTCAAGGCACAACGAATAGTTCTTCCTTCAGGAGCATTAAAAATGGATATAACGATACAATCATAAAGTTCCAACAATTCATCTACCATTGGACGTAGGAAATGGTTTATATTTGATAAAGAGGGTTCAGAGGGTCCAGGAATTAAACCGACAAGAATCATGTTGTACTTTTTGAATCGTTCGTTCCTAGGAAGGTTGTTTATAATTAAGTAAATAGCCCCAACCCGATAATTCATGGTCTTTGTTGGTGTGAACCAGTCGATATTCAAGCTTAACATGAGGGAACCATCTTTTTGAATGAATGGTGCATTTTCTCCATCTTTTTTGAATTGTTGAAGGTATTCACCATCAAAAAAATCAAACATCATTCCTTTAATAGTGCTTCTCTTTCGCCATTCATTTATTTTTTCTTCCAACTTTGGACGCATAGAGAATTTTTTTAGAGTTGCCTTAATTGAATTATAAGCATAGCGCTTAATTGGTTTAATGATGTTGTTGGAATCTTTTATTATTAATGGAGCATGACAACTTATTTCAGAGTATTATATAGTTTGAACACCATATTAGAACAATAGGACACCAATCCATTCATAACATCTTCATAATCATAAATGTAGTTACATTCTGGGCATACGACATATTTTTTAAGTCCTAATAATATTATAAATAATATATAAACAAAGCATTTTATCAATTTAATATATTGATAATTACCTTTAACAACAAAACCAGCGTTAATTCTAGCTTTTACAGTGCTAAGCTTTGAAGGAAGAGTATAACTTGATTGAAATAAGAAAAAAACGGCGTTCATAAACTTTAATAAAATTTTGGTAGACAATATAGATAAGCCAGCAATATTTTGGAAGAAATTAATAAAAAGCATAATAAATGCAGGTAAAACACCGATTATGCTTATATTAAAAAGCTGATTAAAGGCGTCCGCGGATGGTATGTTCGATTCTTTTGTATCAAAAAAAAAAAAATTAAATAAGACAACTTTGTAGAAAGTATTACATTTAGACCTCAAAAGATAGTTTTCAATGGATCAGAAAAAGTTGATAAAGCATTCTTATATAGATAACTAACAAGTATCTCGTTTAGAATAAAGAAGTACTGTAAATTGATACTTACAGTGCTGTAATAGTAATTAAACTGCGGTCTACTTTGAACTTCATTGCTAAGAGAAGCCTAAGGCAAGACCGATAGAGACATCAAATATCAAAATATAATTATATATGCCTTTCACCATCATCCGGATTCAACGTTAAGTTTTTAAAAAATATAATATTGAATAATACATATGATAATAAAATAGAGCAAAAAAAAAAAAAAAAAAAAAAAAAAAAAAAAAAAAAGGGTATAATTATTTAACTACAATAAAAGCAATTTTCTTCAAAAAGGATTAGAATCAAAGTACTTGTTTGTTGTTTTACAAAACCATCCTTTTTTCGTAAACACGAAGTCTTTTTCTTCATCATCAGTATCAGTAGTAGCATTACTGAAATCCTCCATACTGTCACTGTTGGAGCAATCGTCATCGCCATCAAGACTAGTACCTGAAGCAGTTTCATACGTATCGATGTTCTTTTTAGGGATTTTCGAAAAAGATACATCATTACAAGGTGGGTAGGTGCCATTGGCTCTCTGTTGTGCACTTTAGTGACTTACAAATATCGTGAGCCAAATGTAAACTTGGAGCAGAAGCATGAGCCGATAAGAAAAGAGCGCGTTATGTTGTATATACTTGTATTAAATCCGTTCAGTGAATCACCACACCATAACCAACTGATCGACTCTCATTAGGTAAGAGGTTCCCAGAGATTAGAACAGGACTTTCGACAATTACTTATCCTAAATTGACCTGTAGCTCTTTTCATCTTGGAAACAAGACAAGGTGATTCATACGAGCAGTTCAAAATAAGAGGTTTAAAAGTCTATAATACATATACTATAATCTTCGAAGCAAATAAAATCTGAATGACTTATTAAAGTGTTTTTTTTTACGAAATGCAACTTCTCGCCTTTGGAGCTAATAAATGCGCGTTAATGAATAGAATGTTAAGGATTTTTTTTATGTTTACTATTAAAAAATAATGTAAAAGAATATCTCAAAGGCGACCAAATAAAGTGACCAGCTGATTATGGGAAAAGTGACCAAGTAAAGTTCAAAAAAATAACCAATTAGACTTCAAACTTATGACCAAACAAGGCTGAAAAAAATAAGCAGTTCATTTTAAAAATCCGACTAACATTTTCAAAAAAAAAAAAAAAAATGTCCAATTGACGGCAGACGCATTATAATAGCTAAACCCCCAAGTCTTGCCCCTTCCATCCAAATGAACTCCTCACACACACGCTCACATAGTTTTTCTTGTTTGCATATGAATAACCGTCTTCAGATGCCCCAAATCTATTGAAGATCCACTCTCATATCTCTTGAACATATTACCATCAACATTCCATACTAAGAAAGTGAGAAAATCAATTGATGCCTGGCTCATACGCTGGCCTTCTATATGTGCAATTCTGCTTGGAGATGGACTATCTAGCTTCACTCCCAAATCCCTGAACCCTCTGACCATCATCTTCTTTCAATACAGTAACGATTCTCTGATAGTTAATCATCATCACTTATACATACACTTTAACATTTTCCCTTTTATATCCCAAAAGAGTTTTTCGTTCCTTTTTTTTCCATAGCGATCTGACCAGGGCAAAACAGCATATACAAATGCTATGTGCTCATTGGTCTTTTTTTTTAATTTTTTAAATAAAATTCTTCTTTAATGGTAATAGCTAAAAAAAAAAAGAGAATCAATAATTTCTGAAAAGAGTTTAGGGCACAAAATGTTTACGTTATTAGAATATTCGGGGCAAAGGATTCTCCTAAAGTAGCACTGTTCTTTTTTTTTTTTTAAAGAAATAGTATTCGACAGCCTAATACTGTGTTTCTTATTCTATTTTTCTTCTATTTCGGTAGAATCTGTTAATTGATTTATTCTATTTCTTAAATTCTCTTCATGTTTTGTACTTATTATAATCATTATGAGAAGTTTTTCTGAATAAAATAAAAAAAAATATACTCATTCAAACGTATGTTACAAAAAAATATAGAAAATCGTCTCATGTTAAAATTTATTATTTCTAAATAAATACTGCTTTTTTTTTCTTTTTTTTCCTTCTTTTTCTTTGTTATTTTTTTTTTCTTTTTTCTCTTATTTCACTATGACAAGCCAAGATTATAAATTTGAATTCTTAAACTTAACTTGCAATAGCCATCATCAAGAGGAAGAAGAGAAAACTTTTTCTTCTACACATGATCTTGCAGAAATGATGCTTTATGCATTTGTGGATAATACACCTTCTGTTGCTGACTTACTTTGGTCTAAACAACTGCTTCAACAAGATGATTTCTTAAAGCTTACTCCTGATAACCAAGAATGGGATGAAGAACAAGTCATTACCTTTTCTACCCATGAACCTTTCAATACATAATAAATATCTTCATAAAGTATCAATTATATATAGTTGTGATTGGCTGAATCAAAAAATAAAAAATAAAAAATAAAAAATAAAAATAAAATAAAAAATAAAATAAAAAATAAAATAAAATAAAATAAATAACGAAATTTGAATTCTATATCATTCCTTCCTTTTTTTTTTCTGAACATATAATGAGCTATTATAAATATGTCGTCACAGCACAGAAACCTACAGCAGTACAGTTTGCTGTAAAAGGCTCATTTACTTCATCGTACGAAACCAATCTCATTTTGGGGTACTAAATTTATTTCCACAAATGCAAAGATTATTCTTCATGTACTTATACTTTAAGTTTAGTAAAGGAACACGTATTGAAGTTTATACGATCACTCCTGATGGTTTAAAATCAACTATTGATTTTAGCATTCATGGAACTATCATTGCTCTGAATTTATATATACCTCAAGTAAATACATTAAAAATCTATCTATTATATATATATGTTTATACACATTTAAACGCGTTATATATCTAACCTTTGTTTCAAGTCTCGAAATAAGGCATCACTCTTCTTAATCACTTCTCGACATAAATACTGTGTTTTATCTTATGATAGTTCACAACAACAAATCATTACAGAATCAAGCGGTGAAATAGGTTTTCCTGGTCAGCCTGGTCATGAGACTTTAGATGCACATCTAACGATCGATCCATCTTGTCGATATTTTGCAACAACTCTATATGAATCTACAGTAACCATCATCATACCAGAATTTACAAAACCTAAAGAGTTTACAGTCCCACACGTATTACGAAAAATATCATTGCGTTCTAAAGAAGGTAGAAGACGCCAAGATATCACATTACAACATCCAAGTGATTATATAAACTTTAGGTATATAACAAAATAACAACTCCCATATACACAACATATGTATTTAATATTCCTTGCAGTTTATCAGATAAACAAATAGTTTCTTTAGCTTTTTTACAAGATACATCAACAGAATCTACATTACTTATTTTATATGATGATGCACTTGGACGCCGTTACTTGCAAGCTTTTACGATCGATCTTAAAAATAGAAAATTAGTACCTGGCGACATTGTCTTGGATCATTTTGAATCAGATGCAAATTTATTAATAGCTATGCCTCCTACTATCGGTGGTGTTGTTTTAATTGCTGGTAGATTTATTCGATACCTTAAACCAAATCAACCTCCTATTGCTATTGGCATTAGACCATCTATAATTAATAGGTAAAAAAAAAAAAAAACCATCGAATACTACTAATTTTACTAACCCTAATTATAGCTTTTCAATTATGAATGATGAAGGATCTCGTATTTTATTAGGCGATGTGGAAGGAACACTACATCTTTTAACTTTAACAATTACAAATAATCATGTAGATGCACTATGTGTTATTGGCTTAGGAAATGTAAGTTTAAATAAACATGTCAATGTCATACACAAACTTATATAAGCAATGAAATATTTTACTAGATCTCTATACCCTCTTGTTTAGTTTATTTAGATAATGATGTTATATTTGTTGGGTCGATTGTAGGAGATTCACAACTGATTCATGTGCAGCGAACAACAAATGCAGAAAATGGTGAAATATTGAAAGTTATTGATGAGTTTGCCAATTTAGCTCCCATTACAGATTTCTGTGTAGCTGATCTCGACAAGCAAGGACAAACACAATTGATTGCATGTTCAGGTGTAGCTCAAGATAGTTCATTAAGAATCATTCGTAATGGTGTTGGATTAAATGAATTAGCAGCTATTGAGATCAGTGGGGTTAAAGGCGTTTGGGCTTTACGTTCTTCATTTTATAATGAACATGATGATGTATTATTGATTTCTTTTGTGAACCAAACTCGACTATTAGCATTACGTGATAATACTATGATGCAATTAGATACATATTCGTGCATAGAATTTGATTGTAGAACATTAATAGCAGCTAATGTAAAAGAGGACATGATTATTCAAGTGACAGATAAAAGTGTAAGGTTAATGGATGCAAATTGTTCTAGTCTTGATTTATTAGATGAATGGAAGCCTGACGATCATAGTCAAATTACAGTTGCATCTGTTAATCCTTCACAATGTGTTCTTTCTATTGGATATGGTAGACTTGTTGCGCTTTATATTAAAGATAGAAAACTACATTTGATGGGGTAAAACATAATATATATAAATATATAAATATATAAATATATATGTATGTATAATGATATTAATACAATACACATATATTCTAGTACAACACAACTTCCTAATGAGATTTCATGTATTGATATAAGTCCTATTCAATCGGGTCATGTTATGGAATCCAGCGTTGCGGCAATTGGTGTATGGCAAAATGTAGGCGTATGCCTGCTTTCTTTACCCAGTCTTAAACTAATAGCAGAAGAACGTTTAGCAGGAACAGTCATGCCACGCTCAATATTGATGGCACAGTTTGAAAATATATGTTATCTACTTGTTGCTCTTGGTGATGGACAATTCTATAATTTCAAGTTAGATACAGAGCAAGGCATATTATTTGATAAAAAACGTACCTTTCTTGGAAAATTACCTATTAGTTTAAGTACATTTACTTCAAATGGTACAACACATGTCTTTGCAGCTTCGGACAAACCAAGTGTGATTCATAGTCGAAACAATAAACTTGTATATTCAAATGTAAATTTAAAGGAAGTGAGATGCGCCACATCCTTTAACAGTCTTAGTTTCCCTGATGCAGTTGCGTTGACGACTCAAGATAGTCTTGTTATAGGACAAATGGAGGAAATTCAAAAATTACACATCACAAAGATACCTACTCGAGATACACCGAGACGTATTACATATCAAGAAAAATCAAGGACATTTGGTATTATAACCGAGCGCATTACTTCAGAACCCTATACATCCACTACGACAACCGGAGGTTTTGAAATCTTAGATGACCAGTCATTTGATGTTCTTGATCGTCTTTACTTTAAATATTTTGAAAGACCATTAGCAGTTACATCCATGACATTTGAAAATGATAATACAGAATATTATATTTTAGCAACAGGGAAAGAGACAGATGAATATGAAAGTAAAAGTACAGGCCGAATTATTATACTTCAAGTGACTTCTGAGCGTAAGCTAAGAGTTGTTAGTCAAATAAAGACAAATGGTATGACAGATTGTATAAAACCTTTTCAGGGAAAACTGTTAGCAAGTGTGAGAGGCATGGTAAAAATTGATCAAATAAAAAAAAACAAGTGGTATAATAATTTTGTTTTAAACTTATACATCATTATCTATAACTAGATTTGTGTTTATAAATGGGAAAATAGACCTGGTATTCAGTCACTTGCTTTAGTTTGTTCACAAAGAGTGCCGTCCATAACAGAATGTATGACGACTTATGGAGATAATATCATTACGGGAGATATGATGTACTCTATTGTCCATTTACGTTATAATTCCAAGACAGAAACTTTAGTTGAAGTAGCAGCTCACGAAAAATTAAAAGAGATATTAGCTATCGAGGCTACTAATGAAAACTTTTATGTGGCTGCTGAAAGAGAGGGACATTTATTTGTTGTTGAGAAATGCAATGAAGATACATTGAATGATGAACCTCTTTTAGAAACTGTTAGTATCTGGCATCTTGGTGATTCTGTTCGCAAGTTTAGATTTGGTAAATCTTTGAAACTATTTTATTTTATTTTATTCTATTTATTTATTTATTCTTAAATAACAACCTTTTTGATACTGTGTAGGATCATTGGGTATGAATAATGCAGATCCTGATCGTAAACCAGAAGTATCTAGCTTAATATTTGCCACAGCAAGTGGCGCTATAGGCTTAATTACAGATTTATCCATTGATAGATTTAAACTTTTAGATCAAATGCAATATAATATGTCTAAAGTGGTGAAAAGTATTGGTAATCTTAGTCATATTGAGTAAGTGATTTTTTTTTAAAAAAAAAACAAAAGTGTATGTTATTAGTTTAAGCTAACTTACTCTTGTATAGCTGGCGAAGTGTTTCTATCATGGATAGAAAAGATCAAGCGATTAACTTTATTGATGGGGACTTGATTGAAAGCTTTTTAGATTTAACACCTCAGCAAATGCAAGCCGTAGTGGATGGACTTTATGGAGGTCGTAAACTTGATAAATCGGTAGAAGACCTTTGTAAAGTGGTAGAAGAATTAATGAGTGCTCATCCTTAACTATTTAATTGTAAATAATAATAAACTTGGCATACAGAAAAAAAAAAAATTAAAGTGGGATATGTATAATTATTTTTATTTATTTATGTGGGGCGTTTTTTTTTCTCTTCTTTTCTTTTCTTTTCTTTTCTTTTTTTTATCGGCTGGGCATCATACCACGTCCACGACCAGCACCACGAGGCATTTGTGGACCAGCTTGAGGCTTTTCACTTTGTGCATTCTTTACAGTTTCATCAACAGATAAAATCAAACAAGCAGCTTCAGTAGCAGCAGCAATTGCGTTTGTCTTCACGAGTGCTGGTTCCCAAACAAAGGCTTCATAATTATCTGCAATTGTTTCATTATTAATATCAACGCCATACCAAACACCTCCCTGAGCATGTTTCATTCTTAATTTGTTCAAAATATCTGTAGCATCAAAACCAGCATTATCACACAATTGTCTAGGAATGATTTCTAATGCCTTTGCAAAGGCACTAATAATGAGTTGCTGTTTGCCTTCAATTGTACGAGAATGCATACGAAGATATTTAGAAAGCTCCATTTCTGTAGCACCACCACCTGCGACTACTAAATTATTTTTAATAGCACGTCTAACGATCATGATAGCATCATGAAGAGAACGTTCTACTTCAGCAATAAATTGTTCTGCACCACCACGAAGAATCAAAGTACATGTCTTGGCTTGAGGACATCCTTCAAAGATATTGAAACGTTCACCACCTACTTGCTTTTCTTCAAAGGATTCACATTGACCTAAATGTTCAGGTTTTAAATCAGAACATGTTGACTGAATTGAACCTCCCACAGCTTGAACAACACGATCCATATCATCCTTTGCAACGCGACCAGCACAGAAAATATCTCGATCGGCAAAGTATTGTGTAGCCAAGTCACCAATAGGTAATTTAGAAAGAACAACCTTGGCACCACTAGCTACGATAGCTTCAAGTTTTTGGTAAATAATTTGCCATTCAGCATCTACAATAGCTTGATATTCAGATACTTGTTCAACACGAACTTCAGCATTGTCCTTCTCTGCCTTCAATTCAAGCTCAACATTGAGACAAAGGACCTTGGGATTCTTGAAAGACTTGGGTTGCTGTTCAAAACCAGCATATGAAAAAGTCTTTTTAAAGGCCACACCTTTGACAAGAATTGAGTCTTGCATGGCGCCACCAGGAACACGCTTGATACCAATCAAACGTTCATTTAAGCTTTCTTGATCAAGTGACATGACAGCATCGACAACCATTTTTGTAAAAAACTCTTTTTGAGAATAAATTAATTTAGAATTCATAGCAGTGGCTGCACATTTTGAGAGTAAATCACGGAATTCGCTAAATAAAAAAAAAAAAAAAAAAAAAGATTAAATAAGGGCTTACATGTAATTTAAATATGTATAGTTTACGTTTCGTTATTTTTATCAATCTTGACAGCTAATTCCTTTACTTTATCAATAGCCAAACGAGCAGCTTGTCTATATCCCTTAATAATCACATGGGGGCTAACACCTTCTTCAATATAACTTTTGATTTCTTTTAATAATTCACCGGCAAGTAAAACAACACTAGTAGTACCATCACCCACCTTGAAAAAAAAATATAAGTTTTATAAGTAAATCTTGAAAGCAACATTATTTTTTTTTCCTTTTATTTACCTCAGCATCTTGAGAACGAGCAATATCTACTAATGTCTTTGCAGCAGGATGAACAATATCAAGCAACTTCATGATAGTAGCGCCATCATTAGAGATCGTTACTTCACCTTTGCTGTCAACCATAAGTTTATCCATGCCTCTAGGACCCAAAGTTGTTCTGATAGTATCAACAACAGCAGAACAAGCATTAATATTCGAAAGAAGTTGTCCCTTTCCCTGAGAAGTATCGGTACCTTCTTTTAAAAGGATAATTTGTGGTTGCTAAATGTATATATATATAAATGTATATAAAATAGATGATGAATTAGTTATGTTCTAAATTAAACTTAATTAGAAATGAAGAAAGAAAGGTCAATTAAAATGAAAGATCTCGATCTATATTAATTTTAATTGCTGATTCTAATTAAGAATGTTGATTATATGACTGCATCCAGTTTATGATGATGATGAAAGAAGGTGATGGAACTTTTTTTTTTGGAAATAAAAAAAAACGCGTCATAGAGAAATAAGTTTCTTTTTGTAAATATTTTGTTGTTTTTTGTCTTCTTTCTTTCTTTCTTTCTAGTTATTAAGTAATAAAAAATATTTAATTCAATATTTACCATCATGGGAGGCGCCATGGTATATTAAATATTTGTATGTAACTTGACAGAAAAAAAAAACGAGGGGAAAATCTCGAAAATTTTATTTTATTTTTTTTTTTTTCTTGACATTAACAAAAAGTCACGCCCAAAATGGAGTTTTAAAATTATATAGCTGAAGAAAATAGGTTGTGCCACAAAAAAATTGGAACGCTAATAATGAAAATAGGGCATTCATGTTTTTAGTTATAAAGTAGGCACATCTTGGAATATAGTCTTATATAAACCATCTACAACCAGTTAATGATTGAAGAACATACGATATTAAATCATAGACAGTTGTAGATCTAGTAACATAAATTACATAGATTTTTAATTCCTTTTGGTAAAAAGGGGTAGCTTTGATAATATTATTTGCAAGCAAGCTCTAGATACGAATATGAAGAATTTTATCTTATTTTCAATGATAGTAAATATGGAAAGAGAGATCTTTTACTACAACTGCTATTGCAGATCAGAAATAATTTAATCTAATTAACTATTACTGTATTCACCAAACATGCTATATAATATTATAAGTTTTAGTTAGTAAGCAAATAGTATCAAGTATTTACTAATAACAATGAATGAACGAATCTTGAATTTCGCGTTATAGTTAATAAACTAAATACTCTCCTAAGTCCCGTTGTTGGTAAAAGAAAAGTAAACAACTTTTGTGACTAACAGAATCATTGCAGAGTTTAAGATAAAAGTTATACGTGTAATATAAACGCATACTATTGTTTTTTTAAAGGACACTTGAAAGAAATGATGGTCAAATCACAATAATTTATCTATTAAAAGCTCTCTTCACTTGAGAGTACACGGTTATCTATAATTTATTATCTATGTCCTTTAGCCAGGCACTTTCTGAACAAACTACCTGTATTATTAGTATCACTATGGTAGTTATTACGCTAGCCGATCATTTATACCTTTTACACATACATACATACATACATACATATACATATATATATCTACAATGGGTTTTCAGATTCCTTCTTTCTCTCTAATATAACCTTCAACACATTATGTGTTTTCTGAAGATTATTAAAATTTTATTAAATAAAAAAAAATGCATTGAATCATGTTATTTTTTCTATATTACTGGGTTTCTTCCATATTAACATTTTCTTCTAATTTCACTTCTTCCATCTTTTGGTCGTCTTGTTTCTCTTCCTTTTGGTTTGCTAAGGGTTCCTTTTTATCATTCTTCTTCTTCTTCTTTTTTGATCGTTTCTCGTTATCACCCCGTTTAGCAAGTGTTGGATCATAAGGACAATCGATAACACGTAAAGCAGACAAAAGATATCCACCACCCGCACTCATATTCATATTGGGATGCATACGACCTGGTAATACTTGATATTCACGTAAACTACTTTCAGTTACATCTGCATTCAAGAAGTCTCTTGTTCGACGCATCCAAAAGGCAGCTTGTAATAGTACCTCCTTACTGAAACTATAAATGACAATAGGTCGAGATCCAGCTACATAGTCCTTTAAGACCTTAAGTACAGACTCTGGTTGGAAGGCAGAAGAAATAATTAAACCGTCAAAGTCTCCCTCAAATAATAATTTTCTTGATTTTACTTTGTAGTCCCATGCTGTCTTTCGTCTTTGATAAGCTCTCTTTTGATCATCGTCTAATTGATTCACTTGATCTTCTGTTAAAACATCAAAAGGCTCTACATATTCATATCATTTGTTAGCGTATGCATATACATAGAATATGATAATGATATAGATATAGATATATACCTTCAGGAGTAGTAGGATCGATCATAGCGAATGGAACAGTATACAATGTGTCTTGAACTGATTTAGGGAAATTCATATAACGTAAAATATCATAATTATGAAAGTCTCCTTCATGTAAAGCGACAAGTTGACCAAATCCACCCATTCGTTCCAAACAAGAAGCAACAATCAAGCCCTGAGTATCATCGACGACTAACAATTTAGCATTGGCATGTACATTAGCCATACTTAATAATATAGAAAGTGTGTCGATACGAATATGCTTGATTTTCTCGGGATTTTTTGAAAAAAAATAATTTGAAATTGTATTTAATGTAGGTCTAACAGGTGTAAAGACCTTCATAAATCTATACATATAAAGGAAAGAGATGTTAGGAATTGTCACTTTGATAATCCCTATTTGTATATAATATTGATTTTTTACTTTTTCTTTTTACGTTCAATGTATTTAGCTTTCGAATATTCCGTCTTTTTTGAAAATTCAGCGTGTGAATCAACCATCTTTTTAATAATTTCTTCTGTATCTAGTTCTCCACGCAGACCCATTTCTTTGAGTTTAAGTACTTCTTCATGTGATAGTTTCTGAACTGAGGTATCATCAATGATTGTTTGATTGTTTGCATCCGTTTCCTCTGTATATATGTATATAAAGTAGATTGTTAGTAAATAAAAATAAAATAAAATAAGCAGCTTACCTATACTAGTGTTTTTTGAAACATGTCCTACAGGTTTAATTTCACCTTTGTTTCCCATAATTTCATAGGATAAACCATAAGGTTTCCCAATGAGATTGTCTGATTGGAAATTACCAAATTTTCCTAAACTGATCATACTAAACATCAATTAGTATCATAGCTTAATATTTTTTTTCTTTTTGGAAAAAACAAAAAAAAAAGGAAAGAGAAAATGCCTTTACGTATTAGGTTTTAAATTAATAATTTTTGAATTGCCACTTGGCATTTCAATGATAATAAATTGATGAGGCTGAATTAGATCATTATCTGCCATTTTAGGGGGTTAAAGAAAGGTAGAAAAAAAATCAAATAAGAAAAGAAAGAGTACAAATGAATTTCAATTAGTGACCGTTTTTATTGAAATTGAGGCTTATAAACTTTTATGCATAAAATTTATAGAAGCTTTTTTTTTTTTTTTATTATCATTATTAAGTTATGAACGATCTTGTTTAAGAGGATGTGCTGGAGATGGATTCAAGATGGTATTATTATTTGATGGAGGTTGTTGTTGTTGTTGTTGAGGATTATTGTAGGGCCAATAGCCACCAAGACTTGAAGGTGGTTGCTGTGAGATGGAGCCGTATGATTGCTGTTGTTGAGATGCAGTTTGGTAATAAGAAGGCTGTTGAGGAGCATTATTATTACTAGGATAAGATGGAAATGATGGCTGTGGCATAGTATTGTTTCCATAACCAGGATGATATCTGTGTTGATTATAAGGAGGCATTGTGATTTGTGGTTGTGGCTGGGAATAATTTACTGTTGCTTGATTTATATGCATATTTGATGTATTGGTACTTGTTGGTACCATATTAGATCTAATGGCAGTAGTATTGGGCGAAGTCTGTTGTATCATGGGACTATGAGATGAAGCTGTTGGTTGAGGAGATAATTGATGCTAAATAAAGACGACATAATTAGTATAACTGGCAAGTCTATAATAATCGAAACACCTCTCTCCCTCCCGCTCTTACTTACGTTTTTGGTATCTTCATGAACACGATTTAGAACGGGAACATTCGTTGTGCTGCTGCTGCTACTACTTGTTGGCTCATTAAAATTATTCTCTTTTTCCAATTTAGTATCCGATTCCATCTAAAAAAGGAAATTAGTTACATCATGCGAATTCTGTATATATTTTTATACGCGTCGTACTTCGGGTACAGCTGGGTCGGGCGTATTTAAACAGGCTTGAATAAGGTTTTTTCCTTCAGGCTTAGTGACAATAGGTTGCAGTTTAGTTGTTGTAAATGTGTACACTAGTCCTGTTTCTGAAACAACTAATAATAACACTTGTGTTCCAGTTAATGTGCTTAACTCGTATGCCTATTATTAATATTATAATTTGTTGTCAATTCATATTATTTCTATTATTATTATTATTTATTACATACTAACAAATAATTACCTTTTTCATAATACCAGATTTACGTTTTGAAAAGGTAATGTGCCTTTTATTCTTATCTTCAATGTATTCAATCTTAATCTTTCTTCGTCCATTACGTTTAGAGGGTTTAGTTTCATCATCTTCAGACTCATCTTGATCTATATGTTCATTTTGTCTCTTTTGTCTTATAATAATATCAATTTATATTCTAAACTATACTTGTTGTTTAATAACCTACCCTGCAGGTAACATATTTATTTTTTCCCCTTTTTTTTTTTTTTTAATTTGATAGTTTACAAATATGGATGTTAAAAAAAATTGCCTTTTACAAATAGAAAGAAATAAAAAAAAAAAAAGAGACAAATATCTAATAAAGAAAAATTATGAGAAAAAAAAGCTGAGTGGCTTATCATTGGCTACTACAAATTTATTTTAGAATAGCGAACTTTGACATTTTTTTTTATTATTTTATTTTATTTTGTAATTATTTTTTTTTTTATTTATTTATTTTGTAAACATGACAGATTTAATTAGTCAAATTGATTTGGTTAAATCAAAATTTTCAGATCAATTAGAAAATTTAGAAAATGAATATGAACGCTGGAAGAATTATAAAACAGATTATGATGCACTTGAAACCCAATTAAAAACATTGCCTGATAAAACTTCACGCTCAGCAATGATACCTTTAGGTCAATTAGCATTTATGCCTGGTAAAATCATTCATACAAACGAAATACTTGTTTTACTTGGTGAACGATATTATGCGGAAAGATCTGCTAAGCAAGCACTTGAAATACTTGGTCGTAGAAAAGAAGGTAAATACATACAAAAAAAAAAAAGCTGAAGCATAAATATAATGTTTCATCTTTACATTTTTTTTTTCTATAGTTGTCAATGAAAATTTAAGATTAGTTGAAGCCCAATTAAATAGTTTTAAAGCTAAAACCGACTCATTAACTAATTCAAGTATTTTTTCACAACAGCAGGTATATACATATATATATATATATATATGCTCTATCACGTATGCAGACTATTTATGTTTTTATATATAGATTAATGAAGAAGGTTTACCTATTATGGAAATTAGGGAAGAACTACCTTCTGTAGATGAAAAGAAAAATAATGACAAAAAGAAAATAAAGAAGAAAGTTCAATTTCAAGAAAAAGAAGAAGAAAGTATAGAACAATCATTACCAGAATCTGTCCTACGTGCGCGACAATTAATGAAAGAAGCAGATGAAAAGATTAAGCAGCAGAAAAAGAACGACGATGATGAAGAAAACAAAGCATTATTTAAACTTTTACAAGAACTAGAAGAAGAAGAGGAGAAGAATGAAGGAAATGAAACAAGTGAAGAAGTAATGAAATCCGATTATAAATTAGTGAATAGAATACCTAATGATGAATTTGACGATAATATTATAAATACAGATGCTGATGACGATGAAGATGACAATAGAAAGTTTAGCGATGATGAAGAAGATGATGAACGTTATGATAGAGAAATAGCAGATAATATATTTGAGCGATTTGGTGCTGACGATGATGAACAATATCCATTAGATGGTGTTGTAGATCAAGAAGATTTTACTGAACATCAAGAAGATTTACCAGAGTCATCCTCTCAAGCCCAAATTAGATCTCCTGCTGACATCTTTAATACCGTCCGTCAAACACAGGCAGACAATGAATTCCAAGATGATTATCCTTCTTTAGATGATAACGAAAGCCATGCAATGGATTTAAATGAACTAATAAAGGCAGCCCGTAATCATCATGAACCATTCTATCAACCTAAAAAGGGAACTGAAGCAATGATACCCATGGTAAAAGAAACAAATTCACCTAAAGAAGGACTTATTGTCGCTCAGAAACACAAATTAGATAATAAGGTGATGAAAGGAGCTGTTATGGAACGTGATATAGCTCCTGTTGATTTAGAAGAAGTGGAAGAAGATATGGACTTGAGAGAAGCCACTGCTTTATATCAACAAAAGAGACAAAACATGTTGGCAGTTACAGGTGGTTTCTCATTTGCACCTAAGCCAGAATTTGAAGTATTTGATGAAGAATTACCTTTACCGAAGAAGAAGGATGAAGAGCCAAAAGAAGAGCCAAAAGAAGTTGCACCAAAGAAGATATCTCGATTTAAAGCAGCAAGATTGGGTCAAAAACTTAATAAAGAAGAATATTATTACTAAATGTTTTATTAAGAGAAAAGAAGATAATAACAATATTAATAAAAAGAGATTTCTAATGATATAGTGGTAATTATGAAATGCTTGAAGTATCGTCTTTTTGTTCTACTGTTATTATTGTTTCTTCTGTAGTTGTTGCTGATGAAGAAGAAGAAGATGATGATGATGAGGATACAGCGGTAGATATGACGTCTATTCATTGACTTTAAGTATTAATTTTATTTTATTATGGCTTTATTAGTCATTATATACCTTGTTCATCTTTATTATTTTCTAAAGAAGCTTTACTCTCGGCTGCTTCTTTAATTAATTTCCATACATGTTGCCTATCTTTTTGTATATCTTGACTTCTATTATAACACTATCTGTTAGTTCAACTTGCTTAATAATTATGTAAGCATTCATAAACTTACTTTTTTTCATTTTGTTTGAATTCATGTGTACATTGATCAAATAATTGAGGATCCATATCCATAAAGATTTTCAAAGCATTATAAACTAGTCCATGAATCGTTCTAATATGAATCATAAAGAGATTAGTTTTCAACTATTTACATGATAGTCTCTCTCTCTCTTTCTTTTACCTATTCCAATGTTGCTGAGAATAAGTATATAAAGGTTTAAACATGATTGGCATGATGACCTTTACATTCTCATGCATCAAGTTTAAAATGAATTCATTATTCCAAAGATAGAGAGCCCGCTCTGCAACCTGAAAATGAGAACTAGAAACACATTGAGCAATTTTTTGAAAGACGGGTACCATGATTTTAGGAAATTCAACATTATCTGTAATATCCAAGATTTCTTCAATCTCGTTTAAAAACATCACTTCTTTTGCACTATTCACTTTTGGCCAATAGCGTAATAAACTTTCCACAACCGTTTTTGTTAATGTCGCATCCTTCTCTAAGAATTGTACAACACAATAAGCTAATTGAGGATGGTAAGTTGATAAAGAAGTGGGTTTATGCAAAGGCATAAGAACTCGGATCAAAAACGTTTTATGCTCTTCTTTTAATGGAAGAGCAAAACCATTAATAATACTAACAAAAAAAAGTTTTATGATTAGATCATTCATTTTCAGAGTAAATTCAAATTATTACCTTCCCAAAATTTCTAATAATTCAGCAATGCCATTAAAACTTTCTGTTTCATAAATAAATTGGAAAAAGATGTTATTGATTGATTTTCTAATAAACGCTCTTAAATTAAGAAATTTTCCATATAGTCTATGCAATGTCGTTTTTAAGAAATCCCTTTCACGAGGATCTTCGCTATCAAATAATTCGAGTAGCTATTAAAGAAAATAAAAAAAAAAGGTGAATAGACGTATATAGGATGTTTATCAAATAGTGTATTACTTGTAAAATAAATTTCTGATCTATATATTTTTTAGCTTCATGAACATTAAAGTCAGGCGATTCTACAAATCTTAAAAAGAATTCATAAACTAATTGAAGATGTGGCCAAGCTGCTTCTAAAGTAGGTTCATCTTCCTCTGGATCATAGCCTTCTTCTCTATCAATGGGAGGAGGTATTGTACGAAATAGATTAACAGAAAACTATTAAAAGAGAAAAAATTAGCTTAAACAAGAATAAAAAAAAAAAAAAAAAAAAAAAAAATCCGCTATACCATTTTAACAACACTTGGGTAAACAACATCAGTTATCGCACTTTTTGTTGTCGCAACATATTCCAACATGTCTTGTAAGGCTTGTCTTTTGATTTCTTTACCATTCAAATCGGAAGAAGGATCACTAAAGTCAAATAAAACTTGACATTGAGCTAATTTCTTTAAAAAAAGATCAGTTCGTTTTGCGGGGGGGACTTCTTTTAGAGATGGTAGCTTTTCCAAAGCAACTTTATCATATACATGAAAACGAGAAGACTTTTGTCTACGAGGCATTTTGCCAATAGGTATTGTATCTTTAGAAGCACCCTTTAACCAGGCCATTGCATTAGGTTGTTTTGGTACATCCTTTGCTACTGATAAAAAGGGTTGTTTTTGTGTTATTGGCGACTAAAATAGTATTAGGGCTTATATCCTACTAAATAATAATAATAATAATAATAAACATCTTACGGCTATACTATGATCTATGGATATAATAGGAGGTTCAGCATTTGTAGTTGTAGTTGAAGTGGTCGGAATAGTACTATTAGGAGGTGTAGTACTAGTAGTGTTATTTGTTGGCAACATGTGCTGAATCGAGGCTCGAGATAAAATAGAAGCTTTATTACTAGTGGCCGTATTTTGTCCACTAGTAGAAGCAGTTTTAGTGAATTTATTTGTAGATGATTTCGTTTTCTTCGTATTTGTTGAAGAATTAGATGAAGTTTGTTTCGTTGTTATGAGGTCATTCATTGTAGAATCATTGACTGTACTTCGAACAGTATTATTATTGCTAATATTGTTATTATTATTGGTAGTATTGCTATTTGATTTTGAAGCATCTTGTTGAGAAGATTTACTTCTTGAAAACTAAATAATAAATGCATAATCTGGTTTTAGTAGATTAATTTATATGCTATATTCATCTTTCCTCTTACAGCAACTTTTATTCCTTTTATCATTTACAGTGTGTATGTGTGTGTATATAATATAAGTGATATACAACTATAAATATTATGTATGTATGTATGTGCGTGTGCGTATGTGTATATGTATGTTTATATGCCTTTTTCTAAAGTAAATGTTTTTTTTTAGTTGAAAAAAGAAAAAAAAAAAAAAAAAAAAAAAAGTGGAACTATCGTTGTTTGAAAAAAATAAAAGAAATAAGTGATTTTAAATTGTCGTTTGCTTAAGATTCATCGTTTTAAGCATTGATACTAAATACGATTAATAAAGGAAAAAAGATAACCAATGAACATACAGTATCGTATCGCCCTATTCCGTTCAGATAAAAAAAGTATATAGTATATAGAAGCACAAAAAATCTTTCCAAGAGATTAAGAGTAAAAACTGTATAGAAGGAAAGATGAAGTCAAAAAAAAAAAAAAAAAAAAAAAAAAAAAAAAAAAAAAATAGCGGTATTATGCGGATAACCAAGCAACCAAGGGAAAATCCGGATAAAGTAGAGGAAAAGAAAATTTATCATAAATGCGTATTTTATTGAATTGAATATATAACAGATCTAATAGGTAAACTATAAAGTTGTAACTTGAATAATCTTGTACTTCTTTAGACTAATTCAAAAGGGTCTCGAACAGAAAAGTATCGGTTGTATATAATAGAGTATTTACAAATACCCCATAAAATGTGAGCCAGTAAAATCAATATACTAATTACTAGGTAAACAGTTAGGGTGCTAATAGAGAAGAAGAAAGAGGAGTAAAAGGTCATAATTCTGTTCAAGACGGGACAAGGGTATTATCTTTTTTATTAAATACAGGTTCTTAATCTAAAACCTGGCTATCTAACAATGAATTTTAAATGAACAAAAAATTAAAAATTTAAACAAGTATACATGCATTATTATTTATTTAATATTAAATAAGTAGAAGCCTCTTCTCATGTATTCTTAGTACTTTTTTTTTTGTGCTTTTATCTTTATTCACAAATAAAATATTCCATATAGGTATCAAGTGCCTTAGATGAAGTTAGAATCCGTCTGTAGTGTACAGTCATTAATAGGAATACAATTACAAGACCTATAATACCTTCTTCTATTGTATATAATGGCTTTCAAATATTCTTGATTTATATACTTGGTAAAGACGAAAAAACAAAGAAATAATAATAGTACACGATTTCACAATATTTATTGTATTATGTTAGTATACTAAAGACATAATATAGAGTAGTTATAAAATACGTATATAGTCATGTACGATGGAATAAGCACTTTTGTTAAGTCAGCAATAGGTATTAGATCTTTTGACGCGTCCAACTTCAATATATATATATATCGATCTATATATTTGAGATATGTATATAATTTAAATTAACTTTTTTAATAACAATTTACATTAATCCTTGCATTTTTATGTCTATTCTAGAAAATACTAAAAGAAAAAAAAATGCATACAATAATATTGCCCGTTATTCGTAACAAAATTTCCTAAATACTCAAATTTCAATAAAAATGGGTGTACTTTTGATGCTATATGAGAGTGCTAAGAAAAGATAACAGTATGATGGATATATTGTACGTATATACAGCAAATGAGAGAGAAGAAGATTTATTGATAAAAGATATGCCATCAATTGTTGTTTCGACTACTAACTGTTCAATATCTTATAAAACTTTAATATTCGTTTCTCAAGCTTAATAGATTTGAGTTTATAACTGTAGAGAGTATATCACTTTCTATAATTGAAATTATATTCTCAGGTAGAGGAATAGATACCTAGTTTAAAATACTGAGTGTGAAGATAAATTTAATCTATATAATTGCATTGCATTTGTTGACTTTGAACATCAGTAAGTTACGAAAAAAAAAAAAATAGTATTTTATTTAATTAGATTCACCAAATAAAATACAGCATATATCATTTATATAGGCGTGTATTAAATTCATATGATAATTTATACAGATAAAAATGTATGTTTATGAAAGTGTGAGCTTAGTTACATATAGAATAGGCGGGAGGAGGAAGAAAAGCTATCTCGCATATAAAGAAAATAGTATCTAAATTCTTCATTTGTATGTTGAGAAAATCTGATCACTCCTTATAAAGTCAATGGACAAATGTTGATCTCTTATATTTTCTGGAATAGAATGGATATCATCAATATATCCAAAATATTGCGAATTTTTATAATTGCATCTCTCTATAAGTATAAAGGATTGAAGTAAGCTTGAACTTACGATCGTTTCAGTAGACCATATGCGAATAATTTGAATTATATTTTTACTTAGTGCAACAGCAATTGCAATAATAGCCATTTGGACCCTATATATAAATGTGTATATGTATATAAATAAATACGAAAAATAGTTTATAGGAATCATTACATTACTTTTCAATAGAACCTGCAGTTTTCATAGCTTCATTCAAATGATGTATAAAATTGTATGGCAATATAAAGTTCCAACCACCGTTATTGTTAATGACAGGAGAATGCTCATTAAGCTTATAATTATATATTCATAGTTAAATTATCATAACTAAAACAGTCATAACACTTGTTACTTACTAATTTGATTTGAGTGTCGATAACACTCATTATCGATGGATTATGGATTATATTTTGGATATCGGTAGTGATATATCCTCCTGTGTCATTTGGGAATACTTGACAAGGAGGAATGATTTCATTACTCAGATCACTATCAGAGAATCCGTATTCCCATATCTGTGTTTCCTTGTGTTTTTTATGGGTCAACATTCTCTTGTTAAATAATGAGTTATCCTGTCTATCAAACTAGAGAGAAGGGATGATTCTTAGTAAGAATATATTTATACATATATGTCTATATACATATTCATTATGTGTACAAATATACTGAAACTTCGTTTGTTTAGATTCATACCATCATGATATTAACCGGCTTGTCTGGTGAATGAGATTTAGAAGGATTATAATATTGTTTAATATTGTTGATGGCCCATTTCAGTTGTGAAGCTGTATGAGAATTTCCAATAATATAGAATTTAGATGTCGTCTTTAATTCTTTTAACTATGCATTTATAAATTATTATCAGAGTTAATAAGACTACCTATATAATTACCTCATCTGGAAACTTCAAGTAAGATGTAACTTTGTCCCACGTAAAGAGCATATTTGATGAAGTTTCATCATTTTTAACATCATATACATTATGATATTCTATTGAATTATCCATACTTTTTGGTCTCCTTGGTAAATTACGTAAATAAATACCACATAGATCATTATATGCACTGGCTTTAAGCTCTGTTTCTTTACATTCACTGATGTAATCAAGTTGTTTTAATTCAGAACATGGCAAGATAACAAAAGCGACTGTAGGCATATTAGCATGTGAAACTATACCTGCCTACATATAAGTATGTATACATGCATTAAAGACAAGAATATATATATATATATACATAGAATACTTACTATCCTATTTACAGTTAGAAAACATCTTAATTTACTATATTCAACTATTTTGCCTTCAGGAATAATAGACATGATGTTGGATGTCTTATTATCTCTAACAACGTTATTTAACGTACTTAAAGGTACATAAGAAGAAATACAAATTTCGTTTTCACTCATATAAGGATTCATACTTGCAGATAAATTAAAAAGCTTTCTTCATGTTTATATACACATGCATATACATATAATAAAAGATGAGTAATTGTATGATAAACATATAGAGTAACCTACGTTATTTCTTCTATATATGTATATCTTTGACATCCCTTTATCGTAATTACTGAGACTGGTTCATGAGCTTTTGTTAGAATACCACTAAGTTCAAAAAGTGCAGTTTCCCATACTGCTTTTGATCTCTTTATTGATAATGGGAACACATTTTCATTTTGTTCTCCTAATCTTTTGCCAATCATGATTATAAGAAGAACTAAATATAAAAAATAAAAAAGAAAAAGAATAAATAAAAAGTGTCGAAAATTAAGGCTTTTTAAATCTTGATGCTAATATCCATACAAACGCGTAATATAAGATAAAGTAGTAAAATACCTCCCTCTTTTTTTTTAAAAAAAAAAATAAATAAATAAATATATAAATAAAAATAAACAAATAATTCGCATGATTAAACTTTAATAACAAGGTTGATGTGTTTCTCGTGCTTGTACATTTTAGAACTAGTTATATTTCCTTCTACAGTAAAATTGTTTGTTATACACTTATCAAAGGAGACTGATAATATAGTGAGTGTTTACCAATAAATGTCTCCTTAATTTAAGATTATTTAATTGCTGTATGCAGGTTAATAAACCACGTTTATAACTACCATAATTTAGTCTTAAAAAAAATAATCACAGTTTATTCCCTCTTATTTCAGGGCTATTGAAACTAGGTTTACGCCCTTGAACCCTATGATTTGCAATATTTAACAAAGAATTTACAAAGTTAGATATGTACTATTTGTTTTTTCTTCCCACTCGCAAATAGATTTTACAGGTTTTTTTTTTTTTGGATTAATTATTCTCTGTTTTTTTTTATACTATTTATAATTAGATTCACAGCCTTTAGAATTCATTCTTGTCCTTTCCTTATATTATCTGCCGCATTATAAAGGTAAAAGTGTAGTATTCAAAGTCTTTTTTTTTTCCCCTGCTGAATCAGTGGTTTGATAGTTATTATAAAACAAATTTAAAAAAGACGGAACACTATAGTTCTAAAGTTAATTATTTTTATTTATTAAAATTGATAAAAAAAAAACTGTTAAAGAAATAGTCTGCGATAGGATGTGAAAGCCAAGAAGAGTTAGTTAACGATGGAATAAAATATGTTATAGATATATAAAGTGTTAGATGCTTTGATATTATTTGATAAAGTAGATCACAAGAGTTTCAAGAGAATCTAGATAATAATAATAGTATGAATTATTATTTTTTTTTCTTTTCATTTCTCTATTACGTCTTGAATATAAAACGGGCTTTATATTCGTCTATACGATACAAAATAGTACAAAGAATATATTCATATACTCAATGTATTGTATATATATTATACAGTATATTTCTCTACTATTTACATTTAGCATTTATTCTATCTTATTTATTCAATGAATAAATTATTTACTGAGAAAGAATGATCTGTGATATGACAGCTTACAGTAAAATTAAACTGTCAAAGTGTTGTAAAAAGGGTACAAATAATTTATAGTTTTGTAGGAGACAGTTAACAATAACAATAACTTTATTTTCAACTCAAGGGATAAATTAATAATTACACATTTCAGTGTAGATCCAAGGAGAGAGAGAGAGAAAAAGTATGCATATATATACAAATTACTTTCAGATATTACTATAGTATTATTTGTTATAATGTCTTTTTATATAATCAAGACTAGATAGAATCAATCATAACAAAGTCACTAAATCAACAGAATTTGTATAAGCAGCAGCCATAACATCAGAGAGGAAATAGTTCCGTTTAAATAAATAAAATAAAAAAAAATAAAAAAAAAGGCTATATCTTTTATGATAATGATCTATCTAAAGTGTAGAGAAGATAAACGGAATAATATCCTAATCAATTATACTGCTAAATATCTCTTTCATGTATCTAATAGAAAAACCCAGTAAGCTACAGTAAAGCACTGTTTATCTTTTTATGCCTATTAGACCGTTTGTTTATGTGAAAATTTTTTTTCTCCTATTTTTTTTCCTACACTTTTCTTTTCCTGTTTTCTTCTTCATTAAAGTGAAGTTCTGAGAATAGTGGTTACTGTAATAATTCAATCCCTGAGAGTAGGTTTTATTTCGAGTTTTCACGTCTCATTAAATAAGATTGTGAAAGGAGGCATATATCGATCAACCTCCACGACTAAAGATTAATTTTGTAATTAATGACTACGGGTTAAGTTATACGGAAAAAAGAGTAAAAAAATTTAAGATAGATAAAAATAAACATGAATGCTAAAATGCGTTCAGTGCTTGTTCAAGTCTAGCAGGTAAAACAGCAAATACTAAAGACAAGAGATATCATTATTCTAAAAGTCAATAAAATGAGAGTCTACGATTAGATAGCTGCCCTAATAAAGACACATTAAACTCTACTAAATTTTCATAATAGTCGAATTATTTATTTAATATTAGATCATAGCCTCACTAATTCTTACCAGTCAATAATATAGCATCTCAAGTCTACCTCAAAAGCCTGATAACTTAAATCAAGACTCTCCTTTCTCTGTGGATACAGTACTTCATTCTATCTTGGAAATAATAATAGTGCTATTATAGAATGAGGTAAATAAAAACCTAGAATTATTGATATTAAGAATCATACTTATAGGTATCCATTTATATACAACTATTTTTAAGACTGCCTGGAAATTTAATCTCTTAATAGGACTAAACGTAAGTCTTTCAAATATGTAGAAATAAAGTGTTCACTTCGAAGCACTTTATAGATACTTGATATGTCAGTTTTACTTAATTTTCACATGCATGCATTGGAGTGGTTATATAGTATATTAATAAAATGTCTATTGTTATAATGACATTATTAAATTTGGATGACTGCTTTTTCGAAAAATTAATTAATTAATTAAATAAAATAGTAGAATATAAACGAAAATTCTTTTGTAACATCCTACAACTAGGTTACAGTTCAAGCATTTTACTTTTAATTATACTCTTTACAATCCTGTTTCAGTTTTGTTCTCGTTATTGATTAACCTTGTTTTACATGATTCGATAAATCAATCCATTATTTGATCATTAAACTTTTTTTTTTCTTTAATTATTGATTCAAACTTTTAGTAATTTTCCTTTCTTGATCATGTACTTTCTAATGATTTATTCTTGTATTTTATTTTCAATTCTTTCTCTTACCCTATATTTTATTCAGGAGCTTACTGGTGCCTTTTTAACTTTGTTGCGAAAATGAAAACTAAATAGCAGGTATCCGTATACAACACTGTACAAGCTTAGTTCAAAATACATGTCCACTCACATAAATATGTATATAAAAGGAATGATTTGTAACCATAAAAGGATAAAGTGAAAGGAATCTTTTTTATTATTTTTTCTTTTTTTTTAATATTTAGTAGCTACCATCCTTTTTTCTTTCTTTCTTTCTTTCTTTCTTTCCTTTTTTCTTTCTTTCTTTCCTTTTTTCTTTCTTTTTTTTCTTTTTTCTTTCTTTCTTTTTTGTACCTTTTTTATTTATTTATTATAAACTATTTATATTATACATATACCTTTATTTATTTATTTATTTTTGCATTCAAGCTATTATACCTTTTATTTTACCCACTTTTCTTAATCTATTGTTTTACGAGATTAGTATATATTCAGATAGATAAATACATTTTCTTTTTTTTTTTGATCATTTTAGATGTTACGAAACAAAAAAAAACAACAATCTCAAAGTAACAACAACGGTGCTTGTAATAAAAATGAAACCCAGAAGAGTTATATTAAACGAGATGATGCATCTATTTCATCTATAAAGTCAACTACAAGTTCTGTTTTTAGTACTTCAAGTAGATTAAGTAACAGAATACCAAATCCAGTAAAATATTTTGTGGGTCGTGCTAAAGATTCAGAGAATAAAAGTTTTGCTTCAAAGATATTATTAAAGAGATCGACATTGATTAATTTTAATTTCTTCACTAAAAAACATGATAATAGCAACAATTGTACTGTACCCCCTAATAATTCAAACTCCGCTACTTTATTAACGAAAAAGCAAGCAAAGGAAAATAGACGTCGAAATAGTACTAATTCACGTCTTTCCTTTATAGAGGATCATCAAGAAAATAATGTAGATAATTTAATACCAATAGACAACTATACCAACAGCAACAACAACGCTAATAAAATATCTTTTGATTCAAAAAGTGAAAAAGTAACATCATCTCATTCTTCTCAGCAAGTAAAAAAGGAACGACAAAGAGCAAAATCATGTCAAGTAAAGTCATATATTGTATCTAACTATTATATTTATATGCTTATCCATTGTCTATTTATCAGGAAGAGAGCCCACCTACATTAAGTCAGTTAGCCACAAAAGGCTCTTTTCATCAACTTATGATGGAGTTACCCAACAGTAGTACTACAAATCAAATATCAGATTTACCTTTATTTAAAGGCCTTATTACTACTACTTTAACAACCTTGCATACCCGGCTAGTAAATGAATGTGATCGTTCACTTTCGATGTTTATCTTAGCTAACAATACCCCTACTTTTGAAACAAAAAATAATATACCTCAGCAATTATCATCCATCATTTCAGACATTTATAAAATGTTAGAAATGGTAAAATGGGAAGAAAGTACGCAAAAGAAATATATAGAAATTAAACAAGATATACAACAATTAGAAAAGAAAATTTTGGATGAAGAATTAACCATTACTCTACTTAAAGATAGTGTATGTATAGACTTTTTTTTTTTTTTTTTTTTTTTTTTTTTTTTTTTTTTTTTTTTTTTTGCTTCTCTTTAAAAGGAAGGGTGAATCAATTCGATAGACTCATGTATTTTATCATTTATATATACACACATACATACATAGGTTTCTACTATGAAGCAAATAATGAACGAATGTGTTTGCCAATATTATAAAGTAGTTGAAAGAGCTATCGTGATACCATCAAAGGGTTATAAAATTGAAGGCATGAATCAATATTATAATTTCGATATATCGGACAATAAGACTACATCCTCTTTTGATATTGACCATAAAGATCATGAAGCACTTTGGTATCGAACTTATTTTATGAATCAATTTGATGTTCGTACCTTCTTTGGATATGATCAACTTAATAGACCTATTCTTTTATCTATCAAATTAGAAGATCAATATTATAGAATCATTTATAGAACTCAAAATAATCCAGATCAAAGAATAAAAGTCGCTGCTAAAGAAGACGATGCATCGTGGAAATCAATTATTGAATCAAATATACCTGACATTTCATTTGATCGACTATTGGAAATGAATCAAGATCAGATGATATCAAGTGGTATTCAAAATGAATTATTAAGATTAGATGAAAATTCGGTAAACAAGGAAGAAAAGAAAAGAAAAAGAATAAAGAAAAAAAATATTAACATTTGTATTCAAAACAGTTACATACAAAGTATAAGTTTGGTGTCTTGTTAATTAAAGAAGGTCAAACAAAAGAAGAAGAATGGCTTTCTAATGATGGATATGATTCAGAAGGATTTAATGAATTTTTAGACATTATTGGAAGAAAGATAGAATTAAAGGGATATATGGGTTGGGCTGCTGGATTAGACACGAAAGGTAAGGTCATATATCCCATTTATATAATTGGATATGGACTTACATTGTATAATGGATAGGCGGTGACTCTGGTGAATATGCATATATAAATGTTTGGAATGAGAATACACTTGCATATCATGTATCTACATTAATACCTTCTAAACCAGGTGATAAGCAACAGGTTCAAAGAAAGCGACATATAGGAAATGGTAAGTGAATGCATGACATGGCATGATTTTCTGTACTTATATAAATATATATATATATATATACAGATATTGTATGTATTATCTTTGTTGAAGGAAAGCAACCTTTTAATCCTACAGCTATAAAATCTCAATTTTTACATGTATTTATTGTTGTGCATCAAGAACTATTTCCAGCAAATAATAAGAAGGCGTGGAGAGTAGAAATCGTTTATGTAGAGGATGTTCCTAGCTTTGGCCCTTCACTGCCTAATAAGTCGGCTCTCTTTTTTGATAGAGATGAATTAGAAAAATTTTTATTAGCTAAGCGTAAATGAATCCAACTAATTTAGAATCTCTCTCTCTTTCTCTTTCTCTTTCTTTCTCTCTCTCTCTTTTTTTTTGTTACTAACTTATACTTGATATATAGTCGTAAATGCAGAATATGCAGCCTTCAAATCACCCAAATTTGCATTACCTATGAATAGAGCTAGAGAAGGCATATTTTCTAGTTTAGTTGGAAAAGGATATAATTTATTATTAACAAACACTGAAAATGATCTTCTAACATTACAACAACAAGAATCAATGACAGAGACAAATAAGCCATTTCAAAAACATATTAGATCTGCATCTATAAGCTCAACCTTGTTAATGGCTTCATCAAATTCCTCTTCAAATATGACCCGAGAATTTTCTAATTTGAATAAGAGAAGAAGTATTCAAGATTTAGTATCATTTGTAGATGAGGATAAAAAGTTAAATAAAGCAATGAATAAAAAGTCTACACCAATAGCTAACAAGCCAACTGAAGGTATAATAAATAGATACATAATATAATATGAATGAAAAGATATTCATTATTATTATTATATAGGCTCTAAACGTAGTCGATCTGAACAAGATCTTTTGAATATAACGACTACTACTAGTCTTAGGAATCGTGCTCAAAATATTTTAACTTCAATTCCTGGATTTAGTAGTAACAGTAATCAAAATTCTCGTCAAATTCGTAGACTATCTTTATCAAATTAATAATAAAACAGAAGGAAAAAAAAACATACCGATGATTTATGCTGCGCACAGACATATACATATGTATAAAAAAAAAATAAAAAAAAAAAGAAAAAGAAAAGAAAAAAAACGATACAAAAAATCTAAGGGGGAGTATCGATTTAAGGAGGATCAAATATGTAGTATAAATAATGACGATTAAATGTGTATAAAGGAATTGATATAAATATATATTCATTCACTCATTCATATAAACAACATGATACAACAACAACATTGTTGTGCAATAATAAACAACAGAAATTTCCCGCCATTTCATATACATATAAATATATATAGTTATATTGAATTTAGTATACATAAAAGCTTGTATATGTGCGTTATATATACATATAAATATATATATATATTTATAAACAATACGTAAATAAATAAGCTTACAATTTACATATTTTATACATTTCTTTTTCTTTTTTTTCTTTTTTTTTTCTTCCTATTATCATTTCCTTCCTTTTCTTTCTTTTTTATACATATACATACATATTTATAGAATGAGTCCTAGAAAGATTAGTAACCCTACTAAAAGAAAATCAAAGCAAATGATATCTAAAGCAGAACCCATCTTTGATATATCATCATCATCATCATCATCATTATCATCATCAATCCATGAACATTCCTTATTGGCGCCTATCAAAGACCAAGTTCAATTTATTGCTATGAATAGTGACATGACTTCTCCCATTTTATTATCATCTCATGAATATAGTCAGTATCCTTCAAACGAACAATTTAATGCTATTGTCAATGCATATTTAATGAATCTATCTTTAAAGAAGCGAGATAAAGCATTAGTAGATCATGAACGTTATGCTCTTATTTTAAAAGTCTTGAAAGATCCTAGAAATACATCGATTTCAACTGCTCAATTTCGTTTCTGGGTCAAGAAAATGTTTCGTTTAGGATCTCGAAAGAATGCTAAACAAGGCATGGATGAAGAGATTGTGTGTCATGACAATAAGCCAGTTGCTGTACGCGAAGATATTTACTATATCTTGATTTTAGCTCATAAAGAAGCACAACACGGTGGAAGAGATAAAACATCGGCAATTGTAAATAAACTAAATACATATAGAATCAATCTCTTAAGAGTAACATTCATTATGATGTATACACGTATAACTGAATATCATATTCCATTATAGGTACGCAGACGTTATTCTTGGATCCCTAAAGAATTAATCGCTCGTTTTGTAAGACATTGTCCATTTTGTATTTCAAGACGTAATAATATGTGCATGCATCCTCATGAACATACCAGCGATTGTTTAACATCAACTAAGAATGATGATATAGAATCTATAGCCTCTGATCTTTATCCACCTTCTAACCCTATTGAACCTTACTTTTTATCACCAAAGGCTGTAAGAAGAAAACGAAGAAGACAAAGACTATCTTCTTTTTCCTCTTCTCCTCCTCCTCCTCCTCCCTGGAAAAAGCATAATCATCCATCATTTGACAGTAATTATATTTCCTTGGAGAATGATCCAGTTACGGGTTTTTCGATGGCTGCTACTGTAGCAACCTCTGCAGCCGTTGTCGCAGTAGCAGCAGCAGCAGCAGCAGCAGCAGCAGCAGCAACAACAACATCATCATCCACAACACCTAATCATTTTATTCCTTCACCAGAATCATTAACTGATCTCGACTATATGATGGTGGAAGAACAATGTCCAAATGTGTCATTACCAACTTCCATGTTTGATTTTTATTATGACCATCACCATTTAATAAGTCCTACCTCGACCGAGTTAATCCATCATCCATTAGATCTAAACTCCTTTGACCTTTTACAGTCATGTTTCCCCTCCGATATGATCCATTTGAATAATATGAATCCTATATTCTCAGCCAAAGATGAAGAAGAGCTCATCTATTTATTAAATCACAATGATAACATTCATGCACAACACCATTCCTCACAAAACAATATTAATAACCAACCACTGACAAAGGCACCTTCTTGCTGTGCATCAGTGACATCATCAGATATCTCTGAGTCTACCACTATCGACTCTACTTATTTACTAGAACAATTATTGAGGCAACAAGAAAATTATATGAATATATGTCCAGTGCCGTCATCACCACCACTACCACTACCACCACCATCAAAATCATCAGATGGACCATTTGATCAACAATTACTAATGTTATCATCTAATACAACTGATGGCAATTTTATTACTTCTATTACTGCTTCTCCCTCTTCTAGTAAATAATATGTTATGAGAAATAAATAAATAAAAATTATGTATGCAAATAAAAGATCTATTTTCTATTTTTTTTTTTTATTATTATCTATTTTTCTACTAAATGTATGCCAGAAAAATAAATAAATAAATAAATATATATATAATGTTATTCTATTTAGTGTTTGTTTATATGATGAAGTATATATTTTTTTTTCAGAGTGTACTATTTACAGATTCATCTTCATTATTGGTATTGTTAAGGATATTTTTAACAGAAGCAGATATACCAGCATGGTGATCAAGAGCCTGTTCACGGTCACGCTTCACAGATTCTAAGAAGGCAGGTACAGCATCTAATAAGTAGGTATAGTCATTTTCATTTGAATGATTGTTGTTGTTATCGATTAAATTCATAATAAAAAAATTTTGAAGTTCTGCAGGCGTTACATAAAGGTCAGGAATCATGTCTGTAAACTTTTCAGCCAAGAGGGATATATTAGGGTCATTATTACAAGGTATCTTTTCATCCGGTTCCATATCACCTAAATCGATATCATCCTTGCCCATAAAACGCCAAAACATTCTATTGATTTGGTATTTATTTGCATATCCTAATTCCATTTTCATATCAATACGACCAGGACGAAGTAAAGCAGGTTGAATACGGTTTACATCATTACACGTCAAAAAAATCATAGAGCCCTCTTGAGCTGCTACACCATCCAGAGCATTCAATAAGCCACTCATGGTAATCTTTGAATCATTATTATCCTTGTTTGAATTAGGATCCTTTATCACACAATGATCCACATCTTCCATAACAAGAATACTATTACGAGGTACCTCCTGTAGTAAAACATTAAAATTTTCATCATCCATTTTCCCAGATAAACTAATGATAGCCACATTCATATTCACTTTACTAGCTATGGATTGAACTAAAGATGTTTTACCAGTCCCTGGGGGGCCATAAAGAAGGTAACCACGACGATAGGGAATACCACGGATTGAATACCAATGCTCTCGTTTACGGAAGATTTGAATGTCCTTCAGGATCAATTCCTTTTGTCCTTCCTTCAATATAACTGAACCAAAATCTCTTAATTGTTTTGATGTTAACGTACGCCATTCAAATCCATCATATCGACTAGGCATACATTTATAGATAGTAAGTTTACCATTTTCTTGTTCAAAATAGTCATCGATCCATTCTTGAATAAATGACTTTAAAAGACTTAGATCTTGTCCACGCATGGTGATTTCAACGCAAGGATTAGTATTCATCATACCCAATAAATCCTTCAGGTTATTACTATAAAACTGGTCCATATTATTGCTTACACCACTGTTTTTCCTTTTTATAACCCATAATGTATGGTTCTTGTAAGTTATCTTTTGTTCAGTTTCATCCACTATATATATACAAAAAAAAAAAAAATTCTCATTTAGTATTTTTTTTTAAAAAAAATTACTTTATATTTATATACTTTACATGGATAAAGTCGAAGTGTAGGAGGAAGACCAGGGCCTTGTAAATCATCATGATCTGCTTGGACACAACGACCTTCGACAGTACGTAAACTCTTTTGAATATGTGTCGTTGTCTTGCTTGCAACAAATTGTTGAATAGCTTCATAACCTGTCTCATTTTTACCAATTTGTATCGAAACATACATTCTTTCTTTTACAAAATTTATTAGTTGATAAAATATAGAGTGCAGTTGATATCCAACAATGGCTATAATAATAATAATAATATAAAGTATTAGAAGAGAAGACTATTATTATTATGCTACATATAATACATTACGAGCAAGATAAACAATAAAACCTAAAAAGACGACATCACTTCCAAAATAACGTTTTAAAAGATTAAGAATACGATCGCCAACAAGTGATTGCCAAAATGCTTCATCAGACACCTTTTCTAATAAACATAGAATTCGATCTACAATGACACTCATACGACTGCTATTATTTAATATAATTTTATGAGGAGGACGATAAACTGAAGTCATATATGAGTTATAAATAGAGAAGGAAGGCAATAAATATATTCTAAAGCCCTTATTATTATTTATATAATGCTACTACTAATACTACTACTACCGAGAAAGCTGCCGCAGTTACTACCGCAGCATTATAACTGAAACAAATATATTTTATCTCTACAAATTTGTGTTACATTGTTGGCGCGAAAAAAAAAATAAAAATAAAGTCCGAAAAAAAAATTAGGCACAAAAATTGGTTCAAATGTTGGTGGATCAAGTGCGCCAAATTATTTATTTATTTTAAATAGGCTTACGGTTTAACACAATCACTAAATTTTGAAATAGAATACCTACAGAAATCTTGGAGGTCACTGATAAGTACTCTGTTACAAGCATCTTGGATTCACGAGGTCAATGTTTTTCCGTCTAAAAGTGTCTCTCTCTTTCTCTCTCTCTTTAGCTTATTTTTATATACAGATCAAAATTGCTCAATAGGATTAGGCTCCGGTAAGTAGGGTGGAAGATAAATATAGTGACTCACAAAAGTGTGGCAATGTTTCAGAATTTTAGGTAATTTATGCAAATCGGCAATAACAAATCGTCTATTTATTAAGTAAAGTACAATATAGTATATACTAGCAGAAAGACAGAAGTCTCCTCTTTTTGATGATACCTATAGCATATATTTATTATATAATGTTTTTATTTGAAAAACAATGTTAAAAGTTATATGTATAAAAATTTTATGCAAATAGTTTATTGAAGAATGAAATGAACAACGCATCTTTTATGTTTAGTACTTGATAGCACCACCTTTTGCTTTAATTATTGCTTCAACACATCTTGGCATATTTTCTATGTGTTTTAAGCATAGTTCGGCTGTAACTTTATGGTATCAAACATCAGCAACTCGCTCCCATAACTCATCCATGTTTTTTGGTGGCCTATCATAGGCAGCAAGCTTACACTTCAAATAAAACCAAAGGTTTTCAATTGGATTTAGATCAGGTGAGTATGATGGCCATTCAAGGACATTTATTTTATTTCTTTTGAACCAGTTTCTTGTATATTTGGATGTATGCTTCTGATCATTGTCTTGTTGAAGGATCACATCTTTCTTACAAAGGCCATAATCCTTGAGCGTCTCCATAAAGTCACCTCTTAATATTTCACAATATAACTGCGAGTCCATCCTTCCCTCAATCTTGGCAATAAAACCAGGACCATGTTGCGTGAAACAACTCCATAACATTAGGCTTCCACCCCCACCTTTGTACTTAAAGTTGACATTATGGTCTTTTAGAGGTTCACCCTTTTTAACCCATGTCCATTGCTTTCCATCTGAACCCAAACGATTAATTTTTGTTTCGTCACTAAAGACGACCTTTTTTCCAATCCTCAACCGTCCAGTTCCTATGAGCTTTGGCCCATTCTAGACGATCTCGTCTACGCTCATTCGTCAATGGTAATGTAGATTTCTTAATCTTCGAATCAAAGTCGGACGATTTTAGGAATCTGCAAATGTTTTGCGCGAAAATATCATATTCTTGACCATGTAAGTTCCGGGCAGCGTCCACTGTAGTGATAAAATGATCAGTATAAAAAGATCGCGTAATCAATCTTCCAAGTAATGGGCTAATCTTCTTTGGTCTATCTTCTTTTACGTTAATCTTAATTTGATTTTCTTTGGCAATTCTGCCAATTGTCCTAATTGACACACCCATTGCCTTAGAAATATCCATATAAGACTCATTAGCATTAAGTTTTGCTAAAATATCCATCTTTCTATCTTAAGGAATTGGTCTCATTCTAATATATGTGATGATCTAAGTGTTAAAGGGAATAATGCATAAATGTTGTTCAGATTAGTAATGAATTTGAGAGAAAAACGATATTAAATAGAAAGTAAACCTTTTTGTTAATTCAATAAAGATATTAAATATAATTTAAAATAAAAAAAAATGGTGTTTTCGTAAAAAAAAAAAAAATAGATAAAGAAAAAAAATTATCATTCAGCGAAATGGCTAAATCGTGTAAAATGACATGAACGCTGTTGAAATGAACATTCATGCATGTAAATGAGATTAAGAAGCTATAAAAATAATGTAAATTTTGTCAACTTTCCATTAAAAATACTTTTATTAATGTATCTTTATTCATTTATGTTGTGCATTAAGGAAAGCCAAAAATCATAGAACATTGCCACACTTTTGTGAGTCACTGTAGTGATCTTCAAGGAGTTTGTAATTATTCAGCATCCAAGTTTGAAGATTGTCTTGATCGTAAACCTATCTAATAGATTTGCGCATTTTACGTATGCCTAAGTAGTGCTATTTGTTTTTATAAATGTGCTAAGCTTTTTTTTTTTTTTTTTTTTTTTTTTTTTTTTTTTTTGGCTGTGTGATTTATTTTTTTGTAAGTACGCCATTTTTTTTTTTTTGAAAAAATGTGCGGATAATTTTTCCGTTTGGTGTAATTACAACAGATAACTGGCTTAAAATCCTTTTTATTGGATTTCAAAGTGCGCTCCTAGATGTGTAACTCGTATACATCAGGCATCACAAAGATATACAAGTAGCTATGATCTCATGTGCAAAAATCGTTGTCAGTCACGCCTATTTGGAAAAAAAAAAGCCTCTAGTTATTCATAAATATATGGCCCATCCATTGTCAATCAGAGTTCAATTTATTTTACTTTTAGTTTTTGCAAGTGAGCCTACAAGGCCGACAAACTTTAATAGTAAATGTTATGATTGTAGTCGTCCTTATAACCAAGTTAATAGAAATAAACCATCATTTATTACATAATAAAGAGGTTATTCACATAAAACTAGTATATTGAACTTCACAGCATAATGTTCATTCTACACTCAGTTTCAATAATAGTCATTGTTAGAATGTTTGAGCAATAATAATAATTATATACATAATTCAAACAGGATTGTGACTGGTGTATTCAATTACATAATTGTTCTTGAGTGATACATATCAGATATACATTGATAATATTGAATATTGTTAAGTAATGAAATCTTATACAATGATAATGATAGTAACTCATAAATAATCGGTATTGTTGCAGCTAGACATATTCACTGAGAATTAATATTGATGTGTCGCAGTCCAATAATAATGATTCGTTAGGTTTCTAGGAACAGCGATAACTCAAGGAGAAAAAAGAATAAAGATATATCTTATTGATCGCAGAATTATTTGGAGACACTGTCTTCTGTAAAACTTGCTTATCTGAATCATATTTCCATTGATAATACTTACCTTTTAAAAACATATAAATAGCCCTCGATTTTTCCATACAATTTTCCGTTGTACAATTTTTGTATTATCTTTAATAAACTATACAAAGTTTTCACAGATTTGTCTTCTGTTCATTTCTCTTTCTCTATCTTCTTGCTAATCAAAACATGTTCTATAATACTTGTTGTATTCTTCATAGATGTATGCTTTTTCACAAATTGAATCATCGGGTGCTGTTTCACTAGGTTTCAACAGAATGATATGTGAGTCGATTTCAAAGAGTCGCTTGAAAAGAGGCAACCAGATACTATAGGTAAAGTCCCCTTCTGGAATATTTTTGGGATAGGCAGGGTTGAGGATGTGCTGAGAATTTTGCATGCTGTCCAGAATTGTATCAAGGAATTTATAAGTATTGTACTCAGCAGCAAGCACCTTATTTGAGCCACATAATCTATCCAGATATCTTCTTCCAAAAGTTACACTTCCCTTTTCTACGCTTTTGGCGCATATATATTCCCATTTTTCTTTAACCCAAGATTCCGCGGGTGATGTCTTGACTTGGTATTTTTTGAAGAAATGCCTTTTTATTCTATTCCAACTATCTTTTGTGAACAAAGATGCTTGACTAAAAATATCGTCGTTGGTCAAATCAAGGATACCAGAAAGTCCAGCTGCCATGCAATTTCTTTCTTTTGGATTCAGCTTAACGCCTTGAACATATAGATCATGTAAGCGTTGCCCTTCTTTGAATATAGAACTCTTAATGGAAATGGAATTTGAGGAGAGTTCAACAGGGCTTATAATTGGGTCCTCTGGCACAACATAAGGTTTACTTTTATAGGAAGTACTAGCTTCCTGTTCAAGATGGGACTCCAATGTTTGATATTGTTCTATTCTTAGCCTCTTCTCTATTCTTTCCTTGATTTGATCTTCATGTTGTCTCAAGCGTTTCATTTTTTTCCCGTGATATGAAGCTAAAAATTCATCAGCACCATTACTGCCGCCCAAGTACTCTGCCATCTTTCCTGCAAAGGAAGTAACTGATACATTCCTGGTGTATTCGGTCTCGACGCTTTCAAAGGCAAATTTCCACTTCTTAAAGCATTGTTCATCGCTTAGTTGTCCGTTCGTGATCTTAACAAGTTCATTGTAGTCATTCCATTTCGAAACCTCAAATTTCTTAAACAATGAGGGTAAATTAAACTGTTTGATATCACTGTTTGTGAAACAAAAGGTGGGTGAGATAAACTTAGGTAATGGTTTTGACATTAGTTAAAGTTGTCAGAAGTTTTTTTTTGTCAAAATAAAAAGAAAAAAAGCGATAAAATACACGTACCACACCACACGCGCTGCCAAATAAAAATATGACTTTTAAATTTTACTTCTTACAGTGATCTAACAATTTTAATAAATAATATTTTATTAAATACACTTATAGTGATTGTGATGGTACATAATACAATAAAGAAAAATAAAAAGAGAACAAAAGGAAGTATAGTTTGAGACTGTGTTTATTTAATGAAAAGAAAAAGAAAATAAAAGAATTAAAGTTTAAAGATTATTTTGTGTCTACACACCTGCTTATATTTATACTAATGAATCCTGAATCAAAGAAATAAATATAGCTGTGAAAGAGCATGAGTCATGAAACAGTGTGTGTTGATTCAAGAGACTGATTTCTATAGATTATCTATCGGGTATTATAATGATATTATTAAATTTTATATAAAATAAATATTGTTTAATCTGAGCTTAGGTTCCTGGTGTCTATTTCAGTAGATCAAAGACGACTTGAATCATTTGTCACGGCTATAAAGATAAATATTTAGAATTGATATGATGTTTTATAGTCGATACATCTAGACGATTGGATGCCAATAACTTTTATATTATTTACAGGATGTTGTATACAGAGTTTTATTTCATATTCAGGCTTATAGTTTATCCTTTATTATGTAATTCATTTATTATAATATTACTTATGCTTATATTCAGAGCTTTTTCTATAACAACAGCAACGCGGTGTTCGACAGTCGGATCATTACCGTCCACTCGGGTGGACGGTAAGAGTGGTGGTATTGTGAACTGTCATGGTTGTAAGATTTATAACTTAATTCAATAAGATAAATAGTCATAATAGAATACATAGTGCATTTGTATAATAATTCTCTCTATAAACATATTTAGTATATTTACCCTTGTATAGAAAAATAATTAATTAATAAAAAGTCCTACATCTAAAAATATACTTTCTTCTATTATTGTTCTGCTGAATATAAATTTATAAAAATAACTTTATACAAGTTAAACTGGGGTAAACTAAGAATAATACAAATACGCGTAATAATTGATTCTACTCAGAATACACGTATTAGTTATAAAAATAAATATATACTAAAGACATGAATCTATAATTATAACTCTTAGTAATCCTTCTATAATTATATTATCAAAAACAATTTGTTATATTTTTATCTTCTTATTACTCATCATCCTTATCCACAAAATATATAAATACTCTTACATTATTCACCCTTATTTTGTAGAACTCATAACTTATAACTAAGAACAATACTTGTATTGAATTAACTTTTAATAAAACTTATTGACAAGTCTCAACGTACTTCTTCTGTCTTATCTTCTTTTTATTTTATTTTATTTCTTTTATTTAATTACTTAAACCTACCTAAACCACAACATGAACATCACGAGCAGTCGCGAAATAAGTAGGGTTGCGGCAATTGCCGGATCGCGGTTTATCCGGTGTGACGGACATGCCATTACCTTGCGCGGAAATCTAGGTATGGTCGCCGAAGCGGGATTTTTTACTATTTCCGCGGCACTTAGGTTATGCGCGGATACCTTATTCCGGGTTAATTCCCCATACACCGTCGTCGGACTTTGAAAAAATTTCCTTTTATGGTATTACCACTAGTAGTGATAACCTACAGCTTAAATATATTGGATTGTCCAGTCTATTAGGAACGAAGTAGAGAACCAGCCAATAGAAGTAGAGTACAATCTACCGTTTAGAATTAATAGGCAAAATAAAAGAAGGTTTTAGCCGATAGTAAAGGATTCAAACGTGAGAAGAAAGAAGTCAAAATTATGCATAATTTGTGAAAATAGAAGACGTCGGCATAATTAGTTGACAACATGAGAAAATTAAGAAGACAACACTTACGCATCTTTATTATAATCGCGATTCTCCCTGTTGTCACATAAATTTTATTGTTGTAGCAAATTTAATATAAATATAGAGAAATTATTAATTTTGAATAAAGATAACCATTAAATATTATAAAAGTTGATTATATTTTTTGTTATTTTTGCTTAATACTATCTGAAGTTTTACTCCTTCGTACCTCAAGAAGTCAAGAAACGACAAAGTCGGTATTTTTTTCACTAATAATATATTAGAGAGCCATTTCCATAGAAGAAAATCGCATTTTTCAAAGTCCGATGGTGGTATATGGGAAAGGATCCACAAAAAGGTAAGGGATGTAGACACAGTCTTTTTCTTGATTGACTGCATTTTTATTTGTCACGGAGTTAAGCAAGGCTTTGGAAGCTACAACAGTCTTTCTTTTGTCTTTAAATTATTTAGGTGTTGAACATTCTCTGGCAACTTCACCATAGCCATGGTCTTGAAGTTTAGAATTGTTAATTGCTATTAACCTGAGATCCATTTTCATTTTTACCCCTAACGAAAGTAAAGATCCAGGAATCGTATCACCCCTAAAAAAAAAGAGTTGTTGAATGAGAACATAGGTCACGTAAAATGCAACAAATTAGTATATATTGTTATGATTGTAGTAGCCTTTATAATTAAGTTAATAGAAATAAACCATCATTTATTACATAATAAAGAGGTTATTCAAATAAAACTAATATATCGCGCTTCACAGCATAATATTCATTCTACTCTCAGTTTTGATAATAGTAATTGTTTGAATATTCGAGCATTAAAAATAATTATATACATTATATTATGTAATAATAATAATTCAATAGAATTATGACTGTTATATTCAATTACATAATTATTTATAAGTTATACATATTATATATGATAGCTATAAAGATGAGTTTTGTTATGTAATAATATCTTATAGGATAATAATAATAGTAGCATATAAATAATTGGTATTGCTATAGCTGACATATTCACTGTGAATTAATATTGACGCGTCGCTTGCCCCAGAAATAATAATTTAATATTTTTAGTAACAGCGACAGCTCAGGCAGAAAAGAATAAAAATAGATCTTATTGTAGGCAGAATTATTCGGAGAAAATATTTATGACTAATGCTTTATTATAGCAATAATTGCTTATCCAAATCATAGTTCTATTAATATCACTTATCTTGCAAAAACATATAAATAACCTTTTACATTTTCACATAATTTTTCCTTGTACAATTTTTGTATTATTTTCTTAATAAAAAACTACACGAAGTTTTCACAGACTTGTCTTTTATCTTTTTCTCTTTCTTTAACTTTTTGTTTATCAAAACATATATTACCAATGGGGGATGACAGAGGGATTTTTGAAGGTCTTTTCAACCAATGGCCCGCAGAACTTGACAACATAATCACATTCAGAGTGCGACTTGATAAGTGAGCTCTCAAAAAGGTAAGCTTGTTCTAGATGCTTTTTAATCCTATTTTCGTAATAAAATCAGTACATACTTGCAGTCAGCCAAATCATTTAGATACTTACAGAAACCTAAGGACTGAGACGGAAGTAGTAGTGTCTCTGTCTTTCTTTGCAATGTTTTTTAGTTGATTAAGAGATAATTGTATTCCCCTATTTGTTGTTTTATTGCTCTAAAAAAAGATGAGTTTATTGAACAAATAGTTACTTTCAAATGTTTACCTTGATATGCTTCATTACGTGGTCAAGCTCTTTTTCGTCGAACTCAGGACCCTTAGAGGATTCAACAATAGTATTTCTTAAGTTTGGTGACTACAGCATGAGGGGCAAGCCAGGGATTGTAACTGATATGTCAAGTATATGATTTCTTGATAGCCTTCAAGTGTACGTGTTAGAATAAAAAGTATTCGTTAAAAAAGTTACGTTTTGTAGTATAGAGTCTTGTAATTCGTAGGCTTTGTTCGACTTATTGAATTAAACATAGACTTCACATCGTCGAACTGAGGAGGCGTTTCAGCGAGAGGAATTAGTGTTTAATCCGTTAGTACTTATGTGCTTTGGTTTCTTTCCCGTTATCCTCTGCTTGCTCTTTAAAATACAGATGAGAAATTAGGTTGTCAGTTCAAAAAATTGTTAAAAGGTTTACCTTTAGTGCTTTTCTCTATTCGAAGTTTGCCAATTAGTTTTTTATAACGATAAAATTAATGATAAATAACTATACCTGTTCTGAAATTGCCTTCTCTTGAACCCCTGCATAAAGGAGCTCTCTGTCTTTCGCGTTCTTGATAAGTTGTTTATTCAACTTATTGGTGGACATTTTTATTGAAGAGTGAAGAAAAAAGAATAATTCTAAGCGCTCTAAATACGCACTTCAAAATATTTTCAGTGACGTAATGATGAAATTTGGTGGTTTAATCAAATAGCAAATCCCCTTGTAATGATATTTTAATAATTTCTAGTTTTTGATGACGTATGCTTTCACGAAAAGTCTGTTTTCAAATTAGAAGAAAAAGTTAATAACAATTCTGTTTCCCTTGTTATAAATTTCATCTAATACTCCAATATTAGATTGAACTTATGGCAAGAAAAGCGACATCAACGCCTCTTGTTGCAAGCAGTAGATCTAGTTTCTTTTGTTTGATATTGTTATGATTGTAGTCGTCCTTACAATTAAGTTAATAGAAATAAACCATCATTTCTTACATAATAAAGAGGTTATTCATATAAAACTTGTATATTGAACTTCACAGCATAATATTCATTCTACACTCAGTTTTAATAATAGTCATTGTTTGAGTATTCGAGCTTAGATAATAGTTATATTCATTGTATCATGTAATAATAATAATTCAATAGGTTTATGACTGTTATATTGAATTATATGATTATTTATACAAGTCATAAATATTATATATACATCTATAATATTAGATATTGTTATGTAATAACATCTTAGAGGATGATAATAATAGTAGCTTATAAGTAATTGGTTTTGTTATAGCGAGAGTATCCATTATGAATAAATATTAACGATTTGCTTAACCCAGACCCTACACCCTTGACCCTAGACCCTTGACCCTAAACCCTAGAAATATTGATTTATTATATTTTATATTTCTGGTTGTCATGAGCTGACTTATAATGTCATGTTTCATGATTAAACATGCGGATCATAAATTCATTTAAGAAATTCTATCCTAACTCTCTCTTGATCCGCTCCATCTAATAATATTAAAATCATTAACACTTCATTGTCAACAATATACCTAATTCGGTCGTAACTAATACTTTTCTGATTCACATCCTATCCTCAGACCTCTTTAACAATTCTTATAAATACCCCATCAATTTGAATTCATAAATAAAATAATTGACTTTGGAACTATTGTTCGGTTTCGTTGACTCTTTTTGTCTTAATATTATTTTTTCTTCTAATATTTTTTATTTGATATTTTAAAAAGAAATATCACACTAGTAACAGTGCCAGCTCAGGGGAAATAAAGATAAAAATATATTTTATTGTATGCAGAATTATTCGCAAACAAAATTTGTGCTTAAAGGCTTTGTTATAGCAGTATTTACTTATCTAAATCACACTCCTATTAATATGACTTACCTTACAAAAACATATTGTTGTGTATATAATGATGTATTACATAATATCTTATAATGCACAAATCAGAGTCATGAAGAACCGAATGATATTATAGTTATTAGTTATACACTTTATGCATACAATATTATTTGATTTCAGTTTATAAGACATTCTTGTGATGAGAAAAAATAATGTTATAATAAATACTAACTCTACAAAATAATGATAAGAAAAACATAGTGTCAGGAGTTATTAATAATAAAGATATATGAATTATAGATTATACCTATTAGTTATATATATATGCATTATTATTTAATATTGTCTAAAATACTAATTTATAAATATAATCATATACTATCTATGAGAACTCTATTCTAATTGAATACACTATATAATATAATGAAATTCATTTAAGTAGTACATTGAGGAATGAATATAATATAAAGAAGCTGGTTAGAATATAAATCTGTATATCAAAAGTGTCTTTCCTATATCATTCACAAGTATGAAAAAACGAAATTTTATTATTTTGTTTCAAGAAAAATAACCGGCTAGATCAAGCACCAATAATTTAATATTTATTAGAGTTAACTGAGATTAATTCTCAGTCAGGGCAAAGACTAGATCTCTAACACAATAATTTTAATTATTCTATGGGAAAATATTCTTTTTTCAAAATATCTGCACTCTGTTCCTGTTGCGAAGTAACCCGTTCTCCACAAGATATAAATAAGGATCCATTTTGCACTCATCTTTTAAAAAATTCAGTTTTTAATTTTTAATTTTCATTTTTTGATTGATAATAAAAGTTTAATACAAAGTTTTCACAGATTTATTCTGTCTTATTCTTTTGTTATCTTTGTCTTATCAACACATATAAATAACACTCGTCATTTTTCCATATTATTTTCTTCTTGTACAATTTTTGCATTATTTTATCTTCAATAAACTATACAAAGTTTTCACAGACTTGTCTTTCTTTTTTTCTCTTTCCTTATCTTTGTACTCAAAACAGAGACAACATGAAGATCAAATCAAGGAAAGAATAGAGAAGAGGCTAAGAATAGAACAATATCAAACATTGGAGTCCCATCTTGAACAGGAAGCTAGTACTTCCTATAAAAGTAAACCTTATGTTGTGCCAGAGGACCCAATTATAAGCCCTGTTGAACTCTCCTCAAATTCCATTTCCATTAAGAGTTCTATATTCAAAGAAGGGCAACGCTTACATGATCTATATGTTCAAGGCGTTAAGCTGAATCCAAAAGAAAGAAATTGCATGGCAGCTGGACTTTCTGGTATCCTTGATTTGACCAACGACGATATTTTTAGTCAAGCATCTTTGTTCACAAAAGATAGTTGGAATAGAATAAAAAGGCATTTCTTCAAAAAATACCAAGTCAAGACATCACCCGCGGAATCTTGGGTTAAAGAAAAATGGGAATATATATGCGCCAAAAGCGTAGAAAAGGGAAGTGTAACTTTTGGAAGAAGATATCTGGATAGATTATGTGGCTCAAATAAGGTGCTTGCTGCTGAGTACAATACTTATAAATTCCTTGATACAATTCTGGACAGCATGCAAAATTCTCAGCACATCCTCAACCCTGCCTATCCCAAAAATATTCCAGAAGGGGACTTTACCTATAGTATCTGGTTGCCTCTTTTCAAGCGACTCTTTGAAATCGACTCACATATCATTCTGTTGAAACCTAGTGAAACAGCACCCGATGATTCAATTTGTGAAAAAGCATACATCTATGAAGAATACAACAAGTATTATAGAACATGTTTTGATTAGCAAGAAGATAGAGAAAGAGAAATGAACAGAAGACAAATCTGTGAAAACTTTGTATAGTTTATTAAAGATAATACAAAAATTGTACAACGGAAAATTGTATGGAAAAATCGAGGGCTATTTATATGTTTTTAAAAGGTAAGTATTATCAATGGAAATATGATTCAGATAAGCAAGTTTTACAGAAGACAGTGTCTCCAAATAATTCTGCGATCAATAAGATATATCTTTATTCTTTTTTCTCCTTGAGTTATCGCTGTTCCTAGAAACCTAACGAATCATTATTATTGGACTGCGACACATCAATATTAATTCTCAGTGAATATGTCTAGCTGCAACAATACCGATTATTTATGAGTTACTATCATTATCATTGTATAAGATTTCATTACTTAACAATATTCAATATTATCAATGTATATCTGATATGTATCACTCAAGAACAATTATGTAATTGAATACACCAGTCACAATCCTGTTTGAATTATGTATATAATTATTATTATTGCTCAAACATTCTAACAATGACTATTATTGAAACTGAGTGTAGAATGAACATTATGCTGTGAAGTTCAATATACTAGTTTTATGTGAATAACCTCTTTATTATGTAATAAATGATGGTTTATTTCTATTAACTTGGTTATAAGGACGACTACAATCATAACATTTACTATTAAAGTTTGTCGGCCTTGTAGGCTCACTTGCAAAAACTAAAAGTAAAATAAATTGAACTCTGATTGACAATGGATGGGCCATATATTTATGAATAACTAGAGGCTTTTTTTTTTCCAAATAGGCGTGACTGACAACGATTTTTGCACATGAGATCATAGCTACTTGTATATCTTTGTGATGCCTGATGTATACGAGTTACACATCTAGGAGCGCACTTTGAAATCCAATAAAAAGGATTTTAAGCCAGTTATCTGTTGTAATTACACCAAACGGAAAAATTATCCGCACATTTTTTCAAAAAAAAAAAAATGGCGTACTTACAAAAAAATAAATCACACAGCCAAAAAAAAAAAAAAAAAAAAAAAAAAAAAAAAAAAAAAGCTTAGCACATTTATAAAAACAAATAGCACTACTTAGGCATACGTAAAATGCGCAAATCTATTAGATAGGTTTACGATCAAGACAATCTTCAAACTTGGATGCTGAATAATTACAAACTCCTTGAAGATCACTATATAATACTCTATTGCAAGCGTCTGCAATTCTTAAAGTCAATGTCTCTTCCAAAAGTTGCTCTCTATTAAGTTTGCTTTTACAAACCGACCAAAATTGCTTGATGGAGTTAAATTCAGGCGAATAAGGGGGGTAGATATACGCACTTATAGTCTCGGCTCTCAATAAGGTTTTGAATGTCTTGATGTTTATGAATAGGAGCATTGTCCCATAATCAGATGATGACCTTTGAATTCCTCATAACGGTCCATTACATCCAAAACATTACTGATAAAATTGAAGTAATGCCCAGTAACTGTACCACTGTTACTACTCACTTTTGAAGTGGATTCTCTTACTGCTTTTCTCTCTCTCCTTTTTTTTTTATCTTGTATGTTGTATCATTATAATAAAGAATGCTTAACTTCCAATTGCATTAACTGTTAATCATAAATAATACTTTTGTATTTAACTATTTGACCTTATTAGTTAGTAGATAACAACAAGAATTCACATACTGAGAAGCTATGCGTCATTGGAATTTGGTGCTCCAATAACCTCCAGTATTGTTTAAATTGAGCTAATCATTCTGAATTTCATTGGAATAAATACCTTTTCCTTGGATAAAGTTTGCTGGCACAAACAATTATGTTGATTATAGCTTTCTAAGAGTTCTACCTAAACTATTACTTATTGTTTAACATAAACTATATATATGTATATGTATATATATCTTGTCAAATAAGGAGGAATAAGATTAACTTGATGCTATGATTCCTTCTTAGAGGAAAAAGACTGCTTCACCTTTTTATCGTTATAATCTATTTCGCTCGACGCCCTTTCCTAAACATACTTTTATCATTTTTACTCACTTCAGAAGTATGATCTCGGTCTAATTAGCTCTCAAGATTATTAATTAATTTTAGAATTAAGTTTTTATATACAAAGCAAATGTTAAAGAAACTTATTAATGATCTGAATCTCCAGATCTTTATTTGAACAGCTACAGTAAATATCGAGAAACTAACCAACAGACTTTTTTTTTTATTTCTTTTCTCTTTAATAATAATAATAAGGAACTGATGCTATGTCCCATAATAATTGTATCTTAGTGTGTAGTTTTAGTTATGAATATTATGAACTTTGAGAACTAGCCTTGTTGTGTGTGTGTGCGTTTTTTTTACCAGATTATTTTAAATTAAAAATGTTTATCTGAAAGAAAAGAAAATATGAAGGTCACAAAAAAAAAAAAAAAAAAAAAAAAAAAAAAAAAAGGTAAAGAAAAAGAAAAAAATATGTATTACATTCTTTTCTTTTATTTACATAAATATACAAATATATATATTTATATATATTCATATATAACACATTCTACTTTAAAATGTCGACATTAGATAGCATGGAAGATGACGATGATACCTTTTATTATGAAGTAGAAAAGATTGTTGATATGCGCATTTCCGAAACAGGTGTTCATATGTTCTTGATTAAATGGAAGAATTACGATGACGCGTGGTAAAAAAAATAAAATAAAAAAACTATGTTTGTTCTTTTGATATACAAAATAGATGAGGCTAAATCTCTGATTAATAGAGTAATATATATAAATCATCACTTGAAGAATATTACATCACTTATATTTGCCCCTCCTTTTTTTGTTTTTTTTTTGTTGTTGTTATTGTTGTTAATTTTTCTTTAGATTTAATACTTGGGAACCAGAACATAATCTCAATTGTCCAACTATTTTAGAAGAATTTTTAAAAGGCTATCAAAAGAAGAAAACATCAAAAACAAAAAGGAAAAAGAATAGTATAATTAAGGGGAAAAAGAAACAACACTCATTACCAGAAGTAGAGGCAGATTTGCAAAAAATCGTTGCCAATACAAAAAAAGAAACGGCCATAGAGAAAGTAGAGAATAAAGAAGAAAAAGAGAAAGACGAAAAAGAGAAAGAAGAAAAGAATAAAAAGGAAAAAGATAAAAAGGAAAAAGATAAAGATGAAAAGGATAAAGTCGAAAAGGATAAAGTCGAAAAGGATAAAAACGAAAAAGATGTAGAAAAGGACAAAGATAAACTAAATGAGAATATAAACGACACAGGGAAAGGCAAAGAAAAAGAGCTAAAGAGGAAGAAAAGCAACGATGATAATGATGACTTATTAGAGAAAAAACGAAAAGCATCAACAGAAGAAGTAACCGAACAAAATAAAAGAAAGAATGTAGATAATCCACCGCCCAAGATTACATTCACTATTCCATCAAAGGTAGACCTAAAAGGAAGGAAACAAACAAAAAAGAGGATGAAACGATACTGATTGCTTTTTTTTTTTTGGTAGACAAAAAATACATCATTTAATACTAACACCAGCATTAAACTTACTCCAAAGCCCCCATCATGTAAGATAATATAAATTGAAATATAAATACCTCTTTTAACATCTTTATTTTAGCAAATGTTGATTTAACATCTATATTAAAGATGGTTGGAAAGCATTCTACATCATCAAATACACCTTCTTCACCTAACTTATCCTTATCTAAATACCCGCCAATTGCACCTAAAAACATAAGCTATCGTGCACCTTTAAACTTATTTTCAGCAATACCTTCAAATCATAATAATTTAGAATCTAATCATGAACAAAAATCAAGCTTAATACAATACAATAATTTGCCATCTCATTATACGACTACTTCTACTCCAGTAAAACGAATATTACCTAATAATCGAGATCCTAGATTAGATCCACGTATTACAACAACAGTCGAAAGTCCAAAAAGAGTAAACTTCCAAAGCACACCTTTTCTATTTCAAGGAGTTATTTCAAAAGGGGGGAAGTATATATCATCTATCACTTTAGAAGGAAAGCAGCATTGTTATCATAAAGAACAAATACAGTAAGTTATTGATATGAAAATAAAAAGGAGAGAGGGAGAGGGAGTGTGTGTGAGAGTGAGAGTGAGTGAGTGAGTGAGTGAGAATGAGAGTAAGAGTGAGAGAAAAAAAAACCCATTGTTAACAAGTTTTATAGAGAACTGATTTCTACTTCAGGGAAAAATAAAGAAATTAGAAATGAAATTTGTATATCTTCCTTTTTACCTTTAAAGAGGTTAAATGATTTTATTGGTAATAGAGAACTAAGCTTTATGGCTATTTCAGCAAAAGATCAAATTGTAGAAATTAGCAAATTAAAGAGTTTTATGCAAGTGAATGAAATTGTAATCAAAGTATATTGAATAGATTTAATTATTGTATATTAACATTTTTTTTTCTTTAGGTTGGAGTTGTTTCCCATGCTAATAAGCCTACAGAAGCACTTGTTATTTTACCTACGTCTGAATTAAAAAAGTTGACAAATTTAACAGCAGAAACAGACTTGGAGGTGAAATCTTATAATCAAATATGCGCTATCTATTTAGATAATTTATCAAAAAGACCTAAAATAATGGATGAAATGGAATATGAGAATGAAGATGAATTAGAGTCATCTCAATTATTTTTATGGAATAGAGTGGCATCCTATCTAAGATTTCCTACTCGTGTAAGTAAAGGAAGATACCATGTAAATAACCTGTTTTCTTTTTCTTTTTTTGTTAATACTATTATCTTAAAGTTAAAGGCATTAAGACCATTATCACAATTCCTTGTATATGGTCAATCTGAATCCTCACTCATGTTAAGAAGAGCTTTAGTGAATGAAAAGAATCAAAGTTCAATACAAACTAATCCTACAAATAAGCAATATGTTATGATGGTAAATATATATAAATATATATAGTGGATACATGGATGGATATCTGTATATTTATATCTATTTTTCTAGTTTGATAGATACAATGGAATGCTTTTTAATAGAAGCATGTTGAAGCATAAAAAGGAACCTACAACACAAATATGGGAATTTGGTGTCCATGATTTATCTAGTGATGAAATAGCTTCTGCTTGCGAAGTGTTTCCTAATAATACAGGAGGTTTCATTACAACTGATATAGAGAATATTGTAAATAATCCAGACATCATTAATACCATTTCCAGACAAATTAAAAAGGTAAGTTCTTCTCCTTTAATGTAAATTTTACTTTTACTTACCGAAATACATTCATAGTTTAATGAATATTCAATTGCTTATGGAGAATGGAAGTTTATTTTACCAAATAATTTTATTTATCATTTAGATCAAGCTATCCGAAATAAGAAATTGACAGAAAAGTAAGTTGTATTCTTTAAAAGAGGCTTTTATATCTTAATTCTTACTTTTTTTGATAAATAAAAGAATGCAAACAGCGATTATTGAAGTGACTGTAGCCCTAACTAAAAATACAATTCAAATCATGAAATTATGGCCCGAGGAACAAGAAGACATGAGCTTTATTCATTTTATGGAAGGTATCCTTCAGAGCTATTATAAGAATTATCAGCATTTTGTCTATGTAGATGATATTTTATCTGTTTCTGAAGATAAAAGAAAGCATCATTTATCTATTGATTTTGTACAAAGTGACCAAATTTACAATATTTATAAATAAATTTGCGCATAATAATTTCCATTGCTAGCCGTCCTATTTTAATTTTAAACGCAGCCATCGCTATTTTAGACATGAACGAGAAAAAAAAAAAGAGAGAGAGAGAGAAAGAGAGAGAAATAGGTGCGTATTTAGCACGCGTAGAAATCCTCTTTTATTTTATTTTATATTTTATCTTATTTCATTTTATTTTATTTCATTTTATTTTTTTTTATTTTTTACTTGATATAGAAAATGGCTTTAAGAAGAATTCAAAAAGTAACTGAAAATAATAATATACAAATAAATCTTTTATTATTATTAATGTGTTTTATTCATTAAGGAATTAGCAGATTTAACAAAGAATCCACCTAATGGTGTCAAAGCAACCCCTATTGACGAAGACCTATTTCACTGGCAAGGTAAGTCAAGTAATCAATAATTCTATGCCCCTTAAAAAAAAAAGAAAAGAATTCAAGCTATTTACATTTTATAATGTGTAACTTAAAAGGTGAATTAAGTGGACCTGTAAGTTATAATTAAAGCTGGAATTACAAACAGCTGAATAACATATTCTATCTTTTGTAGAAAGGGACCCCCTATCAAGGTGGACGTTTTAAATTAGACATAGTTTTCTCTTCTGATTATCCTTTTAAACCGCCACAGGTAACAAATAAATAAATAAATAATATTCGATTCTATAGTATAAAATTAATTTAAAAAAAAAATAGATAAAATTTACTACAAAAATTTATCATCCAAACATTGATGATGATGGGTCTATTTGTATTGATCTTTTAAAATCTGACACTTGGAAACCTGCAACCAAAGTAGTTAACGGTAAAAGAGAGATAATAAACAAGAAAAAAAAACGCTGAAACTTATTTTTTGTTTTTTTGGGATAAACAGTGTTACAAGCACTTGTTGGTTTATTGGAAACACCTAATCCAGATGATGCACTTGTTGGCTCTATTGCGGAAACATACAATACAAATAGAACTAAATTCAACAAGTTGGCAAAAGAATATGTTGAGAAGGTAACCTTTATTTTTTAATCATTACTTTATAACCTTGTATTTTAATCCTCTTTATTCATAGTACGCTTCAAATTAAAATTAAAAAATTAAAAAAAGCTTACACACACTTATTATTTTGTAAATAAAACGTCAATCGTTTATGCCGTCTTTTTTGTTAAAAATTTATTGGCTTGAAATTAAAATTATAAGTATACAACGCGTTCCTTTTCTTCTTTTCAATTCTTTTGATTTCTTTCTTTCTTTTTTTTTTTATTATTATTATTATTGGAAAAAAAAAAGGAACATGGTCTTGTTAAAATATAAATTACCATGTATATTAGCAGCAATTACACTTGTCAAAGCTTCAAATATAAAAGGACTAGCTCCTGAAAGTAATTACCAAATAAATTTTTTATATAGAGATGAATAAACTTACCCTTTCATATTTAGAACAAGTTCTGTATAAACCCTCAGAAGAAGGAACATGGACTTGTCTTGATGGTTCGAAAACAATTCCTTATTCTGCAATTAATGACGATTATTGTGATTGTCCAGACGGTTCAGATGAGCCTGGTATGGTCTTCTTTTTCTTTTTTCTTTTTGACATTTTATTACATGCCAATTCACATGGTTGACTTAAAATAATATACAGGTACATCAGCTTGCCCGAATGGTTATTTTTATTGTCAAAACGTAGGACATATTCCATCCTACATCAAATCTTCTTCTGTCAATGATGGTGTTTGTGACGAAGCTTGTTGTGATGGCTCTGATGAAAATGGTGATCTCATTACTTGTCCTAACCGTTGTAAAGTAGTTGGTGAAGCTTATCAAAAAGAACAAACAAGTCTTAAGGAATCTGTTCAGGCAGGTCTTACTGCTAAAAAGATCTTGATTGAGGAAGCACAGAATCAAATCAGATTGTGGGAGGAAGAACAAGTGAAACTTGAAGATGAATTAGTCTTGAAGAAATCAGCTTTACTTCGACTTCAACGTGAAATGAAACAATTAGAATCAACTCATCAAAAACGAAAACATGTCCCAATGTCAGCATAGATATTGCTACGTTAAAAAATGATGTAGTTATTTTAAAGCGAGAGATTCACGTATTGATGGATATTTTGAAAGATATGAAGCGAGATCATGATCATAATTTCCATGATATGGCTGTAAAGAGTGCTATTAAGGGCCTTGATGATTTTGTTTCTCGTTTTACTAAAGTCGAGACTGAGATTGATGAAGATCTCAAACATATTAAAGACACTAGTGAAGAAGAAGAAGGAGTAGAAGAGGAAGAAGAGGAGAAAGAAGAAGAAGAATCTCAATCCTCTACTGAAAAAAATCTACAAAACGATCAAGGTAAGTATTGACTCTTTTTTGTTTGCTCTCTGTTTATATATTATATATATTGCTTAGGTAAGCATTCGGTATTTGATGTCATTCTTGAGAAATTAGAATCAGTTCTTCCAACCGCTTTAAAAAATGGCGTATTGGATAAACTGGTGTCTGACAATAAGGATACTGTCGTTGTTGATCATAAAACAGGTTCTTTTTCTTTCTTTATTCCTTTATTAGAAGTGCTTGGCATTTAAAAGAAACAGAAAAAAAAAATAAAATAAAACTAACATTTATTAACTGATTAGCGTTGGAAAAAACTCGTGAACAGATTCGAACTATTGAAGATGAAATTAATCAGCTCGATTCTGATTTAAACAAGATTACGGATAACTTAGCTTTTGATTACGGTCAAGACAAAGAATGGTTAAAACTTAAAGATGTTTGTATTGAAAAGGATGAAGGAGAGTAAGTTCAAAAAAAAAGAAATAGAATTAGTTTTTCTTTTTAGTATACATACTTATATTTTTTCTTTTAATAGGTACACTTACTCACTTTGCTTCCTCGGGGATGCTTATCAAAAGAGTAATAAGGATAGTACTCGTACACATTTAGGGTAAAAATAAGATATATTATTCGAAATTTTTAGATTTTAAACCAACCCTTTTCCCCTTTTATATTAGTAAATTTGAGAAGTTTGGTGAGAAAGAAGGTGTCGATCGTTTCAAGACTCATATTCATACCCATGGTACACGTTGTTGGAATGGACCTGAAAGAAGTGTGAAGGCAACTGTCGAATGTGGCGTAAAGAATGAGATTGTTGAAGTATCAGAACCCGAAAAATGTGAATACCATTATCGTTTATTATCACCTGCTGTTTGTCAATCTATTGCTGAAATTGAACGTGATCAAAATACCAGTCATAAACCAATTCATGAAGAACTTTAGATAAAAATAAAAATCCAAAGAAAGAAACATTTGATTATTGAAAATGAGTGCTTATGTAATATTTTTAAGTTACCTGTTATAATATGTTGTATAACTCAGCTTAATATTTTCTAATGTCTGCAGACCTTATTTTTATAAATATCCATCTTGGGTTATTTTAGCTAACTTATGCAATTTATTTGATTGTCTAGCGCCGCCTGTACCCATTCTTCTGAACAAAGCTAAAAATAAATTCAAAAAAAAAATCATGATATACAAATTTAGTCAGCATAATATTAATCTAACATTATTTTATTCCTTTCTTTTTTTTTATTTTATTTTTTATTTTCATTTTAATATACTGTGAAATAAAACAGAATAGACTTTTTTTTTCTTTTTTTTTTTCTTTCTTGATTCATGTCTGATTTCTTTGGATCATTTAGAAGAAGAAAAGGGACTAGTCAATTCGATTCATCAGCTTCTTCGAGGTCGTCTATAGATAGTTCATCCAGGAAAAGTCAAGGAGCTAACGATGTAATCAGTGACGAACCTATGCCAGATACGGATGAGAAAATAGATGAACTCTTTGATCAAATGCTGGCAAGTTAAAAAAAAAAAAAACAAAGCAAATAAAAGTTTATTTATTTATATCTTTATTTTTATTTCTTACATACACACACACACATGAACTTATTTATTATTAGGTTCGAAGAGGCTTAGATGAGGAGAAAAGAAAACCGCTCATGTCTCTGGATTATAAAACAAAATGGGCTATGATTATTCAAGATCGACGAGCTGAGCAAGTTGTTGCCGGTCGAAGAACAACAGTGACTGATAATGATAATGCGCCGCCATTAATTTCAGTACTATCAGATTTAGCAGGTGAAATGTGGTCTGCAACTCGAGACTCAACTGCTCGGGCTGTAGAACGACATACATATCGTAGTAGTCATTTAGCGCCTGTAGGAAAACGAGTATCAGAAGTAATTCAGCCTAGTGCAACCCTATTAACAATACCTACTAATATATCCTATGAAGTATCTACAACAAATACAGATAAAAATACTCCAGAATATTATATACGTAAATTTATGGAACCTGACTTGAGAGCTGTGACGCCTACTTTAGCTGATAATCTAGCTGTTAGTCTCAGAACACGGCCATTGGAGTAAGCAAATTATGTTTTTTTAAATAATATGTTATGAGGGACCTGGTTGTTTTGTTCGGTGTTTATTAACTTTTTTTTTTCTACATAGTTGGGTTATTCGATTCACTGATTTAAAGGGGTTAAAGGTTATTTCAAGCGGATTATCATATTTAAACAAAAAGCCTGATTCGGAAAAGTAAAAAGTTATAAATGCGTTACGAGTTATTATATATTTACATGTATATTCTCTATAGAAAAGGACAAACTTTAGAATTGGAATATGGCCTTATTAAATGTATCAAAGTTTTGATTAATGCAAGAGTAAGTTTATAACCTATATGTGTATATATAAAAATATGTATGTATTTATTCATCATCTTTTTTTATTATTATTATTATTATTATAGTGGGGAGCTCGTGAAGCAATACTAAATCCAGAATACATTCATTCATTTGTTTTTTCAATTATTTGTCCACAATGGCAAGCAAGGAAAATCATATGTGATATGTTGCTCTTTTTGTGTCACTGTGATGTGCCACTCGGTCATACAATTGTAATGCAAGGCTTTGAATTGCTGAGAAAGCATAGAAAAGATTTTGGTATATTTGATTCATGGTTAAAGGATTTTGAGCATACGCTGGACGGTACACGTAAAACTGGCACAATAAGATCACCATCTATTGATGACTATCATAAATTAAATATCTATGTTCCGCCTGATAGTCACTTAATTGAATATTGTGTAAATTAAAAAGACAACTGATTCTTGAACTACTGATAATAATTCTTTTTTTTTTTATTTGCTTAGATCTCTAATATTAGTTTGATTAATTCACTCGTTCATATACCAACTGAAGTAACAGAAAGAGTTTATTTGCGTAGTCAGTTTAAAGCATCTGGATTAGAACGTATATTTAGAAAACTAGAAAGATTAGATGATCCTGCATTATACGATCAAATAGAGAAATACAACAGAAGAGCAGAAAATGATATGGATGAAGCTTTTGGCGATGAAATGTCAATGTATAATGATATTTCTCAACCCAATGAGTTATTGGATCTTATACTTGAAAATATTGCCGATGCGCCTAATGCACTTGAATACCTACTTCATACTTTTAGAAGTATGCTGTTGATTAAAGGTGAGCCTGAAAGAAAGTAAATATCTTGATAAGTATAAGTTTTTTTTTGTCTTTTCTTGCAAATTTTGGAATAAAAATGTTTACTTTATTTTATTTTTTAGAACACATTATCATCAAGCAATTAGTGAAATTGTTTTTAATATTGTCATGGATCGTAGAGAAAAAATAAGCGCTGATGAATTGGGATCATCTGCTTTTGGGATTTCCGTTAATTCAATGATAAGTCGTTTTAATGAACTTGATCGACTACAAGAAATAGCAAAAACAGCAGAAGAGGATCGTGAATTGGCCATACGATTAAATGCTGAAAACAAAGAACTGAAGGAACAAATTGAAGCATTAAAAAGAGCTCCTGGCGCTGCTAAGCCTAGTGCTCAGCAAAGTAATTATAAAATGGAAAATATTGCTCTAAGGGCATTACAACAGCAATCAAATAAAACAATTGCCATGTTGCAAGAAAGACTTAGAGAGGCAACTGAGTCTTTAGAGAATTATACGAATATAGCAGCAACATCCACAACTGCACCTATTGTTGTAGGAGAGGAATGGAAATTAGCGAGTCGTAAATCTGATAACAATGCTGTTATACCACAATTTAAGACGCCTAATGTAGATGACTCTATTTATCCATCGCAATACCCCGCTCAAATATATGATAATGAAACATCACCACTTGGATCTGGAGGATTCGATATTCATAGTTCTACTCCTATACCATATTCTTCACAATATCCAAATAAGCAACAACCTGTTGATCATGATTTGCCTCCTACATTACCCAAACATGGAGACACTACTATTACTACTGAAATATGTAAGTTATATATGTATATATAATCATTTTGATTTTTATCATTAATAATGAATATCTGGGGATTTACATTTAGCTATTAATAATGAGTCAAAGGTTAAAAAGCCTAATCTTACACCGCTTCCTGCACTTAAAACTGAAGAAATACCACCAGTTGAGAATATTGGTAAACTTTTAATATGTATTTGTATATACTTATTCAACATGTTTTTATTAACTAGAATCTGAAGATACAATTTCATCATTATCACCTACTTCATCTCCTGTACTTACCGATGGTAAATATAATAATATACTCTGTTTGAAATATACTGAATTTATTCTAACAATGCCTTTTTTCTATTATACTAACTTAGTACCTGAAGCATTAATACCACCGCCACCACCGCCACCGCCACCACCACCACCTGCACGTAAGTTTTATTTGCAAATCATAAGTTTAATATAATTATTAACTCTGATAAAATAATGCACTAATTAGCAGCTGGACCTTCTGGAGTATTACCACCGCCGCCGCCTCCTCCTCCTCCCCCTCCTCCACCTCCTGGTAAGTTTTAAGTGTATATAACAGTATATTGTATGTTATTAACATTATTATCTAGGACCTGGAGGAGCTGTACCCCCACCTCCTCCGCCACCACCACCTCCTCCTCCACCTCCTGGTAAGTTTTAAGCGTATATAATAATATATGGTATGTTATTGACATTATTATCTAGGACCTGGAGGAGCTGCGCCTCCACCACCTCCACCACCACCTCCTCCTCCTGGTAAGTTTTAAATATATATAACAATATATGGTATGTTATTGATAATATTGTTTAGGGCCTGGAGGGGTTGCGCCTCCGCCCCCACCGCCACCACCACCTGGTAAGTTCAAAACATTCATAAAGATATAATGTACATTACTGATATCATTATCTAGGACCTGGAGGAGCTGTACCTCCCCCTCCCCCACCCCCTCCTGGCATGAAGGGGCCTAATGCACCTCCAGTTCCTTTAGGCCCTATTCGTAAGGAGCTCCGCCACTACCCACAAATTAAACTAAAGAACCTTCAGTGGCAAAAATTGGATGCACGCAATGTAGATAACACAATTTGGAAACTTGAAGACGTCAATGAAACTGAACTTGAAGATGATCTTGATAAGTATGGTGTCTTTGCTAAAATTGAAGATCTCTTCCCTGCAAAAGTCAATACCTTTTTTGAAAAACGATTGAAGGCTAAAATAGAAGAAAAGAAGGATGCAATCAAATTCCTAACTAAAGAAAAATCTCGAAACATTAGTAAGCCAACTATAATTACCAAAGAAAAAAAAATTGAATTTTGGAATTAATTTGGAAAACACCCTTTTTTTTTTAGATTTGGCTGTTCTTCCAAAGATCAAATCCTATTCCAGCTATGAAAGTGTTCGATATGAAATTATGAAAGTGAATGATGAACTTTGTACAGAGACCTTCTTGAGTAATCTTCTTGCTTATGTACCTGGTAAAGATGACGATTTAAAAATGATGGAAAAATACCAAAATGAATCACCTGAAGTTTGTGAAGAGTTAGATCTTCCTGAACAATTTACTATTGAAGTAGGTTAAAAACATAAAAAATAAAAATAAAAATAAATAATGTGGGGATGGGAGGGGAGGGGGTAGAGATAAAAGGATGCAGTAGGATCTAATGATGTATCTCATACAGATGTTCAAGATGTATCGATATGAAGTCCGTATTCAGTTTATGTTGTTTAGAATTCAATTCTGGGAAAAATTTGAACAACTAGAAAAGGTAAAGCCTAGAATTATTGAAAAAAAAAAAGCAATTATTTTATTAAAAAAAAAATGTAGAATATGACAATTGTACTTGAAGTTTCTGATGCTTTGAAAAATTCCAAGAGCTTGAAAGAATTATTATGTGTAAGTTTGATATAGATATAAAAGCGGAAAAGATATAATATCTTATAATTTGATAATAGCTTATATTGCTTTTGGGTAATTATATGAATGCATCTAGTTTACAAGGTGGTGCATTTGGTATGCGTATTTCAAGTATAAACAAAGTAAGAATAACAAAAAGACAAAAAAAAAGTGAATACTTATAGTAACATTTTTTTTTATATAGTTAGTAGATACCAAGGCATCCAACATTTCTTCGTTAAATCTTTTACATGTTGTAACGGGTATTGTACGTCGACAATTTCCTCAATTACTTCAATTTTTAAAAGATCTCAAAGATATTGAGCAAGCAGCACGTATTACAGCTAGTCTTAATGACATGGTACAGCAATATACTGAGATGAGAAAGGGGCTTAAGGAACTTACATTAGAATTGGGTACAAAATGGCAGCCAGAGGATGTTGAATTAGATGAAGCAGACCAGTTTTGTACTATCATGACTGAGTATAATGAAAGAGCCTCAGTCAGATTTGAGGATCTTCAAACACTTTATATTAATATGGATGCAGGTTGGAAAGATGTCATGATCTATTATGGAGAAAACCCGAAAGTGATGCGGCCTGATGATTTCTTTGGAACCTTTTCACGATTTGTCATTTCTTGGAAGGAAGCTGCTGCTACAGAAGAAAAGTTGGCAATGAAACAAGAACGTGAAGAAAAGAGAAAACGTGAGGAAGAAGAAAGAAAGGAACGTATGAGATTGAAAAAGGAAAAGGCAGAACAAAAACGAAAATCTGTTCAAGGAATCAGTACAGGTAATAATGAAGGGAGGAGAGGGGGGAGGAGTTATTTTTTTTTTTTTTTTTTGTGTATGTGTATTTCATTTTACTCACAGCTTTTTTTTTTTTTTTTTTTTTTTTTTAATGAAGATGCCGATGGTAAAGGTGAAGTAGATCGTTGTATGATGGATAATTTGTTAGATAAGCTGAGAACAGGAGAAATTGAAGTTCGTACTTCAAGACGTCGTAGTAGAGCGCAAAGACAAAGAAAAGATGAAGAGAATAGCCAAGTAGATATTTCTGCTGCTGATTTATTAAAAACTCTTAAATCAGAAGATGATTAAGTGTCATCTTATAATACTATATACATATACATAATATTTATACTTTTACTGTTTAATACACAGCAAGGTTCATACATATACATAATTTATAATGCATAGTAATAAATACTAATATAACATTTATAAATTTTAACGTGATACAGCAAGATATGTTTATTTATGTACATCTTTTTAGTGTCTATAGAGAGTATACAGTCATACTTGTGAAAATTGTCGGTTTTTTTTTTAAAAAAAAGCAATTGTCGATTATTAAAAAAAGGTAATTGTCGAAAACTAAAATATAATTGGCGGTAACTTAGAAATTCACTGTCGACAACTAAAATAAAAATGTTGAAAAAATAAAATCTACTTAAAACGAGACGGCTGCAAAATTATTTAGAGACCATTGCAAATTTCCCAAGAGAGATCCATAAATTTTTACTAGCCCATTTCCATAACCATATTGGGTATTTTTCATTAGACTATTACATATAAAAGATCAATATTTTCGTAGGAAGAATGAGTTGCACTAATTATCGACCCATATTTGAATTTTATGCTGAAAGTGAAGCTGAGGATGATATGGATTTAGGTTATGAATGCGGTGAGATTACTACATTAACTGATTTCATCACCCCGTTCATAACATTCAAATGGACAAGAACTTAACTTAGAGGAGATCACTACTAATTTAGCCATGGTTTCTCTTTCAGATGATAAGAAAAGGAAGGATAAGTATGAACCTGAGCAAATATGTCACTTTATTGGAAATTTTGCAGGAAGAAGGGGGTGTCAATTCCTGTAGCTACAAAGATATGCATGATCTTGATATTCATTACACTCATGGCAGAGATTGTCCCAAGAATGATATTGAGATACTGCACGAGTCGATGGTGTAGTAACCATGGCTGAAGTACCTTTTGCAGATCTTTCCGTCAAAGGTCTCCATTTTGATATCGAATACAACCTCATTCAAAGAGACGTAATTACTTAGATAATCCATATCTGTCTGAGATTATTTCTCGACCCACTCTTTCCTCTTGATGCGCATTTTCTTTCAGAGACTTTAGCCACAGGACGACAAGCGGTCCGCTTGACTGTCAAGTTGTATTGATCTTTTATGAAAGTGCCAACGTACCTGAGACTCTTTCAAGCTGAAGTCCTCGAATGTTGCGGTAAGGCTATGAACGGTATTCGTTCTTGTTGCTTGAAGTTGCTCATCGAAAAAGTGAATCAGGGAATACTTATGCTCTTCCTATAGTTGAGATTCATCACGATTGACTTTGTTCATAAGCTGGCCGTATATATCCCATTCTGAATCATTGTCTATTCGCTTTACCCATCCCTAAGCTGTTCTTGCGTTGATTCTCGCTCGTTCTGAAGCAGGATTGGAAAGCAACATGGCTCGCTTAAGAAAAACGTACAGTTTTTATATATTTGCTCAGATTAAAGTTTTTGAAGGCAAACCTTGTCATGATAATATCTACTTTTTCTGAATCATGGGCACCTTGTTCAAAAATTAACTGTTGTGTACGCCATTTCGGATTGCCCGAAAGCGCTAAATATCAATAGATATGGATTTCCCCGCTATATGAACTATAGAGATGTTCCATGAGAAGAAAGAATACAGATAAGAATATATAATCTAACCATTATGTTTAACAGTATATTATTTAAAGCGCTATGGTGGTAATATATCGATTTGTTATCCAAGAGAAAGGTGAACCAAAGCAGTAACTTCAGAATATACAAGGAACAATATGCTTTCAGATATACAGCTGAAGAAAATAAGCTATCCCATTCTCAAAATTGGCTGTACATGATCATCCTTCTAAAGTGATGAACACGATTTAGTAATTTAGAAGCAATATCATACATGTAGGAATAATGATTTTGACAGATACCTTCAACGCTGTTTTCAACAAGGGCCCAGGAATAGACGCTTACAAGATACCAAAGTAGGAGTTGAGCACTGGACTATTCCCTAATTGCCACAAGTATGCGAAAAATAAAATAAAATAAAAGAAAAGAAAAGAAAAGAAAAGAAAAGGACACAGAAACGGATGCTTACATGCTACCAACAATGGAGTTGTACACTGCACAATGTTGGATTCCTTCTCTTGAAGAAAAAAATAAAAAAAAAACAGAAACTAACACAGGTCAAAAAAATAGAGAATTTTTTTATTGTTTCTAGTTGATGAAAAAAAAAATTACATTTGTATTTATATGTTTATTCAAAAAAGAAAAAAGAGAATGCTAAAATTGCCTGAACCAGTTCAAATCTGTATTTAGAGAAAAAAACCTTCTTGGGTGGAAGAAAAAAGGATAGAAAAAGAGAAAGAGAGGGGAGTCTATGAATGCTGGCTAAACCAGAGAAGAAAAGAGGAGTTTAAAGATAGATTAGATAGGACTAAATCATCGTAGGGAGCACCATGCTGTAGCATGTCAACTTTATAAAGGAATCTTTGGATGGCAATCCAATGTATTCGCCAGTAGGCCTGTGTATGTAGTGACTTGGGCGGTCGAGAGGGAAACCGATTGAGAAGACACGAGATGGGGTCATCTACGTCTTGTAACATGTGTAATTGAGAACGAATGCGCAGGCAATGAATACTGTGTTTCTTTGTTAGATCGTGTAATTTGCATTGACAAGGTTTAGGAGTATCACCAGGTAGCCAGCCCAGCTGCCATCTAATGAGTTAACTACGTTCGATTGGGAGCATAGGTAGAAATATGGTTTTACGTTTCTGGAAATGTAATTTTCCAGTTTTAGAAATTTAGTTCGCGGTCTCCGACCTTAGACTTTGCACCCACTGCCATTAACTTTGCGCCTTGCCATCAACTTTGCGCCCATTGCCATTTAACTTTGCGGCCCCGGACAAAAGAGTTTGTGGAAACATTTCTGAAAATGACAATTAACCAAATTCCTGAGACAATTATTGAGCTTTGCATTTTTTTTTTTTTTCAAGTGTGCAATTTTTTAAAAAAAAAATGTACAGAAACTCTTCAATCTGATATTAAGAAAATTAGCTATGCAAACTTGGAGGCAGAGCCGCTATTTTCAGAAGGGTCGCATACAATATTTTTGTTTTCTTTTAAACAAGATTGGATGTATTTAAAGGTTGTTGTTTTGGCTTCTGAAGGCTTCTGCTAAACTAATTTTTATTATTGGTTAATTTGTTCTATTCTATTTTTCAAGACGTTTTATATATATATATATATATATTTAGAGTTCTTTAAAAGTTCCTTAAGAGAAATCGATGGTACAACCAACTCAGTGATAGATTTCTTTATTTAAAAAATTTAATAGGACTAAATATAAAAACTAAAGCGAGCTTTTTTTCTGAAGCTGTTGTAGTTTATTTATTTATTTATTTATTTATTTATTTATTTATTTATTTTTTTTTTTTTTTTTTTTGCTTAGATTTGGCAAGGGAAGCGATCTGTGTACAACAGGCTCAAAAAACTCTTCGTGTTTTTTTTACAATTGCCCTTAAAGCGGATACTGGCATATCTAAAACTCGGGCCATTTTTGTAGCTGGAAAACTGTCTACATAGTACAGCTTTAGAACTGTCTCTACGACTTCTTCAGTGTAGAATCGTCTCTTTCTTGTTGCTTGGAATCTTTCTCAAGCTTCAGGAAGCTTGAATGTGGGCTCTGCTGTAGAAGAGGTTGGAGCAGAAGCTTGATTCCTGGGAAGTTCATCCAGTTGGAGAACTTGAATATCCATCACCATTTTGTCTACTACGGTAGTCATAATTGTTAGAAATTCGTTTGTTTCTTTGAAAATGGTGTTCTTTTTACCGAAGTACATATTTTTTAGTATAAATTTTGATTGTAAATGTTATAAAATGAATTAAATTTTATTCAACTGGGTTTTACTTTGTAACACGCAAAAAGTTTTCACTAATTATGACCGGATGGCCGTGTAGTACTTATTTTCTCGTTTATTAATAAGCACAGTTATAAGTTATACACCAATGGTAACCCGAATGCGAGAAAGGTACTAGTTATTTTCTATGTTTTGTGTGAGAAGACAGTTTATTTAAGAGCCTGTATGTCATTATTTAATCAAAATGTGATAATAACGGCAATGATGCTTTATATTTGCAGGTGTTTCAACACCGAAAATCTACTGTACTTTGTTCTATTTGCTTATTTTTAAAACCCTGATATTTTGATAGTTATATGCCTACTCGCTTCAGTTCATGTATCAGTATTTTTAAAATGTTATATTCCTGTCATCTATTATTCTAAATATCAATATTTTGTTTCTTTTTGACAACGTCCTTATGTCTCATTATAGTAATATTTATAAGTCCATGTACGTATATGGGCTTATGCTTATTGTGATGGAACGTATTAAAGAGAAATAAAAAGAGAAAGGGAACAAAAGGAAGTATAGCTGGAGACTGTGTTTTATTCAATAAAGAAAAGTAAAATAAAAATAAGAATTGAAGGTTAAAGATTATGTTGTGTCTACACAACTGCTTCTATTTATATTAATGAATCCTGAATCAAAGAAGTAAAAATAACCGTCAAAGAACATGAGTCATGAAACAGTATTAGTCTTCGGATATACATTGTGTTGATTCAAGAGACTGATTTATGGATTATTTATTGGGTGTTATAATGATCTGATTAAGGTTTTAAATTGTTTGATCTGAGTGTATGTTCCTGATATTTTTTATAGTTTTCTTTTATTGGATCAAAGGTGACCTGAATCCTTTATCAAGGTTATAAAAATAAATATTTAGAAATGATATGATGTCTTATAATTGATACATCTAGACAATTGGATGTCAATAAGTTTTATATTATTTACAAGATGTTATATACAGAGTTTTATTTCATATTCAGGCTTATACTTTATTCTTTATCATGTAATTCATCTTTTATAATATTATTTATGCTTATATGCAGAGCTTGTTCTATAACAATAACATCTACTTTTTCTGGATCATGAGCACTTTGTTCAAAAATTAACTGTTGTGTATGCCATATAATTATTTATTATCAAAGGTATAACAACGTTTTATTATCATATAAATAAGTGTTTTAAATATTTACAACTATCTAAAAGCAATTGATGAACGTAACTTTTTTGGTTTCTTTACATTCATAATATTACGAATATTATGTTGTTGAAGAGATCTTCTCTTCCTTGATTGCTTGTGAATATCATTTGCTAAGACACAGTTTTCTTGGTAACAAACCATTATTTTTTTGATTTCATCAAAATGCATGACAAACTGTGGTAATTCAGATATAGTTTTCGGGACATTAAAAGCGTGTAGTTCTGTAAGCAAATAAAGCCCAGTGGCTTCAAGAGAGAACAGATAAATTGTGACATAATATCCTTTATCATATACATATAAAAAAAAAAGAATAGTAAACAAAATTGTAGAAAAATTGGTATTTGACTTCAGGCTTACCTACTGCTTGAACAGCAATCATCGACTTCACATCTTTGTTGTCAAGAGTGTCTTTACAGAAATTTACTAATCTCAAAAGGTCCTCATGTGTCTTTGATGTGTCAGAACGACTTTTATCAGGCTTTACCTCAACATATCCAGTAGAAAATTTTATCCTCCGTTGTTCTAATTCAAACACATTACCATCAGGTCTTAGAGATTCAGTATCTTCAACACCAGTGTTAAGCCTAATTTGGGAAATAAATCGTCAATAAATGGTATGTATAAAAAGCATTGGATTTTCAATTACCACCGAAACAATCTGTTCCTCTCAGGATCATGAAATATTGGATTTAGAACTGGGTCGAGAAAAGTACCAATAAGCTCTGCTTCTTTTATATCCTCTTCAAGTCGTTCCTGATTTGGTAATTTATTTAGCCTATTAAATGTAAAAATTGAGTATATCAAACGAATTCTAAGGATTAGTTTTATTTGATCAGTTACCAATTGATTAAAATATCGATTATTTTGTAATCTTTATTGTTGGCGAATTTGGCAATGCAGTGCGTCCACCATCAATTGGGAAAAACTGGTCAAATTTTTGAATAAATTTGCCCACTTTTTTGAAACTGAATTAGTCATTTGTTTGAAATTCATTTGGATCTTTTTTTTTTTTTTTTTTTTTTTTTTTTTGAAAATATTATACCTTAAATAATGTTAAGGGAAAGTTATAGAGGGACATTATTCAAGCAATTGCTAAACTGGTTTACGGAATGTTGAATAATATTTTGAAGATGCTCAACAGGTACTTCTTCACTGGCCTCAATAATTCTTGAAGTAAGCGTTTCAACGTCATTAAGTTTACTTCGCTTTACTTTTCCCTTAAGAATGAACCAAAATTGATCTACTGGGTTGAGTTCGGGCGAGTAGGGAGGAAGATATAATGGCTTAGAACCCCGACTTACAATTACAGGGCCAATCATAGCAGGAATATGAATTGGAGCATTGTCCACAACAATAAAAAATCCTTTCATTTCTGGGAACTCATCCATAATATCCATAGTATCGTTAAGAAACAAAAGACAATGATCGCCAGTAGTGCCACTGGGAATAGTTAATTTATCTTCAGGAGCCTTTCTTTTTTTGGCCCCTACAACTTTCCTTCTCTCAACATTTCCAGATTCTCGCCTCGCATACTCACATTGACGACACCATTAGCTGATATTGCACCAAGAACAGTATGTGAGGTAGCCTTGGTGGAAGGAGTTGTGGTAGTTGCTTTTTTACCGCGCCATGGCCAACCACGACTACATCACATATTAATATCAAATCCGGACTCATCAACAAATATACAAGTGTCGAGATAATTGACGCCATTGTTGATCAATTTCTCAACCCATTCAGCAAGAACTTTAAGATTTTTATCTTCGTTTCTGGCAAGAGGGTGTTGGTTATTAAGTTTGATGCTGAGATTACATTCTTCCTTCATGAACTCGGCTACTCTTGTTTTTTTTATTTGTAAGCCAGCAAAGTTGGCTGTCAAGCTTTCAACTACGTTCTGGATTGCTGCAGGTGAGTCATTATCAAAAAAACTGGTTAGATAGACCTTATGAGCTTCGTTCAGTTGACTGCCTGGTATGTTGGGATTCAGGTTCGTCTTTTTGATAGGAATCTTCCTTTCCGGATCATCCTCGTAAGCCTTTTTCCATTTGCACGCTGTGTTATAATTTACATTTACGGCTATGGCTGCATCTTTTGGTTTCATGAGTTTTTCTTTCAAAAAATAAAAGTACCGTCTACGGTCTTCCATTGTATAAACGTTATACTCAAGAGGTCTTTCTTTCTTTGGACTAGCCTCTTTCATGACTGTATCGTCTGAACTGATCGTTTCAAATTGGAGACCCTTATTCTTAATGTATTTTCGAAGATCTGTTAATCTTTACAAACGAAAAGACTTCTCTTCAACATATGTTGTTGCTTGCTTGCCTTGTTCATCAATGAGATTACCAGCACCATCTTCATAAACAATATTTATGCTCATTTTAAAAATAATCTCGAAATAATGGTATAAAAAAAAGTAATAAAATATACCTCAGATAAAATGATCAAAAAAAGTGATCAAAAGATGTCCAATTGAGTTTCAAAAACTCGTCCAATTGACGGCGGACATACTGTATCATTTATTCGTTCAAATGATCTTCTTTTGGAATTGTTATTTAATTCCTAAAAAACAGATTGTTGTCAATTCTAGAGTGTACACGCAAGTGTATCATTTAGCATTGACTTACCCGTAATACCGATATAATACTGTTGAATGTTGTTGTTTCCATTACTGAATTTTTAACAACGTATTTTTGAAGTATATTTTTGTGTAGACTATTTAAGTTTTCAAGTCCAAAACTTTTTATTACACTTTCGTCATGCTCATTCTCTTTAAGTAACAACACGTGAGACAAGGACCTAAATAATTATTGTTAAAAGTATATCTTTATGTTATTGTGAAAGTAATTGAGCTTACAATATTTGATGTAAATCTCCATCCACGTAAAACCCTGACTCTTTTGATTTTTTGCTTGATTCTAAATTGAACTGTCTGAATTGTGATGATATGTTGAATCCATTTTCAAGAATATAATCGTCGGGTTCTGCTTGCTGTGTCATAATATTTGTTGTGGAATATTCCTCATCTAAGTCTTCTTCTAATATGGCTTCTTCCATTGCCGCATTCTCAGGTTCCATATTATCAGCTTGTATATTACTCTATTCAATATAATTAGCACTTGAAAACTTAGTAGTACTGAATTAAAATATGTAATTACTTCTGATCTTTCTCTTAATTGAAGGCTAATATTTGATACTGATGCACCCAACGTACTCCAGCTCTCTGTTACTATAGTATCCTCGGCCTTGGCTGCTGCAAAAAGACTACCCAAGTTCACATCTAAACCTGGTCCTCTCTTTTTTTTGCCCTTAACGTTACGAAACGCCACTTTCATTTTGTGTTGTAGATTTTTTGTCGCGTCCTCTTCAGTATTAAAATGCTTGATATAATTTTTTACTGTTTCCGGCTGCTCATTAACGAACTTGATGAGATTTGGATACCTGGTTTCTTCAATGAATTGTTCCATAGCTATAAATTTAAATAAACTTTTAGTATAGCTATCAAGAAAAAGTTCAAAAACAGGTAAAATCAATTACATTCTACAATGTCTGGCATCTTTTTTATCGATTATTTGGTATAATTGAGATGCATAAAGAAACGTTTTAAAGGACGAATTAAAATTAATTTTCAGATAGTTTGTTTACCTTTTTTGGATGAATAAAAAAGAAAATTCAGTTACAGATGCAAAAATGGGACAAAGGAGAAATTAAATTGAGACAGAATGTTAGTTTAGACAGACGAATGAATGTAAATTAATTAGGGTGTTTAGCCTTGGGTTCAGACTTACCTGTAAAAATCTAAATCACTGAAAGAGAAACCATGTTCGATATGGCGATATAATAGAATAGTTGGACATCTAACTGGAGCTCCGTTTGAAGACAGCTGGTCGACCATTACCGTGAAGTACAGCTTTGGAGATTTGTTGAATGTTTTTGGAAGCATTAATGTCGCGCTGCCACAGCATCCCACAACCTTGTCAGGCAAGGATTCTGTGGATGCTGAAAATTGCTTCCGTGAGAAACATTGCTTGGCATGACTGGCAAACCTACGTTACTATATATTTAGTTGTAATTACAAATAGAAAATTTCACAGTATTACCTTAGATGTTTGAAATTCATCCACCCATGCAAGCAACAAATCTCCATTCTTCTGTCTTCTGTCTTCACTTCAGCTGTCGGTAGAGAGCTCCAGTTAGGCCTGTTTGATAAGAGTTGATCTTGCATCGGTCTTTACCAAACATAGCACTTCCGAAAGAAATAATTGGCAGTTTGGCTTTGTTGCAAGAAAAGGGCTCTTTCTCCCAATAGTGCTCAGCTTTTCTATACATGTAAATAAAATAGTTAGTTAATATTATTTCTTTCCAGCATTCCATCAAAAGTTCATACACTAGACTGACGACAGGAGAGATATTGTTGTTTCTTCTTTTTCTCTTGCGCTTTCTTCTGTTTCTCCTCGTATTTTTTCTTTTTGATCTATTGTATTTGCGGCCTCCACTTACCAGAATATTCACTATCTCTTCTCTTTCCCTTTGAACGCCTTGATATGAATGAAAGCGGTTTTCAGCAGACGAAAAATGATTAAAAGCTAGTATTCTATCTAAATGCAACAGAACATAGGTTACATATTGTAAGTATTTTGAAATACTAGCTGTCTTGGATGTTGGAATGCCGAGAAGAATATTTTTTATATTTTCTTTATCCATTCTTTTATTTTCTCCTTTTTCATGTTTTTTCGAGCCTGTCAGTGTATAGTATTCTTTTGTTGAACATCTTCTTATCTGATGAGAATGTTCACTTTCACCATAGGCAGCTAGGAACACCTGTCCTCTATTTGGGTCTACAGAACACAAAGAAGCATCACTTAACTCGTTGCTTCAACACAAGCAGCAATTAAGCAGTGGCTATATCCTTCTATTTTCGGACGCATTTCATATGTTGCATTGTATCTTGAAGAAAAGCTGTTTCAGCTTTCCAAGCAATCGCTTGGAAGATGTTTTGCGTTTGATTTATCTTTTAAAACTAATCTTGCTTTGCTATACCAGAAGTTATGAGAGAAAAGCTTTTTATCGATAATGCCATTGGAATGGCTGATGATATAATAGTTTACAAACAATTGTGCACGTATCATAATATCACGGACTTGTTCTGATACTATTTGTATTTTTCTCAAAATGGCTTGCTTGTATTCTGCTCTGAGGATTGTGTCTAATTTAATTTTTTTTAGTAACAGTTTTAGGCTTATTTCCCAGAATGTTTTTCAATTCTTCAGCCTTTGTTGGTTTATGGCTTGGGCAATCCTTTGACCTAGAAGCACTATGGCCATACTGATGGCTACTGGAACAAACAACCTGACTTGAACCTTCTCCAACATCTTTCCGACTGTATTTTGCCATTTTCTTGACACGTTTCAAGTTATCATCTTGCCGACACTTTCGTTTATTACTAGTTCCAACTAACCAAATAATTTCTTGTGAATATTTGCTCTATAAATGCTTACATAAACGTTACCTTGTGGTGTATTATCTTGATACTTCTTACATATATGACCACCTTTTATGCAATGGCCAAGATCATTACAATCTTTACATTTAATTTTATCTAGTACAGGTTAGTCTTTTGCTGTTAAACTAATGTATTTGTATCTTACTTTGTTCTTCTACCTGCTTTCTTTAATTCCAAACTCTTTCAAGATTATTATTAACTTTCTTTTTAAACATTGTACTATCTGAGGAAAAAAAAGGTTGAAAAAAAAGAAACAAAAAAAGGAGAAGAATGTTGTTCATTCAAGATCCTGATTGACAACTTTTGCTGAGATTTGACAGTCACATTAATTAACTGATTTATGCAATTGAATATAATGTAAAAAGTGTCTTATATAAATGTGATCACCTCAGATGATACTGGTTATGCTACAGAATGAATTTAAGAAAGTCCTGGTTGAATGAGAGAGGTTTTTGAGTTGACTAGGAACTTGTCAGAGCTCATCATTTGACAACAATGTAGCAAATACTTCCTTATTTTTCTTCCAGGAGCATAGAACAGTCTGAAATTCAAATATTAAGACGACAGAATGTAGTGTCAAAGTTTTTTGGAATATCAGATAACAGCTTTCAATGAGCAAATAGTTTGATGGAAGCATTATGGAAGAAGCTACAACGTCAATAGTCTTATTTTATTCCTTCTTTCATATTTGAGATGATTGACTGGCTATATTGAGATTTATTTTAGTATGAAATAATTAAATATATTTTGACAAGCGAGCTATAGCTGTGAAAATAATAAAAAATGATGGTAAAAGCATGAAGTCTCAAGTTGTTAATCTCAAAGTAAGTTAGGTTAGCTAACTTACATTGAGCAAAGAACAGATTAGATTAGCCTCTAAAAGAAATTTTATTTACTTGACACCTTATTGCTCTATAGTATTAGATTAGATTATATAGTAAGGCCCATGCACAGACGTTTTGTAGAGTGTATGATCTGATAATTTAGAAGTTCAACATTCGGAGCTAGGCTAAATTCCTAATACAAACTTAAAACATATATTCTGTAGTAGTAAAAAGCTCTTTACATTCTTTTATTCTATTATAAAATTCTTCCCAACTTCTTTCTCATTAATTCATGATTTTTTTTTTTACTTTATTTATTTCATAACATAAGTCAAATATCACACTAGAATCCACCCCTAAATCGAAAAAAAAAATCCTTGAATTTGCTCAGTCATAAATTGGTTTCCCATTGTACAATTAAATCAACACCAAAAGATGGATTTTTTTAATAATACGCTAGCTAAACCTTCGCAAGTAACATCCATGTAGGCAGGAGGTAAAAAAAAAAATAAGTGACCTGTTAGTCTATAGTTGCATTTTAAGTCATCTAATATTTTGTCTCTCCTTTTATCTGATTTCCGTTTTTACTTTTTCCAAAAAAGGTACGCTAAACGTCTGAAAATTAATTTTGATTCGGAAAAATACTAACATTGTCTTTTCAATTTTTTTTTTTATTCTCGTGTTTGGCGTATTTTTCTTTTTTATTTGACACACAAATGTATAGAAGAAGAAAACCTGTAATAAAAGAAAAGCCACCCATTCCTAATACTTTGGATGAGTTTGGTTATGTATTGAAAGAGAATGGTGAAATTAGAAGTAAAGATACAGGTATTGTAGTTTGTCCCTTTTTTTTTTTTTTATTAAATAGAGAAAATTAAATAATTGTTAATAGTTCCTTTGTTATAGATGAAGTCTATTTATTTGATTATTTGCCGAAAGATAGACCTTATAATGAAAAACGTTACGATAAATTCATTGGTAAGATAAAAGAACTATTGTGTGGACTCGACTTTGATTAACACTATTCGTTTTAGAACTTATTGGTGATGAAGTCGAAAAGCAACTTCAATCAGAACCTTATAATTTTCAAAAATTAATTGTGCCTATTGATGCCAATCCTAAAACTGATGCTCATTCTTATATTTACACAACGTAAGTGGAAACAAAAATCATACTACATGTATATTATAACATTTATTTAATTTGAATTAGTCCTAATGCTTTGACAACAAAAGATAAATTGCTAATCATGATTCCAGGCAATAACACTAGGTAAATTATTTAACCATCTATTTTGTTATTATTATTATTATTTATGTACAGCTTACGTTTCTACATCTTTGTATTGTATATAGGATAGGTCAATGGAGTAAAAGAGTCCTTTGTGATGAAACTATAAAGGTTAAACAACATAGTCCATTTAATTAGTCTCGAATAGTTTTAACTGATAAATTATATAATCAAAAATATAGTCTGGGTCCATGATGCAAATTACAGACATGGTCAAAGAACATGGATACGAAGCTATTATATTAAATCCTAACGCCAATTTTTGGTATAATGGCCGTGCTTGGGTAAGAGTTCTTTTAAATAAATTATTTATAATAATAAATACTGATTCATTTATTAGGAAACACCTGAAGTACATACAACTAAACTTACAGTTGTACCAGGTATATATACATATAAAAAAAAGAACTATACAAAAGAGTGACATGTATAATAATACGCATTTATATATTGTAGAAAATGAAACTCCTGAAATGCATTGTGAATATGTATTCCATCATGTAATTAGGTAATTACCGAAAAATTACTTTCTACTTTCTTTTTTTTTTTGTTTTTTACTTGGTATGTTTATATAGAAATGCCCAAGCCTCTAAAATAGCTGTTATTGCAATGGGATGGGGTGGATACGGCTTTACACTTGCGTTAAACAATGATTGTAAATATATATATATGAATAGAAACAAGAAGGATCATTAAACACTTTATATAGTTGATTTCATAAAGGAACGTGTTAAAGCTGTTGCAATGGTTAATAGTGTACATACAAAAGATATGATAAATGGTGGAAGTAAACGTACATTTATGTTTGATGTAAGTAAAATGACTGTAAACTGATCATTATAGACATATTAAGTACTTTATAGAATTGTGTCAATTGGGTAGTGTCACAGGCTAAAAAGGGGGAAATAGTAACTGATATTCGATCTGGCTGTACTTGTATATCATCGGGTAAGATTATTATAAAGTATTGTGGTGCAATCGTGTATTTATTTTATTCCAAATAAAAAAAATAGAAGAAGAAATTGCAGACTTTACTTTAAACAAGATGTTAGATGATATTATGAAATTTATTTATGTTAAAATGGGAGATATTGAGCCAGAAATTGTGGATGAGGATGAAGCTGATGAAATTGAAGAGTTGACACAAGAGGAAATAGAAGAATTGAAGAATGTTGATTTACTAAGTATTGACTGAATGTAGATGCTGTATCACACATACGATTTCATGAATGCTGCAACTAAAATAAAGCTTTCTTGGCATGAATCGATTTTATTAATAAAGCATTTTTATGTTTGTGTAGCTCCTTTATGTCATTCAAAATGATATTTTTAGGGGAAAGGAGGAAAAAAAAAGGGGGAGAATAGAGGAAGAGAGTGTGTGCGTATGTGTGTGGGGGAAATAAAATGACTGATCAAAACAAATAATAAAAGTAAATTATCTTTTTTTTTTTTAATGGTCATTATATTATAAACTGTAGCACTTTTTTCTTTCTTAATAATTATATATCTATAGACTGTCAAATAAATTCACTCTCTTTTTATATGCATATTTAAATGCTATTGTGTATAAAAGATGATGCATTCATAAAAGTATATCATGCATATGGTTACAATATATGTGGTTTATACTGCATCACTCTGCATTGCATTTTTTTTTCCTAATTGATAAAGGAAGCCCTTTTTTTTTCTCTTTTTATATATTATTATTAAAGTTAGTATTATATGAAAGAAAAGAAAAAAAAAGAAGAAGAATATATTTGTATAAAATATGGAATAATCAGTTCTGGTATACATGTATGTATGTATGTATATATATATTCACATTTATTTGATAGCTAATAGATTAAAACAATTTATAGTTAAAACCGTTACTCAAAGTGAATAAAAAAGAAGTGCTATCGTCATAGAAACAAATGATAACTTTATCAAAAGGAGTTTATTTATATTAGTTGCCATGTGGATATTCAGATTGGTTGTATTTTAATCATTGCGGTATGTTCTACGTTATAGGGAAAGAGCCTGTTTTTATTTTATTTTATTTTCCTAGTTAAAGTACGGAATAGCCATTTATAAATTTCTATTTCGAAAAACTTATAAACAATATGCAGGTCAAGTCAACTGTTTTGCAGCATAATCAATTATAAAGAAGAATTCACTCCGTCACTCAAATGATTCTTTTTTATTTTTTTTATTTTTTTTTTTTTCATTATTCTTCCCTTACCTCCTCTTCCTTATTTTCTCCTCCTCCTTTCCCCCCCTTCCCCTTTATACATATATATTTTTATATATTTTAGTCATTAAAAAGCAACTTTATATATAAAAATATATAAAAATATATATTTATTTGTTTTTCTTTTCTTTTTCTTTTCTTTTCTTTACATATACATATATACATATATAGATAGATAGATATACAAATATAGATATAAAGTAAGTCTATAAAAGTACATAAAAATGAATGCATTACATTTATTAATAATAGATATTTAGTGGAAGGCATTTATCAAAATAGTTTATATTCTTCTTCCTCTTCTCAGCAACCTTCTTATGTATTACCAATGAATCAACAACAGCAGCAATCGGATCATTATGGTAATGCTCATCCTTATCGTTCTAGTGCTTTTTCAGGATCTAGAACCCCTTCCTATACTACTACTGCAGCAACACATTCATTATCTTCCTATCAAGGTTTAAATCATAATAACAATAACACTGTTAATATGTATTCTGCCTTTGGGAATCGTCATCCTTATAATAATAGTACTTCAATGAACTGGGCAACGCCTTGGAATAATAATTCAACAATCTCATCTTTACCTCCTCCAAATCGTCATTATTTAGGCTATCCTTCTGCATTTAATAGCAATGGTACTTCACACTTTGTCTCTGGTACGACGCCTATGCAAAGATCGAAATTAACGACTACAGTTTGGGAAGATGAAGGAACAATTTGCTATCAAGTAGATGCTAAAAGTATCTGTGTTGCACGTCGACAAGGTAATTATGATTATATAGCATGATTGTTTCTAATATATATATAACATGTTATTTGATTATAGATAATGATATGATTAATGGTACAAAACTACTTAATGTTGTTGGCATGTCCCGTGGAAAACGCGATGGTATCCTTAAGAATGAGAAAGGTCGTGTTGTTGTTAAAGTAGGAGCTATGCATTTAAAAGGCGTTTGGTATATATATGTAATCTGTATGTTGTTGTTTCTTTTTTTTGTTAATATTTATTTACATAATAGGATTACTTTTTCTCGTGCTAAAGATTTAGCTACAAAATTCAAAATTGTAGATATTCTTTACCCTTTATTTGTCGAGGATCCTTCTGTCTTTTTAGCTACTTCTTCATCATCGTCTTCTGCTATTATATCAAATACTAATAATAATAATTTTATGTTGAATTCTAGTACTCATAATAATAATAATAGTCATATTTTACCTCTCATGTTATCGCCCAGTATAAAAAACAATAATAATGGATTCAGTTCTTCTTTTAATATGTCCACTTATTGGGATCATAATAAATGTCAACCACTTCCAAGTATATCTATAACAAATAGACAACAAAATAATCATGAACATAATAGTAAGCAAGGATATAATAAAAATGATAACAATCATCCTATTTATATCCATAATATATGTATAATAGTAATTATGCGATATCAGCAATCAGCTACTACAAATACTGCTGATACTGCCGCTGCTGCTGCTACCATTACTACTGCTGCTACTACAAATACTGCTGATGCTGATGCTGATGCTGATGCTGCTGCTGCTGCTGCTACTACTACTACTACTATTGCAACTACTACTGCTATTACTACTACTACTGCTACTACTAATAATAATAATAATAATAATAATAATAATAGTCATAATAATAATAATAATAATAGCCCTGTCCCTGGATCTATCGATAATGGAGAAAATGATATCTATTTTACTTCTTATAATTATCGCTCATCATTTAATAATCGAAATCAACTTTATACATCAGATACTTTAAATACTTCCTATGATCCTAAACAAGAAGAAGCTACTACAGAAGAGATAATAAATAATAATGAAGATTTACATACGAAAAACAGTAATCCTTCAATTGAAGGTTCATTGAAATATAATTTTATCTCGAATGAATCCTCTACAGAAAATCCCTGGACTGATGATAGTAATAAATCCTCTTTATCAATAGGTATTTTTTTTTTATCATTCTATATAATTATTCATATTTGTATATTTATTTTTCTCATATAGAGTTATCTTCTAATTTTGAAGAAAATATAAAATCACTTAGTAGAGATAGAAAACGTAGCAGTCATTATCAACTACAACAACGTGAACGTAAACGTATTAAAGATGGTGAATAAGACTCAACATATAAATATCTACATGTACTTTTTTTTTTTGAAATATACTTTTATTCAAATAAAAAGCGTAAGCTCTATTTTGTGGTTCTTTTTAAAGCTAACAAGAAATGCATGTATGTAGGTATAAAGGTCGGTAATTCAAACATGTGTGCAGCACAAAAATCGTTACTTGCCACTACTAAATAAATAAAGAGAGAGAATATATTTTACCTTCATTTTATATGATGACAACACAGTATCATCTCTATTGAATGAAACTCAAAAATGTAATATAATAGCTCATATTGCTAAAATATTTACTTGGCATCAATGTGAACAAACTTTTAGTTGTATACATAATTTAAAATCTCATTTAACGACTCATTCACAAGATAGATCATTTCAGGTATATTTCTCATTTATTATGATTTTTGGAATATATTTATTTATATACATGGGTTTCTTTTTTTTTTCTTTTCCTTTGAACTCAATAATATCTGTCAACATGATCTCAAGCGTCATCAAAAAATTGTATACAGGAGAAAGGCCTTATGTTTATAATAAATGTTAACGCTCTCTCTCTCTCTCTTTTTTTTTTCTTTTCTTTTTTTTTTTTTTTTTTTTTTTTTTTTTTTTTTTTTTTTTTTTTTTTGCAAGGTTGGATGCGCTTAATAGACATCAAAGAATGGATGCTAACAATTAGTATAATATTACAATAACGAAATATCATCCTTCTTCTCTTGATCTATCTATCTACTACAGCGAATAAAATGACGACTACTTCTTCAAGCGTTAACATTGTCTCCTACTTCAATAGAACCTACTTCATGACTATTAAAAATGATCTTTCATTACCTTCTTTATCTACACTGAATCATAGCCCCGTAAAGAGTTTATTTGATGATAAATCATTTCATCTTTTTTTTCTACATCCTATCCTCTCCATACCTTATCATCTTTATCCCGATTTATTATCATTATAGCAACGTATGAAAACTCTAGAGTCAGAAATGGCAGTATTGAAAGTAGAAATATCTGTGTGGTAAAGGTCGTATAAATGATTTAAAAGTAGAATTAAGACGTCAAATCTATTTATCTACATTTAATAGTATCTAAAAAAAAATCATAATCTTCTACTGTCTTTATTATTATTATTAGAACAAAATGTTAAAATCGCTTCTAGTTAACCGGCAGCAACAACAAGCGAGAATTATATCTGATAGAATAATAATAGTAGCAGCCAGTATGGCTACAACTACTACAACTGTCTATAATAAAAAATACAACAAAAATAAAAAATGGAAGAGGATTTGCAAATTTCTAGAAAAAAAAAGGGCTAAGAAAGACATAATAGACAATAAAAAAAAATGATGGAATGTACGCATTAATAAGATACGCCCTCCCCTTAATTTTTTTTTTCTTTTGATGTTTGTATTGTATTTTCTTTAAAGAGGATTATAACCGTTTGTGTCCGAAAATTCATTACTCATGCAGCCTCTCGTTAACAAAAATCCTGCTAAAGTAAAAGCAGCAAAACCAAACCCAATCATGGCCATACCAGGACCTTGAATAGCTATTAGGTGAGGGTAGGCTAAATTTAACTGTTTGATAGCGCCTTGATACATGACAGATGACAAAATGAGTAATAGTAAGGTAAACATAGATGCTCCCCAAGCTAAAAATCCTCTTGAATAATATTCATCCTGATAACGTCCAGGTAAGATAATTCTGATCACACATAGCACCAGTAAAGCAGCTGAACATATTAAGCAAAGAACAGCAGCGGGGAAAATTTTAGGATCATGAGGTGGATTAGGTGATGCTCCTGGATTTAAACTATCATTTTGTTCAATTACGTCCAAAAATAAACTTGGATAAGTGGCATTTAACTGATTAACAATTGAAACATCTAAGAACATATTGTTAATAATTTCAAAATGAACGATTCAAATATATTCATGTATGTATATCATTTATGTCTTTTTTTTTTTTACCAAATGGAACAATCATAACACTACGATCACTGACACACTTTACTTCGTGATCTTCTATGCAATAAGCTTGCCAACCATAATAAATGGAGACCGATGTTCCATTCACTGGCTTTTCAGCATTGGTTACTTTTACAAAATAAAGCCCTTTACTACTTGATGTTTTACACCCCACTAGGCATAATAATGTTAGAATAAATCCAATAATAGATAAAAAGAAGCCAGTATAATTAAATGGTGCTTTTTTTAATCGAAACTTTTTCATTGTTAATCTAATTAGGAAAAAAAAAAAGGAAAAAGAAAGGGTTTTGGAACTATTAATATCCATTTATTAATATATACAAATATGTGTATTTTTTTTTTAACGAACATTCAAATAAATTGCAAAATCTATTTTGGCATTACTTCACTGTAACTTAAAGAAGGATTTAGACGTAAAATGTGAACAACATGTAAAGTTAATAACAAATGAAAAGAATGAAAAAAAAAAAAAAAAAAAAAAAAAACTATTTGAAACGTCAAACATATTTGATTAACCTTAATCTTGAATTTGGTATATAAAATGACTCTCCTTGTATTTGTATTTTGTTGACAGAACTACTTGAATTAATAAAACTAATGATGCTTAATATATTAAAAAAAAAAGGACTACAGTTAAATGTGGTTTTCGTTTTTTATTTATTATTGTAATATATAATTATATCGTTTATCACTTATAAAATCTTGGTTTTCTTTTGTTGATTAAGAGTAGTAGGAGGAGCAATCCATGTACGAGTGATAAATTTCAATATTTCGTCTATAATAATAACTGGAAGGGAAATCCATAAAACTGCCATCCATTCTTCTACATTAAGTGGTACAATTGCAAATAAGGTATTGAAGAAAGGAACATACAAGATCATAAAATGTAAGAGCATGGATAAACAAATAGATAAAACAAGATAAAGGTTACTCCACAAAGGCAGTGTTAATAATGATTCATTCTCACTCAAGCTATAAAAACAAAAACAATAAAAAAAAGTTAACAAGTGCTTGATTATAAAATTAGTTTTTTTTTTTTTTTACCTATTCATTGCATTAAACATTTCAATAACAACTAAAATGGATAAACTCATTGTAGTTGCTTTCATTGAAAAGGTATTTGTGAACATTTCGCATCCAATTTCAGGGAATAATGTAGAACAATGATGGAAATGAGATAATTGATAGTATGAAATTTGAGGACCACCAGAATAGAACATAAACCACCAAACGTAACCAAAAACAGTAGCAACACCAACATAGGTACCAACAAATAAATATCTAAAGAATAACCAGCCACCTACAAGTGGTTCCTTAGAGCTACGAGGAGGGCGTCTCATAATGTCATGATCAGGGGGATTGAAACCTAAAGCAGTAGCAGGGAGTCCATCTGTTACTAAATTAACCCAGAGTAACTGAACTGGGATTAATGCTTCTGGTAATCCCAAGAGAACAGTCAAGAAAATAGAAACAACTTCACCAATGTTGGATGATATCAGATAACGAATAAATTGCTTTGTATTGTTATAGATACTACGTCCTTCCTCTACTGCTTTCTCGATGGTAGCAAAATTGTTATCGGCTAAAACCATATCAGCTGCAAGCTTAGCAACATCAGTACCTGATCCCATAGCAATACCAATATCTGCTTTCTTTAATGCTGGTGCATCATTGACACCATCACCTGTCATAGCAACAATTTCTCCGTGGGCCTTGAGCAAATCAACTAATTGTTGTTTATGTGCAGGTTCTGTACGTGTGAATAAACTAGCACGTTTAATAGCTTCAATCTTTTCATGATCTGATAACACATCAAATTCACGTCCAGTATAACTCTTGCCCATCAAATCCTCATTCATATCAAAAACACCAATTTGTCGACAAATAGCTTCAGCTGTATTCTTATTATCACCCGTAATCACAATCACACGAATACCAGCAGTCTTACATTTGGCAATAGAGTCAGCTACTTCAGGTCGTGGAGGATCCATCATGCCAACGAGACCAATAAATGTCATACCACTTTCATACTCAGCAAACCTCGTTTGATCTTTCAAGTCGAATTGACTAGGATTCACATTTTCTAATTTAGCTAAACCAATACAACGAAGAGCCATGCCTTGTCCATATTCTAATATTTTATTATTTACTTTCTCACGAATTTCTGCAGTTAGAGGAACAGCTTCAGAATTAGATGATAAACGAACAAATGAGCAACGTTCGATAATAGATTCGGGAGCACCCTTTACCAATAATGTATTGTTATCCACAATGACAGACATCGATTTACGATCACGTGTAAATTCAAGGGTAGCTGTACGTTTGGCTTGATTCATAAAATAATCATTACAAGCTATTGAACGTTCAGGCTTTGAGAGTGACTTTAATTGTTGGTTGTATTCCATACTTGTGGTACCTAATTTTTCAACAAGAACTTGAAGTGCAGCTTCTGTAGGTTCACCAATATTGGTATAGCTATCGGTTGAAGCATCATATACAATACGAGCATCATTACAAAGTGAACAAATAAGTGCAACATCATGTAAGACAGAATTTTGAGTAGGCGTAACGATTTGATGATTCACCAATGATTTAACATCACCTATAGGTTCATAACTAGTACCATCAATAGCCATTTCATCCAAGTCACCAGAACCATTAGATATTAAAGCTAATCTTGACACACTCATCTGATTTGTAGTTAGAGTACCTGTTTTATCCGAACAAATGACGCTAGTGCAACCAAGTGTTTCAACACTAGGTAAACTACGAACAATCGCTCCACGTTTGGCCATTTTTTTAGTACCCAAAGCAAGACAAGCAGTAATAACAGCCGCTAAACCTTCAGGGATAGCAGCCACAGCGAGGGCAACAGCAATTTTAAAATAGTAAACAGCACCGCCTAACCATCCATTATGAGAAGGGTGATTAAAATTACGAACATTGACAACCCATACTAAAATACAAATGACTGTAATGACTTTAGCAAGCATATCACCAAAATCGTCCAATTTACGTTTAAGAGGGGTCTTTTCAGATATTTGAGCAGATATAGAGGTATGGATATCACCAATTGCGGTTGAAATACCTGTCTTCACTACAATGGCTCTGGCCTTACCGAGAACACAGGTTGTACCCGAAAATAGCATATTACACTGATCTTGTTTGACTGCATCTTTATCCTTAATTGCCTCTACTTGTTTTTCCACGCTTACAGATTCACCTGTTAATATAGCCTGGTCTACACGGAACACACTAGAGTCAATTGAAAGTACACGAGCATCAGCAGGTATCTTATCTCCGACAGCTAAATCAATAATGTCACCAGGCACGATTTCCTCTGAACGTAATTTACGTAAGACTCCATTACGAAGCACTTTAGCTTCATCAGGAGAATACTCGCGTAAAGCGTCAATGGCCTTTTCTGCGCTTGATTCTTGAAGAACGCCAACAGTTGCATTAGCAATAAGAATAATCAAAATTACAGCAGGTTCAACAAATGCCGTAGTCGTATCTTGATCTTCAAAAATGGCCAATACAAATGACACAATAGCTGCGCCTAATAAAATTAAAACAAGTTGATCTTGAAATTGCTCCAAGATTAATTTATAAATAGGTGTTGATTCCTCAGCAGGAAGTTCTATTTTGTTTTAAAAAGAAAAATAGAATAGAAAGAGAGAGAGGGAGGGAGAGGGAAAAAAAAAAAAGAGATAAGTATAGATTCATGATTAGAAATCAGCATAGGGTACCATTTCTGCCAAACTTTTTCTGTTGTTCTTTAACTTGGCTTTCGTTTAAACCTTTAGATCTGTCTACATTAAAGTATTGACAGACCTCCTCAGGTGTTTTAATAAACGAGGCATCCATTTCTCTTTCACTGAAAGAAAAAGAAAAAACAAAAACAAAATAAAAAAGAAAGAAATAGAATGTTTTATTTTTGTCCTTATGATAATTAGTAGGTACTCCTCCCTCACAGTAGACCTTAATTAAATCGATTTTGTCTTCCGATAACAGACAAGATAGTGTGTAAATTTAAATTCAGATTAAAATTTATAACAAATAGGGCAAAGACAAGTACAGTGCACACTGTATCAAATAGCAAAGTGTATAAAAATAAACATCTATTTGTTATAAACTCAGTTGAAGCCAAATCACTGGTTTTGGTAAGCAAATAACTAGCAAATGGCAGTTTTGCATTTTTTATTTATCCTGTAATAGTAGTGAGTTAAGTCTTGTATAGTTCCACTCTTTGAAAAAAAAAACATTTCTCGAACATGTTAACAAAAGTGTTGAATAAATAAAAAAAAAAACTTCTAATAATATTGCTTTAATGGAATATTATCGCAAGCGCCACTTATTCTTGTTCTTAGATCTTCCTTTTTCGCTAAAATAGTTGCTGTGTCTTACTTTGTTCTTAATATTTAGTTAACCCAGAATTGCTCTATCGAATTGATCTTGAGAGAGTAATGGAGAAAGATAAGCATACTTATAGTCTCGTGTTAGAACTACTTTCTTGACTTCATTCATAGTATAAATAAGGCATATTATCCATCATAACAAGATAAAAAGCCTTACCCTCCCCCATTTTTTTTTTTTTTTGTATCTTATATGGTACTTTATTTAAAAAAAAATATATCTATATACACGGAAAAAAGAGGTTTTGTTGCAGTATATTTATCACCGTATTCCCTCCCCTTTCTTAACCTCAAAGAAGAATGTTGGTATAAAATAAAGTCTTTTTTTACTAAAGCTGAAAGAATAGATCTATTCATTTTAAGGTTATCTAACTTTATATATAGTGTATTCAAAGCTAGATCAACAGAGACAAAAAAAAAAAAGGAAAGTTTGTACGATGAATATAAAATAGGCATAAGAAAGAATAGTTAGTTTCCATTATATCATGAAAGAATATTATCCGATGATAGTCAATTACACATTCAGTAGTATAATTTTTAACTTTTCTCCTTATTCTACTTGACAAAAGCTTCGGTTATCATTAAGGAAAAGTCTGTTCTCTAATTATCAACATGTATCTATACAAGCCATATTGTACTTTCTCTTAAAAATATCCTTGTTATATCATTCTGAAAAGAAAAAAAAAAGGCGTACAAGTAATCTTACTATAACAATAAATCCTTTTTTTTTTTTTTTTTGCATATCAAAAATTCCATAATTCCTTCACTTTTTTTTATCATACAACTTCATATATATACAGGTGAAAAAGCTAGACAAAATATATAGTTTATTTTTGCTAAACAATAACTCTTTAACGGTAACGACGGAGAGAGAGAGTGTTGCGACGCTTCCAGGTGGCACGACGACCAGAGCCCTTGGTGTTGTTGAAACGATGACCCTTGGCATGACCACGAGACTTCTTACCAATGGCAGTGAGACCACGAGCTTCACGGTGCTTATGAACAGGGTTGACGATCCAGTTGATACGAGGATCACGACGAATAGCCTTGTGAGAGGGATCAACAAGGATAACTTCATAGTACTTGTAGGTGGCATCTTGGTTAACCCAGTAAGAGTTCAAGACACGCAAGTTAGCACACTTACGACCAACACGTTCTTCAGCAGTGCTTCTAAGGGAACGTTGATACTTGAGTTGGCTAACACCTTCATTGACGGGCTTACCATAAGTAGCACCCTTAGGAACAGGTCTCTTACGACCACCACGACGAACACGGATACGGTAGATAACATAACCTTGCTTAGCCTTGTAACCCAAACGACGAGCCTTATCGGGACGAGAGGGACGAGAAGCACGGTGAATGACATTCAATTGTCTGTACAATGAGATGAGATCAATTAATAAAAATTAATGTGAAATTTATATATACAAATAAATAAATACCTGTATTCCCAACAACGGACACGAAGCAAGAAACGAGAAACATCAGATTGCTTCTTTCTAGCAAGCTCTTCCAAATACTTATAGGCACCCATTGTATATCTGTTAATAAAAGTAATAATCAGTAAATGTCATTACACTGATCTAACCAACCACTGAACATCTAACTATCCCCTATCTCTTTATCCATACATATATTATTTCCCCATTTTATACAGATTCATCCATCTATTCTTTTTTTTTTGAAAAAAATATACATATACATCTATATGTATCCATTCTTATCCCAAACTATTCCTTTTCACCATCTCTTATTGTACATGTATAATTACCTTGGAAAGGGAAAAAGGAAAGATTACTAAAGTTTGGGCCACTTCCAATCAAGTATATCATTAACCATCAAAAATGGCATTGAGAATAATAATGTCCGATCCGGACTTTTTTCCCGCATCAAATCATGTTTTTTTTTTTTAATTGTATGTAATATGTCATATACCCTTTTTTTATATATATTTTTTTATTTTAAGCCGCCTATAGTTTAGCAATGATTAGTGAAAATACAATTGAAGAATATGTTCGAAGGACCTTTACAAAATATATAGAAGGGAATGGCAACTCTTTAAATGCTTCACCTGCCTTTCCTATTCTAGTTAACATCATTTCTGCAAATTTTATAGAGGAGGAATACAATAACTACAAATTTTGTTTCATCGGAGAAGCAGCAGCAGCTTTTGTTGTTCGCAGTATATTAGCTAAGCATTTCGCCTCTCATAATGATACTTTTCTCAATTCACTTGCAAAAAGGTTTTCAAACTTACTTCAGGTGCATAAACATTTTGGCCAAGAAATTTACCTTTTTGCTTATATTTCCAAACAAAACTATTCAAATATAATAAATAACATCATAGGGTACACATGTTTACAAATCATATTTTCGTTTATACATATATAAATATATACACACATATATATATGTATTTATATAGTTATATATTTTGAAAATATACTAATACTTTTTTAGAGTTTTATACACTTATTTTGGAATGCCAACAATAGAAAAATTATTAGAAAAAACAGTAATTCACCTTACTAATTTTTACCTCAATGTGGCAATAAAAACTAGCATTGAACATCCTACTTACGCGTTAAATCATTTAATTCAATCTAAAGAAGGATCACTGAATATGGAAAGCGAGCAAACAATTGATTCTCTGTGGAAAATAACGTTAACATGTCAATTGACAAAAAATGGAATAGCCTTTAGCCATACACGTATTGCAATAAGTAAACAAAAGGCAAGAATGGTAGCCTCGAAGGATATTTTAATATTTCTAGAAAAGCATCCAGAATATTTTGAGCAACTTAAAGTACCTGCTAATTATCAACAAGAAGCTCATGTTTTACCTATTGATCCTTCTGATTATTATAATTCAACACCTTCAACTCCTCCATCATCTGTTAGTAAGGGCATTAAAAAAGAACTTACACCGGTAGATTGGACAGTGAATTCAAACTCAAATACGATTCACATCTCTGCTTTAGATAACGATGATGATGATGCTATTCGTCGCTTATCTAACCTATTACTGGGGACAGGCATGGACGTTGATATGGAAGGTAATCAACGAACTAAAAAAAGACCACGAAAGGGCATTTTTGATTTAACAGAATCAATAGCACAACCGGTTAGTTCGGTTGATCAAAGAATGATAAAACAGGAATATCAGTTCCAAACACCAGTAAAGACAGAAAATGTGGATGTAGAAGATGTAAAAAGCTCCATCTTAGCTGCTATTCAAGAACCTACGACTAGCATTACACCACCACAACAACCACCTATGTCATGCACATATAATACTTCCTTTCCACATGGTCCTGTTAACCCTAATATTAGGCAAATCAAGGAAGAAGAATTTAGCTATGAGACTAAAGTGATTCGATTCTTCTCATCTATTTTTTCTGAACATCATAAGCTTTTGAGAAATACGTTAGATCAACCTGGCCAGTCTAAAAGTGTATTCTTATCACTTGTTAAATTACATGAGGCTGAAGTTCAAGTCGATATCACTGTACAAAAGGGTGGGATGCCTCATAATCCTGTCTTTCAAGCCGAAGTTGTTTTAATTTTCATACCGAATCCCAAATTCTTTTTAAGAACAGAAGGTGTGGCACAAAAAAGAAAGAAGCTGAACAAATTGCTTTTTATAGGCTAATTGGATTATTAGCAAAAAATCCACCCAATTAAAAATGTATATAATGCTATCGTTAATTTTCCCTAAATAAATAAATAAATAAATAATAAAATTTTGCAATATATTATAATCATCGTTTTATATAATAGTCTTTTCTCTCTCTCTCTCTCTCTCTCTTTATCTCTTTTTTTTTTTTTGATATAAAATGGCAAAATTGATTGACTTACCACGAGAAATAATATCGTTGATTTGTTGCTCATTAAAGCAAGCTACAAAATATACTTGTATATTTTTAAATAAAGAATTCCATGATGCAGCTATACCTGAGTTATGGAGAGAACCGATATTGTCATCAACAGATACACTTAAAAAATTTATAAAATGTTTAGAGTTATCGAAATGCCAAAGAGGCGAATGTGTACGAGTTATGAAACTAGGCTATAAAATCAGTTTAACAGATGAAGAGCTTATTAATTTGCTTCATTTGATGCCCAATTTAGAAGTATTGGAGTTAAGGAAAGCCGATACACTAACAGATAAAAGTCTTATGCTTGTATCTCACTATTGCAAACAGTTAAAGTCGTTTGGAGTCACAGGTGCACTCATGACCTATCGTTCAGTTCATTATCTAGGTCACTGTAAACAGCTTCGACGACTCACTTTTGCTTGTTGTCAATATCTCACTCCCTTTGCTCTTTTACCATTCGAGCAATTGATGATTGAATATTTAGATATATCAGGATGTAAATGGTTAAATCTGAAAGAAACAGCTTATGATCTTGGCTGCTTAAACTATTTAACTCATCTTAATCTAGTGTGTTGCAATACAGTATCTAAAGAATTTATTCATCATTTAACTACATCAAGAGATGGGAAGCCATGTTTATCTAATTTGCATGATTTCTCAATTACGGGTGGCTCACTTCTTGATGACGATGCCATCATTCCCTTCATCAAGACACATACACAACTGAAGGGTTTATTTTTATTAGAATGTGCTATTACGGATCAAACCTTACAAGTCATTGGCTCACAGTTAACTTTCTTACATAATCTGGATTTATCCTTTTGTCATAGACTAACCCCCAACGGTGTTCGTCAACTGATACGTCAATGTAAGAACTTGAGATTATTGGGTCTCAAAAGCTGTGGTATGACGCAACATGATTTTCCAGAGATCCCACATTATGCCTTTCCTTCTGTTAATGAAAATAATTATCCTCATATCAATACATTGGGATACATTGAATTAGCTTACATTCGAGAAAAGAATCATGAAACATATGGTTCTATTCATACTATTGAAGAAGATACAGAAATGACCGAAGATGATACAATAGTTATGGATGATGAAGATAGTGTTAGTGAAAGTTATGCGTACATTCAACAATATTTAAATTCACAAATCATATAATGAATATGTTATATACCCTTATATATTTATATATATTTTTATATATAAAAAAGAGAGAAAAAAAAGTCAATAAACTATTTCCTAGATATAATATAAAAGTTTTGTTAAATTGAATAAAGCTCCTTATATATAAATATTTTCTCAACTATAAACAACACTATTTAAAAAAAAAAAAAAAAAAAAAAAAAAAAAAAAAAAAAAAAAAAAAAAAAAAAAAAAAAAAAAAAAACAGGTTATTACTTCAGCTTATAATAAAATGACTCAACTGTATTTTTTTTTTTTTTTTTTAATAATATCCGTCATTTGTTTAAAAAAGCAAAACCTGCTCTCCTTCTCATTATTATTAAATTCAAGCATATGACGTAATTAACTATATTGGGAAAGTCTTTTAACTTCGACGTCATGTAAGCGTATTTCAAGTTTCTTTTTCCGTAATATAAATTTCATATTTTTTATGTTTTATTCCTTTTTTTTTTTTGCTGTTTTTTTTTATGAGTATATAACTCTATTTGGACATGCTTTCACAAATTAAAAGTTTGTTTAAACAAAAAAAGACTTATCCAAAGGGTAGTTTTATTCCCTAACAAAAAAAAAAAAAAATAAGTGAGCTGACATAATTATTGACTTTAATTTTAGATCATACAACAGAACAAAAAAATAAAGATGTAGCAGCACGTATTGTTGAAGAAGAGAAGCAACGTAAAAGTGTTTTACCTCAATATCCCGGCTTAGATCGCTTCGAAATGCTCGAGAAAATTGGGGAGTAAGTCTCTTTTTTTTTTCATTATTTTTATTATTTGTTTGTTTGCTTTGCTCCCCCCCCTTTTTTTGTGAAACTTATTTTTTTTTTTTTTTTGTGTGTGTGTATGTTAGAGGCGCATTTTCATTTGTATTTAGAGCAAGAGATAAAGTAACAAATAAAGAAGTAGCTGTTAAAGTAGTTAGGAAAAAAGAATTAGATGCTACTGAAGTATGATTAAAGTAACATGACAACATCCAAATGTATATGTATCCTGACGATTTTTTTTTTTTTAGACTGGAAAAAATCATTTACATCCTAATATGAAAAAAAAGACAAAGGCTACAGAACGGGCTAATATCTTGAAAGAAGTTCAAATTATGCGTAACATGAAACATAAGAACATTGTTCGACTTTTTCATTTTTCAGAATCAGACGACTATTACTTTTTAGTATTAGAATTATGTAAAGGTGGTGAATTATTCCATAGAATTGTAAAGTTAACTTATTTCAGTGAGGATCTTGCTCGACATGTTATTGTACAAGTAGCAGAAGGTATTCGTTATCTTCATGAAGAATGTGGCGTAGTTCATCGGTATATATCTTTTTTTTGGGGTATCAATAATATAAATGAGAGGGAGAGGAGGGGAGGGGGGCTCCTTATATATACGCATGTATATATTTCTATACATATATTAATCTCTACATGTATATTATTTATAAATGTAGTGATATCAAACCTGAAAATATTCTATTTGATCCTATCCCTGTCATTAAAAGAGACCATGTTGAAAATCTATTTGATGATGAAGACAAAGAAGATGAAGGTGAATTTATCGAAGGCGTCGGTGGTGGTGGTATTGGTCTTATCAAGATTGCTGATTTTGGCTTATCCAAAGTGATTTGGGATAATTCGACATTAACACCTTGTGGTACAGTTGGCTATACTGCACCTGAGATTGTAAGAGATCAAAAGTATTCTAAATCAGTTGATATGTGGGCAATTGGTTGTGTCCTCTATACGATTCTTTGTGGATTCCCCCCATTTTATGATGAATCTATTCGTGCTCTAACCCATAAAGTAGCTCGAGGTGAATTTACCTTCTTAAGTCCCTGGTGGGATCCTATTTCACCTGCTGCAAAAGATTTGATTAGCAATCTATTAACCGTTGACCCTAATAAACGTTACACAATCAATCAATTCTTTCAACACCCATGGATCACTAAATCCCAATTCCCTCCTCCTGCTCCTAAAGCTATGGAAGATACAGAGTTAATGCCAATGAAACCCCTTAATACTGAAAAGAAGTTCAAGGTAAATGATCCTCGTGCTCAAGCCATGCAAAATGCTGCTAATAAAGCTGCTGCTATTCATGAAGAGCAAAAGAGACAAGCTGATCATCATGATATTGAGTCGAAAGCGAAAGCGATGGTTACACCAGGAACTCAAACAGCAAAGCGTGTTGATATCTTTTCACCTGGTGTTCCATCTATTAAAGAAATTATGGATATTACATATGCTGTTCAACGTATGGGAGAGGAAAAGAATAACCGCGGCAAACATCCTCCTCCTGCTGCTGCTACTGCTGCTGCTGATACTGCTGGTTATCACACTTATGGTGGTTATGATTCTATCTCTGAGGAAGAGGAAGACCAGCTCAATGAAAGTAGTACTTCCTCTATTGATACATTAAACAGTTATGAAAAAAATAAAACTACAGTAGTTAATTCTAACGGAATTCAAAAAGAAGTTATTGCTATGGCAGAACAGTTAGTCCATGATGGTAAAGGTATTGCCCCAGCTGCTTATACAGTAAAACCTGAACAAATATCAAAAACTACCCACCATACCCCTATGGCTCCTATCGCATCGAGACGAAGACGTAATAATTTTGAACTCGATATGTCTAAAGCAACTCTGCTAAAAAATAGACGTGCAGCTGGACATAACATCTAAAGATTAATAATTATGATTTTTTTTATATATGTATACAAACCTTCTATTATACTATGTGTATTTCTTTTCTTTTCTTTATATATAATACTATTTTTTTTTATGATTTTATTCACTGTATTATACACATTTGTTAATTACATACCAAAAGGAGAGAAATTAGTATTTCTTTTTTATATATTCTTAAAAGAAATAATTTATAAGCAATGATGTGTAAATATATGATAATAAATAATATATATTATACATGTTACAATAATTTATACCATAGAATAATTTGCTGTTAATAAGGCTCTTATTTAGTTTATTATCATTCTTTATATCAAATGATCTTAATTCGAGTAAAAGTGCATAAGTAAATACTACTTTTTTTTATATATTTTTGTATTATTTAAAATAGTTATTACTATTATCTCTTGTCTTGTCTTTAAGAAAACACACACACACACACACACACATGCACACACATACACACACACATATGTTAATAAGAGCATATCATTTTTCCTTCTCTTTATTGTATATCTATTTATTATGCCATAACAATGTTTTTAAGGAACTCCATGTATCAGAATCACGATAAATATACTCCATAGAGGCTCTAAGTGAAGGCTGCACAGTATCTGTTTCATGCCTGAATAACCACTAGAAATTAGAATTAGGAATATCAGTACACCCATCTATTTATATGTATGTATTCATATATATATACAGATGCATATATATGTATATACCATAACAAGGCCCCATACGACAGCAGCAAATACAGGATAAGTATGTTGAGGAGCATCAACAACTTGTCTTTTAACTGGTACCTTAACCAATGCCAATACAACTCGAGAAAATAAATAAAGAATAATCTATCATCATTAACCCCCCAAAAAAAGAAGAAAAAAAAAAGAAAAAAAAGTAAATATTTAAATACATATAAAATTACCTTTTGATACACAATTATTTTTACCTGTTGGTTAATACTATTATTTTCACCAAATACATAGTATCCACCGATAATACCTGCAATAAAAGGATGAATACTAGCTTCTTTGTTTCCATTGAATCGTCTTTGTACAATCATAAGTGTTTTGTAGATAGCTGCAAAAGTACCCAAGTTTTGTGCATGCTGTTTTGTAGCTCTGAAAATTCCTTTTGCTTTACTTTCTACACTATACATAAAAAAATGCGGTTGTTAATATAATATAATATATATGTATATATTTATAAGACTACATATAACCTACGATCCTGTTTTAAATAAGATAGTCATGACTAGTGCATGTGGAAATCTTACTTTTGCTCCATATACAACTCCATTACGAAACCCTTTTAGAATGGAAAGTAAATCATGATGTCTTGGATCAAGTATAAATCCATTTAAATAATCCATTTTATATTAGAATTGAGAACAAAAAATATATATAATTTTTTTTTTAAAAAAATAAAAAAAAAAAGAGAGAGGGAATAATAATAAAGTGTGGGACCAATTAAGCAGCAAAGTATAGGTTATCACATGAAATTCAGCAAACCGTATGACCCTAATAACAATAAAAAGGAGAGCAATGTTATTAGCCTTTTATGTAAAAAAAAAAAAAAAAAAAAAAAAAAAAAAAAAAAAAAAAAATTGTTTCTCTATTTATAATAATTTTCTTCTTTTGTATGATTACATAAGATATTTCTTGATGATTTTTACATATAATCACTTTCTTTAACGCCATAAAAAACGGAATAAATAGAATAAGACAAACAAAACGATGTGTGCGGGAGGGGCTCCGCTCAAAAAAAATAAAATAAAATAAAATAAAATAAAATAACCAACGCTTTCATTTTATTTTATTTTTTCATGTAATATAATTTATTCATGAATTACTTTTTTCGATGACCCAAACGTTATGTAATATTTATCAATGCAAAGATACTAACGATGATCAAGAAAAAACAGTTCCTTCTTCTGTACTAAATGAAGAAGCACGAGAGATGTTGGCAATAATAATGTCCATGTTAAATGACGATATAACTAGTGATGATAACAATGAAGAAAATGATTCGGATCTACCCTATTGGAGTGAAGATGAATATGCAGTTTTAAAAGCTTATTATGAAAATGAAAACGATAGTGACGAAGAAGAAATAATTATCAAAGATTATTACAATAATAAAGAATAATTTAAATCATATAATTTGCTCATTAATCTACTAATCTAGAATATTCATCTCCTATAGTATATAAGTAAGTGAAAGGAAAGGTGAAATGAGCCAAACATGAGGGTGCCTTTGATCTTATAATGGCATTTACTTGTACCAGATATCTTCAAAGATTATGAATTGATTCTTAACTCTTATATTGAAATACTTTTAATATTATTAATGTAAAGAAAAAAAATGTCTATTAAATGAGCTATAAAGAAGCGAAAAATAGTAAAACAGTTATAATCAGGATCATCTTCTGATGAAAATTTTAGCCTTTTTGCTATCGCTAAAAATACACGTATTTTTTTTATTTTTTTCACAGTAAATTATCGTTTCACAAAAGCTGGAACCAATAGGCCTTCGTGCATTTATATGGAATAAGTGGAGTCTACTACATTAGTTTTGTTCCATAGTTATACTGTGTCAAAATGAATTATCATTGATAGTTTAATGCATAACAATTAAATTTGATTCTTTCTAACAAGACTATGTAGAATGTAAATTGTAATAAAAATTTTTTTTAAAAAAAAAAATATAAATATTTATTAATTAAATAAATAAGAATGTATATAAACATGTATATACATTAAATAAATAGATTTAATTTTTTTTTTAATTAATGGTAATAGATTTGGTAACGGAAGGAACGCCTTTAGGGACAGTGATAGTAAGAATACCATTTTCCAACTTGGCTTCAATTTTTTCAACAGCAACATTACTATGAAGAGGAATAACACGAGAGAAGATACCAAACTTTCTTTCCTTGAAACGAGCTTTATCCTCTTCACCAACAACGGTCTTTACCTCTGCAGTTAATTTCAAGATATTGTCTTTGACTTCAACTTTCATGTCTTCCTTATGAACACCTGGAAGCTCAACATAAAATTTAAAATCAACATCTGTTTCGTAGACATCAACAACAGGAGTCAAAGTAATCTTGTAATTAGGACTGAGAGGACATTTTTCACTTTGAGGAAGAACACCACCTACAGGACACTTGGGGCTATCTGTCTTTTTTTTATCATTATTAGAAGCAGCAGCACTCATCATAGGGCATTTAGATACATCGACACTACCATTACTATCGGCAAAAGGACACTTTGCAGGTTCCTTCTTTTCCTCTTGAGTTTCATCATCTGACTTTTTCAAAGGAGGAACCTGAATACCTGCCTTTTCAAGAACTTTATGACCATAGGGACATTCTTCAGCAACACGGTGACCATAAGGACATTCAATAAAGAATTGATCAAGGTAATCAGGGTGAGAAGACTTGTTGTGTTGATGCTGAGCAGGAGAACTAAGTTTCTTATCCACAATTTCACGACCATAGGGACATTGTTCAGTAGCACGACGACCATAAGGGCATTCAGTAAAGAATTCTTCTACATAATCATGATAATTACCATGATCATCTCCCTTTGAACCTTTTGTTATTCTACGGGCATAAGGACATTCATTAGCTACACGACGACCATAAGGGCATTCAGTAAAGAATTCCTTTGCATAGTCAGGATGTCTGGACTTTGAAGCAATCTCACGACCATAGGGACATTGTTCAGTAGCACGACGACCATAAGGACATTCAGTAAAGAATTCCTTTGCATAGTCATCTTGATGATGATACTTACGACCTGACTTTTTCATTGCTTTCTTATGAGCCTTATCAACGATTTCCCGGCCATAAGGGCATTCATTAGCAACACGCTTACCATAAGGGCATTCAGTAAAGAATTCATCTACATATTCAGGGAAACGTCCATAATAAAAGCGACTAGCAGTGTGTTTGTTGTTGGTCTTCTTCTTTTTCTTTTCAGCAAGTTCACGACCATAAGGACATTCATTCGTTGCGCGTCTACCATAAGGGCATTCATTAAAGAATTGGCTTGCATAATCAGCAAAGAAAGAAGACTTCTTTTGGTTATCACCTAGAGCTGGACAAGCTGAAGCTGCTTTACGACCATAAGGGCACTCTGTGAAAAATTCGTGAAGAAGTTCATCAACACGGCGTTCAACACGTTCTTCAACATTGTCTTTAAATTCAGTCATTTTTTTCCCTATTATTAATGTAAGAATGAGATAAATTAAAAAAAAAAAAGAAAAAAAAAGCTAGAACAATAAAAAAAAAATACTCCTTATATATGTATTTTATTTTATTTTTTTTTGGGGGGAGAAGAAGAAAACAATAAAAAGAAATTAACTCCGTTTTATTATATTATTTGAAATAATAATACCACGAAATCATACAAATATGCATTTTTCTATCATATTCTATTTTTCTCCTTTAACTATTGATAAATATAAGCTTATTATAAGAAAGAGACTATCTAATGGACTATGACAAGTTTATATATAATTAATAAACGTTGATTTTGTACCACCTGTCATTTTTATTTTATTTTTTTCTTTTTTTCTTTTTTTTTTTTTTTCTGCTTATTGTCCTTGAATCGGTAATGTCTTCCGTACCTCCGACACTAATAAAGAAAATAGGTCCATCTTATTAGTAAATCATATCTACATCTCTTTTCGAATTAACAATTATGCTACATATAGATGTATATATTCATATATATCCATTTTATAACATGTAAAATCAAAGCCATTATGAAAAAAAAAGGAAAAATGCTTCATGTTTGATGCATCTTATTGTTCTCTTCTAAAACCAATCAAAGATCACCTTTGAAACCTAGTTCAAAAAGAATAGGGTTTTTTTTTTAAAACATAAATATTTTTGTTTCATTTAAACAATAAGCTGATATGTATCGCGAGTTTAATAATTTTCTATTTTAAGAATAAAAATGATTATTTTCTTCTGCTACTATTATCATTGTTAAAAGACCGAACTTTTCAAATAAAATAAAACTCATCATCAACATGTTAATTTTAAACAACAAAGAGAGAAGAAGGATAGAGTCTGTCAATTTAATAACGAATGCTTATTTTTCTTTTTAACTATCATTATATTAACAAATATTACAAGTATTAGATAAGCTTGTTTTATATAGCTTTTTTTTTTATTTCCATTCTTAAAAAAAAATTTACATTAAATATCATATATTACAATAGAATGCTTCGTATCTTTCTTTAATTTATATAGATAAATATTTTATGACTTTTTAAGGTATGACAATGTAAGTGTCCTTCCAAAAAGGATTTATTTGTAGTTGCCTAGCAGCCGAGTAAGTACGACTAAACTCTGATCTTTATTATTCATATTCTATAGTAAATTCATTTTTCGCCTTTGTAGTAATCTGAGTTCATTCAATTCAGGGGAGGAAATAGGAAAAAGGCAAATAACACTTTTTAGCTTATAGGAGCCATTTTCACAGAGGATGGACGGTAAAACACTATTGCATAAATACAATGAATAATAATTTTCTCAGCAAACAATAGAGATTGTGCTACATTTAAATATCGGAGTCAATTCATTTTTTTTTTTTTTTTTGCATCGTCCTCTCTCCTCTCTTTTCCCCCCTCCCCCACACACACATTATTTATTTATTTGTAATGACTGTAGTAGTAGAGACAACTCAGATTTTTAAAGATAATCTTTTTAAGGGAAAAGTTTTATTTTGTTCTGGAGGTGGTAGTGGTATTTGTCGTAGTATGACCGAAGCAATGGTCAATCATGGTGCCAAAGCTGTCATCTTTTCTAGAAGGTAAATCATGTTTTTTTCATTCATTCAATAAATGATCTAATTTTTTCATCACAATTGAATTTTTAAAAGTAAGGACAAATTAGAAAAAGCTGCAAGAGAAATGTGTCTAAAGACTGGTGGCGAAGTTTTGTATGTTCTTTACTAAACAAAAAAAAAAAAAAAAAAAAAATCAAATAATTTATTTATTTATTTTTATAGTGCTATCGCTGGTGATGTTCGTAATCCAGCTGATATTGAGAGAGCTATCAAGGTGACAATCGAAAAATATGGTCAACTTGATTTTTTAATTAATGGAGCAGCTGGTAATTTCTTATCTTCTTTCAATGACTTGAGTTATAATGCATTTCGTACCGTTATTGAGATTGATTTACTTGGTACGTTTAATTTGACGAAAGCTGCTGTTGAACATCTTAAGAAATCAAAAGGGGCTATCATTAATGTTTCTGCAACCTTACACTATACGGGGACTCCTTTTCAACAACATGCTGGTGCGGCTAAAGCAGCGATTGATGTAAATAAATTATATATTTAAAATAATCCCTCCTTTTTTCTTTATAATTGTTTCTATATAGGCTCTGACTAAGCATTGGGCAGTTGAATTAGGGCCTCATGGAGTTCGTAAGTTTTCCTTGTGAAATGTATAAAGAAAAAAAAAATCAATATGCTCATTTGTTACTTTTTTTTTTTATTAGGTGTAAATGGTAAAGATGGGAAAATAAAAACATCTTTATTAGAACTTGTACAACTAATTTTTTTTTCTTTTTAATATTTTATCTGAACAGGCATTGCACCTGGCCCTATTGTAAGTTGAAGTAAAAAAAAAAAATAAGTGAGATATTCATGACTTATTTAATTCTATGTTTAGGCTTCAACAGTAGGTATGGAGAAACTAGGTCCTGCTTTTGATACTAAGGGTGTTCCTTTGCAGGTAATATATATACTACTACTATTAGAAACAAATAATAATTCAATTTTGATTTAATAAAAGCGAATGGGTGAAGTTCAAGATATCGCTCAATCTACTGTTTTTCTTTTCTCTGAAGGAGCTAGTTATATTACCGGTGTAGTACTTGTCGTAGACGGTAAACATTTGATAAAGATAAAACACACACACACACCTATACATATATCTTACTAACTATTTGTATTAGGGGGTGCATGGTTAAATCCTTCTTATCCTAACTATCCTGATATTGTTCTTTCAAATATTAGCTTTAAGCTTTAAAAATATTCGTTAGTAAACCAAAAAAAAAGAAATATTATTATTTATTTGTCTTCAACTATTTAACATGGAGTTCTTTTTATATAAATAAACCCCTCTTCTTCTTCTTCTTTAAGGTAGTTTATACCTAATTAATTCATGTTTCTCGTATACATATACATAGACAGATAGATTGTAAAGTAGAATAGTTGTATTATCCCTTCTTTCAAAAGACTTGTAATAGTAAATACAATATAAAGACAAAATCTCTTTTGAGTTTTTTTATTATTATTATAATGATGATGATGATATAAAATATGGTTTTAAATTTACTCAGTTGCCATCAATAATTTAATCTTTGCAATGGCAGTACCAGGTTGAAGTCCCTTTGGACACGTCTTTGAACAATTCATGATAGTATGACAACGATAAAGAGACATCTTATTTTGAAGCATTTCACGACGTTCACGACCATAATGATCACGCGAATCCACCATCCATCTAAAGGCTTGCAACAAGACAGCAGGACCTAAATATTCTTCTTGATTCCACCAATAAGAAGGACATGAGGTTGAGCAACAAGCGCAAAGGATACATTCATAGAGGCCATCTAATTTTTTTCTATCTTCAATGGATTGCAAATTTTCTTTTCCTGTAGGAGGAGGTGTCTTTTGTTTCAAATAAGGCTCAATACTTTTATATTGTCTATAGAAATGTGTTAAATCAGGTACTAAATCCTTAACAACGTTCACTATATATATATATATATATATATATTTATATAAAGAAAGTTAGAAATCAGATCTATATACATATACATATTTATATAAACTTACTATGAGGTAAAGGATAAATCTTGATAGACTTATCAGAATCCTTATTAATTCTCGAAATACAAGCTAAAGTATTTCCACCATCAATATTCATTGCACAAGAACCACAAATACCTTCACGGCAAGAACGTCTAAAAGTTAAGGTCGAATCTTGTTCATTTTTTATTTTAATAAGTGCATCCAAGATCATAGGTCCACAACTATTTAAATCAACTTTATATTTTTTAAGAACCGGTTTTTCAGTAGGTCTATCAGGATTCTATGTATGTATGTATGTATTTATTTAAATAAAGAGAATTAGCCTTTATAAATATATATATATGTGTGTGTGTATACGTAGATATATATACTTATACATGTATACATTTTTTTTCTTTTTTTAGTCCTTACCCAACGGTAAATTTCAAATGTTTTATATTTAGGTTCCTTCTTTATGGGATGACTAGTCGCTCCAGAGCCTGCAGTTTCAGTAGCCATAGGTGGCATAGTAGCTGCTGTTTTAACGGAACGCATTAAAAGCTAAGAATTTGTTAAAACACATGTGAAGTGTATATATAAAAGTGAAAAAAAAAAGTATATATGTATATGTGTATGCATATATTTACTGCGGATGCACCAATCCAACGAGAACGAATAAAATGATGAGTTGTGCCCTTTACTAAATTAATATTCATGTTTTTGTTTTGTTTTTTTGTTTTTTGTTTTTTTTTTTTTTTTTTACAGAGTGGGGGGGGTTTATTTTATTTATTTAAAAGAAAAAGTAAACATTAAAACTAATGAGACTTTTTTTTTTTTTATCAATACGGGGTTTCAATTGTGACAGGGTACGTGATACGTTGTGCTCACCACTACAGCATAAAAAAACTTCAGACTCAGTTGTTGAAAAAAAAAAAGCAAGGTTCTTCTATATATGTAAAGGACATTGTATAATACTAATATGACTGTAATAATTATATTATTAGTACTCATATCCCTCCTCCCCTTTATTATAATGATATTTTATTTATTTATTTATTCATTTTACTTGATTAAACTACTTTTGTTTTAATAACCCAAGTACACTGCTCTCTTCTTCTACTAATACTAATTATTATACGTTATATGGGTCTATTTGATATTATTTATTCTTTTAATAAGTATCCACGAATGACATCACTCAAAATAGCAAAATTGACAGGCTTCGAAATATAAGTTGAGAACCCGCATTCTAGGCATTTGTTGGCTACATTACTCATGACGTTAGCAGATAAAGCAACAATAGGTATAGGTGTTTCCTCGGGCCCTAGATGCTCTTTTTCCCATTCTCGAATTTCACGAGTCGTTTCATAACCATCTATATGGATATTAATTTTCAAGTATTTTAGCGGCTTTATATATGTATATATATATATGTAAAATCTTACCTTTAACAGGCATGAATAAATCACAAAGAATTAAACAATAATAATCTTTTGGATGCTTATGAAATAACTCGATACATTTACCGCCATGTACAGCTACATCTACAGTTAATCCAACTCGAGTTAAATACCTTGTTAAAACTTTTTGATTTACCAAGTTGTCTTTTTTTTTTTTTTTTTTTTTTATAGTAATAATATTTAGAGAGAGAGAGAGAAAGAGAAGGGCATTAGTATCTATGTTATTGATGTGTATACACATATACATATACATATATGCATATATATAATTTACCTTCAACTAATAATACTCTATAACCTTTTCCTCCTACATCATCTGCCATTCTTCTGAATATTTCTTTTTGTGTAGCTGCTCTTTTACAAGGTGTATCAGGCGTAGATACAGTACTTGTTCCTTCTATCGTCCTCTCGTTATTATTGGTTGTTGTCGTTCCTTTGTCGTTAGTCGATGATGATGATTTTTGTTGCTGACGAATACCAAAATACCATCGTAATTTATTTCGTTTTAAGGGTTTAAAAATAAATCCACAATTTTGAGGTATCACTTGACTTTCTTGGCTTTTTGCCATTTCTGTAATTGAAGAACGTTGCATAGGTGTAGTCATGATCAAGACGCTTGCCTTTTGTTGATGTAAGGAACCACATATGGTTCTTGTTAAAATTAAAATCTGTTGTTCAGAAGACAAATTAATCATAATGTAGTCATAGGGCGCAGTTTGAGGATCTGTAAGTCGTTCAGTGGCTTCAATTTGATTGGTTACTGTATCAATTTCATAATACGGAGTCTCTTCCTCTTGACTTGCAATACTACTCAGAATTGATTTTACATGGTTTTCCATGGATTCACGTGAATATTTCCATTGGGAGACAACTAGGGCACGCAAAGGAGAAGTACGGGTAGGTGTTCGAGGGGGTAAAATAACATGATTTTGTGTAGTAGCAAAGCTAAATATGTGATCTGAATTGACTTTAGTATGACATGGATCGCAAGTAGATTGAGTAGATAATTCTGACTTGTTTTCTTTCCTAGAAGACATGGAAGACAAAAGGATATCATTACCTAGTGACGTAGTTGCTGTTGCTGTTGCTGTTGTTGTAGTTGTTGTTGCTGCTGCTGCTGCTGCTGCTGCTACTGCAGGTGTCACAAGATGATGATTATTTCTAACTGGAGGGGGTTTCAATTGCATATTGGCTGCTTTATTCATCAAGACATCTTGAAGGATTTCAGCTTGTGATACATCCGATGTAGTAGCAGTAGTAGTAGTGATAGTGGGTATAGATCGAGCTTTTGTTGGCTGATTGTTATTATTATTAGTATTATTGTTATACGTTTTATTTACATACGATAGTTTATCATGTGCAATTGAATTATTTTCATAACCATTTGTACGAAAGAATGGATCATGATTAGTTTCATTTTGAGGTGTTTGTGGTAAAGGTCGAGTTTGAGAAGTTGGAATACCAAATTTAACTGTGAAATAAAACGTAGATCCTTTACCTTTCTGACTACGACATTTCATAACACCTCCATGAAGTTCAATGAGTTGACGTGAAATAACTAGGCCAAGACCACTACCTCCATGCTTTCTTGTGCTCTAATACCAAAAAAAAAAAAATGTTATTTTATCTCCAAATAAATAAAATAAATAAATAAAACTTACAGAACTATCCACTTGAGAAAATGGTTTAAACATAACTGATTCATCAGCAGCATCAAATCCAGTACCTGTATCGATTACTTCGAATAGTAAAGTCAATTCTGACTCTTCTATATCGTTCTTTTTAATAGTACATCGAGTAAAGACTTCACCTTCGGATGTAAACTTAATGGCATTCTGTGAATTTAGAATACAGTTAGTAAGTAGTACACTCCAAATCATGAAGAATCATTTCATTCACTTACACCAATCAAATTAAGTAAAACTTGTCTTAGACGTATTCTATCACCTATAACTACATCAGGTATGTCATCATTAACCCAGAAACTTAACTCTAAATTTTTCTGAATAGCCAAAGTTGACAATAATTCATTCGCATCTTCAATCATAGTAACAAGACTAAAAGGCTCCCATTCCAAATTCATCATGCCTGCTTCTACCTTACTAAGATCCAAGATATCGTTAATGACAACTAATAACGACTCTGCTGATTGTTGAATTGTATGAACATAATCCATTTGCTCAGGTGTCAATTCTGTATCTAATAAAAAATTAAGCATGCCTGTAATGCCAATCAATGGTGTACGAATTTCATGAGACATATTGGATAAGAAACGTGTTTTACTCTCTGTTGATTTTTGTGCTGCATCATGTGCTTCTTTCAGTTTTTGTTCTAGTAATTTATGATCATTGATATCAGTACTATATAAAATTGAATATATATACAAATATTTGTATATATGAGTAAATGTTTAAAAAAAAACCCCCCCATTCAAAGACATTTTTCTTTTCTCTTACCAAGTACCAAACCAACGAATATCACCAGTATCTAACTCATCCACTGAAACACATTTAACCAAAAACCATTTATATTCTTCTTTTGCACTTGATAGTCGAATTTCATTTTGCCATGAGATACCTGCTCGATTCGTAGATAAAGAACTTAAATCTGGTAGTTGAAGTTTAGATCGATCATCAGGATGAACACAAGACATAAAACCAAGTCCCATTGTTTGATCAAACGATTTTCCAGAATATTTACTCCATTTCCCATTTGTATATGTCAATCCAGCGCCAGGTGAAAAGGTAAATACAATTTGTGGAATAGCTTCAGCTAATAATCTATATTTTCTTTCATTGCTTTCAATTTCTACTTGTCGTAAATTACTTTCCTTTGCCATATGTTGATCATGAATGTCCGTACTGTAAATTAAAAAAAAAAATGAATACTTCTTTTTTTTTTCTCTTTGAATTATACATTATACACTTACCAAGTACCGAACCAATGAATAATTATACCTTTTAAATCTCTAAGAGGTACAATTCTCCAAAGAAAACAACGATAAACGCCATCGAATCTTTTTAATCGATATTCACCTGCAAATCCGTTACCTTGTTCATAAGCTAATTCCCAAGCCTTTTTACATTCAGGTTGATCATCTGGATGCATATGTGATAACCAATTAGGACCTAAATGATCCCTTAACGATTTTCCTGTATATTGTAAAGTTCGATTATTAACCCAAGTTACTTTACCTGTTGTAGTCGATAAAGTACTTTTTTTTTTATAAAAAAAAAAAAAGAAAGAAAAGAAAAGGAAGGAGGAAAAAAAAGGGGGGGAGAAGGACGTGAAGGATAGGATGAGTAACATATATATACATATACATATATACATACATATATATATATATATCTATGTATATATCAAAATTTTGGGTATATACTTACAAGACATGAATTGGAATACCATCAATAATTAAACGTAAAAGACTTGATTTGGGAGCAACTAAAAAACGATCAACACCAGTTCGAGTTTCACGATGATAATGAAATCCATCATCATCAAAATCTTGACGTTTATTACTGTATCGTTTTCTCTTTTTCATTTTCTTTTTATGGCTATTCATGACATGACGTTTTTGAATAGATTTCGATGAAGAAGGTGACTTAAAGGCAGATGGTCGAGGATTGATATTTGAAATGGAATCGCTATCAGGTTGAGTTAAAGACGAAAGCAAACTATTCTCTTCTGAAGTTGTTGCCTTGGGAACCACATGATCGTCTGCTGATGATGAAGAATATATCCTATGCTGACAATTTTTATTACTACACATTGTATGAGGTGGTATAGAAGCCGAGATAGGTAGCCCTGTTGTAGGTGATACAGCACCCCATCCTTCCATGATAGCAGCAGATGAAGGTGAGAATGACTTGTGTGAAGATTGAAGATGATGAGAGAGATTACTGTTATCTACATGATCAGTTTGTGGTATTCTGTCTGTTAGATCCGTAGTATCTGCTGCTATTTTATTCTCCTTATCAAGATTTGATTTTAAATCCATACCTGAGCTAGTCGTTTCATTTATATCCTTTTGTTGAATAGTAGAGGGTGATAAAGGAGGATTTAATAGTTGCTCAGTTACCGTTTCCAACGAACTATGAGTAAAATTTGACATGGAACCAAAATGATCTGGACGTTTCGGATGAATGAAATCATGAGTATTAGGAGGAGTGGTATCGATAAGGGCAGCAGTAGGTGTTGTATTTGTTGAATCTATTCTATGTTGAGATTGCTGTTCATCATCTTCTGTATTTGAGATAACGGATGAGCATCTTTTAGATAATTCTTCCTCACTTGTATATTTGTGCCTACTGCTACTATTACGTCGAGTATAAAAATGGCCATGCTTTTTCATTTCAGCATTTTGAATAGCATTTGCAAAACTAGCAGCGATAAAAGGAGATAGAGAATTAATACTTGAAAGCAATACGGGTGGATAAGGCACGATAGGTGTCAAAAAAGATAAGATAGCGATAGGAGTAAGATGATTTTGTTGACTATATCGATGATGATGATGCTTATTGTTATTAGCAGCAGTAGAAGGAGATGAAGAGCAATAAGAAGAACTTAGAGTATGATGTAAATGACGGTTCATCACGTCAGAAGGATGAAATAAAGGTATGTGTACAACAGAGTGCATATTAGATAAAGGAGGAGGAAAAGGGACAGAGACGTTATCATAAGATTCAGGTGAAGCAGGATTAAAGGCTTCATCATCTATATCAGGAGGAGAAGTAAAGAAGGGATTCAATTCGGAATCCATAATAGCGGGAGATGGAGCAGGAGATTGAGACCAAGGTGAAGGTTGTTGTTGTTCATATTCATCAAAATCTTGTAAAAAATTAGATGATACAGTAGCAGGTGTACTTGTAGTTGATAAAGGTGGATCAATAATACTATGATTACTATCTTTTCTATGACTTGCACCTTCATCAGAAAGACAAGAACCATCTACTAAAATTTCAGAGGCTTCATCTTTTGAAAAGCAAGGTGTAGTAATGATGGGTATAGACCAATTTGATTTTCTGGATTTATCAGAAGTTGAATCCAATAAAGTCCTTTTAAAAAACTCCAAGCCAAAATCATCATTACTATTCTTACCAGAAGATTTTCTTCTATATTCTCTTGAAAGTACGACAACTGAATTTCTTTTTAAAATACGCATTACACTTGGATTATTGATAAGTGGTTCAGGCTCTGATTCAAAAGGTTGTAATCTATCAAAACACCAAGGAATATGATGTGGACCTGTTTCATGTATTGCACGACTATGTAAGAAATAATCATCTTCTAATGCATCTTCATAATCAAACTCCTGGCTAATTGAGCCTGTTTTATTGTAAACTGCTTTTAATCCCCAAGGACCCATAAAAGGATCATTTGGATCTTGAGGAATACTGAGTGTAATTCTAGTAGCATGAAATGAAGTTCCTAAATTTAAGCAAAAAAAAAGAAAAGAAAAGAAAAGGGAATTAAATGATACGTAAATAAATAAAAAATGAAAGAAAAAGGTACCAGAAAATATCTTGACAAGTGAATCCCACCACGCATGAATTTCAGTTTCTGTTGTCAATTTTAAAGATGTTTCATATAAATTCGGCGGTTCAAAAGAGAATATATTATAATTTAAAGAAGTTGGTTTTGTTACTTGTTTAATAGTATTGCCCTGCGCTTGCTGTTGAAGACGTTTTTGTAATTGTTTTTGCCCAGAATATAATTGAGCATGATATTGTGATGTTGCAGAAGATGATGTATCACTAACAAAAACAAATATATACATATAAATTTGTATTTGTGTATTTTCTTTTTCTTCAATATTTTTTACCCATTCATTTTATTCTATATTATTATTTCTTTTCTTTTCCTTTTTTTTAAAAAAAAATAAAAAAAACAAAAAATACTAAAAACTAAAAACTAAGGAAAATAAAAAGAAAAGAAAAAGAAAAATAGACAAGTAGATCTCTAATTATTTATTGAATCTCAAAGGATAATTGCAAAACTTTTGTTATAATTATGATTATAGATTAACTGATTAAGTAAAGTACATTAAGGAAAGTAAGAAAAAAAAAAAAAAGGTTGAAATAAAGACAAAGTGAGAGTGAAAAAAGGAAGTAAACTAAAATAGTCTAAACAAGACTTTTTTTTTTCTGTTTTATATTGGAGCTTGAAAAATAAAAACAAGTGTATATAGAATGAATATAATAAAGGCACAAAATGGTAATGACGTATATAAATTTCTGCAATAAACTACATATAAAATAGGATTTAACCTTATAAAGTAGTTTATGATGTTATTCATGTAATACGTGGTTATAAAGGGATATTGTCAAATACAGTGAAAAAAGACCTGAGTTCATAAATTGGAGGTTTTTTTTTTTTTTTCCTAATTCGTTTTGTCAATAAAAATAATTCACTTTCGTACTTTTATCCTGGTATTTACCAGTGTTTACTATATTGACTACGAAATATTCCAAGCAACCATTTAGAAATATTACAACAAGAAGCTTGCAAAGCTATGGCGAGATTTTCTACAAAAGTTTGCGGCTAGAGAGGAAACGACTCCAAAAAAAAAGCAGTATATACCAAATTAGAAAAAAAAATTTGCTGGTATTTTCTTTATTGTAATATAACCATTATCTTATCTGTATAAATCTTTAAGTCTCTCCTCTAAAGAAGAGCCTACCCTATTCGTTGTGATACTTTTATTTCATTACCTACAAAAAATATTGGGTTATCCTTGGCCAACCCATATCTCTGTTGAAAATGAGAAACATGTTTTTACAAGCCATAACATCCCTATCCCAAAATATATCATGATCAATGTAGATTAGTATATGATAAATATAGGTGCTATATACGGTTCTAGAATATCTTAAATTTAAAAAGATAAGCAAGAGAGGCAAACGTATTATATAAATGGTTATTAGGGAATGTGCAATATATAGTCATGTTCTATCGATTTACACTCAAAATTCTGAACTCATTTATATCCAAGGGCAAAACCTCTCCACATTTCAAGTGCTTATAGATTTTTTTTCCCCCTGATACACCATGTTCATGTCTCTGAAAATAAACATGACCCTTGTCTTTCAGTCCATCTCCAAAAAATAACCACCAATGGCATTTTTGTTTGATTGCCCTCTTGGAATTGACTTTTGTACTTTATATATATAAATGAGCGATATATTAGAACCAAAGACTTGTTATAATCCTTTTGGAAGTTACACCTCAGTTCAACCGAGTTGATAAGCAATCCCTGGATTTCTTCTATTTTTATTTTTTATTGGAGATATTGTTCAGAAGACAAAGTTTTTTGGTGAAAGGATATTTGTTTCAGTCTCTTTAATTCCTCGATGTTGCTTTGATTCATCTTCTTTTCTTATTTTATTGACGTGACAATATTCTTTTGTTGAAAACTTTATAACTCCCATCATCGTGTTTTGATAAGACCCAAAAAGCAGGTTTTTTTTCTTCTTCTTGGGAATCAAAGAAATTAGAAAAACATCCTTTATAATATTCAATTGTAGTCTCATTATTCATTTTCGGGATTCGTGCCTCAGGGGATATGGCAGACAAGTTCTGACCATCAATTTTGATAAATATCCATTTCATGCTTGGAAAAGGGAACAACACAAAAAGCCTTGGTGCTACTACACTATCAGGTCTTTCCTCGTGATGTTTGTGTCTGTTATCTTGGAATTTAACCTTTACTTTCTTCAGTTTTGATAGAAAGATGGTTGATGGTGAATGAGCCGCTTTTTCCAATAGTGCCAAAGCATTTTGCAACTATACAAGTCATATCCTTTGTTCCTTAGTGTTTTGCATTGATAAAGCTCTTCCCTCAACGTAAATTACCAAGCTTAAACCTGTCAATTCTAGTTCGTAAGTACACTCTATTAAATGTTTGAATATCTGGTTAAAAAAAAACCTATTAACTTGTATCCAAATTAACCTTATGAAGTGAAAAAGTCAGATACTATTCAGTGTATCACAATCGTCTATTTTATACCATTCATTCCCATTCTAATCGTTCGACTAGTAGTCCTATCAAGGAGTGCATTAAACTCAAAATTAAAAAGGAACTAAAGCTGATAGATATTGTTGATGTAGTTTATTCCAACAATGAAAATATAATGTATTAAGTGGAAACTTTCCTATTTAATAGCTGCTCCGCACATTCAAAGCAGAAAAAGAAAAGTATCTAATACATTGGAATTCAATTGCTCAGCCAAATATAAATGCATTACCATGAAAGTTTCCGATTCCTTTTCTTGAATCTCTCCCAAGAGATAGCCTCAGAGAAACAACAACAGATCTTTCTAGACAGTGAGATAATCTTGAGTTTATCACTCAACTACCGCAAGAACAAAATCGGCAAGATAAATTAGAAGCATCGTTTGAAATTGGTCTATGATCTCCTTCCTTTTTTTTTTTTTTTCATCACTTTCCTATCTTTGCATATTTGTATTATTAAATCATATTTTAAATATAAAATAAATTATGTATCCTCAGCAATAATGATAAAGACTAGCTTTAACTATCCTTTCATTTATTTTATTATCAAAGAGTATTTCTATATAAATTCAAATATCATTATTTATAGTATGCTTTGCTGAAGAGTGACAATATAGAAATAATTGAGAGTACGGGATCAAAGCTTAGTTGCTTATATAGATAGCATCTCTCTAATACAATAGATATTTGAATAATTTTTTTTTATCCTTTTTGTTTATTAAATAAGTTCAAAATATAGGTTGATCCTGTATTATACTTGTAAATAGCTGGTAATGATAAGTCTTAATATTATTTAAAGAAGGTTACATACATTTTATTCGTACCTATATCTGTATAGTATATGTTTAGCCATAAAGTCTATAAATGTGATAATGATATTTATTGTTGTAATTAAAGCTAATACAATAGCTGGAATACAACGCAAGGTAATACTGACTGAAGAAATGATGTATAAGATCTCCTAGCATTCTTTACTATGTAAAAATTACTTTTGGTGATTCACATTTGATACCAAATAAGACACAAAACTACCTTCTCTTTAATCTATGATTATAAAAATGATGAATTTTGTTAATAATCTAATGTTGATATTCTAATAATAATAGAATATATGTAGTATATATCCTTTTTAATTCATTTGTATGATACAGTTGTATCTATTTATTATGTAAGTAATTCCGTTTTGAATTCTCTGCATTTCTATACTTATCAGTGCCCTCTACCGTAAACAAAAAAAAATCCCCTCCCCCAGTATACTACTATATCATTATTTGTTTTAAAGAAAGAAAGAAAAGAAAAAAAAAGGTCATGCATCACTTTAAATTTATCATGGCAATTACAAGTATATATAAAATTCCTAAAGATGACAACTGTATGTAGACAATATCATTTTCTTACTCTAGACCAAATTTTTTCTTCTTTTTTTTTATAGTTTATAGAGATGAAGAGAAGGAGGAGGTTTTCAAGTTAAAATTTTAAAATAGCTTTTTCTTTAATAAATATTATTTGACAAGTACATGGCTATTTTGTTCTATTCAAATAGTTTAGAGTTAACTATAGTGCATAAATTCTACTTTTTTCTTTTTCTTCTTAAAATGACTCTCTTCTTATCAAATTTATTTTGTCTTTGTGAAGAAGTTGAATTCAATAGAATGACTATATTCTTCCCTTTCTATATACATTAACCTATACACCTATCTTAATGCTCTTCTTTGATTTAGTTGATAGTTGACGATTTGTACAATCTTCCATAAATTCATTTTTTCTTTAAAAAAAAGGGAGTCATCTCGTTATCACATCTTTGTCAAAGCTTCCATGGTTATTTCTTCACTTTTACAGATAACATCATAGCTACATATTATCCGTGATCTAAAAGTACAGTAAGTAACTTTTTTCTTTAATCCAGGTAAATCTGATGTATTTAATATCATTATTACTAACTAACTATTGAAGAAATGAATATAATAAAAGCCTAGTTACTTTTATAGTTTATATTATAGGAAGAGAAAAAAAAAAGTGAAATAAATAAATATGCATAAAAGGGAAATGTTTTTTTTTGAATACCACAATTCGGCAACTATACCTAAAAGTTTGGATTTATAAACAAAAAAATTGAGGTAAATAAAATAACTTGATCGGAAAGGGCAGCGCCTTTCTGTAGGCCAAGCGGCGATCATGGAGAGATGAACTTTGTTAGCTGTAGATGGGAGTAATTTAATAATAAAATCGGGGTTAGTTCTGAGCTTTAATGATAACATGCTACCTTCCAGGATCCAATGTTCAACACCAGGCCTTCAATGGAGGTCGATAAAAAGATGTTGTTAAATCGCGGGGTAATTTCCTACCATGCAAGAGAGGAAAGCCCGCAGCATTGAGGGCATTCCTGGGAGTAACACGGCTGTAGTAGAAGCAAACAAGAACAGAATCTAATCCACCTCTACACTATAAAGGACTTCCTCTTCAATAATTTTTTTTCTTTAAAGCTTTTCATATAAAAAAATAAAATAAATAATATCTGTATTTAGCAAACTCAAATTCACTATTTACAGATATATATATTGTTTGTAATACAAATCAAATGATAGAAAATAAAGTAATATACTTTTATTGGCCGGATATACGGTTATTTAAAGATTTTTAATAGCAACAGCTATACTTGAAACTACTTTCTCAATAGCAAGATCTACTTCTTCTTTAGTAATATTAAGTGGAGGAATTAATCGAAGAGTTTCATAAATAGAGGTAGTCAAGATAATTGTATCCAATTTCAATGCTTCAGCAGCTACTTTACTTGCAAATCCATAAGGGACACCCATAAATTCAATACCAATCATCAGACCCTTACCGCGAATATCAACCTTCACCCCCTCTGGCAAAAGTTCGGGGATCTTTTCTTTCAAACCCTTGAAGAATTGTTCTGAACGTGCATTACAATTTGCTAGCAGATTCTCTTCATTAAATACATCAAGTGTTGCCTTTGCTGCTGCACAAGCGATGACATTACCTGAATAGGTACCTCCCATTGATCCTGGAGGTTGAAGGTCCATAATTTCTTTACGACTTACAATAGCCGAGAGTGGATAACCAGATGCAATACCTTTAGCCATTACCATGATATCTGGAACTATATCAAAGTGTTCAACAGCAAACATTTTACCAGTTCGACCAAATCCTGACTGAACTTCATCACAAATTAATAGAATACCATGCTTATCACAAATGCGTCTTAAACCAATTAAAAAGTCTATAAATAAAGTATAATAATAAAAAAAATAAATAGATGCAAAAAAAAAAAAAAAAAAAAAAAAAGACTTACTTTTAGGGGGTACAACATAACCACCTTCACCTTGGATAGGTTCAACTAAAATAGCTGCTGTATCTCTAGGATCAGAACGTTGCTTTAATAAAAGTTCAAGCTGATGAAGTGCTTCTTCACCACACCATTCTGGTGTAAACTTTTCAGGATCTGCTTGATGAACTGCCCATTGTTGGAAATAAGGATAAGGAGCTACATGAACACCTGGCATTAAAGGTGCAAAACCTGCACTATAAACTGTCTTTGATGTTGTTAAAGCCATCGTACCAAATGTACGTCCATGATAAGATCCTTGAAATACAATGATATTTTGTTTCTTTGTCGCATGACGTGCTACTTTAATCGCTGCCTCTACTGCCTCAGAACCAGAATTCCAAAAAAAGAAAGTATCAAGTTTAGAAGAAGGCATTTTGGGTATTAATTTGTCAATAAGCTCGAGCATCGGTCTTTGATAAAAAATATTGACTTGTCCATGTGTTAATTGACCAGCTTGTTCCTGAACAGCTTTAACAACAGTAGGATGACAATGTCCTATATATATGTGTGTATTACTGTAAATATCTAGTTTATTATTCACTATGATTATAAAGACTAACCTGTACTTGTGACGCCAATACCAGTAGTAAGGTCGAGATACTTTTTTCCATCTACAGTCCAAACAAAAGTACCCTTTCCCTTTTCAATCACAAGCTCTGTAGATCTACCTATACCACGAGCAATATGCTTCTTGCCAAATTCTGCAAGTTTTGAAGCTGAAGCCATTTTATAAATAAATATTACGAATTAAAGAAAAGAAAAGAGAAGAAAAGGAAGAAAGAAAGAAAGAAAGAAAAGATAGAGAGAGAATTATACGTTGTATTCCGAATAGTCATTTTTTATCTTTTTTCCCCAATTTATTATGCAAAAAAAAAAAAAAAAAAAAAAAAAAAAAAAAAAAAGAATTAATTTTGCCCAATTAGGGTTGTGTAGGTCTTACACTATTTGTCAGCTATGCCTGTTTTAAGTAATGAGTTTGTCATTTTGATGCTTATATCGTGCGAAAAAAAAAAAAGAAAAAGAAAGGTTTCTTCAAAGGGAAAAAAAATCATCATAAAAAAGAGTCTTTATTTTAAGCAAAAATTCATTACAAAAGAAGTAGTTAAAATGATAAACACAATAAAATTAAAATTATTTATTTTGCCTTTATACGCACTAGAATGGGTCCATATTTATGATTTCATTAAAGCATAGTCGTCAATGGATTTAAACTTTAATATATTTTTTTTTTTTTTTTTTTTTTTTTTGAGGCTCCATTCTATTTCTCGGTTATTCAGTATACAACTTATTGGCTCATGAATGTGAAAAAAAAAATTTTTTAAGGGGAAAAAATCAGTAATGTGAAGAAATAAACGCGTTACTTTTTATTTTATTTTATTTTTTTTTTTCAATAATAATAACAATAAAAAAAAACTCAGTAACAGAGAAAGAAAGGAAAAAAAAAAAAAAAAAAACGCGTCTATCCCCGCTTCATATATCCTTTTCCCTTCAATTAGCAAAATACGATGACTACCAAAAAAGTAAATTCGGAACCGATATCAAAAGATAAAGAAGAAGAGATGAGTTCAGCATTGATTGCTCAATTATTAGCGGAAGACGCAATGATGCATGGCAATGATAGTTATTATGCTGAATATAGCAATGATGCGAGAGGTTATGATCGTTACCTTGCACGTGAAGAACAAGATGATAGCTATGAAGATAACTCAGAAGACGAATTTAACCCTAAAAAAAAACAGACCAAAAATAATAAATGTAGGTCTCAAAAAAAAAAGTAAAAATAAAATAAAATAAAATCGATAGACATATATAATAATATATAATCTTGTATAGCAAAAAGGGGTAGAAAAAGAAAAGTACCTACAAAGGAGAAAGTAGTAGTGGTATCAGAACCTGCTCCTCCTTCAGAAAACACTGCAGTAGAACAACAAAACGAAAAGGTCATAAATCAAGAAACAAAAATCAATAATAAAAAGCCTAAAAAAGTTATTCCAGAAGGATACAATACAGGTGCTTATACAGATTTAGAGGAGCAGCGGTTTATTGAGGGCCTTGAATTATTTGGAAGAGACTGGACAAAGGTAATCTTTTCGAAAAAAAAAAGGAAATGGCAACATGTATGAATAATGTTTTTTCTATATAGCTTCAAAGTCATGTTGGTACACGAGATGGTACATCTATTCGAAGTCATGCACAAAAGCATTTTATTAAAATGTACAGAGATCAAATTCCACTTCCACCAAAAGTATTAGAAACAGGTTCAGGTTATACTTTATCTGGCAAGCCACTTGATCCAAATTCATCTGCAGCTAAACCTTATTTAAGTCGTAACAGTCAATCAACACTAAATAATGTGAAAAAAGCACCAACAAAGACATCAGTCGAAGAACCAGCAAAGGCAAATACAAAAGAAGACCCTATGGAAGATGTTAAAGAAAATAATATGACCGATGTGATAATAAACAAAGTTGAAAAGCAAACTGAAGACTTACGTATAACTGATGAAAAAAAAGAAGTTCAAAAAAAGAAAAAAACAAAATCAGTGACGCCTTCACCTTCAAGTTCAACAAAGTAAATTATTCACTTCTTTTTACAAAAAAAAAAAAAAAAAAAAAAAAAAAAAAAGATATAATTTATACATTTTTTCTTTCTTTTTATTATTATTACTATTATTATTCTTAGTACGTCTTATGATTCACAAGGTAGAACAAGTTACTCGATATCTCGCTTAAGAAGACAACGTGATACTGGATCAATCAATTATGGTATATTTAATAAGAATGAGTAAAGTAGTATATAACATAAGAAAAATGAAGTCTTTAATTATATCTGCCTTTTTTTTTCTTTCTTTCTTAGTGATCCTTTAACAATGATTAAATGTGAACCCTTTATTGGGAAACCAGGATCAAATATATCTGGATCACAGCCTTTTGAAATAACAGTTGAATCAAACGTATTATTAGCAATGGATTTTCATGCTCACTTGATGACAACTGAGATTATTGGATTCTTGGCTGGTGATTGGGATATAGAAACCAAGCGTAAAGTGGAATCATAAATCATCTATACACATATATAATTCTTTTTTCTTTCTAATGCAATATTTGTTTAGGTATGATCATTCGTGAAGCCTTTCCTTGTAGATCAATTGAAACAGGTCAAAATGATGTAAATGTAGAAATGGATCCTACAAGTGCAATTGAGACACGTCAAAAGATTGAAGAACGTAAAATGAAGGTCGTTGGTTGGTATCATTCTCATCCCACCTTTATACCTGATCCAAGCTTAGTTGATATAGAAAATCAACGCAATTATCAAATGTTATGTCGCGATGATCATGCTAAAGATAATGAAAAAGAAATTATGGAGCCCTTTGTAGGTGCTATTGTTGGTCCATATGATCCAGCTCTTCCAGGTTCAGCGAGTGTCATTAATTGGTTTCATGTTATTAATGAAAGTAGCAATCCTGTACCTAAACGTTTAATATATGAATTAAAAGAAAACGAAAGTATGACTGAAGATGAAACAAGCAGGCTGGTAATATTTTATTGGTGTATAATTTGTTATAAGCTATTTTTTGGCTAATACTTTTTGTAGTTTGAATTGTTAGAAATTTATAAAAATTCACCTGAAAAAGTTGTGTTTGCTGAATATTGGCGACAGGATGCTTCAGAAAGTAAATTACAAAAAATGATTAAAAGTTTAGGCTCACGTATGCCCTGGGTGCAAAAGCAGCTTAAAGAAAATACTTCTGTAAATGACTCCTTCTTGGAAAAAGTTCAAACCAATTTAAAAGATTGGTAGGCTGCATATATTAAACTTTAATGCATTTTTTTTTTTTTTTTTTGACTGCCATTAAAATAAAATAAAATAAAATAAATAAAAAAAAAAAAAAAAAAAAAGGGGGAAATTGGATAAGCCACACAAAAAGGATTGTCATATTTTCCATCTTTTTTACATAATAATAACTTTAATTCATTCATTTAATAGAATTCATTTTGTTATTACTTTTTTTTTTTTTCTTTTATAGACATTTATATATACTTATATATAAAGCTTTATTCCCTTTTCACTTAAGCCTCATATAACAATAATTAAAAGTGTAAACGACAAAATATACCTACAATGACGGCAAGGTTGCGTGATACAATTGACCGTACACCTGAATATGTCAACTTTATTAGAGAACTAAAAGCATTTCATGAAGCAAAAGGGTAATTCTTTCTCTAATTGAACACGTTAAATATATATATTTATATATATATATATATATATAAATATATGTATGTATGTGTACGTATGCTGATGTTTTTATTATTATTATTATTATTGTTATTATTATTTAGTACGACACTTCAGGCAGAACCTATATTAGGTAAAAGACGGTTAGATTTATTCAAAATATTCCAAGCAGTTGTTAATGCTGGTGGATTCGAAGAAGTGACAAAAAACAGAGGTTGGAAACAAGTGGGCGATATTTTTCAATTCCCTTCTACTTGTACTAACAGTGCATACATCCTAAAAGGAATTTACATTCGTAATTTGGTAAGTTAATTTATTCTATATATTAAAAGATTATATGCTTATTGAAAGTTTTGAAACAGTTGGGTTGGGAAGAAGAGAAAGTATGGAATAAGACTTGGACTCCACCTAAAGAATTGCTAGGCCCACATGCTCATAGGTCATCTAATTTGGCTGGAAAGGCTTATAAACCTGCAATGAAAAAATCTCCAAAATTAAAATCAGCAGCAACAGTGAATAAAACAAATAAAACAACAAAATCTATACCAGATGCTTCAGATGTGCTTTTTGGTGCCTTGAATACATTATCTCAAATGGATAATTCATTGTTGATCGATCTTAATATAAACCCTCCGATTTATACCAATCAAATTAATAATCCTTCAACCCAACTATCACAAATCCAATCTGTCCCTCCCCAGCCAGAAGGACAAACTCAAGATATTTCATTTAGTGAAAAGGATCGTATCTTATTTGCTTTACAGTTTGGACAAAGGAACGATGTTGAATGGGCTTTAGATCAAATTGTGACAATTTCATTTGAATGTCCTGAAAAATTGGAATTAACTAAAGGCTCAACATTTTTATTAGAATTATTGGTTTTACTTGCTCAACCTTGTTTGATAAGTCATGCTGCAGATAATGCTTTACCTACTTGTGCTAGTGATACTTTACAGAGCATGTTAAAGAGTAGTCATACATATGTTGAAGACATAGCAAATCCTATATCAACTATTTCTACAACTATAGATAATAATGGAACGAATACAACAAATTATTCTGATTTAGGTGCTGTAAATATTATTCTCAAGGTGCTCCATATTTTGCGCAATTTTTCACTTATCACTGATTTTGCACCTACATTAGCAAAACATAAATTAGTAAAGGAAATACTAATTCAAGGTTTACAAACTTCAATGAGTACTGGACATGTTGAATTGGGACGTCATTCTATGGATGTTTTAGAAAATATTGCATTTCATATGGAACTAGTTTCATCTAAAGATCCTTGTTTAGCCTGTGTGCAAACTGTAGTTGCAGCACACGATCGGTATTTAGTGATTGGATCTATTCGTACTCTAACATGGTTTACTATGAATAAGGCAAATCATATATTCCTGGAGTCTTGTCCTGTCATTACGCGTATTTCACAATTGTTATTGTCAAATGACGAGGAACTTGTAGGAACATCATTAGAATATATTTATCAGCATACAAAAATTTCTTTAAAATGTCGATCTCAATTTTTAACTTCACCTCATTCCAGTGCATATATTGGATTGTTAATTTCTTTATTAATGACAAAGTCGAAATATTTTTGTGCTCGTTTTATTCATGAAGATCAAGAAGCTGCTTCTTTACCTACGCCTACTCATCATAGTCCTCCTAATAATGTACTTCAACAACCACAACAAGCTATGATCCCTCGAGTACCTGACTTAACTGTTTACCACAACTTGGATGAACCGTATCGATGTTTAGGATGGTAAATATAATATTACGTGCAAAAGAATTTACATATTCATGATTTTTTTTTTAAAAAAAAAAAATAGGTTAAAAGATAAATTTGAAGCAGCTGATAGAAGCAGTGTTTTATCACTGGATGATATTTATTTGTTATATGAAGCCAGATTTGGATTAGAAAAAGCGCTGAAGATGAGAGATTTTTACACTGTCATGAAAATTGCTTTCCCTAAAGCATCTACTTCTGGAGCTGGCTCCCTTTTGGGTAATGTTGGGCAATCTTCACCGGTTGTAGAAGGATTAAATATCATTGGTATACAGATTAAAATGAGTATTTTGCAAGATCGTAAGTTACAATATCAATCTTTCTCTTTATATATACAAACTTACTTATTCTATAAATAGGACCTCAAGTTCCATGTAAATGGGCTCAATGTTCACTTTTGTTTGATGATACTTTCTCACTTCAACGTCATGTATTACATGACCATATGAAGCCTACCACGAGCACTGAAGACGATCATGGTCAAAAGTATATATGCAGTTGGTCTCATTGCAGTACAGAGCAGAACTTCTTTAGCAATAAGAACGATTGGATATCTCATTTACGTACTCATTTCTATAATGAAATAGGAGAAAGTTGTTGCAATAGTCCTGTTCAAAGTCCTGAGCCTTCACTTTTATCCTCACCTTCTACACCTACATCCAATACATCATCTACCCCGACCTTATTGTCGATTGATAATTCTAATATCCAAGGCATTGCCCTTGTTACTTCTCATTTACTCGATTGGCTTTCGAAAGATCCCCAAAGTATGTATTACTTTATTCCCTATGAAAAGGAATTATCAGCAGTTGCAGAACAACGACCCAAGTTGGCTAATCGGATTTGGTCCATTTGCTCCAACTTTAAATCTTTACAAAACAGTAACTCAACTCACATTACACTTACTAAAACAATGGATAATCATCCTACTTTGACTACCGCTACTACTACTCCTACTCCCACTACTACTTCTACTACTACTACTACTACTACTACTACCACTACTGATCTAACAACATCCACCATCACATAATATGATATACACATACATGCACACACACACGCACGCACATACACACGCACACATATATATATAAATATAAATATATATGTGTGTAGACAAAATTGTTATATACATTGAATAGACTATTTGATCTTAGATATATTCACCCCTTCCTTCATTATTGTAGATATGTTATATAAAGTATTTTATCTTTTTTTTTTTTATTTTTTTTTATATTATTTTACAGTAATTCTTCAAATTGAGTCAAACGTCTAATTAACGGCTTTGTATTATATGGGAAGCCATCTCCATCTAAAATAAGCAACACATTTGCTATAATAGCCTGCAAAGTATCCAAGTCAATAAAAGAATTTTCTAAAGCATATTTAAATTCCAACATATGATTGATAGTGTACCGAATATATTGATGAAAGTAAGCAAGAAATTCTGAATCATTTTCCAAGAGTAAATCAATCAAAATATCATGCGTACTTCCGCAGCGATAAAGAAAAAAGAGGAAAAGAAGATGTGGGTCAATATCGATGGATTTAAGGAATGATAAATAATAGCTTGATGATGACAGTTGTTGGTATAATAAAAGAATTGTATCAAGTAATTGAACTGTGTCGTCATCATTAACACAACAAATATCAAATAATATTTCCCAAAATTCATTCTTTGATTTAATACAGCTATCATAGACCTCTTTTTAAATAAATGAACATGAGTATACAGAGAAACCCCCCCCCTTTTTTTTTAAAAAAAAAATAAAAATAAAATAAAACCTATTTTACCTTTTAACTCAATCATTAAATCATTCATCATTGGATTTTCTTTTTTCAGAAATAATCGCAAGATTATTTGAACCAATAATTTAATTGTACCCCGATCAAAAGTTGATGCATGACAACCATCATTGAAAAATTCGGTATAATCGGGTAATCTCATGTTCTCTAAATCATCTCTATTCATAATTAAGCGATAGTGTCGAATGTATTTAATTACGTTTTGTATAATGTAACTACTGTCATCTTGTATCAATCCTATAAGTCTGTAACAAAGTTCCATTGATTTTCGACACATGTAGATTTTATCGTGATTCCATAATGAACATGCGACTGACATGAATTGATTCAGCGTAGAATGACTTAAAGTGTCGTTACTTTTAACAAGATCGATCATGCATATCAAAAGAGGATAGGATGTTCGTCTTTGATTCAGCACTAAATCAACTACCAATTGAGAAAGCTGAGTAATTGATGTTTGCATTGCGCAATCATCACATGCTCGAGCATGTTTAAAAATCAAATGAAAAAAGTCTAGTTCATAGTTTTGTTCAATTTCATTTAGTTTATAAAATTCAAAAAGTTTATTTTCAAGAACTCTATTGCTTTCGGACGAATGTCGTATGAATTTATCATAAATCTCTCGATTCTTGCTATAGATATCGAAACTATTCATATAGACATGCGAAAAAAAAAAAAAAAAAAAAAAAAAAAAAAAAAAAAAACTTGACCTCAAATTTATTTATTTTTTAATTCTCCAAGATTATATACTAAAATTGTTTACAACAACCATCGTCAATATTACACTAGTATTTTTTTTTTACTAGGAATTATCTTTTTGTATTTGAAAATTGAAGGAATTCCTTAAGGGATTTTGCACCTGTTATCTATTATGTTCAAATGTATTATTTTAAAGATTTGGAATATCCAGTAGTAGAAGAATGAAAGTAACATAGCAAGTCCTCCTTTGTGGTTGGAGAAAAACATGGTACAGTAGACTTAGACTGTAGGTAACAGTAGAAATTTAAACACTCAGTACATATCCATGTACATATAATAAAGCTTATTTTCTCTGACACTTTAAATTCCTTTTTTTTTCAGTAAGGTGGTGACGATGGATAGCAGGCTAGCAATAAATATAGATAATAGAATACACATATCTCAGATCATTATATACATTTTAAATGTGTAATACGAAGGCATTTTTTCTTTTTCTTTCTTTTCTTTACCTATCATTTTTGATTTTTAAAGAAGTAATATTTCCAAGTATCTGTTTGTATATAATGCTAAAGAAAAAGAAAAAATGTATCAAAGAATAATCGCCCAGATAAACGTAAATTGTTGGATCTTTTGATATTTTTAATGTTCCATCAAGTTATAAATACGATCTTCAACTATTAGATAACATGTAAAAAAAAATCTAAAAAAATAAAATAAAAGGCAATACTACCTAACTGGATTGCTTTCTCGTGAAAAAATATATATATGTGTGTATAAGATAATAATAAAATGAAACAGTCAAAATTTTTGTCATGTATAGTGAAAATGCTTGAGAAGTTCGAATGAATATACACGTATCTTAATAGTAACAGCGGCATTTGGGCTTTCATAAACTACCCTTGCTAAAAAAAAAAAGACAGCCCAGTCAGAAGATTTTGTATAAGATAAAATAACGATCCAAGACTTTCCCATATAATCTTATCAATTCTTAATTTGATGCAATGATCATAGTAGATAGGGCCAAATAATCGGGTCCAGGGGATAGAGGAGACTGGTCGCCTAAGAAATATATAAAAAGGTAAAAGTTGTGACAAATTGCTATAAAACCTTCCATAGTGCTTTGCACCTTGTTTCTATTGGCGAATTTTGTATACAAGAAAGTTCTGCAATATTTGTAAAGCAAAGTATGTAGAAAACATGTAAAGTTAACTATTTAAAAGTGTACATGCCATGTTATGCTGAAAAACTATTTTTGATATGCCAAAAAAAAAAAGTACTCTAACACATTTTTGTGTAATTAAAATGCTCTTTTATGTATACTTTATATGGATGTTATTGATTATATTTTATTGTCTTTTTCATATATTAAACATGTCAAACTACACTTTCTACTACTACTTTTCCATTCCCTCTTAGATAATTCCTCTCTTATCATCGACAAAAAAAAAAAAGGCTACATAAACTACACAACTTAAAACACATTAAATTTAATTTCCGACAAAATCATATGAACTAAAGATAGAAAAGAATTTTCATTTTTTTATTATAAACTATAGGTATTTTATCATATATTTTTTCATGACAATGTTCTTAAGATACACGAGACTTGATAGAATATAATAAATATATTTTTTTATTTTCACTTTTTTTTTTATTAGTAAGAGACGAAAAATAACTTTTCTGGCTCAAAGATAAATGATTTAAGTATTTAATACTTTTTTTTTTCTTAACTAAGAAGTAGCTTTTTTTGCTTATCCGAGTTATTATTACAATACATTTAATATTCCCTTTTCTTTGAATTATGTAACCTAAGTCTTACTAAATCGTTGTCGTTTTATTATAAACTATTTGTAGTATTTTTAAAGAATCTGTTTATGCTTCTCAATTTATTCCTAAAAAAAAAAAGCCGTAAATCCCGAAAAATACATACATAATAGGATATAAAATCCTTGTGGCTTTTAGTACTACAAATTGGCACAGACCACAAAATAAAGTAAAAAAAAAAGATAGTAATATAGGTATTATACATGTATTTTACAAAAGGAGATTCATCATTACAAACAATGAATTAAGATTGCAGCTTTATTTATTATACATCATCAATGTAGTGAAATGAATCTATTTGTAATGATTAACTTCTTTTTTCTATATATTTTTTTATTTTTTTTTCTTTAATTTTTATTATATTCTAATATTTGATTATTATTTTTTTTTAAATAAGGGATGTATCACACGAGATGCTTTTTTTTTTTTGCATTATTGTTCATAAACCTGTACTGTACGCGTTCTCTAAAACTGAATTTGAATTTGACATCGAGGGGTATTATACAATAAATACGAGGTTTTAAACAAAAAAGCGGAAATTCATATAAAAAAAAAACAAACAATAAGTAATAATAATAAAAAAAAAGAAACAATGCTTTATATTAGATAAAAAATTCTCCGACAGATATAGAAAACAGTTCAAAAAGTTTTTTCTTTTTTTTTTGGTAATAAACAAACTTTAAAAAAACGATTTGAAAATGTTATTAATCCTTGTGTTATATTCATGTTTATATTTCATTTTTAGTTATGGAAATAAGACATAAAAAAAAAGAATCAAGCTTTTATGTAACAAAGGGAGTCAGTTACAGACAACAATAATGATCGAACCCAAGAAAGAAGTTTTATACATTACGAAAGCTTTAATTAAAAAAAAAAAAAAAAAAAAATCGTCCGATTAACACCTTAAGTCTGTCATTCATCCCGATAGCGACTTATTATTTTTTGACACAATTATTATAAAAATTTAAATTCCCGACAAAGTATATCTTATGGAGCAAGTGAAAACCAGAAAAAAAAGTTTTTTTTTTTTTTTTTTTTTTTTTTTTAATATTTTTATTCATATTCTTACATTAACTTTCTCATTTGAGTAAGCTAAACTATGGCAGTTATATCTACTCTTTTGTCAGGTTTTTCAATCACGACTTTTATTTATAAAGCCTTTATGGCCATTGCTCTTTATTGGGCATTCCATATCTTGTCTCAATTGGTAACACATCATCACAGACATAGATAGATAGCATATATCGTCTAATTAACTATAATGCAATAATAGGTTATCCCCAAGAACCCTAAGGTTGTTCCTACTGTCTTTTCTTGGATACCTATCTTCGGTAATGCAATTGAATTTTCAAAGTAAGTATCTTGGTAAAAGAGTTAAAGTCCTAGAAAATAGATAAGACGGCGATATATTTAAACAAATCTCTCTTTTTTTTTTTTTTCTCCCACCACCACCACTCCCTCCCCCCCTTTTATATATATATCAATAGAGATCCTATCACTTTCCTTAAAAAGTGTCAACAAAAATATGGCGATGTTTTCACTTTCCAACTCTTGAATAAACGTGTCACTGCTTGTTTAGGTCCTGACGGTAATCAATTTGTCTTTAATGCTAAGCAAAACCTTGCTTCCGCTGCTGCTGCTTATAATCATATGACAAAATATGTCTTTGGTGATGATATTGTATTTGATGCTCCTCATAGTGTCTTTATGGAACAAAAGAGATTTATTAAGGCTGGTTTGAATATTGAAACTTTCCGCAAGGATGTACCCCTGATCCTTGATGAATGTAACAAATTCTTTGATAAATTTGAAAAGACAGGTACCTGTGATGCCTACAAAATGTTTGGTTCTCTCATCATCAACACTGCCTCTCGTGCTCTCTTGGGTCCTGAAATTCGTAATTCCCTTGACGATGGTGTCGCTAAACTTTATTATGATTTGGATCAAGGTTTCCGTCCCATTAACTTTATGTTCCCTAATTTACCTCTCCCTGCTTACCGTAGACGTGATGAAGCGCGTGCAAAATTGGCTGCACTTTATGAACGTATTATTGAAAACAGACGTAAGCACCCTGAAGAACAACATGATGATCTTCTTCAAACCCTTATGGATTCTCGTTATAAGGATGGTTCTCCTATCCCTGATCACCAAATCTGTGGTATCTTGACCGCTGCTCTTTTCGGTGGTCAACACACTTCCTCTACTACCTCTGCTTGGACTATCTTGGAACTCGCTCATCGTCCTGATATCATTAAGGCTGTTCGTCAAGAGATGATTGATAAACTTGGCTCTCTTCAAGTTGATTTCACTTATGATAATTTGGAAGAACTTACGTTGTTAGAGGATGTCGTCAGAGAAACCCTCCGTCTTCATCCTCCTATCTTCAATATGATGCGTCGTGTCGTTGCTGACAAGATGATTTATGAAAAGAGTGGTCTTGAGATTCCTAAGGGTAACTTCCTCTGTGCTGTTCCCGGTGTAACTCAAATTGATCCCAACTACTTTTACAATCCTATGAAATGGGAACCTATGCGTTGGTCTGAAAAAAAGGATCCTGTCCATCAACTTGAACAAGGTGATGATGCTAATATCGATTATGGTTTTGGTGCTGTCGGTATTTCTTCTCGTAGTCCCTTCCTTCCCTTCGGTGCTGGTCGCCATCGTTGTATTGGTGAAAAGTTTGGTTATTTGCAATTAAAGGCCATTATCGGTACCTTTATCAAGAGATTCGATTTTGAAACTGTTGCTGAATCTGTTCCTAAGCCTGATTATACCTCCATGGTCGTTGTTCCTTCTGATAGCAGAATTCGTTTCACTCGTAGAGATTAAATTGCTTCTTTTCATATTTTTTTATACACATATATACATACATACATGTATATATATAATATAATTTTTCTTTTTTTTTTTCGTTTATTAACCTGTAATTATTATGTATCCATACAACACATACACACACATCAATATTATCTGTAGTCTTTTTTATTATTATTATTTACATTTAGAAAATAAAAAAAAAAATTTTTTTTAAAAAAAGTATTTATTTAATATGATCTTGTAATTCTTTCATTTGTAGAAGATGTATTATATAAATTAATGTGAATCATGTATAAAATTCCACTAATTGTCAATACGATTAAACTAAAACGAACAAACCCATAAAATAGTCGATACATCCAACGGAAAGTTCCTAATAGGAGGCAATAAAAAATGTACAGAATGACTAAAGATAAAAATATTCCCATCATGTTTGATTGAACAACCACGCTCGAAACAAGTTTATATAATTCTTGAACAAAACTGGGTGAAACATTCAAGACATGATTCGTGATTGATTTAATGGTTGGCAAAACTTGATTTGGTTCGGGTAATGGTATATTTAATTCTTTGAGATTGGTATAACAGAAACTATAGACTTCAGAAAATAATTGAAATGCTTGCATAGTAACATTAAATCCGTTTTGTAATCCTTCCATGACCGATAATTTTTTTTTTTTGAAGAAGTGAGAAAGTATGTGTGTGTGTGTGTGTGTGTGTGTGTGTGTGGAGAGGGAAATAAAATAAAATTAAAGACGCGTCAACAATATGATGATTTCATAATTCGCGTACATTCGGATATAGTTTTTTTTGGTAATCATAAATCAAGGTTAAAATGTCTAAAAAAGGAAAATCATTTTATTGTCCTCCTGTGCACAATTTGAAACAATCATAAAAAAAAAAAAATAAAAGAAAATAAAAAAAAAAAAAAAAAAAAAAAAAAGAGTGCATAAAACAATTAATTATTGTTCGGGAACAAATGCAAATATTTATTATTATTTTTGGCTGCATCCATTACCGTTCAACAAAAGAAGAAATTGTTACTTTTACTCTAGTCAATCTGGTTTCATTTTTTATATTTATATAAAACAGTAAATATTATAAAAAAAAGAGAAAAAGATCTTTTTCAATTGTATGCAGAGTAGTGAAAATCCATACAGAATTTTTGTATTTCGGTAAATGGATTTAGCAAAACGTAGCCTTAACTGAAATGTTGGGTGAAAAAAAGAAAAAAAAAGAATGCAGAAAGAAAATCAATTTATGTATTTAAGATTATCGCGTGTACAGCAGTTTATACATACAAAACTTTAGTTGTCTATCGATAAACTTTTTTTTTCTCTGGGATCTAATTTCAACCTGCTTCTCTTTTAATAATAATATTAGAGAAATTTCTTAGAGCGTCTGTGTCTATTTTCTCCAATACTTTAATAAATTGAAATTTTTATCTGTTATTGTTACTAGAAGAGATCTAAGCAAAATCATTTTGTTGAATAGTTTCCCTTCCCAAAAGAAACCTATTATATTAAAGTCTAATTGTAATAATAGAATCATTTAAGCATAATAGCCAATACATATAGAATAATATATATATATATATATATATATATATATAAGTCTGAAATCAACTAAACCTACAAGTTATTAGTAAAAGACTTTATTATCGATATAAATTATGAATACTAATAAATGGTATTAGTATGATCAGTAGAGTGTTTGTGTTAATGTGCTCCCAATCTATCAAAATTAAAATTAAAAATACATATTAATGCTTTTAATATGTATGCGTATTCTATCATCATATTGGAAGAAAATGTAGGTATTTTATTGTTTATATATGATTTAATAACGCTTAGTAAATATCAAATTGAGTGATTGAGGGGCAAAATTCAATGATTTATCGTAAACTATGTTATTATAATGAACTGAGTCTTTTGATATGTCAACTTCATATCTTTTTACTAATGAGTAGAATAAGACAATATATGTAAATAGATCAATGTAATATATATTTATAGACTTACATATCATAGATAATACAGTTCTTTGTTCAACTAAGCTAAAATTCATACCCAAGCATTGACGAGATCCATTACTAAATGGAATCCAAGTCAATCCTACATGACTCTCATGCTCACCTCCTTCTTCAAAGCGTTCAGGAATAAAGCTCTCTGGATTTTGCCAAATCTTGGGGTTCATATGAATAGCATAAATATCGATAGCTATCTTGGTTCCTTTAGGCATGATAGTGCCTGCTAAATTAGTATCAGATAATGCTTCTCTTGATAATAATCTATCTACAGGACCACTTAAGCGAAGATTCTAACATACAACATATACATATATATATATATATATGAAGACATAGTTTTATTATACCTATTTTATTTTATTTATTGCATATTTACCTCTTTAATGACCATCGTTAAATAACTCATTTGCTTCAATTGTTCGATAGTAGGATTAACATCTTCAGGTTCATCGCCAAGAATAGATAAAATTTCCTTACGTAATTTTCTCTGTACATGCTACAATAATAGAAATTTAATACATAATATTACACTGTATATATCCATATCAACCTTATTTTTAGCAAGGTTATAAAAGCAAAATGTAAGTGCGTTAGCTGTTGTATCATGACCTGTATATTAATACGTTTGCGAAGTAAGTAAATACTAAGAAATTATATATATATATATATATATATATATGTATCAAGAAGTTTACCAGCCAAGAAAAAGAGAGCAAGATTTTGCTATGTATAAAATTAATTATTATTATTATTTTTTTTAATCATCTGCTTAAATACTACTTACTCTTAATTCCTTTATTGAAAATTCTAAATTATTTTGAATCTCTGCTTCAATCATAAGAGTAAGTAAATCTTTTTCATTCTCTGGTATATTCACTCGTTTTCCATTTCGAATCTCTTGTCTTCTGTTCTCTGCCAAGTTTTCCAACATTTTATTAAATGTATTTGTAGCTTTGATACCTTTCCTCCTTGTAGACGAAACGTATTTCATTAAGAAATCGATTTTACCAAATATATTTACCCAAGGAGAAAACAAATTAGCTACAACTAAATTATATATCTTTGTCCAGCCTTCAGGGTCACCTTTCAAAGACTGAAAATTAAAACCTGTATACGATAAATAAAGACAAAAAAAAAATATGGGTAAAGTTATAGTAGTAGTAACGTTATCTTTGTTTATTTTATTTTATTTTATTTTATTTTATTTTTTTTACCAAAAACAGATAAACCTAAGGCATCTAAGGTAAACGATTTCATATAATTAGTGATAGGTACATTGTCACTGTCTTGATCTATTAGCTTGAATAAATCGGGCATAATACTTGCAAAGACCTCAACAGGCATTGCACGATGAAAAGCAGGATTCATGATCTATATTATGTAATATTAATATATATCTTATTTCTACAAGTTAATTGGATATATATATATATATGTACTTTTCGCTGATTTTTCCAGGCTTCTCCGTTTGATATAGCAACGTTCGAAGTTCCAAGAAATTGTATAAACGGATTTGATTCATCCAGCATGTTAAAGAGTTCAATGGACTTTGGAAAATTATCTATAACAAAAAGTAGAATTTTAAAGATAAATTGATACACACATGCAGCAATTTTTTATATATACCTGTTTTTAATAGCAATTGTTTTGCAGCTATAGGGTTTGTTATATAGATAGTCCAAGTGCTTGGAATTTTACACTAGTATAATATATGATGATATCAATCTAACTATTATTTTTTTTTTCATTTTATAATGATAATAACTTACAACATAGAAATCATGTCCTGCATTCGTTAATGGTGTAATTAGTCTTTTGGTACGATTCGCAACCGATTCTTTTGCATAAAATGATTTAGCAAAAGAAAGTATGGACACATTTGGGAAACGACGAAGATATTTTGGTATAACAAAAAAAGAATATAATTGTTGAACTACAACACAGACAACAGCTAAACTTATAAAATAAGGTCTGTTGCCTTTTGCTTTAAGTATAGGGACCAACTTATCTACAATGGTATGACGATATATACTATCAACACTCATTTTTTTTTATTATGTTTATAAAAAGAATAAAAAAGAATAAAAAACGAATAAAATCATATCTTAACCTATTATAGGTCCTTTATGAATAAATGCATTTGTTTGTATGTAATTCCCTTTTTTTTTTTTCTTTTTTTTTTTTTAAAAAAAAAAAATAACAATTGAATCATAATACAAATATGAAACGGATAAAAACGCCGAAAAGGAAGGAAACAGTAGGAATTGATACGTGTAAATTAATATGTATAAATTTATACTTTCAGGGAGTTTTATCATTGTTTATACACAACTATAAAAAATTTGATTCGTTCTCTTTTTGCATAATAATTCATATTTCAGGCTCTATTCTTGTAATATAGCTGGTTATTCTCTGCACATACCTACTGGTATTAAACTAGTGTTTATTTTATCACTTGTACTGAAAAAAAAAAGAATACAAGATAAGAACAGATATTAGCTATTATTTAATACGCTAAGACTTGAAAAGCTCAAGTACTAGAAACTCAGAAGAAAAAAATAGCGAAATATTCAGGAGAGTTGATTTACTATACAAACACGTCTGATTAACGGAATTGTAGTCCCATAAGAGTTTGCATAGTTTGAGCCATTATCATCAACTAGTGTTCAATAACACTATCGAAAGCCATGTACTTCTATTACAATAAAGATAGGGTGTATCAAAGAACGAAAATCCAAGTATCGTTTAAAAGAGTTGATATAACATCTGTAAACCTGATTGAATACAATAAATATCAGGTTTATTTGGTTTATTATATCTTGTAGATCTTCAAAAAAAAGGTCTAAAACTCTTTTATTTTATTCTACAATATGCTACATTATCTCATGATATCAATAAATTAGAAGTTGAGGATTATAATCTATTTATACACATTTTTTTTTTCTTTTCACTAAAGCTAAGAAGAATGACACACTTGTAAAATAATTTTGTTATTAAAGTGAAATAAATTATTTCATCAATGTGGATTTCGAATTTATCAACTCCATGGATTTTGTAGCTTGTTTTCAGTAATATTATTGCTTAAATGTGTAGATTCATTTACAGTATCGGTCGATAAAATGACTTCTTGAACAAGCTTCAGAGGAGACTATAGTAGTAGTAAAAGGAAAAAAAAAAGATAAAGAACTTTACGTCACATTTTTTCACTACAATGAATATTCTTGTTCAATAATTTACTGGTATTAGAACAGATACTCTTTCTTTTTTTAATAATTTTATTACTAGACTTCAGTTAGCAAACTGATTTTAAATAAAAAATGCCGGTTTTAGCTTCCTATGCATTAGATTATTAAGGACATAAATAATAGTGAATCCAGTATAATATAAATTAAGAAGAAGAAGAAGAAGAAAAGGCAGTTGATGATAGTCAATGAATATATCCTTCAATAACTCAATAATCATAAATTTTAGTTTCAATGAAACTGTTTGGCAAAATTAGAAGCATCATTAGATTTTATATCACCTGCATATCTTTGTTTTTCAAATTTTATTCTACTTTTATTTGTGTATATCTAAATTGATAAGAATTTTCACTTATATTGAATAAACAATAGTTTTGACTATTATGCATAGGAACTTGATTATCTTTAACTATCTTAAATAGCTTAAGAAAGAGTGAAAAAAAAGGGGGGGTAAGACGCATAGTTTCTTCAAATGAAAGTAATATACAGACCGGTAAAACTATTCAAATGAAAAGATATGAAAAGATATCTAAAAATCATATGCTAAGCAGAATTGCTCTTTTTTTCTCTATATATTACTCTAGGACAGAAATTGTGCTGCGCAAAACTTAACGAATACATATTGCACATGTTTATGCCCAAATATGACAAAAAGCAAAATACAGGAAAAAAGGTAATAGGATTACAAAGAAAGATCAAAACTAACAAGAAAAAAAAAACACAGACTTGGCAATTAAGAATATCAAGCCAAAGATACTTTAGTTATATATAGGGACTGTTTTAATAGGAAAAAAAAATATCATGAGCTTACTGAATAGGTAAAAATAAAGAAACTTTAAAGCATTCACTATTTTTGTATCCTTAAAAGCAAACACAAATTGTTGTTTACTATGAATTCAGGATATCAACACAGCTAAAAATATATATTTGTATATATAATATAAATAAGCAAATTCTAGCGGAAAGTTCAAATTACTTAGTTGAAGAAAAAAGAAATATAATTATCCTAGCTATAATGAATTATCGTCATTCTCTTTTGAAGATTTGTATCTTTTACAAGTAAGCAGACACGTATTTATAAATGCATATTATCAATTTATTTTTCAAATATTTGTATTTTTTTTTTATTGGTCCTAAAAAATACGTATATCCAATAGTCTCATTTTAGGTTAAAACAGTGTCTCTTGTAAGACATTGATCTTTAGCTGTTTGTACTACATCTTGTATACTCTCCTTCATAATTATGTTCCTTAGAGACTCTTGTCTCCTTCAATAAAGATCACATTATATGCAGTGATTAACGTATAAGTCACATACTCTTACTTGAGACTTTCTCCTTTTTTTTTGTGTGTATGTGTGTGTATATAATAAACATATTATATACAGCTCTTTTACCCCCCTTCCTTTCTCCTCAACTCTTTTTTAATTTCCCTTGTCCTCCCTTTATAATATTTTGTTAGGCGTACAATAACAAATGCTATTTTTATTACTTATATCTTTCTTTCCCTTTTTTTTTTTTTTTTTTTTTTTTTTTTTTTTTTTTGGTAAACAAAAAAAAAGATAAGATAATAATTCCCTCCCCCTTCCACTCTTTACTTGAAATGTCACAGTCGATCAATTACGGACAAGACGAAATTCCACACTTACGTTCACAAAATGATCAACTTTGGAAAATTATTGAAAAGCAAAGAATCATGATTCAAAATCTTCAAAAGGACAATGTCCGTCTTTCAGCAGAACGAGATGGACTTCAGGATCAATTGAATACGCTAGAAAAGGAACTGATAGGTAAGCAGCAACGAGTGACCTCTTTATTGATCTCACCCCAGATATTACGTGAGATTGCAGAAGCTGACGATGCTATCGCTTCCTCCTCTCCGCTTGAAATCACTATAAATAGTCCTATGCCGCCGCCTCGTTCACCTTATCGTCCTTTACAAAAGGAAAAACTTCCTGCTGAGGACGCAAAGCATGTTCTTGAACAAGAATCAGAGTCTTCTTCTTCTTTGACAGCAACAACAACAGCAGCAGTACGTATCGATGAATATATCAATATCAATGGTCGATCTTCTCCTGGTTCTCCTTCACCTACTTCCCCAAATCAGCGTAAAGATAGTGCTCCAACATCTTCAACCAATCGAAATCATTTTGTGCCTTCCCCAAGTAAATCTTCTTCTTCATTAGAAGTAGCGCGGAAAAATATTCGACAGCAAAGGGATTCAATGATGCCATCTGTAAGGTCTCCTTTAGATTTCGATCGTACTGCCTCACCTCCCCTTGTTAAATCAAATCCTATTTATCGAAATACGACTTCCTCTTCTCGTATTAATTTATTATCACAATATGAAACAGAGGATACCAGTCACCCAAAGACGAGCTTGAATCTGACTCATATGCATGTTCGTGTAGTTGGCTCTAATATTAAACCAAATGAAAAGGGAAAAGAAGTCATTTCTTTTATTATTTCTATTGGCTCAAATAAAGATGAAGATATTCATCAGTTTGAAGAAAAATGGAGAGTTGAAAAATTATATTCTGATTTCCTGACATTGGATTCAAAGGTAAGGAGGGGGGGGGAAAGAAAAGAAAAAACTTATATTCATATATGTATAAAGAAAGGGATAGTAAATTAAATATAAATTTTATTCTTTTTTTTTTTTTATTATTAGTTGAAAGCGCAACGAAATCGTGCCATTACGAATCGAATCGGAAAGTTACCGGATAAAGCATTATTTTCTAATAATGCGCCCTCTAAAGTGGATCAAAGAAAGGTAATGATTCATCTTTGCAAAAAAAAAAAAAAAAAAAAAAAAAAAAAAAAAAAAAAAAAAAAAAAAAAAGACTATAAACAAGTTAAACAAGTTTTCTTTTCTTTCTATTTTTAGATTGCATTAGAACAGTATTTACAACATCTTGTATCTTTACCTTTAGAAGATTCCTCTGATTTATCAGAATTTCTTTGTACAGATGTAGTAAATAATAAAGTATATCAAACGCCTGACCAAAAGGAGGGCTATTTAACTAAAAGAGGCAAAAATTTTGGTGGATGGAAAACTCGATATTTTGTATTAAATGAATCAGTACTTGAATATTATGAATCAAAGGAAGGTACTCAACTTGGTTCTATACGACTCACAAATGCACAAATAGGAACACAGATGTCCAATAGTTCACCCAATTATTCAGAAGACTCAAACAATGTCTATCGACATGCATTTTTAATTGTAGAACAAAAACGGGTTGGATCTTCGCATAGTGTTCGTCATATCCTTTGTGCTAATTCAGATGATGATCGTGATTCCTGGGTTCATGCTCTCCTGCAAAATATTAATATTATAGAAGATGAATCACTTCGTCATAAACCTTCTAAAAAGAAGACAGCAGAAAAATCAAGAAAACTATCTAAAGGAGAAATCAGGGCTATCTCTGCTACCCCCATTAGCCATTTAAAGTTAGATCATGTTAACAATGCTGATATAGAGAAGCTAACATCAGCACCTACTTTTATCATGGAAGAAGGTGGTGATATTGGTATGGCAATTAGTAGTGCTTATAATCGACCTACACCTTCTATTTCCAGTGAAAGTACAAGTGATTCTGCCACCACTTATGTACCATCTAATAATGCCATTTGGACATCTTGTGAAGCAGCAGCAGCAGCAGCAGCAGGTCGTTCTAGTATAGATCAACCTATAATCAAGACTAATACATTACAAACACCTCGTCCACCTATCGTTCGACGTAGTTCTATGAGTAATTTAATGACTAGTGAACAGTTACACCTAAATGATAACCCTCATCGTCGAGCTATATCTCCAACTATCATTTCCCGTAGCGCAGATGATTCTGTTATTGTTGATACTACTGAACCTGAAAAGAAGGCAAGGAACAAAGCACATCGTATGACCTTTTGGGGAAAGAAAATGCTATTTAATTCTAATGAAGAGCAACAACAACAGCAACAACAACAACAACAACACTATAATCAACCACGCTCTTCTCAATCTACATCAACTATTATGAGTAGTAGTTCTATTTCATCGTCTACTACAGCTAATACAGGTTTACGTGGATTCTTATCACGTTCTTCACACGAAAATAATGAACGTCAACGTTATAAATATAGTACAGAAGAAAATCCCTTACCTAATAAGACTCCTAAACAAGTCTTTGGGGTCCCATTAGAAGAAGCTGTTCGTATTTCAAGAGTAGCAGAAGGATATGAACTACCTGCTATTGTCTATCGATGTATTGAATATTTAGATGCTAAAGATGCAGTACGAGAAGAAGGGTTATATCGATTGAGTGGTAGTAATTCAACAATGAAAGCACTTCGAGAACGTTTCAATCAAGAAGGTGATCTAAACTTGTTGACTGCTAAAGAAGAATATGATGTCCATGTCATTGCTGGTTTATTTAAAATGTGGTTACGTGAGTTACCTACCAGTGTTCTTACAAGAGAACATCGTATGGACTTTTTGCATGTTATTGGTAAAAAAAGAAAAAAAAAAAAAACGTTGGTATATTGACTATATAAATATATATATTTCAATAGATTTATTGGATCGTAAAGATAGAGTAAATGAGTTAGGACGATTAGTTTCGGTTCTTCCACTTGCTAATTATACACTTTTAAGAGCCTTAACAGCCCATTTAATCAGAGTTGTTCAACATTCAAATATTAACAAGATGACTATACGTAATGTGAGTATCGTATTTTCACCTACACTTGGTATTCCACCTACTATTTTTAATTTATTTATGAGTGAATTCGACTATATCTTTTGGACAAATAAAGATGGAGATGCAGCACCACGAATGATTGAAGATGAAGAAAATAAACAACAGACAACTGATGAACAGCAAATGGTAGAAGATAATTCTAATTGTCCCGCTGATAATTTAGCGTGTAAAACAACACTTCGTGTACGTGAAGAACATGGTCGCAGTAATCGTAATAGTGTTAATTATATGGATGGTGCACCCAATGCTATCGTTGATTTAGAAAAGCATATAGACGGTCCACCTGTGTTAGATGAACATGATGAAGTTGATGATCTTACTTTATCCAGTGATCCAAACTACTCATAATAATAATACTCCCTTTATAATCATTTATATTTATATATTTAATTTTATATAATATCTCTCCTCCTCCTACCCCTCCTCCCCCCCTTTTATTATTATTACTACTGTTACCAGTATTACTACCACTACCAGTATTACTACCACTACTACTACCACTACCACTACCACTAATACTACTAATACTACTATTATAACTACTACTATTACTATTACTACTACTAATACTCCTACTACTATTATTATTATTACTACCATTATTCTCTTTCTTCCTTCATGGTTTCTTTATATAATAATATAACATGCATATATTGTATACAGTTTCAACTGAAATATATACTAATTTAGCAGTGTGGTGACGATCATGCACTAAAATACCGTCAATAAATAATTTTCTATTTTTTCTTTTTTGTTCCTTTATTTATCTCTCTCTCTCTTTTTTTTTTATTTTTTATTTTTTATTTTATTTTTATTTTTTTCTATCTATTTTTTTTCTTTGTACATATATACTGTATTGTTATGGGAACAGAGGATAGTATAATACGATTTATTATCGGAATTATTGTTTCCTTAGGTACACATAAATATAAAACAAGTGTTATATCTGTGTATATATTTACGGTTTTAATATAGGCGCTTCAATTATGGATGCGCTTGGACTTAACATATTAAAGTTAGATCATGTCAAAGAATCACAACGGCCAAAAGGTTTACGACGTAGTGATTGTGGAAGGCCTTTGTGGCATGTTGGATTATCTACTTATATTGCAAGTCAATTGATTGGTAGCACAATCGCATTAAGTAACGTATATCTTTTATTACAGATGCATACACTACATATATGAAGACTGACACACTCATCACTTTTTTTTTTCTTTTAAAAAGACTTTTTAAAAGCACAAGTATATATATATATATATAAATAGATATGATTTCTTTATATTTATATAGATTCATTTATAGTGGGTAGCACCTCTAGGCAGTGCAGCATTAATATTTAATTTTATATTTGCCAAATTGCTTGTCAATATAACGATTACTCGTAAAGATGTACTCGGTACATGCGTGGTCATTGCATCTGTGATATGGATTGTATTATTTGGAGGAATGTATAACGGAGAAGATCGTATGTTATTTTATTCCATCAATAATCTCTTTTCTGTATGTTTATTAATAAATCAATCAATTTATATTATACACATATATATTTCATAGCCGAGGAAACGATTTCATTAGAGAGTCTTAAAGTTTTATTTGTTCGACCTGTGTTTATTATTTATTTCAGTATACTTAATATCGTTGCCTTTGGTGGGTTCTTTGTGTTGATATGGTTAAATTATTGGGTCATTATGGATGATAGTCGTAAGCAAAAACATCAACTACCTTCATGTATGAGTCCAAAGAAAATGAAACGAGCGGCAGGTCTTTTATTTAGTATTGAAGGTGGTGTATTAGCCAGTGAAACATTATTATTAGCGAAAAGTGGGTAAGTTTAATAAAAATTTTACATAGGAGGGGAGTATAATATCATTTTTCATTTTTGAATCCTCTTCTAACTTAATCCCTTATTATTATACAAGTGTCAAGCTATTTACTTTATCTATTCAATCTCAAGTCAATCAGTTTAATGATAATACAAGTCGTTTTATTTTATTAGCTTTATTAGTAACAGCTATATTACAAGTGTATTGTTTAAATACAGCACTTAAATTATATTCATCTGTTGTAGTTGTACCCATCTTTTATGGTACTTACACTGCTCTTGGCTTAGTCAATACAATTATCTATTTAGATGAACTCAGTAATTACCCGCCCTGGGCTATTCTTTTAGTCTTTATTGGTATTGCTGTATTAATTTATGGTGTTTATTTACTTAGTTCAAAACCAGATCCAGTTTCTCTATCAAATGAAAATAAAGGTAAAATATATATATATATATATATAAAAGCTATTTTTCACATACATTCATACATATTCTATTATATATCAAATATAACAGCATATGATGACGATGATGATGATGTTGACGATGCTGATGTTGATGACGATATCGTTGATCTTGATACAAATTGGCGGCTATCCTCAATTAATAGTGAGACTATGGATAATAAGACAGCAATGACGACTATAACAATAAACGATGATGATGACGACATAACCATGGTTCATACTATTAATAAATCATCTAATCTATCATTAAAGGATAATAATTCCAGCAAAAATAACGTCGTAGATAAACTTTTTTTGTCTAGAATTATTGAAAGACTAAAGTCTCCATCAAAAAGCATTTATCAATAAATAATAAACATATATTTTATTTTATTTTATTCTTCAAGTGCGTCGATTAACATCAAAGAAAGTAGAGCAGCCAAGATATTCTTGTATACTTTTATATTCTAAATGATTAAAAATTCTTTCAAAATGTGGCATAAATTCTCTTCGTGGAACATAAAGATTAAATTCTAAATCTGCAAAGACTGCAAACTCATGTTCATGAATCTCTTCTGCATCCACACCTAATTCATCATCCATGGCTTCCAAGAGAGGTTTAAACCACGTACCTTTTGCTTCATTTACTTTTGTAGCTAAAAATAAGCAACAAGCTGCTATTAGCTTACGATTCTTTTTAGTCACTACATTCTACATTATAAATGATAAGTCTATATTCTAACATATCAACCGATATATGTATATACTCACTTTAATAACAAGTTTTTCAAAATATACATATGCATGAGCTACACTAGACACTTCAAGATCAACTTCTTTACTAATAGTTAATAAATGTGACTTGATAGCTCTGATTTTACTAAGTGTGATCTCAGTTGATATTTCTGGATGAGCCATTCTAAATTGTTCATTCATCTCACGTTTTAAATCGGAAGGTTTCATGCCATTTGTCAACGTTCCCTATTATTATGCAGTTAGAATTATATCTAGCTTCTTTATTTTATTTTATTTTCACTCCTCCAATTAAACTTACTATTGAGCTTGAAGCTATACCATATATACTATACGAATCATCATCAAGAAAGAAAGGATCATATGAAGTGGAATCAAGATTTTCTTCTACAACATAATCTTCACTAAAAGGAAAGATTAGTATAACTCTTTTATATTTTTAACTATTGAAATTACAGTAATGATCCTGTTGTGTTTAAAAAGTGTGCATAAGATTGAGCTTTTCGATGTTTATGGTGATCATGACTTTCTAATTGTTGTTGTCTAATAATAAAAAAAAAAAAAAATAAATAAATAAATTATACACATTTCAAAATAGATAAAGTGTTATATTTACACATATCCACGATTTGTATTAGATTCAATTCTTTTTCTACTTGTTGATTGACGGATTTTATCTGTGTAATAACGGAAAACTGACATGATGGACATGCTTCCAGTTCCATGCTATATATATTCATTAGTACTCTTTTTTTTTCTTTTGAAAGATCTAATTCATATTTACTTCTTTTTCACCATGAGTAGACTTTTTCTTAATTTTTTCTGAAGCAATGGGCCTTTCACTATCTTCTCGAGTCAATTTATGATGTTCTACATCATCACTACTACTTTCGGAAGAAGGTTGACGTTTTGTATAATAATATCGTTTAGACGGTTGATCAAGAGTGAAATTATTTGCTATAATGGATGGAGTGGTTGTTGAAGAAAAAGTTCTACCTTGAGAATCAGATGGTAAGGTGGTACTTTGGACATCTTCATCTGCGGAAAAGCTACTATCTGAGGAGTGTAAAGAAGAAGCTGTTATATAGGATTAGAATACAAATGTTTATAAAAAAAAAACATGAATTGACATCATTATTACCTCCGATTGTTTGGTTTGATGGCTTATCGACATAATGTAAGACGTTGTCTTCAGTTGCCGATATGTATAATTTTTGTATAGATTCATCAGGTGGTTTTTCATTTTCGTTACCGAGTGCAATATTTGATAGGAATGTAAAGGCAGTTGGTCTTGAGTTATTCCGCCTAGATTTACGACTTTTAGTCGTGCCCATTGGCGTATGTAATAATTTAAATTAGTTGTTTGTTGCAAATATGAAGAATATCTTCTTGCAATCAAGGCTCTTTTCACTTGAATAATTATCTTTCAATTAACTATAAAATAGGCAACCTATGTTTTTTTTTTCGTTTATTTGTTTGCTTATCAATGAATATTGCAAAAGAAGTTTATATAATTACTCTACAATAAAGCGGAAAAAAAAAAGAAAAAAAAGAAAAAAAAAGGGTCGAATTCAGCTATTAATATTACTATTTCTTATACAACTTTTATATTTATAAACCTTTTTCTATGTAATAAGAAAAATAAGAAAAAGAATTTAAAAATAAGCTGCTGTGAAAAAAAAAGCCTTTTTTTTTTTTTTTTTTTTTTTTTTTTTTTTTCAATAGTGCCGTCGTCGCTGATATCAAGTGACGTCGATTCGGAATATCATCGCATTTTTATTCTTTCTCTTTTTTCTCCTTAACTGCTTTATATATTTATCTAAAAAGACAAAATTAACAATGAAGACTTTTGTTGGACCTGGAAGTGCCACTTGCTGTAGTCTATTATCTTTTTGCGGGATTATCTTTCTTGTAAGTATGCAAATATGTATATACATATATATTATTCTCTTAATTACATTATGTTTTTACTAAAACAAGACACGCCATTTGTTTAGGTTGCTCTCGGCTTAGCTTTTGATGCCAAAGTAGAAGCATTAACGGAATTTACATCTGATCCTGATGATCCAACATTAACAGCTAAAGCATGTTTTACAGCAGCTGCAGTTTATGCTTGTTTCCTTGGTTTTTGTGGTTGCCAGGTAAATACCGAGTTGTTTGAATAGTGAATATTTTGTTTGGTTTCTTATACATGTTTCTTTTGTTTCCTTTTAGTTGTTGGTTCATAAATTTAATTCACGTAATCAAATTCAGCTTTAAAATTCCTTTCTTCTCTATTTCCCTTGATATCCAACATTTGATGACATAATATATATAAATCTATGTATATGAATCTATACATCTTTTTACTCTTTTTTTTTTGTTTTTTTTTGTTTTGTTTTTTAATAATAATATTATTATAAAATCTATTATATATTTATATGTATGTATTATATAGTATATATTTTATTGAGACTTTTTACTCTCAAGAGGAGTAATTTCTTTGAGTGCAACAAGCATTTGTTCACGACACTTATTAGCAAGTTTTTCAACATCAGCAGATTCTTCTTTTATGTTTTCGGTTGAAATAGGTGGTAAAACTATACAACAACAACAACAACAACAAAATAAGTTTCATGTTATCTATTCTATTTTAAATGTACACGTATTACCTCTACAGCGAACAGTACCACTAATAAATCTCTTTTGTTTGTTGTTATAGAGATTATTATAATTAGCTATTACGATAGGAATAATAGGTACACCTGCTTGAACTGCCATATAGAATGCACCTTTCTTGAATGGAAGAAGGGTAACTTCAGATTCATGACCACGAGTACCTTCTGGGAAAAGCCAAACACAGGTCTACACACATATATATTTATATAAAAGAGAACACATAAATTTCCCTTTATTCTCTCGACTCATTAAATAACTTACATTCTTTTCATGAATATCTTTAGCAGCTTGACGAGCTTCCTTTACTGCACTTTCTCTATTTTTACGGTCCAAAAAGATAGCATTGCTCAATGTCACTAGTAATTAGTTTTAACCCCCCACAAAAAAAAAAAGGGAAAGGGAAGGGGGGAGGAGGAGAGGTCAGTTATTAATCCAGACTAGATAACAACAATTTAATACTTTACTAAACCAGCCCAAGAATGGATAATATTTGAGTTGCTTTTTAGCAACAATAGCTGTATTCTTTGGATAGACTTTACCCATCAACATGATGTCTAAACTCGATTGATGATTACAAATGTAAATTACGGGTTTTTCTGTAATGTGCTCTGTGCCTTCTGCTACAACCTTTAAACCACAAAAGAAACCGCCGAGATAATAATAACCACGAGCAACTGAATAATTAATAAGGTGCCTCTTTCCAAGGATTGGGAAAACAATAGAAGCAAACATGCCATAAATAGCCATAACTAAAAGGCAAACGATTGACATGACGGAGCGATAATAAAACCCACCATAATTACGATAAATGACTAGGAATGAAAGTATTGACATGATAATAACTGGCCAACTTAGATTATTAGATGTAATCACTTCTATTAATACATATACAAAAAAAAAAATTAGTTACCAAGGTTATTGCCAAAGATATATTTCACTTACCTTCATTCATATTTTTTTTTAATATGTAAAAAAAGCAGGGAAAAAAATATTGAAATAGTCTTTTCGAGAATTTATGAAATTGACTGGAAAAAATAAAAATAAAAAAAATAAAAATAAAATGAAAAATTCATATTTATATTCTTGAGCTTAAATCTTTTGATAACAACATCCAATCAAAAGCAGGACCAAGACAGTGAAAGAAACTGATTTTATATCACGCTATGTATATAATGAGACTTCATACTACAAGTAAAGAATCAAGCCATTGTTGCATATGAAATTTAGATACCGGATTTTTCATTACTAAATACGGCTTTTTATTTTATTTATGTATTGCTTTGATTAAGGTATGAGCCTACCTATTTCTAATGTTAAAGTTACACAGAATAAAAAATCATCAGTGCAGAATAAAAAATGAAAAGAAAATGACCAATAAACACGTGGGGATTTTATTATGCTATATTGCTCTAGTCAGTTCCAAAAAAAAAAAAAAAAAAAAAAAAAAAAAAAAAAGTTTAAGATCAAACAATAGAAATTTAAGAAGAAGTCAAAATAAATTCAGACGAAATAAAACTAGCTTTTAGACATATCTACCTGTAAAAATATAAATCTCTCGTTAGGAAAAGAAAAGGAAAAAAAAACTATATTCAAGATAACGATATTATTGTTTCTGATAAGAGAATACAGAGGAATGACATTGACCAGTTATTATCTCACTAGGGATTTGATGAATACATATGCATTTTTTTTTTGAGGCATTGCATTCACGTTCAAGCAATACCTGACAGCTTTGGTAAGCTAATAAGACACTATAATAGCCTATTATTGCAAATGTAAAAAAAAAAAAAAAAGTATGATGAATGACAGGTCTATTTCGTATAAAAGCAAATACGTCAAATCGGTATTAACGGGGCAGTAATAATTAATTAATTTGGAAATTCTTTATTTACCTATAGTAGCTACAATCAAATCATCATGTCTGTATCTATTCAACAATTCTTTCCACAATGATATAGGTGAACTTCTGATTGGATATCTTTAAACTTGACAGTTTCCCTTTTTAACTATTCCATTCCTAAAGGCTATAGTTGGAATTTTCATTTTATCTTGATAAAGTTGTATGGTATTCAATACATGTCCTTTTGTCTATTATATAATGAGTACATTATTACTCACAAAGTACTTGTATTTCTTCCTATAACTTGGGGAGATTCATAAGGGGCTTTTATTATTATTATTATTCTTTACACTATTTTCCTTATTCTTCTTTCTTATCTATTCCTTTTTGTATTTTTCTTTTTCTTCCATTTATTAAGATATTTATCATTTCTTGTCTAGCACGTTGTTTGCTTTGGTAGCAGAAAAAAGAACCCCCCCGTCCAAATGAAGCGCTTAATCCATTGAAGGATAATATTCTTTTAAAAGAAGCATAATGTAGGTAATACATTCAATATATGATGATGGTAAACTGACCGTTTTTACTGCTGTTTTTTTTTTGTTACTCTATTTTCTATTTATGTTTTTTTTCATGATGTTTAGATCCTATAAGAGTATAGTAGAAGTCTTTAATGAATATTTTTCTAATCTGTTACGGTGTCTCGCTATTGCTATAAGCAGCTGCCCTTCTAGGATCGAGCTTGCATAGAGAAAATACATCTATTTTTTTTTGTCTGTCTTCCTATCTATTGATTCAGATAACAGCTTTATATCAAATTATTGGTTTAATGAAATTTGAAGCTTTGTTATCAACAATAACATCTGCAACAAACCCGTCTGTTTAAATTAGTGTTTTAGAAAAGAATTTGTTCATTTTCATTTTTTTTTATCTTTTATCCTATTTAATAGATTATAATTATTTACATATTCTTCAAATAAAATGTTTATACTACTTATCAAATCGTAACTTTCCAGAATAAAAGACTTTTTTAAAATATAGTCTCTTATTCTTTTCATACGTCTTTAGCAATGGTATCTTAATAAAAGATGATAAAATGTTAAGGGTACTGGTTATGAATCTCCATTTCAAAGAAGATACAGGACCTAAAGAAAATAATCTCAGAAGAGGGCGGGGAAATCGTTTCTAGTTTTATCTTTCTTGTTACTATAACATAGCCTCAAATCAACTTTTTTTATATCTTTCCTTTTTATGTTAGCTTATGTCTAAGGTGTGGCTTGGAGCTACTATGTTCATTCTCGTGACAGCAAACTTGTTCTTTATTGCTGTTACTATTCTCAGTTCTGACTCTTTTCTTTTATTGTTTCAAAACACTTGTTTCTAATTCATCTACTTGCGTTCTTTTTTTTTTTTTTTTTTTTTTTTTTTTTTTAAAAAAAAAAAACTAAACAAAACGAAACAATATAGGCTTAAGAATTTATTTGACAAAGAGGGATTACTACTCAGTGATTATTTGTCTATAATAGATAAAAAAAAAATTCAAACTTATCACATTTTTTATTATGTTTCGAAAAATACCCACTCCATTCATACACTTTGCATTTAGTTATTGGCATAAACCATTAGTTTTAGTGTTCAATTGTTTGTGTACCTACAATTATTTTTATTACTTTCTGGATTCTTTTTTTTCTTATTAATCATTTAGAATGATAATGTGTATTCTCTTTTCTTGATTGTTTATATTCTACTACTAATCTTTTAAATAAATATTTATGCGTGTATGTAAAGGAAAACAAAATCAGACATAAAGTTATAAATTTTAGAGAATTCCAAGTCCTTTGACTAGACATCTATTCCTGAATGGATCTGAATGTCTAACCCAACCAAAACAGTCTTCTGTAGTAACAGTCATTCAAGTATCTTGAATTCTAGGACTTGGACTGTTCAAGAAAAAAATTATCCAGAAGAACAGAAAGAAAAAAAAAAGAAAAGCTAAAAGTTTAAACAATAACAGCAGATTAGAATCATATGCAACTACAAGGTAAAGTTGATAAAAATAAAATAATGATTGGTATATTAATCTGATGTTTATTATAGGAGAAAATAAATCCTGGAAATCAAAAAAAGTTGAACAACATAAAGATAAGTTACTAATCATATCTTTTGGTAATAGGGAATATTCAGGGAAAGATACAATGGAATTTAAAGGTCTCCAAACTGGAGTCATTGAAGTTCTTTGGAATCAATTAAAATGTAGACAAAAGTGCGGTGATTTGCAACTAGTATTTGTGGATGAATTTCGCGCTTTAAAGGTAATAGCACACTGCTTTTGTATTATCATTATATTTGACACTTTTTTCTTTATAATTTAGACGTGTCATTCATGCAGTAAAATGCTTTTCACTTAAGCTATCATAAATTTATATAGTGTCCTCGCTTGTCAAAGTTGTGGCATAATATGGCAATATAATGTGTAGCTTCCAAAAAACATTTTTATAATTTTACAACAAGTAATTAGTGGGTGCGGTCATCCTACTGCTTTTTGTCAAACCCAGTGATTATGTTATCTTGAATACAGTTCTTTTTTTCTTTTCTTTTCCTAACGAGAGACTTATATTTTTACAGGTAGATATGTCTAAAAGCTAGTTTTATTTCGTCTGAATTTATTTTGACTTCTTCTTAAATTTCTATTGTTTGATCTGAAACCTTTTATCATTATTATTTTCTGGAGAAACCAAAATCCCCGCAACTAACTTCTCCCTGGTTAGTTTGTTGGCTAACTATCAAGTATCATTCTACATGAAATGGATTAATCTATTTCATCTAATGCTTCCTCATCATGCTAATCCTGGTATCAAGCCGATGGATTAGTTATCCTTGTGATAGACTAGTATATTTATACTATCTCTGGTTTCTTTTTTTCTTCCATCTTTTTTTTTTTTTTTTTTTTTTTTTTTTTGAAACTGACTAGGGCAATATAGCGTAATAAAATCCCCACGTGTTTATTGGTCATTTACTTTTCATTGTAGTTTTTTTTTTTTTTTTTTTTTTTTTTTCTTTTCTTTTGTGAGACTTTACCGTTAGAAATAAGTAGAGCCATGCCTTAATCAAAGTAAAAATGCTAACTTGGCTATTCCATCAAGGAGAAAGTAAAAAATAAAAAATAAAAGGCAGTAATTGTTATGATTGCAGTCGTCCTTATAACTAAGTTAATAGAGATAAATCATCATTTATTTACATAATAAAAAGGTGATTCAAATAAAACTAGTATATTGTACTTCACAGCATAATATTCATTCTACAACATTCAGTTTTAATAACAGCCATTGTTAGAGTATTCGAGCACTAATAATAACTATATACATAATTCAAACAGGATTACGACTGTTATATTTAATTGCATAATTATTTATATATGCGTCTATAATGTTGAATATTGTTATGTAATAACATCTTAGAGGATGATGATAATAATAGTAGTGGCATATAAATGATTGATATTATTGTTATAGCTGGAATATTCACTGTGAATTAATATGAACGCGTTGCTTACCCCAGAAATTATATATAGTAGCAGCGACAGTTAAAGGAGAAAAAAGATAAAATATATATTATTGCATGCAGGATTATTAGGAGACTGACAACATTTACACATAATGCAAATCATACTCCTATTAATATCACTTATTTTGAAAAAAAAACATATAAATATCCCTTCTATTATTTTTTTTTTTGTACAATTTTTGTATTCTTTTTCTCTGTTTTTTCTTTCCTTATCTTTTGCATTTAAAATACCCTTATTTTTTTTTCTTTCTTTAAATTAAAATGCTATGTTCAACAACTACTGTAAATCACGCCGTATTCAAACGTGTCAACTGTGTGTGGAAAGCAGTAGATTCAAGAACTCTGAATCAAGAGATCTAGAAGAATTATTTCAAGAATGGAATGGGATAATTCACATTTGTAAAAAAATTGAATCGGAGTAAGGCTAATCAACTTCTTTTTTATAATTGCTACTAACAGCCCATTATTTTAGACGTATTTATGTACATTTTTCTAGTGATGAACTAGCTTCTGTACGTTATCACACTCGTGATAATGCTTCACTCGGAGGTGAACAAGTCCGTATTTTACCTGTTTTTGATGGTCTTCGTCCAGTACATTACGCACAACTACCAATCTCTTTCCCCCTTTGTCATGGTTGTAATATTTGTAACTTAATTCAATGAGATAAATAGTCATAATAGAATGTATATAGTGCACTTGTATGATACTTCTGTCTATAGACATATTAAGAATACATTTACTCTTGGGTAGAAAAAATGATTAACAAAAGTCCTACATCTAAAAATAAATCGTGTTCTACTGAATATAAATTTATAAAAATAACTTTGTAAGATAAACTGGGGTAATGCAAATACGCGTAAATAAGTGATTTCACTCAGAGTACACGTATTAGATTATAAAAATAAATATATATGCATACAAAAGATATGGATATAGATGTATAATAACTCTTAGTAATCATTCTCTATCTATCATTATATTATTACTCATTATCCTTATCCACAAAATATATAAATACTCTTACATTATTAACCTTTATTTTGGTATAATTGAATTGAGCTTAACTCTTAATAAACTATATTAACAAGTCTCAACGTGCTACTTCAGTCTCTTTTCTTTTATTTCTTATTTATTTTATTTTTTATATTCTTACCTGTAAACCACAACACCCTCCAGTACAGCACATAGGAGAAGTCTAACGTTAAACTTTTCATACAGCACACCGTTAGAGAGAAAATCGTCCTTAATCTCAGTTTTAGGGTACGCTTCAATAGATTGTGTATTCTGACAACTAGTAAATTTAATACCATAGAGATTTTTTGTTCCTCCGTAGAGATCATCGATTTGATCTTTGACAGAGATGTTTGGTACTTTTAAGATGTCTAAAAGACATGCACCATCAGCTTAGGTGTTGATACCAGAGTTTAGTGTGAACAACCTTCACTTCCAGGCTGGAATTCGAAGGATTCGAAAGCTGGGTAAAAAGAGAATCGGTATTGACGGCTGGATCCATGAGTGAATATTGTTTAGTTGGTAGTCGTTTAACGATATCATAGAGTACGATACGATTTTCCATTGAGAAACCCTCGCCCTGGGGTGTGGGGTGTTTGTTTTCATCGTGGGGTGTAATAATGGGTGGAGAGTTGCGCATAAAGGGAAAACTTATTCGCTTTATATAGGACATCTAATCAATTACTAATATGTAATTATATATCCAGGTTATCAAGTTCTAGTATAAATATACTAGCACTCCATGCAGTAATTAGTTCTGGATCTTTTTTTTTTTTTTTTTTTTTTTTTTTTTTTTTTTTTACTTTTTTGAAGGAGAAATAAATTTGCTTAGTTTTATCCCATTAAGCTTATTGCCCATACGATAAGTGAATTTCACAATTGGTATGTTTAACTCTAATGATTCATGACGTGTGACATCATATAGACAAGTTCATAGTTCTTTAGCCATTGTTTAGATGTAGATATGTGTACTAATATAACAGTAGTTATTTGCAGATCACCACACTGCTGACTTTTCATTGCTCAATTCCTCGAACTTGCCAGTTAACTGATTTAAGGCTTGATCAACATTGATAGAGGGATTCTTGTCTAGTGATGCTATCATTTAACTTCTAGCAATCGCCTCGAGTTTTAGGTAAGAAAAAACGAATCTGGATTATTCTTGTACTGATTCCACCAACGCTGACCTGTTTTCTCATAAATATTAGATATATTTTCTGGCCACTAGCATATATATACATATATATATATTTTAGGTGCTTTGACTAGCATATGCAAAATAAAGTTCATTATCATAATCTGAGTAGTTGATATGCTCTTTCTTCTTCTTGGCCAGTAGAGCATCCGTGGTAGACTCTTCTAAACTTTGAGGTTTGCTTGCCAACTCGGTTTCGAAATATTTCTATAAAGTAACAGCCTTTAAAATGGACTTACAATACGACGGACAATATCAAATGATCGAGTTTAACAGTTTTTTCGTTGTAAGAAATAACATTGATGACTTTAAGCTTGTCCCAGGTGTCACGGAGAAGATGTATCAACCCCAGGTAAAAATATAATATTGATCCAACAATTACCCATACAAAAGGTGATATTCTAACTATTTAAAAAATAGGCCATCATTCAGGGCACACTTGGACAATTTGTTTTTGCATTAACTGACGACCTGTTTTGTTTTTTTATAACCGCCGCCAATTTCATTTTTCTGTGACCGACAAATACTTTTTTTTTGTAACCGGACAATATCCACCAGCCAGACTGTACCCCCCCCCCATTATATTAAATAAAATTGTTAGCAGTTGGAATATTCAATAAGCAGCAGCTTGTCAAATGTTTAGACTAGAACTAAGTGGGAAATATTTTCGGAGTAGTAGTGTGCCAGCTATTTAATGAAAACAAAGACATGTATAACATTGAATAAATATCTCTTTTTCCTTTTTTTTTTTCTTTTCTTTCTTTCTGTTTTTTTCTTTACTTTTTATTATTTTACCTTTCCCCCTTTTTTTTTACATATAAATAAATAAAGAAAGAATGGGAGCTTTATGTTGTAAACTAGATGAAATAGATGCTTCTCAAGGTTATTATGATGATTCAATTTATATGGAATAATAAAATTCATATGCATTTAAAATAGGTCCTGAACTTGAACATTTTCATTTATTAAAAATGATTGGACAAGGAACGTTTGGCAAAGTGAGAATAGTTCAACATAAACAAACTAAAAAGAAATACGCTTTAAAATACATGGATAAATCAAAATGTATTCAACAAAGAGCTGTTCATAATATTCTATTTGAACGTGATTTATTAGAATGTATAGAGTATCCATTCATAACGAATATGAGATACACATTCCAAGATGATGAAACACTTTTTATGGCTCTAGACCTTATGTTAGGTGGTGATTTACGTCAGGGATTAAATAAACAACATTTATTTAATGAGCTTCAGGTGAGACATCATGTAGCTACTATCGCTTTGTCTTTACATTATCTTCATAAGCAACATATTGTGCACAGAGATGTGAAACCCGATAATATTCTTTTAGATAAAAGAGGGTATGCTCATCTAAGTGATTTTAATATCGCTGTACAACTTACACCCACTCAACCTTTTTCGTGGTCTATCGCAGGTACAACGGCTTATATGGCTCCCGAAATATTAGCCCGAAAAGGTTACTCGACCTGTGTAGATTGGTGGAGTTTAGGCATTGTCACTTATGAACTTTTATTTGGCACGGTACATGAAACAAGTTTATCATGAATTGTAACCAATTGTTTCCTTTTTATTAATAATAATAATAATATTATTATTATTGTTTGTAGCGTCCATTCACGGCACAATCAAAAGAAGCTTTATCTCATGCTATAATACATGATCCTCTTGTATTTCCTGATAATGTATATGAAACTGTATCAAGAGAATGTATTGATGTCATTACTGGTGTAAGTTTTTTTTTTTTTTTCAATTATTATTCACTTACCACGACATAAAATAGTTGCTGGACAAATCACCTTTTCAACGTTTAGGTTGTAATACAAATGGATTTGAGAAATTTAAAAGACATCCCTGGTTTCATGGTCTAGATTGGGATTTATTAGAACGTAAACAACTACATCCAAACATAGACAATGTAAATCCCATTATTATTTTTTTTTTGTTCTAATATCATATGATATTGACTATTCTTATTTTATTTTATTTATTTATTTATTTATCTTTGTTTAGAAACATCTATTGTCACGTCAACAACAAACTTCAAGAATCCAAGAAGATAATTTAATATCCCATAAACGCACGATAAAAAGAACAAGTAGTTTATTAGATACAGGAAGTCCTGTTACAAAAGAAGCAAAATATCGAATACAATTGGAAGATGAATTTTTAAATTTTGATTATTCTCAACATCAAATGATTGAATCCAGTTTTCTAGAAAAGAAAAGAAACTCACTAAGAAAGCAATATGATCGACTAAAGCGTCTATCTCAAGAAATACCCATTCTATATCCACCTTATTCTGATTAAAAAAGACATATATTTATTTTGTACATATAACTCATTAAAAAAAAAACTTACTCTGTTGTATCCTATTTTAAGGAAGAAACAAGTGATCATTACACTGTAATGTCTTTGTCTATATAAATATATCTTTATTATACTCTCTTAAAAATAAGCAATTTATAAAGCAAATGAACCCTTCTATTTTTGTTATTTTATCATTCCTTTACAGAATTTACTACCGCAAAGACAATGAAATTGATTCAATTCTATAGATGTCCTATAATCATATGTAATCTCTTCTCCAGGTTCAATATCTCGAATAGCATAAATCACTACTTTTTTTTGATTATCAACTACAATCACTTTAACACTGCAATTTGGCTTGATTTTTTTTTTTTAAGAAAAAAAAGAAGGAGAGTTACTATTAAGTTCATTATGATGATCATTATACATACTGCACAACAATGGTTAATAAATCGAGCCTTATTTCCTTTCTTAGTTGAATCAATAATAGTATCATATTCTACTCTAAATAAAAAATGACCTCCTCCTATCCCACATCGAGCATATCGTCTTTTAGCTACCTGTCGATGAATGATCTCACCTACATATTCAAGTACAAAATCATTAGCATGAATCAATTCCTCTGTGTAGAGTCCCCAGCCATGAATATGTGATTTTTGAAGTACAAGTCGTTTCTTTTCAAGTTGTTTATATTTCATCACATCCATCTCCTTTGTATTGCTAATTGGTAAACAACGATACTCATTTGATCCTCTTGACTCTAGATAATGGTTATGAGTAGCAGTAGTAGTAGTAGCATTATTATTATTATGCAAAGTATAAGGTTTAAGAGTAGGAATTCTATAATAGCCTTTAGTTCGTGAAGACTGTGACATATTGTATCCTTCCTTTTCCAATTTTTCAAGTGCTATACAATTATGTGAGTGACCAATAGGATCATATATGTATGTATGTATATATATATACCATCGTGAATGGCTTTGGTAGAATTAGGGTCTAATTTTTCAGTAATGGCGATTTGTAAATATATCAAATCTTCAACATCTTTTGCTTGATAAAATGGGTCACACTCTTTATTTAGTTCTGTTAATAATAATAAAGACTTTTCTTCTTCTTCTTCTTCTTCTGTAGGCTTATCATCTATATCTTGTAATATCTTTTCTAATATGGGTGTCTCATTACAATCTATCATTCGAGTTGAATTCAGTTTATCATCTGGTTTTGTCATCATACATGGTCTTTTACGATTCGTATTCACTGATTTCTTTTTTAAAGGGTATAATAAAACTGCTTTCCTTTCTTTCGTAGCCACCATCGTTTTGGTTCTCTTCTTGAACATAGAATGATAGTCATCACTCTCATTATCTAATTTACTTTTTAAAGGAAATTTGCCATTATTTCTTGCATCTTCTTCTATCCTTTGTGTTCCCGAATAAAAAGTGGTTGATGAATGACACATGTCATTTTCTTTATTCACAGTGCTACTTAGAGTTGAACCTCTTTTATGCTGCAGAGCTGCTAACTCACTAGAACGATGATGCAAGTTTTGTGGTGTATAAACAGATAATTCATTGAAATTTGTTAGAGGAAGATGATTCTTTGTCTTAGTGTTCAAATTGGATTTCAGATTTTTAAAAAAGGTATTAATACAAGGTGTAGTGATTAAGGTTTTAATATCCTTTAATAAAGTATCTGCTAACTCATTCAATAAGATTTCCTTTGCATGGTCATAAGGATGCATAGACGTCCTATCTATCAGTGAAGAAGGATAAACAAGAGTAGATGTTGATGACTATTATGATGATAAAGTGTGATTAGATTGTCTTGTCTTTAAGTATACCTTATTATATAATACAAACAACTTTTCTCCTTTCTTCTTTATCAGCAGGACTATTATCCCATTGAGTAATTTGATTTTCTTGAATACTATCAGCTTAAGAAAAAAAAAAAAAAAAAAGAGAGAGAAAGAGAGAGACAGACAGAAGAAATGTTATTATATGAAATAGAATAAGAGTTTCTAATTTTACTTGTTGAACCCCATTCAAATTTCATTGAATGAGAAATTAAAGTACGTTTCCCATTTCCATAATGGATAGCATGTATAGCAGAGGTATCTTTATCAAATATAACTTTGACCTTATCTATAGTCTTGTCAATATTTTTAATAACCTCAATCTGATGAATCGAACCATATTCAGCAACAAGTACATTAGTAATTTGTGAATCAGTGCAATGAGGTAAAATGTTGGACAAAATGACAGTCCTCTTATTACTTTGTTTAGGTAAAGAAGATGACACCTACAGACAAATCGTATTTTTTTTTTTATAAGAGAATTGTTTAATGTTATAATTTGTCAACAATTTCACCTTTTCATACTGGATTACATTTAAAAAATGACTATTATTATCCGCATGTTTATACCCTGAAAGACGTGGATCTGTTGGCTTGCCTTCTAACACAGATTGATAGTGTAGAATAGGATGAAGAGCTTGCTTTATTGGATTTGGATCAAGTTCAGGATCATAAATAACCTTGTAATTACGATTCAACATGTTAAAGAAGAAGAAGAAAAAAAAAGGAAATATTTGCATAAATTATAATAAATATTTATTTATCTTTTGTTTAAAAAGTGTGAAATTCCAGTAATAAATTAAATATAGTGCAAGTTGAATAAACAATGATCATCCACCAACCTAAATGTTTTGTAATATGATATCCATTTATATTAACTACTAATAAAGTACTTATTAGAACAGCAATTAAGCCTGCACAAGAAATTAAAATGCTAGGTGCAATATCTAATTCATAAGGTTTCCCTGTTATCCATGTTTGATATGTAGATGAAATCCCAATGCCAAGTACCATATCTTGTTTAAAAAAAAAAAAAAAGGATTAGTATTCATATAAATAGTTACGTATATATTTACTTAGTAAGGGCCCTGCATAACAAGCAGATATAGCCATTGTAGGGAATCCCATCTAAATTATTAAATTAATTTATCCCATCTATTAAAAAAAAAATAGCTATTCATATGTATGTATGTATATATGTATACGTTACTTTGGCAATAGCGGTATTAGCTACCAAGTCACCTACACTGTTACCCTAATGATAATAGAGATAGGGTGAGTTAAATAGATAATAATGAATGAAGCTTATATGTATAAACATTAGTTTTTTTTTTTTTTTTTTTTTTTTTTTTTTACCAGCGCAAAGATAGTTAAACCCATAATAGCTTCACTAACGTTAAATATAGCACCCAAGGCTTGTAATAATCCAACCATTTCATTTGCTAATAAAAAAATCCAATTCAGTGCAATATAAAATCCTACAATTGATAACGTCCAATACCATTTAGGTGCTTCATCCACTTTTGTTTTATAAAATATAAAAATAGATAGTAGGCATCCAATTAAGAATCCCAGAAAGATAAATTTAATGTTTATAAACCCGTTTACTATTGAAAGAAAAAAAAGCAAAAAAAAATTAGATATCTTTCTTTCTTTCTTTCTTACTTTCTATTAGAATAAATAGCAGTAGTGGTACTTTTATATATATATATATATACTACATTACATGCCAAGACAGATGTCACAAATGTGATTGCGCATATGGCTTGTATAGCTACTAGCCAACGACACCAACTCGTCTGAGAGATCTCTTCTTCTATAAGAAAATCTTCTTCAGATAAACTATGTTCTGGTACAGTTAAATAACTCTTAGAGGTAGGAAGGATAGGTGAAGGTACAACAAGAACCTGTGGTGTTGTATCGGATTCTTCTGCTATCACTTCAATATCATCAATCTTTATATTTGTTTCTTCTACAACAGGTAATGTCAAAGTAAAGATAAGCACGAGAGGAAGAGCTACTAGGGCGCTTAATTTTGCAAAAGTCGTTTTCGAATTCCAGTCTTGTAATGTCGGGAATAAAATACAACGAATATCATCTAGTAAAATAGAGAAAGCCATAGAATTCTTTAATTTTGAATAATAACTATTTTGCTGTTTTGGAAGAGGAAAACAAGATTCATGATGATGATTGTCTTCTTGATTAGGTGGGGCAAGTCTTATTTCAGGGACGAGTAAATCATCAGCTGTAGGATGAACTAGTACAGGAGATAATAAATGATTCTGCTGACTGGTAGAGATATATGCAAAATAATCATGAGTGCCTGTAGGACTATATGAACTTTCAGGGGTTCTAGAAATAGGATGAGCGGCAGATGAAGAATGATCTACATTCTCTTGTTCTCTTGTAATAGATAAACAAGGAACCGATGTGTGTGTAAATCTTGAATGATGTCTCTTATCTGTATAGAGTTGAGTACTACTATTTGCTCGTTTTATACTAGCTACTTGTTCTTGAAACTTGATATATATATATATATACAATAGGAATTATATTAGAATACATGTCATTTTGTATAACATGCAAAATAGATACCTCAATTGCACTGAAAAGTGATGTTCTCATGCCAACTCGTGGAGATAATGAATGCCTATATAAACGAGATGAGATTGAACCATTTGTACTCGTTGCATGTGGAAAATCAGTATGTAACGATGATCTACAAGATCGATAGGATGAACTAGACGAAATGGGTCGAATAATATGTCCAAGATGATCTTGAGATTGAAATTCATGAGTTTGTGGAATATCTAAATGAGGAGTTCTATTATCAACTGTTATAAAAAAAAGAAAAAGAAAAAGAAAAAGAATGAATATGCCATGTAATGGCGAAATGAGAAAAGACAAAAAAATTCACCTTGAGTCTCTTGTAAAAGTGCTGATGTCTCTGTTAACAAGTCATGCTGTTGTTGTTCTACAATAGACTTTGGTACTGCTGATGTTATTGTAGCTATTGCTCCTGAATATGCACCCAACACTACCACACCAACATAAGTAAAATAATAGCAAATTAATATGACGCCATGATACCAATAAATACGCTGATGATATACAATCCAAGTTAATATCATAATGGCACCTGTAAGAAATGTTGCATCTCGCATAAAAGTTATACGTTTTGATTGAAATGGACGAATGATTCCCATGCAGCCCGATACAACGGACACAATAAAAAATGCTGCACCAATAAGTTCTCCAACAGCCAATGAGCCTGATCCTGTATCCATAGCACTATACAACAAATTCAGTTATCTTCCCCTCTCCTCCTCCCCCTTTTTTTTTCTATTGCTTTTATTTACGTAAATGTACTGAATAGATCAGGACTTCCATTACCAAATGCAAGAATTGTTACACCGGCCTATGTACAGAAAAACAAAAATGAATACGGGATGACTGAAAATCATTTGAACTTACCATGCTTTCAGATAACTGTAATCTTGATGATATCGTTTGAAGATTTGGGCCTACACACATATATATTTAAATATTAGTTATGTCTATCGATCACTTTATTCTTTTTTTTTCTTCTTCTTCTTCTTCTATTTGTAAGCTATCTGTATATCCTTACAAAAGAAATCTGCGGCTACTACACTAACTGCACCAAATAAAAAGAATAATCCAGAAAACTACATAAAGTTAATAAATAATATTACATTGAAACTAGTCTCTATTTACAAGAATAAGAACACTCAATGGACGCCAAATCTGAGTGCAGTAATAAAATTTTAGAAATACTCCACTAAAGCCATGACAAGCTGCAGTTACAAAAGCACATTGATTTTCATGATTTTCTATATCCACACACTACCAGAAAGTGAAGTTAAAAAGAAAAAGAAAAAAAAACAAACTTATATAATAACTCAACTTACCGTTTTATGGTGTTGAAATGTCACTGACAGAGGCACTAATAGTGATGCTGATACAATACATGGAAATAAAAACAATATCCACCAAATTGAACGATGTGCCATATCTTATGTACAAGAAAGAAAGAAAGAAAGAAAGAAAAGGTATAAAAACTAAAAAAATAAAGAAGAGGATCTACGTATTTTGTTACCTCACTCCCCTCCCCCCTTAAAAAAAAAGAGAAAAAGAAAAAGAGGATAGTGTATGAAATAAATAAAATAAAATAAAAAGCATAAAATAAGCCACTATGAAGCATTTCAGGAAGCATAAAATTACATCACATTCTAAAATAGGAAATTTTAAAATGCTATTACCGCCTATTAATGAAGACTCTTTTGAAATCATTTTTTTTTTTTTTTTTTCATTTTTTTTTTTCTTTTTTCTTTAATTTTCTTTAATTTTCTTGGCAAACAAAATAATGAATAATAATAAACCACAAAACAAGTTAAATACAGCCGACATTGACGAGGGAGAACCACCACCATCTTATCAAGAAATTACTCCTACTAATCATCATTATCAATCATCATCGTCTAATTACTATCAATATAATAATCAAACAAGTCAATCAATATATCCTCAAGTACCTTCTCCATTACCTCAACAGCAAATCAGATATCAAACCATCGAGATACCCTATACAATTAGAGTTAATGAACAAATAAGACAACGACATAGAATTTATGAAAGTCGACGTTTTCCTTTAGCAGCCATTTTCTTTTTATTTGGATGGTATGTGAATACATTAAACTTATTTCAAAATAAACAAAAAAAAATATATATTTGTATAAAAATATATATAACAGAACATGTAAATTAGGTTTTGTCCTCCATTATGGTTCATCGGGGCTTGTTGTTGTGCAGGAAGTGGAAATGAATATGAATCCTTCTGGGGCAAAGTTAATTTTATCATGGCCATGACTTTAATTATTTCTTCCGTTATTTATTCTATGATTGTATTTCCTCAATATATATTTTAAACTTAATAAACTAACTAGCTAGCTACATAGCATTAATTTGTATAAAAAAGAAAAAAAAAAGATATATCTCACTAAATTGGTCGGAAAGATGTGATAAACAATTTGATGTGTCTATTTAACAAAGATGGGAGCAAGCCATGAGCGGCAGGAAGATGAAGAGATTCGGAATATTCCCTTATAAATTGTCTGAACAACGTCTAATGGGGTTAATGCTGCTGTTTGACGAAATATATCAAGGATTTGATTTTCACGTATCCAAACCCTCCTAATAAGATTGGTTTTCATTCTTGGATGTTTCCCATCAAAGTGAGAGGAGACTTGAATATCATGCAAAGCATTTCCCAAAAAAAAAAAAAAAAAAAAAAAAAAAAAAAAAAATGGATCAACTTATATCCATAGGTGTTAATTCCTGAAGGCTTTGATCGTCCACTTACTATCCACTTTTACACGCAGAAGCTTTGTCCACAACCAGAATAGGTTTCAACATTTAGTACCCTAAGTTAAAGAAACCTTAAACAATTAGAATTCTATAAAAAAAAACAAATTCATTAGAAGGATCTTTAGTGTATTTTCTCAATCTTTGGCAGTACTGGTACTTAATTTGGCAAATCAATCTATAATAGCAGATCGAATGTCTCTCCTGCTAGCCCAGTATTTATATTTATATATATGTGTATATACTAATAAACTACCAACTAATATATGACTTTCTACACTGCTTTTCCCATATCCAAAGCTTAAATAAAAACACCCAGGGCTATACATTTACTAAAACGCCGTGCTAGCGACCTTATGGTAAAGATTCTAATACCTTAGACGAACGCACCTTTAAAAGACACATAGTTAAGAAATTCTTAAAAAAAAAAAAAAGAAAAGAAAAAGAGAAGCTTATGCAACTACGAGATAGCTATCACTTCAGATTCCTCATTACTTGTCGATCTTATCTTACTATTGACCTTATATTCTAGCTGCGTAGGTCCTCTAGTAAATGTAGCTGTATCGATCGATTGTGTTTTGGTCTGTGTCCTGGTGATAATCTCGAATAGTGTATGTATCACGCGTACAATTATTGTAATTGATCACATGTTTCTGAATGCGAACATATACGCATTTCTTTATACTTGCTCATAACACCTGAAAATCTACTCTCCTTTTTTTTTTAGTCTCTTGCTTCAATGTAAGCCTAGTAGTTCCCAAGATATATCTGCTAGAGTTTATTGTTGGTTGATCCTTCATGAAATAGAGTATTTAGTATAAGATTTACACCCACACAGCAAAAAATTAATTGATTAGTTGTCCAACTAAACTTGACAGTATAATTTTCTTTCTATTTCTCCACTATCTTGCTTTTATCTTTTTTTTTTTACCTCGTGTCTCTTAAGAAGGTTTTTTTTTATGTGTATTTATATCTTGAACTGACATGGGTAATCCAATATGCCGCAGATATTATGCACTCATTGGCCATCTTAATTTTAATTTTTCTGAATCAATAAATAATAACGAAAAAAAAAAAAAAAAAAAAAAAAATTAATAATGGTGTTAATATTTTTATTGTCTTAATTGTTTTAAATCTCCTATTTTCTTTTTTTCTTCTTCTTCTTTTCTTTTTATTAAAAATAATAATAAGAATGCAATGGCTAAGATCAACAAAGCAAAAGCTTAAACAAAGTGGAACATGGATTAAAAGAAACAGAAGGTTAATGATAAATCTTGTAAAGTATGGAATTACAGCCATCTGTTTAGGAGCTATTTCCTTTTTCATACTTTGTCGTTTAGAAGTGAATGCACATGTCTATTTACGTAATTGGCTTTCACCACCACAACCTGTAGTTATAGAACCCTTATCAACTTGTTTTGATAAAATACCCAAAAACAGTTCATATTATCAAGGTAATCAAAAATTCACAGCTAATTTTGTACCAGGTCTTCCAGTTTGGGAAGCACACACCTGTTATGATTTTGCAGCCTTATTTAAGCCCTCAAGATACCCTAATCGAGGTGATCAATTATTTCATACTTATTGGTCTTTTAATTTAACAAATCAATTTGGAGAGAAGGAAGTCGCTAGTCTACGATCTTTTGCTGCTACACAAAATTCGAATCACACTCTTATTGTTTGGGTTCCAGCAGAGGATGAATCTCATTTAAAGGACTCGGAAAGTTGGAGATACCTTACACGATCTCAAAAGATGCAGGATCGTGTTATTTATAAAACAATTCAACCAAAGACACTTACTAAAGATACACCGATTGAACCCTTTGTTGATCATTGGCTAACACTTGTTCATAACGGTAATGATGGTAAAGGAAGAGATGATTTATTAAGAATGCTTGTTCTCTATAAATATGGCGGTATTTGGTTTGACATAAATACGATGTTTGTACGAAATCTTTCGCCTCTTTTTGAGCACGAATGGATCGCGCAAGGAAATTGTTTAACGGGTATGTTTGGGAACCCCTTTACAGGTGCTCTATTTCATTTTCATCAAAACTCGCCTTATGTTTGTGAAGTATTAGAAGGTGCTGCTGACCTGTTTAAGGCTCGTTTAAATGTGAATGAACAAACCCCTAAACGATATTTAATTACTGGACCAGAAATTTTTGGATCAAAACTTTATTATCGAATCTACAGAAGATTATTACATCATGGCATTAAACCTTGGTCTATCTTACCTTGGTGTTTTACTGACCCCTCTCAGTGTAAACATTCTAATTCTTTACCGAGCTTATTTTCCAATTCTCATTTTGATGAAAAGAGAGTGGGGCAAATATTTGCTTATCATTGGAAAAACAAATGGACAGCTAAGCCTGGTACAATTTTCAAATTTTTAGATTCTTTGCACAAAAAGAAAACTGATTGGTAAATTCTTCCCTCTCAACTTCACTTTTTTTTTTTTTTTTTTTTACTTTGTGAATGATATATTATATCTTCTCCGATTTAACAGATTTCAGATCAATAAATTATTGCACGTTCAAACTATTTATTTTATTTATTATTAAGAAAAATTTAAACCCAAATGAGCACGCATATCAAAATTGCCTGGGGGAAAGTTTTAATGAATTGGAAAAAAAAAGGAAAAGAAAAAGAAAAAGAAAAAAAACTTCCTTAATAGGCTCAAGGGGGGAATGGAAGGGAATCTGAAACTAAATAGCAGACTGGGGTTTAATAATAGAATCATCGGTTTATGATTGTTAAAGGCGTATAGATCCAAATCGAGGAACTTTTGATCTAAGGTTGTAAATGTTGGTGGCGTTTTTTTTTTTTTTTTAATGTTGGAAATGATTCCATTTCATATAATAAAAATTGTATGGTTGGCCAACGTATAGTCCGCTGACTGTAATGATCACGATGTTTAGCGGGGCGTGTCATGGGAAGCATATTTGATAAAAACAAAATAGCATCCATGATGGTAAATAGCAGTGACATATTAAGACATTCAATAACATGAAAGTTTAGTAAGAATCTGAATGAGATGGCAGATGCAGAAATTGGAAAAGTTATTGGGAAGCCTATGGGTACTGTGATGGGCTTACCGTCTACTATGTCTCACTGCCTTGCGATTATATCGTTTAAATTTGAAAAAAAAAAACAGCATATTGTTGAAAGCTATTCAAAAATAATCTCGAAAACAACATTCAATCAATTCATTATGAGAAGGGAAAATAGTATAGGAAAGATTGATGTAGGGGCCATTTCAGCATTGTACCTGATGAAACATGGGATAAGCCTTTACAATAACAACGAAAAAATTGTTATCGTATTCTTCTGTGTAAGTGTCGATATAATGTTGAGAGCCCATAGTTAAGAATTAATTTTGAAAAAATTAAGACGATTGTATGTCTTTTTTGTGCTTTTTTAAGCTCTTTTTTTTTTTTTGTTTTACATTTGCTAATCAAGTATTTTGCACGTATAGCAGTTCATAGAATATAGTACTTTTTCATCATTTAAAACTGTATATACGCATTTATAGATTTATATGATTAAATTTTAATTGAAATGTATTAAATAATGACTGTTTTAAGTATAAGCCTGAGGGCTATATAAGCCTCAAAAAATGATAGTGAATGTTTGATTCATCTTTGACAGTTCTCAGCGGATATATGTTTTGCTAATTCTACTATTCATCTTGTAAGATTGTCGGTTGATACCAGTTTATCCTTCCCAATATCTGTCTTCAACTTGGACTAAAAACCTCAATGAACAGTAGTGTTTCTTGCTTCTTAAAGAACTATTGCTGCACTATTATTAAAAAAAAATTTAACTAAGGATTTTGTATAATATTTCTTCAATTCTAGTATGAGGATTTATAATGTATGAGCACCTAACTTTTGGGAGGCGGGGAACATTTCTCATGATAATCAATGTATAACTTAATATTGTACTGAAATAATAAACATATCAGTATCTGCAGTAATTGCAAGTAACACATGTCATAATAATAAGTTTTAAAAGCTTTTCTATTTGTTCAAGATGATAATGGATGTACTGGCTTGAGCAATCCTTACTCTTGCTTTTCAATCCTCTCAACAGGTTTGGTTTTATTATTCAAATGGATGGAAGTAGAAATTGTAGTTTCTTGCTCAACAGTCGCCTTAGCTTCATTGTCTTATACAATACTTCTGTAGCTGTTAATAGTCATAATTCTAATAATCTTGGGTACATCTTTTATATATATATATGTATATATCTTTTGTTTACCGTCTAGATGTTATACACAATGAACGATAACATATAAATTACCCAGCTGATTCTAAACACTTATAGACACAAAAGTAGAGGTCTCATTACGAATATTAAATTAGTACATGCACTCGGAAGGCATTCTTATAAAGTTTTTTTGATGCAAAAACGATTTCTATAAAATGGAAAAAAAAATCCTGGGTACACAAATTAAGCGAAAAAAAAAATCTGTACAATGTTAATTTAAATAAAATTGCTTTTATTTATTCTTGGATAAATCATTCATGTTTGTATTAAACTTTATTTGTTTACCAATAATTATTATTTCTAAGGAAAAAAAAAAAAAGCCCTTAAAAAAAATACATTTTTGAGTAAAATTTATAGAAATAGATTTTTATTTCAAAGATCACCTTAAATAGACATAATTGCCAGAATTGTAAATAATTTTTCAAGAGCCGAAGTATCTCACATTGATAGGTAACATTTTAAAAATATCATTCCTTCACCTATTTTTTTTTCTTCATCATCATCATCATCATCATAATGGCCTTTTCAATGATTCATAAACTATTCATTTTATTTACCTTGGTAATGTTTGTTTTTGCGAATCCTGAATTAAAAATGGAACAACCTACAAAACTACTTGGTGGTAATATACAGAATTAAAAAAAAAAATAAAATAAAATAAAAGACATCTATTTATTATATAACATAGCTATCATTAGAAAACCTAAAATATGCAAACAAAAAGTATCTAGTGTTTCAACGGTGAAATTGCATTATCGAGCAAGAGCTTGGGGAGTTGAAGATTATTATGAAAATACGTATGGTGGTGAACCATATACGTTTACAATTGGTAAGTTAAAAATTGATAATCAAATAATGAAGGGGGCACTAATACACATATTTAGGTAAAGACACTATGTTAAAAGGTAAGAAGAATAAGGGAGAAGAGATAAAGATGAAGTTCAAAATATAAGTTTATAACAACTATTTATTTATCAAGGCTTGAAAGAAGGTATTTCTGGTATGTGTGTTGGTGAAATTCGAAGATTGCTTATTTCTGCAGATATGGGTAAAAAAAAAAAAAAAAAAAAAAAAAAAAAAAAAAAAAAAAAAAAAAAAAAAGAGGCATTATTTAGTATATATTTGTTAATTACTTTACTTATACAGCATATGGTCCTGCAGGCTTACCTAATATAGTACCAGGTATATATTAAATTTTAACAATGATAAGAAAGAAAGAAAACTTAGATAATTTTGGTTTGTTTTAAAGAAAATACAGCAGTTATATATGAAGTTGAGATGATTGATGTACAATCACCTTTTAGGTAAGTTAAGATTAGAATGAAATAGATACAACCAAAGATTTACGCTATTGTTTATAGCAATCCCTGGTTTTGGTTTGGATTAGCAGTTTTGGCTTGTGGCTTTATTTATAGTAACAGATTTACCAAAATGGCTGAAGCATCAAAATCTACTACATTCCTGGAACAAAAGGATCAAGAAAAGAGAACTAAAACTGAATAATGATAGAGTTTTAACCCCTATTATTCTTAATACAAAGTATATTAAATTACCTAATAATCCCTTTCATTTTTATATTAATATTATTCTTATACTTTCTCCTGTTCTTTATTATAAAGAATATTCAAATGTTTCATTTTGTTAATCCGCTTAAATTATTAATACAATTTTAAAATAAACAAAAAAGAGTAAATGATTCTAAGACAGTAATTAGAATAAATAAGCATATATTATTTAACCAATATTCTTTTTTTTCTTTCCTTTTTCTATTGCATCTTATATAAAAATGCTTATTTATAGATTGAATTGATCCTAATAAAGTTCTCGAACGCTAGTTATTTTTTTTTTCTTTTCTTTTTGATCTCTCTAATAAACCAAGTCCGCTTGCCCGCGGTGGAAATTATTATTCCCCTCTCTTTTTTTCATTTAAATAAGACTACTGAGTTTCTTGATTTTCTTTTCTTCTTTTTTTTTTTTCCTTTAATTCATTCAGTAATTGAATATGGCTTCTGTAGTTTTATCTAGTGTTTCTTCCACCATTGCACCTAATTCTGCTTCTCTTTCTGGTTGTAATTCAACTACTACTCCTCTTCCTTCTGGTGTACCTGTTATTTCTAACGATGATCTTCTTCCAAAAAAGGACAACAAGAACAAAAAGTCAAAGGATAAGAAAAAAAAGGCATCGAAGAAGGATAGTTCTGTAAAGAAATCAAAGGAATCCAAGCCTATTCGTCAGGTAAAAATGATGGGAATTTTTTATATAATCATTTCATAAAAACTAAATACATGTATATATATATATATATAAGGCTGTTGGTGTAATTGTAATTGATCCGGCTACACAAAAGATTCTCATGTTAGAAAGCAAAAAAAAGAAAGGAACCTATGTACTTCCTCGTGATGATTGCAAGACTAAGCCTACCGAAGAACATCCTGAACAAGCTGCGCTTCGTCTTTTACATGAAAAAGCAGGCGTGTCTACTAGTTACTTGTCTGCTCGTATTGGATCTTACTCTCAAGCAAATAAAAAGGGTAAAATAACCGCTCACCATTGGATGTATGAAGTTCATGGACCCACACTGCTTAAAACTTGGCCCAATTCTAATCGTCAGCGTGTCTGGGTAAGAAGTTCACTCAACATGTAAATTTTGGTAATGATTATGTAATGTAAATTAACTCGTGATCCTTTTTTTTTTGGGTAAATTTTTTTTAGGTCTCTTACGAAGAAGCTTTGAAGGCTACCGAAAATAAGCGTATGTCTCATCTTGCACTTGAAAGATGCTCTCTTGCAAGGACTATTATTTCTTAATTTTTTTTTATTATTATTATTCACTGTAAAACTATATTCCCTTCCTCTCTCTCTCTCTCTCTCTCCCTTTTCATTCTTTATCTTTTTTTTTTTCTTTGTTTCATTTATTTAATGAATCGATAGATGTTTTTTCATTTAATAAATGAGTTTTAATTCCCTTCTTCCAACAGAGGTATTATTTCATGCAAGCTGTACAAGCGATTACTCAATACACCTTTACCTTCTAGCTACTAGTTACTTAACCTAAATAACCTATCATTTAAACATAGTAACAGACTTGTTAATTATTATATTTGCATAAATGTCATACTCTATACATAGTAACAAGTCATTTATTTTATGTTCAAAAAAAAAAAAAAAGGGGGGGAGGAAATTTTTTACAGTCAGCAGCTGATAATAATTGGATAAAAATAAATAATTGGTTGACATAGACTAAAATAATATTCAATACTATAAGGATTATCGACGAGGTTTATAATGAACTAAAGCCCTTCTCCACTAATACCAGGAAGCTGTATAATAGTAGGTTGCTGTTGATATTCCGTATGACGTTTAAGCCCCATACTAACTGATAAAATCTATACACACATATATAAGAGATTTATCCCGAGTGATATTGTTTTATTTTGTTACCTCATCTAATATCTTTCTTAAATGCACATTATCTTCCTCTATTTGTTTTAATCTTGCTTCGTTTGTATGGTTTAATTCTCGTGCTTCCTCAAATAGTTCTGTTAATGTTTTGGTTCGATTTTCTAAGTTTTCTAATGCATCATCAACATAATTTCGCCGATTTTTTGCTGTTGCTCGAGATCTACACACAAAGTTCTTTTATTTTTTTGTCTACATAATATTGTGTGTGTGTGTATGTACGTGTGTATAATTTACCTCCAACTTTCAGCGATTATAACGGATGCAGCAACTGCAAATACAAACGCTTCACTTAGAAAGTTAGCACCACTTTCAATAGCTCTACAAATAGATAAATACTGATTAATTGATATAATGTAAATATGTTTATATAAGTGTATAAAAGGGAACAGATTATATGTAAGGAAATAGAGTTATTTTTTTTTTATTTTTGAACAATAAGTACCTGGCATCATTTAAAGGTCGAATTTTTTCTTTTTTATATCCTAGAAACTTCATTTTTAAAGTCATTTCTAAAGTATGCGATCCCTGTTCATCAAGACAATTATAAATAAGACTTATAGTCGAATATTATTGTTAGTTTGTATAGTTACTTTACTTGAGCTACATTAATACAAAATTCTTTAAATTTGGGGTGTTGCTTTGCTTGAGTTTTAATCGAATTGGCTACTGGCTTTGCTAATGTTCTTTTTATTTTATTTGTTAAGAGGTTAAATATATTTCCTAATTTTAAAACAATTGCTTTACTTGACTAGCAACGATGCAATTTTAATCGTACTCATATTTTGATAGATAAATAAATAAAAAATAAAAGCAAAAATAAAAAAAAAATGAGGGGAAAGAGGAATGAAAATTTATAGGACAAGGGTAAAAAAGACGAGCAAAGAAAATTATACCCGAAAAGGGAAAAATAGTTGATTATACATGCAAATATTTTTTTTTTTTTTTTTTGTAGATAATAATCGAGAGACGTTTAGCAGTTGAAGAAGATAAAGTACTTTCTACTAGAAGCTTTTGTACAATTTTACTCGTATCAAAACAACAAATTAATTTATTATTTTAACAAAGGGATTTTATTTAATTATAAATCCAAATCAATAGTATTAAACAATAAATGCTACTTTTTTTTTTTTGCCTTATTTATGTGCTTTACTTCTTGTAAGCATTACAAGAATAAGTATAATATGTTCGGACACAGAAATAATTTTTGATAAAAAAAATACAGGCTTAAAATTGTAGCTGTAATTATGTAAGGAGAAAATGTGACATACTTTTTTTTTTTTTTTTTTTTTTAATACATAGAATAAAATAAAATAAAAATTTACGCGACTTCTTCACATAAAGTGCATCTCCTCCAATCGATTGTATAATTAAGAAAAAAAAATAAAAAAAGAACACAGTGTACTTCAATGAATGCAGCATTTGATAGCAGTATAAACTTATCATTAGGAAATATTGATGATCACCTAAAGTATTTAATTGAAAAAGATCGAGAAACAGTAAGCTTGGATTTATATCAAGGTACCATAATTGCATAATATTTAGCTATATAATAGAATCTCTTGGACTTATGTAATATCATGTAGATTCCACTGCTTTTAAATATTCGACAGATTATAAACATGCTTTCGTAAAGAAAGATGTGATCAAATTTCCAAAGAAAATGTCTACACAAATAGCACGTATGTATTTAAAAATATTCGTATAAAAATGAATTTGACTCATATTTTTTTTTATTTTTATTCTTAATAGGACCTAATATCAATTATAAACTTGGATTTTTGACAGCTATTAATTATGTATGGCTTACGATAGATAATTCTTTATTATTATGGAATTTTAAAGCAACAACATCAGAAGTGTTTGAATATGTTTGCAGTGAACCCATTGAAAGTGTAGAACTTATTACATTAACTACACATAATGAATTATTACTATCAACGAAAAGTTATATATTTCTACATACCCTCGATCAAATTGATAAGGAAAAATTGCGTATAACATCCAAAATTAGCATCCGATCCAATGGTGTCATCATGTCAAACGTGATCACTACTGATACAAACAGAGCTTTCATGAAAGGCAGCGACGGTCATCTCTATGAATTAAACATTGTTTGTAATGAAAATGGAAAGATTTCTCAAAGCAAGCTAATATGCCATACTGCAAATTGCTTATTAAGTTATTTACCGTCCTTTTTTAAATCAGTACCAAGTGAAAGTGTCAAATCTTTTGCTGTAGATAATCAAGAAAAAGTATTATATTTGTTGTTGAGCGATTCTAGTATTCACGTTATAAATATTCGTGGAAATCAGTATTTACCTCAGGAACGATATATTGGGAAACAATTGTCAACTATTCATCTTGTTTCAGCACCTCATTTGAAAAAAACAAAACTTATGGCTGTTGCAAATAATGGTGATCGTCTATTTTTTGCTTGTGACTTTCCAACTATTACGCTCAAATACACCTGTACTGCACCACCTTTACCAGGATCACTTATATTTAATAAAATGGCAAATGAGCAAGTCGAGTTCACTTTTTACAGAGAGGGTATATTTGCTGCTATTCTTTGTAAATCAGAAACAACATATTTCATTCTTACGGGATCAAGCATACTTAAAACATCTGATAATAAGCATGTAAGCTGAATTTTATGATATAGTAGAAAGTAAGCTAAAAAAAAAAACAAAAAACAAAAATGTAGGTCATTCTTGATGATGTTTATTATGAAACATCAGAAAACAAAATTTGGTCTATAATGGAAATGAGTTATCCTTGCTCTATGGCAAACTTACAATCATTGGAGAACCCAGTTCGCGAGTTTTCTGTCTTGACAAAATCAGGCATTACACAATATATCAAACAACGACCTGTTGATTATTTAGAGGAAGTATTATGTTCAGAAAGACCCGATGAGCTCCTAAAATTTACAGATCGTTATGGATTAATTGAGACAGCTTATTTGGCTTATGTATTAGCAACAAAGAAATCACAGAAGGCAATTGAGTTCCTTTGTCAACCTTTAATTAATCAAGATGGATTATTGCTTTATTTTATTCGTACTATAAGCAGTATTTGGAATATGGATATTAGTCAAAAAGAGTAAATATAATTGCACTTTATAATGAAGTTGACTTTATTCATTACATACCATATAGGGTTTTTGATAGCAAGTTATCTTCAATTCAAGACTGTTTAAAATCATTAGTCGAAACTATTCATAGTACACAGATTCCTGTGAAGGTATTAAAAAAAAAAGGAAAAATTAAACAAAAATGAAAGACATTATATTCTAAATATCTATATATATTCTAGAAAGCAAACTTAGAACTCATTATTCGATCTATTGAAATTATTTCGCTACTTTCATTTATACATCATTTAGAATGGGATAAGTTAATAGCAAGGTAAGCTCATAAATTATATGTACAAATTATTATCTAATAGTTTTTTTTTTTTTTCTAAAAAAGTATTCCAGAATGGAATAAAATTTATACATTTGCAGATCTTGTTACAACCAATAATGGCGAGCATATAGCACAGTCAATAGTATTTGCTGCTACTTCTCACACAAAACTAGCCGATGCATCAAATAATTTTAGTTATATAAGCAACTTTATAGAAAGTAATTGTCTTTATTATTTTGGCAAAGAAAGAATAACATATTTTAAGGTAAATTTAGACCCGTCGTCATAAGATAAATATAAAATGAACTAATTTATTTATATAAATATTTAGGGTGTCGAATGTTTAAATGGCAATTTTGTTAATGATGCAGATAAGCAAAAAGCTATGGAATTATCATTAAATTATTTCAAGAGTATTATTTACATGATCGACTTTGAGCGTATTAAGGCACTTTCTCAGCGATTTTATGAATTAAATAACTATGATGGAGCTATTCAACTCGTATTTGCTAAATATAATACTGGAGCAATCCAACTTTCTGAATTACAAACTATCTTTTTCTCTATTATTGAAAATGCATTTTTAACAAAGCAAGAAGGAGATGCTAAAGAAATCCTTGTGAATGCATTGAACCTAACAGATAAAGAAGAATATCACTATATGTTCTATAATTGGTTGATAAACAATAAGCACAAGTTGGTCTTAGTAGAGCTTGAAACACCTTTACTTGAAAAGTTTATCAAAACCCAAATTCCAGATGAAAGTGAAAGTCTAGCATGTCTTCATCATTATCATGTTCATCATAAGCACTATACACTTGCTATTGAATGTCTTTATCAGATAGCAGTTATAGTACCCAATGTTGAATTACAAGTACGTATTGAATGTTTACGAACAGCCTGTAGCTATTTAGACAAGGTTGAAGATATCAAGAAGGAAAGAGCAGATCATATTAAAAATATTCTCAAAATAGCTGAAATTCAACAAAATATATATAATACTTTGATTAAACAAGAACATACCAAGACTGTTGCTAAAGAATTGGAAAAAGCTCTTGTTCAAGAAGATAAATTATTCCACCAATACATTTGCGCTTACTCATTATATGAAGAAGGATTATATTTAATGGATGTAATCGAGTTATATGATTGGAAGTTTGCTAAAACAGCCTGGACTGGTATTATTGAAGCGAGCAGTAAGTAATAACAATATCTGACATATGAGTATACTAAATAATAAGCCATCTATTTTAGGTAAAAGTGAAGATGAAGTTTACTCTAAAATTGATAATTTGGCCAAAAGGCTTTACCCTTCAATTTCTTCTTTCCCTGTTTGTAAGTTAACAACTATATTAAATCATATTATGATTGTGTATTTATTTATTTATTTTTTGCTTTGTAGATATTATATTTCAGATTTTACAAGACAAATGTGATAAATATGGTCAAGAATTTGCTGAATCTGTACTTCTCAAGGCAGGTGTACCTGTAGAAGTAGTGACAGATGCAAAAACATTAAATTATTAATGATGTAATTAACATTATCCTATTGGAATTATAAAAAAAAAAAATCTTCTTTATATTCTGTTGTATCAACTAAAGATTCAATAATATAATATATTTCTCTATAATTTACATTTAGCATTTTTTTTTGTACATGATAGTATTGAATATTGCTATTACTTTTAACAGTTTCTTAAATGAATATAGAGGAGAGATTGTTTTTGATAAATATGACTAGTTCTATAATGTATAGCACTACTAGTAAGCTTGAATTAGTAACATAAGGGAGGGAGGTTATGTTATACTGATTTTATACTAAATACAAATAAACTAGGGAATATTAAAAGATTCCTTATCAAAGATATACTATTTCTCAGTAACAAAACGACTTGAGAGCTATTGTCGTTTTAATTATCATAAAAACGCGTTAAGGACAATATAGCCCAAGGGTAAATAATGAAGGGCATAAATGGCTTTTTTTCCCATCGCGAAATCTAATAATAATAATAATTAAAAAAAAAAAATAGTGAAATTCACTCTTATTACAGAGACCACATGGCAAAAGGAAAAAATCAGTATTGATAGATACATAAAGCATGAGACACTTTTATTCTTATTTTTTTTTCTTCCTATAGCCCACTACTATTTATACCTCCTCCCCCTCTTCAAAGCTAATAATATTCTTTGCAGCGTTTAGCAAAATTGAATTGGTGCACAGATAAAAAAAAAATTAACCATCATACTGAAGTTGTATTGATAGTAACGATTGTATCTGAATCTTAGTTAACTTTAGCATACATCTTGATAAAATTTGTTTTTAAAGCATAATTATGGGTCAAAGCTTACTATGCTGTAAGAGAATCCCATCTTTGTTATAGTATTGCTTCATTTACTGTTTACATATTGTGAATCATTATCATATATTTTTATAAGTTTGGTTTAAATATTAATAAAAATTGTACGTTAAAAAAAAAAATACTAATTGCAGTATATTAAGACTTTTTTTTTTTTTTTTCTAAAATACATTATCAACCATTAGTATCACTTATGTATTTGTGAAAGCATCACACGATAAATATTTAATACATTCTTATGATCAAGTTTTAAAAAGCAAAACAAGGTAAAACAGATTATGTAAGTCTATATCGTCTTTAAGAAGCATTTGCAGATGCATGCAAAATCTATAATATGATTTCAAATCAAACGTATATGCTCAATAAAAAAGAAGTAGCAATATATTCATCAAAGATGCCAACATCATTTATAAAAATAAAAATAAAATAGGAAATAGTGTTTTTTTTAGCATTAAGGTAACGTAAATTCTCAAAAATGGTAAAATAAAGTGATTCGTTACTGTCGGTTGTATTCTTTATAAAGGTAATTATTTTTCTTGGTTTAGTAACAATGTCATACATACTTAGATTTGAAGGTACAGGACCAGTTTTATTATAGCAAAAGCCTTAAACCTTAAGAAAATATTATATTTAGCTGTTATGCAAATACACACATGAATTGTAAACATTGACTTTACAACTGCTGCATTTATAATTTTATTTTTAACTTTTTTTTCTTATTTTTATTTTATTTTTCTTTTATAAAGAATAGACAACGTCTAAAAGAGTGATACAAAGAAGAACATATAGCAAATCAGTGTGTATTACAAATTATTTAGGTAAAGCCTTTTATAAAACAAATAAACTTTATGGACATTGTATAAATTGAATACACAAGTTTTACTGTCCTACTAAAGGACGAAAAAAAAAAGTGCCCTTTATTCTAGAGTTACTGTTTACTCTTTTTCTTTCTCTCTACCTTTTTTTTTTTATTAATTATAAACACAAAACAGAAAAAAACTTCATATTTATTAGTATCTTTTTTTTATTAGCCTCAGTTAACATAACAGAAAAAAGTTAAAAAAAAAAAATATCATTTTAAAATGTTTGATGAAAGTGAAAAATTCCCTGAAGGATGGTTTTTCATTAAAAATCACAATAATGGCTATGTACTAATGGTTGATAATGAGTCTCAAGAAACTAGTGCTTCTATTGTGCTTTCTACTTTACGTACGAAGAATTATAACGCCCAACTTTGGCGTCATGATCCTAAAGGTTACCTTGTTAATAAAAAATCTGGACAAGTTATGGATGTCGCAAAAGGTAAATATTTTCACATGTGGGATTCCATCCTTATTAATATGTTTGATGTTTCTAACTCCGTTCCTTTTTTTTTTTTTTTCTATGTAGGAGTACCTAAAGCAGGCGTCGAGATAGTACAGCAAATTCAAATCACCAATGGAATTGATGATAAAAACTTTCAGAAGTTTGGCTTATCAACTCATGGCCATATTTATTTGATCAACAAACCTTCACTCGTATTAGGTATTAAAGAATCATTCTTCTCCAGACGTGAAGGTCTTCATGTTCATCTTCAGCTTGTTGATAAGCAGCATCTAGATCGTAAAGAACAGCTTTGGGATTTTATATTGCCTATAATTAAAGAGGTAACGAATGAGCCTCTTCAAGGAAGTACAAGTTCTAGTACGAATAAAAGGACTTCTACTATTCATGTTAAATCACTAGCTGTTACTCATATTAGAGAAGATGGTAAGTTTTAATATATTTACCCGATTACATAGATATTAAAATTATACACTTGATAAAAATAAAAATAAAAAAATAGACACGCATTCTGTTTCTTCTACTAAAGGTTCAATATATTCAAATATGGATCAAGATGATACTCAAATTGTACCCATTGGTTCTTTTCCTGAAACTCCCTTTTTCTTAAAGTCTTCATCATCTGGTCTTTATATCAGTATTGAAGATATTTCTTCCGTTTCATCTGGCACGCAGCTCACAATTGAATCACTTCGTAAAAAAGGCTATGAAAGTCAACTTTGGACTTATGAAACTACTACTCATCATCTTATCAATAAATATTCTGGTTTAATACTTGGTGTTGAACATAATGATATTAAGGATGGTGCTGATATTATTCAAACAATACCATCTACTACTCATGAGGATACTCAAAAATGGATCATGTCTCCTGAGGGTGAATTGGTTTTAGAATCTGACCCTGAATTCGTTATTGGCTTCAAGGAAAGCTGGTTCGGTAATCGAGAAGGTGCTCATCTCCATTTACAAAAGGGGAACAAAGATCACCGAAATCAAAAGTTTACAGTTGTTTTACCTATTTTCAAAAAAAACTCCGGAACTAATGTCAAAGTTGAGCAGCATAGTGTTTTCCCTAATGGTTGGTTTTTCATAAAAAGTCAAGTTCATGGTCTTGTTCTCACAGTTTTAGAGACCGGTATGATTGCTGCTGAAATTGCTGCTTTCAAATTAGATACTTCTAATTACCCTCGTCAACTTTGGAAGTATGAAGATGGCTATATTGTTAATAAGGCTTCCAATATGGTCCTCGATGTTCGTGGAGGTAGATTTCAAATATATGCTTAAACTTATCTTATTTGACTAACATACTGAATAGGTTCTCTTAAGCCGAATGCTAAGATTTGTCAATATACTCAGAAAAAGGATGATAATGAAAATCAATTATGGGCATTATCTGCTGATGGAGTAATTTTTCTTGAGGCTAATAAAAATCTTGTCTTAACAGTTGAGGAAAACCAAACTGCTCATTCAAAATTGTATTTGTCGGAAAGAAAATCTAATTTAGAAGAACAGCGTTGGAATTTTGTATTGCCTGTATTTAAAAAGAAACAAAGTATGTGTATAGACTTTGTTATCTTTTTATACTACTAAGTAATTACCCTTTTTTTTTTTTTGTAGCTACAACATTTGATTCTTTCCGTTATGCTATATACCCTTCTGGGTGGTTCTTCATTCGTTCATCTATCGAAGGATCAACTACAGAATCTCCTTTAGTTTTAAGTGCTCACGAAAATTCGATTGGTTTATGTTTACTTGATCGTCAAAACTGGCAACCACAACTCTGGACATACTCTTCAGGAAAATTAATTAATTATTCTACTGATCTTGCTATTGACGTTACATGTAAATTGTTGTAGCTTTTTTAATAATGATTGAAAAAAAAATTAATATCTAAACATTATATAATTAGCATTTAATGCTGGTGCTAATTTAATTCAAAACAAATCATCAAGTCAAGATTGGTACCTGACAGTTAACGGTATCCTTGTTTATGGTGTCTCTGAACCTAAGCTTGCTCTCTCAGTTATTATTGAAGAGAATAACAAATATCGGTTGGCTCTAGCTAATTTCAAGTATTCCCCTGATCTATGCTGGAGTTTCTTAATTCCTGAATTTAGCTATCGTTCAAGCATGCAAACTCTAATTCAATGGTCTATTGCAGTTCTCAAAGAATGTCATAATATTGCCACTAATCAATTGACACATTATCCAATTGCCCAATGGCCAGAGGGTGAATTTTTTATTCGCGGTCCTGATAATTTAGCTTTGGTACCTGAAAAATCCGAATATGGATCTATACTTATTATGAACCAATTTGAAATCGATCATCATTATAATTTTAAATGGACTTTCCAAAATAGTCACCTTGTGCATTGTGCTACAGGCTTAGTTATGTGTGTTCAAGGTAAGATTTTTTTTTCTTTTTTTTGTGGAACCATCTAAAGAAATGCAGCATTTATTTTATTTTATTTTTATTTTACTTTTTTTCTTTAGACAACCTGATCCAGGAAAAACATTTGCAATTGGGTTCAGAAAATGATAATAGTCAATCTTGGATCTTGAGGATGGATGGGTCAATTATATCTAAAAATGATGAGAAATTTGGCCTTGGTATTGTTCAAATAAATGGTGTTTGGACAGTTCAAATAGTTAATAGTAACTACTACTCATGGAAAATGCTTTACGGTGTTTATGATAGTTATTACTCTGTAAAAGAGCAAAAGGAGATCTCTCGTCTTGTTAGTTTTGAAAGAATTATTTTTAATTTATGGACTATGCGTAACTATACTAAAATTCAAAAGCTTCCAAAGGAGAAAAACAAAACAAAAACAAATAACCATATATTTATTTATTATAGATGACAGAGTTGAGCGCAAGTTAGTTACTCATACTTATGGAGTCTTCCCAAAAAGTTGGGTTTTCATTCGATCAAAATGTGACGAAAATCTTTTCATTACAGTATCTGACTCTAAAAAAGGCACTAAACTTATATTATCTAAACTAACTATTACATCGTATAGACGACAATTATGGAGATATCGCGATGACCATTGTATCGTTAATTTTGAAACGAATTATGTTATTGATGTTGCTGGTAGTAAACTCTTTTCCAATGCAGACATTATTCAGTGGTCTCCTAAATTCCTTCGCTCTAGCCGCAAGAATCAAGTATGGGGGCTAACTGTCCATGGACATATTCATCCTAAATTTAATTCGGACTTGGTTCTGAGTCCCGTAGGTAATCATGTAAGAGAAGGTGCTGAATTAAAACTTATTAAGCGTGGTAATTTAAGTCTTGACTATCAACAATGGATGTTTGCTACTCCTATCTTTCAAAACTGTACATATGCTTCTTATGAAGCCCAGCAAGCTCACAAAGATAGTCTTAAGTTTGAAGGGATCGGCAGTACTTGCTCTCTTGATGTGTCTAGTCATGAACGTTATGAACGTATAGAAAAAGACATAGTTGTTCTTCGTTGGGGCGTTTTCCCACAAGAGAGCTTCTTTATTCGCTGTGCTTATGGCGATAAGCACTTGGCTTTGACTGCTGAATATGATGAGGCCTCAATTACAAACTATAAGGTTGTTATTCGTTCTCTAGATTTCAAGGCTTATAAATTGCAACTTTGGTCTTACCAAAACGGTAATTTGATCAATGAAGAAACTGGATTAGTCCTGGATGCCCAATCCAGTGAAGATATCAGTATTGAAGATGAGCAAACTCAGGTTTATCTTAAGCAAAAGGCTTCAAATGAAGGTCAATTTTGGGATCTTGGCGTTAATGGCGAAATCCACTTGAGGTCTAATCAGCGGTTAGCCATTGGTGCTAATAATGCTGATGATGCATCTGTTGAAGGTGCACAGATAGGTATAAAAAAAATTAATGTTCTCTTTAATATTATAGATGACAAGAAATTGTTATCTTTGAAGTCAGAAGAATGGGTTCGTTGGTCCTTCTCTAAACCTGTGTTTGGTAAGCGTGTATCTGTAGCTATTTCAGAAAACGAATCAGGTCTTTTGGAAATTGAAAAATGTGAGGATTGTTCTCTTACTGTTAAGGAGGAAGTTAAAAAAGTGAATAATGACGAAGAAGAAGAGTTCGAAGAAGTTGATAAGGATGAAGAGCTTGATATTCAGGCTTCTATCCCTGAAGGTGTAGCTACTATTGTTGATGCTGGCAATGTTGCTACCATTGCTTCAGATGTTGATAATAAGATGTCAACTAGCTCTTCCACCGTTCAAGAGCATGCCATTGTAACAGATATCAATATTACTGAGCAATTATCTAAGCCAAACACTGCTACTATTGTGGAAACAGCATCTGCAGTTTCTGCTATCGCTGTTGAAGAAAATAAAGCTAATTTAGAAGACAATAAATCATCCAAGTCACAACATCAAATAGTACATAATGATTCATCCCTATTGGAAAATAATTATGTTCCTACTACTGGGTTTGAGAAGATTGATTGCTTCGAGTTACATCAAAATGGCTTCCCTTCAGGATATTTCTTTATCAAAAGTTCTTTGTGTGGTTATGTTTTAGACGCCACAAACGATGCCAAAGAGGATCGTTGTGTTACATTAACGAAAATGAGATCAAAGGATTTTAATAGTCAGCTTTGGTCTTTTGATAATGGTTCCCTTATTAACTTTAAAGGTCGTACTTTGGTTCTTGATGCTGTTAATACATTTTCAATTACTGGTGAGAGAGTTTATCTCACAGTTTGTAACTCTATAACTGAGGATACGGTTGATCAAGTATGGGGTTATAGCGCTGAAGGCATCATTTATCTCAAGGCTAAAAGCATTTTTATCTTATCTCTAGAAGACACTAAACGTTCTAACAATAATGATCATATTGACGTTTATGTTCAACAAGCAAAAGCTCCTATAAATATAGAAGCTCACCCCAAGCATTGTTGGGAAATTTTGGTCCCTTCTATAATCTCTGCTAATCAACAAGAATCTAATACCAGTATTATTGAGTCTAGTAAAACTGAAAAAGTCACTAGTTCTGCTTATACATTTATATCATATAAATGGCTTAAGGAGACTTATTGCTATAAAATCGCCAAGAAAAACCAATGGTCCTCTACTGAAAACTGGTTCTTTATCCGTTTTGGTTCTGAAAATCATTTTCTTGCTTCAGGAGAAACTTCTAAGAGCCAAGTAAGCCTGTGCAAAATCAATCCTGATCTGGACTATAGACGATTTTTATGGGTTTATATCAATGGCTACTTAATTAATTATAAATATCTACTTCGTTTGGTTTTGAATAATTGTAAGTATTTAAATAGTATTATGCAATATATTATATTTGACTTATATAATATTTGATAATAGCGCATCATTGGGTACTATCAAACACTAATGATACACTTAACCAAAAATTCTCTATTGATATAAATGGATCAATCTCTGTAACAATTTCTAAAATTGACTATTATATCAACCATATCCATAATGCTTCTGGATCTTGTTCTTTAACTGCTACCATCAAAGATTCTCATAAAGAATGTCAAGATGTAGAGCTTCATATTCCTATTATCTCTGATACTGAATACCAGAAAGATGCTATTTCGACCCTTTCCTCCGTAAAGACCTGGATTTGTAAGCAAACTTCAGATTGGGCTATTTTAACAGGCATTACTACTCGTGAAAGATTTTTTCCTGAATCTACCTGGTTCTTTGTGAAGGTTGCTCACAAGAAATATGATAATTTGGTTCTGTCTGTTCACGAAGCGAACTTTCAATTAGTTCTGAAAGAACTGGACTTTAAATCATTCCAGGATCAACTATGGACTTATAATGATAACCATCTAATTAACTATGGCAGCAAATATGTTATTGATGTTCAAGGTATGGTGTTTTTTTTTTCTTTTTAGTATATTAACAATATCATAAAATACTTACCATTAACATTGCTAATTTAGATAAAGTTTCTATTGGATCAAAATTAATTCATACAGCTGAAACAAAAACTAGCACACAAAAATGGATTTTAAATGCAGAAAGTCAAATTGAGCTTGATAATCATGACTTTTATATTTTGGGTTGTGATGCATTCAAAGATGGTGCATGTGTTTTACTTGGCTCTTCAAGAGCATCAAGCCACGTTTATCCAATCTGTTGGAAATTCTTTATACCAGTTTTTAGGAAGAGTACTACATCTTCTGAAATCAATGATATCACTCAGGAAATTGCAAACGTTTCAACTATTGAAAGTGTTGAAGATATTTCTTCAAGCGTTAAGCCTCAACTTTCTCTTATTAGAAAGGTTACAAAACATACATTTGTGACTTATCGTGAAATTCTTTTGATTATTAGCTGGTGGAGAATTGTTTTTACTCGTCGTTTATCAAGCTGTTGTACCCAAAAGGAATACCTCGAAGTTATTGAAAAATATCGCCAGAACCTATATAATCGCTTTAATCATTACATCAGTGTTTATGGATCCTCTTTAAGTAAAAAAGAATTCTCAGCTCTTGAAGCTTCTTTGGAAGAAATAAGAAATATTTTTGAAACTGAAGTTTTTATCAAGCTTTTAAATTATTTCAAGGAATTTAAAGCTGAACAATTTATCCCTACTACCACACAGCATGATCTTTCTATTATTGTCTTTGAATTCTGTAACAAAATTGATGAAAAATACAAAACTCATAATAGCAATTTCAAGAAGGAAGAGCATTTCTTTACCGAAGAGTCTTCTACATTTTCTAGTTTAGTACATACATCTAACCAATACATATCTGAATTGGAAGCTGCTAATAATATTCTTATTACTTTTGATATTATCCATGTTACTATTCGTTATTGGTTTAGATTATTGTATAAGCATCTCACTCAGGCTTTTAAGGATAACATGGAGACAGACAGAATCCAAAATTTTATTCAAGATAGCTACCTTGAACTTCAAGTTAAATTGAATAGTATCTCTAAAACCATAAAGTCAGCTTTGTCTCAATCTATTTACTTTGATGAACACAATAGGCAGAAACTTGAGCAAATAGTTAATTCAGCTATTCAAAAGCTGTGCCTTGAAATAGAACATTTTATTCACAATCAGGATGTTATAATTATTTCTTCTATCGACCAATGGGATATGTTAGTGTTCACTGTAAATGTGAGTCTAACCTCAATAATCCACGAATACAAATATATGATTCAAAAACATATTGTTAGTACAGAGACGGATACAGATATGGAGGAAACAATTCATGCTGATAAAATGGACGCTGAATATGGCAGGGCTGATATTATCACTTATCTGGATGAAACTAAAGCATATATTACCTCTTGGTTCTCCCGTGTTTATGAAGATATAAATTGGATTGTCAATATATCATCTACTAAACAAGATATTATCACAGTAATTGACGCTTCAGAGCTTGAACTTGTTTCAAAGATTGATGAATATACAATATTACTTTCTGTTCTGCTAATGAGAACTTTATATCTCTCATGGTCTAAACGTCGTTATTTGATTAGCTTCTATACTACTATAAAAGTTTACATCTTATTTAACTTGAAGAAGCTTAAGGAAGCTATAAATGATGAAGTTGATAAGGAGCTTATCTTAGAAGTAACCCGTTCTATATTTGGAGAAAAAGAACAAATTGAAATTCTAAAGAATATTGATTTTGCTTCGGAAATTGTTTCAGATTCTGCCATTACTAAAATTACAACTGATACACAAGAAACCTTTTTATCTAGTTCTGATAAAGTTGTTGATGGCATAGCTTCTGAAGTTTACAAGAACAATCCGATATCTGATATTAACTTTGTTGTTGCTGATAAACATAAAACTATCAACATAGATATCATTACAAATGAATCGACGGCACTATCAAAGATAGAAACATCAGCAGAAACAATAGCAAATAATAATGGAATAACTAAAATTGAACTTGCATCCGAAAAAGCTCAGTTTACAAAAACAGAACAGGAGGGAAAAGAAATTTTCTCTGAATCTTCTCGCATCAAAAAATCGAATAATATTGATGTTTGTTATAGTAACGACTGTTGTCATAAACTTGAAGATGTAAAGAAATATTCTGATGCTACAAGTATTAACTCGAATATTTCTTCTGAAGCTGTCGAAGGAGAAAAGAAAATAATAATTGAATCAAAAATTGATGATAATGGTGTAAATTTATCTACTGTTAGTCTTTCTACAGATAAAAAGATTTTAACTGACTCACTACAAAGTGATAAAGAATCCAACATATCTACTGAAAAAATGGAAAAGGATAAAATGAAAATTATTAACAGGATATCTGAATCCATAGTTGCTATTGGTATCATACAAAATACTGAACAAAACAAAAATGAATTAGACACTATTATAGGTACTATTACAGAGTCAGGCACTATTACAGATTCAGGAACTATTACAGAAACAGACACTATTACAGAAACAGAAACCATTACCAAGGAGTATGAATCTTCTACTGCTATTACTGTCGATGTGGTTGAAAGTGAAAAAGAAGCAAATACAGACACTATTACAGAGTTGGAAACTATTGCCAAGGAATTTGAATCTTCTGTTGCTATTACTGTCGATGTTGCTGAAAGTGAAAAAGAAGCAAATACAGACACTATTACAGGCGCTGTTACAGAAACAATTATAGAATCAGAAAATGCTATTACTACTGAGATCACAGAAATTATTGAAGAGAATATAATTAAATTAGAGACTATCTTCAGAGAATCTGGATCTTCTATTAATGAAGATATGATTGTTGAAGAAAAACTAGCTGTAGCCATATCTGAATCAAACTCTAATGGTTCTAATTCTTTTAAGAACGAAAAGATTACTGTTACGAATTCAGAAATTGATACAGATGAGTCAAACTTTTCTTTTGCCGATGTTATCCATGACAAAAATGAAGTTATTGAAAAATCAGTCGAATCTATTAGTAAAGAATCAGAAACTTCATTTGAAATTGATACAGTAGAATCTGCTTTAGAAGTACAAAATTCTGAGACTTCAGTTGCTATTGGTACTATCAAGAGTCAAAGGGAAGCTTATAATCAGTCAGAAAATATAATTAACCAATTAGAATTAGAATCTTATAATTCTGATATTATTGCAAACAACGAACTGTCATCTATTATTAATTCTGGTTCTACAGAAAGGGAGGATAAATTTTCTGTTGAAGCTGAGAGTGTTATTGGCTTAGAAATTATTTCTGAGGAATCCAAATTGGCAATTATTATCGAAGATGAAAGGGCTTCCATTATTGAATCAGAAACTACTGTCTCTAGAGATGACAATCCTGTTACTATTGGTTTAATTACTAATGGACAAGTAACTGATATTCAGGTAGATAGCATCGTTGAAGAGCCTAAACCTTTTGTCAATATCAATATAGTTGATAATAATAAAACAGGAGATTCAGAGTTAGAATCTATCACTCAAGAATCTGATGCTTCCATCATTTCTAGTGTTTCTGAAGGTACAAAGGAAACTTTCAACAAAAATGAACTCTCTGTTATTGATAAAGTAAATAACGAAGTTTCATCTTTTATTGAATTTAAATCAAGTAAAGAGGAATTAGAGCCTACCACTACCATTGAAGTTATTAACAATGAAAAACAAATTACCACTGAGACAGAGGTTTTTGACGAAGATTTCGAAACTGTTATTTTTGATGATACCGTAAAATTAGATTTGGCCAATAAATCCCACTCATTCATTGAAAATATTGAAGACAAAAATATTATTACTATAACCTCGGAAACTATCGTTAAAGAGTCAAAAGAATCTACTATTATTGGAAGTGAAAAAGAAACTACTGGTGTATCACAAATACTTATCGATAATTCTGAGTCTGCTATATCTTTTAACAATACGGAAAGCGAAGAAGATTCTCATACAATTGTTAAATCGGATATATTTATTAATGAACCTGAATCTTCTATTATTGCAGATTTAACCACCAATGACAGCATAACTAACCTTGAATCATCGTATAAAGAATCTGAATCCTTGACTAGCATAAGTATAATTGAAAGCGAAAGACTATTGGCAACTGACTCAAAGGAAGCTATCCATGAATCCCAACTTCCCTTTGATGACATCGTTGATAACAAGAAGCAAATTGATGGCCAATCAAATACTATAAAGGAAAATAATCCTTCAAGTACCACAATTATTGTTGAAGACATAAAAGGCTTCCATATTGAAACGGAAACTATTCATCAAATTACCAACGAATTTGAGACTTCTGTTGTCATTGATATGGTAGGAAGTGAAATAAAATCTACGACTGAAGCAAAAAATATTACTCAGGAATCCGACACCAATTGTGATAAAGAGCTTATACAAGATAACATATCAACAGTCATAGAATTAGAACCTAATATTAATAAATTTGAAGCTATCCATGGTACTGACGTGATAACTGAAATAGAGAACACTGAAAAAGCATCAGAAGTGAGTGTCACTAAATCGGAGTCATCGATTCAAAAGTTAGATTCTTCTACTATCACTAATATTATAGATAAAAACACGGCTGTTACAAAATTGGAAACTAATATTAACGAATATCACTCTTCTATTACCACTAATATTGTGGGTAATGAAAATATGATTAGTACCGAATCAGAGGCTACTATCAAGGTATCTGAAATTTCTGTTGCAGCTATAGATGATACTATTGGTGAAATGGTTACTACAGCATCAGAAGCAATCATAAAAAATCATGAATCCTCAATTAATTCTACTACGATTGAAAAAGATAATGATTCTAACGATAAATCAGAAATTATAAGCAAGGTTTCTGAATCTTCTACTATTACTGCAATAAATACAGAAGAAATTACGACTATTGTCGAATCGGAAGTCAGCAAAACCAATAGTGAAAGTGAATTATCTATTGCTCTTAATATTACTAAAGATGACAATACAACTACTTTTACTTCTACTTCTCAGGATTTAGATAAAGGAACAGGGAATGGTGTTATTGCAAAGCTTATATCAGATGACAAAAACACAGCTATTGAATCAGATGCCACTATAAATCAGTCTGAAATTTCTACAATTGTTAACGTTATCAGTAATTCTCAATCTATTATTGATGAATATTTAACTATTACTACTAGAAGTGGCGATAAAAATAACGAGGAAATTGCTAAAGAAAAAGAAACTTTTGAAGACTCTACCTCTTTGATTACTGTTGACGTAATTATTGATGAAAAGACAACAAAAATTGAAGAAGATACTGTTGTTAACAACGATGATGCTTCTTCTAACATTATTGAGAAGGAACAGGAATTAAAGGCTACTATTACTCAACATGAATCTATAACTACTAGTACTACCATAGATTCTAAACCAAATTTTGAAGTTTCTGAATATACTCCTACCGCTATTGCTGATATTAAAAATGAAACATATACCAACTTCGAAGTAGAAACTACTGCAGATGTAATAACAACAATTAATGACACTATAGGAAGTAAGCAAGTAACTGATATTGAAACAGAAACCATTACCAAGGAGTCTGAATCTTCTGTTGCTATTACTGTTGACATGGTTGAAATTGAGAAAGAAGCAAATACAGACACTATTACAGAGTTAGAAACTATTACCAAGGAGTATGAATCTTCTGCTGCTATTACTGTCGATGTGGTTGAAATTGAGAAAGAAGCAAATACAGACACTATTACAGACACTATTACAGACACTACTATAAACACTATTGTAGAAACAGAAATTATTACCAAGGAGTATGAATCTTCTGCTGCTATTACTGTTGATGTGGCTGAAGGTGAAAAAGAAGCAAATACAGACACTATTACAGAAACAGAAACCATTACCAAGGAGTCTGAATCTTCTGCTTCTATTACTGTCGATATGGTTGAAAGTGAGAAAGAGGCTGCTTCAAAAGTAGAAATTATGGTAGATATAGAAGACATTACTGAGAAAACCATCAGCATTATAGAAAGTGTTAAAGAAAACGCTTGTGTATCAGAAGCTTCCAAGGAACCCGAAACTTCAATTATTTACGGTGTTATAAATAATGAAAAAGAAAGTACAATTAATACAATGATTATCTCAGAAAATGTTGAAGAATGTGAACATACTGTTGTTGATATTGTTCATAGTGAAGAAGAATCTACCACCGTATTAGTTGATTCTGTCACAAGAGAACCAAGTATTATCACTTCTGAACATGAGGAGACAACAGTTTTAGGATCAGGAACAATTATATATAAATCTGAACTTGTGACTAAAGAATCGGAATCTTCAATTACTACTGGTATTATTAGAAGTGAAGAATCAGAAATCATAGAATCAGAGACTATTACCAATGAATTTGAACCTTCTACTAATACTGATTTGATTACTGATGAGAAGAGACCTATTCTGAAATTAGAAACAGTTATTGATAAAAGAAAATCCACTGAAAACATTGAGTTAGTTGAAAACGAAAAACAGAGTATCACAGAATCAAGACCTACTAGTTATGGAGAATCTAAATTTAATAGTGTTAGCAATGTGATAGTTGATGAGGAAATCATTATCTCGAAGATTGAAAGTATTAATGACAATTTAGAATCTTCTAATTCTATTAATATTTCTGAAGTAATTGGTGAAACTGAATTTACTGCAAAAGATTTTGAAACAACTGTTAGCACTGATAATATCGAAAAGGAAGCTAATAATAATCTAAAAATAAGCGTCAAGCAATCTGACACAAGTATTGCTGTAATTGATATCGAAAACAAGAAGGAAATCATCGATAAGAGGAAATCTGCTGCTAATGAGTCCAGATTTATTACTACTGAAGATACTATTAAAAATGAGCTCCAAATAACAACTAATGACTCTGATAATAACTCCATCTCATTTGTAGAGGAAGATAAAAAAAATACTGGATTATCTGAACCTTCTTCTGCTTGTAAAAATGTTTCTGGTGAAAAATCGACTAATACAGCTGAATTTATAACAGACATACTTGAAGGTGATACTGTTGAAGAAGTTCTTGACTCTGCTCCTAGTGTTGATAAATTTGAATCTATTAAACAGATTGAAAAATCTATATCAGCCTCTACTCATGTTGTTACTATTGAGGAAATCGAGAATTCTAAAGTAGATTTATGTATACATGTTACTGATAAAGATGATTTATTATATGCTGACAAAAAGGAAGAAGTTTTGTTAGAAACTGATATTGCACAAGTTAATATTACTAATGAAGGAATTATTGCTATTGTTGATACTAATATTGCTGGACCTATTTCATCTACTATTGTTGCTGTTAATGACGATAATTCTTCTAAATATAATAATATTTTAGAAGAGGGAAGCATACATACAGATAATGCTATCGAGAAGATTGTAAATGAGGATATAGTTGAAGAAACGAAGTCTAGGAGCATTAGTCTAATTTCAGATCAGATTGAGGAAATTTCTGCATCCTTTGAAGATAAAATTGTTACTACTTTGATTGAAGATGCAACTGTAGCGGATTTGAATGAACTTAATGATACAGAAATTCAAGTTAGTATAGTATCTAATATTCAAGATCAAGTTTCAAAAGACGATACTATTTTTATTGTAAAGGAGCAAAATAATATTATAAGTGATGCTAAATCTAGTGCTATCATTGAAAAAGATCAAATTGAAGTAATTGTGGACGATCAAAGAAAAATATCACCTATTATTAATACTACTGACGTATTTGAATCTATCTGTTTGGGTGAGTTTTATTAAACTTATAATGTCATTGCTTTACTAAAAAATATATATATATAGATACTACTAAAGTCCATAATAATTATGAAATGGCTACAAAATCTATCTATAAATGGTTTATTTGCTTGATTGAAAAGTTAAATATTATGATTGAAGATGGTGATTGTGTCAGTCACATCGATGAATTTATTATTAGAGAAGGAGTTCAGCTTCGAGCTATCATTGATAAATATGAACATGAATTAACTAGTTTTATATCTACGGATATTATCATATCGAAATATTATAACTGGAACTCGTTTTATTATAGACTTCATAATGCTGTTACATCTCAAATTGATTTAATCAAGACATCTATAACTAAATCTTTTGCAGAAGACAATAAATCTATTAACAAAATCGATGTCTGTTTGGCAAAAGACAGATTTGAAAAAATTGTGGATTCTGAATTAACAGTAGTCAAGGAGCATATTTATGAATTTGAAGAATCAATCTCCTCTAAGGCTCAAAAAGATCTTATTTACAAAGAACTTGTTTATGAATCGATTGAAACGGCTCAAGAAGAAATAAAAAAGTCCTTTTCTCACGCTATTAGTATAACGCAGAAAAAATTTTCATCTTGGTTTATTATTTTCTTCAAAAAAATCCGAAATATTAATATTGAATCATTCAACAATGATGATAATGCATATAAGGAGATTGAAATAATCATTAACACTGCAATTACTGAAGTAGATACTATTATCAAGGAATCTAAATCATTATTTAATTTCAAATATGCGATCTCTGGAGATTTATACACTAAGATTGCCAAAAATGTTGAAAACTCTCAAAAACAAGCATTTACCTCTTTGGATATTATTTATACCCTTGTTACTGAGCAAATATTCTCTATAAAAGAAGCTTTTTTGACAGCTGACGCTAAAATAATAGAAGAAAATGTAACTATGATTGAAAACCAATTAAATCAAAGGACTCAGTCTACTCTTGAATATATTACTGAAACGGCTATTTCTGTTGGATTTGAGGGTAAAGCTATTACCTGGGTAAAGAATGATCAGATTTTAGATGATTTTAAGGACGTCAAGATAGTTGCATTCGATTTGATAGATACCGTAGTTAATTATCGTTCTACTATTTCTAAGGCTTGGTATAAACTTGCTAATACGAAGAAAAATGCCTGTAGCTTAACTCATATTGATGTTGATTCTCTAATTATTCGATGGTACTATCTTTATCTTGAACAACGATTAAGGGCTATACACTCTGAAATGGATATTACTATTCTTATTGCTGCATTAAAAATAGTTTTATCTGAATTCTCAATTGAATCATCTTTTAATGAATCTGACTTCAAGACTCTTTCTTCTGCATGGTTTAACTTAGAACTCTTTGAAGATGCTTCTTCTAGTATTCGAAAGATTAAACAACTTGATGGTATATATGTTATCGCGATTTCTCATTCTTTTACTATCAGTACTCTAATGAGCCTTGCTCGTAGTGGTTGCCTTTGCTGGCACGCACAGTTTACAGCTGACATGTTTGCAGCATGTGCAATCCGCAATTGCACAAGTCCAGAGGAGTCTGTAATTTCAAACACTGCTATGCTTCTTGGATTGAAAAAAGCAAATGAACTTGCTATTATCTCTTCCAATCCTGATATTCTTAAAGCTGCTAAAGCCTATGGTTCAAAGGCTGTCTTCCTTAGCCGCTTTGAAGATGTTAAAAAGAAAATCATACTTTTGATGTAAATTTTGACAATTTAGATGTCTTCGCCGAAAGCTTTGAAACATTTTATAAACGCAAGTCCATCTCTACTCACGCTAAAGTTCCTGTTGCTTCTCACTCATGGTTCCAAAAAATAGTTTCAACTGTTACTGATACTGCAGGATCTATTAGCCATTCTATTATTGGTTAATTATCTAATATTATAATATTTTTACTTCAAATTATTGAAATTAAAGCTTAATAAATTAAATTAAACTTGGCAAATGTAGAATGATAGAAGAAAAAAAAATAACAAATAAATTTTTAAAGTAGTATATTTTGTACTCATATCTAGAAGAACAAAAAAGCAGTTGTTATCATTTGCCATTAAAAACCTCTTGAAATATAAGATTTTATGTAAACTTGAAAATTTTAATGTACACGAATGGGTTAATTATGTATTTTCTTTTAGAACTATTTTATTAGCAATGCCATAACAGAGTAAATTAGTTGAATTGTTTCTCTATATTTATGATTTCTGTTTAAAAAATAGGTAAAAAGTATCTTCGAATATATACATCTGAAAGATATGCAAAATAAACTAAAAAATTGAAAATCATTACGATCTGGTGATTAGAATGATTAATAAAGCTATGTTAGCCGTCTGTATAAACTCTTTTTTTTTAATATCAATATTTTTTCCATAAATATCATTGTTATCTATAGATCTAACCTGCTTAATCTTTTTTTGATTAAAAACCAAAACGGTTCGAGTGGATTCAAACTACGGAGGTATTTAAACATACACATTTATAGCCCTATTTCATACTTTTTCGTTATATAAGCTTTAACTTATAATTAATGCAAGTGTTCTTTAATAGATAATAACCCTTCGTTTTACTGACTTTGTTCGTGATATTAGAAAGTTCATTGATGAATTTTATAGAGTGGTTGTGATAATTCTTACTACTACTTAGTTATAGAATTGTTAGTCTCATTAACAATTTATTTAGTATATTTAACTGTTTACTTTTTTTTTATTTACTTTTTGATTTTTGGGTGTTCTATTAAAAGAAGTTACTGACATAGGAGATATTTAAAAGATATTGAATTTTCAGATTAAATTTGCGTATCTTACTTTTTTTTTCCACGCATAAGCTTGCCAAAAAAAAACCATTGTAGCAAAGAAACCTAAATAGCAGACGAATACTAAAAGCTCTAAGCTAATGGGATCTGGATTGCACAGTTGTGATATGGATACTTAGATATCAAAATAAAATAAAATAAAAAATTTTTAAAAAACTGATAGAGTCAACATGACCAAACAATAGAACAAAAATCGCCTGTGTTACATCTTGCTGATTTTTTTTCTTTTTTGTTACTAGGTAGTCTATTATTGCATCATTTGTGTATATTCTTTAATAGGAACAAAATAGATATCTATTTATAATGTACATATAATACACTAACTTTATTTAAATTTAATCAAATAAAGGCAAATTAAAATTATAACTATAGGGATCGTTGAATCTTAGACGTTTATCAAGAGAAGCAATTTTCTTCATATCCTCATCATCTAATGACCAAGAGAAAATATCAAGGTTAGACTTAATACGCTCTTGATTAGTACTTTTAGGGATAACAGCAATATTTCTCTCAATAGACCAACGGAGCAAAACTTGGCCAGTTGTTTTTTTATGTTTATCAGCAATTTCCTTAATAACTTCATTTTCAAGTAAAGGAGGTGTTGTTTTACCATCATTAGTTAATTCAATAAACGAAGCAGGGCCGAAAGATGAATAGGCAGTAATATGGATACCTTGAGATTGAACCCAAGCAATCAAACGACTTTGTTGGAGATAAGGATGAAGCTCAACTGTTATATATATTGGCATAAGCTTATATTTCTCTTAGTTATATATCTTTTCTTACCTTGTAATACAGCAGGTTTAATTTGTGCGTAAGTTAATAAATCCAAGATCATTTGTACATTGAAATTAGAAATGCCAATGTTATGTGCTAACTTATCTTCAGCCAACTTTTCCATTTCATGCCAACATTCATACATGGGAGAAGGCTCAAATTCAACTTCAGTCTTATTAGGTTGATACCAACCGGGGGGATAAATTTCATTAATATTAACATGCTTTAAAGGAACGGGGACTAATGAAAAAGTAGGAAGGTTAATTTTGTCGAAAATTTAATTTCTATAAAATGTTTACTTACAGTGGATCAAATATAAATCAACATAATCTAAATCAAGATCTTTTAACTGCTTTTCGAAAGCAGGACGGACTTGAGTCTTATTATGATACGTGTTCCAGAGCTTTGTAACAACTAGAGATGTACATATATAGTGTAAATGTAAAGGGAGCAATATAGACGCCAAATATGAACTTACCAAAAATTTCCTCTCTAGTAATAACTCCCTCTTTAATAGCCTTGTTGATACCACGACCTACTTCAACTTCATTACCGTAATCAGCAGCACCATCAATTAAACGATAACCTGCCTTAATAGCATTGTAAATTGTATTTTCAGCATCTTGAGGAGAGACTTTCCAGCAACCAAATCCAACAAGGGGCATTTTATCACCTGTGCGAGACAAAGTAACATAATTTTCGGTAGTCATTTTGAGTATAATAAGTAAGATATATAATTGCTAAAACAAAAATATGTAAAAAAATTAAGCGTCCTTTTATAACTTCCTAATATCATCATCTTAAAAAGTTAAGTGTAACCTGCCCTACTATACGGGGAATATTATATAATAAATAATCCGACTATGATTAAATATTTATTTTTTGTTGAATAAGATTTTAAAGCTCATTTAAGCACATAATAAAATATTATTTTATTGCCTGGGTCAGGTAAAAAAGGGGGAGAAGACGAACCTTTTGATAGTCAAAAGTGAAAAAAAAAATAAAGAAAGGAAGAGGTACTAGATTAATTACTGCATAACCATTTGATTGAGTCAGTACCAAGAGGAAAGGTTTGAGGTGGGATTTTACCATAATGAAGATGGTTAAATTCAAAGAGTATGTGACATGTTGTAGACCAATGAATAATCGATCCAAGAGTAGAGGAGCTGTTTCGTGCGATAAATGGCTTACTATATTTACTAGGAATGTGATTGAGTAGAAAAGATAAAGGATCACATATGGTATTAGGAATTTGTAATCGGTGGTTCATATTTAAGCAGACAGTAACACAAGATGAAATAAGCTTGTCATTTGGATAAATGATACACAGCTTTTGGATACCACCAGACAGCCAATCGAGACACGACAACTGATATTATCAACATCAGCTGTATATAATTGCCATAACGTTTGCTTGAAAAGCTTATATTATTGAAAGTTATTGACTGGAGTATGCAAAAATAAATGAATCGATTTAGTTAAAAAAAAAAGTCCTTTAACCTAGCCTCATATTGGTCCATTTTTTTGACTTTCCATATACTCTATCTTTCATGAAATAGACTATATCTCTCATTCCATTGCTCATTCTCCTCTCATCAATACTGGCTCTCTCTTGATTGAATGGTTATCTTAGCCTACCTTTTCATATATTTATATATATATATATTGATATACATACATCTCTCCCTCCTTTTAGCTTTTACCTTTTTAACATCTTTTGTCTTAAAAGGATTTTTAGTTTCTGTTAACCTTTTCTTTTTGAACTGACTAAGGCAAATCATCTTTTATATCTACGCGCTTATTGGTCATTTAACATAGACTTTTAATCATATATTTTTGCGTCACTTATGCTAAGTCTTATATGCACACCCAATTTAATTTTAAACTCATATTACTGAAAAGAAATTGATTTTAATTTCTCGTCTTTTTTTAAAAGAAAAAGAAATTACCGACGTTAAAGAGCACGTACAACTGTAGATTTATAAATATAAATATATTATACACAAGTATAAATATGGCTGTAATCTTACTGAAACTATTTAACATGAAAGCTAAAAATAAGTACTAATTATAATTCATTCAGATAAATTGGTTGCTATTAGTTAGCAGACAAGGGAAAGTTCGTCTCACTAAATGGTTTATAACAATCCCACCAAAAGAAAAAGCAAAGATTATAAAAGATGCAACGCAACTAGTATTAGCACGAAGGGTCAAGATGTGCAATTTTCTCGAATATAAAGGTATTAGTTTACTATATGCATTATATAATTTCTACGAACTCAACTGTTTATTCAAGATCAAAAGATTGTATATAGAAGGTATTTGAAAAATGTTTACTTTATGAAAGCATCACATGACTTATTATACACATATATACATATATATATGTATATACATATATTCTTAAGATATGCAAGTTTATTTTTTGTAACAGGTATTAATCAAGATGACAATGAACTTATCACACTTGAAATTATTCATCGTTACGTTGAAATTCTCGACCGTTATTTTGGCAATGTAAATAGAAAAAAAAATACATTATACCTTATTATTTATGTTAAATTTTATAGGTTTGTGAACTTGACTTGATTTTCAATTTTCAAAAAGTAAGTTAATGTATTATAAGCACAAATAAACGCAATAGCTGATCTTATGTAAAATTTAGGCATATTTTATTCTTGACGAACTTTTAATAGCCGGTGAACTTCAAGAAACAAGTAAAAAATCAGTCTTGAGAGTAATTACCCAAGAAGATCAGTTTGAAGAACAAGAAGGAAATGAACCTAAATCAGGATAGATGTATTGTAACAAGCTTGAACAATTATTTTTTATGACCAATATAAATATGTAGTAATACAGATTAAAAAATTAAGGAGAAAGGATAATTATATATTATCATGTCAATAAAAGACGAAAAAAAAAAAGGGTTTTATCTACAACATATATTGTTCTGTATTAACAATTGTTTGTTAATGCTTACCAAGATTGTACTATTGAATAGAACAATAATGCATGTTATTATCTACTAAATGGATTTACAATTACTTTTAACATTAACAATGTAATTTTATATATTTATTTTTACTAATTTATATATCAACAATTCAACGTTAGCACAATTTAAGATAGTAATGTTAAAAATGGAAATAAAATAACTGAAGTCCTTATCTGTTTAAAATGCTACTACTTTCACTCATAGTGAAAAATATAACACAGAACCTTTCAAACCAAATATAAACATTTAGATCTATTTTTTTTTTTTAGAAAAGTGGATTTGGGTAATGGATGTGGAATGTGTAAACAAGTGTGAGTATCTAACCTATACTAGTTTGGTTATAAAAAGTTGAATAGGCTATTCTTTTGAATGAGCCGACATTCTTGGGTATAACCAGTCTGTAACATACTCCCCCATCCATTACCAAATTCCATTTCCCTACACAATCTCTACTCTAACTAACTAAGCAAACACACACTATCTGTGATAAAATGACCTCCTTAAAACATCGTTGCAAACATGATACGTCTATGGTACTTATACGTGGAATAACAAAATAAAAATAAATAAAGTAAAATAAAATATATAACTATGAAAAACACAATAATCTTGACAATGATCTCGTAATCCGGATTTTTCACTTGACAATAAGAATTAATCATCTTTCCAATTTACCATAGCTACATTTTCAAGTACTGAATGTATGCAATTAACTTTACTAACGAAAGAAAAGTACTCTTTTCAAAAGAAAAAAAAAATTAAGTATAAAAACTATAAAATGATTATGTCACTTATTACGTGATTGTTAAATTTTTTAAATTAATATGAGATCAATTAAACACCGCGCCAAATATGATACGCTCGTGATGCTTAAGTGTAGTGAACCCTTTTTATATATGATGAAACTAATATTTCTCCTAGTTATATTTATATTGAGACAAAGATATAAATGTAAATAGAACATTGCTGTTATTCTTTATATTGTCGTTAATGTATCGATGTTTCTTTCTGTTTCTATTCCTATATTTAATTGACAATCTTCTGTATTGCCGTTTCATTCAAATTAGCCAAATTAAAATTAAACAACTTTTTAAAAAATTTAAAGCAAAGTAAAAGCTTGATTTTATTCCCATAAACTGTCAAAATGATTCTTAAAATAAAATAATATCATTTAAAACGAAATATTAAAAAAAAAGGTGCTGAAATGCCGGACAAGTGCGTCAATCACGTGACTTTTGGCAAATTTTTTGAATGCTACTTATATATGTTTATGGTACTTGACGAATATCAAGAAGCTCGTTTAGCTCAGTTGGTTAGAGCGTGGTGCTAATAACGCCAAGGTCACAGGTTCGACCCCTGTAATGAGCATTTATTTTTTATTTTTTTTGCCTCAATATAGTGTGTGTAGCATTTTTGATAATATATTTGTTGTCGTAAATAGTGGTCTTAGTTGTATTTGTATATTATACATTATTTAAATACAATTTATGAAAAGAAAGATTAAGAATTAAAATATATGGTTAAGAAAAAAAAGGAATATAAACAAGCAAAGAGATATAGTAAGAACCAATTGTTATAGTGATATTATTTAGCGATGATAAAACCAATAGCAATAAAAGAGCAGGTAATATTTAATGACAACTAAACTTTATTGAAAGAGAAATATTTAGTACTAGAAGCAAACAATAACTGTTCAAGCAGAGAGACTCCAAATATATTATGGGAAGTAATAACAAGAGTAGTATCGGGATAGCGAATTTTGCTAACCATTAGTATAGTTGAAAGGATAATTGGTAAGCGTATAGTTTAGAAAAAGTGAGCAGGATAGTAATACGTAGGTGAGGGAAATCTACGTCCAAGTAACTAAATAAATCAAAGATTTATCTGTTTAGCCAAATAGAGAAACGAAAAATTAATAAAAAGAGGATCATCTTGAGATCAAAGACAAATGACAATAATCCACCAAGAAAGTAAATAACCGAGACTAGCATTATATAAAAAATATAATCAGAATATTATGTTATGTGTTCATTTTTTTGATAAAGTACTAGTTAATTATTAGTGTTTCTCGAATTATAATGATATATAACAAAACATGTTTAATGTTTATTATGTAGTTATTTTGTATATATTCTCAAATATTCTATTACAATATTAACATTTTTTTTTTATTTTTTTATTTTAATTATTCCAATTTCTGTACAATAATATCTAATATTTTATTAAGTGTAATGTATCTTACGCGCTTTGAAAAGTATTATCCTTTGGGGCAAATGATGAAGCTAAAAGAGCTTGACGCATAAATGGTTTAAAACGAAGTAAGTCCATTGCTTCTTCAAATGTGCACTAATAAATTAAACTTAATAAATTATCCTATTATTCCTGTTGCATAGCACTAATCATATTTACCCATCTACGTTTACGAAAATGCATTTCAGGCCACTGATCAAGGATTTGCTGTACTTCAAATTCATAAAACCAAACATTTCCTTTAAGTTCACCATATGAATCATAATCCATAAAGTTTCCTACCAATCCTTTAATGTTGCCAAGCACACCACCTTAGAAATACAAAAATTACATCAATATACAGAGTTACCACAACTATAAAAACACATAATACCCTCTTCATAGGTTTCACGTATAGCCGATTGTTCTTTTGTTTCATCACTTTCCCAACCTCCCTTCGGCTAAATATTAAAAGGGAGAAAGAGTAGTTACGGTTGAGCAATACTCAGGTTGAAAAATAGAATTTTAATTTAATATCAAAACTTACAAGCACCCATACATTCCTATGTTTACTACTAGAAATAACAAGCACTTTATTTGTTTTTGGATCAACTGCGATTGTACCAGTAATCTACAAACGATGAATAGAATTGTGAATTTATGGTAAAGAAAATATAAAAATAAAGCCACTAACTTACTTGTCGAATATCATTTTCGTCATAAACTTGATTTGCTCTACCTATACGTGCTTCTGCAGGATAATTATGGAATTGCATTGTGCTATTCATTCTGTTAATTAATTGAAATGTATTCAAAAAAAAAAAAAAAAAAAAAGTATGTCAAACTCTATATTTTATTAGTAATTATTAAACGTCCGATTACTTTTAGCATATTTATTTCTAACTTCTCCATCTTTATTTTAACGTTAAGGATACGATTGAATACATATTTTTATTTGTAATAAAGTATATTTTCTAAAGTCCTAAGTGAGTACAAGGTATTAAATACAACTGAACTATATAGATTAAATTATCAATATAAAGAAAGGTTATTAAAAAATCTTATTAGAATTAATAAGGAACAATGAAAAAAAAAAAAAAAAGATAGATAGTTTTTAGTAATAAAGGGTTAGTGGAATATCAATTGTAAGAATAATAATGCTTTTAGTTTACCTACATTTAGCCCAATTTGCTGGTTAACTTTTTTAAGGCTAATTATGTATTTCTTATTTTCTTTCATACTCTTCACTAAATAGTTAAAAAGATCCATGTTTACTTTTTTTTTTTTTCTTAAAAAGAATATTATCAGCTCCTTCAAACACTTGGCCTTATTTTATGATTTTTACAGATAATATCATTTGTTCTTGTGTAAGATAAGGATCTTAGGTTATATACAATAGTAATAAAAGAAAAATAAAATACCTTTTCACAGTGCAAGACTTAACTTTTATTATCGAGGTTGCCCATATTCTTTATTAACGTAAATGACTCTTCGAACTCACATCTTTTATTGTTCTATAGAGATGACCTATAGCTTATTTATCACTTTTAATTTTGTTTTTGAAGCATGTGTTGGAAGACTTACTTGGATTAAAGTAAGTAAAAGGAAAAAAAAAAAGGAGGATGCATGTCATAGTGACTGTGATCTATAACTTGGTCCAATTAGATTAACAATAATTAATTATGAAAATACAAATTATAGTTTCTAAATTCTATATACACATCATAAAAGTAAATGAAGCATTACATTTAAAAATATATCTTCGTGTTCTAGAAAGGAATTCAATACAATGAAATACTTTACAAGATAATTTGAAGCAAGCTGAAGATAAACTAACCGAAATGATCAAGCTTCAAACTAGATTAAAGATAAAGATTTTTAAGGATAAGGATGTATGTTTGCTTTTTCTATGATAATATCCTCTTTTCATACATTCACTCATGTTAGAATAGCTTAATTATATGCCTAGCCTATTTATTCTATTATCTATTTTCCTTGTAAATAGCCTGCCATATTTACTCTTAACTAGATGCTACAATGTAAACTATTTTTTTTTTATTGTTTTGCTTAGTATCCACCTTCTATTGTTGCTGTATTTAATTCTTTATTTCACTCTATACTTTATTATATGAAAATAAGTATACTTTTTTCCTTTTTGACCTAGTGTTGCTTTTTTTTTTTTTTTTTCCTTTGACTTTATTTAACTAAGATGAATCATAACAGGCTACATTAGATAAAAAAAAAGTTGCATGTATTGCTTGAGAATTAATTATCACTAATTTCTTTACGTGCTATTTATACGCGTAATATTTGTATTTATATTGTTTTTTTCATTTATAATAAAAGCTGCTATATAAATCTTTTTATATAAATAAATATATAAATAAAAAAAATGGGCCCCATAACGTCGCAGTATCCCATATACTTATCCCAGAGGTACTCGTAATGTTTATCAATGATGGTTTACATCGTTATTAGAATACATTGGAGAGGTGAGCATAATCCAGAAAGAAAGCATACAAAATACTAACTAAGCTATGAAGCCATCCCAAAAAATCACTCATCAGCCCTTTTACAAGCCAACAAATGAAAAAAAAGGATTATATAAAGAGAAAAAAAAGCAAGTTTGGGCATGAAAATGACCTCCTTTTATAGTTTTTTTTTTTTTGATCCGTTATCATATGCTTTAAACTGTCATAAAAAGGCGTCACAATCTCTGTGATGAATCTAATTGGATAATCTTAATAGCACACTAATCGTTATCATAATAAACATAGTAAACAAACGTGATACCAACAATTACTCCTTCTCCTTAAAAATATATATACATGTATATCTCTTTTAATTATTATTATTATTTCTTTTGTTTATAGTCTAATTCAGCAAGAATAATATACACGTTTATATATTCAATGGTATATACATCTTTATAAAAAGATCTTTAGTCAAGTCAACATTTCAGGGGGAAACTTAAAATAAAGGGATAAATATCAAATATGTATATGCGTGTATATACCATTTTTTATCAAATATTTACATTTTTACTGTATGGCAGTCTGCTTTTCCTTTATCTTTAATCATAATAGAGCTTCTTAGTTAATGCGCTTGAAAGAGAGAGAGAGAAAGATACGCTACTGCATAATTAACATACTCGTTATATACTCAAGTTACCTGTTGAAGGTGCTTAATTACAATTTTGGCAGATCTATATCTTCTATATGTTGTGTAGAATGACTATTTTACTAGAGGAAATAGATTATTATACATTCTATTTTTGATTGTTAATATCTCTTTTTACATGATAATTATTGAGACAAATCATTAAAATGGCCTCTGCAATATTTTTTATGAATATGTATGTGTATATATAATTTGAAATAAGTGGGAAAACACTGATATACTCACTAGGTGGTATTGAACAAGTCTAGGTGCTATTCTTTAGTAGAGAACTATATATTCAAAGAGACAAACACACGAAATTATATAAACCGGTATATTAATGATTATATTAAAACAAATACAATAAGTAGATATATAAGATAAGGTACCTTTTAAAGTTCTTAATAAAAACTATAACACCAGATCAAGATATGTAGGAATACTAACTACTGGAACAGTATATTTAACTGGAATAAAGCTATTTTCAAACATCTTCTTTAATTAACAAGAATAAAAATCATTTATACAAAACATCTACTGAATTGGATAGATGTTATGTATATTAGGAACGAAGCTTTGATTTGTACTACTCTTAACTACTTCCATAATAATAACTCAATGAAGCACACCTATTTGAATTCATATAGTTAATTTTTTTTATCTTTTGTTCGTAACTACACTAATAACACTTTCGTAAATAAATAAATTTCAAGATATTGGTTGGGTTTAATACTCTATGTTTATTTAAAATAATTTATTTAATTGATGCAAAAAAGTAAAAAGAAAAGAAAAGCTGTTTATATATATTATAAAAAAAAAGGGATAAATTATATAACAAGAAATTAACGACGATCCGTTGTGCCCATACCACGTTTACCACTAAAGAGATGCTTAGGCATTTTTGTTTGAATTTGTCTATCAGCCTCACCACGTTTACCAAGTTTAGATGCTTGTTTTTGAACATTCTTCTTTTGCTTATCAGCTTCCAATTTCTGTTTAACATTACGGAAACCATGTTTACTCATTTCCAAATCTTCCATTTCATGACGCTCACCAGCAGCTGCTTCCTTAACTGCTTCATCAGGAAGTGCTTCATTATGTGTACGTTTACGGCCAGCTGCAGCAGTCTTTGTACGTTCAACAGCATCTGATCCATCAATACCCATATTAGCCAATTTTTGATTCATCTCACTCACAGTTGTAAACTTAGATGATGCTGTCTTGGGTAAAGCAGGTCTTGTTCTACCATTTGCGGCACGATGAGCTTGGACAATTAACTTCTTACGCTCACGAATAGCATCAGCTGCAGTACGCATAGCTTCTTCATCATCATCAAGAATTTCTTCATCAGATTGATAGAAACCTTCAGCTTCTAAACGTTCTTCTTCTCTTTCCAAAGCTTCCAATTTCTCTTCAATTTCAGGGTCAATAAAGTCAGCAACATTATGACCATCAAGGAATTCAGGAATAGTATCATATTTCCATTCATCATTTGCCAAGAGATATTTCTTCTTAACATCTACATTATAAACACCTGCACCACCGTTTTCTTGTTCAATATCTTTCTCAAGCTTACGACGATTAGGATCATTAGGATCATACTTGACACGATTGTTAACTTCATCAGGAATATTGGGCATACGGATAACGTTGTCTCTTTGTTGAGGTTGGGCCAAGTGAATCTTGTTGATCACATCATTAATCTTATTGCTCTTCATCTTCATTTCTACACGAGCAGCTAATAACTTGTCACAAGCAGTATTACGCACATTCATCACACCTTCATCCTTATAACAAGACATTGTCAAAACAGTAGCATTTTCATCACGAGCAATATCTTCAATCCATTTCTTTTGTTCTTCAGGAAGATCTTCAGGCTTTACTTGATCAATTTTGTTAATAACCAAAACAATAGGCTTGTTGGCAAAGAGAGGCTTAATGTTGTGGAACAATCTGACTTGATCTTCAACACTATAACCACATTGTTCTGAAAGATCCATAAAGTACATAATACATGATCTTAAGTGAGCCATAGCAGTAATAGATTGCATTTCAATTGTATTACGTTCTTCAAGAGGATGATCCAGAATACCAGGGGTATCAATAACTTGCCATCTCATATATTTGTAATCCATATGGCCCACAAAGAGCGATTTTGTAGTGAAAGCATAAGGTTGAACATCTACATCGGCACGAGTAATCTTGTTGATGAATGAAGATTTACCGACGTTAGGATAACCACAGATCAAAAGGGTACGAGTATTGGGATCAATTGATGGTAAACGAGACAAGTGTTGACGAACCTGTTCAAGGTATGCTAAACTATCCTTTTGACGTTTCATCACAGTTGCCATTCTACCCAATGCAGCCTTTTTAAGTTGCTTACATCTGTAAAGTGAGTCACCAAACTTCAAAAGTCTAACATAATCTTTAGCAACTTGATCAATTAAATGTCGAGCAGTATTAATCTGACCTAAAGCAAGCTTATAATGATCTTTATCGTACAAAACATTCATCAAATCAGCATAAAAGGGATGAATATCCTATATCAACAATTATAAATATAAATAATTTACAATATAAATGTAACAAAACTAACCTCTAATTTAGGAAATTCATCTAAAATATTCTTGAACTTTTCATCAAAGTTTTCTTGCGTAAACTTGACTTTACGCATATAGAATTGTCTAATACGTCCAATATTATAATTCTTGTGAATAACAGTAGGAGTCTTTCTCTGAGTCTTTGACAAAATAATGTCAATAAAGTCAGAAGAAGTAGGGACTGGCTCGATCTTCTTGAAATTATAAAGTGATGTCATGATTCCTTTAATGATCAGAAAATAAATGGATATAATCGAAATGATATAAGAGAAAAAAGCCCTAAAAAAAAAAAAAAATTAAAAAAAAAAACTTTTCTCGACTTCCATATTTATATAAACAGTCACAACTAACTGTCACTTTTTTTTTGTTTTCCCGTTTTCAGGCAACAACATTTGTTACTTTCAATTTAATTTTTAAACAAATCAAATCAAGATTTTATTTTAAGACAATTATCAAAAAAAAAAAAAAAAAAAAAATTAGACATTCTGGAATTGTTTTTTTTTTAGACGTTTCTACATTTTTTGTTGAATACATATTACTAGTGTCCAAATTGTCTTGATTTTACAGACGAGTTAGCTAAATCTTTTGCCTGTAAATAATACCTAAGGTAATGTTTGAATTAAATACTATAAGAGTTGTTGGTATTTGCTTTCTTAAAAAAAAATTGGCATACTATCTTGATTTTCATGCTGATATAATGATGCCTATATATCACACTTTTTTTTTTAGTGATGTTAATGTCTTGCTGCAAGAGTTAGTATATGCTCTCAAACATGCGCCCCCCAAATCTTCAGGTTCTACAATGAAAGGTCTGCACCCTGTCGTTTCAATGATTATCAAGGCAACAAAGCTTCTGAATGATAAATATACCAAAAAGTATTCTAGATTGCAAAAACCGCCATATACTTTGGAATAGATATGTCAATGCAAGTAAAAATAGGTTAGACATTTTGCAGTCTATTTGGGAAGAAAAAGGAAAATCTGCTGTCTTTCAGAGAGGAAACAATTTCGCTAGCAATAGTGATTTAGATAACTAGAGCTAATTTGCCTAAATTGTAGTACACACTTGTTAAATTAGTGTATAGTGAAAATATAGGTTATTAGGCCCGTGAGAGATCATCATTTATTTTTATTTACTATTCAGGAACGAAAATTTCTATTTTAGAATAAATATGTATATATATATATATATTTAAAAGCATTGATAACACACTGCCCTAATATTGTTCAATTATTTTTTCTAATAGAAATATAGCTCATACCAAGAAACTTCACTCATGAATGCGTTGTAAGTCTCTAATTATGTATTAACTTGCCCAAATATCAAGTAAAGTGGCAAAGATATGCATATATAAAAGACGTGCAGAGAATGACTCAAAATAAATCGTATGGTCTGGACCGGGCTGATTAAATGTAATCCCTAAAATAATACCACTGTATCAAATAAGGTATCATCCCATTAGATATGCAAAGGGACTTGTAATAGAAAAGGGAATGCTTACTGAATATAATCATGTTTTTTTTTATATATCTATATCATTACGTCAAAAATAATTTTTATTTTTATTTTTAACTGTTTTATCATAAGTGAAAGGCCTTTAGGCAAATCATGAACGTCTATTAAGACCAGCAGGCAGTTTTCCTCCTCTTCTAGCAACAGGCACACCATAAGTTCGTTTTTGTCTTCGATTTACTATAGGTTGTACGGGTATAGATACATTCTCTGGTTCATATTCATCCATTTTCAGTTCGTCCATTTCTACATCATGATTTTGATAATCATAGTATAAATTAGGGTTTGATGGAATAGCTGGAACTAAGTTGTGTGTGTTAATATATGCTTCAACCCATTCCATTGCCACTAGAAATAGCTTGTTACTTAAATAAAATTTCCCTTCCCATTTTTCAAACATATATCCTCGAAAATTGACAAAATCTGCAGCATAAGATTTAACATCTCTTGGACGACGTACTAAAGAGATGTATTTTCCAAAGGCAAGGAATTCTAATGGCTTCATCGCAACAGTCAAATTATTTCTCTTCATTAAACATGGCTTTAAAGATGCATCGTGAACAATGCCTAAATAGACATTAAGTACTTGTCTCATTTTTTCTTTCAACTCATCAGTAGGTACCCAATTACTACAAATAAACTCTTCTAAATAAGGCGCGGTGCCTCTAAATGCACTAGGATCATCTCTAAGTGTAAGTAAAAGATGTGCTGACATTTGGAAAAGATAAGATTCTGTCTTGGTATGAAATATTTCTGAAATTGGATAATAATTGCTAGCTATATCACGACAATATTTGGCTATCGGTGTGTTGTGTGCTTTTAATTTATCAGCCTTTGTCATTGCTACACCCATTTGAACTCTGGAGAAAATTTCGTACTGATTAAAAACAAAAAATAAAATAAATAAATACAAATTATGCTATGTACACAGTGTGTTTTTTTTTTTTTGTTGATTCCTTTACTTACTTCATCGTCTTCTGAAATATCATGATACTCCACTGCAAGAGAGTATATTATAAAATTACTTTATTGCAGATAAAAAGAAAATAAAAACTCCTTACCACAAACAAATTCAAATGTAGTAAATTTATTGAATAATTCTTCCGTCAAAAAGTGTTTAGGAATTGCTTGATCTAATAATGATTCGTTAAAACTAAATAGAAAAAAATATTTATTATTGTTTAATGTACCATTAGTATTTTGTTCAATATCAGTGTTTTGTTCAGCATAATATCTTTCAACAGGAGATTCTGAAGAATGATCAACATAAGGAAGTAAATTTTCCATAAACCTTTAAAGTAATGTTAATCTTAGGTGTATTTAGGCCTTGACATTGATGTATACGATACCTGAAAACAGATGTTAATCTCTGTTTTCCATCAATAACTATACGTGTCTGTTTTCCCTTGATTATACGTGTAACGAAAAGTAATGGTGGAATGTAATAATTATGAATGATCGAATCGATCAAATCTGTCATTTTATTTTTTCCCCAAACAATATCTCTCTGATATGGTGCATCCTAATTAAACAATAAAATAAGTCTTTGAAATATGCATACAACTTTAATACGTTTATTTACCATTAGTATTTCACCTCTTTCAATCATTTCTGTTTTGTATAACTGATTTAGCAACGGAAGTCCACACACACACAAAAAAAAAAAGAAAATAAAGTTTACATATGCATCTCTTTACCTTTTATTTTCCATGTTGCTAACATTCGTGTTCTGGGCTTAGGAAGCTCTCTGAAGTTGTTATACATACTAAGATAATTATTACTGTAGAGAAAGTTATAATAAATAATAAAAAAATATTAGTTGCCTTGTTTTTATTTTTTAATTTTTATTTTTTTTTTTTTTGACCTTTTAATTCAATTGTTTAAAGTAAACCCCGATGACATACTACAATGAATTTTTTATTGACAACCTAAAAAAAAAGTAACATAATGTGAACACATAGTACAGAGTGTAAACCGTATTTCCCGAATCAATTTGATAAAATAGGTTAAGAAACTAGAGACTTTTCAAAAGTAAAGAAGGTGGGAGAGAGTTTTTTTTTTTTTTTTTTTTTTTTTTTTTTTTTTTTTTAAAAAAAAAAAAGAAAAAAAGAGTAAAAACATTAGTGAAAAGAAAAATATCAATAATGATAGAAAAAGAAAACAGATCAATAGTACTAACATCGATTATCAATACATGACTAAGTGAGAAACTTTAAGCCAAGATCAGGTACAATATTAGAAAGTGTTTTGTCATAACATAGATTATCAAGTTCAAACAGTATTCAGTAAACTGTCGGCCGTCGTATTTTCCAAGAGAAAGTAGGTAAATTAGGAGAGGTGGCAGTAGAGTGACGTTTCCCCCCCCCCCCTTTTTTTTTTCTTTTTTTCATTTAGAAGTTGGTTGAGTAGAGATGAAAGTGAATTCTCAATGGTAGTTGGCTTTTGTAATTATTGGTATACATGTAGACGTATAATTGCATATATTCCAGATCAGCAAATATTTTGGGTGATAGATGCAGGTTCTTATTGCTTTCAAGCCACTTGGATATTGAGCTACCTAGACATGTTACTTAACTTTTACAATTACACAATCGCAAAATTTTGTTTTTTTTTTCTTGTATCAAGGCTTACAGAGGTTGCCAGAAATCATAATAGATAAGCTACTGAATAGAGACATTAAGTATAATAAAAGAAAAAAAAAAGAAAAATAATAAGGAATTTAAAAGAAACGTAGAGAGAGCTAAAAAAGAAATGGCTGCAAGTAATGAAGTTAATACGAAACAAAAGTTCATCCCAAAGCAAGAAACTTTTTTTTTGTCTTTACCTACATTACTTGCACTTTTTTAGCTACCGTTTTTTTTTGAAAGGTTCTACAGATGGTGTCTCTTCTATACCAAGAGGACAAAAGTAAGATCCCTTTTTTTGGAGAGTCCTGAAAAGATAGGAAGCAGCAGGTACTCTGATTATAATTATTATTGACGAGCTCAAGGCCTCTAGGGTTTGCATCAATTGACAGTGTGAAGCTTTGACGCTAGCATCACATGCTCATGGCTGTAGTGTACCGGTATACAAAACCTGCTCTACACTGTGGTAGCGAGATGTGAATGCAGACAAGAACATGTTAACCATATCCACTTAGACATGGAAAAATACTGGCAGACTTCTAACGTTCGTCAAAAACTAAAACCAAGTAACAGTCCTTCATTGCTTTATTGTAAACAGCTTATATCCATTTTGTTCAATTTTGATTCGTCCCGAAGAAGAGGGGGTTTTTTTTTTATTGATCCGAACCGGACAATTTTAATATATGAAATAATAATATTTTGTGATTTTGGGTCTTACAACACTTCTTTATTTACTAAAAGTTGATAATAATATCCTCCATTCAATCATTTATATTAAGGGAAATTATAAATACTGTTACTCGATTAATTTCAAAATTATATGTAAAAATGTAATGCAAACCAACAATTAAAATGCTAGTTTCTTCAATAAAATCTATTGATTTATCTCTATTCAAAAATGAAGTACACAAAATTAATAGTGTAAATTATAGAGTTTTTATTTAAAAATAAAATAAATAAAATAATAATACTCAAATAAGTCTTGTATACAAAGTTAAAGTAGTATTATTTAGGTAATATACAAGTCTATACTGTCCTCTTTTATCTTATACATATTTAGATAAAATACTGTGTCATTTTATCGTATTAAAGTTCTCATTCCCGCTACAACAACAAACTATCAAACCTAGTCACTACAAATCATGTTATTTATGCAACATTTAAATCATAGTCCAAAGAATATTTTTTATTCTTTTTTTTTTTTTTTTTTTTTTTTTTTTTTTTGTATTTTTTATTTTATTTTATTTTATTTTATTTTTTTTTTTTGAAAAGTTAAACTATGTCAGGTCCATTACCTTCAGGAAAAACAAGTGGAGAATACAATATGAACCTACAATCATCAGATACACTAGATTTAAGTAATCCATATATTTACCCCGCAAATCCAGTCAGCACAGCAAATAATGACGAGAATGATAATTCATTACAAAATAATGCAAATCAACATTCATCATATACAAGCTTCAATAATACTAATAAAATAGATCCAGAGCTATCTAAATTAAAAAGCTTATTTTGGAAAGGAGCAGGACAATTACAATCTACTATAGGATCCTTAACAGGTTTAGATTCATGGCAAAGATCTGGTCAAAAAACAGAAGAAGAGGCTAGTAGAGAATATGAAGAAGCAGAGGATAGGTTAAAACGGGGTGAACCAAGTAGAATACATGGTGAGTATGATAGACTTATGGGTTATGTAAACTATGCTGTTGGTCATATTGCAGGTGATCATGAAATGCAAGTTAAAGCAGCTGAAAGAAGAGAACAAGGTTCAAGTGAAATCAATAAAAGTATAAATGACATATAACAATCCTATCTCTCTCTATACGTTATCACGTGAATAATAATAAAATAAATCAAAAACCTCCATAGCCTAAACTAAAGGAATATCTTGGTCAATTAATACTCTACTTGCACATTCTAGACAAATAAATAAATAAATAAATAAATAGAATGAAAAAAAAAAAGCAATTCCATAATTATGAATACAGACTTTATAAGAATCAACTAACTGGTATTCTCTAATATATATTACAAGTGCGAAATAAAAGTCTACAAGTGTAAACAAGCAAATTTTAAATACTATTACTACTAATGTATAATAATAAGCGCATATGAAATTAATCGAAGCTCTCTATAATGTGTAGGCACATTGAAACAAAAATTTATTAAATGTAACTAAGGCTATTTTTCTCATAAATATTAACGGTTAACTTATACAAATTGATCTAGATGTGGCTCGAACCTAAAAATATCAAAATAAAATTGTATTTAAACGAGTCGATAATAATAGCTTAAATCAGTTCTTGACAAATATCTAATCAATGAAAACTGTTTAAAAGCAAGCGTCGCAACTATTCTAGTTTTATATTCAAAAAAAAAAAAAAAAACAACACTATTTTTCTTATGCAAAATTTAGTTGGTAAATAGGATAGATGCCTTTACAAAGAACTTATTCTGTCAAGTAAATATAATATAGTTTATTTAAGCTTTAAAAGAAAGGTAATTTACCTCAAGTATTTTTTTTTGTAATTCCTGTCTATTGGTTACTTAAAAGACCGGCTATTTAGAGTTGCTAATAAACATTCTCGTCTAAAATGCACATGTGTATAAATATTATATGACACTTGCATTGTACAGCATGTAACATAACACAATTTAGGACAATTTTGATTGAACTACATATTCTGATGAAATCTCTTTCCTTTTTATTTTTTAGTCTCAGCATCTATTAATTTCATCTTACCACACTTATTTACCTTTCTCTTTCATATTTTGTTTGTCATTAGAATGGGTAATCTCCAAATTACTATAATGGTATACTTATATCAATATTAACAGTTAGACAATCAATATAGACGTTTTTGAATATCTCGAAGATACTTTTAAGGAAAGGATTATGTTCCTTGATGGTGCTATGGGTACTATGGTTCAAAGGTTGAAACTCGAAGAATCCGACTTTAGAGGTTTTTTTTTTTCTTTCTTTTTTTTTTTCTTTTTCTTTTCTTACCTGGAAATAAATAGAATTTTTATGTGCCTTAAATAACATTTTAATATATTACAGGCAAAGAGTTTGTAAATTGGCCAAAGGATTTGAAAGGGAACAATGATTTATTAACTTTAACTAAGCCTGACGCTATTTATAATATTCACCGACAATACCTTGAAGCTGGTGCTGATATGGTTGAAACGAACACGTTTAGTTCTACTTCAATTGCTCAATTAGACTATGGGTTTCAAGATTATGCTTACCGTCTTAATAAAGAAGGTGCCCAGTTGGCAAAAAAAGCATGTCTTGATGTATGTATCTCAATGATTGAAAACTTATTTATTTTTCTTTTTTTTTTTTAATTGACAAATCATAATAACACCAAGTATAGGTTACGAAAGAAACAGGTATTCGTCGACTCGTTTGTGGTGCCATCGGTCCTACCAATAGAACTTGTTCTATTTCTCCCTCCGTTGAAAATCCTGCGTACAGAAATGTTACCTTTGATGAACTTGTTACAGCTTATGTTGAACAAGTACGTGGCCTTCTAGATGGTGGAGCTGATATTCTATTAGTGGAAACTATTTTCGATACATTAAATGCTAAGGCTGCTATTTTCGCCATTGACATGGTTTTTGAGAATGATAAGTAAGTTGCAAAAAAAAAAAAAAAAAAAAGTTGAATTTAAAAATTTGACTGTGTTTTGAATAGCCGACCCAAGGTGCCAATATTTATCTCAGGTACAATTGTTGATCAAAGTGGTCGTACTCTTTCTGGACAAACAGGTGAAGCGTTCATCACGTCACTTTTCCATTGTAAACCAGTTGCTTTCGGTTTAAATTGTGCTTTAGGAGCTGCACAAATGAAACCTTTTATTCAAAACATTGGTAGATTTACGGATGCACATATTATTTGCTATCCTAATGCTGTAAGCAATTTATGTATGACGCATTTATGAATTTTAACTTACTTGATAATTCATGATAGGGTTTACCAAATGCAATGGGAGAATATGATGAAAGCCCACAAACAATGGCAAAAAATGTTGAGCCTTTTGCAAAAGAAGGCCTTGTAACTATCGTCGGTGGTTGTTGTGGAACTACTCCAGATCATATTAAGGTAATTATTATTATTATCACGTATAGCTCTATAATTTATATGTATATATATATATATATATATATATATATATATATATCTTTTGATCGTTAGGCTATAGCAGATGCTTGTAAAAAATATAAACCACGTCCAAAACCAGAAAGTAAATCAGACATCATGTTATTGTCAGGTCTTGAAGTGCTTCGTGTTGATAAAACAACTGGATTTGTTAATATTGGTGAACGTTGTAATGTAGCAGGTTCTAAAAAATTTTGTCGTCATATTTTAAAAGGAGAATTTGAAGAAGCACTTATTATTGCTCGTGCTCAGGTTGAAAATGGCGCTCAAGTAGTTGATGTTAATTTTGATGAAGGTTTATTAGATGGTAAATCAACCATGATCAAATTTTTAAATTTGTTAGCATCTGATCCTGACTGTGCTCGTGTTCCTTTGATGATTGACTCATCCAATTTTGCCGTTATTGAGGGTGGTCTTCGTTGCGCTCAAGGTAAATGTATTGTTAACTCAATTTCTTTAAAAGAAGGAGAAGAAGAGTTTATAAAAAAGGCAAAGATTGTCAAACGCTTTGGTGCTGCTGTTATTGTCATGGCTGTAAATAGAATAGAAACGATTGCTAATAGTATATAATTACATTCATTCATTCATTCATTCTTTCTTTCTTTTAATCCTAGTTTGATGAAACTGGTCAAGCAGCGGAAGCTAACCGTAAAATTGAAATATGTACTCGTTCCTATAAAATTTTAGTAGAAAAAGTTGGGTAAAGTCTTCATTATAGACATATATATATGTATATGTATATAAAGCAATCTTTAAATAATTTATAACATTAGATTTAACCCCTATGATATTATTTTTGATCCAAATATTCTCACTATCGCTACTGGCATGGGTAAGTTCTAGTCCTTTTTTTTTTTAAGAACAAATATAACATAATTAGTACTTTTTTTTTCGCTTATCATGATTATAACATAGAGGAACATAATAATTATGCTGTCGAATTCATTGAGGCATGTAAAGCAATCAAGTCAACTCTTCCTGGTGCTAAAGTAAGTGGTGGTGTATCCAATCTATCATTTGCCTTCCGTGGTATGAACAAAGTGCGTGAAGCTATGCATTCTGTTTTCCTTTATCATGCTATTAAGGCTGGAATGGATATGGGTATTGTCAATGCTGGATTTTTGACTGTATATGATGATATTCCTAAAGATCTTCTTCAATTATGTGAAGATGCCATTTGGAATCGTGATCCAGAAGTGACAGAAAAATTATTAGATTATGCAAAGACTCATTCTAAAGACATTAAAAAGGATGAAGATTTAGAGGAATGGAGATCATGGCCCGTTACAGAACGTATTACGCATGCATTGGTTAAGGGTGATATGAAATACATCGTTGAAGACACGGAGGAAGCACGTCTGAATAAAGACAAATATCCTCGAGCAATTAATGTTATTGAAGGCCCTTTAATGGCTGGTATGAATGTTGTAGGCGATTTGTTTGGTAAAGGCAAGATGTTTTTACCCCAAGTCATTCGCTCTGCTCGGTAATGTCAGCTTGAATATACATATACATATATGTGTATAGATTTCATAATGCTTATTTTTTTTTTTTTTTTCAGTGTCATGAAAAAAGCGGTCGCTCACTTAGTTGAACATATCAAAATTGAGAAAGAAGCTGAAATGGTTTTAACTGGAGAAACTGAGGTAAAAGGGAATGGAACAATCATCATGGCAACTGTTAAGGGTGATGTTCATGATATCGGAAAAAATATATGTGGTGTTGTTCTTGGTTGTAATAATTATAAAGTCATTGATTTGGGAGTTATGGTCCCTTGTGAGAAAATTATCAAAACTGCTATTGAGGAAAAGGTAGATGTCATTGGACTTTCAGGTCTTATTACACCTTCTTTAGAAGAAATGGTGATTGTTGCTAAAGAATGTGAAAAAGTAGGACTAAAAATTCCTATCCTTATTGGCGGTGCTACTACAAGCAAAATGCATACAGCAGTTAAAATTGCACCTCAATATTCGTCCCCTGTTATTCATGTCTTAGATGCCTCACGTAATGTTCCTGTTGTTGCTAGTTTATTGGATAAAAACACAAGAGAAGAGTTTGCTGAAGATATTCGCAATGAATACGATGAATTGCGAGAAGAATATTACGAAAGTTTAGGAGAACGTCGTCTTTTATCAATCCAAGCCGCTCGAGAAAAGAAGATGGTTATTGATTGGATCAAAAACCCACCTCCAACTAAGCCTACCTTTTTGGGTACAAAAGTCTATAATGATTATTCCCTTGAAAAATTAGCCAGTCTTATAGACTGGAACCCTTTCTTTCAAGTTTTCCAACTTCGTGGTCGATATCCTAATAGAGGATTTCCCAAGATTTTTGATGATGAACACGTTGGTTCAGAAGCTAAACGACTCTATGAGGATGCCCAAGAGATGCTTAAGAAAATCATGACTGAAAAACTCTTTAAGGCTAATGGAATCGTTGGCTTCTACCCTGCTCACTCTGTAGGGGATGATATTGAAATCTATACTGATGACTCTCGCGAAGAAGTAGCAGCAGTATTTTATGGTCTCCGTCAACAAGTAGAGAAGGAGACTGAGGAGCCTTATTACTGCTTGTCAGATTTTATAACACCCAAGGGTTCTAATATAAATGATTATATTGGTATGTTTGCCGTCAGTGCAGGCTTTGGCTGTGATGAACTTGTCAAGAAGTTTGAAGCGGATCAAGATGATTATAACAGTATTATGGTTAAAGCACTTGCTGATCGTTTCGCAGAGGCCTTTGCAGAGGCTCTTCATGAAGAAGTACGTCGTAAAGACTGGGGCTACTCCTCTGACGAATACTTGTCGAATAAAGATAAATTTGCCGTACGTTACCAAGGTATTCGTCCTGCTCCTGGTTATCCTTCTCAGCCTGATCACACAGAAAAGCAAACTATGTGGAATTTAGGACAGATAGGAGAGAAGACGGGTATTACATTAACAGAATCACTTGCTATGGATCCACCTGCCAGTGTGAGTGGTCTTATATTTGCTCATGAGCAAAGTAAATATTTTGCAGTTGGTAAAATTGATAAAGATCAAATCGAGGATTATGCTGCTCGTAAGAATATGGATGTTGAAACAGTTGAAAAATGGTTAGGAACAATTCTTGCCTATGATCATTAATTAGAATAATTGCCCTTATTTCTTGTTCTAAAGTGTATGCGCATAGATAGTCAAACTCTGTATAACAAGTTAACTTTATTCCATCATTTTCCTATTCTAACTAAATGTTATTTGGTATTTATTTATTGAAGTAAATCGTCATACAAAAAAAAATATCAATTATAAAGTCCTTAAAGTCAATAATGTCAATTTAGATAAAATTTACGTATTTATAGTTATTTACACTTTTATTATTTCTTTTATTACATCCAATAAGAAATATCTTTCTGTTCTCTCTCTCTCTCTTTTTTTTTTTTTTCCTTGTTACCAAGAATTGGCTTGTTCAATCTCTTCTAATTTCTTTGCATGCTTATTCACAGCTTGCAGAATGTTATCAATCTTCATTTTATCTGAATCTAAAGTAATTTTCTGACCATCACCTTATTAATTAAACATTTAATTAGTAAGTCGTTGTATTTCATCTTTCCTTTTTTTTTTTTTTCCTCTTACGATAAGTAACTTCAATTTTTGATGAAGCATTAGAATTAGGCAATACTGTAGTATTAATTTTAATTGTTGGATTAAGTTTACGTGCACTATTTGTGTTGATCTGATTTAAGAATAATCTTTTTTTTTTTTTTTTTTTTTTTTTTTTTTTTTTCCAAGAGATGTGTCAATAACAAACCGGGGTAGTAAAGATGAATCTTATTCTCCAATTTGGAAATATGTATTTACCTTGAAGATTTCGAAGCAGCATTAAAAGGTGCTAAAATTACTTTGATTTCATTTATTTGTTTCATAAACATGATGCAATCTACTCTTTTGTTTATTCAATTGATATTAAAAATCAACAAGAAAAGCCCTAATCGTTAGTTGTTTTTTTTTGTATGGAAGTATGGCCCTGGATGGTGGTTATTTAAAGCTCAACTTAAATTTCATTAAATGCAGGTCTTTTGGGTAAGAAAATAAATATATGTGTATTTATTAAGTTCTAATAATGATGATCATTGGGTAAATCAAATATGCATCTCTTGCGTTGCTTTAGCAAGACTATCCTCTTTTTGCACTTCTTCTATCATTTTGTTTAATGATTTTTGAGACAAAGAACGAGAATGACGTTTAAATTTAGTCACAGCTTTCATCTTAAAATGAGTCAGTAAAGATAACAAAAAAACTACAAGAAATAATATAAATATTTACCACTGCAAAAATACTTGCAATGCTTTTAATAGCATTGTTAACTTCTTCTTCAGTAACATCAGATACAATATCACAGTTATCTTCTTCAGATATCAGGGTTTCTGTACCATTATTTGTAATCCAAGGATGTTCCTATATCGAATAAGTTAATATCTCATGTTTGAATCTAGTTGTATTCATCATATATACACGAAGCTCCTTCATTGTAATACGGGTATCTGGATTTCTATCTAGTATTCTATGAAATAAATCCATCAAGTTTTCATCTATTATTTTATGACAGTCATACTTTATGCTAATTTCATAGTACAGTGAGTAAATCAGAATATAGTCATGTATATAACATATACTTTACGGAGCTTCTTTAATCATTTCATATAATTCTAAAAAATTTTCGCTTACAAAGGGTGTTTTACCAAAGATCATGCAATATAATGTAACTCCCATAGACCATATATCAGTCGCTTTACCTGACACTTCACCATGTCTTGCAATACATAATTCAGGTGCCATAAAAGCAGGGCTTCCAGCTGATTTCTTTAACTTGTCATTTCCTTTAACAAACATTTCAGAGACACCAAAATCAACAATCTTTAACACATCATCCTTTGACAATAACAAATTGTCTGGTTTAATATCTCTGTGCACAATATCATTAGCATGTACTAAAAATAAATCAGAAATGATATCATCCTAGACTTCAATTAAAACTTACAGTATTCAATACCCAGCATTATTTCTTTAAAATATCTTCTTGCTTCTTCATTTGAATATGGCTTAGCTACTTTACCCATTTCAATGTTCATCAATGTTCCTTTATGCATCATTTCAAATACTATTTTTTTTTTTTTTTGAATAATAATAATAATAATAAGCATATATCATCATCATTGAATATTCAATATACAACTATTACCCATATAAAGCGAATCACTTGATGGATCATCTAATACTTCATATAAACGAACAATATTTGGATGGTTTAATTTTTTTAAAACTGCCACTTCACCACGTACCAAATCTAATGGATTATCAGATACCTTTGGACGTCTATTAACACCCATCATCATTCGTCCACGACCTCTTCCATTACGAAATAAATCCATTTGCTCTTTTTTTCTTAATCTTGATTTACTAAATTCTTTAATAGCCTAATGATGTATTAGAAAAACGAAAAAAAAAACTGATCTTTATTTTTTTTAGTTGCAATCTTACATATTCTGTATTTGTATTTTCATCTATACCAAGATGAACTGTACCAAAAGCACCTCGACCAATTTCTTTTTTTAGTAAGTAATTATTAATTTTACGTAGGCCTTCTTTTGTCTCTGAAGTAGTTGCACCTAAAGTTTCAACGACAACAGATGGTGGACGGAGATGCTTCCTTTTTTGGGTTGGATGAGGTGAGTCTGGTGGTGAAGAATTTGACATGATTATTTATATAAAAGTCTGAACAATATTTGTATATATAAAAAAAAAAAAAAAAAAAAAGGGAAGTTTGTTGAATCTTAAAATAAACTTATGCTTAGTTTAAAATATAGCACGAACTTCAAATTCAGATATATAAAAATAAACATACATTTTTCAATTTAGGAAAAAATAGACATAAATTTTAGGGCCATTGTAAAGGACTAATTAGATATAATGATTTACAGTCAGTAGAAAGTTGATATATTGACAATCTAAAAGCACTTTACAGCTAAGAAAAACTGCCGTGACTAAAGATTAGTAGGATTATTACTAAGGATATTAAATAACTATTATGTTCTTTCCTACAATTATTAATGTGTCGCATCCACTGTCTCTTGTCTTTTTTTTTTCTTTGTTTCTCTCTAAGACTATGCTGATTTCTGATACTTGACTCTAATTGTCATTTCTAAATTGACCTGGGCAGTTCAACAATAAATATTTAAACTCAGACATGGTGTAGTTAGATTCACAGTATACAGGAAAAAAAAAAAAAGTCCTTCTTTCATAACATTCTTTAATATTAAATATGCCTATAACAACAAGATTTGCATCTACTATTTCCAAAGATGCATCTTCTATTGATAAACCTAATTCAGTAAATATTGAGTCAGCTCAACAATTTCGTGAAAAAGCCTTTAATTTACGAAAGAAGCGTGAAAGCCCAAAAGAATGCTCTTCCTTACAGAATGTCATGATACAATTAATCAATCAACTTTTAGAGTATGTTTAAATATTACTTTTCTTTATTTCCAAAAAAAAAAGTATATGCATATATTAATTAGACCTATAGTATTGATAAAAGTAAATTATTATGGAGTAAGCTGCCAGAGAATACGACATGTACTTTTGATTTTATTATTGATCGAGTTTATAAGCTGAAATACAAGGATTTGGCTTCATTAAAGGTAATAGTTTTTTTTTATTTATTTATCTATATTTTATAAGTGATGGTATATTAATAATTGTCTATTTAGTCTGATATTGATTCTCTATTTTCATCTATTGTATTATCAATTGATCAAACCAAAGAGCTAACTTTAATTAAAAACTTGTATTCATTTGTTAATGACTCCTTGAAATTAGAAGCATCTAGATTAAAAGAAACATTACCAAATTCAGATTATATTTTTGATCGTATCTCTTTATTTAGACCTACAACTGACGGATATGCTTTTACCGACATGATTGTAAAAGATCCTAATGAAGGACCCAAATTAGACTATCGTAAGTATATATATATATGTATTTAAAGCATGTAATTATCATAATTTATATTCATTTCTCTGTTAGCATCCCAAATACAGGAAATGATTGTTCATCCAGCACAACCAGCAGAAAAAGAGGAAGTTTTAACCTTAAAGGATGTTGTTGCTCCTGCACCCAAATTTATTTCAAAGGTCGTTAAACATGAAAATAAACCCATCATTCCAGGTAAGGAATATGTAATGACAAGTTCAGCAACATGGCAATCATTTAATGCTTTTGTATATATAGTTCAATGGCTTAATTTTGGCGCCTTTTCAAGTTTTGCTCCAGCTTCAGATTCAAATAATGCAAACATAACATATGAAAGCACATACATGGGAAGGGCAACAAAACGATTAAAGACGAATCGATTGGGAGATGAGGAAGCATTAAATGCCGATTGGCTTGCAAAAGAAGGTTTAGATATCAAAATCATTGAAGCAGCTTTAGATAAAGAATCCGAAACAGTTGATGAAAAATTAGAACAAAATAGTCATTTATTAGAGAAACTTGTTAATTATCAATCAGCAAGATTTAATTCTGATGTATCCAAATGGAACGACGTACATGAAAAGGAAATGAAAACTGGTACAATAGAGACATCATATACATATACATATTTTATATATATACTAATCATATCAATCCTACTTTTTTTTTAGCTAAACTGCTTGAAAAGAACATTACAAAAATGCTATCTAATCTACCACCTAATGCTACTACAAATACAGAAGTGATTGAATCCTCTATAGAACGTTTGCCATTATTTGAAGCCGCTTATAGAGGAACGTTACCACCTCATAAAATATTTTCATTCCCTACAACTGAAAAGGCTGAAGTTTTACCTCCTTACGCTAATATAACACCTACTTATGCAAAAGAAAACTGGCGTCTAGTCAGAGTCACTCCTTTTCCTCCTAAAGATTTACCAGAAAAATCGTTACCGACTTATCGTATGTTGAGTATGTTGGAACAACAACAGATGAGTTTCTACCAAAAACCTGTCTTTTCTGTTCAACAAGCAGCAGTGCCATTCGTTTCAACTAATATGGTCCCCTTATATCATCAGCAACAGTCACAACAAAGAAAATAAAAATATAATGTAATAAAAGACCTTTTATAAATGTATTCAAATGCAAACAATAATAAAAAAAAAAAAAAAAATAATAAAATGCTAAATTATAAATAAAACACAATTGAGTATATATAATAGATAAATCTTGTTTTCAATAATAAATTGCTTGCTTATTCATTTCTTTTAAAGAATGGATTTCTAGAGCTAATTTTATCCCGTCGATCATATGTGCGCTTTCTTGGGAAACTATCTTTATCATCGCGATATGATCTCCTTCTGTCATTGTCACCGCGTTCGAAAGATTTTGCTCTTCGATCATTACTGAATTGGTATTTATTTTGGAAGCCATCAGAACGGTCTCTATCACCACGGCTTTTGTCAAAGCTATCCTTGTCAAAGCGATTATTTCTTTCAAAACGATCGTTTCTATCAAAACGATCATTTCTATTAAAACGATCATTTCTATCAAAGCGATTATTTCTGTCATAACGATTTCTATCAAAGCGGTTTCTATCATACGATCTTTCGTTACTTTTACCATTATCAAGCAAGCCGAGTTGAGCAAGGAACTTATTACTCAAATGAGGAGTCTCTTGAATACCAAGAGAAGTAAAGAGATTATTAGCCTCTGGCACAACCTTAGAACGACGTAAACCTAATGTGCCTATCCTTCCACTATCTATAGATGTAAAGAAATTAATATTAGCATATATAATTGTATCAATGAAAAAAAATAAAAAATAAAAAACTTACAATAGCCTAAATAAGCTGTGTATAGTTCCCGAACTAAATCTTCATCCAATGAGCGGATAGCTCGTGAAACTGATTGATTAGTGTCTTCTATTTTTTCTTCGGTAAGGGAATCAGAGACGTCCAGCCTTTGGATAGGGAAATCAGAAATTTCATTCTTTAAAAACACTTCTTCGAAGGGAGCCAACATAATAATACCTTCACCTTCACGGCCAGCACGACCTGTACGTCCAAGACGATGGATATATTGTTCACGACTAGAGGGTACACCTATCTGGACTACAAGGGAGACACCAGGGTAATCGACACCACGAGCAGAGATATCTGATGTAAACAAAATACTACTATCATGAGATCTTCTAAAACGTTCAGCGATACGAGAACGTTGATTTTGATCCTTCTTTGAATGTATTTCATAGATCATACGATTAGGTAATAATTGTTTAAAGATACTACTGTAGACTATGGTTGATTTGGTCGTAGGTAAGAAGACAATGACCTTACCCTTCTTTGCAGCTTCATAATTTTCGAGATAGTCACGGATAAGAGCAAATTGTTGTTGATAAGGAGCCACAATTGCTGACTGTTTGACATGTTCATGTGTGTTAACGTCATCTTTACCTACGGTATCAATCAAATCGTAGTTGGGCGAAAGAGCAAATTTACCCAAATTATCACGAATTTCCCGAGATATAGTAGCTGAAAAGAGCATTGTTTGACGTTCTGAAGGGATTTGATTTAGAATACGTTGCAATTCAGCTTTAAAACCCATATCTAATAACTGGTCTGCTTCATCCAAAATAAGCACTTTAAGGTTTTCACACATTTTATTGAATGAGGGTACAGAAGAAAGCATATCTTGAAGACGACCTGGTGTTGCGACTACGACATCGCAACGTTCACGTTCAAGTTTCATCATTTGTCTTCTTTTAGAATCACCTCCTACAAGACAATGAACTCTAAAGGGATAGAATCTTAACAACTTTTCAGCTTCTTCTGTAATTTGATTTGCAAGTTCACGAGTAGGTGAAATAATCATAATAGAGGTTCCATTAAAGAATCTAAGATCCTTTGGTGTTTGGCCTGCAACGGCTGTTTCAATTGCAGCTATCAAAAAAGCCAATGTTTTACCTGTACCCGTTTTTGCTTTAACAAACATATCATTCTTATTAGGTAATTTGGAAAGAACAGCTTCTTGTACAACTGACATTTCTTCATATTTAAAGATCCTTTTAATTGCATTTCGGGTATTTTGTTGAATAAATTCAATATCACTGAATTTTTTCTTTTGTTCAGAAACAGGTTCAATTTTAGTTATACTGTCATCATAAACTGTTTCCTCCACAAGTTCAGCAACAGAAGCACCAAGTGCGGGTGACTTAGTATGAAGAAAAGCATAAGGAGAGATCTTTAGATCATTGACAATTCGAGGGCGAATGACTTGTTTACAAGTTAGAGGCAAACGAACTATTAAAACAATGATAATAATAATAAAAAAAAGAGATTAAAATAGAACTTCCTTTTTTAAAAACAAAGTTTAAGTCTTACCTGAGCTTGTTCTTGTTACACTTCTAGTTAAAGTGTGAAAGCTTCTTATCTTTAAGGTAGAAGGTGCTAAAATGTTGCGAAGCATTATTCGTGAATAATAATAAAAAAAAGGAAAAAGGAAAAGGAAAAGCAAAAGCAAGGGTAAAAAGCTGAAATATATGTCCTTTTTTTTTTTTTTTTTTTTTTTTTTTTTTTTTTTTTTTTTTTCTAAAAAATTTATGCTTGTCACAATTAAATAGGGGCCCCTCAAAAAGAAAAAATTCCTAATAAATCATTTGTCAAAATGAGAACAGTTTTTGTATGGATCTTTTTTTTTTTTTTTTTCACTATTATTTTTTAACCAATGTTAGCTTTTTGTTATTTACACTCAATTTTCGTTTATAAGCGGTAAAGTAAATACATTTTCTTCTATTGTGGAGGTCTATTTTGTACTTTCAAGAGGGTTTATAAGCTGTCATTTTAATTATATAGTCCTTTTTATTTTATTTTACTTCAGATAAGAGTATTTGTCTACCTTTGCTATGTTAGTTTCTTTTTTTTTCTTTTATAGTTACACTAACTTCGCCATTTTATTTGTTTACCTTCACTACACTATTTTTTTTTTAACTGCACTTGTTCTTTTCATTTGTCTAATTATTCCAACTCCATTTTTAAGTTTAATAAGTCTCATAATAAATAAATATGTATTGTTTATTTTTTTTAAAGAAAAAAAAAGAGCTATATATGAATCATGTAATTGCTTAGTTATCTAAACAAGAAAGTATTTCACAGAATAGTAAATAAACTGGCAGTCCTCAAATGTATCTTTAGCATACAGTCTACTATGATTAGAAGGATGAAAATGGATTTATTTTAAAAACTTTAAAAATTTTTGGACCTGACGTGTGACTTCTTTGTGACTATGTTTGTTATCAATTAAACTACTATCGAATAATAAAAAAAAAAAAAAAAGAGAGAGAGAGAGTGTTTGAGATTTTTTTCTAAACATCATTCAATCTAAAAGAAAAATAAATGAGTGAAAATAAAGGGTTATTTGCCTTGTTTGGTGCTGTAGCTGCACCGAAAACAACACCCATAAAAAAAGCCGAAGATATTAAAACTAAAGAAGAATTAGCAAGGGAAGCAGCTTTTGCGGCTAAGCAAAAAAAGAATGACAATGAAGCAACTGTTGGTGGAGGTGCATGGAAAGTTGCTCAACGAAAGACATCAAGAGGTTTAGCATTAAAGGCAAAAGCATTAGGAAAAAATGTTACTATTAGTGAAAATAAGCATATTATACCTGACTTTGATGATGGAGATGTCACTATGGGAGGCACTGGTGGAAAAAAGAAAAAGCGTTTGTAAGTCTATCTATTTGATAAAAAAAAAAAACTGGATATTTGACTCATATTTTGCATATTAGTTCACCTTATGGAAATAGAAATAGATCAAAGGCAGCAAGTAGTATAAAGTCTGCGAATGCAATTGATCAGAGAGTTGATGTTTTAGTAAGTATATAAATATAGGAGTAGCATTATGACATTTATAGTTAAATGTTATTATTTCTTTAAAAGATTACAGGATTTGAAGTGGGCACTGAAGCAGGTATTGTTCCATTTTTAGTTCACAAGTCAAAAAAGAAATGGGAGCCTATAGATGTTAAATTGAATCAAGGACAAATGTTAATTACCGTCAATGACCCAGTTATTGCTCGTATATTAGTTCGATTAGATGGTTATATTTATGGTACACAGCAACTTCGTATAAGTCTTTTCAACAATCCTACTTTACCAATGACTTCAGTTGTAGAAAACAACACAAAACAATCGACAATGGATATCCTTCGTAACTTTTTAAAAAGTCGATGGAATAGTGAATTGAAATTTTTAAATTTGGATGACATGGGCTCTGATCCAATTTTAAAAAAATCAGCAATCAAACCACCAGGTGCTCCTGGATCTAGCGCAATTGTGGGCCCTGCTATGATGAAATTAGCAGGGGAAATGTTTGCTAATGTAGTTACTGTTTCATTTGCTCGTAATCACCTCAAGAATGTTCAACCCATTTCAACTTTAGCACAATATTTACCTAATGTACAAAACTTATCGTTTCAAGATAATTTAATCAAAGAATACGATAGCCTTGAAGCCTTGAGTGGTACGGGTAAATTAAGACATTTAAGAGAATTATTATTAACAGGGAACCCACTTCGTGAATCTGAAATCAAGCAAAGAGGTAATGATCGAGCTTATATGCGCAATATAGTCAAGCGTTTCCCTTCACTTGTCATGTTGGATGGTGTTCCGGTTCAGTTATCCGAGTCAGAAATCGCCAATGTTCACAAAACGGGTCGTGTTTTACCCTTAGATAATAAGCCTAGTTTTTTTGATAATGAAATTAGCCAAACTACTGCTATCGATTTTATTACAAAATATCATCAATTATTCGATTCAGACAGATCAACATTAAGCCATATTTACGATCACGATGCAATCTTTTCAGTGACGTCTGATATCAAGTTACGTCCACAACAAAAATTAAAAAGAAAAGATAAAAAAAAGCTAATGGAAGATGAAGACAAGTTAACATGGACTACTTTAAGTCGAAATTTAATAGGCAAATCAAAAAGTAAATGACTTTATATATTATAAAATATACACATTTATTTATCTATTTGTATTAATTTAGGACAAGAAGGTAAAGGTCTTTTAATCGGTCCTGAAGCTATTGGAACTGCGCTTTGTAGATTACCTTCCACAATCCATGATTTAAGCAAAACAGAAGATTTTATTGTAGATGCACATCAAACACCAGTCGGTTTACTTGTATCATTACATGGTGAATTTAAAGAAGATGAGAATTCTTCTCCACTTTCATATAGTCGAACTTTTCTTCTTCGTCCTGCAACTACTGACTCACCGTAAGTATATGTTATTCAATTGTACAATAGTATTTAGGTTAACATTCACTTTTATATAGTGCTATGGCTGCTGGTTGGCCATATATTATAATGAGTGATATGTTATGCGTCCGTGACTATATTGGTAATCAAGGTTTTAAACCACAAGCAGTTATTACTAGTATATTTGCATCATACCCTGGTGTGTAGAGAAGTTGGATGCATATTTAAAGAATATTACATAATAATAATAATAATAATAATAATAAAGAAAACTCATATTTATGCATTTTATTATTATTTTTCTTTTTTTTTTTCTTTTTTTTTTAAAGATTTTCAAGTCAAAATGTCAAGAAGCGATTTTATTTCATTTGAACTTCAAAGGTTAAATCTTTGTAAGAAAGTAAATAAAGTAAAAACATTAAGTGGAGGTTGTATAAGCCAAGCCGCATGCTATTCAACAGATAAAGGAGATTATTTTATAAAGGTAATAGTAATCATTTTTTCTATTAATAAAAAACTTACATAATCATTTTTTTTTTTTTTTTTTTTTTTTTTTTTTTTTTTTTTAAAAAAAAAGTCTAATTCTAATCATAATGCAAGTGCTTGGTTTACAGCTGAATTTTTAGCCTTAAATCGCATTAATGAAGCAGTTCCAGGATTTGCTCCAAAGCCAATCCATCATTCAACTCAAGGACAAGAGATGTCTTATATTGTTACGGATTACATTCCGATGGGTAATAGTAGCAAATCAGATGCACAAAAGGAGCTTGGTCGGTTATTGTCTACTTTACATGCGTCTTCTATTATCGAGCAAAATCACTTTGGTTTTGACATACCTTCATGGTGTGGCACAACTGAACTGGATAACACTTGGTCTTCAAATTGGGCTCATTTTTGGAAATGTCAACGCCTTGAACCATTGTTAAAACAAGTAAAAGGACAAAACGAGGACGTAGATCGATTAGGTAACTTGCTTTGTTCACATATTGAACATTGGCTTGGCGAGGATGCGATTGGACATGTCAAGCCCAGTTTACTTCATGGTGATTTATGGTATAATAATTGGGCTGTATATGCTACAGGTAGCCACCAGCCTATTATTTTTGACCCAGCTTCTTATTACGGACATTATGAAGCGGAATTTGGCATTATGAATATGTTTGGTGGCTTTACGCAAGATTGTTTTGATAGTTATTATGAGACACTTTCAAACCAAGCAGCATCATCACTTGAAATTACTACGAGTGAATGCAAAGAGGACCGAATCATGATTTATGAATCCTATCATCATTTAAATCATTATGCCATGTTTGGTGGTGGATATGGCTCGAGTTTTGTTAATTTATTAGAAAATATTTTATAAATAATACTTTATACACATTCGATTCTTTCGCTTATATAAATAAAGAAAAAAAAAAGGGAGGAATCCTATTTTGACTAAAATTATATTATTTCAACAAATGCAAATATGCTTTATTCAGGAATTATTGGGAAATAAGACAAAGGTTGATATAAATTGCGAGCAGGCAAAGGAGGAGATGAATATTGGGTTCAACAGGGAAACAGCATGTACAAATAACTAATACTGAACGTGATTAGGGGATAATGTTAGTATCTGATTTAACGGTTTGTTCACTTTGAAATCAATAAGCTGCTTCAAAAGAACAATTCATCTAACTAGTAGCTCTCCGTTAACAGTCTATCTTTTCAAGGAAAAATGAGTGCAAATATTTATATATATATATGTGTATATATGAATATATATTTTTTTTGATATTTCGTAGCATTTGATTACAGACCCTTTATATATTAAATGTACTTCAGACTTACAAATGTTTTTATCTGATTCTTTGCTTATATTCTGTCTTGAATGCATCTAGAAATAGTATATATACATTTATGTGTAGTGTGTGTAGTAATATATATATTTTTTTTCCTACCTAGATCAAACTAATAAATAATTTATGTCACCACAAAAAAAAAAAAAAAAAGTGTGCACTAATCCTACATTCTTTTGCTTTCGAATTTTCTTTTTTTTTTTTAAAAAAAATGACACTCTCAGAAGAAGAGGCAAATGCACAGTTAGAACGATTACAGCAAAAGCTTACTTTAAATCTACAAGAAATTGATAAAAACTTTTCTGAATGTAATCAAGTGTTAACTTCGAAAACAATACCAGAAATAGAAAGATATGCAGAAGCAACTTCACGAATATGGAATTATTGCAAAGTAATGTCTTTTCCTTTTTTTTTTTTTTTTTAATAAAAAAAGAAAAAGAAAATTAGAGTAATATTACATGTTCACTAATAACCAATATCCCCCCCTTTTTTTTTTAATTAAAAGATTTGGCTTTATTTTTTCAAATCGATGGATCAAGATGAACAACAATGGATGGAATCAAAGGATATCAGAAATATGACCAATCGACCACCTCATGCAGATTCAACTACTTCTTCTTGGAATCAACGAATAAATCATGAATTATCTGCAGGAGAAATTACTGAACTTGTGTCTCATGGATACATTCGTAAAAATCTTCAACAACCCTCATCCACATCCTCGCAGGGAACATTACAACGATTTTCAATGGATAGAAGCATGTTTAATGATATTCCTGAATATATGCAGTTTGTAAAGAATCCAAACCGACAAATTAAAAGTGCCATTCCACACAAGATATCTACAGGCTCTTCAACGTCTTCTAATCAAGATAGAAATAACGATGCAATCATGAATATCGACGGGATCTCTCCACCACATACACCCTATTATCCTGATCCAGAGAAATTAATACATACACCTGTTCATGAAGCATCACAGATATTAGCAGAAAGCGTAATACAGTCAACAGGCTTACGAAGTTCAGAAGATGAGAATGAACAGTTGAATATTGGATTTAAGGATAAAGAATTTGACCAAACAAATACAACACAAAATTCGAATATGATGGCTATGGATAATGCGGCAGATAGAGATCGTTTTATGTCCTTTGTAGAATCAAGACAGCATAGTTTTAAAAAGATGGCTGAGCATGAAGAATTACCAACTTTAGTTGCTTCAACCAAATCACCTAGCATAACTGTAGAGCAACGTCAAAAGATGTCTGCAACCTATTGGACAAAACCTATCATTCCTTCATTTGAAGAAGAAGAAGAAGATAATAATAATCGTAATCATAATCATAATCAAAATCAAAATCAAAAAAAGGATTCCAGTTTTATATCCCTTTCAACAGTGACATCAACCCCATTAAGAGCATCTAATAAAACAGATAGTGATTTTGGAGCTTTTGAATTTTCAGATGCATTATCTCAAGCCAATGGTCGACGTTCTAGTTTACAAATTGAGGAGGATTTAACGAGTGGATCTGGATCTAATATAACTATGGTTTCAGGCATTTCAGGACAGATCCCAGCCAAATTTGATTTATTGTATTTCCCTGAAAAGTTCCGAATGCCACCTGCTTCTACACAATTAATGAGAGTTCATGACTTTTTCGCAAATAGACCGGGTGAGATGGTTACTGTTGAAAATATTTTATCTTATGTTGATGATGATGATTATACAGAAGAAAATGTTCGTATATTAATCAAATTGCTTGTTAAAAGAAAGTATTTAAAAAAGGTAGGAGACAAAGAGGCTTGGACAATTAGAAAATGAAAGAAGAAAAAAAAACAAGCAATATAGCAAAGTATTACTTCATAAAGAGATTACACATTCTGTATATACATACATACATACATACATACATAGTAAATCGTATAATATCTTTAGACATTAACTTTTAAATAAAAATACAATACACTTCTCAGTTTTTTTTTTAACGTGAAAAAAGAAAGAAAAAGGTGTACATTTATTGAGTTGTTTGCTGAGAAGTATTCTTTACATACCAGGAAGGTTTCTTTTTTTTTTTTTAAAAAAAAAAGAATTGATTAATACATTTTGTTTACACGTATCAATATGCATATATATTTATTTAACTTACAGTATCAGAGCCTCTTTTTTCTTTAACAGCAATATCTTTGATTTTAGCCTCTAATTGACGCTTGGACACATCTTTCAATATCCAATTTGCTTTGGCCTCTGTAATTAAACTAGGGATAGACTCTAACGGTTTTTCATTAATAACCTATATAAAAAAGAAGATTTCCATTCAATTATTTTACAGCTATAGTTAAATATTAAATTTAATACGAACACTAATTAATGCATTTGTATGCACTTCAGTAAATTCATTCTTGTTATGACTTGTAGCAGACGTTGTATTACCATTACTGCTAGTCGTTAATGTAGTATTTGCAGAGATTTTTGATACAGGCTCTTTATAGAAAGGATTATATCCTTCCTTGGGTATATCTACAAAATAAAAGGAATTAAGACATGTGTTTTACTTTTATTATTTAAAAAAGAAATATACCTAACAAAAATTGTGCTTCAAAAGGCTTCATCGTCTCATCTTCTTCAGTTTCACCTTCAAAGAAAGGACCTAAAACAATTTTACGAATAGCAACACGTTTAGACGTACTCTTATGATATTGAAGTGATTTATGTATCACTCTATCATCATCATGTTCTCCTTCAACTCCTTCATTATCTGATAAATATCCTTCAGGCACAAGCCAACCTGCCTATTTTTTTTTTTTAGAGAGAGAGAATGGTTAGAAAATAAATTGTTTTTTGTTTGCTTCTATTTATTTACATCCTCGGGATCAATAATATCAGAATTAATATCTTCTTCTTCTTCATTATCACTATGAATATCTTCACCTTCACCTTCAGGTTCCCATTCAGCTTCACTATCCACCTCATAATCTAATACATCGTTATCTTGTGCAAACGGCTTTCGACCATTCACAACACGACTTTTCTGAGTAAAAGTACCATGATAGGCTGGTCTAACGTTTTCAGAGAATTGTAATAGTTTCATTCGAAGGGCAAGACGTACATTAGGAACATTCATGATATCAGCTGAACCAGGTAACAAAAGTGTACGAACATCAACATGAGTGGATACACCTCTCTTTTGCTTTGATTCTGGTGTGAGTTTTAATAAAAATTGATTTATAGAAATATCTGGATGATTGGTATAAATTGCTTTTTTAAAGTCTTCATAACTGATGTCTGTCTTGAATGTACTACATTGATTTGTTTCGGCAATTGTAACATGATCTTTAATGTAAAATGCTGGAAATAATGTAGGTTTAGCAGGTTCAAGTGTTTTCTGATCTGAATTAGATACAGTTTCAGTTGATATTGATTTTGCAAATAATGAAGTAAGACGTAATTGTGACTAAATAAATATTTCACAAAGTAATTAAAAAATAAAGACTTGACGCGTATATTAAAATTCTCTTACCTGTTCTTTCTTTCTTCTTTCTTCTTCTTTCTTCTTCTTTTCTTCTTCACGTAACCTTTTTTCTTCCTCTCGTTGTTTTCTCCTTTCTTCCTCTCTTTGTCTTTTTTCTTCTTCACGTAATCGTCTTTCTTCTTCACGTTGTCTTTTTTCATCTTCTTTTTTCCTTTTCTCTTCCTCCTTCTTGATACGTTTCTCTTCTCTTTCTTGCTCTGATTCCACTGAATGCTTTGACTTTGAGTCCTCTAATATCATGACCTCTTTATAGACTGTTTGTCTACGATGTTTTGTATTCACAATCGTTGTTTGTTGATTAGATGGTAGACTTTGAATAAAATTAGAAAATACTTCTGTCATCTAAAGAAAGAAAGATAAATATGAATAATACATGCATTGTATGTAGAACAGTGTTTGTACCATTTGTCGATTTTGTCTTCTCGTTATTATAGCTTGTTGAATATCGTTTGGAAAATTTTGTATATCATTTACTTCCCATCGCATAATATTTAAATGCTATAAAAAAAAGCGATTTAGTCGTTACTATATATAAATTATATTTCTTCCTTGATTTTACCCATGGAATATGAGTTGCTGTATGTTCAATAGATTCATACACTTCTTGTTTTAGTCCATATGTACATTTATGTGCTACTTGTTTAATGACTTTCTCTATCGCCAAGTCAAATTTATTTGCAACTATTGACTTGTCCATTAAATAATCGGCAGAAGAAAAAAAAAAAAAGATACATTGTAAAATCCTACTACTTACTTTTTTCATTTCTTAAAAAGGGTGATAAAATATCATTAATCCGACTTGTAAGTACTGTACAAGGTTCATCACTATCTTGAATAAGAGCGGCGATCAAGTCATGATAAGGTAAAGGAATTTCAATTGTTTGAGGATACATGTCTATTGCATTCTCCAAATTGGCTCTAAATATCCTAAAATTGATAATTTCTATCATTCTATAAGCGTTACACTATTTCACTATAAAAATAAATGTTTACTTTCTACAACTTGAGGATGATTCTCTGCTCTCAATTTAGGTTCATAAAAATTTAATTTTCCATCTTTCAAGTATTCGCAAGTAGTTGTATCGCTACTATCAGGGACTGATACTAAAAGAAGAAAACAGTCAAGATTATTGTTATTATTATTTAATATATTTATATTTACAATTTTGAAACTTGTCTGCTATAAATTTGATGTTTGTATTATCATTCGTAGCTGTCGAATTTGGAGATGCATCCATTCTCTATTTTTTTTTTTTTTTCCTTCTTTTTCAAAAAAGAAAAAAAAAATGATGTAGTTTTTTTTTTTTTTTCTTTTTTTTTTATTACTATATATTTTTTTTTCTTTGCGAAAATGTCAGTCACGAAATAAATCAACAACAAGTGGAAAAAAATACAGTATATTAATTTTGATAATGAAAACGCTTCTTACAGCACTAATATCAGTTTATTTAACTCCTTCTTTTATTTCAATAGATAATCTATATCTTTCTATTTGTATCTTTTTAGGGCTTCTTTTATTACATAAACAATTTGTTAGAAAACAGAAAATATAAATATATTTGCATACATTATTATTATTCTATTCTATTTTTTTTTTTTTTTTACCCCTGATCCGGCTCGAGCAGTAGTAAAATTTGTTGTAATAACTATTAAAAGTAAAAAAACAAGTATAAATGACTATTTATTTATATACATGTGTCTTACTCCTCTTTATTTAATTTTATCTTATTAAAAAAAAAAAAAAAGGGAAATGGCAGAGGTGTTACATAAGGTCGATTCACATCAAATAAAGAACTTTTATATTGGACAGAAACATAACGTAGATAAACCAAGTGCATAAGAAAATATCTGAAAAATTAATTTAGAATTCATTGTAGAGATTCCAACACTATGTTAAATACGATTATTGTGAATCACCAAGCATTGAAGAAGAAATAAATGAATTCATACCTTATTCTGAAGTCAAATTTGAATTAAAAGAATATAAAAAAGAGTATTCAAGTAAAGTAATTCCATATATACATGTATCTATTTTCTAATGTTTATCATGTCATGTAGATTGGCAAACAGATAAAAAAAATATTATTATTCAAGATTGTTGTAATCATCTTGATTTCGTAAATGATGAACAACGAATAAAAGCTGCAAAATGTCTAGTCTATATTTCATTAGGTAATATAGTCAAACTGAACTGATAGCTGAATTATGGCTTAATAAGAGTATACATAATGATAGGAAACTATGGAGATCATCAAGATTTAATAGAATCCATGAGACAAAATAACCAGTTACTATTTGATTTTGACATTATACCTGTATTAAAACAATCATTAAATCATGCATGCCATCAATTAGAAACAGTATCCATGTAAGTAGCCGTGACATTGACTACCTTCTTTCTCCCTTCATATAAATATATATACATGTATATATATTATGTATTTGATAGTTAAAAATTCTATATACACATCTATATTATAGAACAAACTCGAATTCAATGGAATTAATTACTTTATATTGTAAAGAAATCGATTTGTATTTAACCATCTTATTTATGGTGTTGATATTCAACAAAGAAAAGGAATCATTAAAAAAGTACAAACTAGTAGAGTTCTTGTTTGACCTCATTGTTAGATTAAAAGAGCATTTTACAAGAACATTTCCTTTAAAAAAGGTAGATGGAATAATGTATTTTAAAAGCTTGTCTATAAAACGCGTAATGTAACTTTATTCTGGTTTTATTAGTTAATGATGATATTACATAAGGCATTATTGATTACATTAGGTAATCCTGATGATAAAAAGGAATACGATGAATTGAAAGCGACTCTAAGAGAGATCTATGGATTACCTAAACATGATAATCATAAGTTCATTGTTAAATGTCAACCAGAAGATTTGCATCATTTTATTCAACAATCAACCGAAAGATATCCCACCTTTACCCCACCTAATAAAATAACAGAAAAGATAACGATCAATCCATTAACCATCACTGCTTCTTCCACTTTAACAAAGGCCATGGGACTTTCAAAGGCATCCGAAGGCGTAGATCTACCTTATCATACCCTTTTCCCATCTAAAAATCAGCAGCAGCAACAACAACACTATCAATTAAATGGCAATAATAAAAGGCAACCACAAACAACAGAGGCTCATCTTCTTCCATTTACGAAGACAAGTGCAGTTTTACCTTTTAGTTTATCAGAAGCAAGTTCTGTATGGATAAATCATTTGTATATTTCAACAGCTAATTATCAAATTATACATGAAAGAGAAAAGGCTATTCATCGATGGGAAAGATGGAATGAAGATAAGCAGCAAGACGATGAGGATGAAGATAGGATATGGATCAATCAAGGAATCAAGTCAGAGGATCAAAGGAATTTATTGAATCGAATTCATCATATTTATCAGTCAATCGTACCTAACTTTCAAAGTATTGTCGTTGTATTTTTGAAACTCTTACTATCGACTGTGACTATGCCTGGAAAAGATAAAGAAGCAGAGATTGTAGAAGATATCAATATGACTCGACATCGAGAAACTATTTCGAAGGCTGTTTCTAGTATTTTACTTCTTTTATTAAAATGGTTCAAGATATCACGTAAACCTTGCCCCTCCCCTTTTTTTTTGTTATTGTAAATTATGACTTGTATTGATTCATAATTCTCTCTCTCTCCTCTTGTTTATAATTTAGACGTCTTAAAATTCGAATATTTAGGGCAAGTATTGATCGACTCTGGTTGTATGCTTTTGATCTTGAAATTATTAGGTTTACAAGAAGTGGCTTCACTTGCATCAAAGAGAACAGACACTGAAAGTTTAAGGTATTACTTATCTAACAAGAAAAAAAAAGAGAGAGAGAGAATTTATTACAATTTAATTCAAACATATATAAAGTTTTTTTGGTTCTTTTAAAGAAATGAATAGAGAAGAAGAAGAAGAAGAAGGATATGTTAATAAACGGAATTTATGTTGGCCTATTAATTTGTTAAGAATATTACAGATGCTAACTAAAAGAAAGATGCATCGTATTTTACTTTTAGTTCAATATAAATCAGCTGTAAATATATAAATATCTATGTATACAAATTCTTATTAATATTTTTTTTTTCAGGCTATCCTAAAAAGACTACTTAAAGTAGGTCATCCTGTGTTGGAATTATACGTATTAAAAAACCTAAAAAACCAAATTCCCTTTTTAGGTAGAAAATGGAGAACAGGTAAAACTTCCATGTAATTTTTTTTCCATTTTTATAAAAAAATAGGACTGACTTTTAAAAATATAATTCTTTGACATATACGTGTGTCATTAAAAGGAAATATGAAGACCATCTCTGCTATTTATGCCCATTGTGTCACTTCATTAAATGATGATTGGTTATCATGTCCAGAAGGATGTATAGATATTGAAGAGAGTGCAGTAAGCTTAAAATAGAAATAGAAAAAGAGAGAGAGAAAGAAAGAAAGAAAGAAAGAAAGAAAGAAAGAATCGTTTTACTCATAATATACATACATGGTTTGTAGGCTGAAGAAATCAATTTACGTATGTTGATTAGACTTTATAATGGGCAACGTTATCTACCTCATTTAATACCTAGTATGGATGAAGTGAATGGACCCAATAGTACTGTGTTCTATAAAAGTAATGATAAAAGACAAGGATTACCAGATTATACATTAAATGAGCTCCTAAAAGACGACTTTGAACTTGATAATGATTTTAAACAAAATTATCGTACTTGGCTTGAAAAAGACATCTATTCAACCGAAGAAGAAGAAGAACAGGAAGAAAAGGAAAAAGATTGGAAAATAAGTACACCTATACCTAATAGCTCACCTGTATCCATTTCACCTGAAGATATAACAAGAGAAATTAACAAGTTATATATTGAAGAATTATCCAGAGAATTTAAGGACAAGATAAACTCCCAAACAGAAGACATGAAGAATGAAAAAGAAGAAGATGGATGGGATAAAGCTATTGATTATAATAGTCAAATGAATAATCCATGGATAGAGTCTTCTTCTTCAATATCAAGCGAGTTCTTTAATGATGATGATGACGAAGAAGAAGAGATAGATAATAAGGAAGAAACAAATAATCCTTTAAAGGGAATTAATTGGAATAATTTAACAGAAGAAGAATTAAAGAGAAGATTAGCCCTAGTAGAAGAAAAGACAGTCCAAAGGTGGCTAAACGTAGATATGAATGATCCAAGATATATGAAGGTACTTAATACATTTGAAGATGAAGAAGGTGTCATGCCTTTAGACGATGAGGGCTGGCCAATTTAAATAATCACATGAAATTTATACAATTTTGTATGTATCACCTTCTCATTTATTACTGCTGAAAATAAAAATAAAAAACAGGAGAAAAAAAAAAAAAAAAAAAAAAGAACTTTAATTATTCGTTTCATATTTTAATTTCTTTGTGTTTCCTTTTTTCTTTTTTCTTTTTTTTAATTAATTATGATAAAAATACCTATACTTGATCGTTTAACCTTTAGAGATTATCAAGGGTAAAAAGAAACAAAGGATACCCATTCAACTTTTTACTAACTAAATATGTTGATTAGTTTGGTTTTTACCATTCTTTTCTTTCTCTGTGAAAGCGTCATTCGGATCATTGTATTGATTTTACCAAGATTTGTTATTAAATGGATTGACGTAGTCATTCGTTTGTAAGTCCATTGTATGATGATGAATGACTATTTTTTTTTAATAATAATAATTAAAATGGTTCCAAGCCTTTTTCCATGGTTATTAAAAGTAGAACATAAGCCTCATGTTAGCCCTTTAGAGAAAGCTGAAGGATTTGAGAAGATGGTTCGATATTGGTAAGGCATTTAGTTGACTTTATTGTTGTTATATTGGACACAAATAAAGTCTATTTATTTATTTATTTATTTGCTTATTTGCTTATTTACTTATTTTATTTATTTATTTATTTATTTTTTTTTAAAAAAAAGGAAAAACTATGAGTGTGAACAACATCTTGTTCGTACTCAGGATGATTATCTTTTATGTGTACATCGTATTCCAGCTTTAAAGGTACCACGTCAACCACCTACAGTGAAAAGGAATAAAGAATATGAAGCTAAAAAGGGAGTTGAAGTCATTGATAATTTAGATAAATTTATGAGGCAAAAGTTACCTGTTAATATTGGCTATCATGGAAAGCCTGTTGTACTTTTGTATCACGGGTTTTTAATGTCTTCAGAAGTTTGGGTATCGAATATTGAAGAATATAATAATTTACCTTATATCTTGGCTAGTCGTGGTTATGATGTTTGGTTAGGAAATGCTCGTGGTAATAAATATTCTCAATATCATGTTAACCTTAGTCCTCGTCATCAACCCTTTTGGAACTTTTCGTTAAATGAATTTGCAATGAGAGATTTACCTGATACAGTGAATGTAAGTATAGAATATATAATATAATGCATACAGTCATGAATGTACTTTTTTTTTTTTTTTTTTTTTTTTTTTTTGTGTGTGTTTATTCAAGCTTTATTTTATTTTATTCTGCATCATTATTCAAGTATATTTTATCAGAGACTGGTGCCTCTAGTTTGACATATATTGGCTTTTCACAAGGTACTGCTCAAGCATTTGCAGGTCTTTCTTTAAATTCAGATTTAAATAAGAAAATCAATCTTTTCATCGCTATGGCTCCAGCAACAACTCCTAAAGGATTAAAGCATCCCCTTATTGATGCCTTCGTAAAAGCCACTCCTAGTGTCATCTATCTTATGTTTGGTCGAAAGACACCATTAAAATTAGCTCTCTTTTGGCAACGTTTCATAAGTCCACCTCTATTTGTAAAAGTCATAGATGCTAGTGTAAAGTTCTTATTTGGTTGGACAGGAGAGAATATGACAGTAGATCAAAGGACAGTCAGTTATCAACATCTGTATTCACTTACAAGTGTCAAATCCTTAGTGCACTGGTTTCAGATCATTCGTACTGGTCAGTTTCAGATGTATGACGAAATGCCTAGTCGATTACCTTATCATACTGTCAATGCTGTTGCAGATCATATCCCTCCACGTTTTCCAACGCTTCAGATCAAGACACCTATTTCCATCTTTTACGGTCGTTCAGATTCACTTGTTGATTTTCATGTTTTAGCTGCTGATTTACCTTCTCCACTAGCCTATGTAAAATCAATCGAGAAGTGGGAACATCTAGACTTTTTATGGGCGGATGGTATTGAAAAGATTGTTTATCCTGATATTCTCAAGTTGTTGGATTATTTCAATCCTTTATTAGAAGATATCATTGACAATGAAGATTTCCAACAACAAAAGGAAGGTTTAAAAAAAAACAGTGCTGAGGAAGAAGTTCTTTCTTCATTTTAAATTAATAGCAGCAAAAAAAAAAAAAAAAAAAAAAAAAAAAATGTATGTGATGTTTACTTGGGGAGAAGGGGCTCTTGCCCAATTATTGTACAAATTTATATATGTATACATATTTATATTGCATTTCTGGTTTTTTTTTTTCTTTTTTAAAAAAAAAAGGAAATTATAATAAACTTTGCTAAAAAAGAAGACTATTTTGTGTCATCATTACTCTTTCTACAACTATTATTTTAAATAAGAATCCAGTGTAATAAAAAAAAACGAATTAGCAGATAGAAATGTTTAAACAAACAAGCTATAATTCAACATTATATATATTACAAGAGGTATCAATTCAATAAAAAGATCCTTTTAAAAATGATAAAAAAATATGTTGCTTCATTTAAAATAAAGCGTACAATACGTACCCTTTTCTTTTTTTTTTCTTTTTTCTTTTTTTTTTTTTTTTTTTTTTTTTTTTTTTTTTTTTTTTTTTTTTTGTTTATTACATTGTTTAATTTCTATTTAGAAATGTTTGGAAAATTTTTTCTATACGTCGAAATTCCAATTCACTTTCTTCACCTGTTAAATTTTGTAAAAGAGGGATAAAATCTTCAGGGACGGTTGCAAATTCTTCAGCATTTTGTATTAGAAGGTTTACAGTTTCTATAGCGCATAAGGATTCATCCTTTTGAGGGTCTTTACTTTTTGAATACAAGATATTAGGAGCAATCACGGTCGCCAAGTTTTCAACTGTCATCTTACTTCCACCTCCTTCAGCGTCCTCGGCAAATTGTGCAACCCATTTCATGAATATAAACAAGACTTCCATTGTATCACGATTGGCTTTAGGTAAAAGACAACAAATTAAATGAATCACACGTTTACGATCTGCTTCTGATTTCAATTCTAGTAATAAAAAAAAAAAAAAAAGGAAAGAAAGATAGAAAGAAAGAAAGAAAGAAAGAAGAAAAAGAGAAGAAGTAAGCAATAGTTAGAAGAAGAAGAAAAAACAATTTTTTTTTTGTCCTTTACTGTATGCTGCAATAAATAATCGATGTAGTTTAAATGTCAAAAGAGGATCTGGTAATTCTCTCAAGAATTTTTTTATTAAAGCTGCTATTTGAATTGGAGTCTCATTGGTAAATTGAGCACATCCTGGATTTTTATCAATATCATCACACAGTTCCTTTAAGCGACGAATATTGCCATTTTTACGAAAGATACCCTCCACTGACATATCCATTTGTTTCATAGCTGTTACACATTCATCAATAAAGGAAGGGATTTTAATCATTCGAGTAGGCCCTAATCCTAAATTGGATTCAATTCCATTTTTATCGACCAAGATATCAATGGGTACGCCAAATGTTCCTTCTACAATAAGAAAAAAAATAAATAAATAAATCTTGTCTTTATACACTTTTTTTCTTTCTTTCTTTCTACCTTTTGGTTTTGGTACTTTCTTTCGTCCGCTCGCTTTCAAACTGGTAACGAATTTACCCCAAAAGGTAGGATTTTGTTGTTCATCAATTAAACCTGCTAACTCTTCAAGTGTAAAATGATCGTGGAGGATTTCATGTAGATACATGACTGCAACACGTTTTAACATAAAGTGTTGTAAAGTTCCTAATTCGGCAAAATAAAAACTCTTTGCCTTAGGAATAGGCTTTGTGTATGTATGTTGTTGTTGTTGTTGTTGTTGTTGTTGACGTAGCACATTCATAGAGAGTCGTGATGGATCATAGTCCATGACGAACTCATGTGGTTGACCTGAGATTTGTTTATTCAAGACCGTTGTGAGATGACTACGAGATAGAGGATCATGAGTGCCTTTTACTTCATCAAACTGATTGGATAAAAAGGCAGTGGTTGGACTAGGGATTTCCATCAGGGTTGAACGTTTACCAACACGATGTGAATTTGTATGCTTTCGATTCAAGTGTATTGATTTCATACGTTTAATATCATTTAGGTTAATTTCTTCATTTGTAGGCTGTTCTTGACAGACTGTGGATGGATAACTACTAGGTAAAGGTGTAGGCTGATATTTGTGTAATAATGACTGAGGATAGGAGTACTCTGATTTGTATTGGTGTTCTTGTGGAAGTTCTAGTTTTTCTTTTAATTCATGATTCAATTCTGGTATGTATTTTTCTTTAATCTCTTGTTTCTGTAAAGGTAATGGCTTTCGATCCATTACAGATCTTTGAAAGTTAGACATTTGTTGTTTGGTTCCTAATATTTCTTTAAATAAGACACGTTAACTTAAAGAAGAGTATATTATATATATTTACCAGAAGGACCATTTAAGGATACATTTAATCTTTGCAAGGCAATATGTAATAAGAATGAAGATTGCTTTAATTTAGATCTATAAGTCAAGTCATTCTTAAAGACCTCACGAAAATCAAGGCCGGTTGTGGTGTTGCATTTTCGACATAGTGTAGTATATGTTTTATCTCCTGTGTTGAATGTATCATCCAAGTAATCTGTTGTTAAAATTGAACCGCATCCAGCACAAGAAAGACATGAATAATGCCAAAGAAGGTTTTCATATCGAAAGCCATCCTCTTCACACATCTTATGGCAAAGTTGGCACAAGTTAGAAGGAACTGAAGAGTCCTCTTCCTTCAAAATACGTTTCTTTTTATTGGCCAACTCCATCAGTTGACTTAAGAATTCACTAACAGCATTTGATTTCTTATTCTTTCTTTTATCTAATCGTAAGGAACCTGTCAAGCCAATACGAATCAAGACTTTTAAATATTGAGCAAGACCGGTGACGAGAGTAAGAAGATCTTGAGTGATACTCATCTTCTGATGAGTCTCATTTCGCTGAGTATTTGATAAAAGAAAAAAGAAATTTGATACTTTTTTACAAAGCATGGTTGTTTCTCGATCATAAGGTAAATTCTCATTGATTTCTTCATGGTAATATTTGGCCAGTTTATCGATAGCTGTAAATAAAACGTCCACATGGATTACGAAATAATCTGCCATTTTTACACCTTCAACATAATTGCCTTCTGAAAAATTTAATAACATATCTGAAATACAGCCAGCAGCGGATTCTAGTCATATAACATATACATCTATATCAATTCATAAAATTGGAATTAATCCTTATTTTCATTACCTTCAAAAGCAGATAAAATTGTCCAAATTCTATATATTTTTTCTTCGTTTTTTTCATGAAATTCACGAAGTTCACTTCGAGACATTTGACTGAGATCTAAATTATAAAGTCGCAGGAATGTTTAGCATACAATTCCATTTTTTTTTTTTTTTTTTTTTTTTATTACTGTTTTCATTTAAATCTTCAGCAATGTCTTCAAATGTTTGACCTAATCTAACATTCCAAAACTATATAATGAAAATGGAATTAACTTTTAAAGCTTCCCTTCCCCCTTTTTTTTGACTTTACTTTATGTATCATATAACATTCGGGATGCCAACGTTCATCTATATTGTTTCTATTGATCTCGACAAATTGTTGAAGAATTAAACATTGACAACCGGCACATTTAGTAGCGTGTTGAATCGAATAGTGAAATTCACAATAAACATCGTCTCCATGTTCATAATAAGAATCGCATGGACCAAGAACCATTGTACATATACAACAGCGAAAATGCTCTAAATGAAATTTTTTACCAACAGCAGTAATATAAGAACCATGTAGAGCATCCCCACAATCATTACAAGTTAATTCTAATCTTTTATAGTAATCTTTTTCACAAAGAGGTTTTTGAATGCCGTCTTCAAATTCAAAAGGGAAAAATTTCTCTGCAACAGGTTCATTACAATCCTATCAACATCATCATCATCATTATTAGAAAAAAAGCAAAAAGTTAATATGATAGAGCTCCCCTCATCTTATATATATATATATACATATATACATTATTTTATAATATAAATTTACAAAGCAACGGAAACATTTCCAATGATAAACACCATCTAGAGCGCGTGCCAAGTTTCCCTCCAAAGATTGTTGACAGGAACTACATTTCAGAATTGTTTGATTTGGAGATGGTAATGAAACAATAGTTGATTCTAGTTGAGTCATTATATAAATAAAGCAAAACGAAGCAAAGCAAAGCAAAGATATATATTTATATGTGTATATGTATACTTATGTATGTATGTATATAGTTAAGTGAGTGGATAAGTAGTTAATTATGTAGACTAGTAAAATAAAAATAAAATAGGAGAGAATATATATAAAAAAGGTTCTAGAGTGAATAAAGGAGAGGAGTTTGTTGTTGTATAAATAATATTACACAACAAAATATATATTCTATAAAGTGAAAGTATAAACGAATTTGAGTACCGGAATTATTATTTGTGCCCTCATAAAATTAAAAAAAAAAAAAAAAAAAAAAAAAAAAAAAAAAAGAGGATAATCGTTCCTGTATACAAATAAAAGCAAAAATGTCATTCATATTCATTCATATTTTCTTTCTTTTAGAATGTAAATTTCTAACCTGATTTCTTTTTTTTACATAAAAATGAAAGAAAAGAAGAATGTATACAATTAAAAGGATTTATTTGAAATTTTGAAAGAATGGGGGGAGAGGGGGAAACGAATTTACTTTGATTCGATTTGTTTTTAAAGCCAGTTCAAGTAGAAAAATGCTTGGTGGTGGACGATCTTGAAATTTGTACCTAGAAAAAAAAAGTTTATTTAAAGAAGCGCGCGTATCATTTGGTAGTGTCTATTTAAGTCCTACTACTAAAGTAGAATACATGAAATTATTCCAACTGAGCTCACATGTATTAAAAGTTGCCTCAGTCTTATTTTCATAAAAGATAATTAAAAATCCTATTAGGGTCAAGAATAAAAAGAAAAAAGTATAACCATGTCATAATTAGTAAGAGAAGAAAGTCCATGAATAAATCTTTGTCCGGGTTATAATAGTAATAAAGATACAATTTTTATGGAAAAAGGAAATAATAATTGAATTTATAAAGAATTTTCCATATAACTAGTCAAGGAGGGGTATTAGAATATAGGCAACTTTCATATGCAGAAATTAAAAGAAAAAAAAAAAGAGGTTTTTAGGGGAACGTCAATAGATATAAGTAGTACTTGAAATAAATGATATATTCCGAGATATTATATGATATGTTACTTTGTCAATAATTGTGAATAATAGGTCTAATAGTTACCAAATAACTAATTGTATGCAACAAAAGACACCAATAGCCAAATAATTATGACTAATAATATACAGTGCAGCAACCTAGAAAATGATTGTCTTTAAAGAAAAAAAAATCAATTTGTCGGTTTCATTGGAAGATTGTCGTATACGTATAAGTGAATGTTTATTAAAGTAAGCAGCTAATTGGGTGTTCCTTTTATTATGGCAGCTGATGATTTGACGCTTAGAGTGTCTACCAAATCCATAAAGACCACGGAGGCGTACATCGTTACATGCATCTGCAATTCTTTAAGACAGTTTTTTTCTTCATTCATCAGCCTGTGATGCTTCAGTTTTCTTTTTACGATGAGACGTATGAATAGTACAGTTATCCATGACAAGATAACTACCTATAAGTCTTTTGTCCATGTCCACGATATCAAGAAGCTCATTCATGAAATTTACAAAATGAGCAGTAGTTGCACCCTTTGCTACTACTGACTTGTTATTCTTGATTTAGAAGCGTCGGCAACTATTAGACACTATTGTAATTCTCACGAACCAGAGCGAGAACAGATTGTTAAAGGAAAAAAATGGCTGCTCTCGCAGAAAAATCAAAGAAGCAAAAAAGGGAATTACCATGAGTACGACAGTGAGCAGAAATCATTTCATGTTTACTTCAACAAAGTATTTGAAGAATTGAAAGAACTTTGTCTAGCCACGGATGATGCGCCCATTGATATTGAAAAAAAAAGTCGAATTGTGTCAAATGTTTATTGCTGTTTCAAGTTGAGGTAGTAATATTCTGTAGAGTACTTTAAGAGTCTTTATAGCCCCATTTTCATAAAAATCAAGAAGCATACGTAGGTATTTGCATTTTGGATAAGAAGCTTTACTTGGTCTGTGGTTGGAAATAACATGAGGTTGGGTATATTATACAAACCTAGGCATTATTGGAGTCGCTTTCATTCTTTGGTGGGAACCAAACAGGCCTTATCCATTCCTTGAGGTTGGCTTTATCTTCATTGTTACTGACTTGGGACATAGTTAGCTTCTTTACTGTTTTTTCTATTCTTGACACTGTGTAGCTGTAGCTCAGTAATAGTTTGATTTAGTTGCTTAATATCCGCCACAAGTTTCTATGTTGAAAATAAGTTTTTAATTCGTATAATATTGCTGATAATAGAACTTGAATGCTTACTTACCTTAATGATATTTATGTCTAAGATTGCTCTTGATACTACTTCATCTTTAACTTCAAATAAGATCGTTGATAAAGAGATGATGGTAACTTCGTTTATAATATACAGTCCATTGGAGCTCAGATATAAAAATACATGAAATGTTGCTTCTAACTTTGCAATGATAAAGAAGGGAGTGTATACTGGCAGTGTGCTTTCATAAAACCTGGGGAAACTTTCAATAAGCTGATTTAGGTCTATTTTACTTGATAGCACTGTTTTAAGCTTATCTGTGTCGAACTTGGACTTCGAGATATCCTTTACAATTTTCCCTGTGGCAAAATCAGGCATTTTTTTTTTCGTCCAGAAAAAATCTAACATTTTGTCTCAATTTAAGTTATTCTCCTCTGTCCCATTTTCGTATTTCTGTCCCAATTTAATTCTTGAATGATCCAATTATTTTTTTATTGGACCAGCCTAGTTTCCCAGACTGTATAAACTTATTCAACTGACTAGCTTTTATCAAGTGCATCCATCATATTTGTTAGGTAGGCTAAGAAATGCTCAATTTTTGTTCCAACTTTACCATTTATTTTTACTTCCTTACCATCTGCCTTTCCTTTTTTTTTTTATAATTCTGGGCAGTACGAATCTTTATTTCAGTGACTAAAGCAGCATCTTTGGCACGGAAGCCATTTACAATAATTAAATCAAGGAATTTTTTTTAATTTGCCCAAAACTATATTTCCCATAAGAAACTTTCTCATTTTGATTTTAGCAGTCTTCTGCTTTTTTTTTCTTAATGGCATTGATTCTACCTTTGTGCCTTTAAATGATTTTTATATATCTTGATCTCATTGGGGCAATATTATATATTTTTATATATTTATATATACATATCTCGTGCTCAAAACAATTTTCTTAATAAAATATTACTTAAACTACTTGTCGCTCCTTTTTTTTTCTTTCAAACTTTTGAGATCTCTACAATGATAAAAACTTTTTATTTCAAAGATAGAATGAACACTCTTTTTGATGAGTATGATGAAAGAGTTTATAATCCCATAGAAGGTGTCTTAACAGAAATTACAGACCCAAACATTGTACTTGAAACAAAAACTAGCCGCGCCGCCAGCTGCCAGAGTTATTTAGCTAGTAAACCTACCAAATCATCAGTTTACAACACTTATACAGGCAAGCAAAGAGAGGATTTGATTGATAAAATGATTGAAAATTCTGAAGAGAAAGAGAACATCACTAAATTCGCCAAAGAATTTCTGATTAATCCACGTACTGCGGAAAGATGGTGGAAAACATACCAAAGGAGAGGTACCCTACAAGAAATCAAAGAATAATAGTGAACCTACGAGCACCTTTACTGAGGAACGCAAGGATTTTATAAACAACTTGCTAGATGATGATCCTCAGCTTGTTGCTGACGACATTATAGAGGAGTTGACTAAACAGTTCCAAGACTTCTCTATATCAAAGCCGCAACTCTTTGTAGTAAATTTCTAGCTCACCAATTTCTAGCTCTATCTGCCCAATCAATTTTCATACTGCTGTCTTTTTATAGTCCTACTCTTGAACTGGATCCCATCCTCTGGTTACCTATGACTACCTCGGAACGGTGCCGCGTACTTTGCTGGTGCCTTGGCTGGCTACCTGGTAGTAAACCTAAGGAATGTATCTTTCACCCCTATCATAACTAGAGTTGTCGCCATGCTTTTGAATGTTTGCATATTCACAACCACTTGTACTTGCTTTCCTCAATTGATGATCCAGTATCGTTCCTTCTCAATTCGCTCATACTGCGTAAATCTCGTTGTCCCTCCGCTTGTCTCAGTTGGTTTACCCTTTAGCCCATCCTATATACCATTCTATATGAATTGGATTATTATTTCCATAATCAATTGCGTCCCCCTCCTCTTGTTGATCCTGATCGCAAGCTGTTGAACTAGTTACTCAAGTAATAGTATGAGTCTCTCTGATTACTTTGGTTTGTTTTTGTTTTATTTATTTATTTATTTATTTTTTTTTTTTTTACTCTATCTCTTTTTCCTTATTATATCATATTATTTTGCTCTTATATTTTTTCCTTTTCCTTCTCCTTTTTTCCCTCTTGTCCTTTAGGAGGGTTTTTATTCTTATAATACCTTTATAGCTGTCTCGGGCAATATAGCACATTCCGTTGCTACATACTCTTTGCCAAAAAAGAAAACACCGAAATAAAACAGAATTTAATCTTAGCAGTATTAATTTTGTAAAAGCATATTAAAACCCAGGTTTCCATACACTTTATATGGTAATCAACACGGGGAAACGGAAGGGGAGCAAGAAAGTAGTAACGAAAAAAAAAAAAAAATAAAATAAAATAAAATGAAATAAAAATAAAAATAAAAAAAAAATAAAAAAACAAAAAAAAAATCAATAAATATAATACATTTGTATTCTTTTCTTCTTTCTTTTATTTTCTTTCTTTTTAAATCTCTAAAAGTTCAGAATGAAGAATTACACTACGATCAAAGAGAAATCTTCATTTTGGAAAAAATTAGGCTTAGGAAAGAATAAAGCAACTGCCATAACATCTTTGAATAAGCAACAAGGTACATAAGATTGGTATTTGTTAGATACATTAAATCAATTTTTCTCTTTCTCTCTCTCCCCCTTTTTTTTTGACACGAGCAGTTTATATAAATAATGATGATTCAGTCTCTATTAAAAGTAAAAAGAAAGCAAAGTAAATACTTCAAATAATTAGATTCATTTTCCCCTTCCCCCTTTCTTTCATATTTATTTATTATACATCCTGTTTTCTTTATAGTATTAATAGTACTACTTCATTATTATCCTCTCATAAAAACCAGTCACTAAATAAGCAACCTATAAAAAGTAATAAGGATGAATATGACACAACTTCTACAAAGAAGCAAGAAGAAGGTATAGTCTACTTACATGTACACAATCCTATTTTATTTATTTATTTTATATACTAGTAAATAATGATAATGCTAATGATATGGTTACACCGCAACATAGTCACGATAAATCATCAGATAAAACTAGTACTCTATCTTTTGTTGTATTTGAAAAAAAGGATGAATTATTAGAAACCATATCAAGATTACAGCTTGAATTAGAAGAGGAAAGAGCAACTGTAGATGCATTACAAAAGCAAAAAGAAGGTATATAGCATTGTTATTTTTTCATCTATTTATATGTATGCATACATATTAGAACTTATTCAAATTCTATCATATATATTAGCTGTCACAAAGGATTTAGATTATCTTGAATTAACTGTAGATGAGTTATCAAATGAAAGAACTGAGCTAATACAACAACTAGAAGAAGAAAAAATTGCAAATCAACGACATTTAGATGAATTAAACATATTATTAGATAAATTGAAGTCAACGGCTGATAATGCTAGAGATCAATCTTTTCAAATGTCTCAATCAAAGCAAGCATTTGAGGTTTTTTTTTCCTTTTATATTCAGTATAATATACTATATTAACACTTTATTTCTTTTAGAATTATCGAATGCAAGCAGAACAAGAGAAAGAAGATCTATTAGATAAGATTGATGACAAAGATAAGATAATTCAAGAATTAAAGGTAATAATCATATTTAATATTCAACATGTAATAATAATTTTTCTTTTTTTCTCTTTTATAATTAGTATGATTTGAAGAAAGCTGAAAATCAAACAGAAACATTAAAAGAAACAATTGACAAGCTTATAAAGTCTCATGCTGCTGAAATAAGTCAACTTACCTTAGAAAGAAATTATTATACAACTCCTCATGGTTCACCTACGTTATTAAAATCAGAATTAAATGAACCTGAAGATCAACAAACACAGCCTATTACAAATGATATGACAGTCACTCCATTATCTGATAATTCTATAAAGGATGAAGATCTTGATGAACAATTAATGAAATTAACAAAAGAAAAAGAAAAGGTAATCTATAAAATTATGCTGGGATTCTAATTTATTATACCCCCTTCTGACAGCTATTTATAATTAATAATAGCTTCAATCATTTTATTCAAAAATTCCTTTATCAGGAGGTGGACCTCAATCACGTAAACGTAAAGAAGAGTTAGAAGCCAAGTTAGATCAAATTGATTCTCAACTTAGTAAAGTTAAACAAAAAATTAAAAGATCTTAAATAGTGCCATTCCTTTCTTCCTATATACCATTTATGCAATCAATTATTACCATTCCTTATTATTATATGTTCATTCCTATAGAAATAAAAATGTCATTCCTTCTTCATTTCATAAATAAACTTTTTATTAGTTTTATGCTGATGCACTTTTAGAACTTTGAATAATCTCAGCAACTGCAAAATGCTTATGTTTACTTAGTGGTCGACAAGCTTCAATACGTACAATATCGCCTAATTTACATACTTCTTTTTCATCATGAACAAGATAATTTTTATGTGTTTTAATGGTCTATAAGCAAAATTATTGAAATTCAAGAATTAAATATACTTGTACATTTTATTTATTTATTTTTTTTTTTTTTCATCTATACCTTTAGAACAATAGGATGCACTTTTTGTCTTGTCACTTTCACTTTAATAGTTTTTTGCATAGCATTACTGACAACCATACCAATAAAGTTTTGTCTCATTTTGTTTTATTATAATTAGGTTAGGTATATTAAATTGAAGAGAGAAGAGAGGGGAAGGGAGGGGGGGGGAGGAGAAGGAAGCTGGGGGGGTATCTAAAGAAATAAGTACCGCTTTTTTTTACATCCAATATAAACCAAAAGATAACAAGTCACTTATATCTAAATTTGGACATACCAATATCAAAGCAATAATAGATAACCCCACCCCTCCCTCGTATCCTACTTTTCATTTCACAAGTTATACCCCGCAATATGCTGTCTACATTAACACGATGTCAAAAAGTTCCTACAATGCCTAAATTTTTTAAAGAGAATTTAACACTAGATCATGTAAGAAAAAAAATATAAAAGTATCCAGTATTAAACTCACTCAAATAAGTTCATTCTTCGAGGACATGTCATTTCTTTATATCGACAAATTGTAAGATGTACAAAAGGAATGGATAAAAATGATGCTAAAGAATTAATGCAATGGGCAAGAGCAGACTTTGAACGTCACCGTAACGAAACTAACATTGTAATTTCTTGGTTTATAAATAGATATTCAAATATAGAATACTTTAATATTTATGCTTTATAAATATACATAATAGGAAACAATTAGATCTTTATTATCTTCGGGGAAACATCAGATGCATTCATTACAAAGCTCAGTTAGTTTAGCTCATACAAATAAGAAACTCTAAGTCGTATATATAATAATAAACTTGTGATTTTCTACAACAAACCTTTCTTTCTTTCTTTTTATTATTCATTTTATATATCTATGATTTAATGTTTCTATTATCTAACGTCAAGAAATTGCAGCATATCTGTTGACTCAGTGATTTAAGAATGAGCCTGTGAAATGGATCAATCAAATAATCTCATATCAGCATCCTTAGGGTAAATGAAGCTATAATAATCTATTTGCCCTAGTAAAATAGTCCTTCTACACAACATATAGAAGATATAGATCTGCCAAAATTGTAATTAAGCACCTTCAACAAGTAACTTGAGTATATAACGAGTATGTTAATTATGCAGTAGCGTGTCTTTCTCTCTCTTTTAAGCGCATTAACTAAGAAGTTCTATTATGATTAAAGATAAAGGAAAAGCAGACTGCCATACAGTAAAAATGTAAATATTTAATAAAAAATGGTATACACATTTGCTTATACATATTTGATATCTATCCCTTTATTTTAAGTTTCCCCTGAAATGTTGACTTGACTAAAGATCTTATTATAAAAATGTATAAACATATATATTATTCTTGCTGAATTAGACTATAAACAAAAGGAATAATAATAATAATTAAAAGAGATTTGTGTATATTTTTTTTAAGGAGTAATTGTTGGTATCACGTTTGTTTACTATGTTTATTATGATAACGATTAGTGTGCTATTAAGATTATCCAATTAGATTCATCACAGAGATTGTGACGCCTTTTTATGACAGTTTAAAGCATATGATAACGGATCAAAAAAAAAACTATAAAAGGAGGTCATTTTCATGCCCAAACTTGCTTTTTTTTCTCTTTATATAATCCTTTTCTTTCATTTGTTGGCTTGTAAAAGGGCTGATGAGTGATTTTTTGGGATGGCTTCATAGCTTAGTTAGTATTTTGTATGCTTTCTTTCTGGATTATGCTCACCTCTCCAATGTATTCTAATAACGATGTAAACCATCATTGATAAACATTACGAGTACCTCCGGGATAAGTATATGGGATACTGCGACGTTATGGGGCCCATTTTTTTTTATTTATATATTTACATAGCAGATTTTATTATAAATGAAAAAAAAACCGATATAAATATAAATATTACGCGTATAAATAGCACGTAAATAATATCTCACTGTAGACATTTTTATTTTTTTTTTATTTTTTTTTTTTTTTTTTTTTTTTTTTTTTTTTTTTTTTTTTTTTTTTTTTTTGCTTATTTATAGTTCTACAAGGAAAGACTTTATCATGTCATTAATAGTAGATTAAATAGATTACTATGATTGCAGTTAAAAACAGTGTTCTTGAGTTGACTTTTTTGACATACAGAAAATATACCCTAAACTATCGACAAAGCTTAATATCATTTGTAGTTGGATATATTATTCTTTTTTAAGTACTGTCTATCTATGCTGCTTTTCGCCTCTACTCATATCACAAGTACTTTGTTTCTATTTCTGAATTATGTTTTCTTAATATTTCTAGGCCATGCTTTAACACTATTTTCTTACATTCTCAATATACCCAAGTCCTTTTTTTTTTTTTTTTTTTTTGCTTTATTAAAAAAGGCATGTAACTTGTTATATGGTAAAATCACAATACGCGTATAAATTTAAGTAGAAGAATAAAGAAGATTCTTTCTACTCCTTTATATAATAAATTAATAAGGTTATTATCTAAGAAGGAAATATGTATATAATAGCAAAAAAGGCTTTTCTTTTTTTAATAGTTAAACTAACTCTATTTATACGCTATCACAGTATTCTTTATTCATTCCTATATCTCTTTTATTCATATTATTTCCTTATAGAATTAGGCGAAATAGTAGTTGCGGCAGAAACAGCAGCCAAAAAAGCAGTCTTTTGTTTAAGATTAAATGTAGGATTAGAACCAACTAGATGGCTCACAGATGTACCTTCTATGTTTGACCATTGAATATTTGAACCCACATTAAGATATTGATTATAGTCATCCTCCACTTCTTTTAATAGTAACTCTTTATCATCTTCTTCTATTACTGCCATTTCTACAGAAGGAGTTGAAGTCATTGCTTCAATGGATGACCAATCGATATCTTTATCAATGAAAATAGTTGCTCTGTGTGCGCGTATTTCTTGAGGTTGCTCTTTATTACGTTTATTAAATGAACGTCTATCGTTCTTGTTCTTGTTATCGTTCCTGTTCCTGTTATCATTCTTGCTATTGCTATTGTTCATGCTATTGCTATTGCTATTAATATCGTTATTGTTATTGCTATCATTATTGTTATTATTTTTGTAAACTGCCTTTGCTGCATGAGTGTCTAGTCTATTTCTATTGTTACTCCTCATTCTAGGTTTTTGATCTTCAACGGCATCACTAAATTGATCATCATTAGTAGAGGCATGCTTTCTTGAAGAAGGAGTGAAAACACCGTTACGATTATTTCGAAATCTTTTATTGTTAATTAAGAAAGCACTAAGAGCATCATTGGCCTCTTCAGCTAAAATCTTACCACGACCTGTACCTCCCAATCGTGAAGATAAAGAAGGTTGTACTTCTTGGTCTTTCTTTTCTTCATTAGCAACAGGGGTCATATCATTTGGAATGGTTGCGTAGTTTTTAAAACATGAATAAACGATAGGGTTCTTCCATATAGATGATTTAGAAAGATTATTAGTTGTAGTTCTTAACATTATATAGAATAAATAATAAAGAAGAAAGATTATATCCACATATCAAAAAGCCCTGGTGAATTATTAGATAATTAAACAAGGTCACAAAAAAAAAAAAAAAAAAAAAAATTCAATGAAGAAAAAAAAATGTGGGGTTTCCGAAATGACAAAGAAGCTATTATAGTCTATTTTATTCATTTCTATTCTATTCTCTATAATAGTTTTCCTTTACTTAGAATAACAGGCTTCAAGACAGACATAACCAGCATTAAAGATTCCTATTTATATACAATAGTTTAATTTAATTTTATACATTATTATTATTATTATTATTTACCTCTAGACGAATAGATCTAGTACCACTTTTGGCATTTGGATCGATAAATAAATCAAATAATTCTCCTGCATCTTCACTTCCGACTTTTAAATCTTCATCTGCTTCGATTGCTTCTTGAAGTCCACCTGAAGGACCACCAAATGCAATTAATAAGTGTCTATTTTACCAATATAGACGATTAGTCAATAGAGTATTCTTGATAATAATGTCTATATCTATATATATATATTTATTTATTTACTTGAATGGTTTTATATTGTTTTCTAATTCACATTGATTTATATCTTTTGCATCACGATCGCTTACACCGATTGAAACATCATATCCATCGTCAAAGGGACATTCAGTAATCACACGTGAAAATGAGGACGCAAGTCGTATATTATAGCCCCAATAAAGACCTGCCTTCTCTCGAGGTACTTTAGGACTCACCACCTTTGCAGGCAACGGCTTTTGTCCCTTGTGTGTGTCTGCAGCTGCTATTGCCTCATTTAATTCAACTGTAACTCGAAGACCAGGTTGTAGAGCACGATCAATACGAGCACGTCGAAATAGTCCAACATCTACCAAAGTTGAATCTGCCTCCTTTGACTTATCCAACGTCACACCTTCACGATATTTTGTGGCTTCTTCTTTAGCAGGATGATGAGGAACATCAAGAGGGGGTAATAAACCCGCAAATTTCAAATCATGACTAATTGGTACTAGTTGCTTACGTAAATATTGAGGTGTCTCCATGTATTGAAAGATTCGTGCCAAAAAGAGTTTAGGATCTGCTATTTTATTCTTTACTGCTTGTTGTACTTTATCTTCATAAATGACAATTTCGTCGACAGCAAAAATGACTAGTGCACGAGCAATTTGACCAGCTAGAATGGTCTTCATTTCAATAGTAGGTGCACTATCAAGAATACTACTAGGGATAGCAACACTTGTTGTATATACTCGAGGTTTACATGCTAGTACAGATTGTGCCTTTTTTATATCTTGAGTTGGCATAAAACGTTTTGTTGGTCTATCTTTACCATAATCTGGTCCAGAGAGTTCTTTATTTTCGTAATTACGCTTCTTACGCTTTTATATGAATATATATATTTAGTCAATTTGAACTATAACTACTTTTATTTATTTATTTTTACCGATCGATAGAAATCTGTCATGAGAAAGTTAATCGATCTTTGACTTGGATTGTAAATGAGAATTTTTTTTTTTTTTTTTTTTAAAAAAAAAGGACAAATAATTAGAACTCAAATGGTACTTTATTGGATAATTGAAAAATGGGGGGAGGAGGGTTTCTGAGATATAAAACGGCCTTCAAGTATTTATCATTAGGACCTGTTATATCTTGGAAAGCAGCATATAACTGAATTAAGCTATTCATTTTAATTTCTAGAAGATATGTAGGTATTGATAAATAAGGGGTGGTAAAATGCCCTATTTTTTTTTCTCTTGTTTTCTCTTTTGTAAGATAGATTGCAGTATATATTATAGAGAGTATTTTTGGGTTAAATTGATATGTTCTTACTTGAGAAAGTAGAAGGTTCAAGAAAATACGAAATTTACAGATATACACAGGCTCATTGAATATGTATAAATAAATAAAAAAAACGAATAATGCACAATTGATAAAGGTTAATATAGCCTGTGTCTTATTCTAACTATGGTCAGCTGTTAAATAAGTTAATTTATAACAGGAAGGATATTGCTGATATTCAACTTTACAAGGATTGGATAAAGTTCAAAATAAATTAAGCCCGATTTGATATAATATGACTTTAGCATACATTGTATAAAAAATAGTGCTATTGGTACTACGAGCTTATGTTTGTAGACCTTAATTTAAACATGCACTTTATTTATTTGATTGCATATTTATGTATATTTTGTTAACAGTCCATAGTTGATACTTTACAAGAAGAAGCTTGGTAATCTTTATCAATATTCTTTACTTTTATTAAGAATAACTACTAATAAAGTGGGTGTCAACTTGATGATGACGCAAAATTATGTTTAAAATTCAGGACAAGCTGTAATTATTTTACCAGTCAAAGTAGATAACACATGCTATATAAGTAAGAGAGAACAATGGGAGTAGTAGTAGTAGTAGTAGTAGTACTGAAAACTACATATACATATGCATCCTATTTACTTTATGTATAAATATAAAATCAAGCCTACACAGCAAAAGATGACTATATTGAAGGGGAACGCGTATGTTGAGAAGAATTAATATGTTATTATAATCTCCCTTTAAAAATTATTTATTACAGAAGATATAAATTGAAGAGTTTCTATTTTTTTTTTTTTTTTTTTTTACTAATTATAGACCACTTTTATACAAAATGGTAACATTGTTAAATGATTAAAAAAAATAATAATCATTTAATACTTGTTTGTTAGGCTGATCAACTTACCGAAGAACAAATTGCTGAATTCCGCGAAGCATTTCAATTATTTGATAAGGATGGTGACGGTGCCATTACTACAAAGGAACTCGGTACAGTTATGCGTTCCTTGAACTTGAACCCCACCGAAGCTGAACTTCAAGACATGGTAAGTATTTGTAAAGTAATATATGTTTATACAAACTAAACTTTTTTTTTTTTATCATTCTCTTCTTTAAGATTAATGAAGTTGACAGTGACGGTAATGGAAAAATTGATTTTAGTGAATTCTTGGCAATGTTGGCTAGGTAAGTTATTTTTCGATTACATATATTAGTTTATGTATGCATGTATATATATATATATATATTCACACGTAATAATAGAAAGATGAGAGATACAGATTCGCAAGAAGAAATTCAAGAAGCTTTCAAGGTATTTGATAAAGATGGTAATGGTTATATCTCTGCTGCTGAATTACGTCACGTAATGACTTCTCTTGGTGAAAGATTAACTGAAGAAGAAGTGGATGAAATGATTCGTGAGGCTGATATTGATGGTGATGGACAAATTAACTATGAAGAATTTGTTAAAATGATGGTAAAGAAAAAAAAAAAGCAAGCATAATATTAAAACAAAAAGTCATAATTAACATGTTACTATTGTAGATGTCTAAATAGTGTATGCACATATAAATATATATATTTTTAAAGAAAAAAAAAATAAATAAATATAAAAAATAAAGATTAATTGTGTACTATTATTTTATTTTATTTTTTGGTATATTAACACCAAACTATTGTTTTGATGCTTGTTGACAGAATCTTAAATGGTTTAAAGTTTGGTTAAATTGACGCGTCACATATTCTATAATACTAGCTTCATCCTCTTTTGTAAGATCTAATAAAGAAGAGGAATTAGATGTAATAATAGGATACTCTTGAGGTTGCAAATGCTTCATTCGTGATAATGTCAAGTCTATGAGTTCATTCAAAGCCTAAAATTATGATATTATGTCAATAATACGATACGATATACAGATATAGAATATTTACTAAAGAATGTTCTTTTCCGAAGTAATACAAGTATTGATTTAATAATTCTATTAATAGCATTACATTTGTTATAGTATCCATACAACTATTTGCAATATTTAACGATTTTTGTAAACATTCAACTAAATGTGAATGTGTGTCTTCCCATAGATGTGAACAAAGATAGAGAGCTCTGGATTGATCTGGCTTCTTTAATAGTTTAGTACTGAATAGTGTCACTTTGGCAGAGAGTGTAGCGTCACATCTGGATGATAAGAAGGTTCCAATACTATAAACAATAGTATCAAATTGGGTTCTTGAATGAGATACACCTTCTTCATAGACAGATAGAGCATCAAGATAAAAATTATTAGCAATTTCCTGTAATCCGCAATAATGTGCGCTCTGACCTGTCATTAATAAGAATTGTACACTCTGTGATTCTGTAGAGAAGCATTGCTGGTAATAAGTCATGATTGTTTGGTGAATGAAATGAAATAGAGTAGTCATCTTTGTTGACCATTCTTCAAAGAGAGTGTTAGGGTTTGAACTTGATATTGTTTTATTGTCCTTTTCTTGTTGCAGTTTATGATTATCGTCATCCTCAAACTGATTCGTATTATTTGTATTTATAACTTTATCGTTACTTTTTTCCTCCTTTTCTGGACACTTCAAAAATCTTGGTTTCTTATTATAATATCTTTTTGCTAGTTTTAAGCCTGATATAATTAATGATGGAAATGTAGTTTTGATTATGCTTTCATTTCCTTTCTCTAGTTGTTGCCTCGCAGCAGACAATAACTAGACAAACATTAGTATATTCATATATACAACTTGTATGTAATATATATATATATATATATGTATATGTTAAATTACCAAAAATTGTACATCTTCATCTTTGGAATAAAACAAGTGAATTAGCCTTGCTATCCATCCTTGTTCGTTTCGATTATCCTCATGTGTATAATAGGGTTGTAACAACTGCTGTGTCACAAAATCACTACTCGTATTTTTATTATCGTTACTCACCAGTACATGGCATATTTGCAGAATTTGATAAACTTGTTCTGGTTCATCAATACAAGCAACCTTTCCTAATACACTGTCTAGAATTGTTAAAGTAACTGTGCGTCGAGTTCCGTAAGATTGCAAAGCTAATAATGGTTGATAATGTTTCAAAGTCGTAATGAACATTAAAATATCCCATGTCTTGGTTGGTAATAGTAATAACTGTAACATATTAGATTCTGACTGCTTTGTGGTGTGCCAATTGGATATAAAATCTTTTGTAAATAGGAAGATTTGATCTAGGTAGTCAAGTCTAGTTGGATAAGTCAACACTGAAAAGTTGGCTAAAGATAGCAATAAAGATGTTATATCTTGTATTGAAAACTCTTGACGTTTCTATATACCATATATGAATATAAATACAAACGGATACCCTATAACATTACTACTTTAATTAAATCCATAATTTCATTCCAAAATAGGATAAATAGTTCATTATCTGCTTGTAGCTTTTCCTCATTCTTTGCAAAGGAAGTTAATCGACCGAGTAAATTCATAATGATATCTTTAATTTTTACTTCTGGACGTAACTGAGCTGTGGTAGCTAAGAATGGCTTCAATGTGTGAAGATGGAATTCATCTGGAAATATCTAATATCATTCATTAATATTTGTATACACATATATACACTAATGATATATTTAATTTGTTCAGTCTTTTTCTTCTTCTTACTTGAACAATCACTTCCATCAAGTATTCTTGTGTCATAGCATCATGGCAATATACCACTTGACTTAAAATTTCTGGCAATATATCCTATATACATGTAGTCTATTATATTCGTACACCTTTTAAATATAAAAACTTACTCTTTGATAAATTGTTGAATTTAAACCATCTAATTGACTCAATCGTACCAAGTTGGTGCCCACCAATGTCCCTATTTCTTTTCTTTCCATTTCATGCTTTGATCTATCCCTTGTGTGGCCCAAGTATTGCAGCCTGACCCATAACTTATTCATTTCAGCAAAGTTTGTTAAAATAAACGGAACAACAACATCTAACTGTTCACTTCTATATAAAAGAAGATTATATATATATATATATATATATATATTGTCATTTTATTTATTTATCTATTTATCTAATCTATTACTTACTTTTTAGATAAAAAGTCGCGAGTCATACCTCCTAAGTAATGACGAAGAAATAAACCACGTATAGGGTGCTGAACACCTTTTACCATTTCTATCATATCATTTAGAACTTCAGATATGGGAGGTGAATCTTCTAGACTCAAATAAATAGACCCGACTGTGATCATCAAATAAAGGCGTGGAATAATATTACTAGCATATTGAACGATTTCATAAAGATCTCCAAGATGATACTGACCTGATCTATGTGCTTCTAAAAGATAGCTTGTCAAATAGCACATGGCATCGAATACAGTTATATCTATAAAAAGTAAAGTTAGAATACACGAATTATTATTATTATTATTTCTGTTATCGTTGTTGGAATATTTCATGTTTGTCACATTACATAGCTCATGATAATTTTTAGGGGACAATGAAGATGTACGCAACTCAGCTAGCATACTTGAACAGTGTTTGATACCATCCATAAGTCGATTTTTATCCTATCAATTAGATCATCCACTTAATACAAATCGTTTGAAATAAACAATACACTTACGAGGTATTTCTTCATAAGTTTAAATTGTATATTAACCTTTGAAAGAGCTACCTTTAAGCATTGAGATTCAACGTCATTCATTACAATTATTTGAGAAGAAGGGAAAAAAAAAAAAAGTAAAAATTAATGCAACTATTCTCCAAATTTTAAGGTTTATTTTTTACTTTTTATTTTATTTTTTATTTTTTTTTATCAATTAGGCACTAAAAAAGTCACAACAGTGTATGTAGTAGACAAGTTTGTTGTTATACTATGTATATAATGATCGTTTTATAGTATACACATTATATTGTTTGTAAAAGATAGAGATATTCTTTTTGTATACATATTATATTGAAAGAATGGTTGTAAATTCATTATTTTTTGTTGACTTTTCTCAAGCATATATGTATAACTTGGTCTTTTAACTTGTGTTAGAAATGACTAATATATTGTAAAGGTTCAAGGAAAAGACAAATAAATAAATAAATAAATAGAGATTTCTCACATGATAATACGTCTTCTTTTAGAATAAAAGTTATAAATTCATGAGTCGTAAAAGATCTTAGTAATAAGAATAATACTACCTTTGTCTCACTAATAAGCATAATCATAATAATAAAAATTGTACGTCACGTATAAACCTAGCTTTTTTTTTTTTTTCTTTATTCATATAAATACATATACATACATACATACATACATAACATATATACATACATACATACATATAAAAGGCAAAAAAAGTAAAATTGTATATTTATGCCTGTATAATATGGATAATTCGCCATCAAATGCATTAAGTGAAGAAGAACGTAAAAGGCTAATCGAGTTAATCCCAGAAGTAGGTGACCTTGATCCCTATAAAGAAAATATTCGACCTCGTCGTAATGGTCGATCTGTCGCTGCCTTAACAACTTTATTCGAACGTACAGCTTCTGAACGACAAGTGAAACTGGAGGAAGGTCATCTCTATTTCCAAGAACTAATTGATAACATTGATGAACAAGATGATCCCTTGCAGATCTATGTTGATTATATTCGTTGGACTATAGAAATGTATCCAGAAGGTCATACTATTGAATCAAATCTAATTGGACTTCTCAAAGAAGCTACAAATCGTTTTGTAACCGACAGAAGGTATAAAAATGATCCACGGTATCTGAAAATTTGGATGGAATATGCACAACTCATTACAGATCCAAGAGATATTTTTTTATATCTTATAAAACATGATGTCGGTCAATCGTTGGCCTTGTTTTATGAGGAATATGCAGCTTATTATGAAAAATTAAACAAGCAAGTATAGAATGATAATGACACTATTAAAAATGCTTACCTTTTTTTTTTTTTTTTTGTTATTCTTGTAGGATTGATCATGCAACTGAAGTATTTAAACTTGGTATAAATCAAGAAGCTGATCCCCTTAAAAGATTAAAAAGAAACTTTGGATTATTTAAAGCACGTGTTCAAGAAAAACAAGAAAGAGGAATGATTAAACAACCACAGATGGAGGCAAGAATACAGATGGAGTCTCTAAGAGCAACAGGGCATCGTACCATGTTGGGGCATAAATCGGACAGTAACTCACGCATCTCTTTACCTTCTAACATATATGCAGGCACTTCAGAAGCGACAAGATTGGGTCAAGGATCATCTCGAAGTCGGTCATCATCTAATAGTCGATTGGAATCATCAACTCCTTTTTCTGTTTTTGTGGATACAAGTCCTTCACAAGTCAGCATTTTACCTACATCACCGTCTGAATCAACAACATTACATTTGACAGAACCATCATTTGCACGACGAGAAAATCAAAAACCCGTTGAAAAACTTGCAGGAGCAACATTACCACAAGCTTCTATCCCACAACGCCCCATAGAGAAGTTTCAGGTCTACCAAGATCCACCAGAGCCTACAAGGAATCGTGTGGAACGTGCTGATATGCCGGGATTAACTATCTCTACTACCACTGGAGAATCATCGTTAGCAAAGATTCGTCGTCATCCTACAGCTGATATTCAAATTAAACGAAAACCACCGCCAGTTATAGAAGTCGACCAGCAACTAATAAATAGATTCGATTATAGTTGTAACTTCTATCTATCATCACAAAATTCCAAGGGCGAAAAAGAATATATTGCAGTTCGTATTGAGCAAAAAGAAGAGATGAGTTTTGAGGAAGTTCGAGCTAAACGTATTCAACACGTGGAACAAATCATTGCTTCGCGACTAGAGCGTAAAGGTAAAGAACGTGAAAGACAAGTTGATTTAGAAAACTCTATAGCCAAACGTAGTAGAATGGATAGTACATCAGAATTCATACGACATAATCAGTCGTTGGAGGCGGATCAACCTGTACCAGAATTAACAGCAGAAACATTAGCAGCTATGGATGCAGTGGATGCATTATATGGAAAACATCAACAAGATTATACCAACGATGAAGATTTGACGTGGACTAATGAATTTCAAAGATTTGAGAAAATTTATCGTCCTCCAGTTAATGAGAATGAATAAGAAGAATCTCATTCACTTTATATATATACATATATATATATATTATAATAATAAGGATAAATTATAAACGGGCAAATATACGTTTTATGTATATGATATCAAAATAAATATGCGATAACTACCTGTTATATTATTTTATACATTAATTTACGAATATAACTGAAGGGAAACAAGGAATTAACTAAATGTATTCAATAAACTTTTATGTCTATTTTATGGTATTTATATAAAAGACTATTTCCTACATATTTTTTTTAATGTATTATGTATATTTATATATATATATTATCTTTTATCTTTTGTATAAACAAAAAATAATCATATATCATATAACCCTTATAATAGTGTTTCAATGTAAATACAGTTCTAATATCTAATTTATTTATTTCTTTTAGCGAAAAGGAAAAGGAAAAAGATGAAGCGGTTTGTTTTCTATATAAGCATATATAGTCTTACCCATACATAGTATTATAGATATGACTCTCTACCTTATTAAAAAGGGTAATTTGCTTCTAATAATATATATGTATATGTTCTAAAATATTCATCTTATTATACAGTTTAATAGGTCAATTGTTTTTTCTTAAACTTACTAATGATTATATAGGTTATAGGAGATTACGATATCAGTGTTATAGACTAACATGATATGATACAATACTTATACATATATATATATATATATATATATGTATGTATGTATGTATTTGTATATACTACTCTAATAGGAGCAAATGATTTAGAAGTTTTATATATAGGATAACTTTACCGTAATATAATATCTCAAAAAGATATTTTCCATAATATTGAAATAGAATGAGTACAGCAGCATTAATTGAAGATTAGTAAGGAATCAGACAGACTTTTAATTCTATTTAGCAATGAAGTTCTAGCAATGAGAAGTAGAATGTGATTCAATGTTAGTAGAAGATGGGCATTTATTATTTTTGATAATAACCATTATTTAAATTTTATAAAAACAGTTTGAAAATACATATCTTTGAATAATTTCAGTCAATATAAATGCTATCTTAATTATTATATATCAGTATTTACTAGAATGCCTCTGGTCAAACTCGATATATTCACTTATATATTTAGATGGTCCTATTATGGCTTAAACATAGTCTGTTGTTCATCATTTTTAAATATATATAACTACCCAAATACTTGACCAGCTGTTAATATCAGTATCTACATTGAAAACTTGAATGCAATTCAATATCCTTCGCTCAATTAGCACCTAATTTAGTCATGTCGCCTATGATACATAAGAATATGTTAATATTTCAAGCTTACTTTTCCTTTTTCATTCTTTAAATATGTCAAAAAATATCCTGATGCCTAAATTATTATATTCTGTTTAGTTCTCTAAGAGCTGTTCTCAATAGTATAAAATTTTCCAAGGCATCCCCTTAGGTTCGTTATACCTCATAATTAAAAAAGTATTAATAGCCATTTCTTCCACTTTTTATTGGTTTATCTACTATTTAAAACAGTTTTGGTGAAAAAAAAAATGCACTATTTCAAATTGCTTTCAACTTACCTCTCCCTTATCTTTTTATTAAATATATCCTTTGGTTACCCATGATGATAAGAACTAAATGTAATTATGTGTTTACATTGAAGACTTGATTAGCTCCCTCCTTGCTAGCCTCAACATAATTTATTACTCAAAGTCTATTTTCACTTGAACTGCTTTATTTCCTGTCTATATCATATGTATAACTTATAATATTGATCTTAAATGATTAAAATTTCTCCGTCGTTCCTCCTAAATATAATTTTTTTTTAATTACTTCAAATAGTATTGTCGTACTATTTATACCGTCTAATGATAGGTATATTATTGAGTAATTTAAACTGACTGATTTATAATAGTATCACCTTTTACTGTTCAATCCTAGATGCTGGTTACTCAACTTCTCTATACTATGATTGATCACTTGATGAACTCGGTTTATGCTCTAACTTTCATTTTGTTTCTCTCTCTCTCTTTCTCTCTCTTTCTTTCTCTTTCTTTCTCTTTCTCTCGCTTTGTTATATAATATCTGACTTATGCAGAGTTGTTTATTTAAGATATTGTATACTTATAATAAATTAAAAGGAAAAAGGTGATCGTACGAATAATATCCTAAAATAGTTTATATGTTACTAAAATAATCTGGGTTTTTATGAATGCATGTGCAGGATTAAAAAAAAGGGGGGGTAGACTATTGCTTCGATGATTTCAAATCAAGTAGTGGAAAGAAAGTAAACAGTATAATCATAATATTAAACTTTATGTATTGAAAAGAAGAAAGCATGATATATGCATAATATAGCACATATTTGTATATGCATCTTTATTAAATAATGTTACATATTACAGTTTAAAGATGCTACTCTTTCACGTGGAAGTTATGTAACTTGCAGCAGTAGTATTTTATTTTATTTTATTATATTTTTTTTGGAAAACATCATATGAAACAATAGAGTCTATATAAAAAGGCAACATCCTAATTTTATATTTCTCTTTTCTTTTCTTCCTTAAATTTATAGCATTATATGTCTTCATTAGTTACTCTAGTTTTAAATAATACTGACAAAATACCTATAGTAGGTTCATCTATTCATCAAGTCACAACAAGGTATTATCTAAGAAATCATCAGCAGGATCTGGTCGAAACACCTCCACCTCCCTATGAAAAGGAACCTACCCATTCACGATTTTCGCAAATCTCAGATTATGTATGGAAAAGAGCAAGCATGAGCACGACGATGACGACAACGGTTGAAGAACCTTTAATAGAAATAACTCTTAATAAAAAGCAGATTGGAGAAGGGATATCATTAATACAGATGGCAACTGAAATGAATAGTCATGGAAAAAACAAAGAAATTTCAATTGATTTATATATGATGGGACTTGATAAAATTTTAACTTCATTGCCAAGTATGATATATACACGTTTTTTATTTGCTTAAGTATAATACTTATTCATTTATATAGTCAATTCTGATCCTGTATTAAAATCAAGCTTAGAAAAAAAGCTTTCCGAATTCAAAAAGAGAGCTGGGCTTTTGCTTGCAGAAGATACTAAAAAGAAATTAACAGAAAAAGAAAAAAGAGAAGCCCTTGGTGGCCTTTCCGAGCTGATTGTTCAAACTTCTATACTTATTGCAGTAGAAATAAAGAAAAGCCCAATTCCAGGTAAATACATCTGTATTAATATTAATCTAGTTAATAATAATTTTTTTTTAAAAAAAAAATAAAGGTATTATGGCTAAATGTTTACAACTAACAAAATATGGATTAATAAAACTCGATGAAATTTGCTCTATTCGAGAAAGAGCAGCTAATATTACACATTATGGTATTGCTAAAGCCATCGAAATAGACCAACATTATGAGATTCATCAAATTTTTGCTGAAGTCTTCTATACAGCTTGTACTGCAATTTTAAAGGCAGGAATTGCATATGCAGAACATGATCAAAATGAAAATCAGGAGAGACATAAACAAGTATTACAACAGGAATCATCTGCTGTAATTGCTTAGCGAATAAAAAAAAAATACCCTCATTTGATATTCACATATGCATTCATTATTACCCATTCATTTTTAAATTCAATTATTATTATTACTATAAAATTATTATTATTATTATTATTTTACAGCTTGTTTATCGCTATATACAATCCTTCTCATTTCTCCTTATATAAAGGAAGCGATAGTACTTGGTCTCTTTTCTATTACTATCATTCTTGTTATAAAGTTTATTTTACAGGTTTTATAAATAAATATGTATTTATTTTATTATGTAGACAAATAAAGACATGATGTTGATGAAAAGTTGCTCGCTTTCGGGATAATATGTTCTTCGTACTCAACCTCGGATGATACTGTTCGGTATTCATCTATAGATAAAAGGGAAAGTAAACATACCGATATGGAGTGATGTAACAAGTAGTACTATACGCTATACTCTGATGGCGAAGAAACTTTATTTTTTTCACTTGTTTTTTTTTTCTTCTTTTAAAGGAGAGCGTACTGCTGTAGGATAGTTAACTATTCATATTTGTGAAGCTCAGAGATGTGCAGAATATTATTATACAGAGATTTGAAGTATATAATAGTTTATATGTATGCGTTTCAAAGGTTTTGCTTCCCTTTTTTGCTAAATATTTTAGTATGTGTCTCAACAAAGAAAGTTTATAAACCCTCCATGTATTTTTTTTTCTAGAATTGTTTGCTGATCCAGGAAGGCAAATACTGATGAATGTGAAATTGTTTATTCCTAATAAAATTGACGAGTAAATATATGCAAATGGACAATATAGAAAAAAAAAAGGCTGCCACTATAGACAGCAGTATAGTTTTGAAATATTAAGTAACTCTTTTGTACAATATCATTTCATTAATATGAAAGATAAAAGCCAAGAATTGTATGGTGATTACTAAACAATAGATAAACTCTATACATACCCATTTTATCATATTTATACAAAATCCTGCATTTTAAAAATATAAAAAAATTGGCAAGAGTAAAATCATGTTTACTATCGACTACTAATAAAAAAATTCTATGGAACTAATGCAAGCATATAAATGATAGTGACTATGTGAATGGGGGGAGGATCGGCTAAGCAACAACTAAAAAGAAGTAGGATTCATGAATTGTGAATACGACTTCATTTTTGAATCAAGTGACTTTATTTTTAATCAAACATTAAACTTCAAAACTGCGACTTTACTTTTTGAAATAACTGCCTTCTTTTTTATTTTTATTTTTATTTTTTTTTTTTTAAAAAATAATAATAATAATGGATGATATGTATCAATATGCTGCTTCGGCAGTCAATAGTAATAATAAAGACCAGAATATTTCTCAAGTATCTGAAGAAGAAGATGTTATTATAAAGGCCTTTAATAATATAGGTTGGGGTAAAAAATGGTCAAGTTGGGTAGATACAGTTAAAAAGCAGGTAAACAAATATAAATTATTATTGCTTATAATTTACATTCAATTTAGAGCGAAGCTTTTGTTGAAGGAACAAAAAGAGATCTTCAGGAAATTGCACAGGTTTTAATTGAAGATGCTGATGAAGAAGAAGAAGAAGAAAGAGATGATGATCACGAAACGGAAAAGAACGACAAAAGAGGAAATTCAATAAATGAAAATGAAGAGCACACTACAGCTCTTGATACCATTCGTGAAAACCTTGGTAAAATTAATACAAAAAATTTCATTAGCTTACGTGATGGTTTAGTGCAAACACTGAATCAAACTTTGCCAAGTCAAATAACTTCAGTTAAATTACCAGAAAATATGGATTTAACACAATTAAAAGAAGAATTAACGAATGGTACACGGTCAGCAGAACATTACCTTCAAAAATTTGGTGCTGATGTTATTTCTACTTTGAAGAATACGGTAACTGTTCTAGCACCTGAAGAACAAGAACAGAAGACGTCTACTAGTACTGATAGTATTAAGACAACACCACGCATATAGTAAGTTATGTTGTCGATGATTATATATAGCTACTAACTTAATTTTTTTAATAGTGCTACACGCAAAGATGGCTTAATTGCAAAGATGCAAATGAATGAAAACACATATTTGAAAGATCCTGAGTTTTCAAAGACAAACTATGAACAAGAAAAGAAAGTGTTTGATACCTTTAACTCAAGCTTTAGTATTGAAGAATATACAGAAGAAATTGCACAATTACTCAATGACTATCCAGACTTAAGAGAAATGATGGATAAATTAGTCCCTATTCAAGTTAGCTATGCGTTATTTTGGCAAAGATATTTCTATCATGCTTGGAAAATTGAACAAGATGAACAAAAGAGACAATTAATTGTTAAACAACAAGAGACAGATGAAGAAGCTGATTTTAAATGGGATTCTGATGATGAAGACCCTGCATCTATAAACGATGATAATAAATCAAGCGATACCAAAGTAGATGAGAACAAAACAAGGGATTATTTAGCAAACAATCTTGCAGAAGACACAGATGATTTTAGCCATATATCTTCTACTAGCACTTCTTCACCTTTAAAGGCAACTTCCCAAGCTGAAGATGATTGGATTAAAGCTGAAAAGAAGAAATCTGATGAAGAAGATAGTGACAGTGACTGGGAATAGTTTTCATTATTGCTGCATATTTGTAATTTAAATGTCAGTTTTGTTCTTTTTTTTTTTTTTTTCTATTAATTCGTAATTATAACATGAAATCTATTGATTTACGAAACCATTGTGAATATTGTTTTAATGTATTGATTTCTTATCTCGAAAAGAAGTCAAGTCCAAAACCAAATTTTCCTAATGATAATTAGTAATTGTGTTTGATTATCTTTTCTTAAATATAAAATTTATGATCCTTTTAATTAGTCCTTTATTTGTAACTTGGCATAAAAGAACTAATGATGGTCAGTATCAATTAAGAGGCTGTATTGGTAATTTTAATCCAATGTCATTACATGAAGGTTTAAAAAAATATGCCTTGATAAGGTAAATAATTTGTAATTCAACATGAATATTTTATACTTACTTTCTTTTTTAAATGAAATAATGAAGCGCGTTAAGAGATCAGCGTTTTAAACCAATTACACTTTCAGAGATCCCCTCGTTAACATGCGCAGTCTCACTGCTAACTAATTTTGAAATAGCAGATAATTATTTAGATTGGGAAATTGGCAAGCATGGCATTTGGATAGAATTTACTCAGCCCGATGGACAAAAAGAAACGGCGACTTATTTACCTGAAGTGATGTCAGAACAAGGTTGGACAAAACAAGAAGCAATTAAATCGCTATTAAGGAAAGGAGGATATTACAGTCGTATAACAGAAGATTATTGTAAAAATTTTATTATCCTTACCAGATATCAATCTGTAAAATGTGAAATTGGTTTTGATGGAGAAGTAATTCAACATGAGTAAATTATATACATCTATATATATGTGTGTGTAGGTCATCTTGGATGATAAATAAATTGTTATATGTTAGTGGTTTATATTATGTATTATCTTAGAAAAAGAAATTGATTATAAGATTTTTGATCATCTAATATTTCTAACTGGTATTATATATGAAACAAATATATTCCTACTAACAGTTATCATGCACTAATAGTATTAGAACACTGTTAACTTCATACTCAAATTTAATACTTTTTTCATTCTCTTTTTTCTCAAATAAACTAGTACACATATTTTTTTTTTCCTGTTGCTAATACTGATGTTATAAGAAAAAATAAGTGGCTAAAGATTGGCGTCATAATATTTCGATCTACAATCATTTTTTTTAATAATTCCTTTTGACCTATAGAAGAACAACAGTATAATAATAACAGCAATAATTCTATATCTGATTTCGGAATAGGAATACTAACTTATTATATAGTATACTGGTATCATGGTATGATGATAAGATAGTTGCGGTACAATATAATAAGTATAGTTATAATGTAAAATAAATTAAAACAACAGTTTTCTTGTCGTAAAGAGCACGACAGATGCAACAAGCTACTTTCTTAAATAACATTTACAGAAAAATATTAAAAAAGCCGTCGCCTGCAGGATTTGAACCTGCGCGGTCAGAGACCATTAGATTTCGAGTCTAACTCCTTAACCACTCGGACAAAGCGACCTAATATTCGCCGATAAAAACAGACATTTCCATAACATCTTTTGAATAATTTGAAACACCGACAACCAATAATATTGCTTGGAATTTGTGACGTATTCCCGTATTTTAACTGCTTTGGACGTTGATTTCAGAGGAATGATTATGAAATATATCATAGATCCCCATGAATCTTTAGTATTAGAGATAACAATAAAGGATATATCAATTACAAAACTTTAAATAGCCATGAATTAGATATTGGGTATTTTATAACTATTCCTGGTTTTCCCTTTATTTTATTATTAATGAGCATTTATAAATTATTTCAAATATTATTATTTTAGGTTTATTTTGTTGAGTTATTGTGAAAGTAGTTAAAAATATGAATTAAATCTTAGTTTTAACACAGAATATTTATTTAATATAGTCAATGTTTGTATCGTTATGGTACTTATTTATAACATAGATTGATTAGATAATAACAATAGATTTTGTACACATATAATTATTATACTATTCTTATACTTCTTTACTGTTGACCAATTACTTGAGCTTGCTTTTCTATCTTATTTCTTTCTGTAATCTAATTTATATTGATAATACCTATATTTGTATATCTTTCATCTACAATTTATATTTATCAGCAGAACGTTGATTTCATCCGAACTTGTTTAAATTAATGTTAGTGGTTAATGTAATAAATACAAGCCATCTTATTTTCATTAAAATATATTAAAAATAACTTTAAGTGATTGTCACTAAATATACTTTATCAATAAATAGTATTAATATATCATCACAGAAAAGTATACAATGAATTATTTTCTGTACAAAATAACTCTCAAATAACTAACAGAACAAAAATATATGTATACATATATGTATATGAAATCTAAAAACTAATGAGTGAGGATAACCATCTGTAAATATGCCTCTTGATTCATCATTTGCTAATATTAATATATATTTAAATAACATAATCTTAATAAAGAAAAGAATGTATATGCTTTTTTTAGAGCAAGTAAAATAGCATGAAGTTAGCAGAGCTAAAGTATTTGATTAGTCACAAACTTTGTCTACAGCTGATTTTTTCATCATAGTATTTGTTAAATTATTCAATGAAAAAGATTAGTAGTACAGCAAAGGTAGATAAGAGCTATTAAGATAAACATAACCACGCCCTTATTATATAGTATACAAAGTTATTATAAGATTAATATATTTATATTATAAAGAATTATTTTAGCCTTTTTCTGAATAACAGCCAATTTTATAAGTAATTCCAAACATTTCATTACTATGCGTTTACCTTTATATGTACATAGCATATGGTAGCTCTTCATGTTTTATTCTTTTGATTTATATTGTAACTTAATTTTTCATCAGCATTTATAGAAGGTTTATTATAATACTTGAAGAGTTGATTCAATATTATCAATAGACTGTTTGTTTTCTAATATTGACTTGCTCACTTTATCATTATTTTCAATTATCATAGCTTTCATATCAGGCATAGAATTTGATAATTTAATCAAATTATTCACATATTGACGTGCATCTTCTGAAGTATATTCACAATCATTTTTAAGATATTTTGATATTTCTCTTTCATTTTTAATTTCCTGATAGTATTCTTTATAATATTTAATAAGTTTATGTTAGCATAAGCTACTAATAAATGATTAGTTACCTTGATGTTGAAGATGAATGTTTTCCTTTTGTATAAAATAATCAATGTCTAAATTTGTATTTGATTCAACGACGGTATTCAAGTCATTAATGATCGTTTGATAATCTAATGACGCATCTGTCTTTTCAGATTTAGTCTTTTTAAAAAAAAACGACATTTTTAATGTTATACTTTTAAAGAAAAAATAAAATAAAATAAAATAAACAAAAATTAACACAAATAAAGAATAATTCCGCACAAAGGTGAAATATAACTTTACGAACAAGAAAGGATGATTTAACAATTCTCGAAAATCAACAATTATACAAATAACGTACTTGAATATAACTTTGACAGCATAATTTAACAGCAATATTTGATTATACTGTACTCATAATAATTACATTTCTTAGTACTAAATCATCGTCATCATCTATATGCATCTAGAATAAAACTGAGCTAACTGTATATACTCTTAAACTAAAAATAAGTAATTAATGAGTTACTCATTATTATTACACTTTAAGGTAGTATAAATTCAATATTAGAAAAATGAAGCGGTAATATTAATATTATTTAACTACGTTTATCGCTTGGAGCCCTTAATATAAAAAATAGCTATTCACATATTTATAGCTGTGCAGAATACCTTTCAATTATAGAATATTAAGAAACATGTTCTTGGGCATAACATATAAATATATAAAAAGTTCTTAATATATAAGCTGATTAATAAAATCTATTTCAATTTAAGAATGTGTCTTTTAGGTATTCAATCATATTCTACTATCCCTACTAAGCTTTGCCATTAATTATGAAGATCGATTTTATTTCAAACTTTCCCAGTAATACCTTACCTCACCTCTATGAGTATATTAGGCTCTATTATTTCTTTCTCATAATAATCTTTGATTCATGGTGTATCTGTTGATGGAAGATGAATCATTTAGCTTTGTTAGTATTGTTTATATTGTAATTTTATATATTTATTCTTTCATATAAAACTTAATACTGTCAATTTTGCTGCCTGTTAAAATGATTGTTATTTTCTAATTTCTTCATTTCCAGGTATACTTTAAGAATACCGAAATATAATACATGTAAAAGAAGATAGTATTAAGAATATACATCATAAAAACAAAGAATACATTCATTATTTCTGTTTAGCTATCAGTAGACTCTTCAAGATACGCCTCAGGTAAACTTAGTTTTTTTTTTTTTTTTTTTTTTTTTTTTTTTTTTTTTGAAAAATAAGTTTTATTTCTTTTATTATTGCTAACCCTTTATATATTATTTATTTATTTGCATTTTGTATAATATTATATTCCATCTTTACGCTGAATTATCATTATTATTCATGTTTTGAATCTGATGAAATAAAAGCCGCAGTTTTCAAATTAAACTCCGATACTTCCCTCTAACAAATTTTTTTTTCCTTTCTTTCCCTACCTCTCTCCTTCTCTCCTTCATTTTTTTGACGTGTTTAATAAAAAAGACGATCATCAAACATGCTTGACATCAACTTGCTTTTGGTTGAACGTGGTGGTAATCCCGAATTAGTTAAAGAATCTCAAAAGAGACGTGGCGCTTCTACCGAAATTGTAGATGAAATCATTGCTGAATACAAAGAATGGACCACCAGTAATGTACCTTTTTTTTAGAAAGTAATTGATCACCTATTTTTTATTGATTATATATTATATAGTTCAATTCAATAGTGACCAAAAGAATAAGGAGGCTAATGCTATTCAAAAGGAAATTGCCAAAAAGTATAAGGCTAAGGAAGATCCTAGTGAATTAATTGCTAAAAAGAATGCCCTCCAAAAGGAAAAAGAAGCTCTTGTTGCTCAAGCCAAAGAACAAGAAATTTCTTGGAAGAATAAGTTAAATCTTCTTGGTAACATTGTTCATTCTTCTGTTCCTACTTCTATGGATGAAGTAAGTTTTTGTATTCTTTTTTTTTCATAATATGTTTTAATCAATTAAATGTGTATATTTAGGATAATAATGAAGTAATCCGTACTTACAATCACAATGGTGTTGAGCCTGTTAAGAGAACCGACATCATGTCACATCATGAAGTTCTTAGCCGTTTAGACGGTTATGATCAAGATCGTGGTGCCAAGATTGCTGGTCATCGTGGTTACTTCTTGACAAATGTAGGTGTTGACCTTAACTTGGCTTTGATTAGTTATGGTCTCAACTTCCTCGCCAGATATGGTTATAAGAAGTTACAAACTCCTTTCTTCATGAATAAAGATATGATGGCCAAGACTGCTCAATTATCACAATTTGATGAAGAACTTTATAAGGTAAAAAATGAAACATGAAATTTAATAAATATTAATGGTTGTATATATACTAGGTTTCTGGTGATGGTGAAGATAAGTATCTTATCGCTACTTCTGAACAACCCATTTCTGCTTTCCATGCAGGTGAATGGTTCGAGAAGCCTTCTGAACAATTGCCCCTTAAATATGCTGGTTATTCTACTTGTTTCCGTAAGGAGGCTGGTGCCCATGGTAAAGACACTTGGGGTATTTTCCGTGTTCATCAATTTGAAAAGATTGAACAGTTTGTTTTGACTGACCCCGAGAAATCCTGGGAAATGTTTAATGAAATGATTGAACACTCCGAAGAATTCTTTAAGAGCTTAGGTCTTTCTTATCGTGTTGTTGCTATCGTTTCTGGTGCTTTAAATAATGCTGCTGCTAAGAAGTACGATTTAGAAGCCTGGTTCCCTTACCAAGGTGAATACAAGGAGCTTGTCTCTTGTTCAAACTGTACCGATTATCAATCTCGTAACTTAGAAATTCGTTGTGGTGTCAAGAAGATGTCTGATCGTGAGAAGAAATATGTTCACTGTCTTAACTCTACACTTTGCGCTACTGAAAGAGCTATGTGTGCTTTATTGGAAACCTGGCAACGTGAAGATGGTTTGGAAGTTCCTCCTCCTTTGGTTCCCTACATGGATGGTAAGACCTTCATTCCTTACACCAAGCCTAGACCCACTCAAAAGAAATAAATATTAAATATTTAATACAATTGTAATAAAACTAATGGCATCTCTTTTATAAACATCATTTATTTATTTTCAAACTGTGAAAAATGACAAACATTATTTTTTTTTTTTAAAAAAAAAATATGTACAAATATACATATATACAAGTATATATAGTATTTATTGACTAACTTGGCTCAACATTTCAGATAACTTTTGGTGAGCCTTTGCTAAATCATTAGCTACTTGAGCTTGACCTTCGTGTTCATAAGGGTCATCATTGATATCCTCTTTGTTACGATCATCGATAATACCTTCCTTATATTGAGTATCAATGTTATGAAGCTTTTCTTGCAAGTGCTGAATGTCTTCAGAAGAGTATTTGCCTCGACGTAAGGACTTGCACTCATGCATAATTTCTTGAATATCTTTATGGATTTTTTCTACATAGTAAAGACAAGTTTATACGCATATAGATAGATTTACTTTTAATGATGAAGACTTACGAAGATCTTTTTGCATAGGCATATTAACTATTTGATAAACCTGTATTTTTTTTTTTTACTCTCTCTTGGTCAAATATCTTTTATATATGCTATTGATTAAAGACAGGGGGGAGGGTTTGTTATTTATGCCAATAAATTCAACTAGAATTTTTCTTTTTCTTCTTGCGAATATATGATGTTATGAAGGCAGAGTGAAACTCGGTGAACAAATTAGAGTCATATACGGTAAAAAAAAAAAAAAAGAAAAAATCGATAAATTATATTCGCCTTGCCTTTTTCGTTGATTAAAACAGGACCATTTATGAGTTAAAGTTTATTACTTCAGAATATTCTTTATGCAGAGATACAAAATTTTTATTAGAAAGATTCTAAAGTGAGCTCATTATATGCAATCTAATCAAGTAAAGAGAAAGAGAGAATGGTTTGATTATGCTTCAATTTGTCTTTCTAGACGATCAAGACGATCACGTAAAGTATTCAACATGCTTTGGTATTCTTTTGGACCAATATCATTCTGGGATCTAACAATAGTAGGAGGTGTTTGTAAGTCATCTGATTGTTGTTGTTGTTGTTGTTGTATTGTATTATCTCTTCTTCTTTCTGAAAAAGCAATTAATTCTTCTGCTACCGTCCTTTCTTCCTTTGTTGCACTTGGTAATGGTGAAGGAATAGAGTGTTGATTACTACGATCACTTAACTTAGTTTCAACCTTATTTTCTGACTGTTGTTTCTTTGCAAAACGATTCTCAATAACTTCAATACGATTCAATAAGCCTTCTATTTTTCGTTCTAATTGTGAAACAATTTCCCACTGTGCTTCTTTTACTTGATTCCTTACTAGTCCTTCAATAGTAGTTACTGAGGCCTGTAAAGTCTGCATTAAAGTAGATGATCGTCGAATTTGATCATCCAAAGTTGATTTTAATGTACGTGTCGTCTCAATAGTGTCGAAGAGGTGTTCAAATGGCTGTAGGTATTGCTGACGTTGAAGTGCTGCAAAAGAATTAGTTGTGGGTGTCTTGGGCGGTAGTGGCACATTAGCAGCTGTTGCAGCAATTTGTTCATGGGTTCTCTGTCTTTGTGAATGATTATTATAGACAGAGGTTGGAGGATGTTGTTTATAATAATGTCCATATTGTTGAAAAGCCATATTTTCTCGATTTGTAGTAGAATGAGCAGAATGAGGAGGTTGTTGCTGGGATGGTACAATTGGAGGTATAGCAAATTCATGTTTTTTAAGTGAAGGCGGATGTGCATAAAAGGGTCGATTAACGGTAGCTGATGCAGGTGGAATTGAGGCATTATAGGGTATAGATCCGTTTACTTTAATGAATATATTAGTCTTTTCTTATATTTTTACAATATATATAAATATATATATATTTACCATAATTGGACCTGTTATATTGAGGCTGTGGAGGATTAGATTTACCAAAATTTGAGTTAAGCGGTGCAGATCGTATACCTGTTAACTGTTCATGATAGGATGGTGCAAAAATTGTTAAATTAAGTGTATTTTTATGCTTGCTTGATGATTTCTTTTTATCATTAGGAAGGGATGTCTGCTGCTGTACTTTATCTATTTCGGTGGTAGGATGTGACTGTACTTTTCGGGGCTGCTTAATCAAATTTGTTCCTATATTTATTGATGATAAAGATTGCTGCCTTTTTTCTCGATTTGATGTTCCTGATGTAGTTGAAGATATCTCATTAGAAGGGGATGAAGTTGCAGCTCCAATTCTTTGGCGCTTATTATTTGGACGATCAGACTCATTTATACTTTAATAATAAATTAGTCTCTTCCTCTTTCACTCTCTCTCTTTTTTTTTTCTTTTTTTTAAAAAAAAAATAAATAAAAATAAACGCAACGCATAATTTACCTTTGTCTTCTCGATTTATTAGAGTTCAATAAAACTTTATCTAATGCCATAGCATTTCTTGTTTCTGGTATAATTTGATTTATCAATGGAGGTGATGTTGGCTCGGTTTTTATAGTCTTTATTGTACTTTCATTTTCAATAATGTCTTCTAGATTTTCGAGTGGTAATTGAACTGATTCCCAAATATGCTCTTCTTTTGGAGCCCTTTTAAATTGAGGAAATGTCTGAAGAATGGCATCTGCAAGTCCAACATTATAATCATCTGGCTTCAATTTACAAAGTTCAATTAAAAGATGTCGATTATGTTGTTTAGCTATTTCAGATAATACAGTTGTATTTAAATAAGTATCTTCATGATCTCTGTAGCAGCCTTTATAGGAAGCATTTTTAAAAGATAAAGACGGAAGATTGAAAAGAGGTTCAATATCTGATAGTCTATAAAAGAGTGTATCTGTATCTGGTAAACGAAATAATATCAATGGCTTATTACAGTTAGAATATCTTCCTAATAATTGACTAAGGACTTTCATCTGTGAAGGAAAAGGATAACGTTTGAAGGAAAAGAAGAAAAGAAGACTATTAATATTCCCAACAATAAAATTTCTATAAAAAGACCGAAATGATGCCCGCTTTTATTGCTTTTTCATTTTATTTTTACTCAGAATTATTATTTTTTGTGCATCGGACTGTTAATAATTCCCAAAATACTTGATTTAATTTAAAAAAATAAGCCTTAATATCATGATGTAATATTCATTCATATTCGAAAATACGTCTCTTTAAGAGAGTAGAAACAATAAGAAAAAAAAAAACTAAACTGTGAGTTGTTATGGTTAAATAATAATAGATTTGATTACTTTAGACCACTTATTTTTTTTATACCTTCAATTTTGGTGTTACCTGACAAATGCTTCGAGAAGAGATAAATAATTTAAATAAAGAAAAACCCCTTGTTTTAAATTTTATAAATTTGTAATCAAATCATAAAATAATAAAAACCACTTTTAGTTAATCAAGAAAAAAAAAATTAAAACATTTAGATGCAGTAATTAACAAAGATAAGCTATGTAACCTATTACTACTAATAATTATAAAATATAAATGTATATATTTTTACTTTCTTTACTACTTTGATAAAATAACAGTTTGCACTATTATAATTCATGTTCTTACTATTATTTACATTCCCTTTATAAAATTTAATAAATGAATTATTTATTCTTAATTAGTATTTTTTTTAAATCATGTGTTACTGTAATCTTATATTATTTTTTTTTTATAATTCATATTTTTTTAGGACCTCTTCTTCAATCTTATCAATAGGGGCGTGTTTGCCAGTCCAAATTTCAAATTGAGCAATACCTTGAGATATCAAGACTTCAATACCTTCTACACAGGACCATCCTTTACGTTCAGCTTGACGAAGCAATTTAGTACGACGAGGTTTATAAGCCATATCACAAATAATGCCCTTAATTCCTCCATAAAGATGATTGGGTAACTCAATACCTGAATCAGCAGGAACAGTTGAAATGATGACACCGGGCTCTATCTTTGCCTCTAACGTCTCAACAACCTCAATGTCAATAATGCCCTTAAAAGCGTTTTGAAGATCATACGCCTTTGAAATAGTTCTATTCCACAAATAAATCTTTTTGATCCCAATTTTTTGTAAGGTATATAAAGCTGCACGCGCAGTGCCGCCGGCGCCAATAACAAGACCCTGAGGAGGAGGATTATTGATATCCAGCATGAGTGATTGGATACGACGCTTCATACCTATGTAATCTGTATTCTCACCAACTAATAAACGCTTCTTTTCGCCATTCATAGTCGTATTACGAACAAAAATAGTATTAACAGCACCAATAATTTTAGCATCCTCAGTGACTTCATCTAAATATTTCATAATAGCTACTTTATGGGGAATGGTTATAGAAGCACCTCCAAAATTAGGATCGTTCAGAATAGCGTCTTCAGCATATTCAACCATATGACATTCAAGGAGTTTATAGTGATGAGGAAGACCCAAGACGTTGAAACCAGTATTATGAAGTGTAGGTGACATAGAATGTTGAATGGGTGTACCAATTAACCAGAAAGATTGAGCAGGCAAAAGGCCAATAAGATGGCGTGCTTTATTAATCTCAGCTAAAGACAGTTGACCAGGAGCAGCCTTTTGAGGTAAAGCAGGATGTGTAATAGGTGTTAAACATTCATTTGTAACACGAGATAACTGACCAGCTGCGCCCATATTAATGGCAATTAAATCTTTACCTCCTATCTTTGAAGCACGGAAGGTCTCCAGAATCATGTTATCTTGGAATGTTTTTGCAACACCAACCAACTTGATAATATCGCCATATTTCTCACCAGTTTCATACTTGAGCTGAATAGCTTTACTGTCCCAAGGGGTAGTGTTTTGGACATCATGCCATGATGAAATAATAAGACTTTCACCCTTATTAGCAATCAGCTTTTCAATTGCAGTAGGAGTCCAACACATCTCTACATCAATATATTCACAACCCCAACGTTGTCCCCAATTAAGTAACTCAAACATGCCTTCTTCGTCATCATCAGGATAAGCACCAGCTTGTCCTTTAGATCGAACTGTAAATATAACAGGAATCGAGACAGCACGACGTAAAATAGCAAGTTGTTCGCCAACATACTCAATATAAGTTAGATTTTCCTTTTCTTCAGGCTTTTGAAGTAAATCAACACGTAATTCAACAGCATCAGCACCTTCACATATTTCTCTCATTCTTTCAACAGGCATATTAAGATTCTTAGTTGTCAAAGAAACAAACGTAGTAGGTGTCCCAACAAAACCAGCTCTACTGTCAACATGGTTTGTATCTCGACCATTAATAAAGTTTAAGAATCTTTTAAGGTCCTTTTTGATAGCCAACCACTCGGTGGGTGAAACATATCCATCAGCAACTAAACTATTAGCATATGCAACAAACTCATAATTACAGACTTCTTTATACCACACACGACGACGACGCCAAACATTCATCATGTCCTCCCCATACATAGGACGTGTTTTATCTCGATTTAAATAGGAAACAACTTGATCCAAATCACGAACTAAATGCAAAACTTTACCACCTTCTTTAACGTATTTCTTAAGAAGATAACGAGATTCTTCAGTTTCAACAATACCACCACCACATGCAATCACGTATCCCTGACAATATTCAGAGTCCTTAGCCAACAATTCTTTCAAAACTTCTGTCTCTTTGACTCGGAACTGACTCCAGCCCCAGGTGCTAATAAAATCATAAACAGTTGTGTTTAAGACTACTTCAAAGTACTGATCAACATCAATAAATTTGAAACCTAAAACTTCTGCAGCATACTGTCCAAGTGTAGTCTTTCCAGCACCACGCATGCCAATAATAACTACTGATTTTTCATGATCAACATTTCTCTTGATTCGTGTAATAATAGCATGACCTAAAGATTTTTCAGAGTCATTTAATTTCTTGCCAAGGTCAATACCATTCAAACGAACACCAAGTTTTCCTTCAAGATCATCCCACCATGTAGGCCAAGTCTTCTCTACACATTTCTTATCTGTAATAATAGTACCCTGTGGAACGACAGTTGAAAGAACAGAAAAACTCATCGCAATACGATGATCGTCGTAAGTATGAACACCTTCCTTTGGTGCTTTTAGGTCCTTGATAGCCTTTCCATGAATTTGAATACCGTCAGGTAATTCAGAAGCTTGAACACCAAACTTTGTAAGCTCATGAACCATAGCAGCTATACGATTACATTCCTTAACACGTTGATTAGCAATACCATGAATTCGAGTTATATTTTCGCTTTTTTCGTCAGCAGGGGATGTAACAGCAGCCAAAACGGTAGCAGTTAAAAAGGCATCTGTCATAGTTTCCATATCAATTTCTGGAATAGGGCGAAGCTGACCAATAGGAGGACCGATAACAGTAGTAGAGGTTTCAGTTTGAACAACAGTACATCCCATAGGTCTAAGAACATTAACTGCAAACGTAGCGTCACCCTGAAGTGATTTAGAGCCAATACTGGTAACAGTACATGTTGTGCCAGTAATAGCAGCAATGGCTAGTGGATAGGTAGCAGAGCTAGCATCAGATTCAACGAGATAAGTATCAGGGTTCTTGTATACGGTTTGCTTAATTCTGTAGGTGTTCTCGGGAAGACGTTCGACGACAGCACCAAAAGATTCCATCATGGCAATGGTCATATCAATATAAGGTTGTGAAATAACTTGTCCACCTGTTAACACAAGCTCAACAGGTTCTTTAGCATAGGGTGCGCATAACAAAATAGAAGAAACATATTGAGAAGAGATAGAGGCTGATAATTCAATACGACCCCCTTTAAGGCCACCATTAGGTGTAACTGCGATTGGTAAAAAGCCATCCTTTTCGAGTGATTTAATCTGAGCACCATCAGCCTTTAAAGCATCTAGAAGAGGCGCAATAGGTCTTTGCTTCATACGAGCATTGCCAGTTAAAATAGCGTAAGGGCTTTTAGCACCTTCAGCAGTAGGAATAAGAGCTAAGACTGATGTCAAGAATCTGGAGGCAGTGCCTGCATTGCCAACATAAATTTCTTTATCAGGTACAGAAAGTCTACCACCACCACCATGAACAACAAGGGTTTCACCATTATTTTCCCATTCAAAATCAGCGGCGTTTAATGCTTTTAAAGCAGCCAACATAAATTGTGTATCATCGGAGTGTAACAAATTCTTAATACGAACAGTGCCTTTACCTAAAGCTGCGATTAATAACGCACGATTCGATATCGACTTGGAACCTGGAGTAGTCAAAGAAACTTCTTTCTTGGGACCAGTAACAGATTCAGTTACAGGCAAAACTTGTTGTTCAGGAGATAGAACCTTATATATATCAGCATCTGCAACTATAGATGCTCGAGGTTCCAAGGTTTTACCGATTGCAGAAAGCATAACAATTCGCTTTTTATCACCTTGGTTCTTTTTATCAACCTTCATGACTTCCATAATATCATCAACATGGCAATGAAAGTTTCCAATTCTATCTTTCACCTTTTTATCGTTCAAACTGATGGGTAAATTATAGGAAGCAAAACAACGAGTTAAACGGCCAACAGCAACTTGGTTGAGATAACCCAAATTACGAGCTAATTCAGCTTCTTTAATGCAACCAATTGAAACACATTCGCCATGCAACATTAAAGGTGATACAAGGGCTTCAATACCATGACCGATAGAATGTCCAAAGTTAAGTAAACCACGAAGTCCACCTTCTCTTTCATCATTAGATACAACATGTGCCTTGAATCGTACCGAAGCCAAAATAACATCCATTAGTAACTTTTGAGCTTCTGTACGAGTATCTAAGGTTATACCTATTTTTTTCAAATATATATAAATGTTTACATATATATTTCTTTTTTTTTTTTTTTTTTTTTAATAATACCTTGATTGAGGATATTTGAATTATCTCCTAGAACAGCATCACGAATAGCCTCAACCCCATTTTCGAGTTTACAAAAATCATCCTCATTAGAAATAGCAGCGGTCTATAGTTATTTTTGTCAAAACATTAAATATATTTTCTTTTTTTTTTTCTTTTTTTATTTTAACATACCTTAATAAGTTCAGCCATGCCATTAGAAAATTCGCGTTCCGGTAAAGTACACAGAAAATTAATATCAATAAAAATGCGTTTAGGTTGCCAAAAGGCACCAATTAAGTTTTTACCAGCAGGCACATCAATAGCAGTTTTACCTCCAATGGAAGAGTCCACCATTGCTAATAAAGTAGTAGGGATTTGAACAACAGCAGCACCACGCATAAAGGTGGCAGCTACAAAACCGACAAGATCACCAATGACTCCACCACCCATAGCTAGAAAACAGGTATCTCTAGTAACAGCATTTGAAAGAAGCCAGTCCTCGATATCTGCCTTTACTTTACGAGATTTTGTCATTTCTCCTGGAGCAAGGACACGAGTAAATAAACGTGGCTCTTTTTCATCTTTATTGGTGTATATTTCTTGAATTACTGTCTTGAATGTCTTGACATACTTTTCTAGGTAAATAGGAGCTAAATTACTGTCGGTAATAAGAACATAATTGGAAGCAATTATGTTGTTTATAACATCGCGAGCAATATACTCAGTTAAATGAAAACCGGCTATAATTGATTCTGAACCAAGTATAGAAACTTTTGCAACATCAGGGCTGAATGTTGAAGTTGCCATTTTATTCACTTAATTGAAGAAAAAAAAAAAGAAAATAAAACAGTTTCAGATATTACTTATTGACAGGAAACACAAGTCGGACTTTAAAAAAATTAAAGCTTGCAAAGTATGAGTCAATGAAATAATACCTAATTAGGATTGGAGGACAATCGAAATTGTAAGCTTGATATTAAATTTTTTATTATTAAAGAATCCTTCCTTACTATTTTGATATTACACGACAAAACAGTATTATCAGTTAGACCCCTATAAGTACTATATTATTTAATTGAATTTAATCTCATATTATATGATATATCCCTTCATAGCATACCTACATCTATTGTTCATTAAAAAAAAAGACAGTCATATTAAAGGTAACTGCTATATGTTTATAAAAAAGTACAATTTTATTATATGGCAGATTGTAGTTTGTTCCAAGCATCTTCTCTATTAAAAAAAAAATGTATGCTTTATATGTAAGATATACAATACTATATTATTGTCGAATATACTCACCTCTTGCTATACTCATGTTTACACTTATTACGAATATATAAACAATAATAACTTTCTTTTCATTCAGTAATTAAATTAAATGACGCGAAATAGCTATTTTATTGTCTTCTAAAGGGTACTTATTAACTCTTCCTAGTACAGAGTAATACTTTTATATTGTTAAGATTCTGATTATTTTATAATAGTTCATTTAAATATTGTTAAAGCAGCTATGAATGAATGAATGAATGAAAAAAAAAAAAAAAAAAAAGATAATATATTCAAATGAATACATGATTAGATCTACTAACCTAGCCTAGATAAACACTGTTCCTATATATTGTTTCAAATCCTATTGAACCTATAATTGACTATAAATCATTACATCTTTTTAGAGAGTGTTCATCTATAATCATAGTTTCACAAGACTAATAGCCTAAAGTGCACATACATAAGGCTACATGCGAAGTTGAGTTTGCATCTAATACAGTTTGAAATATATGTATTTTCCTTCTTTATTCAATCTTTAACAAAGTATTTCATATTACGAAATAATCTATTATGAATCTTCCGTTATTATCGCCCTTGAAGAAGCTGTTTTCACTCAAGCAATATATCTTTCTGTTTTAGCTAGTATCTGTGAAAAGTTTAGTTTATTATTCATGATTTTGTATTCGCGTCACTTGGTTAATAATTCTATTAAAACATATATATCTTCATATAAAAGTAATAGTAACAAGCGCAAGTTGCAAACTACTTTAAAGAAATACAACATACTATATTTATAATCAACTGTGCTTGTACTATGTCTGTGTAGAGTGTCCTATTTGATAAGATTATTTATCACACGTTTTATATAATTTGTACACATCATATATAGTATCTTATTTATACAGCTATATTCTTTTATCTCCTGAGTATATATAGTATGATATTGTGTGTATGCAATATTATCGTATTCTGGGCTAGGGGCTTTTTTTTTCTTGCATTAGTATTTTTTAAGTATTCTGGCTCACGTAATAAATACATAATCATGATTATTGAAATCTTCTTTTGTAATTGTTTATAACTGAAATACTACAGAATTCATCGATAAAATAGGTACGAGTAAATAATGTATTTACCTTTGTTTATGATAATTTTTATTTAAAGATATAAATATATTTTTTTTTTCATTTTTATAGTTTCTTCTTTGCAAGCTATTACATGTGTTTATATACTACATTAACATTAATAGGCGGAAAATCAAAATTTATCTTCATTCAAAAGAAATTTTTTTTCCTTAAATTTTTTTTTCCTTCTTTGATTTGAATAATTTACATGTAAAAAGTTTGAACTATTTTTTTTCCCTCCTTTCAATAATAATTATTTTTATTTTATTTTTTTTTTTAATATGAAAGTAAAGATCGCCATCTCTGAACCACCAGAGGTTATTGATCCTTTTATTACAGATTTATCATCTTACATTGCAAAGAGTAAACGAGCGATTGTCGTGACTGGTGCAGGCATCTCTTGTAGTAGTGGTATACCTGTAAATGTCTTTTTTCATTTTTCAATCTTGCATTCAAAAAAAAAAAAAACAAAAAAAAAGCTAACATGTTCGTTTATAACTTAAAAAAAAATAGGACTTTCGTTCTTCAGATGGTTTATATAACCTTGTAAAGCAACGACATCCTGATACAGTTTTGAAAGGGCAAGAATTGTTCGACGCGACATTATTCCGTAACGAAAAGACAATAAAATGCTTTTATACCTTTATGGCTGAATTACGATCCCTCATCACAAATGCTAACCCAACCTTAACTCATGAATTTATTCAATATTTAACGAAAAAGGGACAGTTACTACGATATTATACCCAAAACATAGACTTTTTGGAGGAGAACTTGGATATTCCAGCTATTCAATTACATGGTACGATGAAGCAAGTACGTTGTACGTTATGCAGTGCTACTTTTGATTTTTCTGATGAACATGAAAAAAAATTTCGTCAAGGAGAGGCTCCTACCTGCCCTCAATGTGAAACATTTGATGCTGAGCGTGCTCGTCAAGGTAAACGTCAACTTGCTATGGGCACACTTCGTCCTGCTATTGTCTTGTATAACGAGGAACACCCTGATGGTGACCAGATTGGTCAAGTACAAATGAATGATCTTAAAAAGAAGCCTGACTTGATGATCGTCATGGGTACCTCACTCAAGATTCCTGCTTTAAAAAAGTTTATTAAACAGGCAGCACGCATTATTCATTCTAAACCTGGTGGATGCGTTGTATTTGTAAATCGTACAAGTCCTACCAAAGAATGGGATAAAGTCTTTGATTATGAAGTCCTTGGTGACTCTGATGAATGGGTAGAAATAGTAAAAAAGAAGATGGCTGACGAAAAATTGATGACACAGACAGCCAATAAATTAAAACGATTAGCCAAAGAAAGAGAAGAAGAAGAAGAAGAAGATGAAGAAAAAGAAAATAGTAAACCTTCAAGATTAAAAAGAAAGAACAGCCCAACCATTGTTATTAAATCATCTAAACAACAATCACGTTCTGCACTTAAAAGAACACTATCAAAGACACAAACAACTCTTCAAGACTTTAATGTTACTACAAAACGTCGTAAAAACCCTGCAACAACTAAAGTTGCCTAATATTAAGATAGAAAAAAAAATATATATATTTCAAGAAGAAGAAGAAGAAGAAAGAATGGGAAAAATATATACAAATATATAAATATTGAATCTTAATTTTAACCTTATATGTATACTTTTGTAATTATAATAATACACGTAAATAACAGGTCGTGTATCTTTGATAATAAAATATAATTTATTATTACATATTTGTTATCTTCATACATACTAATCATATTTAATGATTAAATAGAGCGTATGTAACTAATCTGTCATTTTACATTTGTATGTGATATAACACAGTTGCCTCTCATCGATAAATTATTTCACCAATGATAAGCTGCATTTTAAAATTGAAGAATAGTTTTGCTCATTTATTTAAATGAAATACGATAAGAAATTAAGAAAAAAAATACACACGCACACACATTACAGCTTTTATTAAAAGTGAATAGCAATTTTTATAGTAGAATATCAGCTATATTATCATTAATGAAAAAATTAAAAAAAAAAGTAAAAAAATACACTCGACTGAATCAATAATAGCTTGGTGCCAAGAAAGCATAGTTGGCAGGAGGGCAACAAACAATTTGAGACCTCTGGGGTTTTGAGGCATAGATAATCCTAAATGCCTTTTTCTTACATAGTATTGATTGTGGATTGTCAAGCTTTCAAAGAAAATAGTATTATCTATTTATTGCGATTTTAGTTCATACATTTGCATTTTATTAGCATAGTATCTTTACTTACTGTAGTAAAGAACTGTAAACAAACGCTTTTTTTTTTGGCATCTTTTTTTAAACTTTTAATTGCATTTTTGTAAATTTTAATACAATCACTCTCCAATTTTGTTTCTGTGTGTGTGTGTTAGAGCCTCCTGCAAACTCTATAATAATGACCATTGACTTGCTTTTTCTTTCAATTGCTAATCTATCAATCTTGCTGATAATATTCCTGATACTTGATCCTTTCGAACTATTAGAAAAAGAAAAACTGTTTGCAACAAAATTAACCTAGTCAACAAACCAGTACCGCTAACACCTGTACTCTCCTTTCCTTCTATCATACTAAGATTGGGGAGGGGTTAATCCTATCATAAGGTTACTGATGACCCATACCGGACATAGCTGTTTAGTCGGTTATTGTCTAGGCTGACCGCTTTGGTGGCCAACCAAAGTCCTGTATCCATTACCCAAACATTAACTGGTCTCAAATACATACAATTATATGCCTACATATATACTGATAACTACAAATGTCTATTACCATTGAGAATTTACTTTTATTTCTACTCAGCCAACTCCTAAATGAAAAAAAAAAAAGGAACCGTCACTCTACCGCTACCTCTTCTAAATTACCTACTTTTCCCTGGAATATACCATAGTTAGTAATTTGCTGCATACTGTCTGAACTTGATTATTTATTCCATGACAAATTGCACCTAACCTTAACTTAAAGTTTCTCACTTGGCTATGTGCTATAAATTTTGTACTACATCATCACATTTGGTCAAAAATAAATAAAATAAATAAAAATGATAATAATGAAGCGGTGCCAGAATATTAAAAAAAAAAAGAGGGGGAATTTTTTTTTTTTTAAAATTTTATAGTCTTTACATCGTCTTTATATTTCTTTTTTATTTTACATATATACAATCGGTTGTATACGGACTATACTTTATATTTATTATGGTAGGTCTATCAAAGTCAAGGCCTTCCTTTAATAATAGTAGTGGACCGGAAGAAAAAAGGACATTAAAAAACATACTTCGATCATGGTTAATTGTGATTCTCAGCATTTTCTGTGGCATGTCACTCGCATGTTATTTTCATTACAAAATACCATTGCCTACTAATCATCTCGGTTATAATACTAAGACTGGTTTATCCGACTTTTCTGAAAGTAATGCTATGAATATTATATCTCATTTAAGTGATACTATCGGTTATCGTAAGTGTCAAATATATCTATTATATGTATTCTCTTTTTATAACTTTCTTAATTGCTAGGTGTTGTGGGCACAATTGAAGAAAAACAATCTTATGATTATATTCACGACTTGGTTAAGCAATATAAAAAGGAGTCAGAGGGTATTGTCGGCTCACCCAAATTTGATATTTGGATACAGCAAGGTACAAGCTCACATAGATTTGATATTATGGATAAGAGTAAGTTTTTTTTTATATATAAATAAACAACGGAAGGGGAGGAGAGAAAGAGAGAGAGAGAGAAATTAAGGAACGATGTAATTAAATGTAATTTGTATAGTGGTATTAAAGGCTTATACAAACGTTACAAACATTATTGTCCGTTTATCTTGCCCTGTTAATCCTCAAAATCCCGAGAATCGTAGCTGTGAAGAAAATGCAGTTTTATTAAATTCTCATTTTGATACTACATTGGGTTCACCAGGAGCTACAGATGATGGTTCTGGTACAGCTGTCATGTTGGATATTATTCGTGTCTTAAGTCAACGTGATTGGTCGAATTATAAAAATTCTATTGTATTTTGTAAGTTGTTGTTGTCCTCTTATTTCACCCCCAGTAAAACCTTCTTACTTAATTTATTTTGTAGTATTTAATGGCGCCGAAGAATCATTACAGGATGCTTCTCATGCCTTTATTACTATGCATGAAATTAAAGACACGTAAAATGAATATTTATCATATACATACTTATATACATTTATTCATTCCTATTTATAACTATTATTATAGAATTAAATGCGTTGTTAACATTGATGCTTGCGGAACAACGGGCCGGGAGATTTTGTTTCAGGCGAATTCACTTGAAATGGTGGAAGCTTATAAACAAGTGCCTTATCCTCACGGCACAGTTATGGTAAATATCTAGAGATATACTTTGGTTAAATTGAGAAAGGAGAGAGTGATAGTGTGTGTGTGTGAAAAAGGCTAATTATAAATAATTTTAGGCAAACGATGTATTTCGTACGGGTCTTATTTTATCAGATACGGATTTTAGACAATTTGTTCAATATGGAAATTTAACAGGCATAGACATGGCTATTTATAAGAATTCATACATTTATCATACTGATTTAGATACTACAGAACATTTACAGCCAGGTTCAATTCAACATTTAGGTGAAAATACATTAGCTATCGTGAATTATTTAGCTCAAAATGGCACTTTAACTTCTATTGAACCTTCAAATTCAGTCGTCTTTTTCGATTTTCAAGGTTTATTCTTTGTTGTCTATTCATGGGCTACAGCTTATATTATTCAGATGGGAACCTTTATGTTATCTGTCATTTATTTTATCTTGATCGTTAGAAAGACTCATCGTTCTTCACCTTATCGTTCCATTAGCCATATTTTAATCTCTTATACTAAATCTACACTTTCTGTTTTATTCAGCATGCTTACTGCTATGATTTTACCCATCTCAGTTGCATTCATCTTAACTTCAGACATCTTTAATCGTCATATGGCATGGTTCAAGCATGAATGGTATGGTGCTCTTATGTTTGGTCCCATAGCACTTGCTGGCTCATATGGTACCCAATATCTCTTTTCAATTTTACCAGGTCCTGAGCATTTCGATATAGAGTATGGTACCTTTACTTCCCTTATGCTTCTTTTTACACTTGGAACTGCTGTAACAACTCAAACAGGAGTCGCAAGCTCTTATGTATTCTGGTTATATAATTTTATTCTCTTATTGGCCTGTATTTTGAATGAACTCTTTCTTCGTCCTGCTCCTAGTAAAGTTTATTTACCTCAGGTAGGTTATGGGGCTTATATCCTTAGTGCTGCGACTCTTTCAATGTTATATACCGATTATGCCTTTGCTCTAGTTGATATTTTTGTTCCCTTGACGGGTCGTATGGGAGTTGATACACCAGTTGATGCAATCATTGCATTTGTGTATGGTATGATCACCTTCATGGTATCATTACCATCCTTAGCACACATTCATCGTTTTGGCAAACGCGTATTGAAAAGGATAGTCATTCTATTATTATGTGCAGAAATAGCTGTCTTAACTGCCGTTTATATTAGCGGTGGACATGCTGGAGGCTGGGCGTTCCCTTATGATACTTTACATCCAAAACGTCTATTTATTCAAGAACTCAAGAATTTGACATCTGGAGAGATCACGGTTGGTGTTGCACAAGCTGATCATGGACCTTATATTCAGACAGTGATCAACAGATTGGAGCAAAATTTAGGTGTTCAAGCAGAACCACGTAATGCTTTAAGCAACATGAACGATTGGGACTCCATTTATCCTTTTAGTGCCTTTTTGGGTGGTTATCGATTTGATGTAGTGCCATATCTTCATAAGCATAGTACTTTAAAAACGTCTAATTTGCTTGATGCCTTACCTGGACCCTTCCCAGAGGTGAAAGTCTTTAATGACACCTATGATTCGAACACAGGTGTTCGATCCTTTTCTATTCTTTGTCTTTCACCTAGTTATACATGGACAGTCTTGGCCTTTGATGGACAGGTTGTAGGTTGGAGTATTGATGGTGAAGAACCTTTGGAGAAATCATCTCATTATGTCGTACGTCATGTAAGTGGTTATGGCAATGATGGTTGGACTTTAGATTTAGCTATTCAGGTTCCTGAAGAGGAACGTGATAAGGCAGAAAAAGGTGAATGGAAGATACCATTTGAATTTACCGCATTGGAAAAGGAAGGCTTTGCTAGCCATGGTGAGGAACGGTTGATAGGTGGGGTTGGTATTATGTCTGTTGTTCAAGATTCCCTACCAAATTGGACTTCAACGACTTGGTTAAGCTCTGTTGTTCAAGTTTGGAATTTATAAACAAAATATTATATTTATATATATATAGATAGATAGATAGATTATACAAGTTTAATATTATCATCATAAAGGCTATATCCAAGTTTTTTCCCTTTTTAATACATACATACGTATTATTGCAACTTGTATACATATTTGATAAAATGAAACTTTTATTCTTATAATATATGATATCTAAATGAGCTATGTGTATGTATAGTTTAAAATCATAAATACATACGTCTGTCTGTATTTCTTTCTTAAGCAGTCAATACTTGATCAAATTCACCAGTCTCGATCTATAAATAAAATATATAAAATAAGGTTATGATACACTCACTCACTCATTTAGATTCACCCATTTCTGAATTTTTTTTTACCATTTCCTTTACAATATCTAAACCACCTAATAATTCTCCTTTATAAAATAGCATTGGGAATGTTGGCCAGTTAACATAAGTCTTTAGACCTTGTCGAACATCATCGTCTGATAAAATATCAAAATATCCATATTTAACATGTCTATCATTCAACAATCCGACCATTTGTCTTGAAAATCCGCATTTAGGTTCTTCAGGTGTTCCCTTTATAAACACCATCACTGGTTGCTTTTCAATCAATTCTTGAAGTCGAGTATTTAAATCCTTTTCTTTAGGTAAAATCTCTTGGAATTCACCTGAAGCAATCATTTCCTTAATAATATCCAATCCACCCATTAATTCACCATTAATATATATTTGTGGATAAGTTGGCCAATCAGAATATGCCTTTAAGCCTATATATGCATTTAGTTGGAAAATAAAGCAAGGAAATATATACTTTAACATTTACCTTGGCGAACATCTTCATCAGCAAGGATATTAAATGAACTATATTTAACTTTTTGTTCTGCTAATAAATCAACAAGCTGACGAGAGAAACCACAACGAGGCTATTTTTTTTTAAAAAAAAAAAAAAAAAGAAAAAAAAATTGTATTAGTAATCTATTATGTTCATTTTTTTTTTTTTTTTTTTTTTTTTTTTTTTTTTTTTTTTTTTTTTTACCTGTTGAGGTGTGCCCTTAATGAAAATCATGACAGGTGCACTATGGATAAGTGCCTTTAAACGAGCATTAAGATCCTTAACAGGCTTATTACCATTTTCTGTTCCTGCTGCGGATGTTGTGGCTGTACTAAGCTTGTTCAACACTCCTTTTGAATGCTTGGCGACAGCATTTGTTAATTCAGCAGCTTTGGCACCTTCAATTTGCTCTACTATTTTACCTCCCTAGTTAGAAAAAGAAATACTTATTAGCTTACTTGTTTTAATGAGAAAAGTAATTTACTCTTTACCTTTAAGATAATAAATGTAGGTACAGCAGAAATTTCAAAGTTTTCAGATATATCAGGGTACTCTTCTGCTTCTATCTATTTTTTTTTAAGATATGAATAAAAAGTATATATATATATATATTTACAGCCTATCTCCTATTTTTTTTTAAAAAAAAATTAATTACCTTTATGAACTGAAGAGCAGGAAACTTGTTAGCAAGTTCAGCAAATACCTCATTCATTTGTTGGCATGGTTCAGCCCAAGAAGCCCAGAAATTTAAGACATATACGGCATTCTTTTTTGTTGCAAGATCGTTGAATTGTTCGTCTGAGGTAATGTCTATTAAATTACTCATGTTAATGTAGGATGAGTCAATAAATGAAAGAAAAAAAAAAATAAATAAATAAATAAATAAATAAATAGATAAAAAAAAAATATTTTATTAACATTATTATTTTATTGGATCTAAATTTTAAAGCACAAAATAAAGATAGGATTTTATTGGATTAAGAAATCAGATCAAAAAGTTTTATTGTTTTTATATCGAATAATTTAAACAAACCATTTTAATAAAACTGATAAGTAAAAAACAACCCTATTCAAGCATATAAATTTTTAGATTGTACAGTATGTAGTTTTTATTTTTTAAGGAAATAAAAATGAAATAAAGCCAAAAGGGTCTAAAAGGATACAATAGTGATTATTGTATTAGTAAGCATAATAAATTGAAGTAAATGATCAGTGACACTAAATCAAGATTTTCTAAATAATTTATTAACTTTTAGCTTTCATATCATTAATAATCAAGAAAAATTACTAATTAAATGGAAGTTTTGGATTTGTATACAAGAGCATATTTGACAGACATAAAGTGTGTGTTTTTTAATACTTTTTCTACTCTCTTATAAAAGTTTTTTTTTATATTAATTATATAAAAACTTCAGTAATCCTTATAAAAAAAAATAGCTTTTAACTAGGGAAGATCATTCTTGTATTTAGACTATAAACAAAAAAAAAGTAACCAAAAGGAATCTAAGAAAGGGAAAACAATAATAATAATAATTAAAAGAGATATTTTTTTAAGGAGAAGGAGTAATTGTTGGTATCACGTTTGTTTACTATGTTTATTATGATAACGATTAGTGTGCTATTAAGATTATCCAATTAGATTCATCACAGAGATTGTGACGCCTTTTTATGACAGTTTAAAGCATATGATAACGGATCAAAAAAAAAAACTATAAAAGGAGGTCATTTTCATGCCCAAACTTGCTTTTTTTTCTCTTTATATAATCCTTTTTTTTCATTTGTTGGCTTGTAAAAGGGCTGATGAGTGATTTTTTGGGATGGCTTCATAGTTTAGTTAGTATTTTGTATGCTTTCTTTCTGGATTATGCTCACCTCTCCAATGTATTCTAAAAACGATGTAAACCATCATTGATAAACATTACGAGTACCTCCGGGATAAGTATATGGAACACTGCGACGTTATGGGGCCCATTTTTTTTATTATTTATATATTTATATAGCAGATTTTATTATAAATGGAAAAAAAAACCGATATAAATATAAATATTACGTGTATAAATATGTATATTATTATGCATGTAGATATATATCTAAGTGACATAGACTGTTTATTCTGTACAAAAACTTCTTTTTATGTATTATTTCCTTGCAACTAATGTATACTAAATCATAATTATTGCTTTATCTATGAATATGTATTTACGATGTTATGTAATAATTGTTTTTTTTTCTTCTTTCTATGTCATAAGATTTCAATAATAAAAGAAGAAAAAAAAAAGTACAATAATCAATGTGATATATATTCCAAGATAAATTATCATGAACATTGTTAGAAAAAGATCGATATACTTTATAAAAAAATAGATTCTTTTGAAGCAGCAAATGTAGGCTGTCATTTTACAGAAGAAAACCTATATAGTTGAAACAAACCGATGACGCTATTCTTTAAAGATTTAGTAAATGTAATCTGTTACATGAAAAATATATTTATAGAAACTAGGTTAAATGCCTTTTATTTATAAGCGTAATACTGCCATTTATACAAGAATCAATTCTATATTACAAGCCGTTCGTTCTCGAAAGTAGTATGACTTTAGATAAGCTCTTGGTAAAAAAAAAAAAAAAAAAAAAAAAAAAAAAAAAAAAAAAAAAGAAAAAAAAAAGTAGAATAATTATAATTAAAAGTTTCTTCTTTAATATTATTATTCGTGAATATAATACAACTAGTAAATATTTTTTTAAAGCCCTTAGACAATAAAGTGGACGAATTATCACGAATACAAAGACATGATAGTTTTTATTTATAATATAAAAAGCGTATAGTTAGTAAAAAATAAAAAAAAAATAGATATGAAGCCGTTATAACTAATATGACTTATAAAGAAAAGTATTATATTTTCTATATTTTATTATATTTGTATATCATGTTTAGTAGTTTTTTATATTATTGTTAAAGCATTTTTTTTATCAATTATTATAGTTTCACTTATAAGCATACTATAGCATATAGTTTTTATAAATTGATCAATATAGATAGTAGAAAATTTGAATGCACAATCCAGCAAGTTCAAATAACAATGTTTATGTAAAGTAACAAAGTGAACTTAATTCGTTTAGAAGTATCTTGATATGTATTTTTTTATATGTGTAGTACTCATATAAGCAAGCTTGAAAAAGTTGGACAATGAATCATGTTTGAGCTTTGCTTTAAGATAAAATATGTGCCAAACTTTCTTTTTACAGTCTTGATATATCAACAATAAAAACCATCATTTAGTCTTCTTGAAGATTAAATTTGTTTATTATATTTCGGGCTAAACTGTATATAAAGGGTAAAGTGAATTCAATAAATTACATGTTTTAAATTTCACTTGTAACAGAGGAAATACAATATCATTACGAAACATAGAAGTATACTATATAAAAGTAAAGTTTAGTTATTAATTAGATATAAAAACTTTTTTTTTTTGGCTTTGCTTTGCCTTCTTTCAAAGACTTTTCTTATTTATATTTGTTTGGCGTCACATTTCACTATTGTAGTATTCTTTTATTTATTTCAACTTGTAATAAAAAGCATACTCTTTCCTTCTTTTAATTTAATATCTTTTCTTGTATTTATTTATTAGATTAAAAAAAGGGGGCATAATAGGCATAAGTGATACAACTATATTTAAAATGTAAAGAAGGTTATTATTAAAACTTGGCCTAGTAATATTAAGAAAACATAATTCAGAAATAGAAACAAAGTACTTGTGATATGAGTAGAGGCGAAAAGCAGCATAGATAGACAGTACTTAAAAAAGAATAATATATCCAACTACAAATGATATTAAGCTTTGTCGATAGTTTAGGGTATATTTTCTGTATGTCAAAAAAGTCAACTCAAGAACACTGTTTTTAACTGCAATCATAGTAATCTATTTAATCTACTATTAATGACATGATAAAGTCTTTCCTTGTAGAACTATAAATAAGCAAAAAAAAAAAAAAAAAAAAAAAAAAAATAAAAAAAAAATAAAAATGTCTACAGTGAGATATTATTTACGTGCTATTTATACGCGTAATATTTATATTTATATCGGTTTTTTTTTTCATTTATAATAAAATCTGCTATGTAAATATATAAATAAAAAAAAATGGGCCCCATAACGTCGCAGTATCCCATATACTTATCCCGGAGGTACTCGTAATGTTTATCAATGATGGTTTACATCGTTATTAGAATACATTGGAGAGGTGAGCATAATCCAGAAAGAAAGCATACAAAATACTAACTAAGCTATGAAGCCATCCCAAAAAATCACTCATCAGCCCTTTTACAAGCCAACAAATGAAAGAAAAGGATTATATAAAGAGAAAAAAAAGCAAGTTTGGGCATGAAAATGACCTCCTTTTATAGTTTTTTTTTGATCCGTTATCATATGCTTTAAACTGTCATAAAAAGGCGTCACAATCTCTGTGATGAATCTAATTGGATAATCTTAATAGCACACTAATCGTTATCATAATAAACATAGTAAACAAACGTGATACCAACAATTACTCCTTAAAAAAAATATACACAAATCTCTTTTAATTATTATTATTATTCCTTTTGTTTATAGTCTAATTCAGCAAGAATAATATATATGTTTATACATTTTTATAATAAGATCTTTAGTCAAGTCAACATTTCAGGGGAAACTTAAAATAAAGGGATAGATATCAAATATGTATAAGCAAATGTGTATACCATTTTTTATTAAATATTTACATTTTTACTGTATGGCAGTCTGCTTTTCCTTTATCTTTAATCATAATAGAACTTCTTAGTTAATGCGCTTGAAAGAGAGAGAGAGAGAGACACGCTACTGCATAATTAACATACTCATTATATACTCAAGTTACCTGTTGAAGGTGCTTAATTACAATTTTGGCAGATCTATATCTTCTATATGTTGTGTAGAATGACTACTTTACTAGGGCAAATAGATTATTATAGCTTCAATTTTTGATTGTTAATATCTCTTTTTACATGATAATTATTGGGACAAAACTTCAAATTGGCCTCTGCAATATTTTTTTTATGAATATCAAAAAAAAATAAAATAAATAATTATTCTCCACTTTTCTTTATAAATGTTAATAATATCCCCTGTCTTAAAAAAAGGCATTCATACCACATGCCAATTGCATGCAAGATCAGCCATTAAACACTTGGAAACTACCAATAATAAATCCTTTAAGCTTGTTGCATTTCCTGATCCTCCATCTCTTTCATCTAATCAAGTTGCAGATGCTAATCTGCTTTTTGCAAGACCTGTCAATTTTATTAAAAGTATATCTAGTATAGATCAAGCTCCTAATTCAACTCATCCCGAGGTAAAGCCATTTATAGACTTGATTGAATAGATTATTTAATTGATTACGAATAGGTTGCCTTTGTTGGAAGAAGTAATGTTGGTGTAAAGTATTTTATATAAATTAAAAATTAGACTTGAACTGACTCGAATCCAAAAAAAAAAAAAAAAAAAAAAAAAAGAATAGAAATCAACCTTAATTAATACCTTAACGAACAATAGTAAGTTGGTCAAAACGTCTAGTAAACCAGTAAAGTATATAAGGAAACACACGAAAAGAATGGATGAGACTAAACAATTACTATATACATGTCTATATTGACTGTTATTCTGATAGGGCCATACTCGATTATTAAATTTTTTTGATGTTGGGAATCAAGTTACCTTTGTTGATATGCCAGGTTATGGGTTTAGGTCAAAAGAAGAATGGGGGAATTTAATATTAGATTATTTATCCAGTCGTCAACAGTAAAGTAGTATGGATATATATATATACATATATAAAAGACTTTGATATTGATTGCATTTATGAACAGATTAAAACGATTATTTATGCTCATTGATCCAGTAGCAGGATTAAAAGAAACAGATAAACAGTTGATACGTTATTTAGATCAGCATGCTTTATCTTATCAAGTTATTTTAACGAAAAGAGATCGACTTTCAAATGAGAAATTTACAGAATTAAAATCAAATATAGAAAAGTATCTTTTAGAGAATGCTATCTGCTGTTATCCACAACTATTATCAACGGGTAAACGAAAAAAGTCATCAACACGAACTCATCTTGAAAATAATCTTATAGAAGATGAGATAATTAAAGTAAAATGGGCTATTATTGAAGCAACTGGCATTACTGTACGACCTCGTTAACTCCTTTTTATTATTCATAATAAATAAAAGTATGTATGTGTGTATATATTGAAAGGAAGAATGTAGTAATATGGATAAATTACGTATGCATATTATTCTTAAGAAGTAGTAGTAGTAGTGGTAGTAGTAGTAGTAGTGTTAGTTTTTTCTTTTACATTACATAAGCCATTTTGGATCACCTCTTCTCTTTTCAGATTCCCTTATTTCAAACATGATTTGTACTGCAGTATAAAGACAAAAAATAACTGAAATCAAAAAGACGAATCCATCCATTGAATTATTAAAGATTTGTTTTAGCATAGTTTTCATACCATCTACTCCAAGACAAAATCCAACTAGATTAGCAATCATCATCATCCCTATATTACATACAGCACCTATTCCACATACAAATCTATAATAAAAAGTGCTACCAAACTTATTTTTTTTTATAAAGAAGAGTGAATCAAAACTACTCTATCTATTATATGTATATATATATTTATATAAAATACCTTTTTATATGTAAATAATCGAGTTCCAATTATTTCAGGTAGCAGAAATAAACAGATGAGCCAACCCCAAGCAAGTAATTTTAATTCTATATCATGCCAAAGAGCGACAAATGTAAAGACAATCCATATATTCAAGGTAATATAATGAGAACCACCTAGAGGTAGATAAATATATCGAATCGTCCAGCGGTTGAAGCTTCTATGCCAGCTTTTCCAAAATCGTTGACCTGAAAAGTTATTACTGACACATCGAATCATATTTTCTTCTGTATAGATGCCATCCCCTAAAGCCCAGAGTCTAAAAAACCTCCATGGTATCAAAAGCTTCATCCAGATGATAACAAGATTAAAATAACCAATCATGCATAATTCGAGAGGAGAGTTGTGAGCCTCATTCCAAGCTTGTGCCTTTGAGATAGCTACGACATAAAGATAGTGAAGAGTCAGTTCCATAAGTAGAATAACAAAAGCAAGACGCAAGGCATATGTAAAGATAAATCGAGGTGTGACCTTTGAAGATGGAAAACGTAACTGAGAAATAAAATCATTAAAAGTAATGATAGGACCACATAAATAGAGAGGTAAGTAAAGGATATAAGACAAGAAATTAAGATAATTATAATCTTGTAAGACACAAGGTATTTGAATACGATCCTTATCGGTTGGTTCTTCTTCATAAGGATCATGATGCTTATTCAAATTGTTGTGTTTCCAATAATAATCCATATTATATGAAATAAGTCGAAGTATAGTAAAGTTGAAAAATACATGCCATCTTGGTAACAAGCCTTGATATTGATCCTAATGATGGTGTTATTCAGTTAATAAGGAGAAGAAAAAGAAGAAGAAAAAGAACATCTCCTTTGTTAACTATCTATTTATTTACCATGAAAGGAGATGCAATCATAGATTTAAACGAATAACCACCAAAATACTCATTTAAGAACAAGATCAGTAAATTAAATAGCCAAGTTAAAAAGGGGTTCCATTTCGTGTCATGACCCAGACGACCCAATAAATAACTCGTTGTAATGATGATCCATATTTTAATCAAACTTGTACCGTGTAAAGCAGTGAGAATGATAAGCGAAGTCAGTACATGAAAACTAGCCTTTAACCTTACTGAACTATCGCTGTTTGTCTGTCTCTTTTGCTTTTTTATTAAAACATGATGATAGAGTCGACTTAGAAGAAGATAGAAGAAGGCTAATACGAATAGTAAAGGAAGATGATTACGAAATTGAGCATATTGCAAGTCACTATTATCCACTTTTCTATTGAATATCCAACCCTCTGATAAAAGATGACTGTATAGATGATAGTTTGGATGATCCACTATATAAATAATATGATTTTAATGATAATTGGTATTTAGATGGTTCTAGGTATATCTTACTTTTACTCAGTCCATAAGTAATATAAAACATGTATGGAACTACTAAAGCTATAACCACATAATATAAATAAAACTCTATAACAATAAGGATAAAAAATACAAGGTATGATTTAAAAATAAAAGAAGAGATAGTTGGTAATCTTGATGAGGAAGTAAATATACCTTTTGTATTCCATCGTGATGATGTAGTAGATGTAGATGTAGATGATTCATTGACCATGACTGAATTTGTGTTTAAAGGTAAATCATTTCTTAACTTATGTAATTCGATCATTGGCATTTGATTATTCTTATTCTTATTATTAGTATTCTTATTTTTATTATTATTTTATTTTTATTATTATAGTGGAAATATAATGATAATAAATAAGCTAATAAAATAAAATAAAAGAGCGGATCAAAAATTAAATTAAATCACAGGAGTAAACAACATGATAAATTGGGGGGGGGAGGAAGTAAAATAGCAATTAGAATCAACGTGTTTTAATTTCAGAAATTAACTTTACATATTGATCAGCCTTCCTCATTAAAAGCAAATTAGAAGAATATTGGATTCCATAGAGTAGAATTTTGCATATGATTTTATTCATTTATTTTAAATTAATTTCCACCCCAATCCCCCACTTACTAACTACTAACTATTAACTTCTAACTAACTAACTTCTAACTAACTAACTACTAACTACTAACTAACTAACTACTAACTACTAGCTAACTAGCTACTAACTAACTAACTAACTAACCAACCAACCAACTACTACTTCTTCTACTTTACTTTAACTTTATCTCATCTCGCCTCTAAAGCAAGCATGCATTAAAATTGTTATTAAGTTTATTTCTAAAGTGTACATAAATATATCTTCGTCTTTTCTTTGATTTGAAATTGTTAATGTGTAATAAGATACCTCCACAAAAAGAAATAAAATGAAAATATATTATAAAAGTTAGTTCCTGAATTTTATTAAACGTGTCTAATATAAAATTGTAATTTTCCAATAAAATGTATTCAATAACTATTTTTAGTTTTTTTTTTTTTTGCCTCTCGCCAAATTTGGTAATAGCATATTACAAATAAATGCAAGTGCTTATAAACCAATCATTATTACATAATATTTCACATACTATATTTCAGAGTAGAGTGGGTATATGCATCAAATATATCTAAAGCAAGGGTCTAATTCTACATATTCTATCTACCCATTAATGAATAGAACACCTGTACCATTTCTTTACATATACCCTCCCCCCCGCACTTTTGTTAAAATACAATGAGGGAATTTTATATGTGAAGACTTCTCTCTCTCTCTCCCCCCACCTCCTCTTTATTCGTCTATTCATATACACATATTTATTTATTAAATACTATCCGTACTAAATATTATATCGAGCTCATTTAATATTTTATTTTATTTTAATAAAAAAAAAGTATTCCTTTGTATTGTATACATGATATATTAATCAATTAAGCTTATGAATGATAAGCTTTTTGTTATTTTTATAATTACCATACCATCATTTGTCTTTTGTATATCCTCATTAGTAGTTTTAAAAGGACTTCAAATTTAAATTTAGTAAAAAAAAAAAGACATGTTATAGATTATGCGTATATCAATTTATTGTCTTTTTTAAAAGTAATATCCAAATTATCTCTATCTAATATATAAACGTTGATTATTTAGAAAGAAAATGCAAGTCTTTCATGTTGTTTAGATGAAAATAATATATGCATGTTTCAATATAATGTAGCCAAAAAATTATATATAAATGTATGTTTCATATTTCCTTTTTTTTTAAAAAAGAAAAAGAAAAAAAGGGGGGATGGGAAAAGACCTTTTCTTTTACTGTAGATCCAATAAGCATTACTTGTTTAAAAAAAAAAAAAAAAAAAGGAAAAGGAAAAGAGAGAAAAGAGAGATAAAGCGATAGATAATTCAGGGTCCAGTTATTTTTGTTTTTCTCACTTTTTTTTATGTATTTTTTTTTTTTTTTTTTTAAAAGACAGAATTTTATGTTTGAAAAGTTTTTTTAGAAATTCATTTTGTATACTATCATAACTAAAGATTAATAAAAAAGGTATGATCTTTTAACGTGTTGTACTAGACTGGAATTTGTCTGCATAAAAATTACCATTCTTATAAACAAAATAATTAAAATAATGCAAAACCTCTTTTTTTTATACATATAAATTAAAGTTTTTATTATATTGAAGCCACACACACACACACACACCCTCACATATTCATTTACTCGGTATTTATCTGCTACTCGGTCTACATGCTAATATGATTTAAAATAGATACACAAGTGAAATACACGTGATATTAAAGTTGCTTAGGATAATACATGAAAGCTGTCATTCAAGAACAATTATCTATTTGGGGGAGTAAATATAGTTATTTTAGAGAGAACAAATATTGTAACACAGGGTTAAGACCTTTCACCTCTATTTACTATTGGTAATGTTTCATTTTATTTTGAAAAAAAAAAAAAAAGTATTAATATTATAACAAGATTTGGTATAAATAATAAAAAAGCATAAATAAATAAATTGTATTGTAATAATAAAACTAGAACAGTAACCTTTTTTCCCTCTTTTTTTTTCATATATTTTTTTTTCTCTTTCTAGTATTCGTGTATTTATAAAGTATTCTCTATACGAGAAAAATAGTAAAGTAAATACAGATCAGGGACAGAAAAATTGCTTGGATCAACTAAATCATTATCATTATTATATACACAACTTGTCCTCTCCTTTTTTTTTACTTTTCAGTTTAATATATTAAATTCCTCATTGTCAATTCAATCATCATTACAACTAAAAAAGAATGTTGGCATCAGCACAAATCAATAATAACAATCAACTTACTCCCAACTTCAAAGTTCAACAACAACACCAACAATTTTTATTGTCTGCTGAGATGCAGCAAGAACAAGCAAAATTGGTAATTCATATTTTTTTTATTTTTTTATTTTTTATTTTTATTTTTTTATTTTTTTATTTTTTTATTTTTTTATTTTTTTATTTTTTTATTTTTTTATTTTTTTATTTTTTTATTTTTTATTTTTTTATTTTTTTATTTTTTTATTTTTTTATTTTTTATTTTTTTTATTTTTTTATTTTTTTATTTTTTTATTTTTTTATTTTTTTATTCATTCATTTATTTATTTTTTTAATTCTTTTCCTTTTTCTTTCTTTTTTATTTAATAATAATAATATCCATAAAATAATAGCTTGAACCTCTTTACCATCAATTAATTGGACCTACTTATGATAATAGCATCGTTGCCATTCAGAATTGTAGAGACATATGTGCCAAGTTTGGATTTACCATCAAACAAGAAGCGAGTACTCATAGAGTAAATAAAAATGATGTTACATTAATACCATCCTCTTTTATTATGATTGTTATTAATGAATTTTATCATATATAGAGTATTTATGTCTATTGTTCTCGAGAAGGTCTAGCTGATTCTCAAAGAAATCCTAAAATTAAACCTCAAAGGAAAAGACCTTCCAAGAGATGTGATTGTCGTTGGCGTGTTGTCTTGTTTGAGAATGAAGATAAGAAATGGGAATTTAGAAAGTCCATGAATCCTCATGCTGATAAACATAATCATGAACTGATGCGACCTGAAGACGTTGACCGATCTTGGCCTAAAGAAGTGACAGAATTTATATCAGAACTTACTCGACAACGAATGACAACACAAGATATTCGAATGCAAGTACAAGAACGTTTTCCCGATTTACAATGGAACGAACGTCGTTTTTATAATCGAATTTCTGAAGAACGTCAAAGAATGAAAGTAAAAGAATCCATGGCAAGAGCTCTTGAATTGGATACCATCTGGAGTAAAGTCTGTATGATCACGGCTGGAAATGAAGAATTATTTCAATTTGTCAAACAGGAATTGGTCGTGCTTTTTCAATCTATTTGTGAATCGGCTCAAATTGACTCCAATACCTTTCCTGAACCCTTTATTTTAAAAGATGAAGAGAACAGTGAAGAAGATTCCGAAAATGATAATAGCAATCATGAATCTTATGGTCAACAACTATCTTCAACTACTCTAAAATCAAATCATTTAAAATTAGCAGATGAAATAATAACTGCCGCGCCAAAAGGATTCATCACTCTAGAGATACCTAAAAAGTTCTATTTTATCAAAATGCATAGTTTACGACAAGTATATGAAGTTCAACATTTAAAAATTCACCAACAAAAGACACGCTTACTAGCATCTGAAGAAGATGATGATCAGCAACAACAACGTGCGAGGAAAATAGCTAAAAAGGGAAAGGACAGGCCTATTTATTTCACGGATGAAAGTCAAAAAATAATTCCTGAAATAGCAGTACATCATCATTCTATTATACCATCACCATTTGATCACAGTAGTCAACATGATAACAATATCAACCCTACATCGAACTCAGTTCCCATCTCTTCTGATCAAATCTCACCTTCAGCATTTGTTTTTTCATACGATAATAATCATAATATGGCTACTATTGACACTTCATCTTTAACAAATTATGTAAATCCTTCATTTCAACCTAATTATGCTGCTGCTGCTGCTGCTGCTGCTGCTGCCGCCGCCGCCGCCGCCGCCGCTAATGTTAACATCTCTACTAGTCCCTCACCAAATACGCCTAATTTTAACACATCTGGTAGTAGTAGTAGTAGTAGTATCTCTTTTCCATATGACCAACAACAACAACAACAACAACAATTCTCTTCTCCGCCCATGCTTCAAAATAGCATTGAATCATCAACAACAACAACAACAACTAACAACATAAACAATAATAACGATAATAGCAACAATAACACTAATAACACTAATAATAACCCTACTATATTACATCAAGATAACCCTAATACTAATAACCCTAATAACCCTAATAATAATAATAATAATAATAATATCACGCAACATTTATCAGCCAATAATGCCGCACTTTATTCCATGACAACATCACAGCAACCAAATAAAATAGCAACAAGATACATGTTACCCTCAATTCAATCTAATCATTTAACTTTTCAAGAAGATTTATTTATTCACCCTTCATCATCACCTTCTTCTCGTTCACTCTCTCTTGCTGCAACTAATACATTACTTCCTATCTATCGTCACCCATTATCAAATGCCATACAGATATCTGATTCACCTAGAATTCATCAAAAGCATTCAAGACAGTCATATTAAAGAATAATAATAACAGTAATAATAAATAAAAATAATAAATAGTAATAAATAATAAATAGAAATAAATAGTCAATAATAATAATAATAATAATAATAATTATAATAAAATTATCTATTACGTAATAATAATACTAATATACACATATAAATATATAAATACATATATACATTTATATACATTTATTTTAAGTATCTTTATTATTTTTATTATTAATAACACAATCTCTAGTTAGAATTGATTGTAACTGGAAAAAGTACTTTGTCTTTTCATATTATTATTAAAGGGTACTGCTAGATAATGTGAAGATCTATTAGCAGGATTCAACATACCTATTTGTTGTTGTTGTTGTTGTTGCTGTGGAAGCATGATCATAGATTGAGATTGAGGAGGAGGTATTAAATAAGCTGGGTTAATTGGAGTGGACATACTTAAAGTAGGTATAGGCGAACTTTCACTACGAATCATTTGTGATCTTCTATGGTTGGAGGAATGCATCATTGCGGTACTAGGAGGTCTATTCGATAATGATGAGGATGAACGATATTTATTATTGCTATTGCCCTGTGAAAGATAATAGTCACTTTTACTTGCCCTTGTTAATTGCTGTTGTTTAAGGACATGATGTTGAAAATTAATATTATGTTGTCCTTGTTCAGGTACTTGACTTAGGAGACCATCATCTAATTTAGCCTTTGAAGGATCAGGCATCTTCTTTTTATTTGTTTTACGAATGGCAGCCTTTTCTTGTTCAATTTGAATCATTAAATCCATCCCAGAGACACTCTTTCGATTATTCGCATTATTATTGTTACTGATATTATGGGTATCATAAAATGAATTTCGACTGTTATACAATTGTTGTTGTTGTTGTTGTTGCAATTGAATAGCTTGTTGATATTGTTGCATTTGTACCATTTGTTGTGCTTGTTGTAATTGTAAAGCCTGTTGTAATTGCATATTATATAATTGTTGCTGTTGCTGTTGCTGTTGCTGTTGTTGTTGAATATAAAACATATCCAGTTCTCCAATAGTAGATCTTCTATTACGAGAAGGTAAACTATGATACAACTTATTATTTGGCTGTCTTTGTGTAGGATAGTTGGGTGCCATAGAAAGATCAAGAGGTTCCTCCATTAGATTAGAGAATGTATCATCTTCAGTAAAAGATTCATTTGACATTGAACCAGAGCTAGCTCTACTCTTTTCTGCTTCTAATACACTTCTACGCCATTGTTCAATAGATCCTAATTTATTGGGTACAGTAACAGGACTAGGTTCGACACATATCTCCGTAACTGGTAATGCCGCTAAATCATTTGTTGACCTTGTTCTTCTATGAGCACTTGGTCCACGTTCAAGTCGTCTTAAAGTGGATATTCTTTGAGTATAAGCCTCTTGTTGACTCTGTATTTCTATTCATTCATTTATTAAAGGGGAAAAAAAATGAGTCGCTCGTTCTTTTTTTTTTTTTTTTTTTGTATGTGTGTATCCCCCCTTTTTTCCCTTTCCTTATCACCATAGAAAACTTTTTTTTTCGAATTTTATTACCATGGATATATTCGTGATTATCCACAGATACTTGTTCTGTTTCATCATCATCGTCGTCGTCATCATCATCCTCCTCTTCGTCTTCATCTTCATCATCACTTGGTTGTGGTAAACGGCTTATCGTTTTACCTTTCTTATCATTAAAATTGGTATCATTTGATTTGTTGATATTTATCTTGTGATTTATGATTGCAGGTTTATTTATAATTAAATCATCCTTTTTCTTTTTCATGTCTTCCTCTTGTTGTTTATTAACTTGGTCTTCTTTTTCATTCTCCTCCTCCTCCTCTTCTTTTTCTTCTTCTTCTTCTTCTTCATCATCGTCGTCATCGTCGTCGTCGTCGTCATCTTCTTCTTCTTCATCATCACTAGGTATAAATCGACGACCCTTTCTAGAAGTAGAATTGACTAATATAAAAATGATAAGCTTATCAATATAAAAAAAAAATTGTAAATTCGAAATTATTATTACCTAAATTTCCCGAAGGCATTCTTGAATTACTAGGAGAATTGATAGCTTGGGATATAGGTCTTTGAGGAGCAGATAAATTGAGTTTATTTTGTTGTTGTTGTTGTTGTTGTTGTTGTTGTTGTTGAAGATGATGATGCTGCTGCTGCTGCTGCTGTTGCTGTTGCATATGATGATAATGGTGTTGTTGTTGTTGTTGCTGTTGCTGTTGCTGTTGTTTAGGTTCATCTGATCGAACACGATGCATAGGAGGAGGAGGAGGTTGTTGTTGTTGTTGAGGATAAGGTCGTGGTACTCCTCTTCGAGCCTGTTGAGGATTTAAAATAGAGTTTCTCATTTGGTTATCAATATGAGCCTGATGAAAAATAATACTCTTTGTCCATGGCTCTGCCTCTCCTTCCCCTGCGTCGGGGGTTTTGATGGCCTTTGCTAAAGCAAGTCTAGACAAACTGACTGTCACTTCTTCTGTAGACATTGAAATTGTGGGTTTTTTTTTTATATATATATTTTACTTTATATAACGACAACGATGAAAAATAAAAATAAAAAATAAATAAATAAAAAGTGTAGTATATAATGTATATGTATATACAACAGAAAAAAAAAAAGAGATAGAAAGGGAAAAAAAAAGATTTTATATTCACAAAAAAAAAAAATATTTTTAGGTGGTAATGTGTATTACTTTTTTTTTTTTTTTGTTACCAAAAAAATACATGATCTGGGTTTTAACATTACCAAATTATATATAATTATTTATTAGTTTTTAAAATTTTTTTTTTTTGATATAAATTTTTTTTTGACATAAAGTAAATAGGATACAAAGATATGGAGAGTCAAGAGAAATTACGAAAAAAGAATAAAAAAAAGAATAAAAAAAAAGAAGAATAAATAAATAAAAAAAAGAATTTCAAGGTTTACTCGAAATTAACTTTATTGTTTTCTGATATTTATATTTATATATTTAATTTATATAAATATACACATTTCTTTTTTTTCTACTGAAGAATGTATTTTTTTTTGTGCTCCGATTTGTTTTGATTATTTAAGCATGAAAATACAAAATAAGAAACACGACTTGTTTATATATAAATTAATAAAAGACATTTTGTACAATAATAGTTAGATAAAAGTAGTAAATTTCAATAAAAAAAAAGGGTAAAAGTAAAATAAAGCAAAGCAAGAGAAATAAAAATAAAAATAAAGTGATTACCTTATATATTTATATACTGTAAAAAAAAAATCTTCTTTTATTATTAGAATTCAACAAGTGAGACTGCTTAAAATAAGTTAACATATGATTTCTTTGCTTTTTAATATTTAAAATGAATTGTACCTCCTTTTTTTTTTTTAATATAAACGATTATTATTAGGGTAAGATAGAATTTGGCCAAAAAGAAGATTTCCAACTTGGTTTGAAAGAGTACCAAGATGATAATAAGAGAATGAGTTCAATTTATCGGAAGGATATATTACCACAGCAAAAAAAAAAAGAAAAAAAAAGTTGTCTACATTGTAAAGTAGTAGTAATAATAATATTCACATATTGAAGCTGAGACAGTCCGTGTGTCTTTGTAATCTATTATTAAGTTCTGAGTGTACATTTCTGTTGAAAAAAAAAAAGAAAATGAAAGAGAGAGATTTAGTTATATTAAATCATATTGGTTACTATAGGAATAAATGGTTGTCAAGTGTATATGTAAATTGAAGGTACTATGGCAAAACAACGCATCGGTTATCTGACCCTTTGTTATAAAATAATACGATGGCAGCATAAGGTTTAAGAGTTGCATAAAATTACTCTAATTAAATTCTCTGTTGTGACAGATATTATGTAATGAGAACAAGTCATGTTCCTAATAAAAGAGTAGTAAGCGTTGCCACGGAATTCGGAGATAATTATTCCATAATGCTCAACAAAAAAATAAATAAAAATAAAAATAAAAATAAAATAAAAATAAAATAAAAATAAAAATAAAAATAAAAATAAAATAAAAGTAAAAATAAAAATAAAATAAAATAAAATAAAATAAAATAAATGCTTGTTTTTTGGTTGATTGTATTTTAATTGATTACATTTAGATTGATATTATCTACTATGCTTCTTCACTATACATATGTATATAAATAGACAAAAAAAAAAAAAAAAAGATGGCAAGTAGTAAACAGGAAGAAACAAAAGTTTATTTGAATATATGTACAACAGGTTGTCAGTAGAAAGGAATGATTGGTTGTATGAATGAATGAATTACGTAATAAATAAACAGCAGCAGCAACAGAGGGAGAACTTTTTTTAAATATTATTATTATTGTTATCAAAATCCCAGTCATGAGAAATTATAATATCTTCTAGATATTTAATCCTTTTTTTATATTCAACTTCTTTGGCATGTAAACTTCTTTTTTCTGACTCTAATACTGCATTACGTAGAGTCAGTTTCGCATTCTCTGTCTGTAAAGCATTTACTTTGTTTTCAAGCTGTTCTACTTTAATAAACTTTTTTAATCGCGATCTTCTTGCTGCATCTGTATTCTAATATAGATATAAAATGTTAAAACACACATACACACATATATATATACATATACATATATCATATTGATTTAACCTTTCTACGTTTTAATGTATCTTCATCAATACTACCGTCGGGTGCTGGTTCAGGCTCAGGTAATTTCCTTATACCCCTTGGTTTGGGTAATGGCCTTGTTAATTTAACAGGTTGATCTTGTTCATGTAAATCAGGATGAACTTTACTCGGTGGTTTATCATCTCCTCCCCAAGATATATTAAACGCCGTTGCTTCTTCTTTTATATCAGGATTGACGTTTTTTGTGGTATTGCTCACATCTTCTAGATTGAGTTCTGCTGGTAGTCCAAATTGAAGAGTAGGAAATAAAGGTGTTTCGACTTGTTTTAATGATTCTTCTGGATCATCAGGTATAGCAAATGTGTTCATATTATTCCATAATAATTCATGTTCTTTATCTGTTGAAGTAAGGATAGAATTTAGATTTGAAGATGTCGATGAGGATAGATTATAATCTGTATTCATTTTTTTTTAAATTAAAAAAAAAAGGGAATAATATACACATACATTAATATATAAAAGGCTTATTTCTACATGAATTAATAATTCCGTCCTTAAAAAGTAGTTTTTTTTTTTTTTTTTTTTTTTTTTTTTTTTTTTTTTTTTTTTTTTTTTTTTTACATTCTTATAACTCTTCCCGTTTAGGCTATTAAAAACCATAAAAGACTAAATCCATATAAATATAAAGAAGCTGTACTAAACTGAGTTCCTTCAATAGTACGGACAAAGATTACACTCATCTTTCCTAAGGAACAGGTCTAGTTTCCTTTATTAATTCTGAATTACCACATTAACACCCTTTACTCCTCTAGAGAGAAAGAAAGTAAATCAACTTGAGCAGTTAGATTCAACAGAAATCCTAATCAGTAGTTGTCTAAGGGTTGCTATAACCCGAAAGTAAAGACAGACATGCATCATGTAGTAATTAGATGAGAGACCAAAACTCCTCCTTTAATTAATCATAGACAAGCTAACCTGTGTGGCTTGAGCACGCTTCACAACCCTTGACTTTCTCTAACTTTAAGGAGAAGATGTTAAACCTTATTTCTTTTTTCTTTTTTTTTTTTTTTTTTTGACAAATGCAGGCATACATACATTATTGTTGTTCTTATTTATATAAAGGATAAATTTATATTAAGCTAGATAATGTATAAACAAGTAGATAATCCGCTATTCGTCTTATCCATGCATTGTTGTTGATTTATAGTTATATCATGTACAATAAGCCGTAATGAACACTTTGTATAAATTCGAAAAAAACAAGTCGAACTTGAATTCTATAACTTACCATTAAAGTTGTAAAGTGTAGTTTCAACTATGACACACAAAGATATAGATTGTTATGTGTTCTCTTCTTTTGAGATATGCATGTAGTAAGTATTTCTGTTGTTTGATTTATTAACTGAAATTAGTCGTACACAAAAAAGCCTATTATATATGAATATAAATAAGGCTGAGACACTATTTCCTTAATTGTATGAATGATTATCATATACACCTTGCCTTATAGAGATTATGAACTATTTCATTGTTGCTTGTTTTAATATACAAGAACCTCCCCTCCTTAGTTGAATTATACAATCATTGTTCATATTGACTTCTTAACCAACTTGATAATAAACTTTTTACAAACAAGATAAATTATACTTTAGAAAGAATTATAATTTCTAGAAAAAAAAAAGTTGATTATTTTCTACAGCTATGATATGAAAACTAGTTTAATATTATTAGAGCAATTTGACATGTAAGGGGAAACACAAAAATATTACATCTAGAATATTGGAGTAATTCATTATAAACAAAATCACCTTCTCTTCAATCATATCGACTCGACTATTATTGATTTGAAAAACATAACTAGTAGAGTTGCACTATTTGTTTACTCTATTATGTCAGTCATTTGAAACAAAAAAAAAAAAAAAAAAATAATAATAATAATAATAAAAATAGAACTGATACTTTAAAATAATGGTACAGCAGCAAGACTTGTTGGTCTCTACTACGTCTCATTTTATCATTCAATTAAATGTGTGACAATTCAATTTTGTTGATATACTCTTTCAAGTAGTACAAGTGTTTGAAAGCTTTTAAAAAGAAACAGCAAAAGAGAGGGAAAGTATAAGAAAGCACGCGTTCTAGACCCTCTTTTCCCTTTTTCTTTTCCTTTTTTTTCAACTGTTTACTTTTCCTCTCGAGGTATTTATAGGGAAATTCATTGAATAATAAAGCGTAGATTGCGTATGCATATTTATCTTTCTTTTCTGTTGTTTGTTTGAAAAAAAAAAAAAAAAAAAAAAAAACATAATTTCGAACTGCGCTTCTTTCAAAAAAAAAAAAAAAAAAAAAAAAAAAAATTAAATAATAATGTGCAAACGATGACTATGAACTTTCTTTGGGTTTTCTTTTACTTTTCCATTTTTTCCTTTTTCTTTTCTTTTTCTTTTTTTATTTTTATTTTTATTTTTATTTTTCTTTTTCTTTTTCTTTTTCTTTTATTTTTATTTTATTTTATTTTCTCTTTCTTTTTATTTTATTTTTAAAAAAATTCCAAGTCAATGGATTAAAAGAAGAAGAAAAAAAAATGAATTTGAATACAACAGATATTGCAGAAAGAACAGCTGCAGCAAGGCGCGATGCTGAACTATTAAAAGAGAAAATTAAACAAAAAAAAGAAAGTCTATCAGATACAACACGTAAAATGACATACTATTGTTATTAAAATATAGATAATAAACTCAACTTCTCTCTCTCTTTTTATATATATATAAATATTTATATGCAAAATATAACCTAGTTTACCAAGTAGCACAAAAAGTAGAAAAAATACCAAGATTAACTATGAAAGTACGTCGTACATTAAAGGGACATTTAGCTAAAATATATGCAATGCATTGGGCAGGCGATAAACGTCATTTAGTATCAGCTTCACAAGATGGTAAATTATTAGTTTGGGATGCTTATTCAACACACAAATTACATGCGATACCCTTACGATCTTCTTGGGTGATGACATGTGCTTATTCACCAAGTGGATATTTTGTTGCATCAGGTGGATTAGATAATGTATGTTCAATATACAACATAAGATCAAGAGATTCTCCCACAAAGCCAGCAAGAGAATTATCAGGTCATACAGGTTATCTTAGTTGTTGTCGATTTTTAAATGATAATCAAATTTTAACTTCCAGTGGAGATACGACTTGTATGCTCTGGGATATTGATGCTGGTGTCAAATTAGATGAATTTACTGATCATACTGGAGATGTCATGAGGTATGTATGTAAACCAAAAAAAAAAAAAAAAAAAAAAAAAAGAAAAGACATGATATAAATATTTATATAAAATAAAATAACACAAAAAGGTAATATAGAATGCTTATATAAATGTATATTTGTATATATAATTTTTTATTTTTATTTTATTTTTCTTTTTATTTTATTTTTTATTTTCCTCTCTTCTTTTCTTTTTTTCTTTCTCTCTCTCTCTCTTTCCATTGTCTTGCCTTGCTTCGCCTTGCCTTGCTTCGCCTTTCTATATACATACATACATACATACATACATACACACACATATATATGTATATATACTTATAAGTTTGTCTGTTTCATCAAATCCAAATATTTTTGTTTCTGGAGCTTGCGATGCAACGGCTAAAATTTGGGATATTCGAAGTAAAAAATGTGTACAGTCATTTAGTGGACATGAATCAGATATAAATGCTGTTCAATTTTTTCCAAATGGGAATGCAATCGGAACAGGGTCAGATGATGCAAGTTGTCGATTATTTGATCTTCGAGCAGACCGTGAATTAAATATATATACGCATGAACAAGTCTTTAGTGGAATTACTTCTGTGGCCTTTTCGATTTCGGGTAGGCTTTTATTTGGTGGCTATGACGATTATCACTGTCATGTCTGGGATACATTAAGGGGTGAAAGAGTAGGTGTCTTGAGTGCACATGAAAATCGTGTCTCTTGTCTAGGTGTATCAACAGATGGTATGGCTCTATGTACAGGCAGTTGGGATAATGTATTAAAAATTTGGGCTTAAATAGTATCCTACTATTCTTTTAATAAATATGGAATTTTGCATATTTCAATACTTGTATAAAAATAGATATATGCATATAAATTGGTAGTGGATTTTGTCCCTGAAAATAAAAATAAAAAAAAGGAATACTGTCTATATATAAATAAATAAAGGTGTATATTTACATGCATTCTTATGTACATTCATTATGTAATATGT